CGGTCGGTTGCTTCTAACTAAGTTATTCTTAATATTTTCTTTTAATTCTTAGTAGTACTATACGGTTAAAGCCGTCTCATCCTATAAGGTATTTAATACTACTAATTAAAACTAGGCAGCATAATTAGCTACTAATCCCTTCTAAGTTAGGTTTATTAGTTCCCTTTCTATAGTATATGCTGCGTTAATGTCTCTAAATACTTATTATATTTTTACTTTAAACGAGAGTATATTAGTAAATAGTTCTATTATTTCCTAGAACTAGTTGCGTTTATTATTCTTAAGGAAATCCTTAAAATAGAGCTAAATCTATTTAAATGCTCGTCTCTTTAGATAGGTAACAACGAATATTACTTTATTTTCTTTCTAGAAACATTTCTAGTTATACTAAATATATAGGTTATATTAGAGTAGCTATAAGTCGAGTTTATTACGCTCTCTACTATACTTATCTAGTACTTTAACCTTAATTAGTTTTAGTGCTAGGGGTAGTAGCGGTGCCTATCTCCTTATAGGTCCGGTGGTCGATCCTATAGTAGACATATCGGCGTGTTAATCTTAGGTGCTCTATAGAGTAGGTACTTAAAGTGTAATAAGGTGCTATTACGAGATAATAAAGGTTACTATAATAGTTAGGGCCCTAATTAAGGAGATAGAGAATAGTGCTAAGATATAGTTAATAAGGTAAGGATTAATATTACGTGGTAAGATTAGATTAATATTATAAAGAATACTAGATTCTTATTTAAGTTAAGCACACTATTCTAATAAACAAGAATAGTGCCTTCTATATACTTATACGCTAATACTATACTTAGTATAATTAGTATACTTAGTATACCTAGTGTACTTAGTGTGCCTAGTGTGCTTAGTATACTTAGTATACTTAGTGTGCTCGAGGCTACTAAGCCCTTTAATTTAATTAAGTATCTTATAGGTAAATACCTATCCTGTGTTTTATTCGTGACACTTAATACTATATTAAGAAGTCTTATAGTCGCGCGCTATTAAGCGACTGCTTTCTTAGTAAATACCCCGTCCTTTATATACTTCCATGTCGAAGAAAGCCGATTCAAGACTTAATTGCCGTATAAGAACTATCTAATAGAAATAAAGCGGATATACAAGTAATTACATTAAACTTCTTTCCCCGAGTTAGTTAAAGCTCCTTTAGCCTAGTAATATCGTGATAGTAAAATCCCATTCTCCTAATAACTCTCCTAGCTCTTTAATTGAGAGAGTTCGTTTCTTGCAACCGATAATATACTATTACTAATATCCACACCTATTATAGAGCCTAAAGGACTAACTAATCGAGCTGCAGTAAACGCGACTAGTCCTATTCCGCATACGAAATCTAATATATATATACTAGCAGCCTTACTTCGTGCAGTTGAAATACTTACTTAATTTAGACTAGAAATATCAAAAGTGTTTCTAGGTATACTATATAGTAAATACTAGATTACTAATAAACCCTTAGGATAGAAACTTGGAAGTAGGCTATTATTATTTTTTAGATACTTGCAAGTTCGAATTACACTACGGACGCCTTGAAATACTATATAAAGCTAGTTGTAGTGGTGAACCTAAAATCCTAGTAGAGCGGACTGAGACTACTAGGATAATAGAAGAAGACCCGGATAGTGTTCACTATAGTCTTTATCTTAATAGTAAGAAGTAGAAGAAGTGTTAATAAAGCAATAAAGCGTAGTGTAAATGTATCCTATAGATGTTAATAACAAGTAAGATAGTGTTACCTTAAAGGCTATTAGAATAAAGATCCGCGATAGGAATAAGGAAGTTAGCTTTAATAGGCTGCTATTTACTTTACCTTAGTATACTATACCGCTCGATGTATAAGAAGCTACTAGGTATTATTAATTAATCTTAGTTTCAGATTATAATTTAATGAATGTCTTTATCTTCTATTTTATAATTAGTCTAGCTACTCCACTATTAATAAGATCGCGAGACTAGTTTGATTATAAAGATATAATAATAGACATTTTATAAAGAACGGGTTATTTACTAAGAAAGTAGTCACTTAATAGCGCGCGACTATAAGGCTTCTTAATATAGTATTAAGGCGTTTATAGACGTGAGCTAGCATATTAGATATATCTTTAGTGAATAGAAGGTGCAGATTTAAATTATATAAACTAGTTATTAATATTTCTTAATAGTATTAGAGGGTTATTAATTAGCTGTCGCTTCCTTAGTTAATACCCTCTCCTTCGTAGATAGCGCTTGGTTCTTGACGTGTCAGGCCGTGCTGGATGGCTGGCAGCTACACGTGACTGGCCATGCCACCTGCCGAAGGGCCCCGTCACCGAGTTCGAGTTACATTCATCCCAAGGCGTTCGTGGTGTGATTCGAACTTGCGAGTATCAAAAAAACTTGTAGCTTCTCTTTGATTGAGCGTGTCATCCTTAGTGCAGGGGCCATGCTAATCTTCTCTATTAATAGGTTAGTTTCGGTAGGATTCGAACACGCTGCACAGACTTGCTCACCTGTATCGTTTCAAATTGACCAAATGCCCGAAGGCAACAACTTGACCAGTTTTTAAAAATATATAGTAAGGTTGAAAGGCGACACTGTTTATTTATGTCTACACTCTTCCCTTCGTCGTTGTTTACCCATCATTTGTGCAACGGCGTGGAAGCCAACGTGCAGATGACACTAAACTGTCTCATATGATGTACGGCTCTTCAGGTCGCCCAGTTTGTGCTGCGGGGCATTCTATCTTCTTATTTTAGAGTCTACTTCCCTATCAGAATGCGTAGATTTAATTCGGCTGCCCTCGTGGGCGCTTTATTACGGGGTCCCAGCCCGGCATTTGCTTCGCAGTGACGAACGTACCGGTAACCACCAAGTCCGCGCAACCAATGAAGCGACACTGCACTGCACTGCACTACCTGTTGATCGAGAAGCGCCATTTGCCGTCCTCTTGCTTCACGTATTTTCACTGGATCTCCGTGCTGATCAGAGGCGCGGACAGGTTGGATATTGACACTCGACCCAGACTTGGCTGACCAGATCTCGACAGACTCCACAATACCACACCTAGGTAGCCAACGCCGAACAACAACACGTAACAACCATCAACGACCCCTTCGTGGCAGCCTTCTACCGCCGCTAGGCGTATGCAACCCGCCGACCGGGACCTCGACCAACAACAATGTCATATTACCTTGTCATTGCACTCTGCGTTACCTTTACAAGGAGCATGACTTCTTGACGCACCTGTACCCCTCCACATCGACGGCGGTAAGGCTCATCTAGCCACAGAAATTGGCCGCGAGAAGCGCGAGCTCTGCGACGGCAATGTCATCCCTCTCTTGTCGACACTCGCTTCGTCTTCCGCCACCAGCACGCGCGCAACACTGGCGACTTCGAGCAGCGGTACAGTGTCCAGGAGCTGCTTGGCAAGAGACAATTCGCGTTCTTCTCCTTGCATGGGTATCCAACGCGCTGCATGACCAGTAAGTTCGCGAAGCGGGTCAGGCGGGGTGGGGGGAGTGAGATGGACAGCATTGCAGTAGGGATCGGCGTAGTAAAAGTGATGAGCCATGAGAACGTTACCAACACTCCCGGCCACAGTCACACAAGCGGCTTGCCGCAAAGGATAAAGCTTGCAAAATCGACCCCAGGCCAAATCCATGTATTCCAAAAATTTCCTAGGCTGGCCGACGATTGGTAATACAGCAACAAGCCCCGCGGCATCAGCACGCGGCACGGAGTAGCTGTGGACCTCACGGTCTTGTATCAAGAAGTAGATCACTATGGACACCTACTAAACAAGTCCACCAGGCACCTGGAATGCCGGTGGATGAGAAACGGAGACTGAACATATTCGCGCACAACCACTTCGACATCTGATTCGTTCACGACGCTATCTCGAGATGAATCGGTTCGTTTTCATAAGTAAGGAGCCAATTCGTAAGATCAGATCCGTGATGAAGTATGCAGCAGCGCCCTCTGCTGATCTTACACCACACAACACCCCACACAATTAGAGTTGCGTCAGGCTTGCGGTCTTCGAGACGTTCAATCTAAATGTTGACAGTGTATGGCAAGCAGGAGCACAAGGTCATGTTTCGTATTGGCTTGCACCAGCACGTGTAGACGTGACGCAAACTGGAAGTACATCGAGGTGATCTTGATAAGCAAGAAGTACGCCGTCACTGCTCCGCTGGTGAGGGCCGCAGATTCGGAGCGGCCTGCAAATATCCTCAAGCCGATTCCGGAACATTGCCGGCTGCTAGAGTGTGTTCAGCACATAGTTGCAAATAGTCTAGAGTTGCACTCGCATGAAGGTGAGAACGTCAGCATCAAATCTGAATGAGCTATGTTTGAGCTGGCTCGTTCAAATTTAGGCTCGGCGAGAGGAACTCCTAACCAGAGAAATGCTCGCTGAAGACGTGCACCGGAGGTGTTAATATATTGTTAATATGTACGGAAAAGACCAGCAACATTATCGCTTCCTAGTGCTCTTATATGGTTGAAGTTTTATTCTCCTTCATGATGTTGCCTCTCCCACGTGACTGGGTCATTACAACGTCAATCCTATCTCTCGTCTCCTTTCGCGACCTCACACAGAGCTACATCTCCAGACTGCAAGTGTCTCCGAGATTACCCTGTAGAAATCACACATCACTCTAGCACGCGTATTCCCCGTGGCGCCTTTCCCTCAAGAACTCTTCGGAGTTCATCAGGACTGCTCATTTCAGCAGCTCCATTTATTCAAGAACTCTTCGGAGCAACTCTGGTACGCGTATTTCCGCGCCACCTTACTCAAGAATTCCTTGGACACGCGTACTTCCCGCGTCTTACTCAAGAACTCTTCAGCCACGCGTACTTTCCGCGTCGCCTCACACAAGAGCTTCTCGAAGTTTATCAGGACTGCTCATCTCAGCAGCTCCTTTCTACACACCAAAGAACTCTCCGGGGTCCCTCAGGACTGTGCATCTTCCGCAGCTCCTTTCTACCAAAAGAACATGGCTACAGCTCAAGGCCTCATCGACGGCTTTATGGACGAGATACGCCGCTTGATACGGCTGGCTAGAGCAACGGAAGGTGAGCAGCCCCAGATCAAGCGAACCTCCCCGCCTTTAATGGGTATCCCTATCGAACTAACAGTATCATGGCCCGAGGATGACCCGGAAGAGTGGGACGATTTCAAGGAGCTGCTAGTCAGCATACGCCAACTGGCACAAGACTCCAACCTTGTACACTCCACGTGGACCGAGATTGACGACGACAATGATGAGCCTGCCTTATGGTTATTAATGGGACATGAGGTCTGGCAAAGCGTCCGGCAAGATCGCCTCAGAGGTAGCCGAATCTGGTCCGTCAGCAATAACTTACCACTGAACTCTCCTTCCAGAACGCAAACCGTGGTTCTCCGCCGAGCAATTTCGGTTCTGCCTGTCGAAGATGAGAGGTCATACCGGACAGAGAAACATTTCAATAGCCATCGGGCAGTGTATCAGAATATTGCATGGTTCTTGCAAGCGTCCTTGCGTCTCAACCCCCAGGACACATCAGAGGTGCTAACATACCTCTGCGACCGTCAGCTGGCTGAACGCATCGACCTTGTTTCGAGCTGGAAGTCACCGGAATTCGACGTCAGTCTTACCTTACCCATCAGGGCTGCGGCAGAAGCTCTCCGTTATGCCGTCTATGACGGATATTACGACGACCTCCCCTCAATAGTACAGGATCAAAAGTCGCTGCTAAATCTTGCGTCCGTGCATCAAATCTCTGCCGTCAACAGGAAAGTAGAAGGTATGTGGGCCATATTATTTCATTGCCGTACCAAGGCCTACCTGGAACGTTGCCGGACCCTCTCGCCGTCCTTCTATGTCGACTTCGGGGCAGCTGTTGGCTGTTGGCCACACGTGCATATACTGGACGGTGCCACGGCAAATCGCAGACACGGCCTCTTGCTCTTCTTTCATGTAAAACCCTCCCAGGACACCATAGATAACGCCATGATTCATCTACGCAAAACATTGGGGTTGCCGGTCGACGCACCACTCATCCATACAGCGCCAGATTACCAGGTTACGGAACCCATATTTCGCGTTGACGGATTGGCTGCAATGCGTGTACGCGATCGACAGCTGTGCCCGCGACTGCGGAAAGCAATCAGAGGCAGAGAACAGGCGGATACAGCCATTTTGGCCTGCAGAGACCCCAGCGCGCCCGAACGCAAGCCAGTCACCGTCGTAATTTGGACAAGGACCTCTCGTGAGGATCACATCGAGTCCCTGTCAACCATCAGACAGATTTGGAGTACGCTTGTTACACCACCACCGTGTCTAGAAGCATGGCATCCGGACGATCGCTTGGTCGTTGCACACGAGCAATGCTCGTCTTCTCAACACCCGTGGCAAGATCGATTACTTTGGAAGCGGATACCACAAGACCGGCCCGTATTCCTACTCACTGCGAATCCCGACCGGCTAACGAGGAGGAGCGGTGAGGTAGCCTTACTTGTGGAGCTTATCCAGAATACCGGCGGTGCCTGGTGGAGTCGAGGGATCGTGGACCTTGGTATGGAGACGGGAGAAGAGGCGGACCGGGAATGGCAGTGTGTAGGCGAAGAAGGCGTGCTTAACCAAGTACAGGCACAGCTCGTCCTTGGTAATCCTCCCCGTACATCACCCATGTCCGACGACTAAGGGCTAATCGAATCACAGGTCGTCAACGCGCTTTACAGGGTGGATATTACTGGCGGAGCGTCATAGCCATGACGCGATTGCTGAACGCTGCACAAGGCCGGAGTAGTCAGTTGTCGCAGTTGGCCGTCATCCGTGCTCTGGTCAAACTCGTGTGCGAAGTCCACCAGATCACTTCCGTACTGATCTGCCCGCGCACATCTCCGGGTGCCGAGACGTTGGAGGATGACAGCATCAGCACTTCGATCGTACGGCAACAGACCTTTCTACAACTCTTTGTCCCGGCTGGCATTGATGTACAGCTACTGCAAGGGAAAAGGGTGTCTGCATATGACGGGTCCTACATCAAGCTTGTGGAGCAAAAACTGAAAGCTATGTCTGTCTCTGGAAACGTCCTACTCCTATCCGTATCATTGGACAGGATGACGCGGTCTGAAACAGGCCTAGCTAAACTGACAGAGCTCCTCGGTAGGGCAGGGCACCGTCACATTGCTATGGCAATGCTTTGGGACCATGAAACCATACTACACCCAATAGAGGCGTTACAACTCGGGCCCTCTCATGAACATCACTCAGCCGTCCAAAAATGGTGGCAAGACTCGATCTGGGAACAACTTCGCGCGCCAGCTGCCAGCTCGCTCACTCTTCCCACCGTTCAGCCTGTCGTATGGTCGTTTGCTGACTATTCTAGTGCAGTTCCAATTGCTCCACACGTCGAACGCCATGTTAGCAAAGCCGAGATGTTCGTGCTGTCGCTTCGCACGTCCTCCTTCCAGGGCGAGAGGGACCTCGCTCTTCCACAAGAGCTTCGACGAGAAGATGAAGGAAAGGGCCTTACTCCAGCTCGCGCGATGGAGTGGGAGAATTTTCTTGCGTCACAGGTCGGCCTTCCTACGGACCAAGTAAAAGTCGTTTACGCAAACGGGAAGACCAGCTGGGCTTGCACCTGTTCCTTGCAGGCTTCCCACAGTCAGGATTGCCAATGCAGGTGCGCGTTCTGTGACGGATGCAGGGCCTGTCCGTGCAATGGCGGAGCTTGCGACTGCCCTTTGATATGCAACTGCTCTTGTAAAGGGTGTCACGTCAAGGTTAGTTACCCTTACATGGCTCCGATCCAAGCCGTGGCGAATACCACCGTAAGGCTGTTGGAGCGCTATTGGTGTTCCAGCCGCGAGCTGATATTATTATCAATATTTCATGGATGCTCTATTCGATCACCGATCAAGCAGTTATATACTCATTATATACTGACCGAAACCACAGGAGTCTGAGACTCGGGAGCGGCAGCACAATCACCAGTACACGGCCGACACTACACGCAAATGCAGGGTCGAGAGCTGCAAGCGTCCTGCTCCCCTAGGTTCCGGTCTCTACTGCATACCCTGTTACAACCGCATGCGCAACACTAGACCGTGTAGCACCCCTGGCTGTCGAGGACTTGCTCCTATAGGTGGTGCTGGAGGACCTTTCTGTAAATCATGTTCTAAGAAAAACGGGTATAAGGATGCTACAACAACACGACTTTGTAAAACGCCAGGATGTCCTAGAACAGCTCCCCTAGGCTCTGTATACGGGCGGTATTGTGGCCCATGTAGGAACAGAACCGGGCGGTCGCAGAGGCGACGCCGCAAGGTTGCGGGCAAGCAATAGCTAGTTCTTTGGCTTATCAAGCCGACTGATGCAATTTCGGAGCTTAGAGATCTTCAGGCTTTTCATGCTTAAGAGTGCTATCGTGCAAGCTACAAGACCACTGAGGAGGTCTCGTCGAACCATTGTTCTACAAGCGTGTTGAGCAAGTACAAGTAACCCACTAAAGAGCCTTGAACCGCCTGCACTGAATCCAGTGATGCCCAGACAGAGTACACGAAAGTATCCTAAGTGAGAAGATCACCCCAGCCGCCACAACGCTCGCCGAGAAGGCGTATGTACCGATTCCATAACACTCTGCAACCCCGCTATGCAAACTTCAGTACCGCCGTACTCTCAGCCCATGTCTAAGCTTGGTAGCAGTGTGTTCCAACCACCTTAACTCGTCCGTGTGCCGAAGAGATCACTGTCGACAGAAGTCAGTGTGTGAACATAGGACAGTAATCCGAGATGCGCTCGTACCTGATACGATGAAAGACCCCTTCGGTGCATCTCCGTAGAGTTGTAACCAGCACCAAGACCCGAATGTCCGTTCATTGAGCCCGGTCTCCCGTCCTCAGTAGCTTTGTGCTTGTGTGGGGTATGTACGGAGGGTGGCCTGAAAGCGAGCAGAAATAAACGCGTTAGCTTCGTAGCCGATACGGATGGGACGTGCAAGGACTCTGAACGTGAGGCAAAGACCACAAAAAGAAAGTCGAGACATACCCATTGATTTCCTTGTCCAAGAGCAAGCGCTCTTTGGCAGCATTCGGGATCCCGCGCTCGAGGAGATAGTTCATGTAGTGATCGGAGATGAGGTGTACAGCCTGCGCAGGGATGCGCGACTTCTGCCGCACCTGATCCAGGACGCCCTTGACGCGAGCATGGTGCGCGGACTTTGTCTTGGAGTTTGTCGGCTGCTCAAGCTCGAACATGAAATAGTTGATCCAGAACCGCTCAACGTCAAGATACCAGTGCTGGTTCTTCTGATAGACTTGTCGAGCCTCTTCCGGCAGATCCTCAATCTTCCACAGCAGGCGCGCCCACTCGCTCACCAAAGCACCCTTGGTCTGCGTGTCAAGCGAAGGGGACTCAATCTGTTCTCGGTATGTTGCGATGGCTGCTTCAAGGCCGCTATGGCGAAGTTGTAAAGTGGCTAGCATGATAATCGTGTCGATATGTCCAGGAATGTTGATGAGGATGGCTTCATAGATAGCCCGCGCAACATCCACCCTGCCGGTCATCTCTTCAAAGAGCGCGTACTGGTGCCGGACCAACGGTTCTGCTATTGCAACGTACAAACAGCTGGCACGCTGATAGATATTGCGCACCTCTTCTTCCTTTCCAGGTTGAGCAAGCATCCATCGGGAATAACGCAGCCAGAACTCGTCGTAGAGCGCTGCCGTGACTAGACACCGCTCGTATAGGAAGACGACGCGCTGATAGTCGCCTTCAGACTCCTCGAAGTCCAGGTATCTCCGCCAATTCGTGAGCTGAGCATCGTCAAGATCCGTAACGTGGAAGTACGGCCGCTTGATCTCCTGCTCATACGTCCACCGCTTGGTTGTCTCGGTCTGGGTTCGGTTGAAGATCTCGAGATGAAAGTTGTCGATCCGTGTCCGTAGTTCCCGTTCCAGCTCTGCATCACCCCTCCCGCTAAGCATAGGATCCATGCTGATGGCGGAACGAAGCTGCGCGACAACATCCGAAGGGGCGAGCTCGATGATTGGACGTGAGGCGGCGAGGGTACGGTACCGCTCAAAGTATCGTGCATACTGATGCATCGGGATATGGATAACACGGGTCAGGATGCCGAATATTCTATCCTGAGCTTCAAGGCGCTCTTCAAATTCGACGTACTTGTCCCAAAATGGATGCGCCAAGAAGTCAAGGCCAACACAGTTGGCGCCTCTTTCGAACAATCTAGATTTTGCTTGTCAGTCGTGGCAACACAAACGGAAGGGAGAGCTAGGGAGGTTGAGCGGGGAAGCAAACATATATAAACTGCGAGGTCAGGTGCTATATAGCTCCAGCACCATCCCAATCATCTTGCGAAACGGATAGAAAAATCGGTGGCTTGCGATGCAGATCAAATTAGGCAGCGAAGACATGAAAAGCGTCTGAAGACTAGTGTAAGAAGGACTTTCGAGAATGGGTGGCGGCTGTGAGTATCTCACCCGTTGCCAGTCAAGAATTGGGGGATTTTGTGTGTCTGTCCTTGTCTCTCTCTCTGTCTCTCTCTGTCCCGGTCCCGGTCGGTCTCGTGCTTGTGCTGGTGATGGTTATGGGAAGGAAAGGGTTCTGTCCGCGATACTTACTCTCGAATCAAGTCCGAGTCGTGACTAGTCTCGACCTTGAAGGCGCAGTAGTTCGTCCAAAGATCTACAGAATTGGTGATGCTGGCGACGCCCCGTTCGTAGACCTGTCCTCGTTCAGCGTCTGGGACGAGTCCGATATCAAGTAGCCATCTCACTCACCATCTCGGCTGCCTCAGTGCCCGCGATGGAGAATTCGATGTCGGCATATTTCTTCCAGTACCCGAAGAAGAGAGGGAATCGTGCAAGGAGACGGTCGTAGACATTGCGTGCAGATGCGATTGCTTGCGGGCTCGAGTTTCGGTTCAGGCCGCCTTCCTGCGACTCGGCTGCGCGGACGAGCTTCTCCCATGATTCGAATTCATCAGCGTTCGCAAGCTACGAACGGGTGGTAGTTAGCATTCCGCTAATATGAGAGGAGGGGGGCCTTCCGCAAGCTTTTTGTAACGTACTACTTCCGCGTTGAGCTTCCTAAGCTCGGCGTTCTCCTCGTCGGTGCCGCCAAAGCTGATGTCGGCCATGCTGTTTGGAACGCTTCCCAAGGACCTGAGGGCGTGTCTTGATAAGATCTTGTGTCGCTATGTGTTGATGTGCGCGCGTTAAGATGGCGGGTTGAGAATTGAAGATGGAGGATGAGCGACGGAAACTCGGCGCGAGGTGCTCGAAAGTGGTGCTCGAACGTGGTGCAGCTTCGAGGGCTTCCATGCCGAAAATGTCCCGTTAAGCCTCCTTTTTTGCGCCCCGACCTTAGTGCCAACCTGGAAGTCTGCCCCCATCACGCGTTCAATACTGAGGAATCACGTACTGTGCTCTCAGTTGTGAATTCCTCACCAGGACAGCACAGTATCTGGGGAGCAGGAGATTGATCCCCAAGAGATTTCTCCATGTTCATAGCTATATAAACGTACATCTAAGTAGAACGTCTTGAGCATTCTGATGTTGATGAAACACTGCCAGCCACCAACCAGCTCGAAGAGTGTAGTCCCCACTGCGCATCAACGGATGTCCCAAACGCCGTCCAACCGTGCCGTCATATAGCTGCTTCGCCTTGGAGATACTTCTTGGTATCACTCGCTGCAAACGAGAAAGGGCTTTTGGACATATCTGGACTCCGTGGACTTATCGGCAACGCAAACAGGTCGTCTTCCTTCTCGTCCGCTTGGCTTGCTTGCGGTGGTGGCATCCCGCCCCCGGCGAATGCGTTGAGTGACGCCATACCCCCACGCTGCTGCTGTTGCGCGAGTATCGAGGGCGGCGGTATCTGCATCATCGCAGTCCTAGGCACCTCGGGCCTTTGCGCAGGCTTCGCCGCCAGTATCCCCGGGCCTGCTCCCTTGAATGTCGCAAAACTCGACACGGCGACGTCCGAGCCCTCGGGACTGAGCGGATTCGCTCCGCCCATGTACCCATCATCCTGCGCCCTTGACCCCAGCTCTCTCTCCGTCGTCCCCAGCCTCAAACCCTTCAGCTTCTCCATCAGCCGCCCACCCCCGGGACTCCTCGGGCTCTGCGGACTGAGTGGTATCCCGGCCATGGCGCCCGTCGTTCCGCTCGGCAAACTGATACTGCTCGGTTTAGTCGTGACGCCGAAGTTGCGCTCGATCCATTCTTTCTCCTGCACCGCCATGGTGAGGCCGACGCTCTCCACATTCGTGGCGCTCTCGGTCTCGATCTCGCGCTGCAGGCTCTGCAGCCGCTTCTTCGCCCATATGGTATGCAGCACGCCCTTCTTGCCCTGCGCCCTCGCCGACGCGCCCAGCTCCGGCGGGAAGATCGCTGGCAGCGGGTTCGTGCGCCATACGACCTCTCTCCTGCTCCCTCCCTTCTCCTCGCCCGCAGGCAGGTGTGTAAGCGTCACCTGCGCCGGCACGCTCGCTCCCGGCGGAATGAGGAAGTAAAGCCGGTTGATGTCGTTGCCTGTCTGGTCGTCTGCGCGCAGGACGGTGCTCCGGCTCTTGCCCTCCCAGTCCACGTGCCAGTCGCCTCGTACGCCCCGTGTGCTGTCGTCGTCCTCCCACTCGACCATGAGGATCTTGGTTCCATCTTTGTTCCTGCCGGGCTCGAACTCGAAGCGGGCGAGCGCGTTGGAGTTGGATGTGCTGGGCGACTCGACTTCGTCTTTGTAGACGGTGAGGGAGGCGGTGGACGCGGATGTGTCGACGGGGTTGAAGGGTGGAGGTGGCGGGGCGGTGGCCGCAGCCATCTGTAGGGAGAGGCGGACTATGTACGCTGGCTACGATTGACCGATTTTCAACGAAGCCGCGGGTATTTATTGGGGGGGCCAAGACAGCTACGAAGTCGAGACGGCGTTATGGTAGTGATCTTGCATACACTCGGATCTGTACACGAGACTGCGGTTGCGAAAACTACGAGTGACGCGGCACTGCGCTGGCTGCGTATTCGCCATTCGGGGAGCTCTGCCTGCAAGGTTTCGCATTGCTTGGCCGAGGCTAAATATAGACGTTTCATCTCCAGGGTCCGCCAATCCCAGTAGGGCCATTGCCAAGGAGTTTGTGAACTCAAGCCTGCAGAGACATCATCAAGGGTGCAAAGGAGCTTCGGCTGCTTGAGTTGCTTCAGTTCCCTGTGGGGATTTCGATTCGTGATGTTCCCGTTGGGAAATCCGATGCCTATACTGGCTCTGTTTCTATGTACAACTACAAGCTCTGGCGACTGCACTAGCACCAGGCTGGTTCCCTTCCATGCAATGACCTCAACAGGCCAATGTTCCCGTATGCAAAATGTAATGCGAGTGTGGCCGTGATGCCGTGAATTCGTTGCAAATGCCCACTCATATCTCAACGCCGGTTGAGGTTCGCCGCCCTCGATGCTTCTAGCAATGGCCAGATTAAAGAAATACAGAAGGGGTATATAACTGAAAAACGCAGGAGAAAGAGTGTTGTCGCAGTACTGATCCAGGTACCGCGGTCCGTATATGTAGATGCTGAATGCTTTTGTGTGTAAAGAAAAGTAAAGACTGTCGAGAGAGCAGAAACAGACCAGGATGCTGCTCCCATCAAGGAAGGAGAAAGGTGAGACCTCTAGATCAACAAGAAGTCCCAGCCTTTCTGCCGCATCACGTCCCGCCAGTGGACGCTCTGAATCTCTCCCCTTGCGGATGCGTCATCGTTGATGCGCCAAACGTCCTTCAGAAGCTCGCGAATGCGTCCGAATGAGCCGAACTCGGCAGAGTCGCCAAGGCGTCCCACGCGGTCAGAGAACATGTTTCGGAAAGAGGAGCCGGGTAGAGAGACCGATCCAGCAATCAACAGCGGCCAGACCAGCGAACGGTCAAATCCATCAGAGCCTGCGGGTATGTAGAACATGGCGTCGGTGAGCGCGGCGACCAAGTTCGAGATCATACCGCCTCTTCGGTCAAAGTCTGGCACCAGGCTGCATAGGTAGATGCGCGCCGCAAGGCGGTAGACAGCGGTCATGTTCTTGCCGAGTTGCTTCGGTCGGATGGCGCCAGTTGGAGAGTAGACGTGGGCGATTGTTCCGGCAGCGGGCTCCAGGAGAGAGATCTGCTCGCCAAGCATTGCAATGTGAGCGCATAGTTGCATCTCTTCCATGCCGTCCAGCTTCAGGGCTTCCAAGCACGCAATCTCCGAAATCATGAACATGATCTTGTCCTCGCATCCCATGAGTTCGGCGAGGCCAGCAGATGAGTTCGCAAGGTGCTTGTCCCGGTAGGTATCGGCGAACACTGGAGTGCGTCCAAGCATTGTAGCTCCGAGGATATCGATCCACGCTGCAAGAGTCATGTTGAAAGGAGGCTGTGCATGATTGTTCCCATTCAGCTGCACCAACTGCTGCGGTAGCTCAAGCTTTTGGATGAGGCTCGTAGCGGCCTGATAGTGCTGATGCCAGGGAATATCTGGGAGGCTGTCATCTGGGCGGCCAACGGAGCACTGAAAGAAGATCATGCCGAGAGTCGCTTCGAGTATCTGTGCGTGGTCGGTGTCGCGGTTCAATGCCTCGCAAAGCTCGGAGACGGTCGCGAAACGGTGGCGCATGATGTCGTTATCAATCTCTGCGCCCTCAATGGACTGCGTCGCTTTCAGATGCTGCGCCGCAATACTCAGACAGCAGTGTAGATAGGTCTTGTTCGACTCGAGTGCGGGTAAGATTACATCGGATCGCGCTGAGCCGTGCTGGTTGACCTCCAAGATGGGGAAGATGAGTCGCACCACATTTCCAATGAAATGGTTGAGCAGATGCTGATCGCAATCGTCGACCTGAACCAGAGCTTGATGACCGGGCGTGAAAGGGTCATGCGGAAAGTCGAAGAAGTTGAATTCGACTGGCTCCTCCGTGAAGGACTCCCTACGACTCTCGAAGTAGTCTTGCTGGACCCAGCTGTCCGGTTGGAATGGAGTGCCATGAACAGGAGGTGGCTGATACGTGCTGAATGTCGAGATCGTCGACTCTCGTTGGGTTGGCATGTCGTTTACGAAGATCTGTCGCTCGGTCTTGATATCCACTTCGTACGGTGAGAACAGAGGCTGCTGCGGGTACGGCGTGTATTGAGGCGGTGGCATCGAGGTGGCATCAAAGAATTCCGGTGGAGAAACGTGGTTGAAATCCAAGGAGAACTGAGACTCGATGGAAACTGCCCGGGTGCGTACATCGGAGAACCCATCGGAAGTTGGTAATGAGTGGCACAAGCTTGGCGGAGTGTTGGCGCTCAACTGCACACCGGGCTGGTTGGTCTTCTCGGAGAGTTTCGTGCGCTTGATGATGTTTTTGATGACTTCCTTCTGCTGTCTCCGCTGCTCGTTGATGCTCCACCACATCGGACGCTTGTACTCGCACTTAAGGCCCAAGTGCTTGCAAGCGCGACAACCAGGTTTGCCTTCGTCGCACTTCTTTCTTCGTAAGCGACATGTGAAGCAGCCTGCTCTTGCTGTTAGCGGAGTCCGAGCGTCGTTTCCGGTTGCGCGATTATACTTGCCAGTGCGCGAGCGCCTGTGCATCTTGGCAGGACTTTGTTTGGCGTTGGCTGTTGAGGACGTTGCAGCCATGTCTGCACCAGGTCTGGCGTTTGGTGTTGAGGTACTCGAAGCCATGGATATGTAGGGGGAAATGCGCTTTTATTTGAAAGAACGATAAACAATGCGACAGGGGACCGCGAGGCAATTGATCAACAGGGACAGTGAGGCTTGACCGGGGTAGTATTAGTTCTGAAAAGATAGACTGTCGAGACCGACCAGCGGACTCGGACTTGAGTGATAGAAAAAGGCACCAAATTACTCCCGTCTGCCGTTGCGAATGTTCCAGGACGGTGCCGGGTCGAGTAAGTTATACTTGTGGGGGAAGAAACAGGAAATGTGAGCTAAAAGGGACAGACTCTAATTTTAGATTAGCATATGAGAGATGGCAGGCCGGCAGCTTCCCGTCGCTAGAAAGGGTATGGCGGCAAGCCGTTGAGGGGGGCCGTTGGCACTTGCTATTGGAAGATCTCTAGCGGACGGCTACTTGGCAGCCAAATTATGGGTCAAATCCAGTGAAAGAGGCTATTTTTGCTCCCGCATTGCTTGTCTCACGCCGCGGTCATTGCTTTTTGTGAGGGGTACATGAAAAGCGCAGGGCAAGCGGCAGACATGACCAAAGCTTGCACTTCCCTACGTAGATCAGGCTAGACATCTTAGGACGAGCCAGAAAAGGGCATGGCCTTTGCGGTAGTCCCTGGAGCAGAGCCGTGCTCGAGTATCGAGCCCAGGCAATGATCATAGGCGTACCCGGTTAGAGGCTGGCGAGCCTCTCCCGGAAGCTGCATCTGCAAGCGAAATACTTGCAGAAACGATAGCTCGCCAAAGCGGACCGTAGACGGGAAATGAAAAGGTGCCGATCGTTCGCGCTGAAGCTTCGACAAGGTCGCCAATACGTACACTTGATCGATCGTCAGGTAGCTGACATCTAGCAGAGGTCATGAGGACCAGAAGCTTTCACAAAAACATGCTGGGTGCTGATTCGAGTACTACAACAACTAGCTCATTCCGCTTCCACAAGCGCACTCGTGACATGAGTGTTGTACGTGTCCGCTTTCTGGGCCCCGACGTCGGAGCAGGACGGGCACACAAGGTCCAATACATCATGGTGGCGGGCTCTTCGGAGAAGGCCATGCTCCTAAGCTCACCGGACATATCGACGGTGCAGCTTGGCACAGGGCATGTTTCCCGCGAAAAGCCGTTACGCACACAGGAGTGGAGATGGCAGGAAAAGAAGACGGGACAGAAGAGAGCGTGACTGCTGCCATATCGCATGAACAGGTTGTGATAGGATGTGATGTGGTTGCGTCGCGCAGATTGAACCTTGCGCGATCTGTTTTAGCTTCTGCTAATGCAAGCCGGCACGCTCCGCTCGGCCCAATCACAATGCCAACCAGAGCGTGCTGTCGGCTATGATGGACAAGGATTGACGCCAGATCCGCCGGCTTGGGATTTCGTGCATGGAGACTTGCGTTGCTGCCGACGCTTGCCTGTTTTCTGTTCGTCTCTTGGGGCCGTTTAAGCAAGCTGATAAAGGCCCCTAATTAGCCGCCCAGCACAGAGATCGAATGTCCCAAATTAGCAGCCTATGCAGAAAACACCAAGCTACGATTGATCGCTGGGAATTGATCGCAAGCGGAGCTGTGATTTGCTGGTGCCCGAAAGTCGAGCATTTCAAGCTGCGCGAATGGCGGCACAATCTTTCAACACCTGACTCGAGCTCACCTGGAAAGTGACGTTCTCTTGCCATCCGGTAGCCGATGAGAGCGCGATTTTAATAGAGTGAGTCAATTTGTGAGAAACTCCCCATGGTACTTTGAACCCCGCGATAATGGGCCTGTGGGCCTGCAATGCGCGATATCAGAGCAACATCCGTCGAGACTTGGTGCTCTGAAGGCTGCATCACAACGGCCACATGCATGCTCTTTACGCGTGTACACAGTTATCGTGCATGAGACTTCGTGTATAACAAAAAAGAATCCCTGTTCGCGCTGAAATAGTTCAACAGCAGGCAGACAGAAACTCAGATGGAGATCATGGATGTGATAGCGAGGGTAACTCCAGTTACACAGCAGATGCAGCATGAGCGAGCCTGCTTTACCGACACTACCGCTTCATGCGCCGGTAAACGTTCACAGCAGTCAAGACCTAGCTAGGGTAGAGTTAGTTTCACCCGCTGCCATTGACGGCTGTTCTCGACACCCATCCAAATGGACAAATCGTTTTCTTACCGTGTTGAGGATGCCGCACAATTGGGTCATGTCCGCATGAGCTGCCCGTCAGGTGACGGCGGTGTGGTCGTATCTACACACTACAGATGGTGAGAGCAAGCGGTTAATCGGGACGTCCCTGCACGAGTACAATAGGCCTCGGAGCAGGCAGTTGCTATGGGTCCTCACATCCCGAATGAATTGCGCGACACCCCAAAGAGCGGTCTGGATCCAAAGGACCGGAACATTCAGGCATGGAACAAGTTCAAGAGAGACTGACGCCGCGGTAAGCTCTCCGGCCGCGACCTTTGTAGTACAGGAGCTCCGACAAGATTGTCACACTGCGTTGAATGGGATGAGGTTGTGGTGGTCCGGCCGCGTCTGGGGAACGGCTGTTGGCGGCACTTGCTCCTGCAGTCGCGTGCCTGCAGGCTGCCGTAGCACGTTGATCCGAGCATCAGAACACTTTCCAGTGTGCCGCATGAACTGAGGTCCATATCGGCGTTGTGATGCGGCCTGCCGATACGAAAGCTAGCGAGGAACGTCCCACAGTGGGCTTGACGAAGCGCACGAACATTACAGCCCATCACAAGGAGACGTAGAATAGAGGCAATCTTGCCGCGTTCGCCCAGTCGCAAGAACAGATATTTTATGACAACCCCTATTGGTGGATACTCTAAACAACGCTTAACGATTGATCACGACTCCTCTTCTCCCAATGGTCGAGCTGCACCGAGGCAAATTGACTGATCTACAGGGCATCTGTTGGGAACGAGGGAAGCTGTGTTGGATAGAGTGAGTGGCAGAGGGCCACGAAACGGGCCACACTGCCAGCCTCCGATACTCGAGTCACACAGAGGCATGGCCGATGGTGCACGAACTGGCCGTGGAAGGTGGAGCAAAAACGCAGATGACAGAAAACGGGAATGAGGGTACGGTGCCGCGCCGTGGTAACATCCGGTCAATGCCTGTCAACCCCTCCTCTCAAGCGTGGACCAACGCCCTTCGTGCCGTTCCCCGTGCCGAAGCGAGGCTTGAGATTCCTGGATGGCTTGCCGTAGCGTCGATGGTTTCGGCCTACCAGCGCTATTCTGGGGTTGAAGAGCAGGAAAGAGCTCGCATTAGGCCATGGGCGCCCTGCGAATGAGCGTCGAGTGCTGGGGGGTAGTCAAAGTCCACATACCCTGTTTAAGCGCTGGGCTAAGGCGTCGGTGCACGCGGCCGGCAATCCTCCGCGACGGAGATTGGCGTAAAAGGGTCTGGGTCGGGTGCTTTGGCTGCACTTGGCTGCACTCGACAGCGGTGCTCCAGGTCTTCCAGCCAACCTGAGTAGCTCCCTCCAACGCCTGTCGCCGTATCCTGCCAGCTTGTCACAAGCGGAAAGGCTGGTCTGCTGGCGGAGCACACGATATGCGCCCGCCTGCCATCATGAGCTTCTACAAGAGGACTTCGAGGCGCCCCAGACCCGCAGGGCTTTCTGAACGTTTCAGCTTTTTTACTGCGTCCTTCACGCGTCCGATCATAGAGCTGTTTTACTGGCAACAGTGACGAAAAGTGATACCTATCTGCGCTCTTTACCAGCATTGTCGTTTAGCGTTGCGTCCCATTCACTCTCACTCACAATGGTAGGATATAGTCTGGCGCTTTGCATTGCGGAGAACTCGACTCTGATTGTGTTTCAGCAGTCAATGACACCGATCACGCCGCTGGAATCCGGCGTGGAGATGTTCCAGAAAGGAAAGCTGCAGCCATTCTTTACCGCTCGGCAAAGCAAGCCTCGGCCGGTTTCCGAGGTTACTCAGATATTCGATACTGATTTCGAGGATGATGAGAGTGAGAGCGAGAGCGAGAGCGAGTTTGAAGAAGACTCCCCAAAATATAGCTTCGACTCTGTGAGTCTCTTTCCTTGAAATATGCTAGTGCTGCTGTCTAATCCTCCTTAGCACGAGAGTAGACGCAGTCAAACCACCATTTCAACATACGATGAAGTATCCACGCCGCACTCGAGTCGACAGTCCATGTTTGAACTGCACACACAAGCTCAAATGCAAGCAATGAAACCCGTAGAAGGACCGAAAGGTCCTCATCTCTTTCGTGCATCACAATCGTCCTCTGAGTTCTCTTTCGACTATGCGCTGCAAATGTCGCCTCTACTGCCGAAGCAGCCGCCGCCGAGGATAGAGACCGCTTTCCGTGAGCCTATCCATCCTCGAGCCTTCAACAGTCTGCCGGATGCGGTGGCGGGTCTCGACAGCAGCGAAGTCCGTACGTGGAGCGCACAACAAGTTGCTTCGTGGATGTACAGCTCCGGCTTCGAGGAGTCGATAATAGAGAAGTTTGAAGTGCACGATATTACTGGCGCGGTCTTGCTCGACCTACAATTCGAGGATCTCAAGGAGCTAGATATCCAATCATTCGGCAAGCGTCATCAGCTGTGGAATGAGATCGACGCACTGCGTGGAAACGAGGGAAGAGACAGCCCTGTCCATACGCCCTTCCAAGATATCAGTCGCCCATGCACTCGTAACACCAGGAATAACAGTACGCGAGACCGTTCCCAATCCCGGGCTCCTCACGAAGGGTGCGACAGTGCCGTTGACGGAAACTTCACGCCAATAACGCCGGGCGACAGTCGGCGACGACGAGGACGAAAGCATCGCAATGTTGGCGATGATATAATTACCCCGGCGGAGTCTGTATCGATTGTCGCTATCGAGCAACTTCTGCCCAAGCCACACAAATGTCCGAAAGGCGAGCGGTGTCAAAAATGGAAAAAGCAGCAGAGGCAGCTGGCGCGGTTGCAAGAAGAGCACAGCTTCCCTATCTCCCCTGAGAAAGGGGGACACATTTTCGTTGCCGGAGATCCCGGTAATGCCGCAACTACGGCGGCGCTCCACTCCAATATCGATCTACAGCGCCCGACTTCTGATGCTGTACCGTCAGTCGTAGCGTCCTCAGACCTCCTCGGCCCAGGCCAGCTTCCTGAATTTGCCCTGCAAGAAGACTACCTGCGGAACTTCGAGCTCCGAGATCCTCAGGAGAACGTGAAGCACTTCCTGTCGCTGCAACACATGGAAGCGCATCACATGCACAATTCTCCGCCACCCATGGAGCCTCCTACGACTCCTCCTCTAGAGATGTTTCCACCTCTTCACCCACCAGAGCATACCCCAGGACCACACTGCAACCTCAAGTCTCTACCAAAACTCAGCATCCCTCGCTCTGCTTCTGCTAATCCTTACGTCGGGTCGCAAACTCTTCGGCCGGCCGGCCCTTCCATTGCAAATGGCGTTGACGCGTTCACCCCCTGCCGCAGCGCCACCGCTTCCCCGGGAGGGGCATCACTTTATCGCTTCGGGACACCGGCTTCTGAGATGGACGTGCCCGTTACTGCTATTCTCCTCGGTCCCGTTTCACGTGACGCCTCGCAGTCAGTGCCGCCAAACATGCAGTTCCGTGATCCCGTGCAGCGCAGCGGTGCAACATCTCGTGGCGAGCACTGGCGGCGTCCGTCCCTCCTCCCACAGCTCAACGAGGACGAGGTTTTCTCGCCTACGTCGCCGTCTTCGGACACGCTGCATGAAAGCAACCCAGACTCTCAGGCCGCCCAAACTACGGGAATCCATGACGACGCTAAGACGTCGCAGCAGCCGAAGAAGAAGACCACCGGCTTCCAGTACAGCGGCGTCAACCACCACGGCTGGATGAAGAAGCGCCGTACCAAGCTCCTCCGCCATGAATGGCAAGACCAGCACTTCCGCCTTACTGGGACTCAGCTAGCCATGCATGCGAATTCGCTTCCCACTTCCTCGCCGCTCGACACTATTGACGTGGATGAGTACGCCGTTGCATGTTCGTCGCTCGCTTCCAACAAGCTCGCCGCGAAGCTGAAGACACTCAAGATCGCGGGCGAGAAGAAGAATGCTCAGGGCGTGGACCCGACTGCTTTTACATTCCAGCTCGTGCCGACTGGACCGAATGAAAGAGAGGGGACAGTCGTGAAGAAGGTGGTAAATGGGAAGACGCACCATTTCGCGGTCAAGACTCGGGATGAGCGGATTGACTGGATGAGGGAGCTGATGCTTGCGAAAGCGTTGAGGGCGAAGGGAGAGGGTTACGAAGTTCAGGTCAATGGCGCAGCAGTGTAGGGGCTGCTGATGAGACGGAAGATGGCACTCACTTGCTTGAGACTGGTTACACGTTCCTTTCGGTTTTTGATATACCCATTGAGCTCTTTCTGCTTTTGACAGCATACTACATAGCATTTAACGACTCATGACAGGCGGCGGGCCGCTGGGTAGCCAGCCTCCCGCTGTATGAACACATTCGGTAGCTCCACTTAAGCAAAGTCTTTACTCTGCGAATCCGTCTTCCTGAGCTCATGTGTTTCGTCAACTTGACTCTCCAGTCACACAACCTTACCTAGCATCGAAGAAAACACAAATTGAACATCCAGGCGAACTCTGCCAGCACGGCCGTCTCACAGCCTTTAAGCTAAGGACTGACAGTGCCGAAGGCCTACACATATCGAGGTACCCATGCATTTAAGGCCAAGAGCCCCTTTCCGTCCGCAGAGGAGTAGAGAAACTACAACGTTGATTGCTGAACACTCAACCGGATCTAATGCATTGGACTCTAATGCATTCATGGAGGTTCAACGAACCCGCTTTCACTGCCTTTCGGCCTATCAGGCCTGAACAACATCCATTCTGGCACGATTTTTGCTACCTCAGCTGTGGATGGGATTGGGTGGATGAACACACATGAATTCTACAACACCCCATCCCGGCCTCTAACAACACTCGAGCCCACGTTCTAGCTAGTAGGAATGCACCGATTTGTTATTTTGCTTTGCGTTCAAGGGTGTCAGCAAGCTGCGCTGTCTTGTGTGCGCATCTTTATGGCAGATCTCCGCCTTCTCTCACTTCGCCCAAGCTTCGTGGTGTCCATTGTCCATATCACAAAAGCCGCTATGCTCTTGCATTCGTTCTGCTCCTGAGTCGCCGCTATGCGTTGAGGCTGCCGTGTCACGATCCTGCCCAGCGGCAGTGTGTATGGCCCAAAAGGTGTTACAGACAAACAACGGTCTTCCTTTCCTGGCTGCTGCAACAGCGAAGGACGGAGAATCACGATCCACATAACAGGCCTCAGTATTCACCGCGGCAGAGCCAGTATCAGCAACATCACCAAGAAGTCAGGCAAGAGAGGCCATTCGGAGAGAATATGTGCAAATGCTTCAAATAAATATGTAGCAGAGCACATCTACACTATTGATCGACCGTTTCTCAGAACAGAACCCCAATACGCCTGCTACCCAAATCAACGTGGCTGTAAAGGAAGCAGACCGGGGAACCCCTTGCTTTGTTTCTCACCACCATTACGCCTGCACTTCGCCACGTCCGCCGTTGTTGTCCCTTTGACGTATTCAGGGGAGGGGAAAAAGGGAACTCTCGGAGCCACACTCAGAATTTGACAGGTAAAGGTGATGAGAGGTGAGAAGGAAGGCATCAGACGCGGAACGCTAGAAAAGCAGGAAACACAAACAACGCACATCGCCGAATCTGGGTATAAATCAGAACAAGAAAAAGCCAAGCCAAGCCACCAAACCCCTCCCCTCCCCCCCTTCCTCCAAACAGCAAAGAAAAGATTTGGCACGACAAACCCGCGATGCACCCACGGGAGGAAAGAACATGCCTACCAAGACCAGCTCCACCCGAACGTAACCCTCCACGCATTGAAGGAACGAACAACAACCCGCACACGACGCAGCGAACGTGCAGCATGCGCAAACGCGAACTCAAGCACAAAAGGACAGTTGCGAGCAAGAATAACCGCCTTCGTGACCTTCGTGACCATCGTCCGCGTCCGCTCACATGACCACACATCCATTGCCGCCCTGCGCAGACTTCACAGACCTGACAGAGGGCGCGCGCGCGTGCGCATTGCCGCCATTCACGGCCGAGGGAATCGTCCGGGTGTTCGAGCTACCGGTCTCATTTTTTGGGCCTTTTAACGACTGATTCGGCCGCATGCCGCCGCCTGCAAACCAGCCGAGCACTGACGGTGGCCGGGATTGCTTCCGTGGCCGCCCGCCTCCGTTTCCGGTCCCGCCGCCGCCTCCGCCTATGACCTCGACCAGTGGCACGCCTACGACGGCCGCGGCACCGCCTGGGGGGGAGCCGTGGTGCATGGGCGGGGGGGGGATGCCGCCTATACCGAGGCCGGCGGCAGCACCGTGCGATGGTGGGACAGGAATGGCGGAGGGGCCGGCCATTGCGGCTGCCAGAGCCGCGTGCGAAGCATGGCCGACTTTCGTCGACTTCCTCTTCTCTTCCTTGCCTTTTGAGTTCTTCTTGCCAACAGGGTGGACGGGAAAGGCGCCAACGCCGCCGACGTCGATGCTGACGAAGTCTTCTGGGACGGCAATAATGGCGTCGGCTGCCTTTTCCTCCTTCTTTTCTTTTTTGGGCTCAGCCATCGGCCACATCATCATGCTGATTTGCCAGTCCGGCTGCACGACTGTTTCCCAGACTTGCGGGAGGATGATCTCGCCGTCCGGGCCGACGAGGTCGTATTGGCCTTCTTGGACGCGGGGGCCGAGGCCTTCAACGTGGAGGAAGGCTTGTTTGATTAGCTCTTCCATGCCCTGTTGTAGCGGTTAGCGTACTGGTCAAAACTGGATTTGACAGGTACATGAGAGTGACGAGGGTGAGAGCAAAGCGGAGTGATACGTACTCTCCACGTCTTGCACAAGTGCCACGGGAAGCTGAACTTCCTTCCTACTGCATCCTTGAACCTGATCGGCTTCTTCGCCTCATCCGGCTTCGGCTTCGCGGCCTCCGCAGCCGCCGCAGCCGCCGCCGCAGCATCCTCTTCGGCCTTCTTCTTGTCGGCTTCAGCCTTTGCCTTCAACTCCTCAGCCTCCTTCTTCGCCTTTTCAGCTTCCTCCTGCGCGGTCTTAGCCTCCGCAAGCGCCTTCTCATGCGCCGCCTTGGCGTCCTCAGCCTCCTTCTTTGCCTTTGCCTCAGCCTCTTCCCTCGCCTTCTTCGCCGCGGCAACAAGCTTGGCGGCTTCCTCAGCAGCCGCCTTCTTCTCCGCCGCTTCTGTCGCGGCTTTCGACTCCGCCTCTGCTTTCTCCGCCTTCCGCGCCGCCTCTGCCGCCTCCTCACGCTTGAGCTGTTCCTCCTTCTGGGCGATGAAGAGCTTCTCCAGCTTCTGCAGGTTCATCATTTCGGCCTCCCGCTTCTTCTCAGCTGCAAGAATCTTCGCCTCCGCTTCCGCCGCCTTCTTGGCCGCGATCTTGTCCAGCTTCATCTGCTGCTGGGCCATCAGGAGCGACTCGAGCTTGGCGATTCTCTCGCTCTCCTCCTTCCGCGCCTTCTCTGCTGCCTCTTTGGCTGCTTTCGCCGCAGCTTCGGCGTCGGCCGCAGCTCGGTCATTGATTAATTTCTCCAGAGCGGCTATGCGAGACTCCTCCGGTGAAGGTCCAGGAGGAGGTGGCGGCGCAACCACGACCGGTGCGGGTGGCGGCGCTACGGGTGCCGCAGGCGGAGCGGATGCTGGAGCTGCCGGGGGCACGGAAGGCGTAGCCTCATGGGGGGTGTGCGTTTTGGGCGGCGCGGGGCTTGGGTTGTGCGAATGCGGATGTTGTGGAGGATAGGGAGGGTAGCCGGGATAGCCTGGATAGCCTGGATACGGCTGACCGTAGGGCTGTGGCGGGTATTGAGGATAGCCGTAGGGCATCATGGCATAGGCGGCATCTACCTGCTCAGGGGGTCCGGGCCGACCCATTGGATTCCGTGGACCTCGTCCCTGTCGGCTCGTTTCAGGGAATGGGTAACCTGGAGCGCCAGGAGTGCTATGGCCAGGTGAAAATGGGTATCCAGGTGACGCAAAGGGGTTTGGGGGGTAGCCGTATTGTTCTGGCCGGGAGTATGGCACCAATGAGTCCATCGGCTGGCCTGTGAAAGGGTTAGGGACCGCGTAGGGCGACCCGACACCTGACATCATGCTTGGTGGGTAGCCGTTAGGTGGTACGGAGGGCCATTCCGCCGGTGGGTGTCGGTGCGGGGGCCGGCCGTGCCCGTGGCCGTACGGGTAATCGTCGTGCTCCACACTGCCGGAAGAGTCAGACGGTACCCGCCTGCTAAAGTCTCTTGGGTCTCTGTATTCCGGGTAGTAAGGGTCCCGAGGGGCCTCACGAGGTCGAGGGGGATCTCGGACGGGTACGCGGTTGGATGACTTGCGACGTGGTGGGGGTGGGGGACGGTCATGCGCTGGAAGGGCTCGGTGCTTGCCGGACGTTCGAGGTCGAGAGGCAGAGTCGGAGGGATAGAGGGCGTCTTCGGAGAACTGTTCAGCGCCTACCTCGCTCCAGTCCGACTCGTCGTTGTAGTCTTCTTCTTGGCTCGAGGGCGACTGGGAAGCGGTGACTTGCACTCCAGATTCTTCTTCGTCCGAGGTAGACACAGTGACCGAGCCCGTGGAGTTACTGATGACGATGTTCTTCATCCTGACACCAGTGTTAGTGTGCTTGGCTGGTGCGCGCGGCTCGGGGGCAGTTGCGGCGACGCTGCGCTGGGTGCCGCAAGGCGTACAATAGCTGCGATCGGAAGGGGTGTACTTGGACGCGCGGATGCAAGGAGCCGTAACGTACAGACAGCAGCGCTCAGCAAGGAATTATCCCACTCTTGACCTCTCTGCCAGAGAAGAGGTCGAGTGGTGATAGCCTTGCGGTCAGGTGGTCATGCGCTGAAACCGTAAGCCGTAGCCGGCAATGGACGAGCCGAATTGGGTTTGACGTGTGTCGCTACTCGTCAATGTTTCAGGACGGGGCGAACGCCAACGCTGCCGTGGGGTTCGGTGTGAACAGCAATGTTCTTTGATGAGAGCAGAAGCTGGAGGGCGCCGATGCGAACACAATGCGGTTTCCGTCACTCAAGTAGGATGTAGCGATGTTGTCCGCGAGTACAATGGAAAAGGGGTCTCGCCAGTGTTTGGAACGTGGCAGAGGCAAGGCTGACGATGATTCGAGGATGGCTGCCCCTCGTTACGTCTGATGCGTCTCAGGGCGGCTGCCCAGCAATGGCTGAAGCAAGGACGTGATTTGCCGGATGGTCGACGGTGGCCGCTGCGGAGAGAAGGGCGCGCTTCCAGAGCAGGTGGTGGCAGACTGTGCGCGTAATGGATGGAGTAGCAATGAGGTGTGAGCCCGCAGCCAGCGTTGGCAGCAATGGCAGGGAAATGGTGGGATGAAGAGCGATCGGCTGTGATGAATCGAAATGAGGAGCGCCGTAATCGATAGCGGTGATCCCGGGCCTTAAGTTTCTAGCGCGTCGCTCTTTGGGCTGGAGCAGCGCCGAATCTGTCCGGGTGCTGATGATGGTTGTTGTTGACTGCGGTGATGTTGTTTTTGGGACGGAGGCAGGACTCAGCCCTGCGGTGACGGCTTGCTGCAGCAGATGCCTGTCGTTTTCTGTGCAGCTCCTAACCGATCAGATCTCGCGCCGAGTCGGGAGGGGATTGTTCTGGTCTGCAGCCGGGCTGCTGAATTGGGCGGGATATCAGCGGGGTCGAAGGGAGGTAAGGTGCAGTTAACATGCCTGAAGTCTGTGGATGCTAGGTGTTGAGGGCTGATGGCGGAGGGGTGTTCCGGCAATCTTGAATTCTGCCTGGGAGCACGATGATGATGGAGGAACGGATGGGGTATCGATGATTGGTGGTGAAGAGGATGCGCAGCGTCGCGGAGGCAACAACACCAGGGACGACCTGACGGGAATCCTGTTCTCGTATGCAAGGCCGGTGATGCCTCTCCGATCGGCAGCGTGCGAGGAAGATAGATTCAGGGTTTCCGCCTGATGGGCCTCCTGAATCGGTGTCTGCAGTGATGAATACGATGCTTCTTGACGGCGTGCGGGAACATTCGGGCTACTGGTATGGGGGTGACTGGTGGGTTATGAAGGCCTCCGAAGGACTCCAGGCTCTGACTGCCACAGCTTGTCAGAGGGTACGAAGCATGTATGCTGTGTAACGGCGATAAGCGGGTTCGAGCAGCAAAAGAGACCTTAGTCGGAGTTGCTATACACGGGCAAATGGGTGTCTATCTAATTCAGACCGCTGCGCGAGCAGGCTATGATCCCGCTTTATGGTGTCCGAAGCCTTGCTGCCCCTCTGCTCCATCAATGCCGTGGACAGCTAAGAGTCACACAGCTTCAGTATTCGTTGTGCCTAAGAAGCGCCGGCACGTTTCCGACCTCTCAACTTTCGCAGAGGCGCTTCAAGTTCGCCGCCAGCATGCGTCTCGGGCAGCAGCTTCATTTTGGACACGGAGGAATGCTTATGGGCAGCCCCGCTCCCAGATGGTTTTTCTCTGGTTGAATCAGTGGCAGCGTGCCACGTAGGTGACCGAAAAGCTAGCACACCCTTGCAGCACGCTAGTGTTGGGCCTGCGAATGGTCAACTACAAGCTCACAGTCCAGTGATGCTCAATCTTGGCATTGAGTGCACAACGGCGGACATCCATTCGTCCTTGCCTCGCCTGCTCGTTCTCAGCATCATCCTGATCGATTGGGCCGCCTGGCGGAAGCAGAACTTGAGGCTCGTAGGGCTTCCCGTGAGCCACGAAGTCCAGAGGCGCAATACGCTCAATCAGTGCTTCGCAACCCAACGACTTTGAAACGGGAAGCGGGAGCAAGGGGCGGGAGGATCGCTCAGCCCATCGCCACGATGTCAGTGACGACGACTATCCGACTGGTAGGGCAGCGGCGTCTAGCATCTAGACGCGAAGGACAGAACAAGAGATTCGAGGCTGATACTCAGCATGTCCAAGGTGATAGGATACGGATACACGATGACTCGAACAGTGTACAGCGCACAGGAGCGCGGGTGAGTCTCGTCCAACCCAGAATGTCGTGCACGAAACAAAATATGTAAAGAAAACGATCGTACAAGGAGACTGACTGAAAGGAACCTTGACCGAACGCCAACAGGGTATATCCAACTCCTATTGTCAGTGCCCAAATCTTAGGGCCCCTTCACAGATGTCTAAACAGATCAATATGCCCACCGTACCCCAAGACCTCAACAACAATATTACCAATCGTACTGACAGTCCACAAGCAGATCAAAACGCACCCAATCCAGCGGTCCATCTTCCACTTCCTAAACGGCACCAACACCAGCAGCCCCACAAGCGTAACCAACAAAGTCGCACCAGATATCAACAACGTGCTACTAACATCGATGTGATACGGCTTGAACTTCATCGGTGTGCCCGGATGCCTATGCTCTCTTTTTTCCGCGCCCATGATAGACATGTAGGAGCCACTGATCCCGATGCCCAGCAGGATATTCAGCATCGGGCCGCCGAAACAGGCTGACAACGCCATGACCGGGTAGCCCAGTCGAGCGACGGTGATGTCGGCAACCAGGTCACCGAGTGAGTTTCCGACAGCGAATATGGTGAGGCCGAGAATTGCGTCTGACATGTTCAGAACGACGCCCAGAGTTTTCAGAACGCCCACGACTTCGTTCGCGATTGTGCTTATCCAAGAGATGCTGACCACGAAACCAAGGAAGCAGAGGAGGACACGCCAGCGCGGGGGTCTGGTGGGCGATGTAGTAGTGAGGATGAAAGCCAGGGTGACCAGGGAAGCGAGGAGCGAATAGAGCGTAGGTCTAATGAGGGCTCGAGGTGACTCGGGCTCGCTGTTGGCCCAGACGATCAGCACTATAAAGAACGGAGCGGTAAAGACCTGCACGATAACAAGCCAACGGTTCCAATCTTTGGGAGTGGCGGGCTTAACATCCGTGTTGGGAAGCATCTGAGGCGATTGTAGGATGTGAGGAGCGGAAGGCATGTTAGGCGCAGTGTTGTTGTGGAAAGCGTCTCGATGATGATGTTCCGCATGGGTGGCAACTGCAGCTGTGTTACCATGACCAGTAAGGTCATGAGACCGTGCGGAAGCCATGCTGCGGTCGCCGCTAGGATGCGGAGCCGGCTTTACTATGCCTGGACTTTCAGGCTCAAGGATGGTAACGGTACTCGCTCCTGTTCGCTTAGTTCCATTATCTGTTGCGCCTAGCGAGCTCGACAAACTGAGGTCCGGTATTCGCTCTTGATCTTCATCGCCATCATCTTTTTCGCCTTCAACGACGGGCAGTGTTATAGTAAGCAATAAGACGCTGGGTGCAGCCACGATGCCGAGGAACTTCTCCCAGATATTCTTATCTCTCCACGTGTACAAGGTAGGAAAGAGCGTTGAAATAAGCACCCCAGGAGGTGGTAAGATCTTGTAAGGCCACCAAGAGAGAGGCTTCGGTTCTGGTTCTTCGGTGTCCACGTAGTCTCGGAAGTTGTAGGAGGACTCTGGCGAAATGCTAGCAGGCGGCAAACGTAGGCTCGCTGCTCTCGATCTGCCAGGAGTTGGAAAGTCGAGAAATATTGGGAACGGAGAGCTGGGCGCAGAGCCGAAACCTTTGGCGGAGGCTGGTATTTCGAGTCTTGGCAGAGGGCGCACCTGAGGACTATTGGGTGCAGTATGATTCGGTGAAATGCCAGATTCAGGGGTGAGTGTCGACTGCTGCCGGTTTTGATACATGAAAGCATTTGGGTCAGGTAGTCCGAGCCTGTCAGCCGAGTGTGACCTTCCTATAGGGGGAGGACTAAGTGCCCCAGAGCCAGCTCCTGACGGCGGTGGAGAGACTGTGACGCTTGGCGAAGGCGGTGCTGCTAGAGATATGCTAGATCTCGCTGTTCGAACCCCATCAGAAAGTGGCGGTCTCAGGCTGCCGTTATCCCCTAGCAGTGGTCCCAGAAGATCGATCTGCGGAACAGCATCTGGTCGCAGATTGTCCGGTTCCATTCGAACTCGGTCGATATCATTCGTAGACACTGCTCGAAGGCGAGAGCCTCCAGCAGCTCGAACATCAGCGTTGGGTCGAGTAAGCGAAAGCGACGCGTCTCCTGCCTGCGGCAAATCGTACGGAGGGCGAGCAGCAGGATCCGAGACGCTGGACATGTGGTCCTGCTGCTGCGCTGAAGTGTAGTTGAGATCATCGGAGTAGCGGCGCAGATTCATCGGCATCGTCTGGATGTTTCGTGATTTCTGTAACGATGACAGAACCGCCCGGAACTCCAAGGCTCCTACTAGGCTGGGTCGAATCGGATTGACAGTGGTGCGCCGGTGTCCGAGTCTTGGCCGACTCAAGCGCATGTTACTGCTGAGCTCCCCCATCCATCTCTCGCGAGTGTCGTCTTCCTGGTCGAGGTCCATGTTCGGGAAAGTCTCGTCTCCGCCACGCTCCAGGGCAGAGAAGTCCGCGACCGAGACTCGCCGCGAGGAAGCGCGTGTGCCACCACCTGCAGCTCCGTCTTCATCATCATCCCGGTATTCTTCCTCGAACTCGACTTCTTCGTTCCCGGGAGCCACGTAGTTGCCCCTTGCCGCAGCTATCTTCTGCCTTCTCCTTCGTCGCCGTCCAAGCCACCAATGCCAAATGACCACGAAAACAACGTAGAATATGTAGAAGGCCACCATCGCTAGGCACTCCCACAGAAATAGCTTGCCATCATGCAGAAAGACGATGCTGAAGCTTGCCGCAACGATGAAAAACCCTACATCTCTTATGAAACTCTTCTTCGCGACCTGAAACGGGCGAACCAAGGCCATAGAGCCCGCAACCACTGCGGTGATGAAACCAGCTGCGCCGAAAAGCTCGCCAACAGCAAGACTACCGCTGTTGGTACTCATGGCCGCGAATGTGGAGAAGACGTCAGGGCTACCGTTCCCGAAGGCCAGGAATGTCACCCCGGCCATGCTTTCGCTCATTCCCAGTAGATTGGAGATGGTGCTGAGATTGACGCAGAAGAAGTCGCTGGCGGCTATACCGATGGTGCTGAACAGCAGGCCGAGCCACAACACCATTATCGCGAATGCGACGGGTTGCGCCTTGGGCGTGCGGCAGTAGTATAGGGTGAGGTAGGAGAAGATGCCGGCTTCCTCGTCCGGGCAGTTCGCGCGTACGAAGGCGCATTTGTCTTTCGCATGATGCACGAGGCGGCACTGGACATAGACGTAAGTTAGCTTCTACACTCGCGAGGGGCTTGCATCTGGGCGTGGAGGCGCAACGCACCTCTAGGTCTCTCTGCGTCGAATTGTCATCTCTTCGGTGCAAGGGAGTCTGTCGCGCTGCGCGGAACCGTGGACTGGCAGCGTCTGACAGAAAGCTGAAGGCTGTGAATGCGGCGACAACCAGCAAGGTCAGGTAGAATGCCCGGGCGGAGTACTTCTGTCGTCTTGTGTGACGTCCATGGAGAGGTGTGAGATCACGACGTCGGGAGGCCGCTGGAGGGCGTGGTAATGCCATGGTGCGCCGCCGGATACATGTGAGTAGGTAAGGATATGCCAACGGGGGGACTAGAGGGTATTTGTCTGAAGATAGGGCCCAGGTAGAAGCGATAAATGTCAATGCCTTGGAACACAGCCCGATGAGTAGGTGTGACGCCGCTCGCACAGCCACAGCCAGCAAAGTCAAGCACGTGTGATGCGAGGGCGGACCTTGGCGGGTTGCCTTCCGCTGCCGCCGCCGCCGCTGTGGCTTGACTTTGTTTACCGGAGTCAACACGGGATACGCACTTTGCGACGAAGCGCTGTTCACGATAACTTTGCGACGCGTCCCATCACGCGTAGCAGCAGCCTCACAGGTGTATCCATCGGCTAACCAAACGAAGCTCTATACCGCAACATCATGCCGCGCGCACGAGAGCGACAGTCCGCAGTCGCGACACCACACAAGAATCCTATAAAGTACTACCCAACGCTCCATCTATCCCTTAGCTAGCCTCTAATAGCTCTCAGAATCCCCCTCAATGACGACCGACAAGAAAAGGCGAACCGCCTGCACTCGCGCCAAGCGCTCCACGAAGCACAGATAAACCACATCCGGGCCGCGGCCACGCCCGTACGAAGACGACAGTCCATCATCGGCGGTACTGTTCAGACGCCAGAGAACAGAGAGAACGATGGCATGCCGGCAGTGGGAGGCAACGCGGTCACGCCCATGAAGCGGGTGCCGATTCTGGCGAACTTTGAGGAGTGGATGAAGATGGCTACGGATAATGTAGGTCGACTATGGAGACGGGGATGAGAAAGTGGGGCTAACAAGAGCAGAAAATCAACGCGGCGAATTCGTGGAACTTTGCGCTGATCGATTACTTTCATGATATGTCGCTTTTGAAGGAGGGGGATGGGGTCAACTTCCAGCGCGCTAGCTGCACACTAGACGGATGTGTCAAAATCTACACGAGCCGAGTGGACAGCGTGGCGACTGAGACCGGCAAGTTGCTCAGCGGATTGGCGGATGGTGGCAACAGGAAGCGCAAAGGCGGGGAGGAGGGCGAGGCTGATGGCGCGGATGGAGAGGAAGAGGAGGAGGGCGAGGAGGGTGCCAAGAAGAAGAAGAAAAGGGCTCAGCGGTCATCAGAAGCGACACTTGCGACATCGTTCGCGCAGCTGCAGTTAAAGAAGATGGAGTTGGAGTTCTCGGTCGACCCGCTGTTCAAGAAAGCGTCCGCAGACTTCGACGAAGGAGGCGCAAAGGGGCTGCTGCTGAATCACTTGGCTATTGACAGTAAAGGCAGGATTGTGTTCGACAGCAGCGACGACGCTCAAGATGCGGCCGCAGAAGATCGAACAGACAGCTCCGCGGTCGAAGCGACAGAGACTGATCAAACAGCGGCCGATGAGGGTGCTGAAAACGAGAACTGCGAAATCGATATCTCAACCCTCGCCGCCAAATTCTTCCCCGATCTGGCACGGTTAGACGAGCAAGATATCTGCCCTTCCCTGAAGAATTTTGACCTCGGAGATGCGAACGGCTCGCTTGACCTGCCTTTCCTCAAAGCACCAGAGGACTGGCGGCAAGAGCAGAAGAAAGACGATGAAGACGATGGGAACCGGTCTGGCATCTTTCTGGACGAGGACAACGCAATGGGTTTCGACGACGATGACGGTGACGGATTAGGCGGTTTTGGCTTGGTCGCTGATGCAGGCTTTGGCGAAGGCGGCGAAGCGTGGGCTAAGGAGGCTGCATTGGAACCTCAGAGACGCATCCCCGTCGTGGCTCTAGGCGGCGATGAAGACGAAGGACAAGATGGTGCAGGAGAGGTTGGAGCCTTCGAGACCGGCAACAACCAATACGGCGTCACTCTAACCCAGGGCAAAGCGGACGACCACGAAAACATCCTAGATTACTTCGACCAAGCACTACAAAAGAACTGGGCAGGACCCGAACACTGGCGGATACGAAGAATTAAAGACATTGCAAAGGCGTCCTCGGCCGGTCCGACGAAGCGAAAAGAAAAAGAACCCTTTGCAATCGATTTCGCAGCACCAATGTCACAGACTTTGGCAGACGCGCTGTACACACCAGCAGCATCAAACTCCACCATATCCCTACCAAAAGCGCAATGGAAATCGAGAACAAGAAACCTGCTACCCGATGACAAACACTTCAACTCCCGGCAACTGCTTCGGCTGTTCCTCAAGCCCAAGGCACGTATGGGCTCAAGAAAGTCAGGACAGGCCAATCAGACCGCAAGCAACCGCATCGATGAGGTGCCGGAGGGTGAAATGGACGAAGCTTTCTGGGCGAAGAAGGAGGACCCCGCTGCTTCTGTTGAGGAAGAAGCACCACAGGGCAACTACGACGCGGACTTCTTCCAAGACGACGGTCTGGGACCTCCTGGTGGCGGGATGAACGACGACGATGATGTGTTTGCGGATGCTAGGGAGCAGTTCTCGCCTGCCCTGGACGGTATGGAGGGCGTGCCGGCAGCAATGGACGGTATTTTAACCAGCAGTCAAGAGGGTGCTTTTGGGGCGCAGCTTGTCACACAGAGCCGAAGGCTACGGCCAGAGTACGTGCAGTATGCCAGAGTGGCAAAGAAGGTGGACGTGAGACGGCTGAAAGAGGAGCTCTGGCGCGGGACAGGGTTCGAAAACGTGAGTATCAACTGAACGAGTGCCATTTCTGATATCTGTAGCATACATGTTGACTCTATCCAGGCAATACCCGCTCCGGCACCCTCGAAAGCTCCATCAGTACCGGTCATGAAAACACAAGACGGTTCGCTGAGATTCACCGATCTCATGAATAGCTTGCAAGCGGTGTATCCAAAGCAAGCGATGGCGGACATATCCACGTCGTACTGCTTCATCTGCGTCTTGCATCTGGCAAACGAGAAGGGCTTGACAATAGAGAATCAGCCGGACTTCCAAGAGTTGATGATAAGACGAGATCTAACCGCTGAGATCACAGGCGAAGGTGATTGATATGTTGAGCGGTGTTGTTTTCAGATCCTTGAATGAAGCACTGCAGGCGTTTGGCGGCTGGCGTCAGGCTTTGACACTTTTGGATAGTGAGGCTGGGTCGGAATGCGGATGCTCACGCAGAGCTCTGATTGCAGTGTATCATCTGGTCTTTGCATACGTTAGTGTCATAGTCTGTAACCCACGCCGGTCTTTGTGAGTACCGAGCATGTACTGGAAGTGTGAATAATGCCTTCTAGACACTTTTCGTGAACTTACACCTGCTCTCCTCACATTGTCACCCAGCTCATGTAAGACCGAAGCGTCAAGCTTTCCCATCATGGCGAATACGCTGGGCAATGGCCTTTGAGGCGTACAGAGAAGGGGAGACGGCGTGTCGTGGAGAGTACGGGGAACGACATGGCGTGTTAATGAGCTGTAAGAAAGCCGCGCCTGCTCTCAACATCAGCCGATTTACTCTGTAAAGGTGTGAGCTAAGAAGGGAACACACTCGCTGCATTGGCTATTGCAGCTCAATGAAGAGCTATCAATTTCCTCGGCCGAACAGACACTGAGAGTTTCGATGAGTGAATGATAGGGTAAGCACAACCCCGAGGGTGGTGGAGCATACGAGGTCCGAAGTTTTTGAGAGGCACGATACCTCATTGTGAACGTTTGGCCGGGTCGTCCTCTGAGCTCTGGACACTTCTCGCACACGAAGCGCGCGAAGCCCTAGGCCACTGCGAACACCCTGCTCGGTTGACCATACACTCCGCGGACGAAGCATGCTGGCAGCAAAGGTTGCTTGACGGCTTCAGTGAAAAGCCGTCTTTCTACCCCGAAGAGTAAATTTGAATAAGAAAAGTACAAGTCCGGGAAGGGGACAGTACGATTGGGGTTCTGACGCCCGGTACACCCCACGATGTGTGAAGCGTAGATACTCCGAAGAGTTATTTGAATAACAAAGGTACAACCCCGAAGTGGCGGAGCGTACAAAGTTCAGGATTTGAAGTCCGAGACCTTACTCGAGTTGTTCGTGCGCGAGTTCCAGATCACTAGAACCGTGTGAAAGCCACACAGCTCAAACGACCTAGAACTCGCGCACAGTAAAATGAAGAGACAAGGAGCTCGCAAGAGCAGAAGATAGCGACGGGGGCAACAGAGCACACTCGCAAGCAGAATCCGCATGCAAGGAGATGATGCGTAGAAGGTTGATGAGGAAGAGAGAAGGAGAGGGCGAGGGGGATATTATGCAGCCGTTCTGTGGGTTGGTTTAAGCGAAATGAGTGACGACGTCATGGTGAAGCACACGTTCTCCGATAGAAACACTGAAATCGAAGTGAACGTGCATCACTCTCAGTGAGCGCTGTGCTCCAGTGGTGAGCAAATGGGTACATTAACAGTTGACGGCTGCCCATGCGGCCGACAGGACAAGGAACAAGAGACCACACACCTTTATAGCTACCGGTGCCTTTACGCAGCTTCAACGACAGGTACTGGCGCGTCTCCAGAGCCACATCACGACCAGCGAAGGTTCGCAGACTGCTTATTCAGGTAGCTCAGCATTCTCCATCGCCCGTTGGCCTTTTCAGGACCCTTACCCTCTCTCGCGCGTCCAATAATACCTACAGAGTAAGACGCTCTATGAGTAGGGAATGCGGCCAAGCCGAAGCTGCAGCTCGAGGAGAGAAAGGGTGAGTTGGGATGTGGTATTCTTTAGGTATTTGAACGGTAAGGAAGACGCAGAACCGGGCAGGGTGATTGCGGAACGGAAGGACATAGAAAGCAGAACGATCTGATATACGCATTGAGCCCTGACGAGGATATCGTGGTGCAGAACGGAATTTTTGTGACGTTTCACTTGACTATTTGGACTTTGCGAGCGGATGTGTTTCAGCCTGGTCGGCTCAGATGTCCGGCCTTGACTTGTACCTCAGTAATAAGTCCGAAGGCGGAGGAGAATGTTTTGTTTCGATGGTACCTACTCAGTCGCCGGCGCTTCTTACCTGCTGTGATTTTTTAACTGTACATAAGGTAGCAGAGAACACTGACCGTTGGCGAAGACTTGGGGCTCAAGACGTGCAGCCAGGGGCCCAAGCTCTGTTGCCCGCAACTTTCCGTCAGTGCAAGTGGACAACACCCGCAGCTAAGGACCCTGATGGTGACGCTCCAGGCATGATTTGATCCTGGACTGCAGTATGAGGACGTAAGACATCCTGAAGCACCTCATCATTGACCTGAGCTCACTCTCCATAGTCTCAGACGCGATGCGCTCGAGAAACTTGCCGCCCTCTCCGCCAAATCCCCTAAGACCGCAACGGGCCACTCGGACCTGACAAGACTCTGCAAGACATGCCCCCAGATACACACAGGAGCCAATGGCTACGGCCATGGCGGCTCGTTCAGTCGTCCTCCTGCCGCGAGCATTCCGATGAGCTTGCCAGAACTGGAGGTCCTTCTCGCGCTATGTAAAGCAGCCCCATCCGTACAGAATCTTGAAAATGCGCAACAATTGCAGCAACAAATCTCGCCATATCTTCCTGAGTCACACGTACAAGCCATCAAACCTTCATCCTCCGTCCGCGAACTCGATCCCTCCCCATGGGAGACCCTTACCTTCCAGCTCACGTCGGCCCTCCTGTGTATAGGTGTGAACCACACAAGCCTTCGGCGGAAGGCCGCTGCGACAGCGCAAGATTACATCGAGGCTTGGTCAAGTGTAGCAGCCACCTTGTCGGCAGAGCAATTCGACGGAGATGACACCGTGGATTTCCGGGAGGATGGAGCGCTTTCCAAGGTTGTCACCCTCGCGATGTCACTATTGGGCTTCACCGAAGCAGCCGCTCAATACGCGTGTTTCTGGACAGCTCGAGAAAGGCTTCAGGTCATCGAGTCGTTGCGGGAGGCTCTGTCAGAGAAGTTTGTGGTTGCGCTAGAAACAGCCTTGTCCGTAATCCGGAATGCACGAAGCTCGCAGCGTGGCTTGAGAGAATGGAAGAGATACACGAAGCACTATGCAGCGACCGGACGGCCTCTTGGTGTCATGTTACTGCGACAGGCCTTTACGCGATTGATCGCGTCTTCTGCATCACTGCTTGTCGCTCCCTCGATGCCCCATACCGAGCAATCCGTGCTGGACGTCCTCCGGACTATGAAACGGGTAGACCTCAGGTATACGGAGCCAGTAGATGAAGAGCTGCTGTTCGGTCTTGCCGACATTGCTGCAGACGAGTTAAGATTATTGGAAGAGGGCTCCGACTACCTTCAGATTGGATCAGCATGGCAGCAGCGCCTCGCATGCGCAGTCAAAGCTAATGCGTTGATTAGCTTTCTCTGCTGTTCCATCGTGGATGAAGAGGTCGCAGAGCCGGACACCTTGATAACATGGCTAGAAGCAACTGTCGCAGACCCGGTCCAGCTAGCCGACGAAAACTTGGCTTCGGTCGTGTTCAAGTGTATGAGCGTGCTAGCGAAGACGTCGTCATCAATCGCTGCTACCTTGAGCCGTTTCCTTCCGCGTGTCATTGTGCAAGGGGGCTTCGACGGTCGCACAGCTTCCGTAGCGGCGGACTGTTTAGGATCCATTCTGATGCTGCTCCCACAAGACGCAGTCATCGCAACACTCTACAGCTTGGGAAATGTTCTTAGTGCTGGCGCTGAAAAGGACAGAGCTGCCACAGCTTCACCGTTTGCTGATGGCACATCTACGTCGAGAGCACAACCGAACGGTGGCCTCTACAAGACCAAGACTGGAGGAAGTGCAATATCACTCGCACCTAGTGACGTTGAAGAGCCATCGCTTGTCTATGCAACTGTCATCCAAACCATAGTCAGTATTGCGACGAGCTGCAGTGATGAGAAAATTACGGCATTAGCTCTCTCAATGCTTATACAGAAGGTGGGCCGAGTCAGCGTCTCAGTAGACGCCGAGATCATCACAGAGTCAGCTCTCCTTGGAGCCGGAAGCGGGGAAAGCGAGTTTCGATCTTTACTGAAGCTCTACGATAAACTAGCTCATGATGCACTGATTCGAAACAACTTGCTGATCCTCGAAGCGGTAAGGAAGATATCTATGCAGCAGCGGATTCGGCAGCTGATGAATCCACAGGTGATGACAGCAAGGAACCATCTGTCCCGCTCCATCAAGAAGGACAAACCATCCTTTGGAATCTACGTTATTCACCTGCTCGAGACGATCATTAGCAAAGGAGATGCCCACGAGAAATACAACAGATATATTGCGGACTCTGACCTAGCTGCTCAGGAGATCGGTCAGCTGCTCTCACCGCTGGCTTTGGTGGTTTCGCTCAACATAGCTACCGCTGGCGAGAAGCCTGGGAATGATAGCATCATAATCCTGCAACGCGACGCTTGGTTCAACATCGTCGTTCACGGCTTCGATCTCACAACGCCGCTTGGTCAGAAGCACATCAACGAACTCCGCGTGCTGGCACAGTACAGCCAACCGCTGGTAGCAGAAGATCGTGCAGATCAGTTGGAAAGTGACATCGAGCTGAATGTTGTCTTGAGGAGAGGCAAGGGCGCGGAGCAAGCGGTCGACCAAAAGAAGCATCTTATCGAGCTGCTACCTTCTTGTGAACCGCACATCAGGTCTATAAGCTATCCTGAGGCGGTGTTCCTCAATGCTGCTAATCTCGTTGAGTCTTTGCGGGCGAGTTCTGGGGACTGCACCAAGTCCCTAATCTACTTTCTAGATCCGAAACTACGCAATGGACCGATGGGGAACGTCATGACCGCGATAGCCCTAGGAACAGTCAAGACGTACCTATCGCGGACACTTACGGGCAATATCCAAGCTTTCTCCGCTCCATATCTCGCTCGGCAGCTCTCAATCATTTTCAGCAGGTGCTGCCACCGTATCAGCCGGGTCCAGCAGGTTGCTTATTCATGCGCCGATCTCATTATCAACTCAGTGCCGTCGGCGTTGTGCCAGAAGACATCATTGTTTGCGCTCTTAGAGCTGTTGACCCTCATGTGGTCTAGCTGTCTTGAGGGCGAGACTGATGAGTACGAGTGGACGGCCTATCATGCGTCTGCTCGAGAAGACATAGCCGTGGAGCTGTCAGACGATTACAGCTTCAGGCGCTCGACACTATTGACTTTCCAGAAACACGCTAAAGAGTGGGTAGGAAAAGCACTGAACGTCGCGCCGTTGGACATCAAGGGCTTCCTACAGACTTATCTGTCAGAGATCGATGACGATAACGCGTACGGTCACGTAGCACTTGGGAGATCTTTCGCATTGGAAATGGGCTCTGCTATACCCTCTACAGACCAACGACTTGGAGCGATTGATCAGCACAGGGAGCTCCACATCAACACGGCGTCTGACTTCGTCTCTCAGTACACTACGCGTCAAGAATATCGCCTTGTTGATTGTATCCAAGACCAGCAAGAAGAATGGACGCGTCCCGCCAACGGTACAGACCTTCTCGTTCGCAAGACACTTGGTCTCATCCAGAGCATGGAAGATGCAAAGACTCTACTTCAAGATCTTGAAGCTCGTACCTTTAGCAACCGAGACGTGCCAATTGCCGAGCTACGCGACGCTCTGAGAAGAGCAGCGGCCCTGCTCTGTCGGGCACGGACGGATCAATCTGCGATTGTGCATCACCTTGTGGGCATACCCTTCGCAGTGTTCTCTAAGCAAGCTATCAAGTTGGGCATCTCCTTATGGACGAGCGTCATCAAGGAGAATCCTAGGATGCAGTCAAGAATCCTGGTCGAGATCGTCGAGCAATGGGAGGCAACGGTTCACAACAAGCGTGGCTTCTTCGATGATAGCCATCAGTACGTTTGACAACGTGTTGTCTTGACTTCGCTGACCGTATCTTAGCCATTTCGACCCGTTCTACGTGAAGCAGGAATTCGCGCCTACCGACAAAGCGGCAATTCAAAGACAGCATCAGCGAACCCACAACATGATTGCTCCTCATTTTCGCCTACTGCAATTCTTCTCAAGCCACTTCAACGCTACCAGGCTTGGGAGTCCTCACGTGGAGAAGATTTACAACCGACTTATGCACGTCACTCTGGAAGCCATGCCCTACACCTCCAACCACCCCTTGGCGCGAGAAGTGCATTTCCACATCGTCCTACTCGGGCTTCGAGTGCTCCGCTTCAGCACAGATCTTAGTGCGGCCATGCAATGGAGACTGAAGGATCGCATCCTCTCCGCAGCACTTGTATGGTTTTCGAGGCAGCCAAAGTAGGTATATTTGGACTCTTGCAACATGGTCGTTTGTTAACCCAAGCAGATGGTCATTTGGCGGAAACCGCCTTCAGGTCAAAGCGGAGACGCATATTCTAGCCGATGTCCAGGCTGCACTGCAAGATGTTGCCACAGTCGGCATCAAACCGAATGCTACCCTCAAGTCGTTGCAGACAAAGCAGGACCTGCTACTCATGCTCCTGGCAAATGAACAGTCGCGGCTCATGGTCTGGCTGTTCCCGCTTGATTACGAGAAGAAGCATTACTTCACTTCTGGCCAGCATTCGAAAGAACCAGCAGAGGTAAGCCCATCAATGCCGTTGTAGTTCGGCGCTGACGTTACTAGGGTGCTCTTACTCTCCTACTCAAAACGGCCTGGGCAGAAGACTCAGCATTAGCTGTCCAGCTAGCACACCGCTTTCCTTCTGCGAAGCTCACAAATGAAGTTCGTTGGTTGATTCTCAACTTCCCAGACAAGATCACACATGAACCGGATGCTCTAGAGATCCTGCTTGGCAATTCACTACCCAGTGATGTGTCGTTCCAACTCAAGGTCAGTTACAGCTCTAAGGTCGAGGCCACGGACCAAGTTGACGTGTGCAGTACCTATTATACTGGGCACCAGTCAACCCTATAACAGCTGTGACCTACTTCCTGCCTGCATACGGCAACCATCCGTTCATCATTCAGTATGCCATGCGAGCCTTGGAGAGCCATTCGGTCGATGTCACCTTCTTCTATGTTCCACAGATTGTGCAAACTCTGCGATACGACGTGCTGGGATATGTGGAGAGGTACATCATCGAGACAGCAAAGTTCTCACAGCTTTTCGCCCATCAGATCATCTGGAACATGAAGGCCAATGCATACAAGGACGAAGACTCTCAGATAGTGAATATACCCTGCGACATATTCATTCTTGATTGAGCTAATCTAGCCACAGCCCGATCCTGTAAAACCAACGCTCGACAAAGTCATGGATGCGTTGATCTCAAGCTTCGGAAAAGACGACAAAGCCTTCTATGAGCGCGAGTTCTCCTTCTTCAACGAAGTGACGAGTATTTCAGGCAAGCTACGACCATTCATCAAGAGGCCCAAGCCCGAGAAAAAACAGAAGATTGAAGAAGAGTTGCGCAAGATCAAAGTAGAAGTTGGAGTGTATCTACCGAGTAATCCAGATGGTGTGGTTATCGGCATTGACCGTAAATCCGGCAAGCCTCTTCAGAGCCACGCGAAAGCGCCGTATATGGCTACGTTCCGCATAAGAAAAGAGAAGGGAGAGGTCGAGGAGAGGGAGGAGAAGCTGAACCAGGCAGCCGATGGCCCAAGAGAAAACACTTATGAGGTTTGGCAGTCGGCCATCTTCAAAGTGGGCGACGATTGTCGTCAAGACGTCCTGGCACTGCAGATGATTGCTGCCTTCCGAGGCATATTCCACAACGTCGGTTTGGATGTTTACGTCAATCCCTACCGTGTCACAGCCACGGCACCGGGATGTGGCGTCATCGACGTCCTACCCAATTCCATCTCGCGCGACATGCTCGGCCGCGAAGCGGTGAACGGTCTCTACGAGTATTTTGTCTCCAAGTACGGCGGTGAAGACTCAATCCGCTTCCAGGAAGCACGAACCAACTTCGTAAAGTCCATGGCCGCATACAGTATCATTTCGTACCTGCTCCAGTTCAAGGACCGGCACAATGGTAATATCATGATAGATGACGCAGGGCATATCCTGCATATCGACTTTGGTTTCTGCTTCGACATCGCGCCCGGCGGCATCAAGTTCGAACGTGCCCCTTTCAAGCTTACTTCCGAGATGGTCGCGGTGATGGGCGGCTCCACTACTTCTCAACCGTACCGCTGGTTCGAGGAACTCTGCATCAAGGCGTTTCTTGCGTCGCGTCAGCACTGCGAGCATCTCGTTCACATGGTCGTTGTTATGCTTGATAGCGGTTTGCCGTGTTTCAAGCCGGAGACGGTACAGCACTTTCGAGAGAGGTTTGTGCTCGAGAGGAACGAGAGGGATGCAGCGGATTTCGTGAAGGATCTCATCAAGAAGAGCTACAGCAGCCATTCAACGAAGACGTACGATCAGTTCCAGCTACTGACGAACGGTATTCCTTATTAAGCGGGAGCCGTCTTAGTGCAGTCCGCAATTGCTGTTTAGCAGCTGGAGAGTCCTCGAGGATGGTGAGGGGCGGAGAGTTGCACATTCTAAGATACCCTGTATAGTGCTAGCGGTGCATACTTTACTTAGCCGTCTAGCAAACGAAAGCTATGCGTGTCTTTAGCATCGCATGTCGGCGTTCATGAACTCCGCCAGCTGACAAACGGGTCGGATTTTACTCACCGCTTAATGCAGACGCGTCTATATCGCTGTAGCCTTGAGGGTCTACCTAGCTGTCTTCCCCGCCTAATTGCACCCCTGAAGAAGTGATGGAAGTGAGTTCTGCAGGCAGGTTACTAAGCCTTCCTGACCAATGTCACACACACCAAGCTTTCGCGCTACAGTTTGACCCACGCCTGGATTGGACCGACGCCCAGTCAAACACGCCCGAAATTGTTGATATGTCAGCAAACTCCGTCGGACATCGGGCAAGACAGCAAGCCGACCCCAGATTTTCGGTCCTGTCAACCAATAGCGGCCTTGGTTTTCTAACGGGCCTGCCTGAACCCGGCCATCGAGGTGCCGCGCGGGAGGCGTCGATGGTCGGTCACTTACCTCACCACTCAGCCGATATATCCACCCGAGGCGCGCCTGTCAGTATGCTCCTCCATCTTCATTCTCGACAAAGGACGACTCTGGGAAAATGGCGCCCGTTCCGGGCGAAGAGAAGGAATGGCGGGCAAACGACCAAGTCGCTGCCGCCACCAGCACAAACCATGCCGAGCCCGTGGCAACGGAGCCCTTGAAGCAGGTCAGCAGGGAAAGCGAGTTGAATCCAGAGACGCAGATGGATCCGGAGAAGGGGAGGAGGTTCGACAGGACTGCGAGCAGCGGCACCAGCAGTGAGGAAGATGTGGTGGAGAGGAAAGACGCGACAAACACAACGCCATGGTACAAGAGGTTAAACCCTCTGAGGCGGAACACAAAGCCGCCAATACCCCAGGAACGTGGAGTCTCGCCCGAGTATGGTGCCAGCTTCCTCAGCTTACTCACGTTCCAGTGGATGTCTCCCCTCATGACCGTAAGAGCCGCGCATCCCTTTGGATTCAGAATATTGTGCTGACACAGGCCTGTAGACTGGCTATCAAAGGACCCTCGAATACAACGACCTATGGCTAGTCAATCCAGACCGAAGCGCAGATGCAATGTCCAGCAAACTTAAAGTCGCCTTCAAGAGGCGTGTAGAACAAGGCAACAAGCGTCCGCTTGTGGGAGCCATGTACGAAACATTCAAGTTCGAATTCATACTTGGCGGCGTCTGTCAACTCATTGCGGGCCTTGTACAGGTTCTGGCACCCTTCGTGCTCCGGTTTCTTATCCAGTTCGCGGCCGACGCATACAGGGCGCAGATGAGGGGAGGTCCAGCACCGTCGATTGGTCGCGGGCTGGGTCTGGTTTTCGGCATTACCGCTATGCAGGTAGTGCAGAGCTTGTGTACGAATCACTTCATGTACCGAGGCATGATGGTTGGAGGCGAGGCGCGAGCCGTCATGATCTCAGTAATATTCGACAAGGCCATGGTTCTTTCTGGGCGGGCGAAAGCCGGAGGGAAGTCACTGGAGGCCCCATCGTCACCGCCGCCTGGCGTTCAGCCTGGAAGCGAGGCGGAGAAGAAATGGTACCAGAAGATACTGAAGCGCAAGGCAAAGGATGGCAAGAAGGGCAAGAAAGACTCGGCCAAGGGTGTCGATGGCGACGGCCAGGGATGGGGCAATGGACGGATCGTCAATTTGATGTCCACAGACACCTATCGTATTGATCAGGCCTCCGGCATGTTCCATTTGATTTGGACTTCCCCGATCGCTATCCTTGTCACCTTGGCTCTTCTCCTCGTCAATTTGGGGGAAAGTGCTCTTGCTGGTTTTGGTCTTCTGGTCATCATGATGCCTCTCTTGGGTCGAGCAATCAGAAGTTTGTTCAAGCGCCGAGCTGCCATTAACAAGATCACGGATCAGAGAGTTAGCTTGACTCAGGAGATCCTGCAAGCAGTCCGCTTCGTTAAATACTTCGGCTGGGAGACTAGTTTTCTAGGGAGGATCGCCGCAATACGCAATCGGGAAATCCGGTCCATTCAATGGGTACTGGCCATTCGAAACGCAATCAACGCTGTCGGAATGTCGATGCCGGTTTTTGCATCTATGCTAGCTTTCATTACGTTCTCTTTGACCAACAACGTCCTTAATCCGGCACCGGTCTTCTCCTCCCTAGCGCTTTTTAACTCGCTTCGATTACCACTCAATCTCCTGCCTCTTGTCATTGGACAGGTCATTGATGCCTACGCGTCTGTTCAACGTATTCAGGAGTTCTTACTCGCCGAGGAAGCCCAAGATGACGCAAAATGGGATTATGCCAACAAGAACGCGGTTGTGATCAAGCATGCCGACTTTACTTGGGAGCGATCACCAACTCAAGATCCGGACCAGGTACCCGGTAAGGGGCCGCGCAGCAGGAAGCAAATCAAGAAGGATGAGAAAGCAGAGAAGGAGGCAAAGAAAGAAGCCGCGCGAAAGAGTAGAGACGGGCTGCCCGGTGAAAATGACAGCTCGGATTCGCTGGCTGAGTTAGAACCATTCAAAATTCGAGAGGTTGATATCACTATTGGCAGGGACGAGCTGGTCGCTGTTATCGGTGGCGTGGGATCTGGGAAGAGTTCTCTGCTAGCCGCCCTTGCCGGTGACATGCGCCGCACATCCGGAGAAGTTATACTCGGAGCATCGCGTGCTTTATGCGCGCAGTATGCATGGATTCAGAACACCACCGTCAAGGAGAACATCACCTTCGGAAAAGAGTACAACAAGGAATGGTATACACAGGTCGTAGACGCGTGTGCTCTGCGGCCCGACCTTGAGATGCTGCCAAACGGAGACTTGACCGAGATCGGAGAGCGTGGTATTACGGTTTCTGGAGGCCAGAAGCAGCGGCTCAATATCGCACGTGCCATCTACTTCAACGCCGATATCATCATTATGGACGATCCTCTATCCGCTGTGGATGCGCATGTTGGCCGTCATATCATGGATCACGCCATCTGCGGACTCCTCAAGAACAAATGTCGCATCCTCGCTACCCATCAGCTACATGTCCTCAACCGCTGCGATAGAATCATTATGATGGAGGACGGTCGCATCACCGCCGTTGACACCTTTGACAATCTAATGGCCAACAATCAGGAGTTCGTCAGGTTAATGGCTACGACCGCCGTTGAGGAAGAAGAGGAAGTAGAAAAGGAAGTGAACGAGGATGAAGTGGAGGAGGAAGTCAAGCTCCAGAAGCTCCAAAGCATCAAAAAGCCTGCCGCCGCTCTCATGACAACGGAAGAGCGGGCCGTGAAAAGCGTCTCATGGGGCGTGTACCTGGCTTACATTAAGGCATCGGGTTCGCTCTTGTTCGGCCCAGTAGTGCTCCTCTTCTTGATCCTCTCACAAGTAGCAAATATCGCAACAAGCTTGTGGCTATCATGGTGGACATCGGACAAGTTTGGGTACTCCGACGGTCAATACGTAAGTCGTCTGAACTGACCTCCGAAGCTATCACTGACACATTACAGATCGGCGTGTACGCTGCCCTCGGATTCGTTCAAGCGCTTCTGATGTTCATCTTCTCCATCATGCTTACCGTCTTTGGCACTCACGCGAGTAAGGTCATGCTCCACCGAGCTATAGTCCGTGTTCTCCGCGCTCCAATGTCCTTTTTCGACACAACGCCATTGGGCCGGATCACCAACCGCTTCTCCAAAGATGTCGATACCATGGACAACACACTCACCGACTCGATGCGAATGTTTCTTCTAACCATGGGAATGATCCTGTCCGTCTTCGGCCTGATCATCGCCTATTACCCTTACTACGCAATCGCCCTAGGCCCGCTTTTCATCATGTTCCTCTTTTCCGCAAACTACTACCGCGCTTCTGCACGAGAGATCAAGCGTCACGAATCTGTCCTCCGGAGCCACGTCTTCTCCCGCTTCAGCGAAGCCGTCTCCGGCACCGCCACGGTCCGCGCCTACGGCCTCCAAGACCGCTTCTCGCGCTCCGTCAAGGACGCCATTGACGACATGGACAGCGCGTACTACCTCACCTTTGCGAACCAGCGGTGGCTCAGCGTCCGGCTCGACGCTATTGGCACGCTTCTCGTCTTCGTAACCGGCGTGCTGGTGGTGACATCCCGCTTCTCCGTCAACCCCAGCATTGCTGGCCTCGTGCTCTCGTACATCCTCTCCGTCGTGCAGATGATCCAGTTCACGGTCCGCCAGCTCGCTGAGGTCGAGAACAACATGAACGCCACCGAGCGCATCCACTATTACGGCACCGAGATCGAGGAAGAGCCGCCGCTTAAGGTCGCTGATGTGCGGCCCTCGTGGCCTGAGCGCGGCGAGATCGAATTCGATAACGTTCAGATGCGGTACCGCCCCGGCCTGCCGCTGGTGCTGCAGGGGCTCAGTTTACACGTCAAAGCCGGCGAGCGCGTCGGTGTTGTCGGACGCACGGGCGCGGGCAAGTCGTCTATCATGAGCACGCTTTTCCGTCTCGTTGAGCTCTCGGGTGGGAGCATCACGATTGATGGCGTCGACATTGGCCGCGTGGGTCTCTACGACTTGAGATCCAGATTAGCGATCATACCCCAGGACCCGACGCTCTTCCGCGGCACGATCAGGAGCAACCTTGACCCCTTCAACGAGCACACAGACCTCGAGCTGTGGGCAGCACTCCGACAGGCGGATCTCGTCGCCCAGGACGCGAGCATGGAGGACAGGACGCAGCGGATCCACCTCGACAGCGTCGTCGAAGAGGAGGGCCTGAACTTCTCGCTCGGTCAGCGCCAGCTCATGGCGCTTGCGAGAGCGCTGGTTCGCGGGAGCCAGATCATCGTCTGCGACGAGGCGACGAGCTCCGTGGACATGGAGACGGACCAGAAGATCCAGAAGACGATTGTTGAGGGGTTCAGGGGCAAGACGCTGCTGTGCATTGCCCACAGGCTCAAAACCATTATCGGGTATGACCGTATTTTGGTCATGGATGCAGGGAAGGTGGCGGAGTTGGATACGCCGCTCGCGCTGTACGAGAAGGGAGGTATCTTTAGGGGGATGTGTGAGAGGAGCGGTATCAGAAGGGAGGACTTTTTTGGGTCTGAGTAATGTTTGGGTCTTGCATGAATGCATAGGTACTGTATATAGCTGCTGGGATCAGGCGGCAATCTTGCATGGCATGGAAGGGGAGCATTGGTAGGTGTTTGGGTGAGGGACCGTTCGGCATCGTTGGCATGGGACGGTTTTAGCATCCTGGGAACAAATTGAACAGTTCGTCAACTGGCCTACTTCTGCATCCACCGGTGCGTGGAACACAGTGCCTTCGAGCGCGGACTACTACACGCGCTGCTCGACAGCTCTAACTCTACAGTAGGTATCTTCGTGGCCGCTGACGTACAACCGTACATGCACTCGGCAGAGATCTCGCAACTCTAAGCCGCAATCTGTTCCCCACAGACGCCCACACGTAACCCCACCGGTAATCCCGCCGCTCTTGCTGCCAATGCGAGCAAGATGGCACGGAGAAGCGTCCGCCTGGCGCACCCTTGTGTCGTCAGTTTTCCCCGCATCACGCGGAGCAGGCGAACGAGATGGGGCTGGTGGCAGAGGGCTGGAGCATCGTGGGCTTCTAGCGCGGAAGACTGCCGGCCCGCGAGCAACGGCGTGCAGCAACGCGGCTTATCTGGAGCCATTGCTGCCCTTCGACCGATGTTTCTTATTGACCTCTCTCTCTCTCCCCACTCCAGCTCGGTGGCTGTTTGAACAGCTCACACGGCGCTCGGTTCACGCAGGCAAAAGCACAGGCATGTGAATCTTGGAATAGAAATGCGCATTATCAGTTGGGCGAGAATCACCTTGCTTGTCCCAGCCGATGCCTTTTGCGGCTTAGTGACTGGCGAGTAGCGCAGAGATCGTCTCAGGCAAGAGCCGTTGAGTGGCTCGGCGTAGCACGGAACAGGTTTAGCCACCGGCTGCAGCAAGGATCCAGGCGTTCCCAATCTCTGGGGAGCTTGGGCACACCCTCAGCCCATTCGCTCGTCGCAACTGCCAGGCGGGTGCCGTCTCACGCCCTCTCTCTCTCTCTCTTTCGTTCACTATTCAGTGCATAACTGCGTCCTTTCTCTCTTCTTGTCTATCGTCCTTCTCTTCGATGATCACATAGGCTTCAGCATAATCCCCAAGAGTCTTACCGACTCGTAGCGACTGCTGCTTCTGAGTCTCAACTGTCTCTTGGTTGCCGATTGACTGAGCGGATTCCTTCCTTCCACAACCACCCGACGAGAAATCCACGCATATTAAACCCTCGACCTTGTCTCTTTGGGAGCCGGGGCTTTGCTTCGCGAGCGACACTCCTTATCCATACAATCAGGCCGCTCATCCAAACTCCTACCTCCGCTCCGTCGCTCCTTCACCGCCACCAGCCATCTGTCCGCCCCCAATCCACTCAGCGACCACCTCTACGCCTCGCGTCGACATCCTAACTCCTCCCGCCATGTCGCCCACCGAGAAGACCACCTTTGGCGCGAGCGTCGAGCCGGTCACACCCATAAAAACGACGACCCACCTCAACCTCACAACCCCCCTATCGATCGAGTCCCTCTCACCATCCGCCTCCCACTCACCCAACGTCCCCTCCTCACCCGTAACCCCGATCTCCGCGCACGACCCCAGCAACCCCTTCAGCGCATTCTACTCACACCCGACAACGCGCCGCTCGCTCGAGCAGCAAGCCGCCTCCTCGAAGACGCAGCTAGACGTCTACGCCCACGATCTGGAAGCAGGCTCGGGTCTTCTGCCCCCGCCACCCCTCTCGACAATCACAACCCAGCACACGCTGCCGAAATCCAGCATCGAGGGCCGCCCCAAGGAGTGCACCGTCTGGCCGAGCAAGCAGACGCTGCGCGAGAAGGCGCACGAGGAGAGATGCCAGACGGGGAACCCGGTCGTGAGGAGATGGCGGAACATGGATAACAGGCAGCGGCTGTGGTTCAAGATCCTGATTGCCCTGCTCGTCATCGCGGCCGCGGTGGGCATCGGGATCGGTATCAGTCGCGCTGTAGGGGGTGGCGTGTGGGCAGGGCAGGGGAAGAGCAAGGAGATCCCATCTGCTCGTTGAGAGGTGTCGGTTGTCTCAGCCGAACTGCCTTTTTTTTCCGGAGGCTGCCCGAGTTGTTGGGGCTTCATCCTGCGGCACGTCCTTGTACTTTCTTCATTTCTGCTACCTCCTTTCGATGTCGATACGCATTTTCTAATCACGTTCGTTCGCGGCACTTCTCGGCGTTGTAGCTTTTCATGATGCACTTTGCAGACATTGGGTTGGCGTTGTAGAGTTTTTTCCTTGCAGGGATCAAAGGTATCTACTTGGCTACAATGTGGCACGTGTCCGCTGCGCATTTCGTTGGGCGCTTTCCTCTCTGCTTTCGTTGCGAGAGGGCGATCTTGTTCTCAGGCACCTCCAATGTCCATATCACACGTTTTTTGTATTTAGCGGGAGGGCATACTGTTGTGTAGGAGGGTATACTAGAAGTAGAAGAAAGGCAATGTTCAGCACAGCTTTAAGCTCCTGTGTGAAAAAATGTCTTGCGAACCCGGGGAATGCTGCGCCCATGTTGTCAGAGACGGAGCTCGGCAGCCCAGCCGCTCATCAAAACTCCATTACATACTTGGTGCGAACAGCTCTGGCGCCAGATTGCAAGCCGTACCAGAACTCATATCACAGCTGCTCAATTCCACTAACAAGAACGTCCAGAGCATCAGCAGACCCAACTCCCTCAAGGCGGCTCACAATCCTCGCCCTGCTATCGTCAGTCAAGTTCCTCATCGCTTCGTAGAACAGCCCGAGCAACTCACAGATTCGCCAGCCTGCGCCCCCTCATCGCTTGCTCCATCTCCCCGCTCTTCTCCCTCGCGACCTCGACCACGCTCCTCGGCACGTTCGCCAGCCTCGCGACATTGAGCCCATAGCTCCTATGCGCCACGCCCTCGGCGACCTCGTACAAGAACGTGACAACCTCTTCCCCCGCAGTCCCGCTCTCCTCGAACCGCATGTGCACGTTCCTGAGCCTGCCATCCTCGAACGCGTTGCTCAACCTCGCCAGGCTCTGGTAGTGCGTGATGAAGAGCGTCAGACACTTGACCTCGCTGACGAGATGCTCCAGCACCGCCTCCGCAATCGCCACGCCGTCATGCGTGCTGGTCCCCCTGCCCAGCTCGTCCAAGATGACGAGGCTTCTGGGCGTCGCCTGCTTGAGCAGATCCGCCGTCTCGCTCAACTCAACCATAAACGTGCTCTCGCCCTTCATCATGTTATCGAACGCGCCCATGCGCGTAAATACCGCGTCTAGGAGCCCCAGCCGCGCCGACTCCGCGGGGACGTAGCAGCCTATCTGCGCCATGATGGCTATAAGCGCCACCTGCCTTACATAGCTGCTCTTGCCGCCCATGTTCGGCCCCGTGATTAACAGCGCCGGTTGCGCGGGCGAGAGGTCGACGTCGTTCGGGACGTACGCGTCTAGTAGTAGGCGCTCGACCATTGGATGTCTGCCCGCTTTGACATCGATGACGGGCTCGTCGGCGAAGACTGGCTTGGTGTAGCCCGGCTGGGCGCTGACATCCGCGAGGGAGAGCAGCGCGTCCAGCGTCGCGAGGCTCTGAATACAGTCGCGAAGGGCCTGGTATTTCGTGCCTATTTCCGCGAGCAGGGCGGCGAATGCAGCATCGCACGCCGCGGCCAGCGCCTCCTTATGCTGGTCGCGCTCACGCAGCAGTTTGACGACTTCGGGTGTGTGGAAGCGGGAGAGCTTCTTAGTGCCGCTAATCTTCTGCCACGAGGCAGGAACGTTCTTTAACTGCGCGTTCTCGACCTCAATTAGATATTCGACGGCGCTCACAGTGACGTAGTCGACTTTCTTCTTACGCAGCTTCGCGGCGGCTGCGGCGCGGTGTTCGTTAAGCGAGTCTTCGATGCTGGCGATGGCGAGCTTATGCTCGGTGATAGGCTCGGTTTCGTATTCGTCGCGGAAGAAGGCGTATTTGTCGTCGTCTTTTGCTGCTTGGGGATTGATGCGCTCCAGGTAGTCGAGCACGGAGGTGGAGATCTCGGGGAGGGAGGCGATAGCTTCTTGAAGGAGGGAGGACTTGAAGCCTGCTTCGGACGGGGTCTTGACGTGGGCGTATTCGCTCGAGATGCGCTGGAGACTCTGGAGGAAGCCGAGCAGTTCTGGCCGCGCGCACTTTCTATAGTAAATCCGAATCAGGGATTTTTCGAAGTCACCTTTTGCGAGTGACAGTATGTGTTTGAGCTTGTCTACTGGCATGGTCCGCTCGCCTTCGTTCAACTCTTCGACTGCCGCGATTCGCGCCTCCAGCTTGGTCTTGTCTAGCAGAGGCCTGCCGACCCATTTCCGGAGCAGCCGCTGCCCGAAGCGCGTCCTCGTCCGGTCCATCGTCCAGAACAGGCTGCCTTTTTCAGTGTAGTCTGTCTGATTGCGGTAGATCTCCAAGCTTGTAAGTGTGTTACCGTTCAGCAGCATGTGACTTCTGGCACTGAACGGCTGGAAGTTCTTCGTGAGGTCGAACACATGCTCCAGTCCGTACTCACTCAGGTGAGTTATCATCGCAGACAAGCAGACAGTGACATGCTCTGAGAGTTGATGCACTCGATCCAGTACATTGCTTGCGCCTTGTTGGTCCAATTCGCTACTTCCAGCCTTCATCTTCTCCGCGTAAAAGTTCGAGATGTGGCTGTAAGCTTGTGCAGCCATCGTCTTCGGCTTCTCAACGCGTTCCACGCGAGCTGCGTCACCGAAGACGTTGGTTTTGCTGGCAGACAAATGCTGCACGAGCTTCTCTGTGGCTTTGGAGAGATCCCCTACCACGAGAAATTCGCAGGGCGCGATGTGAAGTAGCCTTGTTTCGATCTCGCTCCTCATGAAGCCATCCTCAAAGTCGTCGTATATGATGTCGCCAGTTGCTGGTTGCACAGCGACGATCCCGACATGCACCTTCTCATCGGTGCCCCACCCTTTGGCGTTGGTTTCTGTGAGGCACAGAAGATATCCCGTTGAAGGTGCTCCACCAGCTGGGCCTGCAACAGGCCCTTCGAGGCCCTCAACATCATCGATGTACGTGCCCTTGGTATAGAGGTTCGTAAGCTTCCGGACGAAGGGCGCATTGCGATTGTCTCCCACAGCTTTGAGCGCTGCGGTCTCGAGCTGTCGGACGACGCCGACCTTATGGCCTGCTTGGACTAGGCGCTTGACGTGAACATGCAATCGGTGGGTGGGAAAGCTCGCGGATGCGAACCGGTCGATATGCGCTTCCGATGGATCTATCAAAATGGGGCAGATGTTAGTGTACCACCTGTATTCCGGGTTCGTGTATAACGCCTTGATGATCATTCAAGTAGTAACGTATGCTTCATGGTGCCACGTGCCGTTTCATGGAGGAAGGCGCGTTCCAAACTAGGAGCATGGGACAGAGCAAACCACCCATCTCCGCCAACCAGAGATTTGCAGACAGGGGAGAGTATCCACCTACGTTCGTCGTATCTGAACTTTCCAGGTATGCACACGATGCCCAGCTGCTTAGCCGCAATCCTCGCGTCTTCACCGAAAAACTTGAACTTATACCCGACTTCAATAACAAGCAGGGCATCCATGTGCTTCCTCTTGAGGTCCAGCACCTGCTTCTCCATAGGCGTGAGCTTGCTTTTGCTCGTCTTGGCAGCTGCGCCCTTCCTGCTTTTCGCTGCCTTTGGCGGTGGCTCTTCCTCTTCTGCCTCCTCATCCTCAGCATCAGGCTCGCCATCCGCTGTCTCTTCTGTGATGAGATGATTGCGCCGCTTGATCTCCGCGATGCTGTCGGGCCTCCCCAGCTTCTTTACAAAGCGCTGGTGTAGTCGCTCCTTGTGTCTGCGAACCTCGTCTGTGTCCGGTTCCTCATGGTTCTCATCTTGGGGAGGCGAGCTCGAGAATATGTATTTCGACGTCCTCGCAGATACTTTAGGCCCTTGGGCGCTGTTGAGTCCGGCGGAGCTGGCTTGGCCGAGAGACTGACGATGCCCGCGTGGAAGAGCGTGTTCTTCTATTCCTGAGGTTTCTTCAGAGGGGCTGGCCTCTAATGTCCCTTCGTCTGCGCCCTCATCGAGCGCCTTAAGCTTCTTGCGGCCGGGAGCACCGTTCTCGATGTCGCAGCCATCACCTTCGTCCAATGTGCGCTTCGACTGATGCGAGGTCCATCGTTGTGGCACTTCATCTTCCTCGTCTGAGCCTACGAACAACGCGTCACCGCTTGCAGCTCTATCATTCGCCGTCGGGGAGCTAGGTACTGGTGGCTTTGCGGCGGATGGCTTAGGGGTTTGTGACGGTTTTGAGGTGAAGAAGCTTGAGATTGACTGTTGCTTTTTTTGCGACGATGGAGGCTGCGATCGCGATGGTGCCATGGTCTCGTGGCTGTTGCTGTACCAATTTACGGGACCAACCACAATGTTCACAATGTTCACAATGTTCATCGTTAGGTCCGCATCGCGTCTGAAGCATCGCGTCGCGGTCCGTGCATCAGTCTGGGGCGAGACGCTAACGTGACGTAGGGCTGAATTGAAGCACTCTGAGGTGCCAAAACCTCACAACTTCAATGCACAATGAAGCGCTGTTAGAGGCGGTTGTCTACTTGCTTGGGATGTCCGCAGGATGATGTTGATCGTCGTTGGGTAAAGCTACAACACCATGAGCGTCGTTGAAACAACGATCCATCAACGGGAAGACCGAAGAGGATCACAGATTGGACGCCCTGGATCTTCGAACACATCACACACTTCGCATTGCTAGTATCAGATTGTTTCTCTATGAATATACACAAACCACTACCACCATCATCGTGTTCCAGGTGGAGAGCCTGTGGTGGCAATCGGAGTCAGGAGATGGTAGACTACCCCCTCATTAAACGATGGAATTGAATAGCAATTTTTCTTAGACAGATCTCCAGTCCCCCAGTCATGGGGAACATCACCTCAACCAGCCTCAGACCGAGTCGTTCTTCACAATCAACATGGTGTTTTCAGGGTTGACAGCTCCCTGAAGTAACAGATCAAGAAATACAGGACTACACAAGATAAGGGTCAAACCAAGGCGCCCAATCTCCATTTCCGAGTTCTTCTTCCACGGTCTCTCTTAGAATCAAAAGCGCCCTGACAAGCCGCTCGAACCTGAACGCGGCCTCCTGACGGTTAATATTCCTTGCGGCAGCGATCATGTCCAGAATGTTTTCGATGCCCTGTATAGTGCGTCCGCTAAATCTGGGGGCCCAGTAAGCTCGCGTCATAAAGTCTTCATGAACCGAGTGCCACGTTTGTGCGAGGTCTGGCCAGAGTGGATCGAACTTCTGTCCCATGTTAGTAACAAGTTGCTGGGGCTAGCTCCATACGAAGCCGGACAGTACATACAAAGTTTGGATAGGCCCAAGTCCAAAGATCGCACCACTCGCATCCGCAATCCCAGTACCGCCCGTTTCCCATGAAGTTCTGCCTAAAAGGGGCACCCCCTCGAAACGGGACAAGTCCTCGGGGTCTGTGCATGTGGGGTCCGAAACGAGGCCTGTTGAAGACGCCATTATGAATTGGAAACGGTACTCCGCGACGGCCACGGCGGCCCCGACCCCAGTCCGGTATCGCCAAACCTCCAACGATGGCGGCACGTTCGAAAGGATGATGGTGAAGGCAGAGTGGGTCATTGCAGCGCCGTTGAATCATGGCCATCGCATAAAACTAGAGGCAACAGCCGCTGTTATCAGGTGAGGGCTTCTCATTGTCGAAAGGCGCAGGCCTTGTCCTGGACCGAGAAGAGGAGCAAGTCGTTGAATAACCGCAGCGAAGTTTATAGTGGCCAGCCCTAAGGACTTCGACCTCAGGGCAGGTTGCATTATCAGGCGACAGAGTTGCACTGGCAATGCAATTGAACTTGCGTCACGCAAGCAAACCTCCTGACAGGTTGCAATGCCGGCAAAACGGGGTTCGACCCGGTCTTCTGCCGCGACTGAGACCCGATGGAGGCCTTCGAGGCGTGCAGTGCAAGTCGATGCTCATATCTCAAGGCTGAGCAAACATTGTGCTCGAGGCCTCGTGTGACATGCAGACAGGCCGGCGACAGACGAGTCTGCAAGTATTGGCCCACAAATCAGACACATGGTTGCGCTAGACGAGCAAGGATTCCTGTGTTTGCTTGATGGGAAGACCGGAGGTACGTCCTTGACCAGTGATGACGACAAGCCGGTCGCCAACTAGCCTGTAGGGCGGAGGTGCTGCTCGAGGCTTGTGAGACTGACGTATCTAACTCAGAACAGTAACTGAGCTGAAGTCGCAATCACGTTACCACAAGAACAAAGCGTCAGAGAGGTATTGTAATACGTGACTTCGAGAGTGGAAATGTTTACTTGACCATCGCTTTCATGTTTCGAATTCTCTGGGAGATCGATGCGCGGAAGCATGAGCTTGTAGTTCCAGCTACGTCGCAACTCTGCATTCAACGCGTTGCTCCAGAGAATGGAGACTGAGGTGAGCGTTCCTGGGGATGGTGGTTGGATGGCTCAATCAAGCGTGCATGCCAAGCCTTGGCACTTTACGCGGGTCGCGCTGCGGACGCGAACGCGCGACACCTACAAAGACGCAAGAAGCACCCACTCTCCCACTTCCACACCAGCAAGCACAACCCACCCACAACACTCTCCGCGCAGTATTCACATCGCAACTTCCAGTATCAATTCGTAGCTATCATCATGCCTGCTACCGTTCTTGGTAAGCGGACGAGGGCATGCGAGGATTCAGCAGGTAAACAATCTCCAAGCACCTTCCCAAAAGCCTGATACTAACCCTCTCTCTACAGCACCACGCTCTCCCGTCCTCACTCGCGCGAAACGGCGCGCGATCACTGTCTGTGTGGACAATGACGAGAACGAGAACCCTTTCGTCGTCCCGACAAAGGCTGGAGATACCGCCCAGGATGGCGACCGCATGGAAGTGGACAAATCGCCTGCGAAAAGTAAACTGTCTGGCAAGAGAATAGCATCCAGCATTACACCTGCGAAACATGGAGCTTTCCAGAGCAGACTCGCATTATCATCCTCAAAAATCGACGCGTACTTCAAGACCACCAAGACCGTATCTGCTCTCGACACAAAATCAGCACAGACAGCAACACCCCAGACTCCCCGGCATCGTGATGCGCTGTCAAAGAAAGTCCCCGTCACGCCATCACATCGCGTCAGGGTTGCTGGAACGCCATTGACGCCTCGAACCCCTCGCACTCCGATAACGCCTCGCGTCTCCGTAGCTACGGTGTATAATGAGGCGCGTCAGCTTTTCAACAAGGGCGCTAGAGCTGGTCGTTTAGTCGGTCGAGACAATGAGAGGCAGGAACTCAATACCTTCGTATCTAGCCGCATCGAGTCCAAATCGTCCGGATGCATCTATATCTCAGGGCCTCCAGGAACGGGGAAAAGCGCGCTCATCACCGAGATCAGCAGCAACATTACCAAGGACAGCTCCGCCAAGCGAGCATACATCAATTGCATGGCCGCCAAAAGCGCGGAAGACATTTACGGGAAGCTCTTGGAAGATCTTAGCGAAGACATTGAGAATCTAGAAGGCTCGGCAATGGAGATCCTAGAAGACTATTTCACCAAACGCGAAGTTGCGTATCTCGTCACCCTTGACGAAGTGGACCACTTGCTAGAACTGGACGTCGAACTCCTCTACAACCTCTTCGAGTGGTCTCTCTCGCCTTCATCCAGCCTTATCCTTATCGGCATAGCCAACGCCCTCGACCTTACCGACCGATTCCTTCCACGCCTCAAGGCGCGTGGTCTGAAGCCTGAGCTCCTGCCATTCATGCCATACACCGCCAACGAGATGGCCTCTATTGTCACATCGAAGCTTAAATCACTCGTGCCGGCCAACACCGCAGCGCCGGCCGGTTACGTCCCTTTCATCCACCCCACGGCCATTCAGTTTCTTTCCAAGAAGATCTCCTCCCAAGCCGGCGATCTCCGCAAAGCCTTCGACATCTGCCGTCGCGCCATCGACGCCATCGAGTCCGAGACCCGAGATCAGCACCTTAAGAGAGCCGTGGAGCAGACGCCCACACCCACACCATCCCCCACGAAGACACCTCTCGTCGAAAACATGAATCTCTCCTCCCCGCCAGCCACCCGCTCACCTTTCAAAACCGTCACCCGCCAAAAGGAGCTCGTCGCGTCATCCCTTACAACGCTAACGATCGAGACCGCACCCCGCGCCACAATCACCCACATCGCACGCATCACATCCGCCGTCTTCAGCAACGGTACAACCCAGCGCCTCTCAGCACTCAACCTTCAGCAGAAAGCCGCTCTCTGTGCGCTCTGCACCCTTGAAAAGCGCAACAAGCGTGCGGCATCCCTGATAGACGCGAACGCGATGCCCAGCACGCCTTCCAAACGAGCAACCGCCGCGGCAGCGCCGACGGTGAAGGCATTATACGAGGCCTACGCGTCCCTCTGCACACGCGAGAATCTACTGCATCCGCTCACGGCAACGGAGTTCAGAGACGTGGTTGGAAGCCTTGAGACGCTGAGTTTGGTGTCGGCGGTAGAGGGGACGGGGAGGAATGGGAGCTTTGTTGTGCCCGCTACGCCCAGTAGGAGGGGAAGGGGAGGGTTTGGGGGCAAAGTGGTTGAGGAAAAGAGAGTCGCGAGCTGCGTGGGAGAGAAGGAGTTGATGGAAAGCTTAAAGGGAGTTGGGAGTGGGATCTTGAGTGCGATGATTGAGGGGAACGGGTCGGCTTGAGGGAAGCTGTGTAGATTTACTGTCGCTTTGGATGTATATGGGAAGATAACATTCGTTGGATGAATCTGGGATATTCCTGTGTGGGAGACATTCGAAGCGCTGGCCTGTTTGGTTAGGTAGAGGCTAAGCTTGTGCTGCGTTGTAGAACAGTAGAACGATCGAACTATCATGTTCACAACAGCAATGTATCACGAAACTTGGTCTTGATGCACTGTAAAGCCAATACCTAACAGTTGGTTTGAACGACGCTAGTATTGCTGCTTGTATTGGCTTCCTCAAGGCTCGCTAAGCGTGTATTCAAAAGACTGGTATGGCAAAAATGAGGGCTATCCGTACCCAAAGATCCGTGAATCCACGTGATCCATCACTCGTCAGGGTGCGCATACACAAGGCTCCAGACGTCCAGATCATCCAGATACGGAAGTGCGGTATCCTCGTAGAACGACGACACGGTCCGATATTGTACCGCAGCCTCGAGTGCGCAGGCAGCACTTCGGATATTCCAGCTGTAGGTGATCTAGTCCGGTATAGGTACCAGTCGACACTCTGAGGTGCTACTGCAACCATATGCATCACAAGTGGATGGCCAGCGCCTCACAAGACGCGGGTTTTCGCGGGGTTCAGCATTATGCCTCAACATACAAGACTCTGCGGTGGCATGCCATAACCACAACCACAACCACAACCACAACCACAGCACCTCACATCCGATCCGCCTCGGCCTTCCTCTTTTCCATCAACTGAATAGCATTCTGCCTCCTCTCGTCCCTCAGCGTAAGAAACACCCAGAACCACGCCGAAAGCTCCAAGAACCCCCACGTAAACATCACGCCATTCTTCAGCTCCTCCCCCACACCCGGTTTGTAGGCTAGGCCCTGCCCCGCGAACATGCCGCCTTTCTTGAAGAGATACGTATACCCCGTGACTAAGAACAGGAAGAGCAGTCGTACTGGGGCCTGGGATGTGAAGAAGGGAATTGACAGCTCCGTAGGCATGGATGCGGCTGTGAAGTCGGAGAGGCCGAGGAAGGCGAAGAGGACGGCGAGGAAGGCTGTTATGGGGGATTTGTAGGCGAGGGAGGGGACGGGGGGCTATTATAGTGGTCAATGGAGTGTGTATACAGGGGCAGATAAGCGGAAGCTTACCAGGCGCATTGATTCTCCAAGCAGGTAGACGAGGTTCTGTTCTGAGATCGTACGCGGCGAGGTCAGGAGGAAGAAGGCAATGGTTAGGTGGAAGATAGAGAGGGCCCGAACGATTGTCATAGAAGAGAAGACAGCCATTGTAACTTGTGTAGCTAGCGGTATGGCTTGTTTGTCTGGAGTGGCAGAGTTGAAGCTTCCAAAAACACATGTCGCGCGAAGCTCGGACGCAGTTGTGCCTGAATGTCTGCCTCACGACGTGTCGTCATGCCCTTGCCCAACCTCTCCAAAAGGACCGCCTCCTGGTTTGAAGGCAGATGTACTTGAGCAGGTTCAGTAGAATCCCGGAGATGTGACAATGCCGCGTAGAATGGACGATTTGACGCCCTTGCTGAACGAAAAGCGGCGTATCTACGAAAACGCGCTGGATAACCTAGAGCATGGCCGGCCTATAAAGCGCGTATCAAGATATCCTTCGCCACTTACTACTTTTCTCATACTGTCACTATGTTGGCTCAGCTTTGTCGCATATAACCTTTTCTTTGACGTGCCCTTAGATGGGGATCACCATGTCCCGGGAGTATTGACGGTCGAAGAAAGAGCTATCAAAATCCTAGAGGAGAATCCACTCATCGATGGCCACAATGATCTCATGATCCTGATCCGATTTTTGTACAAGAACCAGATCTATGGCGAGAATTTCACGGAGACGTTCGAGAAGGGGGGAATGTTAGGGCATGTTGATTTGCCTCGTCTGGATCAGGGGAAGGTTGGAGGCGCGTTCTGGAGTGCCTTCATGCCGTGTCCGAGCAATGCTTCTGATTTCTCAGACGAGGCATACGCACCTAGTAGGTCTCTCCCTGCTCACCTGTTGTCTCTCGAGTCGGGTCTTATCGATCATTATTTTAAGATATTCACTTTTTCTTCTGCTTCGCTTCGAGGTTTCAAACTTATCATCAATTTGCTTGGAAGACTCAGAGATCCGCTTCGCCTGCACGCTCTCCACTCCCTTTGCCGTAGGGCTATCAAATTTGGGTGTTCTTTCAGCTTGCCAAACTAACAGCCCCCCCAGTCGTCAAAGCAACCCTCCAACAACTCGACCTCCACCACCGCCTCCACGCCCTCTACCCCCACTACTTCACCCCCACCCCCTCCGCCGCCTCCGCCCTCCACGCCTTCGCCTCCAACCGCCTCATCTCCCCCCTCGCAATCGAAGGCCTGCACCAGATCGGCAACTCCCTCAGCACCCTGCGCCTCTATCACCAGCTGGGCGTGCGCTACGCAACCCTAACCTGGAACTGCCACAACGCGTACGCCGACGCCGCGCTCGTGACCGATGGCGCCACGAGGAAGACTGTGGTTGCGGAACCGCTGTGGGGTGGAGTTTCGCTGCAGGGGAGGAAGGTGGTGAGGGAGATGAACCGGTTGGGGATGTTGGTTGATTTGGCGCATGTGAGCGGGGCGACTATGAGGGATGTGCTGGGCGGGTCTGCCGAGGAGAAGGCGAAGAAAGACTGGGAAGGAAGCATCGCGCCGCCGATCTTCAGCCACAGCTCTGCGTACGCGCTGTGTCCACATCCGCGTAATGTGCCGGACGATGTGCTCCAGCTTGTGAAGGCGCGGAGGAGTCTTGTCATGGTGAATTTCAGCCCCGACTTCATTTCATGCGTGCCTGGGAACGACACATCTGGACTCCCGGATCCGTACCCGGCGAACGCGACGCTTGCGCAGGTGGTCAGGCATATCATGTATATCGGCAACTTGATCGGCTACGATCACGTGGGCATCGGGACGGATTACGATGGGATTGAGAGCACGCCAAGGGGGTTGGAGGACGTGTCGAAGTTTCCGGACCTGGTTGCTGAGCTTCTGCGACAGGGGGTTAGCGATGAGGATGCGGCGAAGGTGGTGGGGCGAAACCTGTTGAGGGTTTGGAAGGAGGTGGATGAGGTTGCGGAAAGGTTGCAGCGAGAGATGGAGCCGGTGGAGGATGAGCTGGTTGGAGGGTGGGGATGAGCGCGTGACATTGGGGTGTGTATGTATTTGGCCTACGTCTGAAACAGACCATGGTGGTGGTGTTGAGAACTGAAGTGTACAGCGGGGCGATTCTGCACAAACATATAATATTGCATGAGGTATCCTGTGAAATTAATTTATGTTCCCAAGTCCCAGGTTTTTGGACCCTACAAAGAGATATTCCTAAGATGGTAGACATTGACAGCGCTAGGATGTGACCAACGCTGACCAGCAACAATCACAAGGGGTACCAGCCAGGGAACGAAGCAGTGTTGCCATCAGTAGCTAATCCACAATCTCCAACTCACCTTGTCTATCCCTCGCAAATGTATCCTTCCATTGGTCCCAAATCCCCACCAGCTCCTCCACATACCTCTCATGCACCTGATCCACATATGCCTGCTCCGGCCTCTCCTGCCTGATCACCTTAACCGGCTTACCGACCACAATATTGACCGGCCGTCGATACGGCATCATGCCAACATCATAGTTGAACACTCCCCTCGCATGAAACAGCGGCACCGTAAACCCCAACGCCTTCTTCACCATCAACTGCCCCCGATGTATCCACGGATGCTCCTCCTTCTCAACCTGCTCATACAAGTCATTCTCGCCAAATGCAAGCACAGGCACTAGATCCGCGCCCTGACGAATAGCCAGCTTGACGAAGCCTTTGCGGCTGTTGAGCACAAGACGCAGATGCCCAGGGACCGCATCGAGCGACTCTCGCGCGCCGCCGATCACGATCGTGATCGCACGGCCCATGCCTTCGCCGTTCGGGCCGCCACGGCTTAGAAGGTTCTCGCAGCTCTCCCTGCTCACGGACGCGAGGCCCAGGCGCAGGGCGTAGTCCCTATATAGCGGGACCCTGAAGTTGCTATCGAGCGTCAACAGCGTGTTCGTAATACCCGGGAACAGCTGACCGAAACCCAATGCCTCGGTTGCGAAGGCCGCGAAGGCACCGTGGGAGATGATGCCGTGCGGGTGGTATCCGAAGATGTACTTGCGGGTTGGCGGGAGCGGGCAGGTGCGGTGCAGACGCGCGGGAAAGTAGGACGCGAAAAGGGACCACCATGGAAGTCGACGCATGCGCTCCGAGCGGTAGGAGAGCTCGCCGGAGGTGTGGGCGCGGCTGAAGAGGCAGAAGAGGAGGTAGGGGATTAGGAGCGGCCAGAGGAGGGGGATTGAGCAGAGCAGGAAGAAGGTGGTGAGCATGAGAGCGATGCTGAGGGTGTGGAGGAGGACGGCGAGGGTTTGGAGGCGGCGCTTGAGGGGAATGTTCAGGGGCGCAAAGCGGATGCTGTTGGTGTGTTAGGATGCGAGGGTGGCATGTCTGAGGGAAAGGGTGAACTCACGCGCTGCGGTCCCATCCTGTTCCCGCTTGACGGCCGCTGGCGAGCTTGTCCTTGCCTGCTTGTGACTGGGGCTTCCTCTCTTTCTTATCGAGTCGGAGCGCTTTCTCCCAGTCGTCGTCTGGTTTGACACTCATCAGCCGGTCTCCGGCTTTATCCTCAAACTTCTCGTAGACGATGTTGTTCTCATTGGACGACTCCTTCTCATGCCGCTCATGCTTGGGACTGCTGTGTTGTCTTGAACTCCTTCTGCTGTGTCCCTTGCGCGTGGGGCTCCTGGGAAGGTAATCGAGGCCTGCTCCAATATACTCGTTCGGTGTGTGAGACTCGCCATTGGTGAGCGAGCCATTCGAGTCTACCGGCTCCGGCTGGGGCTCAGGCAGCTGCTCCTCTATCGTGTCGAAGCTGCCATTGGTGACCGGTTCGGATTCCGAAGGCTTGTGCGTACCGTTGGGCTTCGGCACATCGAGCGGAATGGGTAGTATGCCATTGGGGTCTTGCACGGCAGCTTCGAGGTAGGTGTTGGGCGGCAGTTCGTAATCGGAGTTGAGAGACATGGTGAGGGCGTGGCGGATGTCTGTGTAGGTGGCTAGGCCTCTCCTGTGCGTTGCTCGACCATCACTGTCGTGCTATGGAGCGATGTCGAGGTCACTGCGAAAGAACACGCTGCTGCTCCCGCTGGGCGGAGTTCAGGCTGTTTTCAGCATGACGTCGCCCGCAGGCCCGCCGCGGTTGGGGCCAAAGCGCAATTCGAGGATCCCTCGTCTTCTGCTGGACGCGGAATACGACAGCGAGCGTCGCCATGGTGGAGATGGCCGAGGCAGTATGCAGTAACTACGACGCCTACGCGGATGTCTCCCAGAGGCGTGGATGGCCTCAGGATGCCAACTATCTCGGTCACGTGCCGGCGAAGCAAGACTCGACATGTTGCTGCCTTGAGAGCGCATTCCTTCCTCCCGCCGACTGACATCGCAGCTTTAAGAGGATAGCATGCCACTGCAGATCACGGCCGCCCACAGCTCTCGCGTTACGAAGTCAACATCTCGCTCGGCGTCCTCTCCGTTTTCCTCGAATCCTCGCCGTAAGCCTTCCCTGACGCCGAGGCGAAAATCCGACGATGGCGCCGGTCAGTCCCAAGAGCGCTTGGAGGATGCAGGCCTCGTTACCACTTTGGCTGGTCCGGACACGCCTTGCAGCGTGCTGCTGCTCATGACATATATCCGTGACCGGATGTTTAGCGACGTCCCGGAACGAGGCTCTGGCATGAACTCGACGAGGACAGCAGAGGTCCTGAACTACCGACTCAACCTCCCACCCATTGTCACTGTAGCGCATATACACTCCTTCACCAACTCTCCCACCTCCATAGACCGCGAGATCGCCGAGCTCATCCGCTCAGGCAAAATCCGTAAACTCGTTATACCCGGCAGGAATGCAGGTCGAGCCGCAGGCCGAGATGCCGTAGGCGATTGCCTCGTCCTCTTCTCCGACTGGGAGCGGCTGGTACGCTCTCACCCGGACCTCACAGACGGCCTGAAGGAGAAATATGTCACCCTGCTCCGCGCCACTCAGACCTCCAGCATCGCCAGCAGCGCCCTGACTCACTCCGAGGCCGCCACCCTTACCTCAGCCGGCTTCCTCATCTCCACCACCGCCTCGGCGCACTCGTCGACCGCAGATTTCTTCCTCCGGCCCAGCGTCGCCTCCTCCGGCACGCTCTCATCCCTCGCTTCCGCTGGCTCCAGAGCTGCAGCTGGCACCCTCGAGGCCGTTGGTGGCGTCAACGCGCTCCACAACGTAGGCGGTAGCGGCGGCGGCACCGCGATATCCGGCGGCGCGCGAGCCGCCGCAGCGAGCGGGGCGCAGTACAACTTCTCCCTGCCGAATACGGGGCCCTACCTCCGCCTCCTGACTACCGCGCGGAGCCACTTGGTCACGTTGCTGGGGAAGAGCTCGCGGTACAGAGAGGCGCCTGTTAGCTTATTGAGGGACCGGTGGGACGGTGGAGTGGCGGATGACAGTACGGCGACTCAAGCGAAAAAGGTGAGGGGGGAGTTTGTGGGGGTGCTGCCAGGGAGGACGAAGAAGTGGAGGACGTTTTGGGGATTGAGGTTCGAGTGGGTGCTCGAGGAAGCGGTGGGGATGGGGTTGGTGGAGGCGTTTCAGACGGGGAGTGTGGGGCTTGGTGTGAGGGTGCCTTGAGGGCTGCATGGGATGCGGGAAGAAGGCAGGGAAGGGCCGCATCGTTCTCGAAAAGATTTTCCCCGTCGTATAGGGAGCAATGCCCTCTTGGTTGGAACCACTGAGCCGCAGTCAACAGTGACTCGCAGTCAAGAGTGGCTCGCATTCACGGGTACAAGGTGACGACGCATGGTCTCTTCGCCGCCTTCTCTATCGGCTGGAATACAAGCGACATTATACATCAAGGATTGAGCTCGGGCAAGAGAGGACCGCTCTTCAGTACTGTTTTAGTAGATGTAACAAGCTACATCATTATAGAAGCTATCTTCCGCAGTACAATGCTATTATACATAGCTTCAGATTCTCTTCCTTATCAAAGATAGTGTAGGACTTTGCGTGTCACTTAGGTCTATGTGTGCCCTTCATCATTCTGAGCAAGTGGACTGGGCTTCTGTATGGTTACTTCTTCCATTTGCAATCCACTATACATATGGCGAATCCATACCGATAGCTCTAGTCTTTGAGAACTCCCAATATACGCCGCCCAATGCACTGCTATGCACACAAATCCTACAGCCACCCACCCAGCGCTCTCTACCCCCTCCGCTCGATCCGATTCAGCTTTCTCGCCGTTTGTATCTGCACCTTGTCAGCCCTCATCCTCTCTCCAATTCCCACCAATCCCCCATCCCCTACAAACATAAACATACCTGCGTTCTCGTCCTCTGCCCCCTGACCGGCAACCCCATAGCGTGCCTCCTGCCCCTATAACTCCCCATATCCCTCAGCCGCGTAATATTTTCCCTGAGCTGCCGCCGGAGGTCATTCTCGATCCGCATGCCCGTCAGCTCGGCGGTCAGGTCTGTGATGTGCTTGTTCTCGAGGTCGCGGATCTTAGCGGTCGGGTGGATGGAGAAGCGGGCCATTATGCGCGTTGAGACGGAGGGGCCGATGCCGTAGAAGGTCTCGAGGGCACGCTGGAGGTGGTGTTAGTCAAGAGGGTCCTGGAGTGTCGTTTTTGCGACGTGCGTTGGGGGGCGCGTCCCGGGCGTCGATTGCTGGGAGACGTACTTTTACGAGCCGCTGCTCGGAGAAATTGACGCCTAGTAGCAGGACCTGGGATGGTTAGCATGAAGTTTGAGACAGCACAGCGAGCTTGTCGTACCATCTTGCTGGATTTGCTGGCTTCACCCTCGCGGTTCGTCTCGTTGCGTCTTGGAAGTTTGGCTCGAAGCTCCACAGTCACGTGCCTGGTGGAGCTAGGGCTTTGGAACGGACACGGTGTGTTTCAACATCGAGAGGGGCAGCGCGGGCACTTCCACAATTCATAGATCCCTCTCGTTCCTGGGAAGCACGCCGGCAGCATTCACCATGAATTTCCTACAGCGGATCCTCGTTTCGGTCCTTGTGGTCTTGACCTTTACCTTCGTCTTCTTCGCGCAGACAAGTCAAGCGGTCAAGGGACCCAAGATCACGCACAAGGTACACGACGTTACTCTAGTGCTTCTGAGGCTGTGGTGTCTAACAATGGCTTGGGTATAGGTTTACTTCGACATTGAACAAGATGGTCAGCCGCTTGGGAGGATTGTCATGGGTCTCTACGGAAAGACGGTCCCAAAGGTGGGTGTTTCCCGTGTCTGGAATACGACCAGGTACACGGCGCTAACTTTACGGCAGACTGCAGAGAACTTCCGGTAAAACCGCATTTAACAACAGATGCAAACTCCCGATAGTTTTGCTTACAGATATCTAGTGCATTAGCTACCGGCGAGAAGGGGTTTGGTTATGAGGGATCGGCCTTCCACCGGGTCATCAAGCAGTTCATGATCCAGGGTGGTGACTTCACTAAGGGCGATGGCACTGGTGGAAAGTCCATCTACGGGAACAAGTTCCCGGATGAGAACTTCAAGCTCAAGCACACCAAGAAGGGTCTCCTCAGTACGTCGCTGGCTGGTGTTCTCTTCTAAAAGTAATTCCAGGCTAACACTTGATAGGCATGGCCAACTCAGGCAAAGACACCAACGGCAGCCAATTCTTCATCACCACCGTCGTTACCTCCTGGCTGGACGGCCGTCACGTCGTCTTCGGCGAGGTCCTCGAGGGCTACAACGTGGTCGAGAAGATCGAAAACATAGACAAGGGCGCCGGCGACAAGCCGAAGAAGCCGGTCAAGATCGCCAAGAGCGGCGAGCTGGAGATGCCCGCGGAAGAAGGTACCAAAGCAGAGCTCTGATCAACCTCATGGCCTACCTACCTGCTCCGGATCCGCTGATGCTTCTCACCCTCTCTACCAAAGATCTCTTGGGTTCCGCTGAACCTGCTGTTGAGGGTGACGAACTGGACGTCACTCGCACCAACGCACCCAAGTTGGCGGCTCCGGATGTTGTGCCAGAGGCGGTCAAAGACACCATCACTTCGCAGGTGTCCAAGGCTGCTGAAGACGGGCTGAGCTTGGGGCAGAAGGTTTTCTTGCTAGCGATCATCTTGGCCGTTGTGGTTGTCTTTCTCCGCACGCGTAAAAGCCAGTCTGGCGCTGCGGCCTCTGGCAAGAGCAAAAGCCTGGTCTGATTACAATAGACATTTGCAATACTGTGGTTGGCTCGATGTGAACTCTCTCCAGCGACCATGGATTGTGACCTGTGAAATCAAAAGTGACGTGTGGATCATATCCGGAGAAACTAGAGCGGTGAGCCGCGAAGGCTGCGTGCTGCAAAGCGGCATCCTGCATTTCCATCCGTGTATAACTAATCCCACGATGCTCGTGAGCAGTGAGCAGTGAAACTTCTGGCTGCATCCATCTGTTGCTGACGCTGCGGTGAGAACCGGAAAGCGGCCGAGTGTCAAAGCTTGGCACAAGGGGCAACGCGGCAAAAAATTTGTGAGCAGCCTTAGCCGCTTAGGTTCGTTTCTACATCTTTCGCTCCAACACAAAACCTCCGCCCTCCCACTCTCAACCACCAAAACACACAAACAATATCCATCTGCTCTCTGCACGCTTCACAGAGCCTTTGTCCTTTTCTATCGTTCGTTTCTTGGGAGTATTAAGGATCTTGTAGTCCTTGCCTCTCCCTTCACGAACGCTTTCACGCTTGTTTCTGCCTGCTCACTCAGCTCGACTTTCGATCCACATCGCCACGTCGCTCTCTACTGCTCTCTCCAGAGTCTGGTAGAGTCTTAATACATCTCGGACGACTCCACGTTCGCCACAAACGACAACCCGACCGTCGTCAGACCTTCATCCGATCTTCACGCTTCGTTGAAAATATCCCGACATCTGAACAACCCATCTTCCAACATGGCTGATCAGCTTAACATGAACGGCTTGTCGCTCAACGACTCTCAGCACGCTCCGCACCAGAACGGGTTCGAGCGTTCGGCTTACATTCCGCCTCACCTTCGAGGCCGTGGTGCAGGAGGACCGCCTCCTGGACCGGAGATGCACGCTCCGCTACCGGCGATGGCTAACGGTGGCATGAACGGCAGCGCCGGCATGAACGGTAGTGCATGGGCAAACGGAGGGTCAGTCCAGAGTCCCCGAAAGCATGCCGATAGTCACTCGCTAATTCGAAATAGTGGCCCTCCACCCCGTCGCGCTGGCGGTAACGACAGCTGGGCCAGTGCTCCAAGCTTCAACCCCCACGGCGCTCGTGACGCTCCGCAAGGCGGATCTTGGGCTACTCCCGCTCCCTATCAACCAACTGGTCGCTTCGACCCGACCGCATACGGAAAGCCTGGTGCTGGTACCAGCGCAGCTGCTCGTGGATCTGGAGACGGACAGTGGAGAGATGGAAAGCACATCCCGGGTCCTGCCAACCAGCGTCTGGAGCGTGAGCTTTTCGGCGTTCCTAACGACCCGTCCAAGCAGCAAACCGGTATCAACTTCGAGAAGTACGACGATATCCCGGTTGAGGCGTCCGGCCAGGGCGTCCCCGATCCCATCACCAGGTTCGAGAACCCGCCTCTGGATGACCATCTTCTCAGCAACATCGAGCTTGCCGGCTACAAAGTTCCCACACCAGTGCAAAAGTACTCTGTTCCGATCGTCATGGCCGGCCGCGATTTGATGGCTTGTGCTCAGACCGGTTCCGGCAAGACTGGCGGCTTCTTGTTCCCTATCCTCTCTCAAGGATTCATCAACGGCCCAAGTGCGACTGCCGCACAACAAGGCGGTTTTGGCCGCAATCGAAAGGCGTATCCTACTTCGTTGATCTTGGCTCCGACTCGTGAGCTGGTCTCGCAGATCTTCGACGAGGCACGAAAGTTCGCCTATCGCTCCTGGATCCGACCGTGCGTCGTCTATGGTGGCGCAGACATTGGATCTCAGCTCCGCCAGATGGAGCGTGGCTGCGATCTGTTGGTTGCCACTCCTGGTCGTCTGGTCGATCTCATCGAGCGCGGACGTATCTCTCTTGCGAACATCAAGTACCTCGTTCTGGACGAGGCTGACCGCATGCTGGACATGGGTTTTGAGCCCCAGATCCGCCGCATCGTAGAGGGCGAGGACATGCCCCCAACGGCTGGCCGTCAGACCCTCATGTTTTCCGCCACGTTTCCGCGCGATATTCAGATGCTTGCACGCGATTTCCTGAAAGACTACGTTTTCCTTTCCGTCGGTCGCGTTGGTTCCACATCTGAGAACATCACGCAGAAGGTTGAGTATGTGGAGGACATTGATAAGCGCTCTGTCCTGCTCGATATCCTGCACACACACGGCGCAGGTCTCACTCTGATCTTCGTCGAGACCAAGCGCATGGCCGATTCGCTCTCCGACTTCCTCATCAACCAAGGTTTCCCTGCAACTTCCATTCACGGAGACCGAACCCAGAGGGAGCGTGAGAAGGCCTTGGAGATGTTCCGTAGCGGCCGCTACCCCATCCTTGTTGCCACCGCTGTCGCAGCCCGTGGTCTTGATATCCCGAATGTCACTCATGTTGTCAACTACGATCTCCCTACCGATATCGACGATTATGTCCACCGTATCGGCCGTACCGGTCGTGCTGGCAACACTGGTATCTCTACTGCCTTCTTCAACCGCGGCAACCGAGGCGTTGTGCGGGACCTCATCGACCTTCTGAAGGAGGCCAATCAGGAAGTGCCGAGCTTCTTGGAGAGCATCTCTCGTGAAGGCAGCGGCTTTGGTGGTGGCAGCCGTGGCGGTGGTCGCTCTGGTGGCGGTCGTGGCCGCGGTGCTACTGCTACACGCGACGTCCGTAGCTATGGCGGCAACCGTGCCCCTGGCGGCGGCTTTGGTGGCGGCTTCGGTGGTGCACCATCTGGAGGCTACGGCGGTGGATACGGCGGCCCTCCTGCTGGTGGCTACGGAGGTGGCTACAGCCAAGGAGGTTATGGCGGCGGCTACGGCAACCCATCAGGTCCTGGCGGTCAGTCCTGGTGGTAGACGTGTTCCACTCCACCGCGATGCCGGTGTCGCTCAACTGGGACACCCGCTGGCGGACTACGTCTTTTCGAGTTTGACGGTTGCTTCTAGTTTTTCAGTTTTTCTGCATCTGTTTTGCGTCGTGCTTCTTACGTCGGACTCGTCAGGTGGCACGAAGGTCCGGGAACTGCTCATACCCCACAAAGCATATAGATAGCGTTGAGTTTCCACTTGCGTTGTTGCCTCCCTTTTTAGAGCTCCTGCATAATGTCCAACGGAGGGCGACGGCGCAATCACTTCTCAGCTGGCAAAACCAAACTCAGCGCACACTGTGGGTCGCGGGCTCAAGAGGGGCCTGGCCTATCTCAGGGGAGCGAAATGCTTTACGACCTCTTTACGCTGCTCGCGTGCTTCCATCATAGATCTCGTTTCTCCTCCTGCTGCCGACGGGGGTTGTTAATTTGCTCGCTCATCAGTCCTAAAAGCGATTCTTCATCTTGCCATCACGGCTTCAGTCAAGTCTTTGCCCTTATATTGGGGCCACTTTCTAGCGTGCTCGTTGCAGGATACGTCAATGGAAAGGTATTCCGGGGGATGGTCATGGCTTCGGGATCGTCTGCGTCGCTCCATCAAGGCTCATGTGCCTTCCTAGAGGGGTAGGTGGTGGAAGTCTGCGCGATGAGTTCTCTGCTCGAGTATCTAGTGGCTATCAAGACTTTGTGCTGCGCGTTACGGTTGAGACGACGGGTCAACCAAAAAAAGTTTCCTTTTTCTTGTAGGCGGATAGCTGGATAGATCAAGCATTCTGTTGCTACTGCAATTCACTTGTGCCATGCGAATGTGAAGATACGAATGTCCTCTAGACTCGGGTATTGCTATCTGCTATGCTCTGCATATAATCATGCGTTCTTGAGGTATACCACAACCAGGAAACGGCGAACTATCTGTTCTCACCTCCATCTAGACGCTGGGGTCTTCGATTTGCTTAGACGTGAGCTGGGGAAGCATCTATCTTAAACAGTAGCTAGGGAGCTTGAACACCCTTGTGATCTAGAGGGCCCATCTGATTAAGTACTAGTGCTTCCCGCTGCAGCTGGCGATGTGACATTATCTGTAGTTACATAGTTACAGATCCCTTAAAATGGTCTCTACCAGCTCAACTAACCAGAGCTGAGCAGCTCTCCACAGGTTGGTCTCTCAGCACTGAATGTATTGTTCCCGAGCCATTTGCTTGTTGACCATTTCCCCTGTTCGGTATTGGAAGGGATGACGGAAAGCCTGACGGAGAATCTTCGGCCAAGGCCATCTTGAGAACTGGATAGCTTCATGAGCAGGAGCGCGAACCACGGCATTCGACGTTCGCTTGGAACAAATTCCGCTCCGATGACCGCCTTCACTAAGAATGCTATTGTCCTGGTGACTTCGACGACTACCACAATAATACCTTAAGAAGGACCCCATTTACCCTCCACTTCCATAATCCTACCATCCCTCTCCAAACCCTCTGCACAAACCCGATCCGATCCAGCCGAGACTGTGCGACATGATGGAAGCCAATACACCTGTCGCACCTCCGCGCTCTGATGCGCCCGATTCGAGAGCCAGTTTGCAACATATACTCGCTGCCGATCCTACCGTGGCCGTCCAGGCGCAAGAACCCGCAACACCCGCCAAGCCCGCGCAAGATGCTGTCAAGCAGGAGGATCATGATGATAGTATGAACGAGGGCAGAGCTTCGAAGGCGGGCTCTGCATCCAAAGAGAAAGAAATCCCCATGTACACATCGACCACCACGACCACTCGCCGCAACGCGAACGGCAGCGTCTCGTCAGTCTATTCGGGCAACAAGATACGCCACCTGAAGAAGGACGACGGTATACCGCTGTGGAGGAAGGATATCCAGTATGACTTCCTGCGGTTCGTCTTCGAAGACGATAAGAAAGTGTTCCACAGATTTTCTGATGGGACCTTCGGCTACACATTTGCAGACATATACCTGGACGCCATGGCGAAGAGCAGCAAGTGCAGCAAGATTCTGAAGGACAAGCTCCTCACGGAGCGCGCTGCGGCGATCAATATGGCCATGGTCTGTCTTCTAGTCAACGTTGGAAGGATGAACACAACCCTCAACTGTATGTCTGTGACGAGCTCCAGTATATACAGCATCCATTAACGGCTTGCAGTCTTCCCCGAGATGCGTGCACAGCTACGGACTTACCACTCTATACCCTCTCTCCAAGCCCAGCAAGACCCAAACGCCTACAAACAGCTTCAAGACGCGCCTCGCCTAAAATCAATTCTCAAAGGCGCCACCGAAGACGTCGAACAGCCCAGCACAATCGAAGAGGTCAAGGCAGCCAAAGTGCCCCGCACGAACCCCGTCAACCTCATCTTCGTACTCGCCCAATATGCCCCCAAGATCTCCGAAGTCCATTTCCCCCCTCCCCGCGACTTCTTCGATCTAGTTATGCGGCCCTCCCTCAGCAGCAGAAGCCGCGCGACTGCATTCCTGTGGTTAATGTGGTGGTATCTCGAGAGCGACTTCTCGGTGGAAGATGCGCAGGAGAACCCCTTCGGACCTGGCCAGTACGGCCAACCGGGCGACGCGACGAACGGCATGCCTCTCAAGTGCCCGCCTTTCAAGCATCTCTCAGAAGCCGAGATCGCAGTGGAGAACGTGGATACTGAGGAGGAGAAGGATTTTGGAGAGCAGAAGCGGAAGGAGCGCGTTGGTGAGCTGGTTTGATGTGCTTGATTGTACCTGAATGCTAACGAGCGGAATAGTTATACTTCAAAGCGATATGGCGCCGGTTGTTACGGGCCCAAAGCGTGGAGGAAAGAAGGGTCAGTCAGCATTTCTTAGTCACTCGCCAGTACCTCGAAGAAGGCCTCGGGTAGGGCTTAACCCTCCGGTAGACGAAGGTGGTAGGTTCAGTGCGAACGGCCAGTTGATCTACGGCTCGACGCCCACTGCCTTCGGAAAATGGCCATCTGGTGCGCTGTTGTGGCATGGCACGCCTAGTATGCAGTGGTCTTTCCGGAAGTTCTCATCGCGGATCAGCTGTACTCTGCCAAGGGCGCGGCTCTGTTCTCAAGACCTCTGAACCCGTTTCTGGGCACTTTCCCTACCTCTACTAACACACGCATTATAGGCTTCACCAACAACCCGGTTTTCTCCGTGGCATCAGACGACGGAGCAAACACACCAGCGCGAGAGCACCTATCTCCCGCGCCACAAGGCAGTACAGGTATTTGCCACCTTTCTACATCACTTGCAGCTACTACACGTCAATTACTACCGCATAAGCTCTTCCACTAACAGCTTTACGAAGGACGCGGCTCCGGTAAACCTCTCCTCAGCACCAAACCTTCCAACCTCGACTACCCTTCTGACACCTCACTCAACACCCGCTCAGCCAGCCCTCCGGCTCCAGCCTCCACAGCACCGAAATCTACTCCCAACATGCGCATCAACCAGCTCCTGAACGAAGAAACCCCACCTCCCGCCCCGCCCACAGCGCCCGAGCGCAAAGGCCCAGGCCGCGGCAACTGGGGCCCCCGCCGCGGCGTCCACAGCAACCATCCCGGCGCCGGCAGCGGGTCGCGCCCCGCCAAGACGAAGGGAGACGCCACCGCGGTTCCGGAAGCGCCGTCGTTATCGTTAGGCGCCGCAGGAGGAGCAGCAGCCGCCGGATCCACCGGACCGCACGGATTCTACCTCCCGCTCAACGGCGCGGATCCAAGCCACAAGCGCAGCAGGCCGCTGACGGCGCACCAGCAGGCGGTCGAGAAGTACAGGAAAGAGCGCGTGGATTTCATCCTCGACAGGCGGCTACGCGAGGAGTTCCGGGCCAAGAGACGGAGGAGGGTGCGCGAGGGCGCGGTCGGCAGGGCGTGGAAGCGGTGTAAAGTCCTGCCGGATGGGTACGATACTGAGGAGGACAATGCGCTAGGCATGGCGCCTGAGGGTGTGGTGAATCCGCCGCAGCAGATCCTCGCGTTTGGGGGGCTAGTACCCGCGAGCTTGGAGTGGGATGATTGGGGCGAAGAAGCGCATGCATGGCTGCAGGTTATGCGGCGGGCGGCTAGGAGGCTGGATAGATGGGAGGGCGGGACGGGGGAGAGTAGGAAGAGGAGGCAGGTCCTGGGTAGGGAGTTGAGGTATCAGGACGCAGAGGAGCAGGAGGAGGAGGAGCGGCGGGAGAGGGAGAAGGAGGAGCTTGAAGGGGATGGGGATATGGATAGGGAGAGGGAGAGCAGTCTGCCGGCCGGGGATGGGGAGGACGAGCAGAGGGAAGAGGAGCTGGATGAGATGGATAGGGAGCTACTTGGGGAGGTGGACGCGGACGAGACAGATGATGAGGATTAGGATATGGGAGCCTGTAAGAGTTCAGCAATGAGGGAGCGATGGTAATGGGTCTAAAGTGTGAGGCGTGCGGGGTCTGGCCGGACAGAATCATTAGAGCTATTACTGGCTGGGTCAAGGGGCATATCGGAGTTCAACCACGGTTCGGGCACACGGATCGGGCCTGTGGATCTCCCGGCGTTCGAGGGGTGACGATCATTAGGGAGCAGTGGTAGCTTAGTTTTTGGGATGAACCTTGTAAGAGTATGGAGCAAAATGCAACAGGAGACCATTGCGATCATTACCTGACCGAGTGGGCATCATGATTTTAACTTGAAGCATGGTGGGTGGTGGAACGAGCCTTACGAGCAACTATGGTAGGACGATCCTCTTGTGGTAAGACTGCACACGGCATTACACCGACTATTTCAGACATCCTCCTCTGCTACGAAATCTTCGCCTCTCCTCTATCTTTCTCCTCCCTCTTTCTCCTCCCTCGCCGCCGCCCCGAATACTCAACCTTCCACTTTCCCCTACGATTTACTTGCCACACTCTCTCTTTGATGGCAGCGTTTATCCACAAATTAGACGTCTTCTACCCCCCATAAAATTGAATACACAGCATACGCAGAAGGTTTCATGACACAGCTGAACGTTCCGCTCCCTCAAGTCAGCGCCCCCTCCAGCATCACGCACCCAGTTTTCCAAACCAACGCCTCAAAGCCGGCCCCTTACTAGCGTAGCCCTCCCCAGCAGCTCCGAAGCCCGTCCCCCAACTACGGTAGCCCAGTCCGCAGCACGGCCGCCCCCAAAACGGAGCCCTGACACCTCCCACGATGCTGGTCCTCGAACTCACGACCTGCGCCTTCATCTTCACCTCGCTCTTCTCCTTCGTCGTCGCCCTGCCGCGCGCACAGCCTGCGGCAAGAAAGCCACCGCTTGGAGCTCGGAAGGCGCCGCTGTTCCGGACGCCGCGGCCGGGAAAGCCGGGAGTGCGGCGCAGGCGCCAGGATGGGAGCGCTGCGGGGGGCGTGAGTGATGGAGGCGCTGCTAGGAGCGTGGGAGCCGCTGGGAGCCCGGGCCCGGCGCGCAGGGTAATAGGGCGGTAGGTGTGCAGCGGGTGGAGAAGGGATGGATGAGTGGCCGTGGTGATGGTGCGGCCTGTTTGGGTTTGGAGGGGACTGCGAAGCGCGTGGTTGGAGGGTTTGAGGTGGAAGAATGATGAGGTTTGATGGGAAAGGCTGCTGGGGGTGTAATGAAAATAATGGGCGAAGTTGAGGCAAAGCGAACTAGGTCCTGCGCTTCGACCGCTAAGATAGCTTGATTTCGCGTTACGTACAGAGGGATTTGTTTGACTGCGGGCATGACTTGAAAACGAGATCGTGATTCAAAGGGTATGTATACCGCGGTGCGGCATCGCGGGAACTACCTGCAGCCTCAGCAAAATGCCTCACCCATGCTGCTGAGTCCCATACCTCTAGTTTTCCATACCAAACGCCGCGCTAATTCACAAGTCGTTGATCATGGCCTCATGGCCGTTGACTTTGATTCTCACATCCCATGATGTTTCGCCCATCTTATTTTTCCGGGGCATCAGGCAACCTCTCGATGACGAATTTTCCTCTTGCAACACTCATAATCGGCACGCCGGGTATCTTTCTTATTCTCCGCTTCAGATCTCGATCGTTTGTCGCGACGATATAGATCTTATGCTTCATGACTCTGTCGACAATACCTGCGCGGGTCAGTCACTGCGCTAGCCAAGGAGACCAGAAAATCGGAAGCTTACAGTCGTCTGCATACGTCCCCTTGTGGTCGCACTGTAGCCGCTCCCACCGCTCATCTCGGGCTATGCGGAGAGCTAACCTGTATTTCTGGCCGAGCTTCTCGAGCTCCGACTATTTGTCATTGTCAGCCCCATCACTGTGAATCCTCTAGCCTAAGAGGTCTACACACCATCACACAAGAGGTTATAACAGGCGTGCATTTGGCATACAGGCAGTCCATCATTGTCGGCAGCAGCTCGAGCTTCCGCTGGATGCTATGGCTCAAAAAATTCTATGAAGCTGTCAGCGAATGGTCCGCGTACAGTGCCAGATTTCATACCGTGTCAACCAAGACCGAATAAGGCGGGACAAGCGCGGTGTTGTACTGGAAGAAAAGGGACTAGCGATAACATGTCAGCAAGCGCTTCGAGGCCTAGACGGTGCGAAGGGAGGCGTACGGATGAGACTTGTGGTCTGAGCGATGGATGTCAGCATTCTGCCAGTGAGGACATGGGAACCGGGCAACGCACATTTCTCGCACTACATCGTCCCCTTTCTTCTTCGCTTCGACCTCGCCCTTGAGCTGGTTCTTCTTGAGGCGCGCGTCCCGCTGTCCGATTATGCGCTTGACCGTGGCGAACTTGCGAGTCTTCTTTTGGACGCCCTGTGATGCTGACATGAGCTTCGGAACACTTTTGTGCGTAGCTCTGCCGGAAACTAACCATTGCAGCAGAAAGTGCAGTTCTCTTCCTTGGCGTCTTCCTGGATCTATCCTGTGTTTTCTCGAGCTCTTCCTGCAGCGCTTCAAGACCTAATGGCCTTGAGGCCTGTGTGTGGTGGAGCGAACGGTGGCGCGAACGGTGGAGCGAAAGCTTAAAGTGCTCGTAGGCGGAGTTGTGGGGATGCGAAAGCTGGACCGGGATGACTTGTTTTGAGATTCGCTGTCTCTGTCTGCTGCGCGGTGGCTTTAATTCGTATGATCGGAAAAGCTATCCGCTCACCGGCGACATGCAGTTGTTGAAGCTGAGTCTTGGCGGCAGAGATGTCTAAATCCGCGAAACTCCGTCAGCCTCAAGAAGCGCGCGTCGGAAAAACTAGCCGGAAGATGCAGGGCTGTAAGTGGCTGACTGGCTGACAGGCTTACCCGCTGCACATTAGCGCACGTTCCTGGTGCAGGAGCGAGCAGCAAACACTTCCCTGCACGTTCCCGTCTGTTCCCGTCTCCTGCGGTGGCTCCCGTGCAAACTGCATTCTTCTGCATTCTTCTGCAACCACTTACACATTTACAGGCAACAGGCTTCTTACTCTTCTTCGTTGCCGCGCTCGTCGCAACAGTCTCATTCATTCGCACACATTCCCCAGCACACCTCGTATACCGCAGCAGACATTAGCGCTCGTCGAGGGAAGCCGTAAGGCTGTAAGGAGGCGAGGGGCATTGCAGCACGCATCCCAGCATCTTCCTGGGCAGAAGACTTAGCAAAAGAAAAGAAAGAGGAGCATTTTCGGCTATTCGCCCAGTCACTCATTATACCAGCTAGTTCATCGGCATAGCACACTCGTTGCGACCCTCGCGACGCTTCCGACCGTCTCACGTTTACTCAACATTTCTTTGTTCGACCGTATAATTGCCGACATCGCGACTCCCTTTCGACACCGGCCAACCCATTCTTGACCACACGCCATCATGAGGCTCTCAGCAGGGTCGCTTCTTGACCCAATGGCAAACCTCTACTCGACCTTCGCGCTCCTCCTCCTCCTCGCATCCTCAGCATACGCGCAAAGCGACCTTCCAGACCTAAGTACAGCCGAACGACCAGGCGAGGCAAGCACGACCGCGGACGCACCAAGCACGACAACACGAGGCCGCGCAACAACCACAGAAGCCGAATCCACAGCCGAATCCACAGCCGAAGCCACAGAGACCGCAGAGCCTACAGAATCCTCCGACGAAAGCACCGCCACAAGCGACGAGACCACCACCGCCCTCCGTGCCGCACCCGTTACGTCCGCGCCTTCTATCCCCACATCCTCCATCTACCACCTAACCAACGTCCCCACCATCGCCGGCGCCGGCATCCCCACAATGGTCGTCCCCTACACCGCAAACGCGCCCTTCATGCAGAAAACCACCCTCCCCGAAGGCACCGTCTTCATCTGCGCAGGCGCAATACTCGGTTTCCTCGGTGCCTCCATCCTCGCCTGGCGCGGGTTGGTCGCCTGGTCACTGCATCGCTCCGTCAAGCGCGCCGCGCTGGGCCAGAACTACCCGACCGACCTCAAGTCCGCCTTCCGCGCGCCCGGCGGCGGCCAAGGCGGGTTCTACAGCGCCGCCGCACAGGGGAGCGCCATGTCGCTCGACCGGCTCAACAGCGCTGCCGGCGGCGTGGGCAAAGCACATCGCGGCGCGACCACTCCGTCCCGAGGGAGTCTGTTCTTCAGCCCGACAGCCGACACGGGGATGCACGGCGCCCTGGACCGCAACTCCGCATACCTCCCCGCGGGGTTCTACAGCGCCACCGCCGCCTCTCCCGCCGGCGGAGCAGGGACAACGCACATCGGTGGCAGCCCCAGCACCTCTGTGTACGGCTCATCCGCACAGGGCTACTCGCGCACGCGGAGCTACGTCGATGCCACCCCGCCAGCGAGCCCCGGCCTGCATTCGCACAGGAGCACCATGCTGTCTGACCGCGGTGGAAGGGGGACGCCGGATACGTACGCGAGGAGCTCGATGGTGGGGACGGTGGGCGGCGGGTACATGGGTGCGCTGGGCCAGTCGGGGAGCTCGAGTACGCTGAACTTGACCGTGCCGGGGGGTACGAGTGCGGCGGGTGGCAGGGCGCCTAGCGCGTATTTGGAGGATCTGTTTGAGAGTCATGGACAGGAGGGTGCGGGGAGGTATTAGTGTACAGTACGTCTTGGGGTGCGAAAGGGGTTGGCTGCATTGGGCGGTACGGTTTGTGCATCTTTGCGGGTTCTGTAGCGATGGTGGAAAGGTTGGTTTGGGCATGCTTGGTTAGCGGTCTTGTAGCGTTTGTAATTCTCTGTATATTCTTTCCACAACGGGAGTCTTTGGTTTATCCACCGTTAATTTTTTCATTGGTCAAAGCAAGACTTGTGTTCTACCCAGCGATTGATTTATCCAAGCTCTTTGGCGTCTGGAAGTATTGTCTATCGAATTTCTCTTGGACTGAGCGAAGCCTCCCGCGTCTGGATTCGAGCTGATCGAGGTTGACCGCCGTAGGCGCCTCTTGAGCGTTTCTGATGTTCTATGTTGACGCCATGGAGGACAAAGATTAATACGTCTCACGATTTGTGGACAATACTCACGGTGCATGTCTAAGTTGTGGGTTCCATGACAATGCAATGCGAGTTCCGCATACCTACTGCCTCCGCACCCAGGGACAATAACCACCGGACTCGAAAACCCATAAACTGGTAGGGGCACTGCGTTGACCGTCAATTGGAGGCTTCATCGTCGAATACAACAACAAGAGCTAGGTTAGGAACCTAGGCGTAAGGCAGCGCATATGGCCTCATAAGCGTGCTCAAGCCACAAGCAGAGGTGAAAACCGTCACAGTAAAAATCTTTGCTCACATGGAGAAGTTCATAAGTTTTGGTGATTTGGGAGTCTGAGCTGGAGGGACTTTTCGATGGTTTTGCTATTTAAATAGCTGCAATGGGAGCACGAGTAAACTTTGATAAGCACACGTCCGTGACTAATGTCACGCCGTATGCATGGCAGGTTCCTTCCGCCTACCTCCATCTGGACGCGGGAGGCTTTGTGTAGATGAGACGGGGGCTTAGCAGTCGTCTATCGCAGACAGTAAAGGGCTGTAAAGTCCTCATCATTCGGTACGCCGCTATAAATATTGGTGTCTCATTCCCTACCGTTAGCGACGTGACATTGTTTATAACTGCATGATATTGCGTTCCGATGGGTATGAGTCGGTCCTCCGAGCGGATCCAGCATGGTACAATCATGGACGCCTTCAGCTATGAAGATGACATTGTGTCCGAGAAAAACAAGGTATGCCGCCTGGGTTGCACGCCACCTGCTTATCCCATTGCCTGCTGACTTTGAGGAACAGAAGCGACAATGGCATAGTGAGGCGGCATTGAGGAACCATTTCACAATCGCCATGCATGCTCCTCGAAGCAAATGGAGGCGACAAATGTCGACATACCACGCAGAGCAGAAGCTGCGTGATTGGCCGTGTTCTTACTGTCCGGCGCAGTCTCCGCTAAGATTCAGCAAGATTGAGAGGCTTGAGAAACACACCAGGGAGAGCACGGCTGAGTCGCATGGCCTGGAGCACGATCGTATGAAGGCCGATGACGGCGTGACGGCTGGTATGAGGATGACTTCTTCGGAGGAACAAGGGATTACCAGCCACGCGAGTGACAGAAAACGCCGGACTCGTAAGCTACCGGACTTACAACTCACTCCTAAATTATCGAAATCTGTTAGATTTATCACGTCTCTAAAGATCTTTGCTCTTGCCATCCTACCTCTAGGTATAGCTTGCACATGTTTATGTAGCAGTATACCACGAAAGAATACGCCTATTCGTAACCTTCGTAAGCTGACTGAAGACCTATCTGTTTTCCGGAGTCCGGCAATTTCTGTCACCCAGGTGCCAGCGTCATGCCAACGCGGTACAGCTGGAAAGGGACCTCGCATTTGCAGGTTTCGAGTTGAACAAGCGTAAGCCAGAGCTCCCTGCTCCGCAGCCGTATCCTACTCTACCTGGAATCGTTCTTGGGGGTTTTAGTGATGGTCGCGTTCCCGACCGTCTTAAGGGCTTAGTGAAAGTCGTCAACCGGAAACAATTTGCACAAGAACCTATTCCCCATCATCTCAAAAGCCTGACTAGGGTCGGAGACCCTAGGGAAGCGGTAGGGGAGCCCATTCCGAAGCGTTTCAGTGCGCACATCACGACGAAGAGCGGAGAGAACGGAGAGTCGGGTGCTTGATCTGGTGGATAGCTTTCATGGCCTGTTATATTGCTTGGGCGGATGGACTATGGTTGCAAGAGGAGCTGCTGTCCCGCGGACCACGATTTGCTCTGGTTATTCATGGAGGTGCTTGACGAACAAGTAATACGTTCATAGCTCTATTCGCTAGGGAATGCATACTCCGTTCTCATGGCTCTTTTGAATCCGTGCGTCACCTTTTCGCCCCAGCATAAGCCCTGAAGGTAGGAGTCGAAGTCCACAGAGCCGAAAGCGCCTTTGCTCCACGGCGTCCCGGCTTGAGGCCCTTGATGAGGAAGGCTGAGTGAGGTTGAGGCCCGTGTTCGATATTGGTGACCGCGTTCAACACCAAGGACTATATTTTGGATAAGGCAAACGGTCCAATTAGCTAAGATCTCGCTTGAAACATTAGATAAAACGCGTCAGCAATCCAGAAAGGAACCAGGAGGAGTTCCAGATAATGCAAAAAGAAAAGGGTCGATCCGGAATTCGAATCCGGGGCCTCTCGCATTTTGTACTTAGGGTAATGCCCTAAGCGAGAATCATACCACTAGACCAATCGACCTAAAGATGAAGGAGCTACGTTCATGCATCTTAGATAAAGGACGGATTTTGCTAGTGCGGCGCGGTCAGAGGTCGGCGGTCGGTAGTTCGACGTTCTACTTACTCTAGGTCGAGTCCGTAGTCACAATCGAGATGTTATAGTAGTAGCTCCTAACTATGAATTCGACCGTAATACTTACGAAGACATAGGACGAAAGCTGTTCGTAGCTCCATCTGCTAAACAATGCAAGCTCCATTCACATGGCTCGCGGGACTTTGGAGCAAGTGCATGCTTGAATCTTCCTAGAAGGGGCAAGGACCAGTTGAGAAGTCTGTCACGGCATGGAAAGCTACTCGTGGCCCCGGAGGTGGACAATCTAAGCATATAGCCTATAGATTAAACACGCCTTAAGTGATTGGTGCATCAAGGGGCTAAACTACTGTAAAATCTTTTGCTTTCTAGTGTATAGAGTTGCCCAGCTGTTCTCGATCAGCAAGATCGTAGGTCAAGCTTGATCATGAATTTGGGTCAAACAAGTGAGAGTATAGATGCAGTGACGATCTTTTCGGGTGACTTTACAGTATCTAGCTACAATTAATAGGGTTAGGAGTCCAGTTCGATCGTGAATCTGGTGTTGAACAAGCCGAGGTACAGATGCAGCAACGGACTTTCCAGATCGCCCTTGGAGCTCTTTCCCGCATACAATCGTACAGAAGCATGAAATGATTCTCAAAGCGCCCTACTGACGTCTGTTGTGAGAAACCAACTATTTCACGAAGCGAGGAATAAACGTATTGATCCAACTCTCTTTGGCCTACATCTACTAAAGAGGCCATTACTTATAGGTGACCAATCTCCAAGGAGGCGAAGTACACGTGCCCGCACCAAATGTCCCATCCACTACTCGAGACCCTCCATAGCTTCAGGTAGCCGACCCATTCAGCTCCAATGATTCGTACATGTAGACGCCACGCCACGGCCTCCGTCACCAGAAATACAATGCATAGTTCCTTGAGGGAACGGAGGATGTTGGGAGAAGAAGAATAGAGTACAAGTATGCATCCGCATTCCAAGACCACCATCGCAGGGTCTAATACTCATCGCTCGCACCAACTGCCGTGAGGCAAGGTCAAAGAAGGCCCAAGTGACTAGTAATTCAGTACAGGAGGTTGACTCCTGAATCGCGAATGTTGATGTGGAACTCAAGGGAACAGGTGGGGAATGTGACACCTAGCCTACCTTCCCACCGAGAAAGAACGACCTATCCGCTCCTTGAACATGGGGAGCGGAGGAAGGTCATCCTGCCAATGGCTCTTAAGCTCGTCGTTCGAACCTGCACACAGCTTACAGCACGTCCCGGCTCCAACTGAAGTCCCAATGCCAGATCCCACCGCCACAATCATCAGCGACTCCCCGGCACAGCCGCCTGATGCTGCCCCATAACCGGACTCCCCTGCATCAGCAGCTGTCCCTGCGGCGTCGCACTCCTGCTCTCCGGTCGCGGTCCCTGCCCCACCACCCCGCCACTCCCCAGCGTTGCGTTGCTCAGCACCGGACTCCCCTGGCCGAGCTGCTGCTGCGACGACGGTGGACGCTGCTGCATAGTATGCTGATGTATCTGGCGCTGATACAGCTGCTGCCTGCTCATACCGCTCGGCGGGCTGGCGCTTCCCGCGTGTATATGGTTGGGTTGCTGGGCCTGCGCCTGCTGGTAGGCGGCCTGGGCCCCCATGTGCTGGCTTGCTTGTTGGGAGCCAAGACCTGCAGCGCCGCCGGCGGCGTTTAGGGCGTTTTGGCGGGTTCCGTTCGTGCGGCTTTTGAGGCGCTCGAGGGCGAGTTGGCGGACTTCGTCCGGGGTCATGTGCGGGTTTTGGGATTGGATGTGGGCTGATATCTCGTTGATGGCGGGGATGTGGCCGCTTGATAGAGGCTGAGGTCGGGATGCTGGATTGGCGTTGCTCATCCGCGGAGAAGCTGAAGATCGCGGGATGCCGGCACCATTCATGTTCGCGCTTGCGGCTGCATTGGCGCTGACAGCATTGCCGTTCATGTGCTGGTTGTTGGCCATAGCAGCTAGCATAGCTGGATTCGGCATCCCCCCTCTATTGATGCCGTTCATGGCCCCTTGCATGCTCCGCTGTATTGGGTACTGTGGCTGGCCCGCTGCGCCTTGGACGGCGCGCTGTTGCATGGCAATGCGTAGGTTGTCTGAGGAGCTCTGCGGCTGTAGGCCACCGCGCATGTTGACTTGCATATTCGCTTGAGGGATGGCCTGTGGGTTCAACGGCACGCCAGGTACAGCACCATTAGCTTGATTCGCCTGACCAGTAGGATGTGGTTGAGCTTGAATGTTGACACCCTGCTGAGGATGGCCGGGCTGGAGGTTGGCGTTGCCCAGAGGGCTTGGACCATGGCCATTCACGCCAGGGTTGTTGTGTGGTTGTTGCTGGGGACCATTCGTCCCGTTAATGCCCTGCTGCTGCATAGCGCGCTGGTGCGACATCGCGAGCATCTGCATCCAGTTGTCAGAGCTCGGATCGATAATACAGGTTTGGCTTGGTTGTGCTTACCCTCTGTTGATGCATCGCCTGGTTGTTGCGCGCTATTGCCGTCTCCTTCTCGTGCTTCATTTGACTGAACTGTTGTGGGGTGTGAGTCTGGTTCCGGGGACGCGCTCCTTCGTGTGCCTTCCGGAGCGCAGCAGCTTTGGCGGCTGTGGGAAGCACATCATTAGCAAGAGCCATGTTGTAATGTCACGTCAGACCAGAGTGCTCGAACTTACCTTCCTGTTGTTTGTGCTGTATAGACTCTCTCTTCCGCGCCAGCTTCCTCATCGCATCTATCAAGGCCAAGTAGCGGTTGTTCCTCCGCCTCTCCACTCTACAAGGCTGTGAGCTTCTCCGCCGTACAGGAGTACCCTGGCCAGGAGTCTGTGCTTGCTGCTGCTGGGAGGCTTGCCACTGAGCCGCGATAGATCTTGCCGCCGTTTCAAGCCTGCTCTGATACGTTCTGAAGTATGCCGTCTTCAACATATCAGCAGGAAGACCTTCCAAAAGGTACCATCGCTCAAAGCATTCCCATGGCGTGCGCCGTTCGGCAGCGGACGTAAAGAGGGAAGGAATCGCAAGGCGGTCAGAGATGATGGACCAGTTGTAGGAATACTCCCTGACAAGCGTACGAAGCCTCTGGTCTTCTTCCCATAGCCATTGCGATGATGTCTTCGCCTCGAACCAGGTTGTGGGTGGCATTCCAAACTCCGCTGGAGGCCGGAAAGCATGACTGGCGTGAATACGGTCTCGCAGAGTTTGATTTTCCTTGTTGAAAAGGGCAACATCGGTGTTCTCTGGAGGAATCTCTTGACGGCTGATGTGATAGCCTTGAGAAGGCCAGACATCTTCGGAAGACTGCCCTGTGCTGCGGTCTCCTTGAACCTCATCCTCTTCTTCATAGTCGTAACGGCTTTTCTTCTTCGGAGGTCCCAGAATTGTGGGTACAATCTTGCCCGTAACGAGCTTAGACACGGGGACGATGGGCAGCGCAGGGGCGGTCGAAGAGGCAGAATCGTTGGGATCATCCGGGGGAATGTCTGGTAAAGGCTTTGGCTCGTACAGGGGAAGTTCCGAAATGAGACTGTTGGTGGCAGCGTTGTCCTCCAAACACAGAATGACGTCGTCGTAATCAAGCGAGAAGAGAGCAGTGGGTGGTTGTGCAGTCCCTGACGCGCAACCCGGCCCTTCGTCGTCAGGAAACCATTCACTCTCCGTCTCGTTAGCAGCGGAGTGGATAAGCTCTGGTACGTCGTGCGATCCTCCACTCATATTGGACTGGCTAGTCGCAAGAGCGTCCGCCCCGGCTGCCCCATTACTCCCTGCACGATCTCGGCGGAACGACGCATTGGGTCGGACCTTGACTTGCAATAGCTTCCGTTGTCGTGGACCCGAAGCGACGAACTCGGCACACCAATGGGCCATCTTTCTTGCGATGGCATGTTTCCATTTACGCTCCTCCCGAAAGTCAGTCCGCATCGCTTTCATCTGACCAAGCAAGTTGTCCCAAACATTAGGTGGACGCCGCGGCTCCTGGGAACGCTCCAGCTGTCGAAAAGACCAGCGGCTAGCGCTCTGCATTTGATAGATCTTCTTAAGGGTCCTGTACTCGTGCACAGCTTCCGCAGCAGCATGCTGGTTCTCTGTGCTGACTGTCTTGTTTGCGGTTTGGAGGACATCCAGGAGTGGACGAGATCGAGGAGATTGGTGTGCCTGCCAACTGAAGAGTGGCTCAAGATAATCTCTGTCGGGATCCTGTGATGCCCCTCGGAGCGCAGCGTAGTCCTCGGATTCACGTACCAGCTCGTCGAGAATTCCTGTATGATCTTGGTTTTTAAAGACGACAGTAGACAGTCGCCTTCTCTTAATACCGCGTTGTCCAGCGTGGCTTAGCTCGCTAAACATTTGCGCAACTGCTTGCGTTGAGTCGACTTCAACAGATCCTAATGCAGTGTTCTCCCCACTGAGTCCAGATGAGTTGATCGCAGACGTGCGTTCAGAATCCTGGATCAGCGGAAAATCTCCCGATCCACTTTGGAGGCCGTCTGCGCGATTCTGGTTCATGCCTATATCTTTACGCTCGCCGCTTTCAATCTCACCTGATGATGCAGACTGGTGGCGCTGAGCAGACGTAGCCAACGGCTGACTTGATTCTAATGTCGTGGCATCACCGTCAGGCACATTGAGAGGTGCGCCCCGGTTGTCCTTGGAAATATCATTCCACATTTTATCAACAGATGCAGGGGTGTTTAGAGAGACGACCCCTAGAGCTGTCGTCAAAGGCTTGACCTCGGGAGGGAATGTGTCACCCCCTGCTCCTTGCGCTGATTCCAAGGCGTTTTGAGATGTTGAACCTTGGTCATTTGCTCCCGCCCCGTTTGGCGTAAAAGCTGCGTCCCGTGCAGCCTTTATGGCCTGCTCGTCTTCTAGATGAAGCTGTGCGTCTGACATTGCTGGGCTTCCCGCTCTAGCTCTCCTTCGAGCTGCATCCATCTGTGATTTGAGGATCCGATGTTCTTCATCCTTGGTCATCTCCTCTTCATAGACGGATAGCGATCCATTACGTCCCGACGCTGCAATGTCTGCTGGAAAAGACTCCTCGTCAGGACTGGTATCTGGAGAAGGATGCGCCGGTCTTGGGGTGGTGGTTGAATGCGGTCCCACAGTGGATGATGGCGAGGACGCCAGGTCTCCGAGGCCCGATCCCAATGATAAGGTAGCTTTCTCGTTTAAGATGCGATCCCTTCGTGCAAGAGCATGCTCTACCTCCCGGAGATGCCGCTCTTGTTGGTCCCTTGGAGGCAAGTGGACTACCTTAGGTTGTCGCGGATCATCCTGAGCCTGGAACCCCGGAATTTCCGCAGCCGGGAGAGCGACAGCATCGTCTGCAGTCAGGGGAGCGGCAACTTTGGGGTCGATGGACGGAGAATCGGGAAGAACCGTTTGAGATAGAACATCCTGAGAAACTCCCTCACTCGATTGACGGTCACGGCCATGGCCAGCAGGGCTTCGGACCGGGTTGCTCTCAATGGGTTTAGCCGTTGTTGCGGCCGGCGTCATCTCAGAAGACGATTTCACAAGTGGAGAGGGCGTTGATTTTGGTACAGCCTTCGCCATTTCATGTGTCATGTCGGCGTCAAGGCCCGAACTTGCAGTTGCGGTTCCGTCCGCCAGGGGTGAAGGTCGTACGTCGATATCCACACCGGGCATCGACTCGCCAACCGCACGTGGTGTCTGCATGTCCGCCGGCAATTGGCTTGACTTTTCTGAGACAGATGACCGTGGAGACTTTGGTGAGACACTCGCATCTTGTGTAGGCCAAGGTAGTGATGCGTCGTTGAAATATCGACCTCTGAAAACGAGACAAGAGCGCAGCGATCAGTGATTGGACTGGATGGAACGGACGTAGAAATGATGTGTTCGAAACAACGACGATGAACTGTAGAAAACGAGGATAACTTACTTGGCAATGTCATTTTCATCTAAGAAATGCAATTCTGCGGCGTCGGGCGGCGCATCGAAGTTGAGTTCGTGGAGCTTTGGGGCGGAAAGTATATAGGCGGAGTAGGCGTAGAGCTCGCGCAGCTTGCGAAATCGGGTCAATTGACATGCGCTACCGTCACGGTATCAGCACCACAACACGTAGACAAAACAAAAGGAGCGATTTTTCGGTTTCGCATTACACGAAAGATTGGATCGCAACAAAGTGCGACCGTAAAATAAGCAGGCAACTCACGCGATCTCGTTCTTTTTCTCCCGGGATATGGCATCACGAAGGGTGTCTAGGGACATGTGCGGGCCGAATGTGGACGAGCGACATCCGTCATCCGCATCGGCGAGCAAGCCCTTGATTAATGGGGGGTGGTGGTGCGGGGGGGCTGATGGTTGTTCTGGCGATGAGACGTTGATGGACTTGTGCTTTTCGACTCGATGGCTTCTTGCGCCAAAATGAACGGGTTCCATCACGTGATTTTGTGAAGGAGACCCGCCGCGTTCATTTTGGCCGGCCCTTGGACGCTAAGGCTGGTACCTAAGCATGCCTGAGGCTGCACTCGCTCACAGGCAGCCGTTGCGCAGGGCGCCCTCTTGGACTCACACTCCTATCAACCTTCGCTTCATTTGTCACTATCTTTCCAGCTCACTACATATTCACCCATAGGTAGGTGTTGCGAGAGTGCACCCTCTTGCACTCACATTCCTTTTAACCTGCGCTTCATCTGTCACTACTTTTCCAGCTCCCTACACACTCACTCTGAGACGCCTATTGCCGGGGAGGCCCTTTCACCTTCACAGTCATATTGGCTTTCACTTATATTCATCTCTATTTTCCAGCTTCCTGCGCAATCACTCAGACGCCGCTGCTGCCGGAGAAGCTTCAGTCGCTCGCTATGCCTCGCAAGAAGACCCAGGCTACCCAGGTCGCCAACGTGCCCAAGGAGAAAAAGCCGGAACCAGGCCCAATGCCTTTGTTCTACCTCGACAAGGATTTCAGCGATTTCACCGACTACCTCGCTGTTCTAAGACTACCAGGCTCGATCAACCTCAGTGAGCTCACAGAAGAACGATTGGAGGAAGCTGGCAAGCAAGCCCTACAGACGAATCACTTCACAGGCGAAACCCACCCCGACTACTGCGCTGGGAAAAGATGCCACCAGCATCACTCACGGATGTTCAGTCTAATTGAGCGGTCAGCCAGCCTTCTCGCCAACGCCGATCTCGCAGCACGACACCTTGCTGAGCGGGAGCAGTTCTGTGAGCAGAAGAACAAGTTTGAATGGATCACCCTATGTCACTATCCAGCTGGTCGAATAGCGGAGTGCCCGCAGCTAGACTGCCCTAGCCACGCGAACGATGTGGATGGTGGAGAGCAGCTGGCCGAGGCACAATTTCCGAGCAGTATCAAGCAGGCCAACAAGACTGGAAGCGAACGTGGCATACCCATTGGATTGTGGAGCAAAGACGACTCAGCGGACAAGCGTGTGGTCTATGTCAAGGTCAGCAAGGCAGGATTACTGAGGTACCCGGGCAGGTTCAGCGAGAGTGGCCGAGAGGTAGACCGCGCGAAGAGCTTTCCTCACAAAGGGAATCATCTGTCAGACCGGCAGGTGATCCCAAAGGATCTCGGCTTCGGATTCTTCCCCACCTCTCTAAGAGTAGGATGTAGCGAGGCAGAATTGAAAGACTTGCACCGTGCGCTCATTGCTCGGTTTCCAGAGACGAAGAGCGACTTCGGTGAGTGGGCTGAGAAAGAGCTGCCGTCGAGTTACCAGCGCAATACTCAGGACAACTCAAGCGTCGTAGCAGCAACGCCTCTAGAGGATGCAGCGACCCAGCCTCCAACTCCGGCGGAAGTAACAGAATTCCTGGTTTATCATGGGCTAGAAGACCACCTCGACAGGCCCTTGCTGGGACCTGAGGTTCTCAGATCAAGTCGGCTAGCCCAGGCCACAAACGGCAAAACGTACGAGTGGGTTTACCAGGGAGCCTGGCGTGAGTCCATTGCTCAGCCAACCAAGGTGGCACACTCCCTGAAGGACCTCATTACTTCGATGAAGAGGAGCCAAGCTGGTCCACCACCAGGATCAGCAGCGTCGGCATCGAAGAAGGCGGCCACTAGCCAGCCAACAGACCCAAGTATCGCGAAGTGGGAGAGACGACCCTGCCTCGCTTGCGAGCAGGCATCCAGTGAGTCTGCCCAGGACAAGTACACCGAGCATGGCATCCCATTCGTCCCGAGCTACGCGGCCTGCTCAATTGTTGGGGACGGAGAAGGACCTTGCAGCTTCTGTAAGCTCTTAAGCCAAGATAAGTGCTGGGACAACGACTGCGAGATGCCATGCGGTGCGCACGAGCCTGATGGTTCGGATGATGAAGACAACCCGCCCGGTGAGCGGCACCGAGAGAATTGCCCGGAATGCCTGAACTGGAAAATCGAGGATGCCCACCTGGAGTGGTCTGAGGCCGCTACTCTGCCTCCTCAGTACGATGGCAAGCCTTGCTATGCATGCTTGACGATAAGCGCGCAGAGCGGCAGGCCACCTGCGAAGTACTGCTCAGCTTGCAACACTGGAACTGCGCCGTGCAAGTCTTGCACCAACCCTGAGCATGACCTTGGCTTCTGCGGCTTCAGGTGCCTGGAGTGGGACAAAATTCAGGCGATAGACCTCAACACTGGGCTGGAGCAAGAGACCCATCGTGCGAAGCTGCATCGGCTGTTTTGCAGCCAGTGCTTGACCTTCGATGCCAGGGTAGAGGAGTAGGCGGACCCACAGTCTTACACTGCTAAGTTTCACAGGATCTGGAGTTTTGGTTGCTTTCATGTGCACTGGGAAAGAGATGCTGGCTGGGCAAATTAAGGAGAGTAAGGATCTTCACATTGCTTGGTTTACAAGACAGCAAAAGCTCTGGCTGTCTTTCTGGGTTTTGGGAAAGATTGTTGGCTGGGTGAGGGTTCCAACATCTACCGAGAGACATGATCTCTACGTATCTGGATTTACAGGACTGCAAATACCCCTAGTAGTCTCTTCGGCAGCTGGTTCACTAGGGCTGCATATCTTTTGATTCTTTTCTTATGCTTTGGTTCTCCTCTTATGCTTTCTTTTCTTTTCTTATGCATATCTTGAGCTTCAAGATAGGGGGACTGGGCAATGGGCGGGAGAGCTCTTCAGAGGGAAGCTACCTGAACCAGCGCTGGACATCTTGGATTGCTGGGTTAGTGATACGGCTCTGAGCTTCGATCTATAAAAGTGCAGGCTCTCTACATCTCTATAAAGCGAACCTACTATTTCGTGAAGCGTATGCGCCGTGAAGCTGACCCTAACAAGAGGGCACTGTTACATAACCTAATGGCTCCCAACTTTCACCCCTCACCTAACTCTTAGTAACATCGTTAGACTACTACGTCGTGCTTCCTTTCCGCTTCGCTGTTTTCGCGCAGCGCGCTGACGTTGCCTCGTTCGCTATCTAAACTTATTCAATATTGACCCGTAGTTTTGTAAATTCGTGCTGAACACCTAGCCGGGAATACATTTCACTGGAGTGCTACTAAGATACTTATGTAGACTAGTCACTAGAAGTGTATCAATGCCGTGCATAAGAGCCACATAAGGGTATTTTCTATCAAGATAGAATCTTAGCGCTCTAAGCTAAACCCTAAGCTGAACCTCTAGTTAAGCTAGCACGGCTCAATACTTTGGGATGTGTCTCCTAGCTTGAAAACATTACGGGGCGGAATTTACTAGAACCTGTATAATCTCAGCCATCGCCCCAGTATCTTCAGAGGACCAATGGTATTCCGTAATTTTTGAGCGTGGACAAAGCAAGCGGTGCACACAGGATTGCATATATTGCGGGCGGCCAGGTAGCAGCCGCCTGCAAAGCTGAAATACGCTTATAGGCTCGAAGCATTGTCGACCGCCCTGTCCGATGATGTCCGGCACCGGTACTGAAGGTACGATAAGGGAATCGTTACCGGCCAGCACTCGTGTGAACAATCGAGAGTCCACTCCACCGCCGTAAGAGAGTATTGTATGGGTTTCATGAGAGAACCCCAGATTGTAGACGGCCTGGCGCAGCTGCTCAATACTCAGGCCCTCCGTCGATCCATTTCTGTAGTGTTTGTTGAGGAGTCGTTCGAGCTGTCCCAATCTAAAAGCTTGAGTTTCCGGCTTATCACTCTTGGTCAGGAAAGGTCCGGCAGCCTTTTCCACGTCAGCTAGTGAGGCACTGTTGTAGTTGACCAGTGTCGACAGAAGCTCTCTGCCTCTAATGGTACGAATGGTGAGCTCGAAAGGTATTCCAGAACTTGGCAGCGTAAGACTGATGAATTCAAAGTCAATTACCCAAGTCACATCAGGCCGCTCAAGGTACGCTTCGACTAGCCACGAAAGGTTGCTCCGCCCGGCACGGTCCAGCTTGGATGGTTGAGGTTGGATCCCTACTCCAGCGAGTCTGACTTGGCGGCAGTCACAGGCCGGATTATGATTGTGGAACTGCTTCCCCTCGTGCGGGTGAGGGGCCAATTGTCCACTGAACTGAGCGTGGTAAATACAGAGGACTGAGCCGGCCTCAGGAGGTAGACTGCAGTCTGCGAACAAGGCACATGAAGGGCGACCGTCAACCACTAGGGCTTCTGGCCGTAAGGAATCGCCCTCAAGGACATCCTGCCCAGCTGCTCCTGATGCATTCCAACCTGGTCCAAAGTCTCCGATTCCAGCGGTGCGGTTTGAGAGGGTGTTCAAAACCGCTCCCGCAACATCGCCTTGTGCCAGGCCAGCAGCTTTCGAAATCGGCTGCGGTTTTGAAAGGGTAAAATCGCCCAAACGGATGCGTGCAAGTGGTTTCGTGGGCATGGGGTCACCTGCGTTGAAGGTGATATCCAGGCCAAGCTCAAGCAACCGGTTCATCAGAATTTCCGTCGATCTGTAAAGTTCCCGCCCGCAGCTCTTGTCAAGCCACCCATGCGGGTCAGCTGTGAGAAGATTGTTTGGTATAATGCCACCGCCGCCAAGCCTCGGACGGACAACCCATACATCCTGGTATCTGCAAGGTAGCCGTTCGTCAGATAGCGCATGCGATAGAGTCTGCACGTCTGAGCAAATCAGAGTGGGGGATTCTTTGAATGCTTGCACTATTTGTGCCGAGCCAGGTAGCCCGGACCAGAGATTCCAACCCATGGCCTGCCTCACTCTCTCGATCCGAATCGGCGTCTTTGGTGGTCGCGAGAGACTGGTAGATACCAGATGCATTCCTATAGGTATGATTTGGTGACGTCCGCTTCGAGTAGTGATTAATGCGGCATAGAATTGCGGACAGCCGGCGGCTGGTGCGTTGTAGTCGAACTCGACTCTGACCGGTAGTACTTCAGACACCTTCATGATCAGCAGCTGGACAGAGCCCTAGAGATTGGTGTATCGTACCTCAGTAGATGCCAGCATGAGCCCATGACAGATGAGACTGGCACAACGGTCCCAGTCAAGGTAAGAGTGACTATCGTAGGACGGACGCCATGCATATAGTTGCTTGCAGATGTCCTGGATCAGAGAAACACCTTCTAGCGGCATTACCAGCCGATCCGTTGTACTGTGCGACGCCGTCAAGCTCCGTTTGAAGTCGGGAAAGGATGGTAGATCGCGTCGCAGAGGCGCACCAGGATGGTATCGGGACTCGCCAAGAGCTTTGTATAAAGCCTCCAGCGTAGTGAACTGACTTGCTTTCATGCGGGAACCTAGAAAGGGAACGGGGTGCTCCCATGAGTGGCACCGAGCCTGGCGCCATCAGCACAGTCCTAGAAGAGCAGATACATGTCCACACGCACCCATCTAGGCTGAGATTCATCCTTTGATAGGTCTTTATCCGTAGCATCCGAGGTGTCTATCTCCAAGAGATGGCTGCTGGAGTGCACCACACTAGCCACTCGTTTCGGTGGCGGGACTGTAGACGGCGAGTTGATACCTCGCTTTAAGCTTGTTTGAAGCTCTGAACTTGGAAGGGTAGCGTCGAGGATCCTTCCTGGCCTCTCAACAACAAGAGAGTTGCGCTCAAGGAACTGCAGAATGTCGAAGACCTTACTCTTCCGCTTTGCCGCGTTTAGTGAAGCAAACGCGGTATCGCTGACGCAGAGCTGTCGCATCACACTCGTATGAGTGTACTTAGGTTGTATCTCAAGGGCACCTGCTAGCCCAGTGAAGCCCATCAGGGCGAGGGTGGCTGACTCCGACATGGCAAGGTTGGAAAGAAGAGAGGGAAAGTGGGGAGGAATTAAGAGATAAGCTCAGTCAAGCATTAGCGAGCTGAGAGGGACAATGGTCGATACGAGGCCAGCATTTTCACAATAAATTAGTCCTTCAGGCCGCACGGCCTTTCATGAGTAGCATTTCACAGGTGAAACGTTACTGAGGATACTATATAGCTAAGAGAGCAGACGGCATATCAGCCTTCAATGCCTAGCGTTGTAGCTAGCCGAGCTAGATGAAGCAGAGTAGCAGCCATTGAGACACAGCCTCCCTGGCGGTGTTGCTCCAGGTGGTCAGCCGTGGTCTTCAGTAGTTAAGGCGACACGACAAGACTCAAGAGCCGCGAAGCCTAGTTGCCTCCCTAGTATGAACAGATCCTCATGCGCTAGCAAATGGTGCTGTCATGCGTCCGGGAGGGGCATTGCGGTTGTGCGGCGATGATGGCCACCTGTGAGATTGGCTCTAGCCATAGTGTCAAAGAACTGCTTCGACTCTGGTCCCAACCCCCATGCTTCGCCTAGCTCTCTAGCCCGTTCCAGAGGGACGTATACAACTGTAAAGAAAGTGTCGGTAACCTGGCTAGCTGACTATGAAACAGATTGTACACAGCACTTACAGCGAGCTGATCCATCGTGTTCTCCATCGCTAACGATCTTCTGCATTTCTCTTCGCCTGCTCCTGCCTACCAGCCTGGATTGGCTGGTTCCGAGTTCTATCGATGTAGTTACGAGCCTATTGGCATGAATCCAGTGATCAGTCCGCCTGGCACTAAGGTACAACTTGTTCCTTAGGTACATTGTGACGTGGCCTTCCGTGTAGCGGAACTCAGTCCCGCGGATGAGGTGCGAAACGGATCTGGCAGCGGATGGCTGCACACCCTCGTGAGAAGGAGCGGAGAGCCGCTCTGCTGAGCCGTCTCCGTTGGCGCCGTAGCTACCCTGGACCTTGCATGTCTGATATCAGATAAGAGTACGTGGACAAGGTAAGGAATTACTCACGCTTGTGGGCACACCTTGGTCATCAACAGGCTCAGGGATTTTATCAGGCGGGCTACTATACGGGTCATTCACTCCATGAATGCCGCCAGCAGCACTCGACAGCAGTCGCTCTACTCGGGCAGCCGACGAGACTGGGTGGGTGTCTGCCATCTGTGGGATCGGGGAGGTCGTTGTTGCGGGAGCCGGACCAGCCATCAAAAACGGCGTGTTCTCTGCTGCACCGCAACCGTCAGTGTCGGTGAGATTTTTAAGGTTCGGACACCTCGGATGGGAGACCGCCGAGGGCAACATGCCTTGGCGGTAAGAAGTCGTGCCTCCTGTAAAGTTGCCCTGGCCTCCTAGACTAGAACCGCTGTCCACCGGGGTCTCAGGATCTGTGGAGTTCGCTTGCTGCTTCGAGCTTGGAGTTTGCCCTGGCTGTGCGTTAGCCGATGCTCGTTGCCTCAGCGCCAGGCATCGTGCCAGCTTACCAGTAAGCTCACCATTAGCTGAGAGGATCGACACGGTGCCAGACTCATCGATGAACCGAGTCGCAAGCTGGCGGGCGATCGCGCGATAGGCTTTCGAGTCCTTCTTGTCTAGGTGCGCAGGCAGTCTGAACCGGGCACTTCGGAGCTGGTCTCTGAGGTCTACCATGCAGTCTTGCTTGCTTGCATAGCTGGACATGGGCACGACAATGGCCTCGGCGTCGATGCTCAGCTGAATCACACGCCCTGTGCCTACGGTTAGCGTGGCAGAGCCATGTAGAGAAAAGTGCTCACCTTCTGTGAGCTCCACAGTGCGACGTTTAGAGATTCTTTCATTCTTCTTTCGCTGCAGTTGCAGGCCAGGTCGAGAGCCCGAAGCCGGCCGGGTAGGTGCCATCTTCAAGGGCAGCGCAAGAGAAGAGTAGACGGGACGACTGGGTAGAGTAAAGGAGGATGGAGGCCGATAACGAGAGGTGGCGGGACTGGGAAGCGAGATTTTCCGTGCTTATTGATTAAGAAGTTCTGAACCCTCACTTCTGCTCCCACCCCGCGAACTAGGTCTGCAAAGGCCTAGGTATATGGTTTGCAAAGGCCAGCTGGGTCACGTAAGGCTTTGGCGGTGTGAAAACGCCGCGGGACCCTCGGCCAGCATACGGAAGAGCGTGTCTCAGCTTTGCGTAAATGGAGTTTGCAAGAGCTCTCCCGGTCTGTACCGGGGTCATAGACGAGTTTGCAAGAGCTCTGCTCGGTCTGCAAAGGCCGGGGTCACAGACGAGTTTGCAAGAGCTCTACTCGGTCTGCAAAGGCCAAAGTCATAGCTGAGTGTGTGAATGCTTCAGCGAGTCTGGAAAGGCTCCCGACAAGTGGCCCCATTGCCTCTTCCGCCTGGAGCGGGAGGGTGAAGGGGTTGCGAAGAATAGGTACGTATTTACCGGCAGTGCAAACTTATGCCTCAAGGCAAGTGTTCATTGACTGGATCAAGACGCCCAGGCCTCAAGCTCCCCCGAGAGAACTACAGTAGATAGCCCGCGATGATGTCGGAGGACTCAGCCATCTTCTTCGCAGCACGTGGGTGATCTTAGCGGAGGTGCCACTAGAGTTGACAAGACGTTTATAATCACTTTGCAAATCTAGCGACCGTATCAGTGTACCTAGGTAAACATGTCGTTGAAACGGATCAATGAGGAAGCCCAGCTCACTGAGATGGTGTCCGGGAGGTTGATTTAGGGTTCTTGGCGTCTTCACGAGATTACTATCGGTGTAGGCTCATCCGCACATTTCAGGCGCGCCTTCGTCGGCTAGCCGCTTGCAGAATGCGGTGAGCTTCCTTGGCAGGCAGATTGGAGAAGCTGCGAGCCGAAAAACTTCGTAGATATGTTTAGATTCCAGATACAGCAGCCCACCAAATTGAACTGTCGCGCCCGCATCGCTCTCGAAGATGGGCAAAAGAAAACGGGAAGGTGCTGAGGAGCCGGCTCCTGCGACCAGATTCAAGAAACAGCCAACCGCTGTCAACCAAACCACACCCACAGACCCCAGTCAAGCTCCAACAACGATCCAAATCATTACCGGCTCCTACGACCGTGTTCTCCATGGCATTACGGCGACGATACCTCGGGAGATACCCTCATCCACCTCTGAAGACGCTCATCACGTGTCTTTCGCCGACACATTCCTCTTCGCTGCCCATGCCTCCGCCATCCGCTGCCTCGCGCTCTCCCCACCCTCCGATTCGACCGAACCCGACTCCCAGAAGATTATCCTCGCATCAGGCAGCACAGACGAGCGTATCCAGCTCTACCACCTGTCCACGAGACCTCCGCCCGCGGACGCTAACCCGCTGACCGCGAACCTCTCCGGCACGACCATCACCGAGAACCCCAAAAACCGAGAACTCGGATCCCTGAACCACCACTCCGCGACCATTAGCGCCCTGCATTTCCCCAGCCGCTCAAAGCTCCTCTCAGCGGCAGAAGACAACACAATCGCCGTCACCCGGACGCGCGACTGGACGGCCCTTTTCACCATCAAGGCGCCCATACCGAAGCCTGCGGGACGGCCGAGCGGGGACACAGCGGCGCCGGGTGAGGTGCCGGCTGGCATCAATGACTTCGCGGTGCACCCGAGCATGAAGCTTATGGTGAGCGTGGGGAAGGGCGAGCGATGTATGCGGCTGTGGAACCTGGTGACGGGGAAGAAAGCTGGTGTCCTTAACTTTGACAGAGGGCTGCTGCAGCAGGTTGGCGAAGGCAAACACAGCAGTGGAGAAGGGCGGAAGGTTGGGTGGGACGCGGAAGGCGAGGAGTTCTTCGTAGCGTACGAGAGGGGAGCGGTGCTGTACGGCATGGTCAGTGGTCCGAGTCACTTTGCTCCACCAACCCAAAGCTAACCGTAAGCAGGACTCGAAACCTCGAGCGCGGATACTTCCTTCACCTCCTACGAAAATACACCAATGTCGTTATTTACCAGGCTCAGCCGCAAGCGACAACACATTGGCCATGTCGACCGAGGACGGCCGAATTGTGTTCTTCTCCACAAAACTACCTTCCTCTGCGTCGGAACCATCGAGCACCTCACTAAAAGCCACCGCCATACCCCAATGCATACAAATCGCACAACTCGGCGGGCGCGCTGCCAGCGTGTCAGGTCGGATCAAAGACTTCGAGATCCTCCAACTTCCAGCAACTCCGACGGCAACTCTCGGCGATGTCCTGATAGCAACAGGCAGCAGCGATGGAGCGGTGCGCGTATGGTCATTGGCGCTCAGTGATCTGCAGCGTGTGGACGAAGACGAGCCGACGGCGAAAGACGCGCCCAAAGCGAACGGTGCCGCAGCAGAGAATGGTTCCGCTGCCGCGACGGCAACCAAGCAAGTTGGCCGCCTACTTGGGACGTACAACACCGGGAACCGTATAACGTGCTTGACGGCGTTCGTTATGACTGGGACAGCCGAGGAGGCAGATGGCGCGCTGGAAGATCCAGATAAGGAAGAGGGCGCATCAAGTAGCAGTGATGATAGTGAATAGAAACGCTACAATGCTCGCCTGTCCCAATCATAATATAAGGACCCAGCCATGCAAAAAACCCATCCAGCTAATGTCCATAATGTCAATTTACGCCTATGTGGCTCAATGCACCATCCATCTCCCAGCAACCCCCATCCTCCTACCTCGCCATCATCCAGCCTTCCCGACAACCCCCCTCCCATCACACCTCTCCCCCAGCATCCCCTACAAATTCATAGTAACAGTCATACTATTACTATGCACCAACAACACTGGCGGCAGCCCCTCACACAGCACCTCCAAATCACTAAGATACCTGACACTATCGCTCTCGCTCTCGCACGTCCCCTCCACCGGACTCGGCAGCGTCGTAAAGATCACCGCCGTATCCCCGCTCTGGCCCCTCATCAGCTCGTTCAGAATCAGATGCTGCGCCCGGCACGGCAGGTCGTTGAAGCTGAGCGCGACGCTCGAGGCGTGCGGGAAGCCGAGGGCGGCCTGCGCTTGCTGCTCGTTGTCTGTGGGTGGGGGTATGTCGTCCGGCTCGAAGAAGGAGGTCCGGTCGTAGATGGATTGGTGCGGGCGGCTGGAGTGGTCGGCGGGCGAGGGCGTGTCGGTGAACATTATTGAGGGGCCGGGCCCGTCTTCGCTGGCCACGGTTGTGCGTGGCACGGGCTTGGAGGTGAATTTTGCGTGGGATTGGCGGCGCATTGTTGGGGGCCGGGAGAGGGGGGTGGGCCGCGAGGAGGCCTGGAAGGGGGCTTCGGTGTCGTCTTTGGAGGTTTCCGGTAACTCGGCTGTAGGTTCTGGCGGCGGTAAAGTGGGTTCTGAGGATGCGGCTGCGAGATGCGGTTGAACTGGGTTGGGGCGGGATGGTGATACGTCCGTGCTGCTGTCGCCGCGGCGTTGGAGGTCGGGTTTCTTGAAGAAGAAGGGGAGCCGCATGGTCTCCCCGAGGCTGAAAGATCTCCTCTTCGGGGCTTCAGGTCTCATGTTGTCTGATTCATCATCCTTGTAGTCCTCGATGTCGTTTTCGCTCGCTGCCGAGTCTTCGTCGTCAGACTGCGGAGTTGAGCCATACTCGCTTCCAGTGCCGGAAGTGGAAGTTTCGCTATCGCTGTCCTCACCATGGACGAGAGCAGGATGCAGTCTGGATGTGGTCATGCCGAGGCTTACGCCCATTTGGCTGATATCGCTAATAGAAGCTCGCCGCTTTGTCTTCTTGAGCATCTTCTTCAGTCCTGCAAACCTCTTTACGTTGGACTCTCGTCTACCGTGTTGAAATGAAGAGCTGGGCCAATTGGTCACAGCACCGAGCAGGCCCTCGACGTCTGCAAGCTCTTGGCTCGCAGTTAGTGGCTTCTTTCCGCGGAGCTGCTGCACATCTTGCCACCACTCTTCGTCTCTCAGCGCCTCCTCCACATCTTGCTGGGCCTGAGGGTCTCTGTCTATCGTCTTTCCGTTGACGATAAACTCATAGCTGTTCAGATCCCCGGAAGCGAGCCAGAGCACAATAATTTTGGCTTCTATTCTCAGATTGCTGAGCAGTGTCGAAACGCGGCGTCGTTCTTCCTCAACATCCGACTCATACTCCACGAAGACTATCACTCGCAGCTTGTAGGCTCTGTGATACGAGGGTACGGTGTGAAGGATGCAACCAAGCTGCAGGATAAGCGTATAGGTGTCGAAGTTGGTGGTGAGGACGTTGCGCTTCGGCTGACCGCCTTCGGCTGCTGCTGCGATCTCCGCCGACATCTGAATCGGCCACAGGTCGATGTACTTCTTCGCAGTTTCCTCAGTATCATCCTTATGCAGGTGCAGCATTGAAAGCGTCTTCTGAATCTTGGACGGCTTTGCCGCTGGAAGCTCTAGATCTTGAAAGCCTTTGGCTATAGCTACGTTGATCTGCAGTTTCAACAACAGGTCCTCGAGTATGGTGACATAGTTCTTCGCGCCAATAGCACGCTCTTTGCGCATGGCATCTGTTGGCAGCTGGCCTTGCATCCTTTCGTCGTTTTTCCGGCGCTTCGTATCTTTACCATCAGGATGCGGAGTATGTGTCCCGGATGTCGGTCGCGACGGTTGATGGGGAGGAACATCGACGAGAGGCCTAGAATCTCGTAGCTCGTTAAGGTTGTAGAATCCCATCATGACAATGTTCGGTCGCATGCCGCCCAATCCGGCACTGAGCACAATATTTCTGGCACCCCACTCGACGGCTGGTGATATCGCAATGTTGACGAACGCTTTGATCTTTGAAAAGTCGATGTATTTCGTCCATGAGGCCTGCTGGCTCCGCGCTTCGGGCACTGCACTGCCAAAGTCGGGCGTGACAATCACATGCCCAAGAACGAACAATGCCCCCTTTTTCAGAGAGTTGCAGAACTGGATGAGCTTGTATTGGTGGCGAGGGTCGTTGATGAAGAGCAGGATTTGCGGACGCCAGAACTTGACGTGCTCCTGCCGAAGGCGAAGAAGGTACTTCCGCACTTGATGATAGATGAGACTCTGACTGACATCACCCCACGGCTTGGGCGGTGTCGTGTAGTGGATGATGACGAAGATCAAGACCAGAATCGCAACGCAAGCGGATGCATAGACGCCATCGACAAAAAACATAGTCGCCCCGCTGACAACGGTACCGATAGCGGCTGTCCACCAATTGAAGTAGTGGAAAGAAGGCCTAAAGTTAGGCGCTGAGCTGATTTTGAGAAGGAAGCAAGCGAGATTTGTGACCAGGAAAGTCATGAGGTAACTCATGGTGACGAAGGACGCAATTTCGTTGATGTTTGCGAGCATGGTGACCTGCGTAAGGATGTAGGTTATGATGATTGCATACGTCGGCTCGTCATTATTTCTAGTTCCCTGACCGAAGAGTGACAAGCCTGGGATAAGGTCGTCTCGAGCAAGTGCTTGTAGCAGTTTTGCTGAGCCGATTACGCCCATCAACACCGAGAAGAGCGACGTCGCCATTTCTCCTAGGAGTACAACAACGCCAGAGACGTTCACCTAGCGCTTTGTTAGCCAAAGTGACCGGACCGGGATTGGTGGATAACCATACAATCTGTATGACGTTTGTGTTGTGGTAGAAGGACGCACGAGTGATCGAGGCAGCCATGGCCAGGATTACCAGCGTGTATGAAACGAAAGTCAGCACCAGGCCGTAGAGTGTTCCTTTGGGGATGGCTTTGCTTGGTTGTTTGAGATCTCCGGACATGCTGGCACCTCTACAGATCAGGAACCTGTTAGTTTCGACGTGCCTGCCATTTGAATAGGAGTCAATACTAACGCGAAGATGCCGCCAGTGGCGGGAAAAAGGATGCCAAAGAGGTCTTGAAAGTTCTCTTTCCCGTCGAGCTGGCTGCCAGCAGCTCCTTGGGTAAACCTAGGCATGAGATTGCTAACAAAAGTGTCGGCGCTCAAGCCTGTGTATTCTATGCGGAGCCTCCTGTCTTCAAAAGGCTTTTGGATAAGAGTCGAAAGCGGTATACTGAGCGTAGCTACCAGAAGGACCGCTAGAAGCCCGTTGCTGCATCTCGCGAACAATCCACTGCCGGCGAGACAGATCAACGTGCAGGCAATTAGTACGATAGTCGCCCACAGGTACTGCCACCAGTGGCCTTCGGGCAACCACTGAGACCAGTTTCCGTCGATTGATCCGAAGTTTTCGATCAAGCAATCGATCAATCCAACTGCGTTCATGCCAGTGTTGAATACGAAGCCCAGATAGAAAACGATGCCTATTGACCCGCCAAACTCGGGGCCCAAACTGCGTGATATCAGGTAGTAGGCGCCGCCACCACGGACTGTGCCGTTTGTGGCAATTGCCGAGATTGACATTGTCGTCACCAGGTTAATGGCGTAGCAAGCGATGAGCATACCTACGAGCCTGGTGTCAGTATAAGGCTAAGGACGCCACACTCTAACAGAATCAAAACGAATGAATAGAATCCGCTTGCAAGTACTCCACAACACTGAGGAGAAGATTGTGCATAACTTAGATGGCGATACCCACGACATAGCAAGAAACAGCAAAAGAGGTTTTGAAGCGGAATACTGCATAAATGGCAAAATAGACAGATTTAAGCACGCTCTACCTCACCTACGTACCCATCATTCCTAATACTCCGCTCTGTCCCAAGATAAACCCAAAGCGTAGAAACATCAGGATGCTCAATACGTTAAGGGTTGTAGGCACAAACACGCCTGCGAAGGTCCCTAACTTGGCTGACCCGCCAACTGGGCGAGGAAAGGAGCCAGTGGGTCTGGGCTTAGCATCAGTGCCCTGGTGATGGTCCGCCGCGTCCTTCATTTGGGAAGTAAGAGAGTAATCGCCAAGCGTCGAATGATGTTGGGATTTCCGTCGCCCGACTGATCTGCTCCTGGAGGACCGCGAGCGCCGTCGCCCATCGCGGCTCGATGAGAAAAGGCTTCCCATGAAAGTGCCATTCTGCGCTTGGCCTTTGGAGACGTCTTCAGCAGGCTGGTAAGTGTTTGAAGCTGATTCAGCTTGGGGAGCTGTGTTTGATAGAGGGTCCTCATCCTGCGGAGAAGACGGCGTAGCTTTAGAGTATCTCCTCTCCAATTGAGAGGCATCGTCTGTTGCGGTCCGGGCGAGGAAGTTTGAGTGGCTCCTTAGGGGCATCCGCCGCCGAGTCGCTTGATCCCCGACCTCCAACATGTCTCTCTTACTCAGCCCATAAGTAGTTCAAAGGCACCTGACAGCAGCGAACAGGTCTGCGTCTGCCCCGAGACTGCGGAGTACAGTGGCGGAAACGGCGGTGATCCCGGCTGCAGGCGGACGTTGCAACTGACGTCGTCCGGCGGGCTTTGTGTGTCTAGAGATTCGAGATCACAAGTGCCGGCGGTGTTAAACTAGCCAGCGCCAGCGGCTTCGCAATGCGGCGTGACAGTTGACTTGAATGCTCCTCTCAAGCTCTCTCGTTTTGTACCACGGGTTTCCAGCTTTTCTCAGTATCACAAATAAGACTTCAGTCTTGTTAAGCAGCTTACAACCTCTTATCATCGCTTTCTATGTACATTCTGACAGCTCTGCAGGCAAGCAGCCGCCTGAGGCATTGACCGGTTGTGGCTGATTAACCGCAGCCCAAAGAGCCGAGGCCGTGCTCTTTCAGCTCTCGACCTAACATTCTCTTCCTCGCCCTCTGCACTCACCCACGTCCCGCATGCCCCTTCCTGAAGCCTAGCAACAGGTGACTGCAGTCCGCTCCCTACATAGTCCCCCTCGGGCCCGCCTTCGTCGCTGAAACATCACGCTATTCAAACCACTCAAACAAAGGAGCCATCACCCTCCGTAATCTTTCGGATCAGTAGTTGATATGCCCCAGATACGCCGAACGGGGTCGAACAGGAACAACAAGTCAATCAGACCATCTCTTATACCGCACAAATAAGCCAACTCTGTCGGACACTGCTCTCAGCGTCTGTACGCAACAACAAAGTCATCCGCCAAGGGCCGCAGCCTTTGTTCGCGGAGAGCCAGCACTTCAAAGAGACACGATATTGATAGGGGCATATACGTCGGGATATGGCGGATCATCGTCGACAGTCTTCGGGGACGTCGAAACCCAGGCCTGTGCCGGCACCTAGCGCTTCGCCTCGCCCCAGCGATGTCGACTTGCCAGCCGAGAGTTCTTACGCACGAGCTACATCGATAGCCAGGCTAGGGTCACCAGTACCATCTTCGCACAGGGCTGGATCACCGATTGTTGGCCAAGTGCCCACACCCAGTCAGCTAGCAACCGGCGAGGCATCACACTCGCAAACCCCACTCCCTGGTTCGGATACTGTCAAGTCTTCTTTACCTGGGCCTGGAGAGTCTGCTTTGACGAATGCTCTGAAAGGATCATTTGGAGGGAGTCCCCCGCGGTTCGACACTCCGCCCGCCCGCCCACTGTCTCCGGCGGCTGGCGACACAGAGAGCCGTGGGCCGCGAAGCAAGTACGGGTCGTTCGACCCAAGATCGGTTGGTGTCGGTAGTCCAGCCCGTCAAGAAACTCACGAGATTGTTCGGAGGCACTTGGTCGGTGGTGGCAATAATTCGTCATCCAACCTCGTAGGGGCTGGCGATGAGTACAGATCAAGGAGAGGGTCGCTTGGCGGCGGCAGGAGTGACTCCCTAAACCCAGCGCCCGGTGCCGATGAGGAGGAGTTTTCGAGTCTGCAGCTGCAGGGAGGAGACATTACGCGCCAGATTTATCGATGGACTGAGCGGCAAGAAGCGGAAGCCAGAGGCGAAGGCATGACCCGTAGGAGCAAGAGTTTCCACTTGACGCGTCCAAGGCCAGAGGACCGGGCACTGGACATCGACACCATCAAGCAACCCGGTGGATTCCGTAGGAACTATCTTCGCAGGTCGGCAGCAAGTCCGTCCCCGGGTCCTTCACACCGCGGCCAGTACGGGACAGTTCAGCCAGCGCGGGAGGCACCGCAGCCTTTCACAAGCAACTTTATCGAATTCCTAAGTCTATACGGTCACTTTGCGGGCGAGGAGCTGGAGGAAGACGACGAGAATCTGGGCCCAGACGAGTACTTCTCTTCCGATGCATACGAAGAAGCCACAACCGGCGACGAAGAAAGCGAGGAGGAAGGCCGAGAGTACGGCGAAGGCAGCGCGCTCCTAACACCAAAAGCCAGACGGCGTCGAAGAAAAGAAAGAGCTGCTGGTAAAGGCAGCCCGACCGGGGCTGCACTTCTACTTCTGAAATCCTTCGTCGGAACCGGCGTGCTTTTCCTTCCGCGAGCTTTCCTCAATGGTGGCATGCTCTTCAGTAACATCGTTCTGCTTGGTGTGGCCGTGCTTAGCTATTACTGCTTCGTCCTTCTCGTATCCACCAGGCTAAAGGTCGAACATTCCTTCGGTGATATGGGACTTGTCCTTTACGGAAAGACTATGCGTAACCTCATCAACTTCTCCTTGGTGATCAGCCAAATCGGATTCGCATCAGCTTACATTGTATTCACCTCCGAGAACCTGCAAGCGTTCATCCTTGCGGTCTCGAAATGCCGGACGTTCATCGATATCAAGTACATGATCCTGATGCAAATGGTCATCTTCCTGCCGTTGTCCCTGTACAGAAACATCAACCACATTCAGAAACTGGCACTCACCGCAGACCTCTTCATTATCCTTGGACTCGTTTACCTGTACTATTACGACATTCGCACCATTGTCGACCAGCACGGCGTAGCGGATATTGCCAACTTCAATAGTAAGGACTGGACATTGTTCATCGGGACAGCAATCTTCACTTTCGAGGGCATCGGTCTCATCATACCGATCCAGACGGGCATGAAGGACCCGAAGAAGTTTCCCAACGTCCTCGCGGGAGTCATGGTGGTCATTACTGTCGTCTTCATCAGCATGGGCGCTCTATCATACGCAGCGTTTGGATCGAAGACCAAGACCGTCGTCATCCTCAACATGGCCCAGGACAACAAATTCGTCAACGGTGTCCAATTTATCTATTCTCTGGCCATCCTGCTCTCGACACCCTTGCAGATCTACCCTGCTATTGAGATTACTTCTCAGCAGCTCTTCAGCCGGACTGGCAAATACAACCCCTACATCAAGTGGAAGAAGAACGTCTTCCGGTTCTTCATGGTCGTCTTCTGCGCCTCTATCGCCTGGGCAGGAGCAGGAGATCTGGATAAGTTCGTGGCGCTTGTGGGCAGCTTTGCCTGCGTGCCGCTGGTGTACATCTACCCGGTAAGCCTTCGTCCGCCTTTCGTGATTATACCTATCTTACTGACTTGCTCTTAGCCATTGCTGCATTACAGAGCCGTCGCCCAGACACGATGGCAAAGGCTCACCGACATTCTGCTCTGCATATTTGGATTTGTTTTGATGGCCTACACCAGCGCGCTCACCATCTCTTCCTGGGTACATGGCAGTACCACCAAGCCGCCCGGCTACTGCGACAGTAAATGAGGCTTCAATAGTCATTACGGGTGCCTATGTTCGAGGGATGTAGAGATCACTGAGTGCCGGTTGTATCCAGTTGGATGCCGCTTGTCCAGCATCGCTCTTGACTAACTTTAGACTGTAAATTAGCACGTCGCTCTGTCGAGCGGCAGTCCGCTGCCTCGCGGCAGGGATTATTTATGTGACCGGAGCACGGCCGATACAGCCGTTGCACCAGTCTCTGAGCTCAATTGTCCCAACAATTGCATTCGTCCTAAGACATTTCGAAGTGACGCTGTGCCCTTATGAGAGCGCACTGCCTGGAAACACTCAGCAGGCCCAAATATCACAGCATGCTGTTGCAGAAACGGCAAAACGGCCTGCGGGCCCGAACCGCTGGAAAGCGCGACGCCACAGTGACTCTGCAAGACGTTGATAGAGACACGTGGTCCTCTAAAGTTTTGACCCTAAAGATACCACTGAACCCCACTCAAGGCGATCGGGATCCTTCTGGAGTGCACCAACAGCCTCCACTCCAAACCGTCCCTGCTCCATAACCCGTGGCGTCCATAGCTACCAATCTGAAAACCGTCCCAGCTTTGGAGCGCGAGCACGTCGTTTACTCGCCGTAGTACCGTTCCGTTATTACCGAACCAGATGGAATCGCCCAAAACCCCAAGAAATGCAGGCTATAGATATTATCGGAGAGTACGGGACGTGCAGGCCACCCTCCGAATTGAAGAGACTAGACTCAGACGCCACCCACAAATCCGTGCCTGCTGAAGAATGCTGAAGGATCCACACGCTAAACTTCCGTCTCAACGCCCGGCTCACGGTCACGATGATGGAGATGATTTGTAATGTGTTGTTCGCCGCGCTGGATTTTGTTCTTCATCCATTTGATCGTGCGAGGCGCCTGCATTGTAGGTTAGCTAGCAGCCCAATATAGCAAACACATAGCGTTTACCTTCCACTGCATCAGTCCTCTATTACTCCGATGCAGCTGCTTCTGGTTGCTAGTGTATTCCTTGATCGCATCAACAGGACCTCTCTTCCCATCATCCTCGTTCGCAGTCTCGCCTAATTTGCTCATCGCCCGCGGCGCATGCGAGTCCTCGCTGTCAGAGTCGCTGTCGCTGCTGCTCGAAGAGTCCTCTCTGTCCTTGTCGTTGCCGACGTCGAACCCGTCCTCATCGTTGTCGACTGCCGTATCCAGCACTTCCATAATGTCGGCCAAATTCTTGTCTTTGCTCGCCGCCTTGTCATGGTAGGGGCTCAAGCCTGGCCAGAACTTCATCTTCAGCTCGATTGCGCCGACTTTCTCTCCGCACTCGGTAAGGCAGTTCGCTTCCGCGCGCTTCAAGTCACCTTTCCAGACCGGTAGGTGCAGGACCTTCTCCTCGTCGTCTGGCAGGTCTTTGAGCCAAAAGACCGCGAACGCGGGAGACTTGTCTAGTAGTGTGCTACTGCTCCTGAACTCTACGACGAGCGGACTGCGGTATCTCTTCCTGACGGGCAGATACAGTGGTCTGTCTTTCCTCGTCGACCATACGCCCTCTTGGTGATTCGCCTCTCCGGTGTTATGATGCATCTTCCCTCTGTCCAACGTCGTCCGGATCTTCAGGCGGCAGCTTAAAAGGTCGCTAGGCAAGTCTCCAACCGCTTTAGCTTGCGGATAGACTTCAAGCGTGCCGTTTTCCCAGCCTAGCAGCTCCCTTGGCGCCTGCAGCTGGATCGGGCGGAAAACCATGGAGATGCGGGCACGGCCGTAGCCGATGCCGCCTGTAAGTGGGAAGAAGCCGTTCACCATGCACTTCTTCTTCAGAATCTTGGACAATGGCAAGTACACTATGCCTAGTAGCGGGTCGTCCTCGTGGACTCTCGCGTCTCGGACCGAGATGTGGATCTCGGTGTTTCTCCAGTCCCTGATTACGCGTTCGCATCCAGCGTTGAAGAAGGGTTTCGAGTTCTTCGGCTTCGTCCTTGTCTTGAAGACTTTCTGGTGGTTCAGAATGATGGTGCAATAGCTGGACGGCAAGTCGTCGCCGCTTTCCTCTTCGTCACTGGCTTCGGCGTGCTCCTTGTCCTGCTGGCGCTTGTTGATGGCCTCGAGTTCCAGTCCTGTGATCTGATGGATCACGATGCTGAGGATACCCGTCGGGTACTCCTGCGGTGGAGATGTGCTGTTGATCAGCTCGTCCTCCCTGGCCTTCAAATCTTGCGCCTTCTGCTGCTCGACCTCGTCCTTCTCGTCTCGCTTCGTTTCTCTCAACTTCCGTTCGCTCTCCTCCTCAACCTTCTCCTCAACCTGGTCGATACTGTTGACACTCGAGTCTGCATCCTGACGAGCAACCTGCGAGTCCTGTATTCTTGTCTTGGAGAAGTACCCAACACTCCAGTCGAGTTTGCCGGGCATTGACTCGCCCGCTTTTAGTGCTCTAAAGCCGTCGGTTCGGTCCGCAAATCTGCCGTTCGTCGCCTCGTCCTTCATTAACTTCTTGAGACCCACCTCAATGCGGCCTAGATCATCGTCTGCGCTTGTTCGATCCGAGTCCCACAGCTGGATCCGTAAACTCTCGTCTACGTTCAACTCTTCTGGGGTGACAGGTATGAAGGCCGTCTCTTCCCAGTGAGGCTCCATCTCCGACTCGATTACCCGAGTAGACCATACAGGCTTTCCAAATTTGGCCCAGCCGACTGAAATGTACGGATCCGCTGAGCCATCTTTGAAGGGTATCATGCTGGAATCTCCTTCTTTGAAATCGAAGGCGCGCTTGATGCGGACCACAAGAACACCGCGAGCATGCGTGTCTTTCTTGAAGTCGTCGCCCACGAGCATGTCCTTCAGGTCGAGTGTCAAGCTCTTCGGCGCCACGTACTCGGCCGTTGCGGCGTCGACGGAGCTTTGCACAAAGTTCGAGAGAATTGGCAGGTCCATGATATCTAGGCCCTTTTTGACGAGAGGTGTGCATGCGATGTCGACTTTTGGTTGACCGAGGAATGTCAGGGTGCAAAGGGAAAAGAAGGGAGGATCAGGGGTCAGTTGAAGACGGAGGCGAACGGCACCTACCGCGCCTTCGAGTTCGGCCCAGACAGCTTGAGTTATGTCAGTAAAAGGCGTCCATTCTTGAGAAAGGAGAGTTGAGCTCACGGAGTTTAATGCCTCCTGGGAGATAGAAGGCGAGGTACACGTGTGCGTTCTTTGCTCTGTTTTTCATGCCCTTGCCGCTTGACCGTGCTCGGTATGCGAATGCAACCTCGACGTTGACGAAATCGCCCTCTTCTGCTTCCATGCCTTCTGCGACTTCACTCTGTTCTTGCTGACCGCCTTGGTCGTTTCCCTCGTTGCCAGACCCGTTCTGAACTTTACCCTGGCCGGAGACACGTCGGTCACTGTTGTCCTGCTCTTGATCGCCAGACTGCAGCTTGCCGTCTTGAGACACTGATTTTGATGCCGCTCCTGTGGGTAGCCATTTGATACCCAAGATGCGTATCGCTTCGCTGCCTTGGCCTAAATCTTCGATACTGACCATGCGGACGATTTTGGGTAAACTGGCTTGCATAACATCCTATAAGATTCAGTTACACCTGACGTTGCAAACCGACTCCCATCAAGGGGACTTCGGCGGGTCTCAGGCGGCTACAAAGGGGTACAGGAACGGTGCACGCATAACAGGTTTCAAGAGACGCTTGGAAATCTGACGATGGAGCGGTTCAGCCAGTTCAGAGAACGATCTTCTATGCTGGAAGCCAAAGAAACAAGTGAATCATTTACCTCCAAAGTATCCGCTAGACTGGTAAACAAGTCCGGGTTGATCAGCGGCCACACGGCGGCTAGAATCGAGTTTAGCCATTGAGTAGACTCGGGCGTCTGCGTTTTCGCCTTCTCCTTGCCGTGCTCCCTCTCAGCATTCCATACCTCATCCTCCCATACGTTCCTGACCTTGTTTGCCACCCAGTCTCGCAGGCCCCAAGTCAGTAAAAGTCCAAGACCAAGGCTTATCGACGGCAAGACGAATAGCAAGAACGTTTTACCCAGCCACGACCCTCCAGGTGGGGCCCAAAATATATTAGAAAGAAGTAGGAGGATTGTGCCAGAGACAGATACTGCGCCCACTCCTACCAGAGTGAGCTGCTTGTATATCTCCACCAACTGCTCACGCGCTGAATCATACTCTGGTGGAGGAAACAGCGCTTCTACTCCTTCATGGGCGACATGCATCTCGGCTGCCTCCTTGCGGAGTTGATCCATGTCCTTCGACTTGGCACTCAAGTCTGTATCTGCCCGATATTGGTTTCCTCCGAGAGACTCGTTCTCTGGTGCGCCCTCCAACTCCTTCATTGTGTAATCATGGATCGTGACGGGCAAGTGAGTGACCGGGTCGGTGACTTCGCGTTGTGATGCATCATCCTTCCTTTTCTTCATCTGCTTGCGCCTTTGTTTAGGATCTTGCTCTGTGAATGCTGCCTGGGAGGTGTCCTCAACTTCGCCTTCATCCTTCCTTTCCCTGTTGTCATTCTGGTCCGGTTCGCCCGCCGCCCCCTGGTCTTCATGCCTCTCTCCTCGCTGTTCCTCGGCGCGACCGTTCGCCGACTCGTCGTTCAGGTTCTCGGTCTGGTACGGATTCTGAGGTTGGCCATGATAATGATAGTCATTGCCCTGCCAGTAGCTCTTGGCACTTTCTTTCACTTGCTCTGCCGTACTGGGTGCGCTGTCCTGGTATGCATTTTCATCGCCGCCGGCCTGAGCTCGTCGCTTCTCTTTCTCTTCACGATAGCCTTGAATGGTAGGAACCGGATGGTGCGACGTGTAGGGTGCTCGATGATCCCGCCGCGACGTCTCTGCATCGTCGCGTCCCGACATCCTGAGCTCTCAATGCGGCTATTGTTCACTCAGCACTGCGAGCCAGCTATGCGTGGCAGGCAATCGTGTGTGTTCAGCTTTGACTCAAGTTTGAAGTTACGAGCGACAATGAGGAAACAGAATCCATTGAGAATGTGCTATTTACAAACGCCAGCGCATTCTTGCCACAAACCAGTCCTGTTTCCTAGCAGTAGAAGGTGGAACAAGTTTGGGGAAAGCTATGACGTCCGAGGGGGCACTCCACATCGACGATTGAACCGGATTTTTGCCGTGAGCACCTCTATCCTCACTTCATTTGGATTTGCTCCGTAACAAGTAATACGATAAGCAGCGAGGCTCTCTAAAATCAGCCAGCTCAAGCTTCCCTCAAGCATGCTCAGCCCCTCGGAAACCGATGCATATCGAGCTGCAGCTGAATTCAGGGTGCAGGCATGAACAACGCCCGAGGACCCTTTGCCCTATGGCCGTTCGCGTACTACTTTAGCTGCATACCGACACCCTACACAACTTGTCCCCGCATGCCAATGATGGCGATTCTCACGAGATGAAATGAAGAGACCGATGTCAATTGATGAAGCGTTCCCTCAACCCGGTCGCCAACTGCTGTAACAGCTGCCTTGCGGGTCACCAAAAAGCATGGGACTGAGTGCGATGCGAGGCAATGACCCATTATGCACGGCTGAGTATTGCAGACAGTTCTCTACACCCGCAGTTACCGACCTATCCTGTGGCTGCATGATTGCAGTGCATGGTCTGTGTATCACCGGTGACCCAAATCTGTCGAAGCGCCTCCGGAGCTGCGCTGCTTTACCACATGCCAACTATCCTTGAGCCTCATCTCTCAAGACCTCTTCAGCTCGGGCCCCTCCTGCTTCTGGGTATGCCTATTTCTTAAATCCGTTTGCCTTCTCGCTTTCGTGCTCCAGTGCACGCTTTTGTACCTTCTTGCTCTCTTGGCTTGCCTGTACGCTCTGACTGGGCCGTTACAGATCGTCTACTTTCGTACTTTCTCTTCCATAGTCTCGAGTTGCATCTGTTATGTACAATTACTGGCCAGTGAGCTCTGGAGTAGTCCAAGATACACATGACAGATCACCGCTGCAAAATCATACGACCGCTTCTGGAACGTCAAGCTCTTGGTGCAATGTCGCAAGGACACCTGCTACTTCTTCAAAGGCGACGCGGAGCAATCCGCCGATGCCCATGCGAATAGACTCGTGCAGCGACAATCAATGGTGCCATCCAACGGACATGAAAATCGATTATGATGGTAGCGGGTTCGAAAGCTTGTCGACATCTCCGAATTCACTGTTCGTGGGCGACTTCCCAGATCCATCAGAGCTTAGTCCCGGCAGTACGGGAGATGGAAGGCCTCAAGATCTCTCCTTCGCTGATTATCAGATGGTCTGGTCTCACGACGCCAATGTTGCCCAAGAACCTTGCATAAGTACGACCGCAACCTTTCAAGTCCCAAGCTGTCCAGTCTCTAACCGAACGCATAGTCCCGGCGAACTATCTGTCAGAGAACACAACAGACTTTGTATCACCACCGCTCGATCCTTTCTATAGCTTCTCCTCGCTCGATGCCATTGTTGACCACAACCAAAAGCGCCTTGATCCGTTGCATACCGGTCAAGTGTCCTCTGGTGATCCTTGGAGTACCGAACGCCGTCGGGAAGAAGCGGTGGTCGAGCCGGACGCTCTTCTTTTCAGTCCTGAGTATGAGTGCCCTACGATCTCGCCGCACATGGACTACGGATACCCTATGCCAGATCAGCGTTACTGCGCGTCCATCAACTCCCCATGTTTCTCACCTGCCATGGATACACTGTCAATGGCAGGGAGCCCGCTAAGTTCGCCGGGAACGTCGTTCAGCGCTCCTGTATCTGCATCTAATAACACTGGTCATATCAATTGGGCTCCGCCATATCCTGATACAACCTTCGGCGGCTACGGTTTCCCTAGCCAATCGATGCAGCAAAACGTTCCCTGTGTATCACCTACCGTAAACTCGCTTGATGAATCTACCTCTGCCTGGGATTCTGTAGCGAGCCCTCGGTCCCCATTCTCTGATATGGGTTTATCCAATCAAGCGAGTCATCAGGGCTTTGAGTTTGTCCCATCCTTAGCCACGGCTCAACCTCGCCCTACTCCATTGCCGGGTAACATCAGTAGTCCGCCGCTTTTGCAGTCACCATCTCCGGCGGTCCTCTTCATACAAGAACCCAGCCTGAAATCTATAGCCAAATCGGACACAGAGGTTGGTGCCAGTACCCGTAGACATGGACCCGTTCGACCTCCTTCCGAGGCAGCGACTGTAAACCCCTTGCGAAAAGGGCGACCCGGCGGCAGGTCCCTAGGATCGAAGCTGCTGCCTACTGCAGCCGTGCATGCCGGCAAAATGAGAGGCATCGGTGCTTGCTGGCCGTGTGTTTTCTCCAGAGACAGGGTAGGCATTCCTCTGCACCTCCAGTGCTTGGTCCACGTCCTCATCCTAAAATTTAGTGCGGCGATGGTTCGGAGTGCGACCGCTGTCGCAACAGGGCCATTCGCAATAATTCCAGCTACGGTCTGTGCTGTGTCCGAGACCATCTTCCATCATATCTAGGCGTTTTCTTGCCAGGTACACTCTTCCGGCCCTGTTTCCAAACGGTGATGTTGATCTAGTGGTAGGCTCTATGACCTCTATGCATAAAGCGGAGAACCTTAAAGAGTTCTGTAACAAGAACATCGGAGAGTGGTCGGGTGAACCCGTCGTTGTTCATCTACGCTGCGGAGGTGTGCTGCCTAAGATACGGCTCGAGCTCTACGAATTCACTCCGAAGACTGGGGAATTACTCTATCACTTTCAATATATGACGAACAGAATAACGGGAGAGCAGAGGCGCGAGATTAAAGCCTCACCGCCGTTGGGTATGACGTTACGAGAAAAGCACGATTTCAATTTCTACGACCACTACGTGGACCGGATCCTGGATGAGCATTTTCTACATTTCACCCAGATCTGTTACGAGGATGAAGCCAATGACTTCCAAGTCCGCTTGCTGCGAATGATGCACGAACTCGCTCCTTCGAAGATTGAAGCCTCTAAGGTAAAGTTAGAGACGCACTGATAGCCATGCTGTTCTCCGCTAACCTTACAACAGCGCTTACTGTTGAGAGAGCTCCGAGAGGTTCTACGCCTCACAATCATTACCTATATCATGAGCCATGCCTTCAGTATCGTGGAGGAGGAGCAGCAAGCCGTTCTCTCCCAGCTTCGCTATCAGTCCGATAGCTACCAGAGGTTCTGCACGCCGCGGATGACCAACAGGCAGATCAAGCACTTCTACGCAGAGATGCATAGCATTGTGCTAAACCGTGTGCTGAAGCAGCTGCAGAAGATACTCCACGAAAGCAGCAGGGATTGCTCCAAGTGGATCTCTGCCTTCTGCGCCATTTTGGGTCTTGCTATGGCTCTAGAAGATACGCAGAAGACCATCCATGACTTCTTCGACTCCGGCATGGCGTCGAGCGAGTGCAGCAAGGAGGAAGAGCTGGACTTGAAGTGGCAGGGCGAAGAACTCTGCCGCGCTATCGATGACCGATTTATGTTCATTATGACACTGTTCCGATTGAAGTATAACCGGACTTCGAACCCATTGCGCGACGACAACGAAGACTGGGAAACGAAGCTGAAAGATCAGCGTACTTCCAGGTTCGTTAGGAACGTCAGTTCACTGGTAAAAGAAAAATGTAAGTACACCTGAGCGCCGTTACCATCGCTTTAGCGCCTAACATATCTTCAGTCGACTTCCTCCTCGAGCGCCAGCATGTCAATATTGCAGTCGACAACAGAGGCAGATATACGTCCCGTCTTGCGGCGCGCTTCTTGCTTTCGTTCTGGCCCCCGTCTTGATGCTATCGTCCATTTGATATCGCGCCACCTCACCAGTCTTGAGATACATTCTGTGGCTGAGTTGCATACGTTGGGCTTCTCCGCATGAGAAGCATATGCCGACACGACTTACGAGTATATGACTGACGCCTTCATGAAGCGACAACCGCTTGGTACAGTTCTTCGGTGTTCTTTTGTTCTTTGGATGCTCTTTGCATATAATGAGCCGACAACGACTCACTCTCGGTTACATACATAATCTAGCGGCAATCAGCTTATTGCCCTGTAGCTAGACATACAGCTGTCTTAATCCTCGCCTTGACATTGGCAACACATTCTATCGACCGCTCTTCTAAACATTGCCGTGACAGTCACGTGCCTTTTTATCCCGCATGAACAGGGCAGGAGGGGCCGCCGAACTCATCCCGCCTGGCTTCAACCATCAAATGATTGAAAGCTGCTAAACACCAACCAACCAACCATGGCTACAACTCTTGCGACGCCAGCCCATATGCCACGATTCCTACTTTCAAGGTTGACATCAAGCCCGTCTCTCAACAAACCGGCCGTCTTGACCAGCAGCACCGCGCACCCATGGCACAATTGCTCTCCACAAAGCAGACCACAGCAACGATACACCACCACGCAAGCGGACCATCAGCGCAGCCTATACCCAGCTAGTAGACCTCGTAGTAGACCATCGCCATGCATGCTCCTAGCCAGCCAACGGCCCAATAGCCCACAACCCCTCATCCCGTTTCCTCCTACCAGCAGGCGGCCGTTCTCAGCAACAGCCCACCTATCGCGGGACCACCACTTCGACACGCTCAAATTCGTACAACGGCTCCAAGACGAAGGCTTCAACGAAGAGCAAACCAAAGCCATGATGAAGGTCCTCAGCGACGTGATAGAGGAGAGGTAAACGCTCCCCCTCCCCCCAACAACCTCCCACCACTGCCTTCCTGTACCACACCCCCTTCCACCACGCCCACTGACTCTCTCCCCAGCATCCAGAACCTCACGCGCACAATGGTCCTCCGCGAGAACGCCGAAAAAGCAACCTACGAGCAAAAAGTCGACTTCGCCAAACTGCGCTCGGAGCTGCTGACGGCCGACTCGACCGAGTCCTCGCTGACGCGCGCGTCGCACGAGCGGCTGACCAACGAGCTCGCCAAGCTGAACAACAGGCTCAGAGACGAGATACAGCGCACGCAGGCGAGCGTGCGGCTGGACCTGAACCTCGAGAAGGGGCGGATCCGCGAGGAGGCGAATGCGCAGGAGCTCAAGATCAAGGAGACGGAGACGCGCATTGAGCAGGAGACGGCTGTGCTGAGGGAGAAGCTGGAGGCGGTCAAGTTTTCGACGCTGCAGTGGCTCATGGGGGTTTGTACGGGGACGGCGGCGCTTATTTTGGGCGCGTGGCGGTTGTTGATGTGATGGGTTGCGCTGGTTTGGGGTGCGGATAGGCGCGGTGCGGTGGAGAGAATTGCGTACTTGCATCAGAGTGCGCTTCAGGGCTGGCATTGGTGGCCGCATCACTATCGGCTAGGGAACCCGGTGTCAGTTTCAGGAGTTCGCGGATTTTGGCATGGCGTGGAGCACGGTTGTTTGGATGCCGGTTGGAGTAGAATGATACCCACAAGGCAAGGGTGTTCATCTTGTGTCGTTCATTGTTCATAGCGCTCGTACAAGCAAAGGACTCGCTATCAGGCGATGTTTTAGGCTCTCTGTCTCGACAGGTTTTGCAATCAAGCGTGTGAAGTCTTGAATTCATGCGGAGTCCACAACAAGTGCCCGCATTACCTGAACAAGAGTTCTCACTAAGGCAGCGAACTACCATCCCTGCATTCATGCGTGCACTCTTGATGTTCAACGGGCCTTGGAAGAAGCAAACTCTCTATCCTGCGACACGTAGCCTTCAGGTGCGGCCCGCTGACTTGGCTGGGTATTCAGGGCTTCGCTATAAGAAGGGGTGTTTCATATATACCACCAGCGCTATCAACCCTTTTACGCCTATGTGATCTAGAGCGGACTATACAACTATGGCAAGCCACTTTTTGGATCCAAGGACTTGAGTTTTACCGTGGGCTTGGATGTTTAATAAGATAGGAAGATGAATTGAAGGAAACGGAACCGCAATGACAAAGAGGTATGACACCATGGAAGCGGGCATAGGTTTTGAAGTCTATCGCGCCGAATGTAGCTGCTGGCAGTCAGGCAAGGAGGGGGCAGGGATACCATGTTCTAGTTCACGAACTGAGAATATTCTTCGGCCGCTGGAAGATATCCATCTAAGCGCCTCAGGTCGTAGGTCATCGAATCGCCACTTTGCATGCACCGAGAGAGTGAACCTATGACTTTATTGTAGCTACTTGCGCAAATCCGGCAGCGGGTCCACTACCAAATGAACGCAGAGGTGCCTGCACAGTACCAAAGCCAGAAACCAGTTATGTCAGACGAGAGAGAAAGCAGAAGGGGAACTGCCGTGATCGTTTGTTGTAAGTGGGTAACATTCGCCGGGATGCTAGTTTACTGGACCAATCTTCAGAATAAAGGAAAGAGAGAGAGGGAGCAAGCAAAGTAAGGAAAACATTGAAGAAGCACCATTGGTGCCTTGAGCCGCGTTCAGCTACTCCCCCCCGAAACACCGTCAACAGATGCACATCATTGCTTCGACCAACATCGCCCAGCAGTCTTGAGGTTGGCGGGACTGATGGAGGCCCTCAGTCGGCAACTAGCGCAGGTATCTTGATTGCCGTCTATATGCGACTCGTCTAGGACGCCGCTTGCGGTGCCGGAGCCTGCTCGTCGCTTGCGTCGGCCTTGGTGTCGTCGGTGGCCTTCTCAGCGTCCTTGGATGCCTCAGCAGACGGCTCACCGTCGCCGCCGTCCGAAGAGGTCCAGAGGGTCAGGTTGTCGCGGAGCAGCTGCATGATGAGCGTGCTGTCCCGGTAGGACTCCTCGGAAAGAGAGTCGAGCTCGGCGATAGCGTCGTCGAAGGCTTGCTTAGCGAGATGGCAGGCACGGTCGGGAGAGTTTAGGATCTCGTAGTAGAAGACCGAGAAGTTCAGGGCGAGACCGAGACGGATGGGGTGGGTAGGCGTGAGCTCAGTCTGGGCGACATCGGTGGCATTCTGTTCCCGAGTTAGCTTATCTGCGACGGCCTACGTGAGCTGGTGCTCGCCTGGGGGTCGTTACCTTATAAGCGTCGTGGGCGGCGGTCGCGGCAGTCTTGCGCTTCTCGCCAGACGCAAACTCGGCGAGATAGCGGTGGTAATCGCCCTTCCTGCAGTCGCATTGCTGTTAGCACTGTTGCGGTCGCAGACAACAAAACTGTCGATTTGGCGCAAACCGGCGTCTGCTGGCACGTACATCTTGTGGTAGAAGACCTTCGACTCTCCAGACTCGGCCTTGGGGATCAAGGAGTCATCAAGAACATCGAGGACGTCCTGGCAGACCTTCTCGAGTTCGGTCTCGATCTTCTGGCGGTAGTCGCGAATTGTGCCGACATGCTTATCGGAGCCCTTGGACTCCTCCTTCTGCTCGATGGAGGAGATTATACGCCAGGAGGCACGTCGGGTGCCCACAACGTTCTTATAGGCGACGGACAGCAGATTGCGCTCGTCCACGGTTAACTCTCCGCCGATCTGACGCTTGTTAGTCGTTCGCCAGGGATTCAGAGTCTCTTGTGGAGGAGCTGAGGGCGCTGTAGTCGCGTGCTCGTGGCTTCCATACCTTTGCAACTTCCTGTTCTCAATGTCAGCAGAATGGTCTCACGGTCCAATGGCGGTGTACGATCTACTGACCTTCATATATCCAACCATCTCTGTGGACGCGCACTGTTAGTGAACGGTGTGATGGCGGTAGCAGCTTCCTACACATACCATCGTAGCGCTCAGCCTGCTCGCAGAGCCGCGCGAGAAAGGTCTTGCTGTCAGGCCGTTAATGCCACTGCGTCGAACGCAAGCCCCAGTCTCGGGAGAAAGATATACCTTTCGCGCTGTAGCAGGAGCACATGTTAGCAATAGCTGAATGTGTATCGCGCCAGCAACAATCGCTTGAGGGGCAGCTCAGGCTCTCTACGCGCGGATAGGACACGGCCGGGGAGGGACGGCTTACTTCACTCGCCATTCTGTGTTTTGTGATTTCTGAGAAGAATGGACGTCTCCGACAGAGAAAGAGAGGTGGGTTCTAGGTGTAGGGGCTGTAATCGGTGTGGTGGTGGTGAGGTGGGATGAGGTGTGGTGTTTGGGGGGTGTGTCGAAGTTGTGCCGCTTTTGGGGTGAACCAAAGAGACAGCGCGCTGGCCTGGCTTCGCCAGTGCCCCGTCAACAATACAACACAACGGGCAAGGGTCGTTTCACTGAAGCACTTGTAGGTAAACTATCTAGATATCCGTCAACTGCTTCACCAGATTCACCATTACACGCAACCAGCACCTTCACTGGCTGTGTGTAATTCGAGCCAGCGTCGCATTTGCTGGTCGAGCATGTGAGAGCGTGCTGCCAGCGTTTGATACCCTCCGCCTTGGCGGGGAGCTAGTCACTCAGATGGCTGCGCTGTCAGGTTGAATATGAGAGAATGGACCATCGGAGCGAATATTGGCTTCAGTCTTCGGTGTATCTAGTCTGTACCCACGTCGGCAGCGCTAAAATCTAACTTGAAGCACACATAACGCGCGCGCTGGAATGGCAAGGTAGCAGGATCAAGCCATCCGCGACCCTAATTGTCCACACCAATATGAACGTTCTTCTCGCCCTCCGGAATGACCTCATCCTCCCTCTTGCCCTTCAGGTTCGGCAGCTCCTCCATCGCCTCCTTGATAATGCTCAGCGCCGTCTGAATCTCCTCCTCCGTAATGACCAGTGGAGGCGCCAGCCTAATGATGTTCTGATGTGTTGGTTTCGCCTGTACGTCACCCATGTCAGCACCCATGTCGTCCGTAGTGATGGTTTTCAGATGCGCGATCTTGAGGGCTCTTCCTACCAATAACCCCTTCTCTTTGAAGAGCATGCACAGATCCCACGCGCTGTGGCCGCCGGTCTTCGATTCGTCGATGATGATGGCGTTGAGCAACCCCTTGCCCCGAATCAGCTTGATCATGGGGTTGTTGAGCGCGCGTAGGCCGTCGCGGAACATGTTGCCGAGCTTCTCGGCGCGCTCGACCATGTTCTCCTCCTGCACGAGCTCGAGCGCGCGGATGGCGACCGCGGAGCCGAGCGGGTTTCCGCCGTACGTCGAGCCGTGCGTGCCGGGCTCGATGGTAAGCATGACATCCTTGGAGCCGAGAACGCAGGACACGGGATACATGCCGCCGGAAATGGCCTTGCCGAGCAGAACCATGTCGGGCTTGATGCCGCTCCACTCGTGACAGAGCAGACGGCCTGTGCGCGCGATCCCGGTCTGAATCTCGTCGCAGATAAGGAGCACGTTGTGCTTCTCACATAGCGCCTTGACTTCGCGCAGGTAGGAGTCGTCGGGCACGACGATGCCGGCTTCGCCCTGGATAGGCTCAACCAGGAACGCGGCAGTATTCTTGCCGTGTGCCTCCAGCGCCTCTCGCACGTCGTCAACATTGTTGTAGCGGATAGGCCGCTTTGTCGACGGACATATGCTGCCGATGTTCGGTAGGTACGGGCCGTAGTTCTCGCGAGACTCGGGGTCTGTTGACATCGTGATCGCAGCGAACTGTGCGGACATGTCAGTAGCGTTCTGTTACAGTGATGGGACCACTGGGGTCCTACCGTCCTGCCGTGGAAGTTCTCCTGCACACTGAATACCAATGCTTCGTTTTGCGGAATGCCCTTGACCTTGTAGCCCCATTTCCTCGCGATCTTGACTGCAGTCTCGACTGCCTCGGCGCCGGTGTTCATCGGTAACACCATGTCGAATCCGAACATCTCCGTGACAAACTCGGCGAATCTGGGAAACACATCGTTGTAGAATGCCCGACTGCTGAGCGTCAATCGGGACGCCTGCTCTGTCAACGCCTTGACGAGTTCGGGATGGCAATGGCCCTGGTTCACAGCGCTGTAGGCGGACAGGAAGTCGAGGTAATGTTTGCCTTCTGGATCCCACACAGAGCATCCCGCGGCTCTAGCGAATCTATATTGAGATCAGCAACAGTAATCCATTCAGATTTCGCGAAAGTACTTGCACTATCGGGAGCGGGTGGTAGTTATGGGCTGCGAAGGCTGCTTCACTCTCGATGGCATTCTGGGAGGAAGTCGCGTGGTAGCGGGAAGGATCTGGGGTGCCGGTGGGATGAAATGATCTCGCAGTCGCCTTCAAGGCCGTGCCGTTTGCGCCATTCGCGGCATTTGCGGTGCCAGCGTTGACTGCTGAGGGTGCCATTGCGTTTGTGATATTGAAGGTCTCTGGGTGTTGTATCGCGGGGCTGTAGCGGGGCAGAAGTTGAGTGTTGAAAGCGGACGTTAGGGAGGATATGGATTTCAACCGCGCTACTCTCGGGTTATGAAGCCAGAAAAGTTTGCTTTGCCGTGTCTATCCTCCTCCTGCCTTTAGAGGTTTTGGTTTTCTTCGTCGCCCCATCTGTCGTCTATACCTGCGCTTAAGGGACAAAAGTGATGAGGCCCAAGGTTGGCGAGCGTCGAAGTTATGACAAGGGGTCATCGGAATTACATAAAGGGGCAGTTTCATTGGCTGGCTAGCTGGCTTGCTTTGTTTCCTCGCTGCGTTCCTGAGAGTGTCTGCATGACCTTCACCAGAGGGGCTTTGAGAGGCTTTGAATATTGGACACGGAGCTGCTATCGAGCTGGATGTACACTCATGCCCATTTTCGAAACACAGAACCAATTCTGCGCGACCTGTATCACTAAGAGCTACGTTGATCTAATAACGGCTTCCACATCGAAGATTCCCACGTGATCGCCGCGCGAAAGGAAGAAACCGCTGCATGGTTGCAACTCCTGCCAGATTGCAAACCTATATTGGGAACGCAAGACTAGGAACGGGACGAGTGTTGATTACTGTACCTCCGCCTGGAAGAACGGGCCTGCGTGATACGAGTCGGGTCCGCGACCTCAGACGACAGCTGTCCGAGGATCGTAACGACAGCATGTTATGGTGCCCCTCAAGGCATTGACGGACAATACTTCAGAGCCGTCCTTGAGGGCCTGGGTAGGTCTTCGGCTAACGCGTAAAGACGTGCTTGGAAGCGTTCACCTAGACTCTGAGGTCTCTTACGATGCCTGCGCCGCAAACCTACTCCGCCGCATCCAAAATTAGGCAACTGCCGCTTCTCCGCATTCTTGCATGTTCATGTCTCAACTCGAAACCGGGAACAGATCCTTCGGACAGCTCAGTGCTTGGTTCTAACTAGTGGTGCGCCAATAAGGAAGCGCTACGACGGACCACCAACAGCCGCCCCCAAGCATACCACGGAGGATGAGGCGGAGCGTGGTGGTGTATCATACAGGTAGAGCCGTGTAGGTAACCATCTCGCTCCTCAACACCGCATATAAGTACGTGACATCCGGTGTCATTCTACTCAGTTGTAGTGACCCACCATTGCTGCCTAGCCCCTCCGTCATTTCTTCAATCCCCTCTAAGAGTCTTATATTCCAAGCTTCGGGCTCGTTGGCAATCTGTCATAAGCCTTCAATCACCCACCTCTGTCCTGCCGTCAACATGGCCGCTTCCGAACCTTTCGCGTTCATCTCCAAGGAGCATCATCCGCGCTTGACGGACACCCTCGAGCGAGCGTTCTCTGGCAAAGGTCTGAGCCTCTATGTGCAGCTCCTCCAAGCTCTTCGCAAACAGAACCCGGAGCTTGTCGTCACCCCCACAACATCCCGTAACTGTCCTCTGCTTGCATTCGCCGCGGCGGGACATGCTACTGCTGAGCTTGACATCGACACCGAAGATGTCTTCAGGTATCGAGGATACTTGCCTCCGGAGCACCGCGGCGGCTCAGGCCACCTCGCCGAAGCAATATCTTTTGCCAAGTACCACTACCGCTGGAACGATGAAGACTTCATTCTCTACATGGCCCCTCCATTGCAGTTCGTCTTGAAGGAGCCACGCGACGGCGAGACCGCCCAGTCGCACTCTGTGATCACGGATGCTCTGATCATGGCAGTGGGCAGCTGGCTCACTGCAGAGATTCCAGCAATCTATGTTTACGACTATTACTGGACCAGAAGCCGTGAGCTGTACGAGCAGGTGATGAAGACATCTTGGAAGGATGTCATTCTGGACGAACGCATGAAGAAAGAGCTTCCGGAGGTTGCTGGGAAATTCTTCGACAGCAAAGACGTCTACGACGAGTACGGCGTGCCGTGGAAACGAGGTCTTATTTTCCACGGACCCGTCGGGAATGGCAAGACGATTTCGATCAAGGCACTGATGCATACCTTGTACGAGCGGAAGCCGCAGATTCCGTGCCTCTACGTCAAGTCGGCACCCTCCACCTATGCAATCAGAGATGTCTTCACAATGGCCCGATCAATGTCTCCATGCATGCTCATCCTGGAGGACATTGAGACAATTGTCACGCCCTACACTCGGAGCTATTTCTTCAACGAAGTAGATGGCCTCGAGAACAACGACGGCATTCTCATGGTAGCAAGCACCAACTATTGTACGTACCTTACCAAAGACGCTCCCATAACAAGGCAGAACACTGACTCGCGACCGCTTAGTGGACCGGCTGGATCCAGGTCTTTCCAAGAGACCAAGCCGCTTCGACAGGAAGTACTTGTTCCCTCTGCCGTGGATTGTAAGCAACAAAGTTCATTCTGGGCAACGGAGGTGTAGTTAACAAGCTTCAGGATGAGAGGATCGCCTACTGTGAGTTCTGGCGCCACAAGCTGGAGCACAAGGATTCGATCGACTTCCCACAGTTGCTCAGTCAACCCATCGCCAAGATCATGGAGGGCTTCTCGTTCGCGTATATGCAGGAGGCCTTCGTCGCCACCCTTCTTGCCCTTGCGAGGGACCATACGAGCATCGTAGAGGACGACGACGGTCACGACGGCAGTAGCGACGGCGGCTCTGATGATGATGATGATGACCTCGACCAGTACGAGTTCTGGCGAGTCATGGTTGAACAAGTCAAGATCCTTCGGGAAGATATGGGCGGCAGAAACTCTGTATCTCACGGTTTACCCAACACGTCCACAAATGAGGCCTATCTGGGCCTCGATGAGACAACTCCGCTCATGTCGGCCGTAGGCGCGCTCAATGACCTTGATCTCGGCGCGGCTGCAGGTGTTGAAAGCAGGGAGCAGCAGACGTTAGCCCGCGTGCAACGCTTCAGCGGCACGGCGAAGGAAACGGCAACTTTTGACTCAGACGGCAGCCTTGGTTCTCTGGGATTGGGCGCCCTGCCTGACTTGACAGGCTATGGTGGACAGAACTCGGGCGTAGGTCTTGCGGGCAACGTGCGGCGTGTGCCGGATCTGAGGAGCTTCAGTGCTGTGAACAGAGATCGTCAGGCCGCTCTTGGTTACTTCAGCGCGGGTATTGAAGGACCGCAGTGGTTCGGCACGCACGGTGTGGGAGTCACCGTCTTAGATGCGGTCCCGGTCGGCCTTGGTGGAGATCAATTGCACCCAGGCGGCAAGGCTGATTCTGGGAAGCAATTGTAGGCTTGACTTCGCTTGTGGACGTGGGGAGCTGCAAAGCTGTCGGTCAGCGTTAGCTACCCTTATGCGGCTGGGCACTGTAGCCTGGAAGTCATGTGCACACAAGATTGGTCAATCTCCTTCCACAGACGTTCCATGATGCGGCTCTGGTCCATAGGGCGTATTTTAGCTTACACGAAACTGGAAAGGTCTCGTCCTTAGTCCCCTCGGTTGTGTGCAAATGCTAGCAGTAGGGTTGCATTACCTTGCAGGAAAACCTACGGTTAGCGGATCCCGGTGCCGGGTTGGGCATGTTGACGCCGTACTGACCGGTGATGCTTTGTGTGGGATATCGTGGGGTAAAGTATGAAGATAAGCAGCCTGTCTGACCCCACGAGCGTCATCTGCTCACTGGCGTCGTCCACCGAGGCTGCATTAAGGGTCTTGTACTTGCCTTCTTCCTGCAACATGTAAGCCCTAGCGGAGCTATCCCCAGTTACGTGTTAATACTTTGTCCTCCCATCTAAGTTGCTCATTTCATTCATCTGCATTCCCATTAGAGTTGTACTTTGAAGCCTTCGAGACAACCGACAGCCAACAATCCAGCAGCCTCAAGCGTACGTCCTTCGATACTCTCCTGACTGTTCCTGACATTTTTGCTCTACAAGGAACTGACTTCTCGCAAGAATCTCGGTCAGGTGGCATCGTATGGAACCTGAGGCTGGTGATTTCTCAGGACTTGAAGTCAACGGCATCGAGGTCGTGCCGGGACTGGACGAGGCCCAGATATGTGGCCAGCCTGGATTTACGGGTGGCGACCTCCATGACGACTTCTTTGAGGCGGTATACGCCCACATAACCACAGGCGACGACGTGTTGACCAGTGCGGCCGACCCTTACCTATCGTTTCCATTAGAGTTAAGCTTTGGGGAACCCCAGAGCTACGGTTCTGATCCGGGGCTATTGCCAAGCTATGGTTCATCTTTCGACTCCGGTAGTGGTGCCGTTCATCCATGGCGGAACGAAATAGTAACCGTCAGCTCTTACAATTCTCTTGATTCGAGATGTCTCGGATTCATGGGTTCATTTGGGGATCCAATCGGCTCGACCGCACCCCCATCGGTTGACTCTTTCACAGAGTACGAGGATCCTCGCGGTATCGATATCCCCCGTGCTGCAGGATATCACAATCCGAGCAGAGTTGCACTCTCAGGTGTGCCGGAGGTGCCGCATATGTCGCAATTCAGCCCGGAAGCATTACAGGAAGACATACGCGGCATGGACCTTTCCGAACAGAGTCTGATGTGGGACGCAAGAGGATACTATCCAGGCAGCTTCAATTCGTTCAGCTCAGACAGCTTTCCATCGCTGTCCGCTCCAGGACCGTCTTATGCGGCATGGCCGAATCCATCCGTCATCAGACAGGACGGAACAAACATGGTGATCTCTGGTTCACAACAGTCCGCCACTTCCGACCAGCTGCCTCCCCAGGGTGAAACAGCTCTAGCTTATGCGCAATCGATCGGCTCAAACGACGCACGTGCGGACAACCCTTGCAGCATTGCTTCTGTTCCTCTCCGTCGGAGTCGGTCCACGAGTCAATCCTCTACTCGGCGGACCCGAGGGACAAGCCGCACGCCTCGGACGCGGCGGGTAACTTTGGAAGGTCAATCCTACCCAGGTCCTGTTGCCGGCTCTCAGGACTCCGGTCTCGAAGTCATCCAGTATCGGGCCAACGGGACTACTCAGGCTTTGGAGAAGATTGGAGAGGAGTTTCACCCGGGCCGCAAACGAGGTGGCCGCAAGGGCCCTCTGCCGGAAGACGCAAAAAGGACTACTGCACTTGTTCGCGGCAAGGGCGCTTGCCAGCCCTGTAGGGACCGGAAATGCAAGGTCAGTCTGAAGCCTTGATGTATATGTAATGGCATGCAGCTCATTCGTTTTAGTGTGGTCTCGGGTTGCCATGCCATGCTTGTTTCAAACATTTTGGGCCCGCCCTCATCCATCAGCCTTGCCGTGGATGGCAGCTGAGGGATCTCTCGGATCGTATATTATCTGGTATGTAATGATTGCTTCGATTAGCGCTCAGCACGTTTTTGCGTGTCATCTAAACAGTATGGCGGGGCTTCAGTATTTAGAGTAAGCGCAACTGACCGATGGCCAGATCATCTCGGATGGCACCCAACCCCTAGAACTCTCAACAGCTTCCTTAAATCCACGTTCTACCAGCTAAGCGATGACGAGCTGACTGTACCACTAATCCTGGACTTTGGACCGCCTCTCCTGGTTCAGGTTAGGGTGGTCTCCGTCAACAGCACCGACTTGCACTGCCTGTTCCACGAACACAGCGTTTACCCTTGGCCACCACTTAGACACTCTGAAGCTGAGATACACAGTCATCCAGTCTTTCCCGCCAAACTCTCGAATTTACCAGACCTTCGCCTACGTCTTGATCGTCACCTTGCACTCCTTGTAGACGAGCACTTCAATAAGTTTCCCCTCTTTCCGTCCCAGTTTCATGTCTTGAAGGAGTTCTATCTTCTTTACAGGCGGATCTCCAGGGTACGTGTTGGCACCAATGTGGGCTGTATCGTAGCTAAGCTAATGTTGTCAGACTGAGCCTGCACGGGCGCGGATCCTCCAACAAGCGCTTAAGCTTTTGGTACTTGTGCACATCTCCGGCGACGCAAAGATCGACCTTGCCGACCTCAATGCTCAGCGCATCGTCAGCAGGGTCTTGCCAGGCGGCACTGGGGCAAACGCGAAGCCATGCTTCATTCGTGGCGAGCTTGGGTTCGTCGTGCCGGATCTTGCTCGCGAGCTGATGAGTGAGGTTTTGTCAAGGCTCGAGGTGCTTTTTCTGGACCAAGAGTGCACGGAGTGGCCGATCGTTATCAGCACCCTCGGTGTACTGCTGATGACCATCGAGTCTGTTCAATATCATTCCTCGAGGGTTGGATACCACTCCTCACCCGGGTCCACCTCAGGTGAATCACACAGAGTTGAGTGTCAGATGATGGACGAACAGGCTATCGTCATACTCCTCAATTTCTACGGCATGAGCTATCCCATTTGCCATACCCAACTGCAAGAGGGGAGCCATGGCTCGTCCGTAGCTAGTTCCAGCACCGCAAGCAATGCAAACCCTTCAATCGCCTTTGCGAGCGGTGTCAGGCGCGCCATCAGTGATGCCAGGCAGTACCTGCAGCACCGCCTCCAGATGCCGGCGGCAAAGGCTGGGGACATTGCCTATTGCTTCGATCACTGGCTTGCGAAGCTCTTCCTGTCCCGACCATCTTTGACAGGTTCAGCGACATGCTTCGGCGACGTACTCTGAACCGTTAGCCTCTGCTGAACCTTTTCTTTTTAAGCGAGACAAGCCGGAGACCTCGACTAGTAGTTAGCCTCTGTGATTGCTACGATTTACGAAGGTAATGATTGACGACGGTCAGCCCCCCGTGTAGGGTCTTGGATAGAACGGCTACGGGGCTCCTTTCTGGCAGCATTATGTATGGTCCGTTGCGTATGAGACCCGTTATTTTCCTGCCTTCTCTTTTCTCTTCCTTGGGCGTCCACGGCTTGCTACAGCGTGTTACTGGCCGATCGACTGCTTATGCAGAGGGCGCCATTCCTCGATGGCATCGAACTGCTTCTTGTTCTGCATCTGTTCTCCATCCGTATTCATTTCCTTTGGGCAGACTGAGACCACCCAGATAGAGAGAGGTCCAAACACAGGTCCTTCAAGGACCGCTGATCCCTGCGAGTGTGCCTTTACATATGGATGGTCCATCGCGGCCAACGTGATTTCTAGATTGCGGTTCCACGATCAACCCCACGTGTGATATGTAGCTCTCCCTCCAGCAACGCCCAACGCTGCTGTGCGGCCCCGCTGATACCGGCCACCTCAACAAGTTGGTACAGGCGTCTTGCGGGGCCGTCGCCCCCTGGGGATTTGATACGCAATCTGATACGCAATCTACGCGATGGCGGGGATTCTGTGTCTTCTAAACTTGGCACATTGCCTGCGTGCAAGAGTGGCGTGGGCGTTAGATCGCCCGAGATGTCAAACGCTGATTCGCCGTTAGTGGCGCGGTTGTCTGCTTTTGTGCTCCGTCCAGCCTCGCTTCTGGACATCTCTGGACATCTCCCGCAGGAGCTGCGAGCAGAACAGTTAGCGGCTGACGCCCCGCCGCAGAAGCACGGCCACCGATGGGCGCTTTTTGGCCTTGTTTACAGCTGTCACGGCTGCCACAGCTGCACGTCCCGGCCACCCTGGAAACCGGCTCTACCACCGCCGCAGATCAATCTCCAGCCTGTTTCATGTTCTTCTGCTCCTCCACTATCAGGTAATTAGGCCTTAATCACTGCAGTCTTTCCTACGGCATTGCCATTGCCATTGCCACTGCCATTCCTATTCATGGCGTCCTTCACGACTCTCTCGTTTGATCCTTAGACCGTGCAAAGTAAGCATCGCACCGTTCATCGTGTATCGTCATGTCTGTTTCGTATAGCCCCTCGGCATAAGAAACTCGCATCCATCTGCCTTGGAAATCTACAAGTGCATTGCGATTGAGCCATTCACGAAAGTCTCTCTAACATGTCTTCGTTGCATCAGACGTACTAATTGGCCATGCCAACGCATCATACCCACACAAACATTCCGTCGTTACCGTAGATCTAGTCGTTCTCCATGGCGCCCGGAATCCTGAAGGCCTTTATGGGCAATACGTCCTCTGCACCGTCAGCAAGAGAGCAGCACCGCCTGTCAAAACCAAAGACAAACACGAACGCCTCGTTCTCCTCGCCGAAGCTGGACACCTGCGATTCTCCTACCTCTCCAACAAAAGGTTCCGATGTTACTGAAGAGGAAGTGGTGGTGCGGACTTCTTCCGGAGAATACAGGAGCCGGCAAGATGCGCGACAGCACATCCGCTCGCAACTCTTCGGCAGTAGCGACAGCATAACAACGCTACATAGCGGCGAGTCCAACGACAGCCTTCGGGACTTGGCTTCGCACGTCAAGGACCGGCTTCAGAGCCTCTCAAGGTCTGGTTCCATAGTATCACAGCTACCAAGCGCCCAGACCTCGTCAACGAAGCTCAATGGCGCATATGGAGATTCTCGACTGTCACTCGTTCCAGAGACTCAGTCTATAGACATCGAAACGGCCATTACGATCTTGCAGGAGTTGCGGAAGACAGCTTCACCGGAGGATCTGGTCGCGTTACGTAAGATCTACCCCCGCTGCCTAGGTATCAAGGACTGGTATTTACATGCTTCTTCTGCAGACAAGGCGCTGTTGCCAACTAGGAAGGCAGAACCATCGCCAACTAGGGTCTCCGCTTTACCAAAGGGACCTTCGACGGACTGCGTCAGCTCTCTGATTCGTCGGCGTTCTCTTGCGGCGCCAGGTCTGGCCACCAGGACGCAAGATCTGCTTCGCAAACCGGAAAGGCCTGTAGAGCCTGAAATCCAGCATGTCAACAGCCATGTCTGGCAGGCGAACATGTTCGAATCGTCTCCTCTGGCTTCCCTAGCCAAATTGAACCTCAGAGATGAAGAGGGGCGCGGCACCATGCCAAGACCTGAGACGCCTGCCGACATGGATTACACTCATCTCGGAGGCTTCAAGCTAGGAAGTCTCAAGATCACCAACGGCATGGCCTCGCCAGCACCTAGTATGACGGCTTCGAAGAATGTGTCCCGCCGACAGTCTACTCCGGACCTGCAGCAGCGCGAAGATGACTATTTTACTGCCTCCGAGGACTGCGCAAGTCCAGAACGTATTACGCCGGACAACACATGGCAGACAGAGCTAGCCAGTCAAACATCGATGCTGCCCAGAGCCCCCATGAGCCGTAAGGTCCGTAATAGACAGGATGCGCTTAAGTCAAAAGCAAGCGGCAGCCCTTTGCGGATCGAAAGACGGCGGGATAATTCCGATGGCACTATTAGGAATGACAGGTCGCTCAGTTCGGACTCCGTTGTGCGACACACCGGGCACTGCTCAGCACTCGATCTTGCAGAGAATTACATGGCGGAGCTCCCTGCGAGCCCTTATAGCAACCAAACCTCTCTCAGAGAAGACTTAGCGCACGATCATGCGTCCGACATTGACAGCACAACTGCCGCGCTCCGTACAGACGCTCTTTGCAGGTTGAACGGTACTTCTGGGGAAGGGGATACGGCTCCGCTGTGGCAAGATTCAGACTTTAAGCTTCCCCCTTTGACAGACTTTACTCACAACAGTACGCTGAAGATCGAACGGCCTGCACACGTGAAGGCGGATTCTGGGTACTCCTCCGGCAACAATCTCACTACCCTCCAGACAAAGTGGAATGCTGAGGATGATGCCAGTATCTATAGCAAAAGGGCTTCCCATTACGATGTCTTACAAACCACAGGATCTGATGATACCAGGAGTATCCACACACCTCAGCAGGCCCCATCGTCAAGCGCATCATCTCACAGATCAGTCGAGGCTTCGCGCTCTATTACAGGGGAGCCCGCCAATCCCCACGAGGAGGAGAAGGCTCGACCGTCAAAAACTCGACGGAAATCTATTATTCGATCGATCTCGTTGGGCAGAGTCAAACACCGAAGCCTCCCTGCAACGCCTACCTCTTCTGATCTGCCGCCAGTGCCATCTAGCCAAAGCAGCGAACAGTCACCCCGGAAATGCAAGAAGCTCCAGAAGCAGAGACCCAACGCTCAAGTCTCTCCAGTCGTGCAGGGCCAGCGGCCGATTCGAGCTGGAAGCATACCATATGTCCCAGATGATGTTGTAGCGAAATTTTGCAAACGCATCAAGTCGTCGCCAGACATGGAGCACCTGAAGCGCACTTACGCGTCTGTGAAGGCAGGGTCTAATGAAAGCTTCGAGGAACCTATACCAGCATCTGTCCCTATTGTTTTTCCTGGAGACAGCGTGAGGAACTCGCTGGCATTGGACGTTGATGATGAGAAGCTGCTGCCGCCACCTCCTCCACATCGGCAAGCCCCTCCTCCGCCATCTCACTGCAGAAGTGACTCGCGTAGTCGTAGCAACTATAGTGGTCACAAATCTGAGGACTACGCGTTCCTAGGTGTTTCAGATTTCGGCACCGTAGCACAGTCCCTAGGCGGATCACCTTACGATATCGCCATGGGGACTCTTAAAGGGCCGTCTCCTGCCAGACCCACGCAGCCACATCACCTCAGCACGAACGTATCGGCCCAGTCGAGCTCGAAGACCGCCATGGACTCGGAGACTGCCGCTGCGTATGCAAGGGCACGGAGTCATGACCGGGCTGCACCACCAGAGAGAAATACGAGGAGTACCTCGCGCCCCCGCAGCTTTCATGAACGCGATCTTAAGGACGGGGAGCGGTACGTGAAGAACTTCTCGCGCCCTCACAGCATGCACGACGATGCGCCACCGGTTCCCGCACTGCCCTCGAGCAGAGGTTCAGCGAATAGCGCATCATCAACGCAAAACGTCGCGGAGCTGCCTGCCTCGCCAGTCAAGGCTAGGGCGGAATTACCGGCAGGAGATGTACCGCCAATCGTGACGCCGGCTCCAGCGCCAGCACCAGCGCCAGCGCCAGCGCCAGCTCCAGCAGCGGAGAGTGAAACGCCGTCCCAGCGCCCGAGCACAGGAATCGACTGGGAATCCCACCGCAACCTCTGGCGCCAACGCCGCAAATCCATCGGCGAAGGACTGCTTCGCAGGAGCACTGAGCCCACCACCGATAGCGATGGAGCCCTAATAGCCCCGAAAGCGGCCGCTCCAGCCATTGTAATATCACGATACGTCACGCCCATCCAGCATACTTCGTTCAGCACCAGCTCTGCAGCCGGCGGTGCACCACTGAAGCGCTCAGCCTCTCCCTCCATCGCCGCCCTCGCCGCTCGCTTCGAGCAGCAGCAGCAGCAGCACCCAGACGCCCCCCCGCGAAGCCCCACAAAGTCCGCCATTGAGCTTCCCGTCCCCACAAGCCGCCACCCGGCCGACTCGGCCCGCTCGTCTCGCTCATCTCGCTCATCTCCCTATGTGCAATCCACAGCCTCGGCCTCGGCCTCAGCCTCAGCCGAGGACGTCCGCGACAGCCTGACGGACCGGTACAGCGGCGGGCTAGGGTACGGGTACGAGGCCGGCTTCGGGCTGGGCGGCAGTGCCGGCACGAGGCATCTGAGGAGCGCGGCGAGTCGGAAGAGCTTGGGGTTTGCGCATCAGTTTGGGGTCGACTTGAGCGACGTGCCGGTTTTTGTCACGAAGGCGGGATGATGGGTGTAGGGGGGAGTGTAGGGGAGGTTTGGGAGCGTTTTGTTCTGATACCCAGCAACAATAGGGTGGAGTTTATGGTAGATTGAGGGGGGTTTGGGCCCGTTGAAGGCTCCACAGAGGGGGTTTAATGCTTGAGGAGCAAAGCTTGGAGTTGTACAGGTACGAAAACATACGCCTCGTTGTAGAGTTACATAGCAAACTCGTGGGGGGCGGTTGCACCGCTTGTAGGAGTCGCTCGATATTCTAGAGGGTCCATTTGCATGCTACGGCGCTTTGTCGTGACGCTACGAGCTTCGCTGTTCCAATGCTTGACTGCGCAACCATGGTCTGTGAGTAACCTCGGAGGGCTTTGATTGAGGTCTCTTCAGACGCGTTGGGTGTCTTGCGTGCTCTCTGGCACTCGTAACGTTCACATCATGTGCCCTGCCAGGAAGATAATTTTCACATCTATCTGGACATCTCCACCCCTTGAAAGGTCCGAGGTCACCTCACTAATAGCGGATGACGGCACTCTGACCCTCTCGATCAGAAGAAGAGCCGTCTGCGAGATGCGTCCCGTCTTCTGTGGTGGAACCACAAGGCGCTCTACATCAACACTACGACAGGAGTAGCATGGTTCGGTCCGTGATAGTTCATATCAGCTCGTGGGCCTTGCCGGACCCCTTCAGCGGGTGCTGTCTGCACTTCTGTCCTGTGTGCTCCTTCAACGACGAGAGATCTGGGACGTGTTAATCTTGACCGCTGCAGCGCCGGCGATGCGAAGATGTCAGATTCGATAAGGGTAACAAGGGGCCGTATGTCACACACCTGGACCCGCGGGACCTTTTTTGCGCAAAGAGTGCTCCAGTCGGAAGGGCAGCTGTGCCTTTCCACAGTTGCAATCCTTGGCCCAGTGTCCTCGCGCAGTCTTTAGGACACCTGACCTTCCAAGACGACATGTGAAAGAGTTGAAAAGGGCTTCAGTGGTGTTCAAGAAGGCCCCCAAACCTGAACGGCTGGGATCTTCACCACCCTTTTCGCACTTCCAGCGATCGTGCTGCATGGTGCATGATCGGTAAGGCGGCATCCTCGACCCAAGCCGAAAAGATGCACATGCGCATCAAGGCATATCCCGCCTTCCAGCCGCGGCCGGTTTGACGGCGTTTGCTCTCTTGCGACTGACGGGGGAAGATTTACGTAAACTGCTTCTGAGCTTTGGCGGGGGCTTTTCCGTGACGATGAGAGGCCGATGAGGTCGTGGATGGGGCTTTGTTCGAAGAGCGGCGCCAAGCGTGCTAGGGATTGACGTGTGCGCTTCAACGTTCTCCTCACGAGGAGTTCGCTCAGAATGCCATGCTGAAATGACATGAGTTCCATGAGGTGATGTAGCGCCGGGAGCGTGCCGCGTCCGTGGGTACCGATGTGCGAGGGTTCCCCCCTAGATTGGCTGGCTGCGCTCCCTGCTGCATAGAGCCAACAACAGAGTTGCTTTGACCCAAGACCGTTGCTTGAGTGGTGCGCCTGAGAGCGGGAGCAAGGAGCGTGGCCAGCCCATTCACGCAAACCCCCCCCCCTTCGTTCAACATTGGAGCCAGCGAATTATGTAAGATCTACCTGTTATCCACAACAGATTGGAGGCCTTAAGATATACCGAACGCAAGACTTTTTCTTTTACCTAGTTACTCTTCTACTGCTGGGTTATGCGTGCTATGTAACAATGACATAGCTGGAGTAATGGCGTGCACTGGGTTGGGTTGAGGGCATTCCGGGCCTCTATGCGCCCACGACAACCGCAGCCTTGAGGCGACAGCGGCCTGAAACCTCCCACCTCCTCTTCCCCCCAGGCGTGCGCCATTCTGTTCTGGGCTTCTGGGCTTCTGATGAATGTCCCAGTCGCGTGAGGTGGCCTTCGCTGTGCACGTCGGGCTTTTCCGGTCAGAGAGAAGGCTGGTGGAGTCCGAGGAGCTAGCGAAATGCCTCGCAGAAGCCAAGTCTTGCTCGGTTAGTCGTGGCCGTCCCCGCCAGTGACGTGAAAGCGACGCATTCGGTATCGAGCTCCCGTAAGAACTCGGGACTGGGCCCTTTGCAGCAGCGTTTGATTTAGGTCCCGCCTGCCATTCCAAGAATTGCATCAACCAACGGCTATCACCACCACCACCACCACCACCACCACCGCCTTTTCCATGACTCTCCTCGGTCATCGCTATCTCTAAGCCCTCATAGCTCCCGGCCCCCTCCGCTCCTCTGTGCTCCCCTCTGCTCCTCTCTGCTCCTCTCCTATGCCCTGCAGCTCACCTCCCACCCCAACACACAATGCCTACCTTCGTCGTCTCCCTGTAAGCAGTCCACAATGTTTTCACTGCAACCGGCTTCTCCTCGAATCCTGTCACACACAACATGGCGCTGACTTGACGCTTCTGCCAGCTTCCTGCCCTACACTGTCGACTTCCATGATCTCCCTACGCCCTCACAGCGGCCCAGCCCTCCGCTACGGCTCCCCAGTCGGAAGAACTCCATCACCAATCTGCGCGAGAACAAGGCGAGCTTGTTCAGCGTCCCCACGCCTCCCCAGACCCCATCAGCCGCCGCAGCCCAGGAAGAGTTCTTCTCCCAGTTGCAGCCCAGCGCCGCTACTCACTTCCCTAAACCACACGACCCACGCTCTCTAGTCCGCAGCGACTCGCATGTGCCAGAATGGGGCAGAGGTCTCTTCTTCAACCACCCGCGGTCCAATGCGGGGCAACTACCGGCGGAAGATATTCTGAAGTATGTTAAGGCCCAAGCCCAGGAGAGGGCCGAGGAGCGTGCGCAGACATTGTCAAAACGTCGCCCTTCACCGAAGTCAGCAAAAAGACACTCGAGAACATCAACGGGCGAGAGGCCCGCTTGGGCGACCCATTGGACTGTAGAACCGGCCGAGCAAGGCAATGGAGGCCTTTACAATGCGGTAAGAGGCGCCATGGACGCTGGCACCATAGAGGATGTTATCTGGATGGGCACAATAGGTTTTCCAACAGACACATTAGACGACAAGGCCAAGAACGAGATCCATGAGAAGTTGGAATCCGAGTACGATGCGATGACCGTCTATGTTAGCGACAGTGACTTCGAAGGTCACTATGGACACTACTGTAAGACCATCTTGTGGCCAGTGTTCAACTACCAGATCCCAGACCACCCGAAAAGCAAAGCCTATGAGGATCACTCTTGGAAGTTCTACGTCAGACTGAACCAAGCCTTCGCGGACAAGATTGTCAAGAGCTACAAGCGTGGCGATGTCATATGGGTGAACGATTACCACATGTTGCTGGTTCCCGGTATGGTCCGCCAGAAGCTGCCGGACGCCCAGATCGGCTTCTTCCTTCATACCGCCTTTCCTTCTTCGGAGGTGTTTCGCTGTTTGGCCGTACGCAAAGAGCTGCTGGAAGGCATGCTTGGTGCGAATCTGGTCGCATTCCAAAGCCGGGAATATGCCGCCCACTTTCTACAGACCTGCAGTCGCTTGCTGATCGTTGAGGCCACGAACGATGGTGTGCAGCTCGAGAACCGGTTTGTCAATGTTTTACACATCGCAATTGGTATCGATCCGAAGAGATTCAATGTCGCGAGGGAGGAGCCAAGCACCCTCGAATGGATCAAGGTCATGGAAGAACGCTACAAGGGCAAGCACCTAATCGTAGCACGCGATAAGCTCGACACGATTAGAGGTGTTCGGCAGAAGCTGCTTGCGTTTGAGTTGTTCCTCAACAAGTACCCTGAGTGGCGGGACAAGGTATGTTTCAATCAGATCTGATGCGCGCGTCTCGCTCACCCGTACAGGTCGTCATGATCCAAGTCGCAACCTCAACAACGGATAATCCAGATCTATCAGCAACCGTATCCGAAATCGTCATCCGCATCGAAGCTCAACATTCGACACTAGCACACCAGCCGCTTGTCTTCCTTCGGCAGGACATTGCCTTCAGCCAGTACCTCGCATTGCTCTCCGTTGCAGACACGCTTATGATCACCAGTCTGCGTGAGGGCATGAATCTGACAGTGCACGAGTTCATCCTATGCCAGGATGGTAAAGGCAGCGACAAGAAGCATGGACCAGTCATCCTCAGCGAGTTCACCGGTAGCGCTTCGCTTTTCGGAGGTAACGAGCTCTCCGTCAATCCTTGGGATTATCAGAAATGTGCAGACGCCATCAAGATTGCGCTGGAGATGTCGGCTGTAGAAAAAGAACGGCGCTACAACAAAATGCGCGACGTGGTCGTACATCACACAGGCGAGTATTGGTGCAACACTCTCGTAAAGGCGCTGGCCAAGGTTCACGAAGAGCATTACATGCGTGACAACATGTCAATCCCTCGTCTGTCAATCTCCCAGGTCTGCCAGCAGTACAAGAGCTCGCAAAAGCGGCTTTTCATTCTCGACTACGAAGGCACACTGGCGGGTAGCTCGCCGACCAGCACTCTGCTCACCAGCCCACAACGAGTTCTCGACGCGCTCAACGACCTCATCATGGATACTCACAACATCGTGTACGTCATGTCTGGCCGGACGCCGGAAGAGCTCGAGCGTCTCTTCAGCCGTGTGGCCAACCTGGGCATTATCGCCGAGAACGGGTGCTTCGTGCGCGAGTTCGGCGCGAGCGAAGAGTGGATCGAGTTTGCGGACACCGAGAAGATGTCGTCGTGGAAAGCCAGCGTCAAGCAGATCCTCGAGTACTACCAGGAGCGCGTCGAGGGCTCCTGGATCGAGGAGCGCCACTGCTCGCTCATCTTCCACTACGAGAAGGTCGACGACCTCGAAACGGCGTCCCGCCAAGCTGGCGACCTCGCCAACCAGATCAACGATGCCGCCGAGAGCCACCGTGTCCACGCCGTCCCGACGGACAAGGCTGTCCTCATCGAGCCGCTCGACTGGAGCAAGGGCAGCGCGGCTACGCACATCTTTGACAGGCTTCGTCAGAAGAAAGTCGAGAAGGAGGGCCAGCCGGAGCTGGACTTCTTGATGGTGGCGGGCGATGACCGTGAGGACGAGGTCATTTTCCGCTGGGCGAATAAGCTGGGCCAGGCGGGCGTCATCAAGAACGTCACGACTGTGAGCGTGGGGAAGAGGAACACGGAGGCGATGGCGACGCTCACGCAGGGCACAACGGGGCTGTTGAGCGTGCTGTCCAAGCTTGCGAAGCTGTGAGGGCTCCTCGACACCCGGAGTACTTTCCGCGACCTGTCTTACTCGAGAGGGCCGAAGACGTGGCTTCTCCGCTGTTTCACTATGATAGACTGGCTATTCCCTCTTTGCCCTTTCCGCGGAGCTTTCAGTTGGCTTTCATAGACGAGAGACGTGCATCATACCATGGCAGCGATTAGTATATTGGGGCATACGATACGGGCACAACATCAGCATGGCGACGGACGAGCAGGATTATGAATGGGCTTTGTCGTCTCTTTCCTCGCAGAACAACATGATTCCCACCTCCATATGAATACGCAACTGCAGCAGAGCATTTATTTCAAGATTTCTTGATGCAGCATTACCACAAGCGGCTCCCACAAACGCATACCTTTCCAAATGCATACAGTACCAAATCCCAACCTGTCTGGCATGAGCCGGGTTGGCCAGTGCGGTTCCAAACGAAACTTGCCCACATCCAGAAACCAAAGCCATCGAGATGCCATATCCAAGGTAAATACAGAATCCCTCGTATTCAATGCCTCGTTTAAAAAAAACCAGGCCCTTTCTCCAGCTTCAACACCTCACCGCACAAACCTCGAGCTCAAGCCAGCGAAAGCATCAGGACTGTGTCGTCCATTCATCAGCCCCGCGAAGTCCACGCTCTCGTTACTGACGTGTCTGCCGCCCATGGCGCCGTTTGCACCATCACCACCACCCGCCGCCGCGCCCGTGGCGTATGCGGCATTTACACCTGCTGCTGCTGCTGCGCCGCCACCGCCGCCGGCAGACGCGAAGGGGTTCAGACTCCCCGGCCCCGCTCCCGCCGCAGCGCCCGCTGATGTCGGTGTAGCTGTGACGGGCATCGTGACGCTGCGCTGCTTGGCGTGGCCCCTAGCGGGCGAGGGCGCAGCGGCATCTTCGGATATGGCTGAGGTGCTTTCAGACGGTCGTGTAGGCGCGAGGTGGGGGTAGTTGTAGAGAGCGAGGATGGAGGTCTTGTCGAAGCGCTGGGGTGCGTGTGTTGGTGGCGCTTGGGAAGGCTGGTGGTTTTGGTGGAAGGCGGCGAGGTTCTGTTGATGCTGCTGGGTGGGGTCCTGGAATTGTGGTTGGGGTTGTGGTTGTGCGTAGGAGGCTTGCGGAGGAGCTTGTTGGAAGGGTTGGGTCGGCTGGGGTGGCTGGTGATGGTTCGGTGCCATGTACTGCTGCTGCTGCGGCTGCTGTGGTGCTTGCGCAAAGCCCGTATTGGGCGCTGGCTGTTGGATGTTGAACGGGTTGGTGGAGGTAAAGATCTGGGACCGTGAGGTTCGAAGGAAGGGATTGCTGGACTGTATCTGCGCTTGTTGTGGTTGCTGGTATTGTCCTTCTGTCTGATAAAACGCGGCTTGAGGTGCATGATTGCTGTATTGCAAGGGTATCTCTGGCATCGGCGGAGGCGTGAATGGCTGTAAGAACGGATTATGCTGCTGCTGGCCATGGTATTGGTAACCCCCCGTCGAGTGGGGAAACAGTTGCTGCGGCTGCTGAGAGATCTGCATAGTCTGGAAAGACTGCTCGAGCGGCGTTTGAAATGTTGAGGGCGGTTGTACAAGTGGTAGAAAAGGATTGTACGGGTTTGTAGGGGATGTGGGAGCGCTGTAAACGGCATTACTAGCCATTGGCCGCTGAGTAGACAAGACTGCCTGTGGTTGTTGCTGATCTCCGGGGGCGCCTAACTGATCGAATGGATTGTTCGTCTGGCCCACAGTCGGCGCCCGTCGCGTCCGGTCAATCGTTATACCATTCACATTGGCATCCTTGGGTACGGGAGCGGGTGCCTGCCCCCTTGACGGGCTCTTGTCGCGCTCTCCAAGCCGTATCAGCGCCTCTACTGCCTTGTCCAGATTCCCGTTCAAGCCTTTGAGTACCGTCGAATTCCGTTTCTCGTCCGGGAATCCCATCTCACGTAGTGTCGCCAATTTCGAGTCCGAGTCAACCGCGCTGTTGCCCACGTTGGCACCAAACACCCGAGAAGGTTTGTTCACTCGAGGCGGCGACTGTTCCACTCCCAATTCCGCCGGGTCAGGAGGAATAGGCCGGGCCGTCTTCTCGTGTCTGGAAAGAGGGAACGTCGAGGAAGCCGCGCGCAGCCCGAAACCAAATCTTTTGCCCGGCTTTGGTGGCAATGGTGGTGGCCGGTCCTCCGCCGAACTTGTGCTTCCAGTATCATGCCGTGCTCCAGGCCCAGCACCACCCTTGAAGGCTTGATGCTCATATTTCTGTCTGATGTACCTCTCCATAGCTCCATCGACCTCATCGACGTCAATCGGAATGGCGGGCTTCGCGTTCTGAGGGTTGAAGAGGCGGTTGGACGCTGCGTTGCCCATGCGCTTCATGGTCTGGCATGATTGTTGTTAGGAAGCGCTCAATGCCCGGAAGGGAGTCACTGACATCCACCTGCTCATTATTCCAGCTGTCCATGCTCAAGGACTTGACCTTAGATACGTGTGTCCCGAGCTTGCGATGCAGTGCCGCGCAGCGCATGCAGAGGAAGATACCGAGCTGAAACGGCGCATCTCGTCAGCACAAGGTATTCGGCGACTTGACGTGGACGGATGTGCACAGGAGTGCTCCGCGATGTTTGAGCGCACGACGAACTGTGCCAGGCTACTCACACTCCAGCTTGCCCATCCTAAGTTCTTGTAGTCAGCGCTGTCTGCAGATGGTAAACTGCCATGTTACCGGGAGCGTCTACCTGGATTCCGAGCGCCGCAGTCTGCGCACCTGTCATTGCCGGGTACGGTCTTGATCAAGTCTTGAAGCGTGCGCTCATTGCGCGCCTGTTGACGTTTGCTGAGCGCCGAGGACATGGTGGCTCGCAATGGATAGGGACTCTCAAGGCGAATTTGAGGGTAGCTTGGGTCTTTTCGAGCAGTCGCGACTTGCACCACTGAAGGTCAAGTGCCAGCGAACGGATATCCGGGGAATGGAAACAAGAAGTACATGATTGATAGGCGAAAGGGGTTGCCCATCCAGACCTCTCCGCATCTCGTTAAGGTCGTGGGAGGTGATTAGTTATGGAAATGGTGCTGGCAGTCTGTGGCGTTCTGCCGTTCAAGGGGATCGATTTCCAGAAGAACGCATCCATACTCTCAGTGTACTCTCAGCACGCGTGCATCTGGGTGTTTGGAGCTCTCGTTCATGCATCAGAATTCACGATTGAGCGAGAGCCGCGTCTCAATGGTCCAAGACACTTTTCCAAACAGCAGTGCGGAGTGCTTTTGGTTATGCCACAGACTGTTTACCTGCAACCACCCTCCAACATCTCTGTAGAGACAGAACCTCGACAGCGCGCCTTGCTAAGAGTACTATAATTGTGCCACCGAGGATTCTGTTCCAGGTTGGATTCAACTGCGATGATCGTATCAAAAGGCTTGTATGGCGCGCAGGTGGCTTCAGCACCATTGATCATGCAGTAGACGACCGATTGCTGAAGCCTAAATGCGCCTCTATGGTTGCTCTTGAACGCCAATATGACCGACCAGCCTATGGAGCGAGTATTGGCGGTTGATTATGCATTCTTACTTATGAAGTGTGTGAGGAAAAGAAGAGCGCAAGACAGCGCTCCGACAAGTCCGCTATGACAGTATGGCTTACTAAGCGATGGTTTTGACTTTTCTTCGGTTTCTCCGAACATCAATTTCACAACTCTCAAACTTCACCGAGTGATCAGCAGCTCGTCTCGAAACCTGCAGTGCGTGCTCCGCCGGTCTCAGGGCCTGAGTCTTAGGCTCAGCAAGTCAAGATGCAGTGCTTGCCTTGGTTGGACACATATACCTGCCTATATCTACATCAGGAATCCAGCTGTCACTCAGCGGTACCACGATTTGCCTGCCTCATGCGCCTGCCTATGGCCATGAGGCATACTTCATCAATCAGTGGAAGAACGAAATAGGTTTTTAGCAGGACCGCGTCTTCTCCACCCTACTGGTCATCTACCGCGTGGATCAGTAGGACTATTTTACAGACGGACATCTGGAACCCGTAGTCTCTCGACATCTCTCCAGAGTGGTCGTGCATATTGTTGCTCTTCCTACAACATGTCGAGACTTAGCAATACGCAAGCAAACTGCCCTTCGCTTGAGAGCTGGGACTAAGGGCGTTGTTGGTGCTGGCGACTGCATAGTAGTGCCTTGCACGATTTCTACATCTAGCTTCCTCGTAGGCCATCGCATACCTGGATTCGTTGTGTGCGCAACCCAAGGTGTCGTGTATATACCTTTACGGCTGCTTGCTCAGGCTTTGTACCAGTCCGTTGATCCTGCGGGAAGCTGCAATGCGTCTGGCATGCCCCTTGGAAGACATCGCGTAGGCAGAGACCATGGCGCTGCAACATGACGATTCGACATCTTCCTTGGAGAGGCTCCAATATCAATTACATAGTCCCTGGCGGTGAAGAAAGCCCTGCTCGGTGGTGCCTAAGGCGGTAGAGGCGATGTGATTGGAGGCTGTTCACAAAAGGCGCTAAAGACACCGACAACATTTCCTCTCGGTGAAAGCTTTCCAAATCGTTGACACAAACACACTAACAAGCTCGAATCTGTCGCCAGACGTCATCGTATGTGACAGCGACGCCTCCGTCTCCGCCATTTCGACATTCGTCTCCTCCGTGCGACTCGGCCCCGCCCCGCACTCCAAGCCAACGGCCGCCATTTGGACCCTCAAATGCTGCCAGCTCACGTGCAAAGCTTCTTTCCCAGCCAGTTGCGTGCCGTGCACTGCACGTCAGCTACTCGTACCTGGGAGCTTCGACTCCAAGGATTGGTGCCAAAGTACAAGGCAGCTCCCCTGGCCGCACATTTCCCGGCTCTCCCTGCACCGCCAGTATCCCGAAGACCATTTTCTGGAAACGGATGGAGCATCATATCATACTCTGGTCTGCATCGCCATCTCGAACTGAACGTAGGACCAATAAGGAGCGCAGGACGGCCTACCGTAGATCGATGCGGACGGGCCCCAAGGCTGAAAGCATGGGAGCCTGGTTCATCGCGGACAAGCCGAAGTCAGCCTTGCCCTACGCACCGGTAACGAAATCCATGCAGATACCTCTTCAAGTACATGTACCTCGACGTAATTTCCAACTGTCACGCTTTGAAGGATTCTGCTGGTAATTATAGGCCAATCATGCCTCATCCCCTGGCACCCGCCCGCTGGATCCCCCTGCAGCCCTACAAGGCTCCCTCACATTGTAGCTTACTCTCACCGCGTCTCGAATGACTAGCTCGAGCTCGACAATCGCCAGGAGAACACCAACACTCTGGTTCGGCTTGGCCTGCGGCGACTCCGTGATACATCGCTCTTGAAGCCGTCGTTCGCTCAGATTGCCATCGTAGCGTCCGCAGCTCGCGGTACCCTTTCCCTATGATGTCGCTGCCTGGCAATCATCATCTTCCTTTTGTTGTGGATCTCTCCGTCCGCTATATCCTCTTTGGGCGCACCCCAGATCCGGCGTCCAATGATTTCTCCCCAACCCAGAACACAAGACGTGCCAACCGTTCATCTGAAGGCTATGCATATCAAGCATCGCCGTCTCCGAACTCTTGTTCCTGATGTAGGGGCCACTGGTTGACCAACCGTTCATGCAAGCTTCTTCAAATCCTCAAAGTATGAATATAGTCTTCGCGCTCCCTACGGGGTCATTGGTCTGCATTTCTGTCACAGTAGCGCAGCTTCCAGTCATCCTAATTCATATACCTGTCTGTGACTCTACTAGACCTAGGCAACAACCTAGTCTAGGGCTGAAAGATTGAAGGCCTCATCTCACTACCCTGGCATTGCCTCAAAGTCGCTGCGGATTACTCTATCGAAGCAGCCTGGGCCTACAGCGCTGGTGCCAAGAGTAATAGCATTCCTATTACTCTTCTGCCACACGTTTTCCTATACACTGCAAAAGATCATCAAATGCGCAATCTTGTTATCTTTTGTCAAGGAATCCCATACATACGCTGGCCGTCATTGTGTTCTACCTTTGCTACCACCACTCAGTATCCGTCCGAACTGGTCACCAAGCTGGATCTACGTACGACTCCGAAAACATGTCGCTGCGTCGACAGAGCGACGAAGATATTTCAGGGTCATGCCAAGAGTCGGGTGGCACACAAGCGGATGACTGGGCTGCCGTCGAAGACCCCAACGAGCGTCGCAAGATACAGAACAGGCTGGCGCAAAGAAAGTTTCGTAAGTTTGAACTTTCGGGATGACGGATTGTAGTGGCAAGTGCTGACGATATGGTTCGTTACAGGAGCTAAGATAAAGGAACAAAAAGAGGATAGCGAGCGACTGGTCGAGAACCAAAGACTCGCAGGATCTGCCTACGCCTCAGCGGAGCCTGGCGAACTGGACGGCAACAGCCAACTCTCCGGTCTGCCATGGGGAGGAGTCTCGATGGAGCACATCATCCAGTCGGGCATAAACAAGGAACAGAGCTCGCCGCAAAGCTCCAAGGACAACTCAGTCTACGCCGCCTACTCGCGCACAGGTGGGAGCTCGCGGTAAGCCCTACCCGCCGTGAGTCTATCCAGCCGTCTCTACGCCGCTTTACTCATACTTTACCAGGCTCGGTCTCCATCTCACTGATCAATTTGCTAGAGGATATCCCGCGTGGCGGACTTATCTTTACATGCAACCACACGGATCTCCCCGACATTATCATCAGGCGGCACGAAATAACAGGGCACCGCACCCATGACCATACTCTCCTCCTTGTCTGCTGTAGGGCGCGGGCGCCATTCTGCAATTCATTCACACCCTCACGTTGGGACTTCTGCCTCTTCACCGCTCCACGACCCAATCACAACCTTGGCGCTTTGGCATCGGCCCATCTGCATATTCGAAGTGGCCAGCCCATTTCCTTGTTTTCCTGGGCTTCTTTGTACATGTTATAATACTGCATGGCGATTGTGGCATTGGCGATTGGGTTTCAGGGGAGTTTTCAGCAGACAGCATTGCGAGCCAACAGGCGCCGAGCACGGCGAAGCCCCTCCTCTTTTAGGTTGTACCAATATTGAGCGTTGAGCACTCGTCGATTTCTACTACGAAGCGAGACGAACCAGACGTGTCGAATGAGCCGTATTCACAGATAGTGACATATCCCAGAATGTATTTAACTTCAAACCGTGCTGAGGCTTGGTTGTACGCCAGTTCCTAAATTGTAGTTCTTTTACAACATCACGAAAATCAGCCTTGCAGCCGTGAGGACCACATTCAGCCGCATCACCTGAGTGGATGTCGATGTGTTCGTGCCGTTGGGATTGTATAAATATAGCCCGCGTCAGGAAGGCTGTGCCGACCGTTCAGGCGCCTCGCCAAATGCTGCCGCATCAGATTGGGCAGGGTTTGGCGACTTCACCTCACAAGCAACGAACCACACCACCATCTACAACACTCGACCTTGACGCCGTTCATTCAATACCACAATTCAACTGTTACTCGCGCGGTGCGTAGTCATCGAAGCCCGAAAGACAAGGTACTTCGCCTGTGCCGAAGCGCGCCGTCGGTAAACTCCATGCTTCGCCGCGGCTGTCGTTGCCAAGTCATGAGAAAGAGTCCATTGACCACCCAATTCAAGGTAATCCACATATGCCGGCATCCACTGTGATGGCTGTAAGAGCTATGGAGCCTATCAGATTCTTTTGGGCGTGCGGCATAGATAATGGCTCCCGCGTGAGCACCCAGACGCCGCAACGGCTTTCTGGCGAACTATGCCACCCAAACCAATGAACCACTTGATATGACCCCGATTCATTACCTAGACATCGTTCCTAGAAAATGCTTACTGAAGACGGGTGGGATGTCTGTCTCCAGGAACCTTAAGCGCCGCTGAGAGGCTGGTGGCGCGGGAGGAGACTATGGAGCTCGTCTGGTCTTGTATGCGGCGAAGCTTTCAAAATATCAACCTTAAAAGACCGTAGGATTCCAGCTCAAGTGAACACAGCCTTGTGTAGATGTCCTTCCATCATCCTTCCATATGCCATCGCCGCCTCACGAGGGGTTGTTGAGGCTCAGACTCGACCCGATGCCCCCTACGACTCGAAGCCAAACACGAAGAGGGCGACAGCAGAGAGAGCAACGCCAAGCTCAAGTCCACCGCCAAGGCCAACAGCCAACCGCTGGCAGTATTGGCGCCGCAAGGGCATCTTCGCCAATGGATGAACGCTTCTCCACCATCTCTGGATTCACATACGACATTTCCAGCTTGAGCCAGACTTCTCGGGAACGAGTCAGACGAGCAACGGAGAGCGGCGATGCGATAGCCATGGAGTACTGCGAGCGGACCAAAGCTGGTGTATATGTCTTTCATATGAAAGACACGTTTGCCATCTTCGTCAACGCAGAAAACCCACCCTCGAAACCTCGCTGCGACTGTGGTGTAATGCAGGAGGGAGGGCTTGCTTGCAAGGTGCGTTCAAGGTCTTCAGGCTTTACAGCCATATCAAACTAATTTGCAAAACAGCACCTCTACTGGCTTGAAGATCAAATTGTCCAGGCATACGACAATACCTCTTCAGTGTATAGACTTGTACCAGATGGCTCCTCTATCGGAAACAAACCTCCAGACCGCCCTATTGTAAACATGTCTCCATTCGAGTTGATCGAGAGGCGCCAGTTGTCCGAGCTCGCTGAGCACCAGGAGTGGCCGTTTACCAAACAAGTCCTTGAAGAAGACCAGGATCGGGAAGATGAACTGAATCACATGTTGTCGGTTTTCAACCCGATTGCATTCAGTCCTACAGGATTCGTTGCCACCTTGCCCGACTTACCATCGCCGGAACAGGCATACAAGCAATTTTGCGACTCGGTCATCGCACAAGCCATGCAAGACGACGGCTTGTACGCCAAACTACGATCCATCATAGATCCTAAAGTCCGCGCCAACGTCTTCTTCGGGAGAGTGCAAAACAAGGTTGTACAAGCGTTTAACGACTTGCAGAGGTATCTCGATGATGGTCCTACCGAATCGACGCCTCACTTTGGCGTCGAGGAATGCGCCACCAAGCTCGAGGAGTTGGTTGAGCAAATCCGGGATAGCTACGCCGAGGATGTCGAGGACGATCCCCGCGGCCGCGATCTTAACGCCACCAGCCGAGCCGTCAGTGCATTGGTTGATATCTTACAGGGCGTTGTGGACCGCAACAGGGATCTTTACCAAGGCCTCACATGGGCCATGCCTCCAAATGAGCAAGCCCAAGGCGGTAACCTGTTCGCTCGTTTGATCGAAGATCACATGGATGAAGACGACTTGTTTGTGCTGCGCGTGCTGAAGGACATGCCGCCGGAACTCATCAGAGACCACCGCGATCGTCTCGAGGGCACCCTGCAGAACCTCAGGTCGCAAGGAGCGCCGACATCCTACGTCGCGCAGTTGCAGAACATCATTCAGAAGAGAAGGAGGGCCCTATGAAGTGAGCTGGCTCACTGAACTACGGTATTTTCAACCGGAATTTGTACATCTGACGCCCGAATCTGTAAATCCGGCTCTATGACTGCGTGGTCTCAGGCGTTGGAGGGTCATTTGCTTTCCTTTCGTCTTTGCTGTTGCTTTACCATCAGCTGTTTTCTTATCGCGGTCTATCTAGCAGGTCTAGCTCGTCCGGTACAATCAGTAACCCGATCATATCACCCCTACCAAGAATACCTCCCTGCCCCACGTGCCCTTGCGTGGGAAAATGTCTTGGTGACATCCTATGATTTAGCCAGACAACTTCGTCAAGAGAGACGCCAGAAGCCAATGAGGATACGATTACTCACGATGCGACAGTAGTCCACTAAGATGACTAGCTTCATACTCATTACAAGTTATTGCTCTGCGCAAACACGTCCAGTCGAGTCGAATCCGCCCAGAAGAAGGGCTATTCCCATGAATGACCCAAGAATGTCCTCCGCGACCGCTCCCTATATCTGGCTGAAAGATGTGAATTCAAGCCTAACCGCCCGCCCTGCGGGCACAACAAACTCCAAGAACACCAGGACGCTTTGACCAGCCAAGCGGAGCGTCCGACTACCCACTCCAGAGGCCAAGATAGTCTACAGCTCTCATGAATCATTTCCAAAGCGGTTATCCAAACCGACCGTCCCATTCGATAGCCAATATATCCTCCACGGCCAAATGCCACGTCGCAACTGAAATGTCCCCCACCCAGTTCAATGCCTTATCAGCACCGACGAACGGATACAACCAAGATGTTTTCCACCTCAAAAAACATCACCTACCCCACTCCTCCATCACCACTACCCTTCACAAGCCTCCCGCCAGCACTAACCCTCTTCTGCAACCTACTCTCCCTCTCCCTCGCCCTCTCGCTAGGCGTACTCCCATTCCCAGCAACAACACTCGGCAGCGCCGCAAGCGCATCCCCGCTCCCGAAGCCTGGCATCTCCGCCCTCGCTCTCCCCACCATCGCCACGCTCGCTCGGCCCGGCATCCTCGCCGTACCGCCCGCTGCTGAATACCTTTTGCCCGAGCGCTGCTCCGCCTTCTGCTCCAGATACAGCTTCGCGGCCGGACTGAGCGCGATGGGCGCGGGGGAGGCAGGGATGTCGGCGCCGTTCTGGAGGAGCAGTTCGGCGACCGCGAAGGGCTTTGCTCGGGGTGGTGGGGGCGGGCCTGTGCCGCTTGGGGAGCGTCCGGGCGAGGGGAGGGGCGAGACGGTTTGGGCGGGGAGGGCGGGGTCGGCGGCGGCGAGCGCTAGGTAGACTGCGTGGGTTGCGCGGGAGCGGTCTGTTGCGTTGGGGTTGGCGCGGAGGGCGAGCGCGTACAACACGTTTTGGATGTCGTTTTTCTTGATCGAGGCGAGGAGGGTTTCGTCGGGGGTTGAGTAAGGGGAGAGGGTGGTGGAGATGGGCTGGACGAAGGCGCGGTCGGCGTATTTGGCTGTGATGAAGCGGAGGCGCTGCTCGCGGGTTGAGGTCGGGGAGGGTTTTAGGTAGGCGTCTAGGCGCGCTTCCCAGATCATGTTCGAGACGCGGTTGCCGATTGTGAGGAGGATTTCGATCGTGTCGAGCGTGAAGGAGGTGGTGTCGAGGGTGAGGGAGCGTACTTTGGAGATATGGGTTCCTAGCGAGCGGTGGATGCCGCTACACTCGATACAGAGGATGATGCCAAGGTTGATCGAGACCCACTCAACTTTGCTGTCGGAGCCGCAATCGGCACAAGTTTTGTTGCCTGCATCGGCGTCCCGGATTTGTTGGAGGAGTTTGATCGGGTCTTCATCATGCGCTTCAGGCGTTGTGTGAGACGGCCGATGGCCGTCTGTAGCGTGTCGGGAGACAGTCCTGGATTCAGAATTGCCTCCATGTGAGGATCGGTGATGTGACATTGACGAGCTCTTCCCAGTCAGCACCGAGGCAATGTCTCGCCGAGTAGAGCCAGGCAGTGATTCTGTGGAAACGGGCTCGGTTCTACCCTTGCCCTCCACTGCACTCTGCAGCGCGTTGTTGATCGCGGATATCCAACTCTTCATGTCCTCTTCGGATGTCGCTTGGTATACACGCTTATATTGTGGTGTGATAACCTCGAAGCAGAAACGCCGCTCGGCATTGCGAGCTTCCCGGACGGATGCAACGCGGAGGTCGATTGGATCCATGTGAAGGTCAAGTCTCTCCTTCCAGTTCGTGTATTCTGACAGCTTCCCCTGGTCTAGTACTATCCAAAACCTGCACATTGTCAGCCCTTGCTCCGGTGGACGTTTCGGCTTTACCTACTTGTGCCAGGCTTGCTTGTTCAATCCTTTCGGATCGACATGGCTTCCAGGTCGGCTCAGCGCCCACAGCAGCCCTTCTTTACGCTGCTCCCCTCCGTTCCCCTCTAACCCTCCTAAGGCGGTATAATCCTTTTCCTCCATGTCACGGATACCCTTGAATTTGTTTTGGTTCGGACTACCCACGGGAAGCGTTGAATGATTGCCAGGAGTAGCAGCACCCTGGCCTCCTAATGGTACAGGTTGCGCGCCGTTCTGCGACGCAGGAAGAGTCGGCGGTGGGCTCACCACGCTCCTAAATTCCGCTGCATTGCTCGCCGAGCGTGAAAAGGCACCCTCGGGCATACCTGGTCGTGCGCCATTTGCCTGCGTAAAACTCGACGTCTGTTGCTGGGCCGATGTGGGAGTCTCCGGCTCGATATAGGCTTTTGTGCTTTTCTCGATCGCTCGTCTCTTCTCCTCCCTGTCGGTTCGTTGCAGCTGGTACTCCTTATCGGCCTCTTTGACCTCGAAGCTCAGCGCTTCCAGTTGAGGAAGCATCGCCTCGATGTTCTTGGCCGTCTTCAAGAAGCCTTTCGCTTGAGCGTCCGCATACCTCGTCAAATACGAAAGTACTTCCTGGTCCTTCCGCCCGCCGTGCAAGTCTTGCATGAATGATGCGTAATCGAACCGCCTCAACTCGAAGTTGCGTCGTTTGACTTGATATTTCGAGTCTGTCTCCGCGCGCTTTTTCTCTTTCAAGGAGTCCTGGCGTTGTCCAAGGTAACGGCTGACGTACTGATAGTAATCCCGGCTCTCCTTCTCAAAATCTTCTTTCTTTGAATCCACTTGCTTGATATCGACGTTGTAGAGTCTATTGATGGGGTCAATAACGAGCTTCTGCAGGTTGACTGTGTTTTGCCGTTCGTAGGCTAGGATGTCCTTGGCAATCTTGTCAAAGTAATGGTCGATTGCTGGCTGAACAGCGTTTGCACTCGAGGATGACACGTCGTGAAAACTCTCCATAAGCTCCTTCATAGCGCTGTTGTAGTTGACTTGCGCATCCAAGGCTGCCTCGGCCTTCTTCAGCACCTTCTTCCACCGAGACCGCATGCTGCCAGTTTTCTGCTCCAGAGTTTTCAGAGTTGCGCGAAACAGCGGCCCGTCATCGACAGAGCTAAGGTCGTCGCCAGGCCGCTGGCAATTGATATCGACTTTCACGTCGGTGTTTGCTGTGGTGTTCGTCATGGTTGGGACAAGACCCAGACCATACTCCGCTTTGGGCTCAATGGCAGGCGATCGCGGCTCCGCGAAGTCTCTGTATTCTGCTCCATCCGAGTCGCTGACGCGGGACTCGAAGGACTGAGCTGATGGAACCCTCAACCGTGGTGGGAGTCCAACATCCAGGCGTATTGAGGGAGATTTCGGACTGCCGAGCAGTCTTTGGGTGTCTAAACCTAGGTCAGAGCAGCCACTTGGCAGGTAGCGTATAACTTACTCGCAACATAGAAGGAGAAGCTAGCTAGTGTATCCAAGCGATGTGCACGCTCGTCATACTCCGCGAACTATACAAGTCAGCCGGCCGTGTCATAGTCTCAAGCGCTCTCCTCGACATACACTGCAGCTGTTGCGCCAGCCCCCGCCTCTGTCTTCGGTTGTCCTCGGTGGCCTCCATTTCCAGGACCACTGAAACTGCACTGACGAGCTGCCCCCAGTCGAATAATCGCCCAGCAGCTGTACGTTTGGGTTCTTGTGGAAGTTGGGATCTGCTTGGAATTCTCGCGTGACTAGGTTCTGCAGCTCTTTCGAACTCGGAGCGAAGACATATGTGAGACCCTTAACAAACGTGTCTGTGACCGCGCTGAGGTTCGCTGGTGCGCCGTTCGTACTCGGAGAGGCTTGACGGAGTACGATTGTGAAATTGAAGGTTATCTCTTCATCATTGGACAAGCGGAGGAGGAAATTGGGTGGAGCGGCGGCTGAAGTCGAATCTGGATCCTACGCGCTGGGGGTCAGCCTTGGGGCGCTCATGCTTTCGTGCCTGCCAATGTTCACCTGTATGTATTCAATCACGCTCTCGTCCCCTATATCCCTCTTCGCAATGTATCTGGTGGCAGGAAAGGCGTTTGGCGTTACGCTAAGTATGGTTCGGTTTCGAGGGTTCGTAACGGTAATTGCTGAGATAAAGACTGCGGACGAATGTTAGCCTCTCGCCGAGTAGGTCGAAAGTAGGCTTGCTGTACATCTATTCTGATCTTTCAGTAAGAGGGAGTCGCCGTCGCCAGGCCTGCTGCTGATATTCCCCATCCCAAATACTGGCGCCTAATCGCGCTGTGGAAGCGATCTAAGCTCAGAGCAACAGAAAGCAAGAAGGATGGCTGACGCTGGCCTCGTAGATACTCCGGTGGACTTTTGACGGCCTATGTGTCTATGGGGCGCCTGCTGTCGCTGCTAGGTGAGTCCTGAGTTCTATACCCTGAACCCTGAATTCTATACCCAAGGTTGGCGGGCCAATCCATATGCCCCAAGAGATGCGCGCGTTCGAAGATAGCTACTACGCGAGGTCGGCGACCATGGATAACTGTTCCGAGAGCTGCTGACGGAGATGTATCGTACAGATATGCGGCAGAAAAGGTTCTTTGTGGTGTAGTGTTGCGTGCTGGTAAGAACGTCGCTGAAGCTGCGCCGCGTTTTGGCGGGGATCACCACCAGTCGGAGGAGCACGCGAGATCAATGGGCGCGGGAACCTCAAAATTACTTCTGCCTCAGGCCTGCAAGCATATAAATCTGTTCCCGATAGCGTACCTCGGTACCTTACTGGTTACCGTGATTCTCAACCCCCTAGAACTCTTCATCAAATTCTAAATCCTCATCCAGCATTCAAAACTGCCCAAGTATCTTCGGCGGTCCCTTAGTCCCTGCAGGGCGCCGTGTCACAACATAGCTTTAGCAGCGTCAATTGCAACGTAAAGGCGGCCCACTGCACGACTTCAATGACACCGCTCCTAAACTTCTACTTGTTTATCTATCTGTCCATCTGTAGTTCACACTGAAGCTAGGCCGTGGTGGCATGACAGCGCCACGCGCTGGCTGATACTGCAACAGCCGGCCATCTGGTACTTTGTAAGCGCTGTTACAGATACTCTGGACTCGACATCGCCCAGCTTTGCCTGCAGTGTTTAAACTTGCCGAGGGCCCCAATGCGCCAGCGAAGGAAGCTATCCAACCCTACCCATACCCTTTCAGCATCCCTCATCAAGACATCTAACCCGCCTCTTAGACGCCTTGGCTCCAGACCAGCTCAATCTTCTCCCCCTCAACTTTGCTATTGAACCACTCCCGTAGCACCACTTTCCCCCTCGTCTTCGCACCCCTGAGCGCATCCCTCCTCGCAATTTCCCTTACCCCGTACGCAAGCTCAGCCATCGCCAGATTCCGCGCGATGCACTGTCTCGGCCCGAGTCCAAAAGGTATATGGTCTCTGTTCATCTCCGGCGTCGGGTCCTCCCAGCGCTCCGGCAGGAACTTCTCAGGGGATGGAAAGACCGCGGGATTGAGGTGCAGAGTGTACGGTGAGAGGCCCACCACAGTGGAAGGCGGGATGTAGATTCCCGTGAAGGTCCGTCCGCCGGCAGGGACCGCGCGAGGGAAGCGGGTGGGGTTCGCGAGGGAGAGGCGGAGCGTTTCGCGGAGGACGGCGGATAGGTAGGGGAGGGTTTGCGGGTCGGTGGTGGGGTCTGCTGAGAGGACTTCTTGTCGGAGACGCTCGCACCTTGGCAAAGTGTGAATATACGAGTGAGAGGGATCTCGGGGTTTAAGAATCTAGAACTTACTGCTTAGGATTCTGCGCTAGATGCCAGCATGCAGTTGCGAGATTCATGCCCGTGCTATCCGTCCCCGCAAACATTACATCTAGACACTGGGCGACAGTCTCGTGCTTGGTGATCCCAGCCTTTAGCATGCGACCTTGGTAGGTAGGGTCTTCATAACCGGCTTCTTCGACTAGCTTTTCTGCAAAGGAGTTTACAGCAGCCATGCTCTTGTCTACTTCGGTCTTGTCTTTATTGAGCTTTGCACTCCAGGTTTCAAGGAGTACGAAGGCCCAGTTGGGGAGATAGAAAAAGCGGCCCACCGCTACAAACGTATTGACAAACTCACTCGCCGAAAGCTGCGAGCCCGACTCTTCAGCGATACCATCGTAGCTCTTGCCAAAAAGATAAGCGGACACCGCATCAACCGCCAGGCTCCTCGTCAGATTAAGCACATTGACCGGCTTCCCCGTGGAGGCTTCTGCCTGCATCCGGTCCACCATCCTAACAACACACTCCTCAATAACTCCAATCCTCTCCCTGATACTTGAACTCGCAAACATCCCAACTACTGCTTTGGCCCTGCTCTTCCTGTGCACCGGATCTAGGGCGGAGAAGATGCTGGGGTGTCCCTCGATGTCGAAATTACGGTAGCACTCCGCCTTCAGGAAGCCTCCCTTCTCCGTATAGATGGGGGCCAGAGCGGCGCCATCAGAGAAGTCGACCTCATTCGGCGCAATGCGGACCACTGGGCCGTACTTTTGGTGCAATTGGTCGATTGAGCTCGCTTCGGTGCCCAAATAGGTCTTTGTGTACAGCCATAGGGACGTAATGCATGCGAGAGGTGGGCCGGGTATGTGGGAAAGGGGGTGGAAATAGAGGCGGTATATTACGATCGAGAAGGTAGAGATGGGGAGGGCGCTGGCAAAGAAGGCGACGCTACTGGTACCTTCAAAGACCATTGTGGTTGCGGCGATTGGCGGCTCTCGTCTGGTACAGCGGCGTGCTTATCAAACGCTGAACGAGCAGCCGATGTGAGTTTTGTAGCTTCGAGATGGATATGTTACTATCTAATCTCTTATCAGGCTTCCTCTCGCATTCCTTGAGTCATTATCGTGACTCAGTTGTCGCTTGTCTGAGGGTTTTGCGTTGTCGATTAACCTCCCGGTGACGACTTTGTGCAGCAAGTCAAATGTACCTACTAGCTGTTACTCTCACTCAATCCGATTGCCATGTCTCCAGTGTCCTGTTCCTTTCTTGCTGTGTACTATGAGCGGTCGTCCAGTATCTCCGGCAGCACTCTTCGCTAGCGCAATCGCCCTCGCCTCGGTAGCGACAACCGCAGAAAGTGTTGCGCAAGCCGTTATTGGTGTCATCTCTGCAGTCATGATTGCCTTTGCAGCTGTTAGACAAGCACTGAAGTATCCCAAACAAGGGCTGATTTCAAGAGTCTATAGGGGGTATGCTCCCCACAATATCATACAATGTCAGTTACGGTATCCTGAGCTGCATCGAACCAGTCTTTAATGGCAAAATCCGCCCAGCCGATTCTTCTATATTCGCCCCCTCGAACACGTTCCAGGATGAATGCTCCATATTTTTCCGCACCCGAACCAAGATAAGCGCAATGCTGCAAGAAAAAAGCAGTGGTAAACTGCCGATCATGTCCGACAAGCTTCGGCTGCTCGAATTTCGGCAAACAGTCAAACTTGATCCTAGCAAACGACAACCAGCAATCGAGCTCCTTGCACATGGCGACATATGCAAGTGGACCTTTCTCGGTGTCCGGCAAAAGTTCTACGGCCACCCTGGGCAGTAGACCGCGGATGGCAAGCCTTCCCTCGGTAATGGGACCGGTGGGATCAAGGCCGGTGGGTACGATCATGACATCGATAATAGTGCTCAGGAAGCGTTTGTTCTCTTCTGATCGACGGTTAATATCGACTCCACCCGCCGTGCTAGAAACTTAACACAACGAAGGAGCAATGTAGCCATGTGTACTTGATGGATCTGGTGGTGAGACTGCACATGCTGTCCACGTGAGAAGCTCACTCATAGCATCTTGCCACATTCCAGCGAAGTGCCGCTCTTCTACTTGTTCTTGCATTTTCTTGACCGTTCTCGAGACTGCAGCCAGCCGATCAGTCAGGTAGGTGAACTCCAATGAGCAGACATTCTCTGCAAAGCGACACCAAGCGTCCATCAGCGGGTCCCTATGTTTCTTGAACTCGTCCAATCTCCTCAGCGCGTCAGCGCGATAGATTAGTTCAACTCTCTTGCAGTTATTCCTTCCGGGTATCCCTCGGAGGCCTTAAGCTCATTGCACTCCCATAATACACCGACCGATGACCAATGCATTATTCGTGTTGAGCGGGCCCGCTCTTGTATCACCCAATACCTCTTGTTCAACGGTGCCCGGGTGATCGCGCTCTCCCAGGATATTCCGTATGGGTTCATCCACATCGGCCGAGTGTCTCCTTGCCGTTCTGGGTTGAGAAGGCAGGGCTGGACGTGGTGAAGTAGATGATCCCTTTGAAAGAAACAGCCCTTGAAACTATTGGCTGCCCCAGTTGCTGCGATCGTACAGTAGACGTTCCGATAATAGTCACCCATTCGGCCTGATTTCGCCAACCAGTCAGACTTGTCATCCTGGATGATGCAAAGCGCATCGACCCAGAGATAGGGAATGCCGATATCGCGAGTTATCTAAACAGCATTCTTCAAGGGGTTTGGAAGCGTTTCCATGGGGATTGCGTCCAGTGTGGCTCATATTGCCACGATTCCCGACTCCAACCCTAGGAACTCCTTCAACCCCTTTGCTTCCCAACTATGTGGGGATCTGGCTTGAGGTGTTGGTGATGCCTTTTGGTCGTCCTGGTCTTTGGCTTTGTTTTTCCGGCCGCCGTTATCAGAGAAGCCGACCATATCTCTCACACGGACGCGTTTGGCCATAGCTGAAGCTTAGGAAAGTCTCTAGTCAAGAAATTAGAACGTGTTCAACAACGTGACAAGCTTGGTGTTAAGTACCGCTAGAAGCGGCTGAGAGTTCAGCTGCTAAGGCGAGATGTATGGGGGCCGTCTGTATGGTGGCTTTCAAGCGTTACAAACAACGTCGTCAGGCAATCGTTGGCTCAGAAGGCTGCGAGGACGCCGTAGACGCGCTCTTATCCTTTCAGCACATCACCCAGCAGCCTGACCCACCTTGATACCACCTGCGGACTCCTGCAGGCTTCCCATCTGATCGGCTAGGTGATGCATCATTCACCTCGACATTCTTGCAAAGCACATGGTGACATGGCCAAAAGTGCAGCGATCTAGGCGCTGGTTCGCTTTCTATGCTATCATGGCACAGCTATAGGTTTGGCGAAACACGGCAGGACACTGCGGCGGCATGAAAGGGAACTGAATGTTTGATGGATGAAGACACAAAGGCAGCGTCTTATTAGCGTCGAATGAGGAAGTGGTAACGAGGCATCCAGCCTGCGCGAACGTGAACATACTTGAACCCACCCTCACCAGAAATCCTTCTCAGACAACTCCTACATCCCATAAACAATCTTATCCCATAGCTCGTTAGAAAACCTGTTCTGCAACTGCTCCAACGACCATCCCTGCATCCGTCCGATCTCCCCCAAGGCCTCCTTGAATTCCACAATCTGTTCCGGATACGCCACGTCCCTGAGGTGATCCCTAGCATCCCTCCCCTTGAACTGCAATCCCTCCCACTCCTTCGCCCAATGCGGTCGAACATTGATATGATCACCATACGAGGTCCACAAATCCGAGACCTTCTGGATGAACTCTCTCCACTCATCATCAGCGACAGCGTCAGGAATGCTCAAGACCTCGATACTGGCGGTGCCGAGGTCGTTGCCCTTCTGCGGTGCCATGAGCATGTCGCTACCGCCCATGATGCGCAGCTCGAGCGTCAGCCTCATCGGAGAGGAGGGGTCGCCACTTGCGTCCGCGTAGTCGTACACAAGATTGATGGCGTCCCACCATGCCTTTTGTACGATCCAGAAGTCGGGCTTGGTTGGGTCGTCTCTGCGCGGTTGGAGCGGGATCTGGAACTCCATGTCTCTGACGCGCATGTTCTGGATGCCGCGACGGAAGTGCAGCGCATTGGGGAGCTGAGTCTTGATGATTGGAGTCTCCTTTTCGCCGAGTGTGGGCGGAAGAGCAGCCATGCCCATTGTAGCCAGTAGCTGAGCTTGCCAGTATCCGGGGATAGCGTTGAAGAAGGGGTGCGACGTGAGAACACCACCAATCCAGCCCTCGACCCATTGCAAGAAGACTCTCGCTTCATCGGGATAGTCCTTTGCGCCTGCAGGATCTGACGTAGTGTTCCAGGTGTTCACCCAGGCCTTGCGCTGGTACGTGAACCAGAACCACTCGCTATAGAAATCGTCAGCGGCACGCTTCTCGAAGTCTGCCTTGGCTGCGGCGAGCTTCTGAGCGGCTTTTGGGCCGTAGAACCAGTCCTCGCGAAGAGCCTTTGGGATCTCCTCTTTCGTCAGTGGAGGGATAGCAAGTCCGATGTCGACCTTCCTAGGCTCCATCACGGCATAGCTCATGGCGTCCAGCTCGAAGGTAATGTGGGTGACGACGCCAAGGAGGCCGAATGCGCCAGCTGCTGCTTTAATGAGATATGGATCGTCGATGAGGCGAAGCGCTCCGTTACAATCCACATACTCAATACGCCGGACATAGTCGGAAACGGTTTTGTGAGGTCGTCCGCCACCGTGGCAGATAGGTGCGTTGACACCACCAATCGTAACCTCAACTAGGATTACGTCAACCGGCAAAGACCAGGAGTCATTCGCAACCGCCCAGCGCCGGAACTCCTCGTTGGTTACGGCAGCGCCAATTCTGCAAAGTCTCTTCCCTGGCGCTGTTTTCTCCTGCAATTCGATGGTCTTCAGCTCGGTAACAGTCGCGGGGTTGTATTCGCCAGGGAGAAGACTCATGGGGTCAGGGATGGTAGTGACCTGCTCCAGGTTGACGAAAGAGATAAAGATTTCGTTATCTTGGGAGAAGACCGAGCTCCAGCTGTGACGATAGCCAGCGCACCGGATACGGAGATTGTTCTCGGAAGCATACTGAACAATGTTTTGAACGCCCCTAACCGTGGTCGGGAGGCACGTAAGTTTGGGCGTGTTGTGAACCGATTGGCCCCAGTTTTCGAACGGCACATCGCAGTAGACCTGAGTAGAGTCAGTATCTGATAACTCACAATCCAGTATGCTCACTCACCTCCATGGCCTTCATACTGGCCGCATCCTCGTAGATCAAAGGCAAAGCCTTGACGTAGACGTGCTTGGGGTGGAAAACATCCTCTACCGCCTCTTTCAACTCAATAGCCCCAAGCACAAGCTTCTGCAGCTCATCTATCAACGAGAAATGGTGCTTGACGCCTGGGCTCGGGTGCGACGATAGCCGGAAGCCCTCTTTGCCGACGGCCTCTTTTGCAGAGCTGCCACGGATGAAAGCATTGACCTGGTTTTGGAGTTCAGGGCTTCTGATGTTCTCGAATGCGGCCCGGAAAGCGGGAGTGTGTCGAAAGGCTCTCAGGAAGCCTCGGATCTGCACTTCGGGATCGAAGTCATCGTGAAGAACTGGCTTCAGGACGTCTCGCTTAAGCGCATCGTAATCGACCTTGTCATACTTATCGGAGTAGCGGTCAACGTTGTCGAGGATGTCGTGTAGGATGTGGGTGCGCTCAAGATTCTCCCGAGCGGGTGCGTTTCCAGGTACGGAGCCCATACTATCGGCCTATACCGCGGCTGAGTTCAAGGAAAACAGATGCGAAACGTAGAGATGAGGTAAAAGCGGTAAGTATCAATGGTAACACAGCAAGATCGTACAAAAAGCGTGAGAAAAACCGGATTTGCCGGTAATCAGGAGCGGGCGAAGCAATGACCAGGAGGTTTGAAATGCTCGAAGGATGATGAGGGGTTTATAGATGACTTGTTAACCTCCTCTGCTGTTAAAGAGCTGAACCAGCGGATCACAGCTCGTAGGGTGGCGTAAGCCATAAGCTCCGGCTGAGGAAGGAAGTAACAAATACATCCTACCGTGGGCTCTTGGAAGCCACTGACAAAGGCGTTGAGGAACGTACCTGCAAGCTGAGAGGTTTGATCTCGCTTGAGCCTACTCCATAGAGTGGACTTCATCTTCTACCGCTTCATGGGCGGTACATGCTATTGCGCAGTTCGACTCAGACAACATTAGAAATCCGACACGCAACCAGACGGACACAGATTGAGGAAGTAACTGCACAAGAGCGGAAGCTGTCAGCTCTGCCTTAGTGCTGAGAGTCACCGCCAGCCATGTACGGGATGCCCGACCTTGGCTGGCTGACAGGAGCGAGCTGACAGTGAAGCGGCTGAGCCGTCTTACCAGCAGGCAATCTAATGCCTCTGGATTGCCTTACTATCTCAGCTCGCTGCATTGCTGTTTGGTATGCGGAATTGACTCTGAGAATCGGCGAGTATCTTGGTCACGTGTAGGTCATGATGCTAAGCTACTACATTGCAGGCGCCTAGACCTGTTGCAATACTTGGTGTTCAGTCCAGTTACTACGCGTGAATCAGAAGGAACAGTAGTAGATACTTAAGTATTTTATCACTCCTGCACAAGAGCAGTGGCACGTGAGCAGCAGATCTATATCTGCCTCAGGCCACAATTCCCGTTTCATCACGTGCTATCTATGGCTGCCAAGCCCCCTTGCTCTCAAGCAGTCTCAACTCCGAGCATCTCCAATTACCGGAAACTGCCCCCAAGCTTAGCAGCTTTTCGCAATTCGCACTGAGACGAGATCGAGATCCTCGATCTCTAGACTTTGTCCCGAGCCGATGATATGTGAGCTACAAAATGATATACCGCGGATCACAAAGATATCCCGTGATCGGCGGAGGCGAGACCGCCTCCGAAGCGAACTGTCGCGGACGCGGCCCCATTGTCCGACGCTTCTAGAGCGTTTTTAGTGACACAGCACCTGCCCCGGCAGTGCAGCGTCCTAGCGAGCCGCGGTGGGGAAAGGACTGGAAGATCCATATATGCAGGTAGGAAAACGGGGCGGGTGTTCCGTTATTGATGCATGTCCCGAAACAACGCCACCCCACGTGCCACTACGTCCGGCACTCCATGATATTCCCAAGGGTCCAGCTCCCAAACCCGTGATGAGGCATTCGGGCCTGAGAGATCTTGGCCGGTGTCCGTTGTGAAATCTAGGAGATTTTTCCGATACGAGCGGCGCTGAGCAGGAAGGGAAGGGTCATCAGGGGAGAGTTGAAGTTGTTCGTCCCTATTGAAGTTTGTCACGACAAAACAGCGGGTGCAGTAGTTAGAGTGATAGCGAGGTGAGTACGCTGGTCAGAGAAGCAGCTGTCCGCTGTCGCTCCCCATCTACCTAGCAGCGTTGTGTGCTGAATTCTACATGCTACGGAGAGATGCAAATAGCGTCCTGCCGGCCTATTGGCCTTGAACCACATATCCAAACCATGCAACAAAATTCCAGATGCCACTCGAACGAACAGAACGCTAACGAATGCAACGCAGGAGCCTAACCCTAGAGATTCATTGGCCCTAACCTTGTGATCATATCGACCGACGTGAATGCTGAGATACAGTGTACTCTAATCAATCGTCGATTTGGTATCGAGAATATGCCAAGGTAAAACTAGGACCCGGCAAGAGTAAATGACGTGAGAGTGCCTCCTTAAGCGAACTCCGAACAGGTGAGTGTGTTGATAGAGACGCGTACATGCACAATAGGGCTAGCCTCATGCGGCAGTGTAGTGCATTCCGGCGCTGTTGCGTCCTTTGCCCAGCTAGCCAGCCGGCTGCTGCGGTCGGCAGCTTCTGCAACGAACCACTCGTTCCCTTGGCTTTCAAGCGTCAGCGAAGGGCACTAGCGCGACGAGTGCGCTGCTGAAGAGGTCACCAAACTGTAGGAGTGTAGCAGCTAGTCAAACACTCAAGAAAGCTCTTTGCTTCAATCTCTCATATCGGCGTCGCGTGCCAGTTCGCCTGCGCGCAGCAACGCTGCCAGTGGTGACCCGTGGCTACACTCAGAGAACGGCGCTGCCTGCAGCCGGGGCAGAAGCGGTTTGCGGTCGAGTGGGGATACTGTGTAGCCTGGTGTAGGGACGGGTTGCGGTAGCACGCGGTGTTCCTTTGCAGCATCTATAGCTGGCAACAATGATCCTTGATAAGGCGGACTGTACCCGATGCTCTCCGAGGATATCGTCGTATCGTCGTGTACAAGAGGGGGAAGCGTCGCGGACTCGCGATGCGGCCGCCTGGAAAGCAGATCCCTAAGCTGCGGTGACTGTGCTGCTTGGCCGAGGACGGGAGCATTTGCCAACGAGGCCGAATACGAATGATTCAAAGAGGGCTGCGCCGAGTACATACGACGGTCCAGCCCTCGATCGTGAGCGTCCGAAGTTGAAGCGCTACCTGTGTGAAGCGGCAGGTCAAAGGAAGTCTTTCTTCGTAGGGAAGCAGAGACCGGTGAAACGGGCATCGAAGACTGGGGGTCTTGGAGTCTGGGCGAGTTGGTGTTGGTTACCGGGTGATCCTTCGGAGATCCCGACACGGGACGCGGTCGTCGTGGCCGCAAGGGGGGAGCCGGACTTGAGCCCGACCTCCGACGTCCATCGCGAAAATCATCGAGGAAGCCATCACTCAGTCGTTTGGCAACCCTTTCCGCATAGTCATTCCTGTTACTAGGAGCGGTAAAGCTCATCTCGGGCTCTAACTTCGAGCGTCTTCCTTCTGTCACTCTTTAGCGCATCGACTTTGGAATAGCTTTACGTTCAATGCTTACCAGTCGCTGGAGGTGCGTGCTTGGCCTTGAAATCGGCCAAGTAGTCCTGGTATAGCGCATACTGCGGTGTCTTCTTGTATTCGGCGAGCTCCGTATAGTATTTCTCTTTAGCCGCAGCGGCCTGCCGCTCGTACTTGTCTCGGTAGTTTGGCGACAAAACCTGCCACCTTTCGCCTACGGTCTTGGCAATCTCGGTGAATGAGAGGTCCTGGCCTTTCAAATCTTCTCTCATATCTGCAATAGAAGTCAGCTCGTTCGCTGATTACGAGGGTAAAGCTTGCTAACCATTCGAGAAAATGACATAGGCAGAAGCTGGCCTCTCCGGGGCATTCTCGTCAGGCTGCGCAACGGTTAGTCAAAGATCGGATTGGAAGAGTACCCAAGATATTGTGAGACAGTTACTGTATGCCAACCAGCAACGACACATCAGTTGACAGCATACCTTTGGATGACGTCGGTACTTGCGCTTTGTGACGGGAGTTGCTCCATCCGGCGCTGCATACTCTCGTCTCTTGCTGGTCTTGCTCTCTGTCGCCGACTCATCGCTACGGTAGGAACCATCAACGCTCGGAGCGTTCCCGGGAACCAGTGAAAGCGCCCGATCGCCAGAGTGAACTCTCTCCTCCGCTATAGCTCGTTGGAGTTTCTATGAGCCAGGTTCAGTCAGTTTAAGGCCTTGAAGAACCGCCCCCAGTGAGAATCGTTTCCAGGAACAGATGGCATATACTGACCCTGCGATGACCTAACTTGACGTTCAAGGTGGTCCTGGAGAGCGCGTGTTAGTCCAGGATCAGGTCAAGTATGACTGGAAGGCTCACAAGTCGGACTCAGTGATGTCTAGCAACGTCTCCCAGGTATCGAATCCTTCCGTTGTGAATGCATTGAGGTACTGGGATAGGCCCAGCCGCTCTAGCGTGTGCCTCAGCTCGGTCATGAATGTTGTTGTATGCAGGTATGCAATGCTTGGTATTTGGAAGGTGGCGGCTGGTTTAAAGGCAATCTATCTTTCTAGTATATGGATATTTCGAGGAAGTGTCCGCCGGTGTGAACAGTCTGTGTAGTGGATAGCAGGAAGGGATTGAGGGTGTCGGAAGAGAACGGTGCCGATGTAGGTAGTGGTGTACGAGTTCGCGAAGTGGAATTTATTAATGAGACCCGCGGGCGTAGAAAGTTGGTCTGAGGTTGCGCTGCGTGGTGATAGATCGCGTGCGCGCGGCTTGGCCCAGAACGTCACAGGAATTGGTATGGAGGGGAATTGTTGCAGCGCGCAAAGCGCAGGAAAAGAGAAACCAGAATCGTCGAATCAGCAGGCAAGACTCATCAGAAGAGTGATGTAAGTGCGAGTGAGCAATGCTTCGCTTCGTCCTCTGGTCGTTGTTGGCCGTGGGGGTTGAATTCGTGTTGTTACGCGGTGGAGGGGCAGCCGACGGATCATGGACTTCTGAGATACAGGTGCCGGGAGCTGAAGAACTCCTCCAGGAAACAAACCTGCATGTTCCCTTTAAAGGAACAAGGATGGAACATTGAGGACGCCGCGGTTGAAGGCGAAAGCGCGCACCAGGAAGTGGAGCAGGGAAACAACGGGTCGCAGCCAAGCCAGAGCGAAAACTCAGAGAAGACTGATCGGAGTGGACACCGAGAGGTGCCCAAGCTTCAGACGCTCGTGCTGGAGGAAGCCCTGGAGATGCTCAGAGCTGGTGAATCAGAGGGTCTGGGGTTGCTAAGGGGTGGAAGGCACTTGACGAAGCCGAGCAGCTTCCCGTCCGAGAGCGATTTCGATCAGGTGCATGGGCAAGCAAGTCAGTGCTCAGAACCGCCCGCGCTGCTAGCCCGCTTGAGGGGATGCGATTGCTGGGTTGTCGACTGCTGGGGGGCGTGGGAGATCCTTCTCGCCATGGACATCTGTGGCTGCGCCGGTGCGTCTGTGGTGAGAGACGATGGCTTGCTAATGATTAGGCATGGTGTGACGTGTGACGGCGGATGAGCATCTCGTCTCACGCCCCGGATCTGGTCGAAGGCGTGCGAGAACACGATCAAATCGCCCGAGGGGGGGGGGGGAAGAGCATGTCGGGGGCTTGGGGTCGCTGGTGGCAGCGGAGTATACTCCACGCGCCATCGGATCGGCGAAGCGCTTGCTCCGTCTCCTGGCACCCGGCGCTGTGGTGCCGCTAGAAGAAAATCGACCTTTAGGTTGTTGGGCTACGCTGTTCTCAGTCTGGTCGACCGTTACGTGCTGGCTCTAGGTGTTTTGCGTTTCGCTGCTGCTCTGATGCTACCTTACAACTAACAGACGGGCGCGCTCGTCGTCCCTTGATCGATTAGATTTGTGGACAGGGGTTCAAAGAGCCTGCAGGTGCATCGACGATCTACAGTCCTGCTGAAAGAAAAACGTCGAAAACATGTTTCAAAATGCGGCCACGGACCGTGATATCATTCCCAAGACGCGATGCAGGGACGCTGCACTCGGTAACCGCCGCTGAATGGACGATGCCAGATCGCCATGCCAAACTCCGCCGAATCACAAACAGACGGGCACGCGCATCTGAAGGCATTCTTCTTTCGCGCCCACGGCCAGGCCGTTGCGTGACAGGCTGGGGCAGCATGCTTGGATACGGCTAGCCGCCAGCCGGATCGCGGGTCGCCAAGCGTAGACTACCTGAAGCCGTGCCCTACCCAGGTAACGATATTCGACCCGTAGAGGGCCTCTTTGGTAGAGCACAGCCCCCGATTGCAAGCACAGTACACGCCTATGCCTCGTCGTCTAGACCGGCACGTATTGGTAGCTTCGTTCTGCGACCGCAATCTAACGGAGCCTAGGTACTCGGCGGCCAAGTCATTCGACATCTATGAGGCGAACATTGACTGTGGCACCCCTCGGAAATCCCGTTGCCCTGGGCGAGGGTGGAGCGGATGTTGGATAGATATCAAGTAATACTGCGATTGGCCTGCTCACTCACGGGAAAACCTCCGAGTCGGAGCAATCTCCTGCTTGATTTTATTCGCAGCGCGGCTTGCACTAACGGAGCGTAATCACGGGGAGGCCAGGTTTTACCGTACATGGCAAAGTTCCCGCGCCCTACCGGCATCTCGAATGCCCATCCCCAAGCCTTTACCCCCTAAGCGATGCCTCACCGTTCACCTGCCCGGCCCGGCACTTTACTCGTAGCTGCGCTTGGTGACATAGACCGGCAATGGCTCCGTCGCCCCATCAACCTCTCAATGGCCCGGCCAGCAGGTCGGCAGGAGATCTTTCAAACTTGTCTCCGGTCGATCGAGTCGAGAGCAAGTGTTTACACTCGAACTAATCTTTGGTAGCGATAACAGTCCACAGCATGAAGTCATTCATTCAATGTATCGGCGAGCCGGACGAGCCCACCCTCCTTCGCAACTATGAGTCGGCATGAGTCGGAACTAAGAGTCCAGTACAAACAGCTTGAAAGACTACAAGTGAACTTTCTGGATCAGGCCTCTCGACAGAGCAAGGCACGGACGTCTCGCCGCAATTTCAGTTACTGCGCCTGCTTTTGCAAAAGGCCAAACCGCTTTCAAAGCAGTGGAGATTGGACTCGCTTCTGCGTCGCTGCAAGTCGTTCCATATCACCACCTCAACGGAAGTTCATGAGGACTCCCCGTGACTTGGCTGAGCGATGATCCTTCAACGACGAAACAAGGCTCGCTCAACCGCTCGATAGCTAGACCTTTCTAGTTCATGATGTGCTTGCGGCTACAGGCCCTTCACCACCCGGAATGAGCTGGATTCATGTCATGTCAGTTGGACTGCTATTGAGAGGAGGTGAGGGCAGTCACGTACCATGCAGACATTATTTCCGTTTAAGAGGATCTTTGGCAGCTTGGTCTGCGTACCGGAGTAGTCGCTAGTAGCCAAAGACATCAGCAAAGGCCGCATGGCTTCATTGCTCGCTTCATCTGGACGGCCACGTACAATTCGGTTACATCGTCGAGGACCATGTCTATGCAGGCTGTCAGCTGGAGAGTCAGTACAGTGTACCTGCGGCAATCACGTACTGACATAATCATCGAAACCGAGCAATGTGCCGCTGAACTCTGCGTCACGTAAGCCGAGGCCGCATATTCTAACCACTGCTCTCTACCTTTGTCGCCCTTCATGATGACCCAGATCCTAGAACCGACGCATTTATCGATGAGCTCTGCGAGGCTGTCAGTGAGGGCATGTATTAAGAAGCGAAACAGATACCCAGCGGTAGTAGTTGCGACGCCATCCTTTGCTGTCTTCGGCGGATCTGATGTCTGTGGAGACAACACAAGATAGATCTGTATATTCGCTTAAACTCCGGAAGACGCGAAAAAAGCGGGCGCCAAGTCTCAAATTCGTGACGCCGCGATGCGAATCTTCACTATTCGACACTTCCTCACAGGACTATTCACTAAACCGTCACGTCTCAAGGATAAGGCGTCGAGTTTGCGGTCCATGTTAGGCGCCTGAGATGGAGTGTGATGCTTCGCAACCGCCAGACCGCTGCATGCTTCGTCCGTGCTTCCTCTGCCACGAGAAGCACCAGCTCGCTGGCAGCGGACAGGTGCTGCTGCCTGGAGCGGGTATCCCGTTTGACAATGGGAGATGACAGCAGAGGGCAGATCCAGTGCGCGAAAGTGTATGTGCTCATGCTTCCTTATGAATACTCTACATGCTCACTGCCCCCCAAGCCTTCCACAAGCCGAACATCTCCAGCACAAAGTTATCAACCTGCGGCACGCTCGCGTTATGACCACCTGGGAGCCTTCGAACGGCATCGTGTTCGCCTCCAAGACGCGTCCTACAGCTCGAGACCGTACCTGGTCCCCTTCTAACGACATCCCTTTTGCCGGCACACCTCTGAACAAGGCCCACTATGCCACGAAACGCCCACCCGTCAAGCCAAGCGCTGCAACAGTCAGACCTGCCAAGACCGCTCCGGCTCGCATGCCGTACAAAGCTGTAAACACCGCAGCAAAGCTAGCGCGACCCCCGGCTCCAAAGCCCTACACGGCTCCCACCAAAGCCGCTCCTGCATCTCTCGGTCCTAATGCGAAACCGCGGGCGGGTCCACTCAACTTAGCTTCCAGACCTATCGACGCAGAGGAGACTCGAAGGCTGAGCGAGGAGGCTAAGCGGCGAACACTGGAAGAGATGAAAGCAAAAGAACTGGCCGAGGAGCAGAAAAGGAAGGCAGAAGTGGAAAGGCAACGGCTCGCGGAGGTTGCCAGGGCTGCAAGAGTGCTGGAGATTACGAATGACTTCCAAAGGAAAACATCACAGTTTGAAGAAGCTATAGGGCATATTAGAAAAGAATATCTCGCTGTGGAAGACGAGATTCAAGAGGCGACTCTGGAACATAGGGACGCGCTAGGCTTGTATTCCGGTAGGAAGTCAGTGCTGAGCCCTAATTTCGATGCTTTGATTCGGCACAAGGTTAAAGGGCTAGCACGAAGAGCCCGGGAAATCAAAAGAGAGTTGGATGAGGAGAGGCTTGAGGCGAAAAGGCTTGCAGCTGTGCAAGAGCGTCTTGCATCACTGCCTCAACCGTCGCCAGAGGTCGTCAAGCTGGCCGCGTGGATGGACGGCGTGACCGAACTCGTCACCGACGTCAAAGCAAAGGGAGAAGCTGAAGAGCGCGCAGAAGGGCGAAAGTCGTACGACGCCTATCGAACGGTGTTCGAACCGCTTTCTCCAAATGTCTACGCAATAATAAAAGACATTGAAACTCTCTGTGAGTTGTTCAAGAGACAGGAAGACAAGTACAAGGATTTGTCCAAAGGAATGGATTCAAAGATTGTAGAGCTGGTAACGCTGAGAGAAAGCTATCGGTGGGCCACGGGGATTGTCAAGCTGATTGACAACGCCACGCTTGTTTCTGCCGGCATGAAGCTTGACTTTGAAGAGCTCCACGGATGGCAGCGCCGGTGCCGGGAATTGTGGCAACGGGATAGGCAGGATTTCCAAGAGTCACTATACGACATAATGGCGACCGCTCATCAATCCCGGAGATTGACACGGCAAATACGGTACAATCTGGATCCTGTTCGTGGCTACCCGGAATGCTGGCAGACTTATAATTTTGATATCGCATGGATAACCCAAAATGAAAACGTCAAACTAAGCCATGAAGATCTGAGGCTGGTCGTCGATAAGCTGAGAGAATGGCAATCACGCACACTTGAAGATCGATCCGAGGCTTACAAGCCACTCTTCGAATGCTGGGACAAATGCGAGATGTTTCACAGAACTGCGCTCAGACCAAGGCTGATCAACCTAGTCGAGGACAATGGAATTGTTAACCACGTACGTCTATCATGGATGGCGAACAATGCACCTTTGTCCGAAGTGGAACGCTATCGTGGTGTCTACCTGTTCCTTCCTGTGCAGTACACGGCAGACGCAATACTCCGTTTTCAACGAGACATCTTTACGTCCACCCGCCAGGAAGGCTCATGGCTGCGGAAGTCTACGCTTTGGCGCAAGATCGATCGTGAGCTACGAGATCTGGCGTTTGCCATTGTACAGACTCGGCCAGACTTTGATGCAGCGCACCAATTGATATTCCGTAGAGCGAGATTGGAAGACAGCATGGGTCTTTTGGAGCACCGCGCTGCGGATCTACGTGCTTTCGTCCGTAACCGGCTACCGCGAGTGAAGGAGAGACACAAAAAGACAATAAGTAACTCGCGAAGAGTCCCTGTTGATCGCGCAACTACTAGATCGAGAACCCTGTTGGCGGCTCGCCAGGTCTCATCAAGCCGACAAGTGGAAGGTCGGAGTGCATCCAAGGGGAAACTTGTTAAGCGGCGCAGTACACCACGTCGAGTGGGGTCATCACCAAATTCAGCTCAAACCACTGCGGGCAAGACCGACACTATTACACCAACTTCGAAACGCATTGTATTCAGCAAGGTCCGCCGGGTGAAGCTGTTGCCAGGTTCGACTCAAAGCATCGTAAGCGACAGCGACACTAATCCAACGCCAAGTTCAGCCAAACGCACTGCAAGCCAAGAGGAAACTGCTCCACGACGTTCGAATCCCAAAGCGTCCAGCAAGGCTCGCAAGGTGAAGTCGTTGCCGACTTCGAGGCAGAGCGCTTCAACCGGGAACGACGTTAGCCCGCCGCCGACTTCCACCCAAAGCAATGCGAGCGACAATGACAGTAGTCCACCGCCTTCGAAATACGTTGCGTCCACCAACGTACGCCTGGAGAAGTTATCGCCAAATTCAGCTCAGAGTAATACGAGTGATAAGGGCACAAGCTCGTCGCCAAGTTCGGCTCAAAGCGCCGCAAGCCAGAATGCCACTAGTCCAGGACCTTCAAAACGCACTACAGCCAGAAAGACGCTCCGGGAAAAGTTTTCCTCGATATCAGTTCAAACTGCTGAGAGTGAGAATAAAAGTTCACAGCTCTCGACGTATAGACCCCTGAACCTCAGACCGACTTCGCCCAAGCAAGCTCCTCATGGTATTATGCACAGTGGCTCGACCAGCCTCGGCTACGCGGTCGAGGAAGGTCACTGTGACAACTTCGCTAGCGAACAGCAGTCTGACTGTGGCGAGCTTCACGAAAGCCCAGGCGAGAGACACAGTTTCGGCGAGCAGGAGTCCGCTAGCGACGAGCTTTACGAGACTGCAAGTGAGGGTACTGAAAGCAGCAGAAGTGAAGCAGTGAGTGATGAGGGTAGCGAGAGCGAGTCCGAGTCCAATGAGGAAGAGCATATTCCATTATCCTATCAGATTCCCACCGAGGATTTGAGAAACGCAATGCAGGCTTCTCGAAGCAGTGGTGCAGCGTTCTGGCACTATCGCCTCTATCGGGATCCGGAAGGCCAGGCCGTCCGCGTTCACTACTGCAAGAACAAGGAACAGACAGAGCGAGTGGCTGCACTCTTTGCCGACAAGAACGTCCTCGGGTTTGATCTCGAATGGAAACCTAACTGCTTCCCAAGAGATGGTATCAAGAATAGTGTCTCCCTCATTCAGATCGCCAGCGAGGATCGCATTGCCCTATTCCACATAGCTGTTCATCGTGGTGACACGGCGGACGAGCTGCTTGCTCCAGCTTTGAGGCAGATCCTGGAATCACGGGCAATCACGAAAGTGGGCGTCAATGTCAGAGGCGACTACGCACGCTTGCGAGACGTGTTTGGCATCAACCCTCAGGGCTACCTCGAGCTGAGCCACCTGCACCGTGTTGTAAGGTTCTCCGAATCGCAGCCGGAAAAGGTGAACAAGGTTCTGGTCGCGCTCGCAACCCAAGTGGAGGAGCACCTGCAATTGCCCTTGTCCAAGGGACCAGTCCGAGCAAGTGACTGGAGCAAGGACTTGACAATGGAGCAGCAGCAGTACGCGGCTTCAGACGCCTACGCCGGCTTTCGCTTATTCGATGTACTGGAAGCGAAAAGGAAACAGATCAAACCTACCCCGCCGAGGCCGGCTTTTCATGAGCTGAATCTTCCCATCAGTGTCCCAGTCAGAAGTGTCAGGGTCATTCCTACCAGGACGGCCGCGCAGGCACAGCCACCAGTTGTTCAGGATGATGCGAGTGACGCCGACAGCGAGGACAGCGACATTGCTGCCGTGCCAAGCCAGGTCCTTACCGCAAAATCTCAGGACACCTGCTTCATACCAGCAACAGCCTCGTCTGAAAACGTGACAACTGAGTCAAGCGCCGCACAAAACAGCAACGTACAGCCACTGAGTACAGTAAATGTTCGACTTGTAAATCAGCTTTCTCGATCGCTAGAGAACACTTCTCAACAAACCTCTGAGAGACCTCTAGAAGTCAAAACAGCGGAAGCTTGGGTCCAGACATGGCGAGCCGGCCTACCTGCCAACTACCAGCCCAAAGCTTCGCTCACGAACCTACGGGCTTACTCTCTGTGGCACTGCCAGGCCCTCGATGTTGAGATTGTCGCCGCGAAATTGAGAGACCCGCCGCTGGCAATGACGACCGTATCTCTTTACGTGTTGGAATCTGTGCGTATGGAGGGCCTGCCATTCGATGCTGGCCGGCTTAGGAGTGTGCTAGAGATTTTGCCGCAGCATGTGGCGCAGGGTAGATATCGGGCGCTTTGGAGGAAACTGCAGTAGACAGGAGCGTGCATTGTTAGGGAGTTCTCGGGAAGCTGTGGTGGTGAAATCGCATTGCATGGATAGGTAGAACTTTCGGTTCAACCCCTACTCATTGTTAGAGGTGGAGTGTACAGTAGAGGGCCGTAATCGTCATGCGCTAGTCACTGGCTCGGACGCAGTTAAGAACGTTGCACACAGATGTAAGAGGTGTCACAAAGCTCTCTTCACGTGACCTACAGTACAACTCTACCACATCGTGCCTCGACGACCAAGGGACCATGAGAAACATCATGTCAGAGACTGGCAGGGACGGCGGTTGGTCCGCGCTTCGAATTGCAATGCGAGCGGCTTCTAACAATTTGGAATTGCATTTGGCAGCCATGAATGCTGATGCTACAATGTTCAAGATGTCGATGATCATGAGTGCCGTCATGATTAGTGGTAATCTTATGCTCCCTTTGCAGCTTCAAGCAACAATTGAGTCGCTACGGATCCCAGATAGTACAAGTATATACAACGAAACTCGTGCATCGATTCAACCACCCAAATCTCTGTTTCCCACCCAGCCACCAAACACCGGACTCAGACCATCCCGTTCCAAATCTAGAACTCACTTCCAAAGCGCAGTAACCCAGCTCTTCCATCCAGTTTGCGCCCCCTTAGGCGGCTTTTCATCCGCCAGCACCTCCGCAAGACCCGTATACATGTCCACATCCTCGGGCGCATGCGCCCACGGATCGCTCTTCGCATAGATCCTGTGGCCAAAGTAGATAGCCAGAAAGATGGGGACGCCGATATACGACGTGAGGAAGCTAGCCGGGCTCCAGAGCTGGGGCCAAAAGACATTGAAGCCGTTGATGAGGGCCAAGAAAGCAAAGCCGGCAATGGCGGCATAGGCGCCCCAGGGCATGAGGAAGTTGTGGTACGGCACCTCGATGTTCTGCACGATGCAGGCTTTGCGGAAGCGTAGGTAGATGATGCAGCAGCAGATCCAGGATATGAATGCGGACTCGTTCGTAAGATTCACGAACCAGTTGAAGACTACTGCGCTGTTGGATCCGACGTTCAGGTAGGCGAGTCCGCAGAAGAGAGAGGAGCAGATGACGGCGTTATAGGGGACGCCCTTCTTGGTGCAGGCCTTGAACATCTTCGGTGCGCTGCCGGAGAGTGCGAGCGAGTATAGCGAGCGGCTTGATAGGTAGAGGAACGAGTTACCAGAGCTCCAGGCTGATAGAATGATACCACCGTTGATGATGGAGTCTAACACCGGGATTCCAGCATTCTTTATGCCAACAACGAAAGGGGAGGCGCCAGCGCCCGCACCGCCGGAGGTGATAGCCGGGTCGTCTGAGGGGCAGATGACGGAGATGGCTAGGACGGAGCCGACGTAGAAGAAGATGAGGCGGTAGATGTAGCGCCGAGCAGCAATAGGGAGGTTGCGGCGCGGGCTTCTCATTTCGCCACCCGTGACTACGAGGAGTTCTGGCGCAAAGGCGAAGGGGAAGGAGGAAAGGACAAGAGTGCTAAGGAGAGCGAGGAATCTTCCAAGATCGCCTGTCTCCAGGTATTCGTTCACTGCGCCAGGATTTCTCCAGTAGCGGAAGCCGAGACGGTCACGATCTGGGCCGCCTCCCCAGAAAAGGACGACAGAGAGCATGAGCAGGCCCAGCATCATGATGACTTTAGTCGATGCAAACCAAAACTCAGTCTCGCCGTAGAAGCCTACAGGTAGAGCATTCAGGCCGACGATGACGACTATCATAACGGTGATCCAGACCGCAATGCTGACACTTGGATTCCAGTACTCGATGACTAGGCCGGCAGCTGTGATCTCGTATGGGACCAATATACCGAGAGAGTAGAAGTATAGCCAGCCAAGACTGATTGTAGGTTAGCGTTCTCCATTCTGTATCTGGTACACGGGCCGCTTGGAGCAACGCACCTGAATCCCATGCTGCGCGAGACGTAGCGGTAGCCGAACAAGTTCATCGATGAGCCGGGTGTCGGCAGATACGCCGCGACTTCGATAATAGCGACGACGACACAGTAGACCAAAAAGGCGATGAAGCAGTACGCTGCGAGTATGAATGCAGGACCACCTCTTGCCAACGTCTGGCCCGATCCAACGAACAGGCCTGTCCCAATGGTGCCGCCGAGGGCAATCATCTGGGCATGGCGAGACTTCAAGCCGCGCTGGGTTTTCTCAAAGCGCTCATCGAATATTTCGCCGGCAAGAATCTCAGGATTGACGGCGGAGCTCTTGCGCCGGCCTTGGCCTGAGGCCTTGCGGTCGACGGGATAGCTAGGCAGCTCATCGGTGGTGATCTTCTCGATGTCGCCGTGCGCCATGATGGTCGCTTTCGATATCGAGGAGGAAAGCACAAATCGACGAAGGGAAGTGAGGACTCGAAGATGGCCGCAATGGCTATGAATCTACTGGAGAGCAAAAGTGGCGGGGGGGCCCTCCAGGCCTTTATGTACAGTAGCTCCCTTCTACCTACCTAGATTTTACCCCCGATCTCACCTAGCTCGGCGGTGCACGACGGTGTCACATCGCAGGGTTGTCGAGCCGATCGTATGCAGGGCTGATAAGGCCTGTGGCTCCCTTAGAGGGTTTCTACAGAGCTGCTCCAAATGTCGAGATAAGAGCCTTGGAAGGGTTTACTGCGGGTCTATTCAATTTAGCTGAGGTAGCTCACGTTCTCGATTCCAGGAGATCATTCCGCCGCCAAGTTGCAGCACTGCGAGGCGAGCCACGGGCGAAGAGATGCGGGCCGTCGTCGGCAAGGAAGTCCCCGTGCTAAAACCCCCGCTTGGCTCGAGCATATGATCAAGAGCGGCACGATATCGCACTGACAGGCGAGGCAAGAAGACGCGCCTCAAGACAGCCTCGAACGCGGCTGAAGGGTCCATCCCGCAGTACCGATAGCGGCAATTGTCGGCAAGAGCCGAGAAAGATTGCGCGCACAGAATTGCGCGCATTGCTGTGTGCTCTCTCCCTCGAAAAGTTCGCGGCTATCAGCGGTTCATGTCCCGTATCTCGAGTTTCGTGCCTGCGCGTTGTGTAGCGAAATAAGCCACAGCACGAATTACGGGCCGAGTTGCCCATAACAACCACAGCCATGAGAATTCAGTGCCTGGCATGATCGAGGACTGGATCCTCCAGCCTTTCTAGGCCTCTCATGCATAGAGCCGCAAATGGGTGGCTGATATGCAAGATACACGGCCAGTCTAGAGACGGCATCTAGCGGCTTAAGCTTGGTGAATTGGTCGAACAGTCTGCCAGTCCATTATCGTGTGGTATTGTACATCCTTGAGAAGAAGTGCTATAGCGGAGGAATTGTAAATTATAGGCGCTTTAACAGCCCACCGTCTGTATCGGACGCTAAGCAATTTAAGGCAGAAGAATGCCGCTGGCGGATCGCGGCAGAAACAATGCAACAGAACAGCAATCCAGGGAATCCGGGGAGAAAGCAACAAGTGCTAAGCAACACAAAACACTCCGTCTCTTTACGAAGATTGGCTGAGTACTGCCTATAAACCGCTTTCTATCAGCTCAGGTTGATGGGAGGGTTCATCATTCTTCACGATGCGGCCCGCATGTTCATCGACAGCAAGGGAAAGCGCCGCTAGTGCTTCAGGTACAGGACAGGGGTCGCTGTACGTATGCATGGCTAACGCAAGGAAAGGCAGCCGCCGGAGTGCTCGTCCGCTGAAGCCCTGATCCTGGTGTCAGCGCGCTGCCACGTGGACAAGCGTACAATAAATCCCAACGCACCTCGCACCTCTGCGCAAGCTTCCACAGCTTCCTTGCTGGTGCATTTGGCCGATTCCATAAATGAACATTCATCTCTGCGAAACTGGGGAAGGACCCAAGGACGAGGACTTCCCAGTCTGAACCTGCCTGAACCAGGCTGACGGAGTCGCTAGATGCTCCGTCGGAAGCGTCATCCGGGTCGTCGGTTGGGATCAGAAGATCGCAGCGGATGAGTTCATTCAGCGAAGACCGAAGGATTTCGTATATCGCTCTTGGGGGTGGGTTCGGAATGTATTGCTTGATGTCGACTCTGTCGAGGAAAGCTTGGTCCTATCTTGGTTCAGTGGAGGCATATAGGGCTTGTTTTCGAGCTCCGCTTACAATGGCTGTCACTAGGTTACTGGTACAGAAGACCATGATGTTGGGTCTATGACGGAGCCGATCAAGTGCTGTGAGAAGCTGATTTGTCGCCTGCAAACGTTAGCAATATTGTAGGATAACAGGAGCATTCAGTGTACCCTTAATGCATCTCCACATTCATTTCCAGTAGCAGACTTCTCTCTGGAGCCGGTCAGCGTCTCCACTTCGTCGATAAGCACGCAGATCAACGTGGTCTCGTCGTCGGCCATAGCATGTACGCTGTCGAAGAGCTTTCTAACAAGCTTTCCGCTCTCGCCGAACCATTTGCTGTGCAGTGAGTTGGAATTGATCTCCACGAGTTTTCCATGCGTGAATTGGCGGCCCAGCCTAATAGTTAGCTTTTGAGCCAGCGCTCGGCTGCAAAACATGTACCGAATTAGTCATGTGACCGTAGATGTTCAAGTTTTGAACAATTCGTTTTTCAAAGGAACGTAGAACATAAAGACTTGCTGAAGGAGATTAAACTTTCACTGACCATAATGTCGTCTTGCCACTTCCTGGTGGTCCATGCAGTAAGAGAAGACGATTCCAATTGAGAATAGTTAGATTAAGGCTCGGATGTTTTGTGAGGGAGACTGTCAGTTTCAGTGGTGTCCAGCATCTCTTCACAGCTTCGAGATATCTTACTCATGCGCGTCAAGAAGTGTAGCAATTTTGCCGGAATAGCTTCATCAAAGATAAGTCTACCCGGACAATCAATAACGCAGGTAAGCCAGAGCAGGCTTGGGGGACGGCTTACGCATTCCAAACACCATTCAACGACTTGCTGGGCAGAGGCGTGACTCGGATCTGCGGAGATGGATCGGCTTCGTCGCTCTCGACTGAGGGGACTACAGTCCGCGGTGATCCGTCGTCGCTGCTGCTATGCAGTTCATAGGCTTGAACATCGAGTTGCACGTCTTCTAGCCGATGAGAAGAAGTGTCCGCTTGGTCGCCTGAGAAGTCCACTACGTCGATTGACTCGATATAGTTACCAAGACTGAGTCCTTCTGCAGGGAGTCAGCCATCTGAGAGTACTCAATGCATAACGGCAAATGCTCTTGAATACCATAGTCGGTCACTTGCTGCTTTAACTTGAGATGCACGAATCTTGTGCAAAGCCATTCGGATACCTCCTCGCGGACCTGGAGAGTCAGCTACTGAATAAGGCTCCATGAATACTCCTGTTTGCCGTTACCAAGTCAGTCCGTACAAAAGTCCCGATTGTGCTTTTGAGACGGACTTCGACGTGTAACGCTGGCTTGATCTTTGTGGCCGATGCAGCCATCGCGACACGGACGGCTTGGAGTTGTCCAAGACTTCGGGAAATTCCGCAGGATTTTAGTCGCGCGACATCATCCAAGGCTCAGACCAAGTAGTCGTTGCCGCATCCTCTCATACGAATTTGCGGCAGAATTCCGGTGACGGCTACTTCGTCTGAGCCTTGATCGCTGAGAGTCCGCGAAAGTGAAGCTTCACGAAGGACATATTGCACCCGGCAGAGCTGCCTGACCTGATGGCTGTTAACAGAAATGGATAATGAGCTGCGCATACTGTCCGACAAGGACGTTCCCTGGGGTGACAAGCATCCAAGAGATACGGCTATCCAGATAGTCCTCTCCGTCGCGCTTGGGCTAGGAGCTTTCACTACCTTCTGTGTGAGCTTAATCCAGCCTTTAAATACGACGTAGCTTACATGGCGCCATAGATACTACGACCGAGATGGCCAGGGCTCTACGCAGCGCGCAAGAGGCACAAGGACGAAGCTACATCCCTCCCCGAGCTTCCGAACTCGTTACTCGGCTGGATACCAGCACTATGGAAGATAACCAACAAGCAAGTGCTGGCTTCAGGAGGACTAGATGCCTATGTGGTAATGGAGGTCCATGAATGACTGTGTACAACTCTAGAGGCTTACGGATTCTAGTTCCTTGCCTTCTTCAGGATGGCTATCAAGTTCCTGTCGATAGCATTGGTCTTCGCTTTAGTTGTGATCAAACCTGTCCACGATCAGTACCCTGAGCCTTTGCATTTTCCTGGGAACGATACAGACCACAATACAACCGCGTCGGCAATTTACTCCGATCATGCGCGCCTTGCGAGCGGATTCGACTTCTCGGAAGCAGCTGCGGAGCTGTACGAGACGGATTATCTATGGATGTACCTGGTCTTTGCGTACTTCTTCACCGGCCTCATAATGTATTTGATCGTGTCGGAAACTAGGACGATTATCGAGATTCGTCAAGAGTACCTGGGCAGTCAAACTACCATTACCGACCGCACCATTCGGCTATCAGGCATACCACCCGACCTAAGGTCAGAGGAGAAGATCAAGCAGTTTTTGGAGTACCTCGAGATAGGAAAGGTGGAAAAGGTGTCATTGTGCAGAAACTGGAAGGAGCTGGACGATCTCATGGTGGAAAGGATGACTACGCTCAGAAGACTCGAGGAGGCTTGGACAGTATACCTTGGTGCCCGTCGCGTCGAGCGTAATCTAGAGTCACTGCCTGTTTCGCAGCCGTCGCCACCTGGACCAGGCCTTGATCTGGATGACGATGATGGTGAGGACAGCCATCTGCTCAGGAACGGCAACAACTACACCGGCATCGCGCCTTATCCCCGTGACCGGCCCAAAACGCGTGTCTGGTATGGCCCATGGAAACTCCGATATCGAACCGTTGACGCCATCGACTACTATGAGACGAAGATGAAGCGGCTTGACGAGCAGATTAAGGCATTACGGAAGAAAGAGTTCGAGCCGACTCCTCTTGCATTTGTCACCATGGACAGTGTTGCAAGCTGTGTACGTTTTATACCCCCATCGTGCACGAATGTCTTACTGACCAACCCACCCATCCCAGCAAATGGCAGTTCAAGCTGTCCTAGACCCGTCGCCATTGCAATTGTTAGCCAATACTAGTCCAGCTCCCCCCGATGTTGTCTGGCCCAACACGTACATGCCTCGCTCGAGGAGAATGCTACAAGCTTGGTCGATAACGTTCCTCATCACAGTTCTTACTGTATTTTGGGTTGCACTTCTTGTCCCAATTGCTGGCGCATTGAACATCGAAACAATTAAGAGGGTCTTACCCCGACTTGGCAACGCGCTGGATCAGCATAGCATTGTAAGCTCCTTAGTGGTGACACAGCTGCCGACTATCGCAGTGTCATTGCTGAACGTGCTGGTGCCGTATCTATATGATTGTAAGTAGCGTGCGCTCTGTGCCGTTCCCGACTGACACTCGGTTTAGGGCTCTCGAATTTGCAAGGCATGATATCTCAAGGAGACGTGGAACTGTCTGTTATTTCGAAGAACTTCTTCTTCACCTTCTTCAACTTCTTCATCGTCTTCACTGTCCTCGGAACGTTCTCTGGCTACCTAGATTTTTTGGAGAAGATTGGCGATTCGCTCAAAGACACTCCGAAGCTTGCTCACACGCTTGCAAGCTCGCTAGCTGGCTTGCTGAACTTCTATGTCAACTTCATCATCTTGCAGGGCTTAGGTCTGTTTCCTTTTAGGCTGCTCGAGTTTGGCAGTCTTGCGACATACCCTATCTATCGCATTGGCGCGAAGACGCCTCGAGGTATGTTGATATCTCAGTGAAGAGTGAACCACGCGTAACCCTGAATTCTAGACTATGCCGAGCTGGTACAGCCGCCAATTTTCAGCTACGGCTTTTACCTACCGCAGACTCTCCTCATCTTCATCATCTGCATGGTTTACAGCGTTCTCCGGTCATCATGGAAGGTCTTACTAGCCGGTTTGGCCTACTTCGTTCTCGGCCATTTCGTTCACAAATATCAGCTGCTATACGCTATGGACCACCGGCAGCATTCCACTGGCAGAGGATGGCTGATGATATGCGACCGCGTCATTGTTGGCACCGTCTTCTTCCAGCTCACCATGGCCGGTCAACTGGCTCTCAACCAAGCGTTCATCCGATCCACCCTCATATTTCCGCTCATACTCCTGACGCTTTGGTTCGCCTACGTCTACACTCGCACCTACAGACCCCTGATGAAGTTTATCGCGCTGCGGAGTATTCGTCGAGCCGAGCGTTCAGACCTGGACCCTGGAGTCCATGAACCGAACCCTTGGGTCGACCCTGACACCGAGGAGGAACAGTCAGAAGTGCAGTACGATGGGACTGTCGATGAAGCAGGGGAAACCGACTTACGCTTTGTTAACCCGAGCTTGATTATACCGTAAGCAATAGGCAGTGCGCTTCTCTGTTACGAAGCTAACTGTGCGCAGCCTCAAAGATGTATGGATAGCGGACAAGGCCGCGCGGAATGCGAGTACCGGCACCACCAGTCCTATCGACGATTGACACGCATTTCTTGGTCGTATATACTGTTTTGTAATACTTCCCGTGCTCTATGTTCATCTTATTATATATGTTGATACGTTCTGTCGCTGATAGATTTCGATTTTGGCGGTGTCACGCGACATGATTGTCTAAGCCCATCATAGTCAATTCCAACGCATGGACATTTGCAGTCGCGTCCCTGTATTTGCCTCCTCGTGTGTTTCTGTAGAGCGCGAAATCTGTTATGAAGCCTTGTTAGACTTAACATGTGAGCATAGAGACTGGACAGCCCAGCACACTTTTGCTGCCGGTAGGTGTCGCTCCTTCCCGATTCACGGCGCTGCTCACCTTGGGGAAGGAGGCAGCAAGCACCGTGCTTCCAACACCATCCTTAAGACAGAATCTTCCTAAACCAACTACCGAGCACCCCGAGTGTGCAGGCTTCGCATTCCGTACTGACACACTTGCGGCTGGCCTGCCGTCGCCCATTGCTGGGTACTCTCAACTGTCAACATTCGACCGATACCTACTGCCTGATATTATTCACCTCTTCACAGAGCTTTAGGCCTCTACGACGTCTTCTTCCATATACCTTTCTCGAGGGGTCGCTGGTACCAACTCGGCCCCTGTTTCTCCTGTGCTCTCGCCAGCGATCCCTCAAGTCGTGTCCCTATACCAAAGTCCTTCCTCGCACAATCTCTTCCTGGGACCTCCTAGTCGACTGGGGGTCTCTTCTAGGTGCTCCAGCGAACCATCCCCATTCACAGCCACCGAGCTTGCACCAATGGATACTCGAGCATCGAACGGTTTGGTCATGGGAAATGGCTCGGGTGCTTTGCAGCCATCGGCACAGATACCGGCTTGTCAGACCGATACATCCTCTACAAGTCGCGAATTGCCAAACTCACCTCACCCACTATCATCTATCAGCGCCGTGCCAAACGCAAGAGATTTAGCTGGGGCAGCACAACATGGGCGCCTGAGACAGATCGTACCCTTCTCTGTTCGCCGCGGACTGCGGCGTGAAAGGCCCAACCTCTCGGTCCACCATATAATCTCATCGCTCTTCCACTCTGGAAACAGCAACTCTTCTAGCCCTTCGACCTCCGCTGGCCCCTCCAGGAGAAGTTCGTTAAGCGTGGACCGTACTGGCGTGTTACCTCACGACTCCGACGGGGCTAGAAACTCTACCTGGGACCTGTCGCTAGTGAACAGGTTTGACGTCTCCACCCAGAGTCTCGAGGTCGTATCACCTGCAGGGTTCTTGTTCAGCGGTCCCAGTCTCAACGGGTCGGAGTACACGAGCTCACTTGTGCAAGTACCCAGCACTTTATCCTTGGCTATCAATGACAATGAGAGTATCCTCGAGCCCTCGGGCCGGTCGCCGTACAACAATGTCACGCTTGGCTTGTCTGAGGTCCTGGTGAGACCAGACACTGAGTAAGTGGCACCGTATCATCTATTTATGCATACAAGATGCTAATCCTTACAACAAGACTAGCACAGACTCCTGCTTCATTGCCGCCATCAGTCCTCTCGAACATCATCGCTAATTTGGAGCTGGACTCCCTCAAGAGTCTCCGTCTGACATGCCGCGCTTGGATGGCTACAATCGATTTGCTTCGACCTCTGCGAATTCCACTCGCATATCAGATCCCAACGGAGATTCTTCAGCAAGTGTATAGCTATCTCTCACCAGCGGATTTCGATGCTGCCAGACATACATGTCGTTCGTGGATGCTGGCCAGCCTGGACCAGGCCCTTCTGATCGAGATGCTCAAGCGTGGTGGTTGGTTCAGTACCGTAGAGCTTGATGGATTGCAAGATGTCTGGTCAATGAGTAGACGCATATCAAGAGAGTGCGCACTAAGCGGCGTGCGTCGCCGCCCTAGCGCTATTACCCGGACAGCAAAAGTTGACTTCGCCGATCTTGCGAGCGGATATGCTGGACCAGAAGGTCGACATAATGGCGCCCTTGTCTTTACCGCGAGCACTTGTGGAAAATACCTGCTGGTTGCCGAAGGCGGTATGATCTACGTCTACTTGCTGTGGGACAACAGTCTGCGCCCCGTGACCAGCGTAGTATGTCCACGCCGAGTTCTCGCTACGAGCATGGATGCCTCCGCGGGTCGGTTTGCTATCGCTGCTCTGCTGGACGGCAGAATGGGACTGGTCTGTGATCTCCATCATGGTCCGGAGGACATGGCTCAAGCGTCTGGTCCTGGCAAATCTGGGGAAAGCAATACGGGCCAGAGGCAGTCTGGAAATCCCTCTTTTTTCACCAGCAGATTGTATCCGGCGGGCGATGATAGGACGTCGATATCGGACAGCAGCAACGGTCGCAATGACTGGCCAAGGGGAACAGTTGCGCAGCCGACACAGTCAGCCGAAACCTGGAATCTTCACCTAGGTGGCAACGGAGCCGTTCTGAGCGGTGTCAACGAAGGACACTCGTGAGTGATACCGCGAACATTGAATAGATCCGCAATGTACCACACTGTTGACATCCGACCGCTAACACATGCAGGAGCCCCTTCAGACCGGGAGTCCCAATCGAGACCGGACCACGCAGCATATACCGCCATCTCTGCTCCGACGACGATCCACCCCGCAGCGTCGCGATCTGTCCGCAACAGCGATGCGTCGCATTTGGTTGTACTTCAGGTGTCGAACTGCATTGGGTGGACGCGCTAAGCGGACAGGACTTCAACCGCTGGTTTCCGCTCGCGACTCCCAGTGATTGCCTTTACTTCCTGCCGCCACGGCGCGGTATCGATTCGGCTAAGAAGCTAAGACTCATCTCGAGTACTGCGCATCCGAATCAGCGAGTGGCTTCGAGGGGGCGTCAACTTCGCAAGGCGTGCCTGAGCGGGAAGTTTTGGTCGCTGTTTGGTACTGAGACGAGGTCTTCATCTACTGGTAAGTGCACGTGTGATGCTTCCTGTACAACCTTTAGCGCGCCTGCCAACCGCGTCTGTCCTTTCGACAAAGCTCTCTGCTACCATCTATTTTTCTCCCGGAGTTCGAACATGGACTCCGCTGATATTCGCAATATCGGCCTTATCTCTGTTTGCTGACACCCCACCAGACAGAGCCCGCCACTCCCCCTCCCCTCCCTCCGGCTGCGACCACTACAACGCCGTCCCCCTCAGCGACGGCTACCATGTCCTCTTCACCGACCCAGCGAGCAACATGCTCTGTCTCGGCAGTGACGCACCCCTCGGCTCCCCCACCAAGCTCCTCCGCAAAATCGTCTTCGAGCCTCCGGAGCCCGGCGCAGTCTCGTTCCTCTACGCCGCCAGCGCCGAGCTGCGCTGGGGCCCTAGAGTCATAGCCGCGTACGGCGACCGTATCGTGCTGTACTCGGTCCCGCCGGACGTTTTCGCGATCTCGGTGAGGGAGCAGCAAGGGGCGAGATCCTCAGTCTCGACAGCCGGGACGCCCGACCACAACAGTGGAGAATATACCCGCTGGAAAGACTGGATGCCCTCGCCGAACGGACTGTTGGGATCACCCTGCTTCACCTGCCGCCCCGACTCGCCCTGGCCCGTCCTGATTAAAGGCACCGTGATCGGCTCGCTCGACCGCCTCGCCGAGCTCGCGGTGCACAGCACCCCGGACCTGACGGTCTGGGCGCTCGACCTCGATGGCAGGGCTGCGGTGTGGCAGGTCGGGAAGCCCTGGCGGGCCGCTTCCGCGGTCGTGGACCGCAGCATCACGCGCTATGGGCTGGTGTGCGAGGGTGTGGATGGGGATGGGGATGGGGATGTGGGGATGGTGGATGTGGGTGCGGAGAGGTCCGTGGGGTCTGATGGGCACGATTCGGAAATTTTGGGGTGGGCGGAAGGCGGGCTACATGTTAGGGTGAATGATCCGGTGGGGACGGTGGAGGTGCTGGAAGAGGGGGTGTGGTACGATGGGGATGGGGATGTGGTTATGAGGGATGTGCCGCTTGGGTGTGCTTGGGGGAGAGAATTGTAGAGCGAGTTTGATTGCTTTATTCTTATATACCTACGAATGCTAGCCCTGTCGCCGCGAGAGCTACTACGCCTTACTTGGAATCCAAAAATGGCCCCATATACTTCGTCAACTTAATCAATTGAATGGCGATGAGATCAAGCGTATTTGGCGATGTTGCACGTCGCACAACCAGGAGCGCTGAGTCTTCACATCGTCGGCACTACAAGGTTAGTATCAACAGTATCCACGACGTGGCCATGGAAACATGGGCTGCAGAACCGCAAAATTGATGTTCACATCAGCATCAGCCGATTGGTCTGATCGAAATTGCCACAATGTATCGTAGAGTAGTCAGCTAAGAGCTAGTCCTACTATTCCCTTTCCGTAAACAGTACTATGGTGGTGGTCCTGGCGATTGTAAACCGGATTACATGCCCGAGGCATCATTGAGCAGACGGCTATCCAGATCGCCTTTGTGTCTCTAATTGGCTCCCCTGTGTTCGAGAGTCGGCTTTAGGGCTGGAGAATTCCAAGGCACAACCGCGTGGAAGCCCTGGAGTGCAGAGATGGGCGACACCCGGTAAGGTAGCTGTGAGCGCAAAAGGCAACGGCGAGGCCCAGAGATGGCAAATACAGAAACGATTGTCTAACGCTAAATTTGATTCGGACGTCCGATGACAGCGGTCTTTCGTCCATTGGCCGCTGGTCTTTTACTCGGGTGGCGATGCGGTTGTCAAAGCTTGGAGAGCTTGTCAGAGGTTGGAAGATCTCTGGTTCCAACGGCTGGCTGGGCGTGTTGAGCTGGAGTGACAGGTGTTGCATCTTTGGTACTCGAGTATCTCTCCCATAGAGATCAGCACCGCAGACCTGACGAGGACCAGCCCCATCTGTTCCGAGCCTGGTGGATCCTGAGCTCGGAGGCGCGTAGCTCGCCGACAAATAACCATTGCCAGCCTGCTTGGTGAGGCTGGCAAGGCAGGGAACGACGCTACTTAGCCACGTTTGTTTCATACGCAAAGCCAACCCCACCGCATCAACGCCCGCGGGGAGACAACTTTGGCCTCCACTGCCCTCCACAGCCCTCCAGAAGGCGACGGGAACAGTGAAGTCGATTCCGCTTCTTCGGAGAATCCTTCGAGTCGCGCTCCAAGCCAAAAGTGGTTGTCGTCCGCGTCGGCTTTGGCGATCCAAAACGTGCGACGCCTTGAATCGTCATCCTTCAGGGCTACCTTACCACCGCCGCACTCCTCAGCCTCTTCTGCTGGCGATCGCGGTCAACCCTGTTTCCTGTGTTTGCAACCAACTTCGCCATCGTCGCCCTCGCCAGTCGCCGGCTGGTTTACCGAGCACAGCGCTCCCGTAAGGCCAACATACTGCTCGAGTTTGCGCTGCGCGACCCCGAGTTTCTTCTGCCCGGCCCGCGCCTGTTGGTCCGCCTACACGCCTTGCTCTCGGCATCTCACCGGACTCTTGTGACAGAAGTGTACATCGTAGCCCTCCTCACAACAACAAGGACTCTCAAAGCCGCCGGCATGCGCGCCTTCTTCTAGCCCATCGTCATTACGCTGGAGGAGTCTGTCACCCAGATTCGCACAAGCTACCAGGTAGTCGCGAGGTTTTTATAGCACAAGGTGAGCACAACACGGTGCCTCTCGACCGCGCCATCGATAGCAGTTAAGCTCCAGAGCCGGCCTGCAAGCTCGCGCTTCGTCCTCAAGAACCGGACTGACGTCCTGGCTTGCAGCAGCGTCGATGTTCGATTCCTCCGATAGACACAGTACAAGCAGAGCCCCGAGATACTCGCTCATGGCTGCTGCCTCTAGAGCACTTACTCCTACGCAAACAGGACCACTTTCGTCCACCACTGTCGCTCCCGATACTCCCATCTCCATCTCACCAAACGAACCCACGAAACAGCCAACTTGGCACCCCCCATTGTCCCCTTCCGGCATCGCTGGTCTGAAAGCTTCACTCTCGCCAAAGTCCCCGAGGATCGGACTGACGAGACTGTCTCCTCAGCCCCTCACGGGAGCTGCTGCTCTTGCAGACGAGCGTCGGCTAAGGGAAGAGCAACTACGAGGGCAAGCTCGTCAGCTTAGTCCGAACCCGGGGTTCAACGCGGTTAAAGCCTTGCTGGGCGCCGCAAACCCAGGCATGAGTAAAGCGAGAGATGCGCCTTCGGCCTCAACAATGAGCGAACCACTTGCGAGGGTGGCGAAGTCGATCACGATACCCGAAAATGGATCGGTAGATAGCAGCAACATGCAGACGAGTCCAGTGAGCTTGGCGAGCTTCGGTTCACTGGAAGGCGCAACTGCGCCAACCGCTACTGCCACCGCCATTGAAGCTCCGGCACTTGGATCCCTATCCGGCACTCAAGCGCCTATGGTACGGACCCCAGAGCAGCAGAACATGTCTGGTGGCATCTTGTCTTCTGCTGGCGAAGATATCGCATCCTCCAACCGAGCATTTACACTTCCAGCCCCGGCGCCGCATGATCCGAGCATGCGCCCCCCTACGAGGAACATGAGTCTTCCCATGCCCGGGTTCGGGCAAAATAGTCCCAAGTCTCCGTCCACGAAGAGACACAAGTGTCCATACTGCTCGACGGATTTCACACGGCACCACAACCTGAAAAGCCATCTTCTTACACATAGCCAAGAAAAGCCCTACGAGTGTACAACATGTCAGGCTAGATTCCGCAGGTTGCACGACCTGAAGCGTCACACAAAACTACATACTGGCGAGAGGCCGCATACATGCTCAAAATGCGGGCGTCGCTTTGCGCGCGGCGACGCGCTTGCGAGACATACCAAAGGTCAAGGTGGCTGCGCAGGCCGAAGGTCGAGTTTTGAAGAACTGGCAGACGGTAAAGGGGGTGAAGCGATGGAGGGACTTGAGTATGAGGGCGATGACGACGAAAGAATGGATGACGAGGAGCCCGAAAACGGAAGGAACGGCGGCCGGCGCGAAAGTGAGTCTTCACATGCACACAACACGCGTCAAGCTTCGACGTCAGCACCGTATCAAAATCGGATGCCGAGTACCTATCCTCCATTAGCTGGCCATCTCGGGAGCAGTGGTTCCAAGTTGCTATATCCGCCAGGGTCGTCATCGTCACGTGATCCGTCCACACTCAGCTCAAGGACTACCGGCTCGACTTACTCATCATCAATCCACTTTCCAGGACAGGCGGCATCAGTTTTCGCTCAAGGTGGAATGACCGAAAGTCCGAAGCCTCTTTCTCCTGGCCAACCCGACCCACATCAGCAACGTCCTGGCATTTCGGAAACGGCGAATCACGCCGGTGGTCGCTCACCGGCTGAGCAGTTTCAGCAGCAGCAGCAATTCGGTCGCGGAATAAGCAGGCACAACTCGTCGTCCCTAAGCCATCCGCCTCATCTCCCTTCACTACCGGGACTTGGTGCACCAGAAAGGCGGATGACTGGACCACCACAGCAGATGTCAGGCGGCGCACAACCTGCTCCAAACATGCTGCATCAACCCATACCGCCTCCTCCAGCGATGGGGTCCAACGCGAGTAGTCTTTCAAGTCAAACGCATCACACCGGCAGCGGCGCGAGCATGCCCGGTGGCAGAGAGCAGGACATGTGGGCCCGCATTCACGAGCTGGAAGTCAGACTCATGCAGCAAAGCAACGACTACGACGCTAAGCTCAGCCGGTTGGCAGAGGAAAACAGCAGACTCAGGGAGCGAATCGGCTCGCTTGAGAACGCGCTGCTACACAGGCCGCAACATCCATCGCCACATCTACAGCAGCAGCAGCAGCAGCAGCAGCAGCAAGGCCGCTAAAGTACACGACCGACCTCGCTGTTGAGATCTTCTCTTTGTTCTAAGCAAAAAAATCGTTCTGTATTATCTACGCGGACATGAGAGATGCGGGACCCCGGCAGGGCAGTGGGCTGGCACGGCGTCATCAAAGATTGAATCGAGAAGAGGGGTCCAGTACACGATAGTGACTCTCTCAAATGACCTACGGGGCGGTGTATTGGACATGGCATTGGGGTGTCGGCGGCCATGATAGGATTAGCGTAGGCGTTCACACCTGACATCGCGCCGGCGTTGTTCCATCCTCGCTGTCTGAGGTGTGTGGTATTATTTTTCTGGTAGCTAAAACTCTCCGGATACACTGGAATATCGAGCTCGATAGGGGGCTGAGTTGTTGCTTACCCCCAAGGGCTTGGGGTTTAGTCTTATGGCAGATTTACGAATGTATTGGTATATTTGCTTGGGGCTTGGGGCTCTACGTTGCTCTGGGGAGGAGTGCTGTCTATTGCTTCATGTTCCAGCACATGTCCCTTGAAACGATCCAAGACTCTTTGACCGTGCCTTTCCAACCAGATGCTGAATGAAACGACTGCTTTGAAACGCCTCTGCAGCTTGGTTGCGGGACTGCCCCAACCGACTGCAGTCAGCCCCGAACCCACGCTGTCTGTCATACGACCTGAGCCTCCCGAGACCCGTAATGCTGCGGGCCGGTTCGAGGATCCTACCTTTGTGCCTCAGTGATTCGGGAGGGTTGTCCCCTTTCTGTGTCACGGTGTCGCAACAAGGCTGCAGGGGCCAGATCTGTTACAGATGCAAGGGCAAGGGCGCCCGCGAATCGCAATCAGCGCCTCAGGATCCCGACAACACGAAACACCACGGGGCGCTGCGGGATGACGCTTCGTGAACCCCATGGCTTTTGCTTAATTTCTCGACCCCTCGGACACCCAGATGCTTTTGGGCATGGGCGACAGATTGCTGCTTGGTGCTTGATCTTAGGAGACGCGCTCGGTTTGTGTCAATCCATTATCACGGCCGTTGATCATATATCGCTGAGGGAAGGCAGCGCCCACAACAACATCCTACCCCGACTTCCACCACGACGACGACGACGACAACAGATGCTGTAGCGACGGAGCTCGGACACCCCCGCGGCACAGCACATAGCCTTCACGTGGAGCTGGAGCTGGCTTTCGGACTATGCAAGGCCTACATACTGAGTTACATCTCCGACGCATTCACGACCAGGTACGGAGAGCTCCTTGCCGCGCCAGAGTAAACAATTCGAAGGTTCGAGGACCGTGGACACTCAATGCTTCATGTCTCCTCTCCATTCAGTCTTAACACTTCGACAACCACGGGCTGTATGCTGAGCCTCTAACTTGTGTGGCCCCATGATCCACATCGATATCTAGCAGTCGGGGGGATGCACGAGATCAATGCTAACTCGCTCGTACAGATCAGTCTACACGCTCTAAGACCCAACCCCCCACAGCGCAATTCCGTCCGACCATTCTAGATCAGATCGTGTCAACCCGCATCATTGACGATATTCGCAAATCGGTGCGGTCACACCATCCCTCCGCCGCGGCCTACGTTGGGGCCCTCCACCGCTTGCCGATCCGATCGCGGGCTTTGATCTGAACACAACACACGATGGCAGCAAGCGATGTGATGAGCGGGGCTGTGGACCCGGAGACACTATATACCAAGCAGAGCTGCATCGGTAAGGCAGGAAGTAAGAATTGGTGGGGCAGTGTTGACATTGAGCAGGCGGAGGGAGCTTTGGAAAAGTATACAAAGGGTACTGCTACACTCTACCCGTCTGATACAAGACGCTGACCCATGACAGGGTCGACAAGCGGACAGGCCAGTCCGTGGCGATCAAAGTGATAGACGTCGAGAATGCGGAGGATGAGGTCGACGACATAATACAGGAGATCTCAATCCTTTCGGAACTCCACTCGCCGTATGTCACCAAGTACTATGGCTCATACCTGAAGGGGTCGGACCTGTGGATCATAATGGAGTTCTGCTCCGGCGGTAGCTGCGGCGATCTGATGAAGCCTGGGTTGATACCTGAGGACTACATCACCATCATTGTTCGGGAGTTGCTAATGGGACTGGAGTACCTTCACGGGGATAAGAAACTGCACAGAGATATCAAGGGTGGGCAGCAGCATCCGATTGTGGGAGAGCGCATGCTGATTGACTCACAGCTGCGAACATACTACTCGGATCCAATGGCCAGGTTAAGCTAGCTGACTTTGGCGTCTCCGGTCAGCTATCAGCGACTATGACGAAGAAGAACACGTTTGTGGGGACTCCATTTTGGATGGCGCCTGAAGTGATCAAGCAGTCCGGCTATGACCATAAAGCGGACATTTGGTCCCTCGGGATCACCGCACTAGAACTCGCACACGGAGAACCGCCGTACTCGGACATCCATCCGATGAAGGTACTCTTCTTGATACCGAAGAACCCGCCACCGACGCTGGAAGGCGATTTCAGCAAACCCTTCAAGGACTTCGTGGAGCTGTGTTTGAGGAAAGAACCAAGGGAGAGGCCATCAGCGAAGGAACTGTTGCGGCATCCGTTCGTGCGGAGGGCGAAGAAGACTACGTATCTTACAGAGCTCATTGAGCGTCATGAGCGGTGGCAAGCAAGGCATGGAAACAAGAGTCATGAGGAGGATGATGAAATGGACGAGGAGCCAGTAAGGAGGACGCCCGAAGAGGAAGACCTTTGGGACTTTGGTACCGTAAGGCCGCTGGGCGGCCGAGGACCGGGGTTGAGGACGATGAACGCGGCGGCGGCGAATGCGAGAAGTAACCAGACATCTCCTGGCGATCAGGTTCCTTCATCGCCCACTAAGCCCAGCACTCCGCGCGAAGGAATAGAGAACGACAGTCGTCCGTCCAACGGGACAATACGAGTAACGAACGCGGCTCCACCACCTCCGCTCTCACCGCCAAAGCGCAACGTGCCTACCTTGCTAACGCCGATATCGCCAACGGCGGCCGCAAAGGTACCGCTCCCTCCATCACCAATCAAGTCCTTAGTCTCGCCGTCAACCGAGTCTCCAACCCGAAAACCCCTCCCGCAGCCGCAAATCACGAAGCCCCTTTCCTTCGAGTTCGACGAGTACCTCCAGCGCTCCATCGCCCACGACATGGCATCTTTGACCCTCTCCCCTAACGAACAACCCCAATCGCCGCCGAAGCCTCCACCCTCACTTCTCCGCTCGCCAGTGGAGCTCCCGCCAATACCGCCGTTCAAGGGCCAGAGTAAACTGCTCACTCCAGACCGGCCGCAGAGCACGCAGCAAGAAAAGGCGCTACCGCCGATCATGCAACAGCCTCTAGCTTCGTTCCTCATGCCCCTTCCACAGGTCACGCGCAAGCCTGCGCCCGCGATGCCTCAGCTGCCACAACAGCTGCCGCCGACCGCCTCCTCGTCTTCTGCATCATCGGCGCGGAGTTCGCTCGATTCGAATAGGGATGTCTTTGTGGCGCAGCTTCGGGGAGGTGAGGGTTACACGGGACAGCAATCGCAGCACCAGCAGCACCAGCAAACACAGCAACCCCAGCAGCAACCGCACCAGCCTCAACAACAACAACAACCCGAAATCACAGCCTTAACCGGCGTCGTCCTCCCCGCCCTCGAAGCCGCACTCTACCGACGAACCAAGAACCTCAACGCGGTGCAAAAGTCCTCATCGCTCTCTAATGCTTCGTCCTCCTCAAGACATCCAGCCGATAGGGATCTCCAGCATCGACGCGCGCAGGCACACGAGAATGTGCGTAGGCTGGTCGCCAAGGCGACAAAGATCTTTGCCGAGATCGACCACTGGGATAATCAGCAGCCCGTGGGCATGGGAGATGAGGTACAAGGTTTCTTGGAGGGTTTTTTGGAGGAGGTGCTTGTGAGGGTTGAGGCGGAGGATGAGTGAGGAGGGGTTGTGGGGGATGGGTTGGAGGGAGCGTAGGTGTTAGAAGGGTGGGAAAGGGAGCATGTTTCTGGCGTTTTTTTTTTTTTGGGGGGGGGGGGGGGGCTGTTTGGAGCGGCTGAGAGGGGCATATGTGATACCAGGTGATAATTGATCCCGTTATGCGACCAGTGATTCGAGAGTAGGATTGCAGGTCTGTCTTGGTGCGTCTGCCTTCTCGCTTCCCTATGGTTGCTGCACCGAATGACATGTGGGACGTAAGTAAGCTTCCTGTCATACCAGATGCCAATCCAACATCAAAGGGCCTAAGGGGGCTGAGAGGGATTCGAGATCCCTCTCGTCACAGCGTCCTCATTTTGCTTTACCATGGTTATTGTACCAAATGACAACTGGGGAATAAATAAGCATGCTGACACAACACATGTCAACCATCCATCAAAGAGTCCTCGGGTCCAAAAGGGTCCGTCGGAGTTCCATCAGACGTCCGTAGCCCAAGGCCCGTACAGTGTATCTGCTATCCCTCCGTCCCCCATCTGCCCCCGATTCACCACCGCAATGTCCCTGCCGGCCATCGTATCCCGCCTTGGACCGGAGGTTCATCCGCTCCCAAATCACCGCCGAACCTCGATCTCAGTCGATGTTCTGCCGGCAGCGCTAATCTCGCACCATGGCTCCCGAGATGCAATTCTCAGGAGTGGGCTCACGCTCTCGCACGATGCGCACGGGACGATGCATCGGCGAGACTCTAGCCCCGGATCGGTGATGTCAATGGCACCGAGCTCTGAGCTCCAAAGCGGTAAGGTGGCATGCGTAGGCAAGCTTAGCTGGACGGCTGTCCCATGGTGGGGGAGAGCTGAAGCCACGCGTGCAGGGGGTGACGGCTGGTATCGCGGGGTGAGAGCTAGAGCTCAGGTGATGATGAATTCATCGGCTGGGAGATTTGGCGCGGGGTGGGATATATATTTCTAAGCTGTGCTGGTAGGGAGAGCTTTATCTTCTGCAATTGTCCTCGAGCTGTCCTGCATCTCATCATCAGTCTCCCAAATCTTTCAGCACGCTGTAATATCATAACGATATCGGCCACCACTGCAAGAAAGCTCTACGAACCCATCCTATACCACACCAACATCACACCACAAACGCAATGGCCGACGCTCCCAACAACAACGGCGCGAACAGTGACCGCAGACGGGTGAGTTCAGCCCAGCAGCTCCAATACCTGATACTCTCTCCCCACGCATCCAATTCCCGTCAAGGCTGCATCGCGTGCCCTCACACTCAAATCACCACCCCGAAGCTCCTCAACACTACTAACATCCCACGCCCCATAGTCCTCCGGCGCTACAAAATTCGCGAATCTCCACGCCTTCAAGCGTGACCCGGCCAACGACAACGCCGCCCAGCGCCGCTCCAGCTTCGCGGACCAGGCCCAGAAGCCTGGCGTCCTTGGGCAGATGTGGAACAAGTACGCCTTGCTTGGTCCTTTAACGCTCAGCTACGGACCACTGACAGTTATGCTAGTTGGACGAGAGGCCCGAGTAGCTCGAAGTAGGGCATGAGTTCCACGAGCACACGGGAATGACTCCGAACCCGGGCTCGCGATATCCTGTGTACGATAGCAACCTCGATTGTCTGTTTGGTTAGCGATGCTTGGTGATGGGACAATGGGCGTTCTTGGGGGTAGTGGATGTGTTGCTGCAACTTTTGTTGGTTGTCGTGGGTTGACACGCGCCTGTATAGTCTGGAATCTGTATAGTCATCGCTCTCTGTAACCGATTCAATGATATCCTGCCATGGATCTCGACAGTATGTTGCGTTGATATGTCATGGTGGTAGATGGGTATAAGGCGATTCGTGATCCCATACGAGCATTGTTGCATGGCCCAAGCTCCTGAAGCTCCCCACACTCGGAGAAAGGCGGTGTAGTGGACCCTGAACCACGAAGTCGAAAAGTGTCCTGAACTCGTCCATAGTTTATCAACACCTCTCTCAACCATTGCCCTCCGTCTCCTCCTCAGAACACGCCCAAAGTCTCCAAAACACCTCCAACCCGTCCAACCATCATACCTAACCCCCCACAATCCTCGAACGACCCCCCAAACCCTCCACAATGGCCCAAGCAGCGACAATCCTCCCTCCCCTCTCCGCCCGCCCCATAAAAAACACCATCGTCCTCTTCGACGTCGACGGCACCCTAACCCCCGCCCGGCGCAACGCCTCCCCCGAGATGCTACAGCTCCTCTCCCAGCTGCGCCACCTCGTCGCCATCGGCTTCGTCGGCGGCTCCGACCTCGCCAAGCAGCAAGAACAGCTCGGCACGCCCTCCATCCCCGTAACCTCGCTCTTCGACTTCTGCTTCGCGGAGAACGGGCTTACGGCCGTGCGCATGGGCGTGCCGATGGCGAGCCAGAGCTTCATCGCGTGGTTGGGCGAGGACAAGTACAAGCGGCTGGTGAATTTCGTGCTGAGGTATATTGCGGATTTGGATGTGCCGGTTAAGAGGGGGACATTTGTGGAGTTTAGGAATGGCATGGTTAATATCAGTCCTGTGGGGAGGAACGCGAGTGTGCAGGAGAGGAACGAGTATGAGAAGTTTGATCTGGAGGCCGGGGTGAGGCGGACGTTCGTGGAGGCGCTGAAGAGGGAGTTTCCGGACTACGGGCTCACGTATGTATTCCCGGAAGGATTCTCACAACATGGCTCTAGTGTAAGCGCGTACTAAGTTTTCCGGGGCACAGCTACTCCATAGGCGGCCAGATCTCCTTCGACGTCTTTCCAACGGGCTGGGACAAGACATACTGCCTCCAGCACATCGAAGCCGATGCCAGCCTGCCGGACGGTGTCAAGTACGACACAATTCACTTCTTCGGCGACAAGACGTACAAGGGCGGAAATGACTATGAGATTTACAACGATCCGCGTACGATCGGACATAGCGTCCAGAACCCTGAGGAAACGATGGCGGAGCTGAAGAAGCTGTTCTTCTCGTAATTGCGGTGTTTCGGGAGGCGTAAGCGCGTGGAGCGCTGGAAAAGTATCTGGGGCCACCGTGAGAGTGTCGGCGTTGTTTTTGGGAAACTGGTCAAGGTGGGCTACGGATAGATGTGCTTATAGAATGTGCAATCGCACACTTAGAGATCAAGTGACAAAAGGTAGTTTTCAAAAGAGCTTCTCTTCGCATCGTCATCGTGCTTGACGTGGCTGGGGATCATGTAGCGGATGTATAGGGTCCAGACGGAATACAAGGGTATACATCTTTAACACTCGAGGGAAATCCCACTGTGTCAAATGACTGTCACATCTTGACGGATCCATCCAGCCATGTCAATTTTGAACATGGGAGTAGCCTCACGGATAATGGCGTCTATCCGTCGGAATAAAACTCCCTGCTGAGCGGGCGTAGGTTTCAGAACGAGCATGCCCATTTTTTTCGTCGCACGTGCGAATTGATCACGATGGTGGTACGACCCAATCAACAGAACAACGCAATCTGATCCTACGATTCTATGCCGATTTGGGTAACCGGCATAGCAATGCTCGCGGCCATCAAGCGAAACCTCGCCTAATCGAAGCATTCCATTCAAGCTCAGACGAATAGTCCAACCTCGAAGCGTTAGACTACCGGAAGTTACTTCGCCAAATGGGTTGAGGCCGCGGTTTTGGATATCGTGACCGATCAGCTCTACCAAGTGTTCACGACCGGTTGGCTCATGGAGTTTAAGAGGATGATAGACGAATCCATCCCAACGGGCCCAGCTCCAGGAGGACGCCCGGTCTGGTTGCTCACAGCCGTCCCAGATCTGCCATAAAAGACCTCGTGCAAGATCACGACGCCAGATACCTCCCAGGTATTCGTCTCCTGTGAACTTTTGGAACGTGCTTGCAATGCCCGCCAAGGCAGGTAGCTTGTCTTTAGAGTAGCTCAATACGCAGTATTGGCAGTACTGTTCAAGGAGAGGCAGCCACCTGTCGTATACTTCGATTCCGTTGTCTGCAGCTTTCTCAGAGTAGGAAAAGTTCAGTAGCGTTACTCCGTCGGCCAAAGTGTCTTCACGAGGGTTCGGCTGGACACCGTCAGCTGAGAGGTGAGCGGTTCGACATTGGAAGTAGATTTGGTCCCGGCCGTAATATAGAACGCGCTGAGAGAGAAGGCGTTCTTGAAAGGCCCACCCACGACGACCGAGTGGTAAATCATGAAAGCAATCATAGAAGTGTTCGGGGCTTTTGAAACTGGAGACTTGTACGCTGTGCGACAGTGGCGAGTTTGGGTGAAGCCTGAGGTGGCAGTATTGAGTGAAGTCCTTAATTTGGTAGGAAAAAGGATTAAGAATACCAGCTTCACTATCCTTGCTAGCAGCTGCAGCGATTGTCACAGCAGCGTTCTTATACACAAGATCCATAACAGCGCTCTCTCGCTCCCAGTCTTGCGGAGAATCTTGAATTATACATATGGAATCAATCCATAGGTACCGGAATGCAAGCTCACGGGTAATGCGGATTGCGTCTTGGAAGGTCCGTGGTAAAATGTCGATTGGCAAGTTTTGAACGTAGGAATCAAGGTTCATCATACTTGTCTTCACTGACATCGTGTTACCCCAGCAGTGGCTGAGGGCAGCATACATGCCGTAATGGCCTGCGGAGAGAAAGAGCTTAGGTGCGGCCGCGACGCCCGAAGGTCCAATGTCGATGATTCGGGTGGGAAGAGGCTTGTGCCTCATGGGTTCACAGTTGCGTTCATTCCACTTCGAGTGCTGCTTTGTGCACGTGTGAAGCCATTTTCGCGCAAGATCGAAACTCTCGGTTGATCCAAGTCCAGAGCCCAGATATGGTAGGCCTAAGCGCAATCTTGCGAGCTGAGGTGGACTGTCTGTGGCAAACGATCGTTAGGGAAGATCTCACAAACTCGAGGACCGTCTATCTGGACTCACTCTTGTGTCTCATTAGCCCAAGCCTAATTGTACGTTCTGGACCTATCAAAGCTGAAGTGCGCGCTGTCTCGCCGACACGGACGAGGAGACGGTCAAAGAGCTCCTCGCCTGATGCGCAGAATACTCTTTCCCGAACAGCGATACAGATACGAACGCTAGTATCCAGCCCGGCTTCGATATTGTCGCTGATTTGACCGATGGCATCAATTTTGGCGAGCTCCGTTAGAATAGCACGACAGAGTCCACAGCCATTCTGTGCCGAAGATACTAGGTTCTGGAACGACTGATGATGAGCATAATAAGCCGTGTCAGGAAACCCGTAACGATCCAAGGCGACTTTGCGAGTCTTTGATATCTCAAGGAGTTTGTCAAGCGTAAGCACCTCGCAATAGTCGCAAGACATTGTACTTGGTGGACTTTCAACGCTTGTGACGTCAACATGGTGGTCCGCAGACTGACATTGAGGTTGGACAGCAGGACGACGAAGTGGCAGCCTGATACAGGCGCTGCACGGTTCGGCGCTTCTTCGCAGTCGAGTTGCGAAAGAAAATCTATGCTCCTTGACTTGCTAAACCTTCTAGTTAGCTGTAACTCTAACTTTATCGTAGGGTAGGCGAAACACGTGAGGAACTTTATTATAAAGCTCTTTTAAACGCGTTTAATCCGTAATACCACCACTATAATAAGCTATAAGTAAACTAAGATTGCTAAGATATAGTGTTAATATACAATATTATAATATGCGGCTATAAGAAAGCGATATTTTAAAGATTATAAGTGGCGTGTTTAAGAGCTAGCGACATTTTTTCTGCTCATGTTCAGCTGGGAAGAAGCGCCGAACCGTGCAGCGCCTGTATAGGGCTGGTCTAAGAAGTATGCGATGGGGTTGGCTCACCAAAACTCGCGTCGGCGAAGCCGCCGCGTCCTTCTGAGGTAGCCCTTGGCCGGTCTCTGTTAGGTCACGTGTAGAGACAGGCAACTCTCTCTCTCTCGTAGGATTATGAAGTGATGGCTCGAAGTAAGTATCACTAACAGTCACGAAGGATCGACTGTTCGCAGAGCCCATACTATGGTCCCTCTCTTCTGAAGTGTCTTGCATGATTTGGTGTTTCTTTGGTGTGTAAATCTAGCCCCTGTTGTGCACGCCATTCAGTCTATGTAACCTGTTTGCTATGCAGCGCTTCTGTGCTGACTTTTATCCTGTTTACCCGTCATTCGATTCATCGTCATCACCATCACCATCACTGCTCTCGTCGTCCTCGTCGCTTCCGTCCTCGTCATCACTCTCTTCTTCCTCAGTTGGCTGCTCATCTTCCTCGCCCTCCGCAGGCTTCAACCCGTAGTCATCCTGGAAGTGGGCCAGCGGCTGTATCTCAGGCTTGAAGCCCACCTCCTCAAAGTTCTTCTTCAAGTTCTGCGACGTGTCAATGTCAGTTGAGGTTCCCCCACACGTCCATGCAACAAGGAGAACCTACCTCCTTCATTATCTCCGCACACGCAATCACGAAGTTCGCCTTCCCGGGCTCAAAAACCGGGAGCACCCTCTCCCGCAGCACCTCCCTGATCTCCTCCTCCGTGACCTCCCTAACCTTCCTCAGCATCTCCTCGTTCCACGACTTCGGCACACCCCTAACGACCTGATTAATGAACCCCAGCGCCGCCGCTCCAGCCACCGTGGCCTGCTCATCCGCAAACCCGACCACAATACTGCTGATGGCGCCCTCGAGCGCATGCTTCTCAAAGGCCGTCTTTCCGCTCGCAAGGTCCGCGACCACACGCCTTGACCTCTCGTAGGCCTTGAAGGCGTCCGGGCTCCTGTAGATGCGGAAACCGAGCAGGCCTGTGTCGGTGCCGCGCGAGAAGCCCGTGCCGTACGCGAGACCCGTGCCGCGCACCGCGACCCACAGCGGGCCTTCGACGGCATCAAGGTAGGCGATTGCGACCATCAGTGCAGGGAGCTGCGGGTGGTTGTAAGACTCGGGCCCGCGGGCTGTGAACATGGCGTAGCTGGAGTCGATGGTCGGCATCGGCACTATGTAGGCCAGTTTTCCGGGACTTCTTGCGGCGTCGCTGAGGGCTTCTCTTCGGGAGTCGAGAGGTGCAAGCGGTGCAGATGTATCGAGGCCATCGGTGAGGATCTTCCAGGAGGAAACGGGCTTGGGGAGATTGTTGACGTCGGTGATGACGAGGACGCGGAAGTTGGAGAAGCAGCAGAGGGTCTTGCGGACCTCTTCGAGCTTGGAGATGACGGACTCGGGATCGTCTTTTAACAGTCGGCTGATGCGCTTGAGATACAAGGCTTTGACGAGAGTGTTTTGAGCTCGGGAGCTCGAATGTGGGGCGAAATGAATCATTGCGTCGACGGCATGTACCATCTGCTAGCGTCAGTTGAGCATTAGGAGCATAAAAAGGCGAAGGACTCACGCCATTGCCACTTCGCTTCTCCTCTGGAATATCAGCGAGCATCTTGGTAAGTGTTGCCTTCAGTCTCTAGAAGGGTGATTAGTATGCTCTTCGGTCTCGGTTGACAATATTGTCCATACCTCTGCATCGAATATGCTGTTGAACAGCATGTCCTTTACCCACTTGATCGAGGCCTCGTACTTCTCCGGCTCAACAACAAACTTAATGCGCAGAAGCTCAGAGTTTCCGAGGCCGGTGCCTGTGTCAATAGAGTAGACTATCGTTTCTTCTTCAAGCTCTGTGACAACCTGCTCGAACTCGATGCGCTTGCCCTCGCGCATGATTGGAGTGTTGAAAAAGTTTGTGATGTACACTGCCAGTAGGGGTCTCAGTTGCACTGGTACTGAGCCAGTGGACAAAACCAAACTCCAGTGCACGAAGTTCGTGGGTATATGCTCGAAGTGAATGAAGAGCGGAAGGTCTGTCTTGTCCTTGTCGATGACCTTCTGGATGTCGTTATCGAGGTCGCCCATCTTCTTCGCAAGACCCGATCGGCCCGTGACAGTAGGAAAGAAATGGATCGAGTCAGTGCCGGGAATCTCAAACTTCTCCAGTACCTCCTTCGGAACCTCCTTTTCGTTCTCGGCGACGGCCTCTTTCAGCTTCTCGGCAAGCTTTTTAAGGCCTTCCTCGCCCAGACGCTCTTGCTGTGCCTTGGTTCTGGCTTTCTCATCGGCCTTGAGCTTCTTCGACAGCTTCTTTGAGGGCACGCCCAGGATGGAAACGTGGTGAGCATCCGCAAGCCATTTGCTTAGAAATTGCCGCCATTGAGTGTCAGACCACTTCTCAAGCTCGTCAAATTCTTCAATGGAACCCATTCCCTTGCGGAGGTCTGATCCATCCCTGTTGCCGAAAAGATGGTCCTCGATCACGGGATCCGCCCAAATCTGGTTGGAATTCTCGTACGCGTACTTGATCTGCCTCCTTAGGCGGCGTATGCATTGGTCTTTCATATACGACATGTCGAGTGGTTTGGACGCTGTGTCCTTCAGGAGCTCAAACAGCCGTTTTTCCACGTCGGCAAGTTTCTCAGTAGCTACGCTGCTTAGGGTGAACCAGATGACAAGGGCTGGCCGCGTATCTGTGGAGTGGTAAACGGCGCTCGCTAGATGCTCCTTCTCCACCATGACATTCTCCAGTACCGAGACGGATGAGCCGGCGAGGTAGGTCAGCATGACATCCATTGCCGTTCCTGCGTGCGTCAGCGACGTGTTCTCGAATATGAGTTTGCGGAACGGCATCGCTCACGCTGCAGAACATCGTTGCAGTCTGGCCCGAGAAACCCGACCAACACCTCACCAGTTGCTTCATCGTCCTCGGGAAACTCAACGGTGTCAATTATAGTTTTGCTGAGCTTTGTTGTCGGCTTCGACTCAACCCATGGCCTCTTGAAAGGTGCGTCTACCGAGGGCACTGAATCCAGGATCCCATCCTCGAACTCGTCAAGAATATCTAGAAGATTTTCATGATCAACTTTCCCAACCAGCACCAGGCACAGATTCTTCGGCTGGTACATTTCACGGTGGAACTCGCGGATGCGGTCTGCAGTAAGAACGCGTAGCTGCTCCATCATGCCGCCGGTTTCATATCGGAAACCGTTGTGTTCGGGATAGATTAGCCGTATCGCTTGCAATGCCATCAGCTCGCCTTGAGTGTTCTGGACTCCCTGCATCTCAGAGTACACGACACTCGAGCGAAGTTAGCTTGAACTCAGCGGAAGAGAAGAAATGGTGTACCTACCCTGCATCGTGTCCTTTGCCATCAATATGATGAACCTCTGTGTAGCATCCTGCATCCGTGAGAGTAGGCAACAGGACGTGCTCGAGGTAAACAGGTAGCTGCGGATCGGTAAGTCAAGTGATGTCTAACTGCCGGGGAGTGGGCTAACAATCTGTGCAAATCCTTCCCAGCCCGCTGTATCAAGAGTGTAGGCGGTGTGGTCAGTAGCCGTCCAGGCGTTTGTGTTGGAGTAGGCTCTGGTCGCAAGCTTGTCAAGCACACCCTTGTACTTGTAGCTCCTTGAGCCCTTAGATGGATTAATGACGGCTCTTCTTTGTATTAGATCGTTCTCACCATAAACACTAGGTGCTCAAGAGTATGTGCTGGGATTAGTCAGTATCGTATTCGTGGAAGCTCGAAAGCTATACTTGCGTGCGCCTGAATCATCGTGTATCTCCGTTGCCAAGGCAAAATAGCCGTAAACTTTAGGCCCTTTCCTGTCAACCACGACAACTCGCATGCCGGTTCTCTCGGACTCCCATTGCGTGAACTCCGCTGGAGCATAGTCGGCCTTGAAGTTTTGTATCTGCTTGAAGTACGTCCTCTTATCTCTCATTGACGGCATGATGAAGAACAGGGAAACAACCGTGATGACAAAATAAATAAGTGTCGCTTTTCGTGATTCCAAACCAGCTAGCGTAGGAGGCTGCATAAGTTAGCGAGCTTCCTGACACGGTGTTGGAGAAGACCGAGCGGGCGAGTGCTCTGTTTTTATACACGCTATGATTGACCGAAGATGGTTGTGCATCGAATTGTGACGTGTCGTAGCTACGCTCGGAATTCTGCCAGAGCCTGCCTTACAGCACGATCCATGTGGCAGTGCCTGAGTGAAGTGTTGGCCTTACCTGTTGAATGGTCAAGAGCGCGTAACGCTAACCCCGTGGAAATTGAAAAGCAAACTGCTTAGGCCTGATTCAACCGGACGTTTACCCGGGTTGAAAAGGATTTACTGGCACTGCTGATAACTAGCAACAGCAGAAGAGTACTTTTTGGCGCCGTGGTTTATGTTGTCTAGAAACCGCTCTAGGTACAGGTGAGAAACGAAGACGGAGGTGGAAACTCTGTTACTGTCAGATCATGAACGGAAGTTGCTGACGATATGAAAGGTAGCGGCGGTCAGGAAACGTGTCAGGTGAATGTTCATCCAGGTGACCATTGCGAGTAGATACCTAGGGAAGCGGCGCCAAGCTGTTAGGTACGTACAATTCAACTGTGCGGCTGTCACTGAACTTTGCCTCCGAGATGTCACGCAAAAGCAGTGACGGTTCGTGGTGTTTCATTCGCGAATGCCCCACCACCCGCGCCACGAAGAAGGGACGGGCCGGTTGCGCCGAGCTTCTTGACTTGCTACATGCAGAGTATGTCCTGTCTGAATATATCAGTACTCAATGCCGTCAGACGAAGAGCTCAGGAGCGCAATCCTCGAGCATGTTGAGCATGGAGGATACCCAGATTCCGAAGATGTTGCTGCAGCGGAGCTTCCCCCGTCCGCTCTGCCCGGCTTGCTGGAAGCCATTGCACGAGCCAAGGAGGACGTAAAGGTGCTTCGATTCCTCCGGCTATCTCGATTATCTACTAACATACACATACGCACAGAGCGAGATTCGAGAGATCAGCCGAGAGGCCGCTCCAGACGTCGACGGCTGGATCGCCCAAGCCAAGCAGCTGCAAGCAGACATCGAACGCTCCCGAGCAACCGCCCACGATATAGTCCAGCAGGCCGAAACTGGCAAGGCCCTACGAGCGAGCGCCGGCGATGCCTCCAGCAAAGTCGCCCTTCTCGAAAAGGAATTGCAGTTCAATGAGACGCTGTCCGCGACGCTGGAGCGGATACGGAGCATATCCGGCATACTTGACAATGTGCAGGATGCCGCTGTACAGGAACAGATGCCTCAAGCCTTGGAACAACTTGACAAGGCGAATGACGTCTTAGCACATCTGGGCCCTTTCAAGACCACGAGAGTGGTTGATCTGCTACAGGAACGTGCAGCACAGATGACAGCGGCTATCGTCGAGATCGTCACAGAGTGCTGGGACGCTCTTTTGGCTGTTGACACTGCTGTGCGTCAGGTTACCATCAAAGACGAAGTGCAGAGTAAGTAAGACTCGCACCCGCTGTTAACTTCTTAGGCAACTAACGAGCGTATAGGGGGCGAAGTTCAAATCACTATCAACGCTACTGTGGAGGCGCTCTCCAAGCTAAATCTGCTTGACAAGTTTGCCAGCCGCTTTAGCCGCGATTTCGAGAACACGATCCTCTCTCCGCGCTTGTCGCCAGGCGATTTCGGTGTCCCACAGATCTTGAGCGATGGCGATGTTATCCGAATCTCTGGGCACATGGGCGACACTAGTGTACCCGCGGCACTTAGTGACTTGCAATACATCATCGAGTACTTGAGTACGAGGCTCCCGTCGTCTGTCTCGATTCCACTGTCGGAAAAGCTCATGCCGTCGGCAATGTCTCGTCTCATCTCCCGGTGGCTCGAGCCGTCCGTACCCACGACCTTGAACGGATTACAAGACTTCCAGAACATCCTGTCACATGTGCTTATCCTCGCAGATACCACAGGCGATCTGGGTTGGGCTGGCCGCGCTGAACTGATAGACTGGGTGGACCGGGTTCCACGGACATGGCTGGCCAAGCGGAAAGAAGCGGCTCTGGTTAACGTGCGTAGAGTGTGCTTCAGGGGCGTCCAGACCAGGAAGCAGGTCGAGAGAGTGGAGACTCAGACGATCTCGCGCGGCGATGCTCTGGCGGTAACGGGAAACGGGACCGACGATGACTGGAATGCTGGATGGTCTGATGATGAAAGCAAACCATCGACTGCACATCCCGGTCCAGAGACGCAGAACGCAGATGGCGAAGAGGATGCAAGCGCGTGGGGTTTCGACGATGAGGAACCTCAAGCAAGCAGTGATACGCAGCAACAGAGGAGTAAAGGCGATGACGCTGACGGCGCGGATGAGGAAGCCTGGGGCTGGGGAGATGAAGATGCGAGCGCACAGGCTGCTCCCCCATTACCAGCCCGCAAGCCCAAAGCACCGGTAGTTCACGACGGCGAGACACGGTCTCGAGCTGCTGAGAGGGAGCTCACGCTCAGAGAGCACTATACGATCACAGGAGTACCAAGTTCGATCCTCGAGATCATTACTCAGGCGGTCTCAGACGCCGAAACCCTAGCGCAGCCAGAGTAAGCCTATGCGTTACCATCTTGCATTCACAGCAGCTAAATACCACACAGTTTCTCGGCCTCGCCCATCGCACCCGCCGGCGCTGGCCTGTATTCTATACCCACGCTCGTCCTCGCGATGTACCGAGCGACAGCAGCTTCCTGCTACTCCAAAGATCCAGCCGGGAACATGCTCATATACAACGACTGCACCCGACTCTCCGAAGAACTCACTGCGTTCCTCTCAGAACAGAAGCAAAGAGATCAATCATCCGACCTACCGCCCTCCGCGCGCCCATCCACCCGACTCCGCCTCGACCCCGACATTGCGGCCATAGAAAGCTTCGGCAAGCGCGCCTACGGCAAAGAAATGGAGTCGCAGCGCACGATCCTCCGCGACCTGCTCGACACGGCGCAGGGCTTCTCCAACAGCACTATCCACCCTTTCGCAGCTGAGTGCGACAACGCGATTTCCATGACCGTCGACCGGATCAGAGAAGTCAATAGACAGTGGAAAGACGTGCTGTCCCGCTCAGCGCTGCTGCAGTCGCTCGGCTCGCTGCTCTCGACCGTGACAAACAAGATGATGAACGACATCAAGGACATGAGCGATATTTCCGAGGAAGAATCGAAGCGACTTAAACGTTTCTGCGACGAAATCAGCAAGCTCAGCGAGCTGTATATGCAGGAGCGGCCGGATGGGGAGAAGGCGGATATGACAGGCGTGTATACGCCGAATTGGCTCAAATTCCAGTATCTGGCTGAGATTCTGGAGAGCAGCCTTGCGGACATCAAGTGGATGTGGACGGAGGGGGAGTTGAAGTTGGAGTTTGAGGCTGATGAGATTATCGAGCTTATTGAGGCGTTGTTTGCGGAGAGTCCGCATCGGAGGAGTGCTATTGCGGAGATTAGGAGGGCTTCGAGGGGGCGGTAGGGGAGAAGTTGCGGGCGTTTGTTCATGTCTTAGATCCCTACGAGAAGAGTCTCGCATGGTTATGGTACAATATACCCGATTCGCTCTTGAATGCTGATCTCAACGCCCGTTTGCCATGCAATGCTCCCCCTCCCCCCGATCCGCAACGCTTTATAACCCCGGATTCACACAGTTGCTCTAAAGACGCTGCTCCCTCTCCTCTCCCTCCCACGCATCCAACAATACCCAGCTCCCACTCATTTCGGCCACTTCTTCCACCCCCGTCCATGTCCCCGCTGCGCATGTCGTTAGCCCATATCGACACCCCCCGATGATTCACCCCCAGAAGGGGCAACATACCTGCTTCCACATCTCAATCATGCCCGGCATCCCCTCCATCGCCTTCCGCCGCCCCTCCAAGCGGCCCTTGAGCGTCCTCTCCCACAGCTTCCCCTTAACCCTCTGTCCCGCGCCCGTGCCCTTGACCCTCAAGCCGTGCTCCTCCCGCCGCGAGGCCCGCTCAGCGGACCCCTTAGCGGTCGGCGGAAGCAGCGACTCCAGCCCGTGCGCCGCGGCCAGCTTGACCAGCTCGGCTTGCCGGCGCGCGGAGAAGACCGGGGGACGCCAGCGCGAGGTTGTGGGGTTGCGCCAGGGAGCGAAGGGGTTGTGTGTTTGGGGGGGTGTGGTGGTTGGTTGGTGGCTTGTTGGTGTTGCTGGTTCTGTAGGTGAGGCGGCCTCGGCGGCATTGGGGGAGGAGAATGCATCTGGTGCCGCGGGAGTTGTTGCGGGTTGCTGGAGGAGGACCGGCGGAGGGTACCGCGCGAAGAAGGTGAGGAGGCGGCTGGGGAGTTTCTGCGCGAGGCGGATGTGGTGTTCGTGGGCGAGGGCCATGGCGGGCCGGATTGATGGGTGTTGCGGCGGCGGTAGTGGTGGTGTCTGATGTGTAGGCGTGGGCTTGATGCTTGGGCGAAAGCTGTGGATTGACTACGGCGGGCGGGAAAGGCAGGGTGCGCAGTTTGGCCGGAGCTCTCGCGAGCATCAATCGCGAGCCGCGTAGGTTGTTGCTTGCCTACCTACAACTTCTCCTTCACGCACACGCATCTGCATCAACCTCTGCTCAAGCACTCGTCTCGAAGCTTTGAAGACATCTGCGTATCGAAACCCATCTCCTAAACACAGCTGTCCCCATCTGCGTCACAGATCTCGCCGCTATGGTAAGCTCCACCGCCCTCACAAGCTTAAGCTTCATGCATGCTAACACCAGCACCAGTCAAGTCCCTTCTCGATCAGTACGCCTCCCTCCCACCTCCCCTACCCACCTCGTCCCCCTCCCTCTCCATAAAAATCGACTAACCACCCCATTCCAGACGGCGGCGCCTGCGTCGCCATGACAGGCAAAGACTGCGTCGCCATAGCCTGCGACCTGCGCCTCGGTCTCCAAGCGCTCACCATCTCGAACAACTTCCCCAAGATCTTCCCCTACAGCCCGTCCGTGTATCTCGGGCTGACGGGTCTGGCGACCGACGTATCCACCGTCGCCGACCTCTTCCGCTACAAAGTGAACATGTACCGGCTGCGCGAGGAGCGACAGATCGCGCCGCGCACCTTTGCGAATCTCGTCAGCAGCAGCCTGTATGAGAAGCGCTTTGGGCCGTACTTTGTGAGCCCCGTGGTCGCGGGCATCGACGATGGCGGGAAGCCGTTTATCTGCGGGTTCGATAGTATCGGGTGTATTGATTTTGCCAAGGACTTTATTGTCTCGGGCACGGCGAGTGACCAGCTTTTTGGGACTTGTGAGGGGCTGTGGGAGCCGGATCTCGTGAGTGTTTCCCCCGGGGTTTTTCTCTTGTACGGGAGGGAGTGGGGGAGCTTGAGTGGATGCGACATGTGGAGAGGCTGACGAAGATGATGCAGGGACCCGAGGACCTCTTCGAGACCATCTCGCAGGCGCTGCTGAATGCGGTCGACAGGGACGCGTTGTCGGGATGGGGTGCGCATGTCTACATCATCGAGAAGGACAAGGTGACGAAGCGGTTGCTGAAGGGAAGGCAGGACTGAGAGGCTAGCGAGACGATGGACGATCCGGGAGGAGAAGCGAGGTTTTGGTAGCCGAAGGGTAGAGGGTTTGAGGAAAAGGCTCGGCGTGCATACTTCAAAGAGAGTAGACTTTTGGCTCCAGGCGCAACATCATAGCGTTATACTCTTTGTAACACGGCGGGACGTTGCTTGGTCCTATTCTTCCAACACCCCTTCTAATAGTATCCTTCAAGGATCTCCAAGATACACCACGCTCTATGCCCACTCCAAATGCCAGCTTGCTCAAAAACATCTACAAAGCCCAAGTAGAACCAAAATTCTGAATCCCACAAATCCATAAACCACCCACAACCACACCCCCCTCACATCATCATCATATCCTCATTCAAGCCCCCGTGCACCCCCACAAACCGCGTCGTCCCAAACTCCCTCATCTGCGCAAACGCCCCATACTGATTCTCCATCTCCTGCAGTCCCTGCTTGTCCCACAGCCCCGTGCTCTTATACACCGGATCCGTCGCCTGGTAGTACCTCCCCGCCGCATCCATCACCTTGGCCTGCTCGTCGTATTCCCGCTTCACGAGTGTCTCGTAGCCCGACAGCATGTACGGCTCCGCGCTGGCCGTCTTCATCTCGTCCGGCGGGGGGGATACCGATGACACGGAGAGCGGCGGGAGGGGCGTGGCGTCCTGCTCCATTGTGCTGTCTGTGCCCGCTGTAGAGCCCTGTTGGTACGCCTGCTGCCGCGCCCGCCGCTCGAAGCGCAGTTTGGCCATCTCTTCCTCTTGCTGCAGGCTTGTGCGCGGCCAGTTGCCGAGCTCGAGTGCCAGCGCGTGGTTGCTGTAGTCGGGAGGTGAGAGGCGCCAGATCTCGAGGAGCCGCAGGCGGGCGTCATCGGGAGATTGCTGGAACAGGTCCAGCTGGGAGGGGAATAGGGTCGAGGGGTCGATGCTGTGGCGGGTAAGGATCTCGGAGAGCTCGGCGGGGGTGAAGGGGGGTGGTGGCTGCGAAGGGGCTGCTTTGGGGACGATGTGCGCGGAGTGGGTGTAGTGCGTCGAGCTGTAGACGACCGGTTGGGGGTGTTGCTGGCTCTGCTGCTGGTCATGTGTCTGCTGCTGCTGCTGCTGCGGTTGTTGAAAGGCGTGGGGTTGTTCTACGATTGAAGGGGCTACAGAGGCATGGTTCGACAGGGTAAGGTTCTGGCTGAAGAGCCGAACCAGTTCTTCTTGCTGCATAGCAGATCGCTCCTCTTGATCGGTGCGTACGTTGACGCCTTCAGATATGGCACCGCACTACACCGCGGAGGTCAGTGACTGTACGAGTGGAATGTTAGGCTTCCATACATGACTACACGTATGATTCTGAGAGAAGATAGAAGCTGAGTAGAGCACAGGCGTATTATATGTACAGCTGCGGCAGAAATGCACAAGCATGGGGGCCATGATAACCGCGAAACTCTATCCGAACCGGAAAACCTGGTGTCAGTGGAAAAAGAACAAAAGTAGAAGAACGGAAATATGCCGGACCAGCTATAGGATCTGCCAGCGTCTGGAAGGTGTCTACGTAGCGTGGCCTGGGCAGGAATCAGTGACTCCGCCGCTCTTTTGACCAGAAGCCGCGAGGAGCAGGACGTGGATCCAACCGACAGAACCGAGGACGCCTCGACTGACAGGTCCTTTGTCTTCGGAGGCGTAATCTCGTCTGGGTCAGGCAGGAGCTCGAACACAGCAACTTCTTTATCGTGCAGAGCAACGAAGAAAGCGAAGGTTGCGGGACAGCTGGTCTTGATGTAGATGCTGCGGGCGGTCAGAAAGATGCGGTCATGTGGACCCCGAGGGCGTTGAGCGGAGCGGAGCGGAGCTGAGCTGGTCAATCCTTGCACCAGACCAGATCCGCCAGCAATCTGAAGCACCTAACGTGGCGCAGGAAGCCGATCGGCGCCAACAGAATGGTTGACAGGTGTGTGTGCTTTTCACAGCTCAGTCGGGCCCCTTGGGCGATGAGTTGGGCAGGCCCGTGGTTAGCAGCTGAGCGGTGAACCAGTCGACACCTTGGAGATGTGTCCGCCTGGAGAACAGAACAAGGGAAACCGCTCTACGGCAACTAGAGCCAGAAGCAACGAGCAAGGCGCAAGGCACTGCGCAGAGCAGTCTTGACTCTATGTGTGGTTTCTTGTATTACGCGCAAGGAATCCGAGTATCGCGGATGGTGACTCGCTGCGGGATGCCGGGGAGATGGTTGCCGCACGATGCGGCTCGTGCGATAAGATTAGATGGATCGTCCCATAGCTCGAACGCGCTGCATCAGCTTCGTGGTGCCTGAGCTTCACTTTGTTGCTCCAGCTTCCTCGTGCCCGGTACCCATACAACCAACTCCACCCTCTACTCCGTCATCTCCCTGAAGTCTCTGTGGACACCCAGACTCCCTATCCACAACAGCGCTCTTCATCATGGTATGCCTCACATCCGGGCCAGCATACACACTCAGCTAACAAACATACTCGCCTAGACGTCAATAGGCACCGGCTACGATCTCTCCAACTCCGTCTTCTCACCCGATGGCCGAAACTTCCAAGTACCCTCGCATCCGTCTACTCCAACTCGTAAATACACCATCTCACAAACCACAGGTCGAATACGCCTCGAAAGCAGTAGAAAGCGGAGGCACAGCAATCGGCATCCGATGTAAAGACGGCGTAGTCCTCGCGCTCGAAAAGCTCGTGACGAGCAAGCTGCTCAAGCCGGGCGCGAACAAGCGGATATCGACCGTGGACCGCAACATGGGCGTTGTGAGTCCCCACCTCACATGACCCCTACACCACCGCACACTCTAATCGAGTGACATTCTCGCAGGTCTCCTCGGGATTAACACCCGACGGCCGCCACTTCGTCTCACGCGCCCGCGACGAGGCAGCCCAGTGGCGCAGCCTCTACAAAGCGCCCATCCCGACCGCCGCGCTCGCCAACCGCATGGGCAGCTACGTGCAGGCTTACACTCTCTACTCCAGCGTACGGCCGTTTGGCGTGACGGCCATTATCGGCGGCTGGGACTCTGAGGTCGAGGTGCCGGTGGACGGTCAAGTCGGCGCGGGGCCGGCAGTGGGTGCGGGGGGCAAGGAGGAGGGCGAGAAGCATGGGGGGCCATATCTTTACATGATTGAACCGAGTGGGCTATACTGGGTAGGACATCATCATCGTTAGGTGCATAACAGGACGCTGACTCGTGCAGGGCTACTACGGCGCGGCGACGGGCAAGGGCCGGCAAGCTGCAAAGTCGGAGCTGGAGAAGCTGGATCTTGCGGCCGGTAACCTAACGCTGGAGGAGGGCGTCAAGGAAGCGGCACGCATCATCTACGTTGCGCACGAAGACAGCAAGGACAAGGAGTTTGAGCTGGAGATGACGTGGGTGAGTTCGCTGAGCGGGCCCACGAAGGGAAGGCATGAGGAGGTGCCGAAGAAGTTGAGAGAGGAGGCGGAAAGGCTGGCGAAGAAGTCCTTGGAGGGTGATGACGATGAGGATGACAAGCCGGAGGCCGAGAAGATGGAAGAGTAGCCAAAGAGCGTTCATTGCGTCTTTCCAGCATAGAGTGTGGGGTCTTTCTGGCATACCACACGAATAGACGTCAATGCTGCTTAATCGGCGAGAACGGCATAGACTTAACTGTTCGACTGCCCAGCGCAGCACTTCGGGCAAATAGCTTTACGTATCTCAACATGATCTATTTGCCCCGGGTACGACCCTCTCAGGGTCCTCTCACTCGGATGACGACGTGGAACGCAACGATACAAAAAAAACCGCAGAACCTAGATAAGGTTCAATCTTTCAGCAACCTCCACCTCACACTTCAACCTCTAGCCCTCCATTGCCCACCATGCCACCAACCCTGATCCTAATCCGCCACGCAGAAGCCCTGCACAATGCCACTCATAAGTTCCCCTCGCCCCCAATATCCCTTGCCCGACTCCCACTGACCTTTCCCCACAAAACTACGAACTTCCCGACCCGCCGCTCACGGAGCTCGGCGAGAAGCAATGCGTGAAAATGCGGGACCATCTAAAGCAGCACCTGCCGCTGGCGGACGAGGTGGAGCTGATCGTGGCCAGTCCGATGAGGAGGACGCTGCAGACGATGTTGATTGGGCTGGATTGGCTGGTTGAGAAGGGTGTTAACGTGAGACTGGATGCGGATTGGCAAGGTGGGTGATTGTTCGGTTCAAAATTTTTCTTGGGGGATTCAAGAATAGTTCCATGGCTTTGAGATCGAAGGTCGTTTTACTCGGTCCGCCTGTGTGATTTCTTCTTCCCCGTCACGCTTCAAGGAATTCAGGAGTCACTTCTATACTATCACCTCGCTCCGTACGCTCAAGAGCACAGTCCGGCCTTCTCGCTTGATTGCATTCCAAAAGTCTGTTTCACGGAAGTTCCATTACCGTCTTGCAGCCCCGTAATTGATATCAAAAGACCTAGGGTGCAGAAACTTTCATAGACTCCTTTCCTGTTCAACTCTTCGTCTGATCTCACCATCTCTTTCCCATCCCAGGCTTCAACATGCTTCCCGTGCTCCCCACTCCTCCACAGCGCAGTTTTCCATATCTCCAACCTTACCTCTGCAAAACCCCCAAGCTCATTCCCGCCCTCACAGAGAACTCCGACAAACCCTGCGACACAGGCTCCCCCATCAGCACCCTGCAAAAGGAGTTCCCCAACCTCGACTTCTCAGCCGTCGACCCCACCTACCCGACCAAAACCACGCCCAGCAACCCCTACGCCTTCACCCGCTCCGCCGTCCTTGCCCGCGGCACCCGGGCACTCAAGCACCTGCGCTCCCGACCCGAAAAGGCCATCGCGGTGGTCAGCCACTCCGGCTTCCTCCGCACAGCGGTATGCAAGACGCATTTCGCGAACGCGGACTACCGCGTTTTCGAGTTTGGTGAGGCGAGGGAAGGAGAGGAGGAGGAGGAAGAGGGCGAGGGGGTCGAGTTAGTGGAGTGGGGACTCACGGCTGGGAAGGGGGGAGGGATGGGCAGGAGCGAGAAGGGGCGGGCGGAGGTTGTGGAGAGCGATTTTCCGATTGAGAGGGTTGAGGAGGAGATGGGTGGGAAGGTTGCGGGGGAGGCGGCGAGGGAGGTGCCGAAGAACTGACTGGGATGAATGGGGATTGTGGTGTCGAGGCAGTGGATAGAGGGGTCTATATATATAGAAAAAATCTGGAAGAATATAGATGGTGGAGTTTGAATCCTTACTTCTTGGTCCCCCCTTTCATCATCGGAGCTGGGAGATGGGACCTCTTTTGCTACTACTGGTGATGGACTGCAACAGTTTGGCTGCGTTCCACTGATACAGTGTTGGATAAAGTGGTATACATTTCAAAGTGAGATCAGTCTCTCACATACGGCCACAGATCAAAGAATACTGGGTATCCCGTCCGCTCTGCCATTACATAGACTTTGAATCGATAGATTAGTAGTTAGGTGGGTGACCACTAGTGAACCCCTACTGCTGTATGTTTTTCTTTTTTCTTTTCTGTATGGTGAGGTGAACACTTGTTCCGGTTCTGCGACTCGACACCACTCTGATGACGTTTTGAGAAGCAGTATCAAGATCATACCAGCCCGTTGAATTAACACAAAGCACACTGACTCTTCTGCGCTCACCCTCATTTTGTTAGAGTCCTTCGTTTCGGCAAAGTGTTGAATTGTTCGTCTAAAACTGTATTACAGAACGTTTTCAGGCTTTTGATGCTACAAAAGTGAGCAATGCCTACTTACTATGAAGCACTACGCGACGCGAAACGCGATATGCCAAGTCCCCAAAGATTTCTGTCTCCGCTGCGATGATCTCGCGGTTGACTGTACACTCACTTACATAAACGCCGTCCACTGAGCTCCCGCATCATAAAACCAGTGCCGACTGCAACTGCAGCAGCGACGCAGCAGCAGCAGCCTGCTATGAGCTCACATCACTTTGCCCCACTCTTGAGTACTTTCCTTCCTCCTCTTCGACATTAAGAACCGTGGTAATGGCCATAACATCTTCCTCCATTGACTCCATCTTCCCTTCTTTTCCCGCCCCTCCCTTCATTCTCAAACCCCCAAGCTCGTCCCACACCAACTCCCCCCTCTCCGCCGCCCTCATCATCTCCATACTCGCAACCTCCTTCTCCCCCGTCCCCGGATCCCACGCCCACCCCTCCCGCAACCACATCCACCTCAAAAACGCCCTGAGCTCCTTATCCTTCGGCAGCACCCTCTTCCACTCCGGCTCAAACCCGCCTTCCGCCCCTTCGCCATCCCATCCCGTGGCAACACCTCTCAGCACATCCCTACAGAAGATCCGCCAGCTGTCCATCGCGTATGGCCCGCAGCCATGCAAGTGCGCAACCTCCCACGCGCCGAGCCGCGCATCGTTGTCGTCGAGGATCTCGGTCGCCTTGATCCCGGTGCCGGCGCCACGGTGCGGGTAATGCAACGTCCGGTATCGCTTCCCCCGTGCGGGAGGCACCGCGAGCCAGGTCTTCGCGAACTCGATGAGTGTGTCTGCGCGGTTGTTCTGCAGGCCGAGATGCCGTATGCGGGAGGCTACGTCCGAGACGGGGGCCGCGGCTAAGGAGGCTGGGGTTGGGTAGGCGGCGGTGAGGTAGTGGAAGACGGGGATTGCGGCTGTGCCTTTGGTTTTGTTGAGGAGGGTTACGGCGATGAGGAGGCGGAAGGGGTCGTAGGCGAGCTCTTCCTGGATGAGACCGAAGCAGGGGGCGGAGAGGGCTGGGAAGGGGAGGCAGGATACTGTGCCGGCTGGGGAGCGTGGTTTTTTTGGGGGTGTTGAGGCATTAAAGTGGGGGGACTTTTGCCCGGTCCGTTTGCGGGGAGTGGTACTGGGGGATGGGTCGCCTGTGGATCGCTTTTTTTGCGCGGGGGACGCTGTCCGCGTGTTGACTCCAGTAACGAGGATCTGGGGCTCAGAGAGAGCGTCGTCCAGCGAAACCCACCGTGCATTACGGGTATAGAGATCAAGTATTTCAGCCGCTCGTTCTGCTCTTTTAGGGCCGAGTAGATCCTCGGGCGGCCCCCTTTGCTTGTCGTAACAAGCTGAAGTCTCACGCTTAAAAGGTTCAGAGTTTCCAGACGTGTCCGACTCGGCATTCTGGAGGAGAGGACGAGATGAGTTTCTGGCCAGGCAGGTGCCAGTCAAGTCCGTAGGAGGACGCTTCGTGTTAGAGATCAGGGTACCAGCACCATCTTGTCCGATGGCGGTGGCAGTTTGTAACGACGAGTCCCCATCAACCGGCCCAACTAACGCTTCGCCGGAGGCACTGGGAAGCCCTTCTACGGGTAGCAACTCGTGGTTGTGCAGGGAAAGCTCACAACATATCGGCAATCTCGTGTCCTTTCGGCCGTAGGGAGCACCATTGAGTTGACATGCGAGTCCGTCGGCTGTGAACTTTGCCTCGACCAGACTGGTGATATGCAGGGCAGTCGCATCAAACCTCCCCGGCAAAGAGCACGGATTGACGGTCTTCCAATGTCTCGGAGCGCGTTCACGGGCTCCGTCAAAAATCCCAAGATCGCTCCATCCATCATAAAGCTCCTCGTAGTCCTGCCTATCTTCGACACCCAAAGACTCTAACCTCCGATTAAACTCTCCAAAGCTCACAAGCTCTGCTGGCCTTTCCTCATCGCCGGGCGCGCTGGGCGAATCATCGGGTTGTGAAAATGCTGGCTGCTCGAATCGGATTCCTTTTTGAGGATCGACGTCAATTTTCCCTGCTTGATCGACTCTTGTTTGTTCTTTAGAACTGACTTCAGCTTGCGAGCCATGCTCTTCGCTCCAAGAAGCTTTGGTTTTGGTTTGTGCGTGGTCGCTGTGTCGTTTTGCTCTTGATGTGAGTCCGCACGTAGTGTTGGACCAAGTTCGTTCAGCTCAGTGTAGGAATGGGGGTCTAGGGCGGGCAAATCTCCGGGACCGCTCGCTGCCACTGCAGACTCATGCATTTGGTGGACTTCCGGGCTTGGACTGACGCGAGTGTGCAACTCATCAGTGTTAAGAATGCCTGCAATGCTAGGCGCGTTCTCTCCGCCAGCCGGGAATAAGTGCGTCAACTCTGTGCCGCTCGGCTCCTCAAATAGCTCCGGAGTGTCGACACGTAGTTCACTTTCTTCTACTGCTGCAACAACGGGCCCTTCGGGGCTATGTCGCGTGGAAATACCGTCGACAACGCCGTTGCCAACGCCGTTGACTTGGTTGAGAGTAAGGTCGTCCAAATCTTCATCGAACTCGATCGGGCTGCTGTCTCGCGAAGCTACACTATTGGCTTTGGCGTCCTCTAGTGGTTGAGGACTTTCAGGGATGACGTTCTCCTCTGCCTCCTCATGCAAATACGCCGAAGCTGTCTCCCCTTTCGGGGTGGGGCTGTCGGAAACCACAGAGCGCTCACGTACGACATAAGAATCTTGAGACGATGCATCGCTATGTTCGTCCGCGTGCTTGATAATCTCTGCTACAGCGGTTCCATTGTCCTGATCGGCCAATGGCACATCGTCAACTTCCATGATGACGGGCTCCTCGCAGTCTGAAGTATGCGACCTTTGTTCTGGCTCAGACATGGCCGAGCCCTGATTGTCAGACATATCTGCGTTTTCAGCATGATCGCCATCGCGTGGTAGAATAGCTGAACTGTTGAGAGCCTCGCCGGATTTGAGCGAACTGCGCTCAGCGTCAATCCACTCCTCTCCCGTTAGCGACTCGTCAAAGTCCGGGACCAAGTCGTGTTCCTCTGGGTAGTCCCCACGGGGATCTTCCTCATGCTGAGATTCCTCAATCAAAGGCGCCTGCTGGCCCGCCCGCCGTTCGTCAACAGCATCCGTTTCGCACTTCTGGGGTTGCTCAAACTTGATCCTCTTTTCCAGTTGGCGCTGCCTTTTCTGTCGGCGCTTTTCTTTCTTACTCATTCCACTAACAAGCGGTTGAGTTTCAGCAGGTAATGCCGGCGCTAGGAGTGTTGGCGGGTTGGAAGGTTCTTTCTGCGGTTGTGTTGAATGCCTCTTGATGTCCCGCTGTTCGCTGCTCGAGTCCTGGTCTTTTCTCTTCTTTCTTTCTTGTTTCGATTGCATTTGGTCGCACTGAACATCCTTCAATGCGCGGATGGAAGGCTCTGGTTCCGCACCTATGCGTTCCTCATGGTCCTCTCCCCGCTTCTTGTTCTTCTTCCCTTTTTTCTTCTTCCGCTCCGATTGACCCTGGTCTGTAAATATTGTTGCAGTGCGACTCTGCTTCGATGGTCCTTGCTTCGGCTCAGTAGACTCCAAAACGGAAATAGAAGGCTCAGCATCCATATCTATGCCCTCTTCACTCTTTTCCTCAGGTTTCTTGTCCTTCTTTCGTTTTTTCTTCTTCGGCTCCGAGTGATCCTCGTCTTTACGTACTGTTGCATTTCGGTCCTGTTTCAAGTGTCTCTGGACAGGATGGAGAAGCTCCGGAGCAAGAAGGGGAGACTCCGGTTCCACTTCTATATGCTCTTCAACCTTTTCCTCAATGTGCTTGTCCTTCTTCAGCTTCTTCCGCTTCGGCTGCGTCTGATCATGAACCACATCTTCCGGAACAGCGGATACTGCGCTTCCACTCGGATCAGCAGCGGACGTACTTTTAGTTCGAAGGGCGCTCATGGCCCAAGAGTGTGTCAATTCCGATTGAGGCCCATTACCGAGTGTATTGTATTCTTCGGCATCTCGTTTCCTTCTCTTCTTGCTCTGCGGCGGTGGAACAGGGCTTCCCTTTTCCTCGGACTGATGATCGCTCTGTATGGAAAGATTCTGACTGTGTTGCTCGTCATGTCCGTTGATGCTCGGCAATATGGACTTTTCACCCTTCTTGTCCTTTTTTCGCTTTTTCTTCTCCGGCAGCGTCGAATCGTGGTCCACATCTCTTGGAGCAATTGAAACGGCTGGCCTGGCGGTTTTACCCGAGCCTTCAGTCATACATTCTCCGGGCGCAGAGAAGCCAGCCTTGGCCGCTTCATCCCCCTCGCCATCTCTTTTCCTCTTCTTGCTCCCCTTGTTGCTCCTGTTCAGCGAAGCCGCCTCCTCTTCCCCTTCCACCTTCTCCCCGCCTTCCATCGCCAGGACCTCCTCCTCCCGCTCCACACCCCCACCAACCCCCAGCAGTGCCTCCGTAGCCATTATCTTCACCTCCGCCCCCCTCCTTGCCTCCAACCACTCCCTAACAATCATGTACCTTAACTCGGCCTCCGCACGACATTCATTCGCCTCATCCCTGCTCAACCCGCACTTCTCAGCGAAGTTGCGGACCTGACGAAGATACACTTCAAGCTCCTCGGGGGTCTGGTCGAGCGAGGCGTTCGTGTTGAAGGCGTGCTGTTTGGCGAAGGTCCTGACTCTGTTTTTTGAGACTGCGAGAGTGAGTGGGGTGGAGAGATTGTCGTTAGAAGCGGGAACGGACACAAGTGCGAGCTGAGGTTCCGGGTTCGGCGTTAGTGCGTTGCTTCGCTTTCGATGTTGCCTAGTCGGAGGAGCAGAACCGCGGTGCTGTTTGCTCTTCTTACGTTTGAGCGTTTTGGCCATTGCGGTTTCAGATACTGGCGGCGTGTCGTCTACTTCAGCTACCTCGTCGATCTCGTGGAATGAATCTATCAGAGCAGCCCTGCAGAGTGCATCGATTTCCTCTGGCGGCGCGTGTTTGAGGAACTGACGGAACTCTTTCCGAGTCCAGCCATTGTCTTTGCCGAAGAGGTGGTAGAGCTCTTTCTCTGATACTGCACTCGGAGAAGGGACTATCACGAGATCTCCAGCAGCCGTCACGGAAGGTTCCTTCTCTTCTTCAGCAATACCGAAAGACGAAGCACGCGGCACTTCGAAGAAGTGAAGCAGCGACTCGCGCAACCGCCGCAGCGTCGGTTGCAACTGCGCCAACACTTCTCTGGTCTTCGCGAGGTCATCGGCAGATACTTTGACTCTCTCTTCCGCCTTCTCAGCTACCTCATCGCCTTCATTCTCGAGGAAACTCTGCAACTCCTCCATCGACAAGCAGCGGAAGATCTCAGCATACTCCTCCGCAGGCATGTGAACGAGCAGTTTCTTGAACTCTTTGCGGGAGACATCCTCCGGACAGAGGATGTCATAGAGCTGACCGCTCGCATTCTGCGGCTTGAGGCGCCTCTTGAGCGCGTTGAACGCTGCTGGACTCAACTGGCGGGATTGAGGAGAGCCCTGTGCCATACACCAACAGATGAAGCTGTCGTAATCACCATCTGGGGAAGATAGAGCGGCCATTGCGGCGCGGGAGTGTGTTTGTCATGTCTTGGGTAGCCGCGGAATGGTGAAACGCATGAGGAGCATGGTTTTTCCACGACCGTTTTCTCGGGGGAAGAGGCTCTGTTGTGAAAAGAAGAGCGGAGGAAGTGAACGACGCTGTGAATTCGAGGTATCACATTTTAGGGGACGTGGTCCCTGCATTAGCGGCATCGTTCCCGTCGCTCCGCTGCAGATCGCCAGTTTGGGGACTTGGCAGTTTTACGCGGGGCATCGGAAACTCTTCTCGAGGACTGGAAGATGCTTGATGCGAAGACCGTGTTGTTTACTCACGATCCGGTGGCTTTGCGTGGAGATGGAGGTTTGCTGAATGACAGAATACAAGCTGGCGCATGCGATTGCTCTCGTATAATGCTTCCAATCTAATGAGCCAAAAACGATTAATGACCCATACCGTCTCTCTAAGCCGCAAAGTGGCTGAACCCGCAAAGAAAACAATGCCAGAATTAGTGCTATGCTAAACGCATCAAACCCAATTTACTCGACCAAGAGGATGAATGGAGGTGTAGCATCTGTACGTAACCCAAGTCCCGTGCTCGCGATCCGCCAACTGACCCCAAGGCATGCCCTGCCGTTCTGGAGTTGCATCCCGCGTCTCTGTTGGCGAAACTCTACGTAGGAGTATCGGGGGACTTGATATACCTTTCGCTGACAGACCGTGTGGCGATTGGCAGCGCGTACTGCGTCTTTCCAGAAAGAGTGGTTGGAGCCTCTCACATGAAATCATCACTGCAAGCTAATCAGTGACCCAATCAATGCAGGTAAAGCGGCAGAACCTACTCCGCAAAGTCGTCGTAAACCGTAGTATCCGCCTTAAGCGTCGTATCCCTCGCCGCCACCAAGCTGGTCTTCGTCTTCGCCGCCTTGCTCTTCTTGCCCCCCTTCTCCGCCGCCTTCTCCTCCTTCATCTTCTCATTCGACAGCGTAGTCAGCCCGCTCGCAATCTTCTTGATCTGGTCGCTCGGCAGGTCCTTGCAGATCTGCTTGGTGAACTCCTGCATAAACAGCACATACTGCGCCTTCTTCGCATTGGATGCCAGGAGCGGCACGAGCGTCTCGCGTAGCTTGACGAACTGGTCTTTGGTCTGCGGGTTGAAGATGGAGAGGGACGACAGATCGAGGGCGTTGGTGGGATCCTTCGGATCTTGTAGCGTGACGGGCTTGGCTGCGGAGCGGTCGTTCGAGATCCCGATGGCGCCGAAGAGGTCTTCTGCGTTCTTGAGGTCGGCGTCCTGCTCGGTCTTGCGTAGACGTGCTCGCTTCGTCGCGTCGTCTTCCTCCTCCTCGCTGCTCTCGTCCTCCTCTTCTTGCTGCCGCCGGAGATTTTCTAGCCGTCGCTCTTCGATCCGTTGCGCTTTCGTCTTGTGGTTTGCCTTCGCTTCTGCCTCGGCTTTGGCTTTGGCTTCTGCCGCCTTCTTCTCCTTTTCGCGCTCTACCTCGGAGTCTTCTGCGGCGTCCCAAGACTCCAGAACCTGTGTGATCTGTCAGACCGGATACAAGTATGCCTTGGCGGCTGTGCGGACGTACATCGCTGTCTTCGGCTTCTTCGTCATCAAACTTGCTGCGCCGTGCGATAGCGACGACTGGCGGCGAGGAAGGAGGCGTGGACTCTTCGTCTTCGTCATCTGTACATAGATACCATGTTAGCTGTGTGTGCAGAACAGGAATGCTATACTCGGGCGAAAGGCGCGTTGAGCAGAGCGTGTGTTTGCATCTGACAATGACGTACCCCACTGATTTCGCGACATGGTGGGCAGTAAGATAGATGTGCGTTAGCTAAGTGTGTCGTGAGATAGTAAAGTTCTGGCAGTATTCACGAAACGTGCTATGGCTTCAAGTCTGCGGTCTTGCTGGAGAAGAGTCGGAAGAGTGAGGAAAGATGGGCTGAAGACTGTTGGTGGGCGAACAAAGGGAGAGAATTTGGAGGGGCAACGGGTTTGTGCCGCATGCCGTGAATGCGCCGGAAACTCCTCTTGGGCATCCATCGTCGGAAAGCGCAAGTCAGCCACCCAGCCCGACCGCAGCACCCGTGGACGCTTCTTTCCACATGATTGAGCTGACTCGCGGTCCAAGGCTAACATTGACTTCTGGATGATGCTGCTAGTCTGGAGATTGCTCCAAGGCGTTCTTGCAGGCAATCGCCGGCTGACATATTATCGCCTATATCTTAATTACGTCCCTAGACCATGTCATACAATCTTGATAGTGCTTTTACAGCATCTTTTTCGTGACTGTCGTATACCAAGCACCGGGGCAAACTCTACCAAACTAGTACGCTAAGCGCGAGACATCTCGAAAACGTTTATTGCGTAAAGACGCAAATCCTCCAAACACAGCCTAAACTAATATCTTGTTTCCACCTGCTACAAGCTCTCACTTGACGATCTTGCACACCAAATCCTGCGCGTCCACCGAGTCGCCCTCCTTGACACCCAGGGAGCCAATCTTGCCAGAGTGCGGCGCGCTGATGACCATTTCCTAGAAGACCCGTTAGCAAAGCTGACCAGGTTAACCGACCGCAGGCAGAAGAGCAACTTACCATCTTCATAGCACTCAGGACCGCAATCGGATCGCCCTTGTTGACCTCCGACCCATCATGCACCCTAACCTCGACAACCACACCAGCCATCGGGCAGCCAACCTGGCTCGAATCACCAGTATCCGCCTTCGGCCTCGACTTGTTCTCGACAGCCGCATGCAGATCATCGACCGAGACCTGGCGGACCTCACCGTTCATCTCATAGAAGACCTCGCGCTGGCCCGTCTGCTCGGACAGCGGCCCAATAGCCAGCAGCTTCAGAATCAGCACCTTGCCCTTCTCAAGCTCAACATGGAACTCCTCGCCGATCTCCGGGCGGGCCAGGAAGTAGCGCGTCGGCAGAACCGACAGGTCGCCGTACTTCTGCGTCCACTTCTTGTAATCCTCGAACACCTTGGGATACATGGCGTACGAGGCGACGTCGCACTCGGTCGCGCTGCCGAATTTCTCCTTGAGCTCCGTCTTGATCTTCTGCAGGTCCATCGGCTCGAGGTACAGGCCCGGTCGCTTGTCCATCTTGCGGCGGCCGCGCAGGGCCTGTGAGCGGAGCGGCTCGGGGAAGCCGCCGTAGGGCTGGCCCATGAGGCCTTCGAAGAACTCGAGCACGGAGCTGGGGAAGTCGAGCTGTTCGGCTTTGTCGAGCACGTCTTGGTGCGTGAGGTCGTTTGAAACCATGAATTGGGCAAGGTCGCCGACCACCTTGGAGGTGGGCGTGACTTTGACGATGTCGCCGAGGATGTCGTTGGCCTCCTCGTAGGCCTTCTTGGTTTGAGCCCACCGCTCGCCGAGACCCTGCTGCGAGGCTTGGAAGATAAGGTTGGTGAGTTGGCCGCCGGGAATCTCGTGTTCGTAGACCTCGGGGTCCGGTCCGGTGAGGCCGGCTTCGAAAGGTGAGTAGAGCAGGCGGAGCTGGGCCCAGTAGCTGTCGAGATGCCTGACAACGTGCCCGTCGAGGCCTGGATCGAACTCGGTGCCTTCGAGCGAGGCGAGGAGAGCGCCGACGCTGGGTTGAGATGTCATGCCGGACAAGCTGTCCATAGCGGCGTCGACCGCATCAGCGCCGGCGTGTGCGCAGGCAACCATCGAAGCGACACCAGTACCGGCAGAATCGTGGGTATGCACGTGGATCGGCATATCAGGGTATTTCTCCCTCAGGGCTCCCACGAGCATCGTAGCCGCCCTCGGCTTGAGCACACCAGCCATATCCTTGATACCGAGGACGTGCGCGCCCATATTGACAATCTTGTCCGCTAGGCCCATGTAGTAGTCAAAGTTGTACTTCTTGTTGGGGTTCAGCATATCGCCGCTATAGCACATGGTGCCTTCAGCGACACCCCCAGCTTTGAGCACGGCCTTGATGCCCACCTCCAGTTGGTCAGCGTCGTTGAGGGCATCGAACACACGGAAGATATCGACACCGTTCCTCTTCGCCTGCTCGCAGAAGTGGTAGATGGCGTTGTCTGGCAGTGAAGAGTAGGCGACACCGTTCGCGCCTCGGAGCAGCATCTGGAAGGGGATGTTCGGGACGGCTTTCCTCATCTTCCTCAGCCTATCCCACGGATCCTCGTACAGGAAACGCATAGCTACGTCGAAGGTAGCTCCACCCCAGCATTCCAGCGCCCATGCGTTGGAGAACGCATGGCTGGTCTCCTTAGCGATGTTGAGCATGTCGACGGTCCGCACCCTTGTTGCAAGTAGTGACTGATGGGCATCGCGCCATGTGGTGTCCATGATAAGACAGCCCTTGTTTGCTCGCACGGCCTTCTTGAATGCTTCGGGGCCTTCGTTGACTATAATGCTCCTCCATCCCTCTTTGCACGGCTCGGAGCAATCGACGGCCTTGCCCTTGGAATCGGTGAGCGTAGGCATGATAATGTCGCCTTTGAACTTCGGTTCGCCAATCTGGCCCTTGATCTGGCTGCCATTGACCGCCAAGTCTCCTAGGTATGCGAGCAGCTTCTGCGCACGGTTCTGGCTGCCAATAAGGGCGAAGAGCTCCGGTGTGTCGTCGATGAAGGTCGTCCAGCAGGTGCCCTCGATAAAGGTAGGATGTGTAAGGAGGGATGCCAAGAACGGAATGTTGGTCTTCACGCCACGGATACGGAATTCAATCAGCGCACGAAGCATCTTTCTCCGCACAATCTCGTATGTAGAGCCGTGGCAGGTGCACTTGACCAACATCGAGTCGTAGTGGGGCGTGATGAGGGCTCCCGCGAAGCCGTTGCCACCGTCGAGACGTACTCCGTTACCACCAGCGGAGCGGTAAACTTCGATCTTTCCAGTATCTGGCTGGAAACCCTTTGCGGGATCTTCAGTGGTGATACGGCACTGGATGGCGAAGCCGCGGGTTGAGATTCGGTCTTGCGTCAACCCAAGCTGTTGTAGAGATGCACCCGCAGCGATCTGGATCTGCGCAGCCACTATGTCAATGCCAGTGATTTCTTCCGTGATCGTGTGCTCGACTTGACTGCAATTTATCAGCTCAGCCTCGCATTTGAGTTTTCCTGCATGACCTACATTCTGGGATTGATTTCAATAAAGTAATACCGGTTGTGCTGGTCCACGAGGAACTCAGCAGTGCCAGCATTGCGGTAGTTGACCGATTTCGCCAGCCTGACAGCATCATTCAAGATGTTGTCCCGGGTCTCTTGAGGTAGGTCTTTGGCGGGAGCCAGCTCCACGACCTTCTGGTGACGACGCTGGACACTGCAGTCGCGCTCGTACAGATGCACCACGTTTCCATGGTTGTCTCCCAGCAGCTGGACCTCGATGTGCTTTGGCCTGTCGAGGAAGCGCTCCACAAAGACCGTGCCGTTGCCGAAGGCTGACTTGGCCTCAGAGGTTGCGCGGTTGAAGGAGTCCTCGAGGGTGTCTTGACTCCGAACAACTCGCATACCGCGCCCACCACCGCCGAATGCGGCCTTGATGATGATGGGGAAGCCATACTCGTCAGTGAAGCTCTTGACCTCTTCAAATTTCCCGACTGGGCCTTCCGTACCCGGCACAACGGGCACGTTGCATTTCAAGGCAAGTCTGCGGGCCGAGACCTTGTCACCGAGGCCCTCAATGGTCTCCGGCGTAGGACCCACGAAGATCAGACCGGCCTTCTCGACATTCCTGGCGAACTCGGCGTTCTCCGAGAGGAAGCCGTAGCCCGGATGGATCATGTTGACATCGTGCTGCTTGGCAATCTTGATAATCTCATCGCCGGCGAGATAAGCTCCGACAGGCGTATACTGGCCACGCTTGCCAATGACGTAGGCCTCGTCGGCCTTCTGCCTGTGCATGCTGAGGCGGTCCTCATAGCTGAAGACGGCGACGGTGTGCAGCGACAGCTCGTGCGCGGTACGGAAAATGCGGATGGGGATTTCTCCTCGGTTGGCGACTGGTAAAGTCAGCAATTGAGCTCGTTGAAGCTGCCCGGCGAGCTGCCGCACCGAGGATCTTCTTCAGTTGCATGATCGAGCTGTTGGCTCGGAGTCTCTGGTGCACCGAATTCTTGTGGGCCTCATGGCGGTCGTCGTGGTCACGCTGGACGTGGCTGCCCTCGACGTCGCCAGATTGGCTGGTGGTCGCGTCCATGGTTATGTCCGTCATGCTGGGCGTGGTATGTCTAGCAAGCAGCAAACAATGGCAGCAAAGAAGTGAGGGAGAAGGTTGGAAAAGTTAAGAGCTCGGCGGTATGGTGTTGTGAGCCGAAAAGCAAAGCTGTCCCGCGCCCGCCAGCAGCTGTCCCTTCTAATTCACGTTACCCCTCCGCCGGCCGGCCTTATCAGGCCAAGATTCCGGGTCAAAGCTCCCGAGTGACAAGCTCAAGGCAGGGGCCGGCCAAACATCCACCACTAAAAACGGGTGAGTGCAGGGGAATGAAGAGAGACGCCTTCACTTTCGGTAAACATCAGCACGTTGCGTCAGCTTCGGAGGAGCTCTCCGCTTGGCTAGTTCAGTTGCGCATCCGCTCGAGCGCTGCCGCTGCAAGCTGTTGAAGAGCTCGTCCGCAGATGGAACTCTGCAAGCCACATCTGCATGGCCTGGGGTGTCCGGCTACCGTTGTTCACGGATGTTCCTCCCGCAGCGAGCACTGCAGCCCCAACGGGCGCGGTGTGAAGATGGATCAATCGGCTACTGTGTGCTATTTAATGAAGCATGTCCCGCAGATATCTGCTGCATACGGCGTGATCTTAAGCCTCTTGAGGTAGTACGTAGCCGGTTGAGGAGCCTTCCGGCTCGTGTTGTTCCACTCAACGTTAAATACCCTGCCAAAACAGTTCTAGGAGCTCGATAGTCGTTATGCGCTCCGTGGTTGGGCGGAGGACGTTCGGTTGAACGGTGATGCAAAGGGTCGGTCACCGGCTGCCTAATATCAGGTTTCGGGCTGGCGGCTGCCTCAAGCAAGCGGTAAAGAGCCCTTTATGTTGCTGCTGAGGTGCAGAGAAAGAAGTATTAAAGCATGCAGCAGTGGACCTAGACTACATGGCCCCCAGCCCACGCAGAAACGCTCTCGCCGAACCATTCGATGCTCGTGAAATACATGTGGAGGCCTTGCTGCAGATCTAGGCGAAGTGGCGCGCAAATCGCACTGAGATGCACCTCCCGTCCGCCCGCTGAGAACGGCTGCCCTACGATAACCCGCCCCTTGTCCGTCACCGCGTCCACCGCCGTATTCAGCGCGCACAGCGCGCTGCCCTTTTACAACCCGAGAACCCCTTGGTGCTGCTCTAAAAGCCCCGATACCCGGTAGGCTGAGGTGCAATGCCGTTCGGCTGTCCATATGGTGCCGACGACGGCGTATTCAACATCGGGCCTTGCGTGAGCATCAAGCGGGAGCCGCCCAGGATGGGCGTGTTGTCCTCGTCTTTCTTCTGCGAGGCTTCTCTTGCCTTCCGCTCCTCGTTGTCCTTCTTCAACAGATCTATCGTCGCCGCTTGCTGGCTCAGGAAGTTGATCATGTATGGCTGAAATAGATTAGTATATGAGACGACAAGATGGCGGTATAAATAGACTTACCATGGTGAAGTCTGTCAAGCCGCTGCGCCAAGAGACCTCGAGCACAACATCCGGACGAATAAGCTCGTAACAAGCGTAGAGCATGCCAACGTAGCACTCCCGGCTGCCGATGTCGACAAACTAAGATGGTCTATCAGTACTGCGAACACAATGCAAGAGAACAAGACAAACTTACATATCGAAGTAGCTCCTCGACCACGTCGGACTTGCCAGATGCTGCAGCAGTCTCGATGGCGTCCTTGAAGAGCCTGTCCTGCTTGGACAGTGCTATCGACTTGTCCCATCGCTTGTTCTTGCGGTATATGCTGGCAGCAATCTGTCTGAAGAAGACAAGCTCGTGGCGTTCGAGGCGCTGCGCCAGCTCAACCGCGTCGTAGTTGTCGTAGTTCTCGACAGAGTCGCGCAGTGTCTTGTAGTCCTCTTCCTCAATCAACAGATCGTTGATCGCATTGTTGACGGCCTTCTTGTTCTGTGACTGGACGCTCAGGAGGAAAGGCTTGATCAGCGGAATGTTGTCTGACTTTTCGAACATGCGGACCACTCGGTTGACGTCGATCCTAGGCGTCAAGGCTTGCAGCAGATCAGTCAGAAGAGATGGTTGCTCCTGAAGGTAGAAATTCAGTGCTCGGTAGTATATCTCTAAGTTGGCGACCTTGACGATGGTGTCCTTGAAAGAGTGATGTTCCCACGCGTCGGCCGCACGTTCCATCATAGCCAAGGCAGCATTGTCCCACTCATCGTAATGAGCATACAGGAAGACGAGCTCAGGCCATAGATGGGCTTCCTCGCAAGCGCGAATCATCTTGGGGATGTTGATCCGCGACCAGAAGAGTCGAAGATGCTCCATGACACGATCCGGGTGGTATTTGGATAGAGCAATACCAAGCTCGGTGAACATGCCCATATGCGCCCGCTCGAGACCGAGGCCAGCTTCCAAGAGAGCAATGAGCTCGTCGAAGTAGCCATTCCTTTCGTATTGCCTGACAAGATCTGAAAGCTCTTCTGCATGGACGATCAGGTTCAAGCCGCAGATCTGAGCAAGGCGGAACTCCTTCTTCGCAATGCAGGCCTCGTTGACCTGCTTCCATACCTTCGTGCTGTTTGCTTTGCGAGCGCACTCAACAGCGGCCTGGTAGTCTTCAAGATGTACAAGCGTGGTTGCAAGCTTGGCCCAGTTGGAGATGCTGCTATAGAAGATCTTGGCAGCTTCATGGAAACCCTCCTCATAGGCCTTGTCACCAGAAGCTTCCACATCGGCAACATTCGTAGACCGCAAGAAGTCTTCCAGTTCGGCTAGCTGGTTCATTCTTGCAAAGCAGAATGCCAGAGCGGTGTCGATAGCAGGCTCCCGGAGAGTCTTCCTAGCCATCCTGAGGAATTTGATCAGATCTTCATCCTTGCCAGCACGGGTCGCGATTTCAATAACCTCGTTGAAGTTCGATGGGTCTTGAGCACGGATGTAAGACTCGATGGCATCGGTGACACGTAAACCATCGAGCTGGGCTTTGGCGACCTTGCTCCACACCTCAGGCAGGTCGACCCGCTCCGCATACTCCTGCGCTCTGTCAATGCTGATGATATACTCGACGAGCACATTGACGGCTTCAACATGGTTGTTGTGCTTCCTGTAAATCTCGAAGGCCTCATCATACATGCCGAGTTCTATGCACTGCGCCGCAATATCATCCGGGGTATAGTTCTCGAGCTGCTGGATGTATCCCATCATGCGACCGCGATCCGATTTTGCTGCAGTGAGCATGAGGAGATTCTGAAGCGTGGCGTTGTCGCTGAAGCTGGAAGGCTCAAGGATGATCTTCTCAAGCAGCTCGATCAACTCCGCGGGCATGTCACCCCCTATGAAGGCTTTGACCGCAACTGAGACCTTGTCAGGATCCTGCGACTCCGGAACTGCGGTAGAGATGACCTGGTCCACAAGCGATCTACGATGAATGTTGTTGGGGCTCAGGACATATTCCCAGATCTCCAGATCGGCGCGCTCCAGCAGGTAGCGAGCTTGCGCTCTGAACATAGCATTCTCGTTGGTGACATTGATGAGCTCTAGATCATTCTGTCCCTTACGATATGCGATGTATGCAAGATTCGGGTCGCGCTTTTCGCAGTACTTGCCGACAATCAAGGTGTCGTACTGGTCGTTCTCCTTGAGGAACTTCTCAGGGTTGTTGTTGCTGTCAATGTAGATCTTCGCTAGCGCGTTGTAGACCGCTTGTTGCTGGTTACCGCTGGCTAACGATGCCTCCAAGAACGGCAACAGCAGCTTCAGCCGGTTCCTTGATTCCACCTCTGATACGAGCTCGTCTATCGGTATCGACGCTGGATTAACGGATTGAAGTAGGCCTCGGATGATGTTCTCATCACAGTCGACATCCAACAATCCACCAATGACTGCAGGGGTCCTCGCTGGGTTGACTCGCTGAACATACACCTCTATTGACTTGAACTGCTGGTTCTTGTAAAGGTACAGCACCAAGTCATGGATGAAGTTGAATCTGTCGCAGACGATGATGAGAGGTAGCTGTTCTGTCAAATTGGCTTCCTTCAGGAAGTTCTTCACCTTCTCAGGATCGTAAAAGTTGCTCTCTCGACAGATACGCTCGACTTCGTTGAGCTGACCCATTTTCGTGGCAGCCTCAATGTACTTGAAGGTAACGTCTCGGTCCTCGCTGACGTTGACGATTGCGCCAAGATAGTAGTAGAGACCCTCTGCTGTTCGATACTTCTCGAGGAGTTCAATGATATTGGTTGGTCCAAGGAGGTCCGAGTACTTCTGGGCTATCCGGATGACTGCCTGCAAGTTCTGCCGAATGTTGACACGAAGCATCTCATTCAAGCACTCCATTGAGAGTTCAACCGTGAGGTGCCCAAAGTAATTGAGTAGCCAGTCCTCGGGTATTTTGTCAGTCTGGACAATCATGCGCTTGATGGCTGTCGGATCATCAGTGTGCTCAAGCGCTCGTGTCAGCAAGCCTGCGTTCTCGCAGAGCTGCGCAATGCGCGCCTTGTCGTAATACGTGAACATCTCGTTCCCAAGAATCGCATCAGCCACCTGCGGAGCGCTCAGCAAGTTCATCTCGAGCAGCTTTGTTTGCAAGTGGCCCTGTTCTGGCTTGTTACCCGCAAGTGCGTCGAGCAAAAACGCAGTGGCCTGTTGAATCATGCCTTGCGACTGGAAGATGTCGACGACGCGGTCGAGATCAACGAGTGGACCGCTCTCGTTCTTGGCCAAGGCAGTGGCGAATTCGGCGCCCTTTTCAGGGTTGACGCGGACGATGTGCTGCAGAAGCACCGTGAAGTCGGGGTTGTACCCTACCCTCACCGAGTATGGTATGATGTCATCGAATCTACCAAGCTCAGCCATGGCAGCGACGACCTTTTGAGGAGCAGGAGCTCTCTCGTAGATTCTCAGTGCAAGTTCGAGGTCATGCATTCGGACAAGATCGCCGAGCTCCTCTGAACAATCCAGTTTGCCCTCGTTCAGCCACTTATCAACAAGATGCTTCCGGCTTTGAGCGAGAACAGGCCGCACGAGCTCCAGGGTTTCGTGCTTGTTAAGGGTGCCCTTGTCCAAAAGCAGGCCGAAATATTGAAGAATGACCGACAGCTGGCCTTGCTGCTGTGGTATGGCCTTTAGCCTTTCGATGGTCTGCGGTGTACGCAAGAAGCCGCGGGGCGAGTTTGCAGCTGTCTTCGCAGCCTCGACATACTCGCCAGACTGAAGAAGTCCTTCGAAGCGTTGTTGGTAAAGGCTGTCCGCACCAGGCAGACCGCCTCTGGAAGCCAACTTGTAAGCGAGCTCGGCATTAGCCGGGTTCTGCAGAAGATAAGGAATGAGGGTGCTCTCATCCACGCTGACGCCCAAGACCTGGCCTTTCCTGTTCACGCCTACGATGCCTAATGATTGTTCGTCCGGGGCTGTGACGAAAATGGTCTCACTCGATATCCGGTTCATGAATATGCAAGTACCGGTCTCGAGATCGTAGAGGTGGATGAAGCCGTACTTCGTCACCAGATATATGATCTTGTACTTGTCCGAAACCTGCATGGCGACGGGGAAGTCGTTCACGGCTTCGGCAGGAAAGTAAACGTCGACGGCACGTTTGGGGAACGCAGGGTTCGCAGCTTCGTGGTCCACCTCCACGATGTGAAGCTTCGCCCCTATCGCTGTTCGAACGGCGAACGTGAAGACCTTCGTATCCGCAGGCGCGCCTTCCAAGCGTAAGGTTCCAAACGCCGCCGCATGGCCCTCGATGGACTGGCTGATGCCCCTGTCTTTTGAATACAGTTGCATCGTGCCAACCACCCGGCCTTCCTTCTGTGAGATGCCCACGACCACCATCCACTTCTCGTCATGGCTTACACGGTAGTTGATGATCTGACAGCCCTGTTGACATTGTCAGTCAGTTTGCCGCTTGGCAGCGATGGCTAGGCACCGCACTTACCGCGAGGTTAGGGTTTCTGTCAAAAAGCTTCACCGGTTGCGTCTGGTTCGGGTCGAAAATGTTCCAGTGGTACACGGAGCTGTCTGTGACCAAGCCTAGACTGGTCTCGCTGAACCACTTCCAGAACACGACATCCTCGTTCATTTGTGCCGACTTCAGCTTCGCCTTCTGGCCCAAGTCGAATATCTGCAGTGTTCGTTGCTGGGCCTTGAGCGCTATGATGAGTTTGTTCCAGTGCATAATAGCACTATCGGCCTTGATCGGCCGGCGGATGATGTTGTTGGCATTCTTGAGGTCAACGATGATGACTTCAGGCGAAGCGGTTTCGTCGACCTTCTGGCGGACGCATAGGTAGTGGTCGGATTCGAGCGTCTAATCCTTCATCAGCGCGTGGATTTGAAGCCGCTAGCTTGTGGGCAACCTACGCAGGAGTTGAAACCTATCGATGCCGGCTAGAGGAGCAGTGAGCGCGAGTCTTGTGGGCGGCTTGGGTTAGAGGCTATTGGGATGGCTAGGCAGCTACGTACGAGTATGTCGATTGATGTCAACTGCGCATGTCTTTAGTTAGCGAAGACTCAAGATCTGTTGCCGCGGTAGTCGTACCTGAAGCAGCTCAGTGAACTTTATGGGAAGAGGCGCCATGGTTGATGGTTGCGACGCCCAACTGCGACTTCACCAACCGCTGCGATGAGCGCGTCTATGGAAAGAAGATCGGGGCTCGGGAAGGAAGTAAGAAAGCGATTACAACGCCAGTAAATGGGGAATCAGAATGTGAGGAGAAAGGAGTGGTGGTTTGGCTGTTGGTCTTGAATGTTGTCAGGAGAAGCTCTATCAGGTACCCAAACGTGAGCCCGTCAGCGGCAGCGGCTGAAAGCTGTCCGGATGGAAGGTTTATCCGGGTCGACGCAAACGCCAAGCAACCTGGAAACATCCCACTCCGCAAACTCCACAAACTCCACGTCACGCTTCATAAGTGGACAGTGTCAATGCCAATAATCTGGGACACTGTGTTGCGCATAGAAAACATCCTTGGCCAAACGAAGAGTGCGTTTCTTTAAAGTCCGGAAATGTAGGGTTTAATAAAGTGTTTTCTCTAGAATAGGGTATCTTACAGAAGGTAAAGTGATTATGAACATATCTGCCGGAGTTGCGAATACCACCGAGGCGACGTGATCTATGCCAGGCCCGTGTCTCGACCCTCTATCCATCCAATCTACTCTTTTGAGCTCCCCGCATACAGAACCAAGGAAGAGTCGTGTCGCCCCAACGCCAATGCGATGCTAGTACGGGTATCCGACAAAAGAAAACACCAGAATTACAACAGCAGAGCGCACCGCTAAGCCATTTAAGCCATGCCTCCCATCTCAATCTTCTTGCCCTTCACGCTCTTCCACTGCACCACAGCGGCACCGAAGATGGACAACACGCTCATGGCCACAGAAACGTACCATGTCTGCGTCAGCGCCGTGTTGTATGCCCTCAGTACGGGTTGCACCAGATCTGGGCTGAGTGCTTGAACAGCCCTATTTATGTCCGTAGCGCCGGTCATGAGCACCAGACCCGTCGGCACCCGTGGGGCCTCGATTGCCAGGTTCTTGATGAGCGTGTTCGTGAAAACGTTCTGGCCGACAGAGATGAAAAGGGCGCCGCCGAGGGTCTGACTGAACATCATGACGGCGGTGCCAATCGGTATATCAGCGGCCGGCAGAGCGGTCTGGACGGCGATAAGAATCTGCTGCATGCCCATGCCGACGCCGATACCGAAGATGGCCTGGTAACCAATCCACTTCGGATGCCCGGTGTCGACCTCGAAGGTAGTGAGCAGGCCGGCGCCAATGGCCATGAAGACAGACGAGCCGAGCATCCAGGGCGTGTAGTAGCCAATGATTGTAACGGCAACGCCGGAAAGAATGGACACGATCACGAGAGCAAGGATCATAGGGAGGTTCATAATACCCGACTGGGTTGCAGATACGCCTTTGATGGCTTGGAACCAGATCGGGATCTATTGAGGTTAGTGGGCTGGAAAGATGACATCAAGGCAGCGTCGACTTACCCAGTAAACGAAGATGAAGAAGGCCGCACCAAGGCTGGCCCCGAACCAGGCGCTGCCCCAAACGTTGCGGTTCTTGAAGATCCGCGGTGGGACAGTGGCCTTCTCCTGCTTCCAGATCTGCACGGCGATGAAGCCTATGATAAGGACGCCGAAGAGGACGAGCAGAGCAATAATGCGACCGCTGTTCCACTCATACTTGGACCCACCCCACTGAAGGGCGAGCAACAGACAGATAATGGCCGGAATAAACAGAGCGGTACCTTCGAGGTCGAAGTAGGCCAGTTGACCCTTGATAGTCGTTGCCTGTGTGGCCTTGACACGCTTGGGAGATTGGAAGAAGAAGATGATGAAGGCTGCCGTCACGGCGCCAAATGGCAGATTGATGTAAAAGCACCACCTCCAAGTGAGATGATCGGTGAAAGCGCCGCCCATCCTAATGCTACATTAGTGCAGGTCCTCGCGGTAGAGACTCCGACAACACTTACAAAGGCCCAGCAACGGAGGCTATGCCGTACATGGCTCCGATGAGTCCAGTGTATGTAGGACGCTGACGGAGTGGTACAGTATGGGCAACGATTAGGATGGCACCTGAGAAGATGCCAGCAGCACCAAGACCAGCAATAGCTCTGCCGAGAATAAGGGTAACGGAGTTAGGGGCGATGCCGCAGATCAGCGATCCAATCTCGAAGATAGCCAAGGCCCCCAGGTATATCCATTTGATAGAGTAGAAGCTGTAGAGCTTGCCGAAGATGAGCTGTGTCGCGCAGGTCGTGAGGAGGTACGAGCTGCCATACCAGCCGACGTCGTTCAAGGCTTTGAACTGATCGGTGATTTTGGGGATGGCCGTTGCGATGATCGTGTTGTCCTAGTGGATGTTAGCTCGATTCTCAATCGGAGCAGCCTTCCGACTATACCAATGCCATGCAGAAAACCGAGAGCATCAGAGCGATGGTGATCAATGCAAGTTTGTACGACTTTGGGTACTCCGGCTCTTCCTCCGCCGGGCTTGCATCGGTTGCCTTGACGACAATGTCGAGAGCCTCCTCTTGTTTTTCCATGGTGGACGGCATCTCTGCGGTATCCACGGTGGTGTCTACGGGATCCTTCTTCTCGAGGACTGAAGGTTGAGCGCTGCGGCCGAGGGTCGAGTCGGTTGACATGCTGTGCGTGCTGGAGGGCCGCATAGGGTCCCGTGGCGGTTCGAGTTGAGCCATTGGATTTTTATCAGTAAAGCTGACCGGATGTTATCGAATCCGAGGTGGAGGAGTTGAGCAGGTTTGCGTGTGCGAACAAGGGAGGTGTTGCTGCCTGATGTGCTGATGCAGGGACGGATTAGAAAGTGTGTGGGAGGTGAGAGAGGTTATATGTCACGAGGCGTCATGGAGAGATAGGACGGCCGATGGTGTTGCGGTTTGGTCCGTCGTCACCTCGACGGCCTGGCCTGGCCCCGTGTCTGCGACTGCTTTACCAAACTCGGGCGATGCGACCCGTGGAGCAGATTAGCAAGAGCGCGAGCGGGTTTAGCGAGCGTCCGTCGCCGAATGGATCTTGGAACCCGATTCTAAAGCTCCGATTACAGCGTGCACGGCACGGTAACGAGCAGTGTGGGAGGAGTTTGCTACGGTACCTAAAACACGGGCGTGTTCTGACTGGACAGCCCGCTACCCCATTTCGCATGGCGGACTGTCGGGGTCTTGAATCTCTCCGTTCCTCGCCAGAGTCTCGAACTCAACCGCGCTGGACCATTTGACGGTCTGGGCAGAGTCATCTCTGCAAGCCACTTTGCAAGCCACCCTGCGAGTCAGCCGCCAGTTGCCAGATGCGGGCGCCTTGATGCTGACTTCACCACTCGACTCTGAGCCTTAGGGATCGCAGACTAAATGGCGCGCCGATCCGCAACGTGTGTTCCCCATTGAAGATCGAAGCTTGTCGCTTCTTGCCTTTTGGCCCGCCGAGACCGTTCACACCAGCCCCGTGGCCAGCAAACTCGACTTAAGACCTTTACAGTAACTCAGGGGTCTGGACGAAGCTCCTGAAGCAATTGGCGTCCTGTTGCGCAACAGACAGATCTGACACGTGAATCACAAGGGAGGCCGTGCCCGCTGAGTAATAACCTTAACGAGCATCCTAGCAATTTGAGACTGTTCACGGGACGCTCTCGCTCGCTTTCCTCATGTCTCGGGGAAGCCTCAGGCGGATGTTCGCGCCACATTTAGACTCCGGCAGAGAAGGGCTACAGGGCTGACCGGAGCACTGTTCACAATGCATTGAAACGCTGGCTCGGGTTTTGTTATCCCGTGGCTCTGACTCACATCAAAAGTCAACATCCGGAACATTCTCGCCCTCATCGGAGCGTCGACGAATAGCTGCACACCCAACACGAGCACTACGGGGCTGGGCGACATTGCTACATCCCCAACTCTATGCATCTTCCTCGTACTCGACAGTCGCCATCAGGTCGCCGTCGGGCGAGTCCGTTTCGTATCTCAAAACGGACACCAGTTTACTCCTGTAGATTAGTACCAAGTACACACCAAAAGATGTATACGCTACTTGGTATGCGTAAATACCTTCACTGGCATCTATTGCGGTTCTTCCGTATCCGCCGTGTTCAGCAGTGAGTGGAAACGGTATACAACTACGAAAACAGACTTCCTAAATATCTTCGAAATCTTTCAAGCACTCCCTACACGTAGCAACTTTGAGGGCTCATAGAACATCTCATAAGCTTCTCTCTTCTCAGCTCCGCTCTCTCAAAACGCTTCTATCCACTTGATCGCCCGAATCCCACCTGTAGGGAAAGGCCGTGCGAAAACTGCAGTCAGTAGGTGAATTCGACAGTATCCAAGTACTGTCAAACTTTCAGCTTCGAATTAATTGTTGCCTTTCCTCAGGACCGCTATGTAGTGTGAAGATTCCTATTTAACCTTCGCTTCACTCCCCTAGTACGGCGCATCTAGCCCTGAAGTCACACCGGGATTCTAAAGTAGATCCAGCTATTGAAGATTGGATGGGATGATGATGCCGTTGCGCTGCCTGTCGGGGACGTGAGGATAAAGCCATTGGAGAATGCTACACGTCGAATCTCCTGCAGCAGCATGTCATACGGATGGCCCGAGGATCCATCTCGATCATCGCTACAGCCGCATGAGAGATCGTGAGGTGCGCCTCAGGAACAGTTATGCGGATTCTGCAGAGACCTAGACTTTGGAAACACCTTCGAACCTTCCCTGTCAGAGCCGTCATCGCGTTCAATGAACCCAAGTACAATACTTGTGACATAGCGACAGTCTCGAAAGAGTCGAAGAACTGCCCTTCCTGCCGTCTTCTTTGTAGCGCAACCAGATCCAGCGGCTAAGTCTCCCATGGACGGTCCGAAAGATGTCATGTCGAGGCTTTCACTCAGTGGCACGGTCGCGTGGCACTCACCTATCGCCTCCGCCTCGCGCTATAGACGCTTCTGGGTGCGGCGCTGCTAACGGAAGGACTGTTTAACCTTTGCTTCGTCCAATTTTTGTGGCATCTCATAGAGCGCAGGACGCTCCATTGTCGACGACCAGTAGTCCCTCTTTCCGCTCGGCTTTTTGGGTTATGGCTTCCCCAAGGAGCTTGGAGAGGCCGAGTGTAAAGCCTCCGGATACAGCTATGGCGGATCAGCGCTGACTGTTAACGATGCCGCGGCGCAGACACCGATTCACTATTGCTCGGTATCTACCCGGGCACTCGAAGCGATAATCAGACGTAAAAGCAAGTCGATGGCATGCACGTTGCAGTCGTGCAGCGCAGTGCGACTTCCTCGTTGCCGCCCTCCAAGGAGAATGACCGGGCATGGTCTCCCTAAGATGTCTACTGGCCAAGCGGATCCTCTTGTTTAAGGAATGCAGAGTCGTCTTCCAGCCCACCAAGGCACTATGGCGTAAGGACGCATTCTTGGAGACCCGAAAATGGTATTGTGAGCATGTTGAGTCTTAAGAACGGCACATGGTCCATCCGCATTGTTCCATCGCTGTGCTGACATCCACCTCACGCTTTGGGAGCTACTGGCTATGTGAAGGCCTGCGATACGTACCAGACTCTACCTCTTGCCAAACATCGCAGGCGTCGATCGACTGTGTAGCACTTGTCAAATCATACGTCAAACGATGACTATTGTATGAGAGAATCATTCTGCGTGCCCTCGCGGGTATCCAGAAACCCTCGTTCTATCGCTTGGACCCCTCCGTTGGGGTTTACTGGACTGGTCGTTCCACCTTACGCTTCTATGGTATACCGACGACGTATATCCGCTTCCTAGGCGACGCGGCTTCCCGACCTGGATGGACGGGATAGAAGGATCACAAAGGTAACCATGAATTCGAGATCACGCGGTCTCGAGACGGTTGCCATGTCATGTCCCACGAGTTCCAACCCGGCATCCGCTTTGCAGTGTTTATGACCATGCCCTTTCACCACTGATACACCGCCAAGCTTCGATGGCAGGATGCAGGCCCACGAGCTGACTTATGCCGCGGCGCAGTGGGAAGGACTCCGGCGTGCGCATTCGCAGGCACCGCCATACCTAGTCGTGATCTTCTAGACAAGCGCCACAATGCCGCTGTAAGCAGGAGTTCGTCCGGCACAAACGCATCCGCGGAGTGCGTTGTATCCCTTCTAGACGGCATGCCTCTTGCCAGTGTAACTTTGATCACGCTTGGCGCGAGACGCAGCTGGATCAGCTGGAGTTCATTGCCGTTGCTATAAGATGCGATAACGTGTCGGTTGAAGCTCAGGCTTGTACGACGGATGGATGGGCTGACATATCGCGCACAGTCGGTGCGTGGTTGAGCTCACAAGCGAGATTGCCGGGCTGCGAGGCCGCAGCAGAAGCTGACAATTCTTGGGTAAGCGTCTGCGACTTATCACTGCTGTTACAGCTGTCTTTCCCTCTGTCTACGCCTCTCAAGCTAGTTAGATTCGCCGCCATATAGCAGTATAGATCATCCATAGCCTCAGTCTTCAACACATGTCGACCTGCACTCTCTTCTTCGCTCACACCAAATCCGCAACCCCTAAATATGAGCCGCGTGGGTTCTCACCGCCTTATGCCTAGTCTTATACCCTCCCTGCTCCTAACCAGACCATCTGCTTTCAACAGTCACTGCTACAGTCACTAGTGTGCTGGACTTTTGACACCGTCATTATCATTCTCACGGCACGATTGGCCTCATCATCTCTTCGCGTAACTTCTCTCTCCCTCAAACTCATCGTTCAGATACAACGACATATGTGCTTTCGTGGAACTGCAACCACTCTACACTGTCGATTCAACCATCATCACTCTTTACAATAGCGGAGTGGAGAAACCTTCCAACAGAAGCGCACATGTTGCCGCCTTGGAAGATCAGGAGGTTGGACATAGGATAGACCGCAAGGATTATGGACAATGTCGTCAGTATAGACCGTCTTGGAGCTTTCCTCCAGTTTCCTATCCTGCAAGGAGCGTACTCCAAACAGACAGAGTCGGTCTCTCTGCTCAAGCATTGCTATGACAGGAAAGCGATCCGTTCTCGCCCGTGCGATCTTGTGTTTTGCTTCATAGCCAGTGACACATCGACGCTAATGTCACATTCAGATCTCAACCTAGACTAAACGCTGCACCGGCCGCAGCCCATCTACAGCAGGATATCAAGCGCTACCTTGAACCCCAAAGACACTTTCGGCGGCATTGAAATGATCACTGCCAGCATGGACGCAACTCCAGACGTCACATTCACCATTCTCGCCCATAAGCGCTGTATCTAGGATGCACTCTACACGTCTAGCTCCGCCGTGCTCACCATTCCGACTCCGAGGTTCATAATGCTCTTTCCCGGCAGTATAATATTCCACGAGATATCTATTCCGGAGCTGCTGAGCGATGACCTGAACTTATAGCAGAGGTACGAGAGCGAGGGGCGCATCGATTGTTTTTCAAATGCGTCTCGAGTGGAAGGGACAGCAATCTAGCGCTATTTGTACGTGTGTGTGGGTTAGGATAGGGAAAGGGGAGACGGAGAGGGAAGTGGAGGGTAAGTGGAGCATGGTATCGTAGCAGCAGACGCAGGGGGATGTTAGTAAGTGGTAAGTGGATAGTACGTCGTATAACTGCTTATACGGACCATCACATTCTTCCGTTCAAAAAATTTCTTCTCGGGTCTGAAATTCTTACGAAACTAAGAAGTTGTGCCTCGCTCATTGCGAACGACTTTCTAGCGACCGGTCTTGATCATCAAAGTCTTTTGGATCCTGTTAATGATCCTCTGTGCAGGCGAGACCCCTCACGAGATCTTCAGCTTTTCACTTAATATCTTGTAATGGCTTCGTCATTCACAATAAGCTTGAATGCATCTATACACAATCCTTTTCTGATTAATTCTTCATACTGAAGGGAAGCCCAATATGGTAGTGAGTAACAATGATGAGATCATCACACAAGAATCAAGTGACAGTTGGTGGGTTCGAAGTGATTGGTCTAATTATTCTATATACAAAGCTCGTCGAAGCATGAAGACGTCAACCATGGGGTTTCCATGGGCGCACTAGTAGCCGCAGCCACCAGGCTGTGAACAAGCGCCAAGCAATGACATCGCTTTTCATTGACCTGCTATGCAAAAAAGCAAAAATATAAACGCCAAACCCATGGTTCGTCGATCGCTTAGACCGTGTAGCGGAAGAAGCTGGCAAGATCGCCGCGCTCCCTCTCCGCAGTCTTCTCCTCGATCGTGTACTCAGCCGGGCGCTTGAACTCACGATCCCTGCGCGCATTCTCGCGGCGGAGGTAGAGCGTCATGAAGATTTGGAGAATGGTGCTCATACTGAGCAGGCCGATAAGGATGCTATGGCCCGGGACGAATTGCGGCGAATCCTTGGAGAGAAAGACGAAGCCGGCAATGGCACCACCAAGGTTACCAAAGCCCACGTGCATGGCAATACCGACACCGCGCTTGACGGAGCCGCCGATGTTGTTGCCGTTCCACGCGACACCCTGGGGCACGTTGGGGTAGACACCCGAGGCGGCGAAGAAGGTGCCGGCGTACTTGACATTGGGGTTTTTTGACGCAAGGAGCATAGCGAATCCGATGATGGCGGTGATGTTGAAGCCGATCATGAAGAGACCGCGCGTCTGGAGCCTGTCGGCCATATAGCCACCGACGATACAACAGAAGCAGGCGACGATGTATGGTGGGGTAGTCATGAGCTGGGCGGTCTCGTTTGTGTAGCCAAGAGTCCTGACAATGGTGGGCAGGAAGAGGGAGAAGCTGTAGAGTGGAGTGTAGATGCCGATGGTGATGAACATGTGCACCCAGATCTTCCAGTCCTGGAGAGCGTGCCATAGGTACTTTATGTGGTACTCATCGGCGAGAGAGCTACGGTCGTGCTCGAGACGGCGGGAGACCTCCTTCTTCTCGGCGTCGGTGAGGAACTTCGCGGTGGCGGGGTAGTCATTCATGACTACGAAGGCGATGAAAGCGACGATCAGGGTGACGATACCCTCGATGATGAAAATCCAAGCCCAGCCAGCCTTGCCGCCAACACCATCGAGCTCAATGATGCCACGAGCCAAAAGGCCACCGAAGGCACCAGCAGCAGTGGCGGCGGAGAAGAAGATGGCCATCCGCAGACCGCACTCGTGGCGGCGATACCACATGGTGATGTAAAAGGTGACACCGGGGAAGAGACCACCTTCTGCAACACCGAGAGCAGCGCGGGTAGCGAGAAGGCCGGCGAAGTTGTCGACGAGACCCATGAGGGTGCAGACAACACCCCAGGCAACCATGATGGAGGGAATCCAGATAGACGGGCGGGTCTTCTTCATCATCAAGTTGGATGGAATCTCAGCTGCGACGTAGAAGGGGAAGAAGACAGCCAAGGCGATCTGAAAAGTTTGTTAATATCGCATCGATACTAATATCTCACAGACAGTACTCACGTTGTAGTCGAGGCCCTTCATGCCCAAGTCCTTCTCGAGACCGGCCAGACGGGCATTGCCGATGTTGGTACGATCGAGAAAGCTGAGGAGGTAGAGCAAGGCGAGAAAGGGAAGCAGGACCCAATCGATCTTCCTGATCAGGCGCTGGGTAGCCTTCTCATCGAAGCCCAATGAGTCGGAGTCGGAAAGCGACTCGACCATGTCGACGTTCTTCTTATCATCGGAATAGTCCATGACGATTGTTTTGGATAGATGGATTGATGGGGTGGAGTGAGTGATATCTCAATGAGGTAGTTGGAAGTGGGAGTGAGTGTGCAAAGTAATAATCGAACGAAGGTTGAAAGAGAAGTGAAGGGCGGGGCTGTAGACGGGTGACCTCGAGGCTGTCGAGGACGCTCACTTGCAGTCTGCTGACTTCACAGATAGCGGGCGGACGAGTGCATATATACCCACTGGAAGTTAAAGTTGTGTTCCCCACATCGCATTATGACGCTCGAGCCAGCTACTCCAGACGGCTCTCCACACTGTCAGTGCTGCCTCGTGCCTGTTGGCCGGAGTGTCAAAAATGTCAGACTCGCTGACCGAATCCGCAATTCTAGGCCCTTCCTAGTCGCCCGGCCATAAGGAACATTTCTGAGCGCCCTCCGAAAATCTCAAGCGGCACCCACATGGTGTGCATAAGCGCGCAGCCGCTGCCAGATGGTGGCTGCGTCTTTCCTGTCGCGGCCAAGTGCGAGTGAGCTTGTTCTGAAACCAGACGTCGGGATTCGAGCTCGGTATACGCCGCGCCGCTCAGAAGGGAGAGATCGCGTACCGCCATCCGCTGCGGCAAAAGGAACACGAGACCTATCATTGGCTGGCCGTTACCGTGGCGCGGCTGACGCTGACAACGTCTCGGAATCTTGAGGGAAGGGCAATCGGGAGCGTGACGCTAGACTACTCGAAATTTGAGATTTTCGACGCCAACGCCGTTGAGCAGTGGTGTGTGGGGTCCCCAGACATCTTCGGACATCTGCCTCCTTTCTCACTGGCGCATCCTTCAGACAGGCCGAGGCACAGGCTAGAAACAATCAGTTGCTAAGCAATCGGATGCGGACTGCTGCTGCGGACGGCCTTGATTTTTGGGCAGCATACTACGGAGACCCACAGGCTCTAACATCACGGCCTCGGCGCTAACCGTGGCCCCGTCATACAGAATCAATTATGCTTGTTTTGGGCCTCACGCCAAGTACCCTATCTAACCCTACGAACAGGGCACCCGGGGGCCCTCGTATCCACCTTCGTACCAGCTGGGAGAGCTCTGAGATGCGCTTGTGTTCGTGCTACACCTCTTAGACCCACTTGCCATGCTGTGTTATCCCAAGCATCAGACAAACCATGTCAGGCCCCCCCTTTTGGTTGAGGTTGGATGGTGATGGTAACACGGGACAGCCATGTGTCGATCAGGCCTCCCCAGATGACATTCTCCAGATCCGCGGGTGACGCCAACGCAGATGCTTTTTCGGAATCTTCTGTGTCTTTTTCTCGAATATTCCTCAGCGAATGACCGGAGTTGCCGTCACTTGGCACACACGATGCTCTGCCGCTGCCCACGGGACTGCCCGCGAGCAACGTCATGCCAGCCACTTCGGATTGCCCTCAGAGCCACCTGTTCACGATCCGAAGCGCGCACCGATTTGTTAATGCCAAGCATGTCACTGGGTTGGACAGGGGGAAGCGGTGAGCCTAGAGCATGGTGTCGTTGTTGGCTGGGTCTTGTTTGCCCAGACCGGCTCCATTACGTGAACAACCGCGTTGCCGTCTCCAACAATACCTCGAAGACACACACGGATGCCATCACCATCGCCAAACGAGGGGAACTGCATCGCCCTCATGTTTTTTGTTCTGGTGATCGATTTAACAGAGACATCAGCGTCAACACGATCGTCCTCCCCGACCTCAGCTTCAAAGTTCTGCCACTGACGTGTCATGTCCCGAGGAGGCCATCAGCGTTCCGTCACTCAGGCTGATAGTATGCCTGAAACCCCGCATAGTAAACGTATCTGTACACCTGCAGCATTATACCGAACCCGTCTGTCAAGCCTGACTTTATCGTGCTTTTGCTTTTATCGTTCGCATGAAAACGCAAGGCTGCAGTAGTGCCGACTGCGAGGGCCATATCGGGCAGCTCCTTCTTTACCCGGCGAAATATGCAGCCTTCCTCGCTACCGGCGAAGGCACCATTGGGCCACCACTAGTTTTCTCGTATGATCAGGTGAGAAACAGCTGATATCTATGGCCCTGGTACGGCGGTCAAAACTCTTGTCTCTCCTGTATCCCCACTCACATGCGTGTCGTTCGATTCTCACGTTTCCCTATCTCTTCCACTCGTCCGTTGTTATCATACCCGCACCGGGCGTCTCGTATTGCGCACGACCACTCTTGCAACCCTTGCATGCTTCCGCTCCCAAGCAATACCGTATCAGCTCTCCAGCGGCGGCCGCAGACAAAATTGAACAGCAAGAACCATTATGAAGCGTTTTCGGGGTGACTACAATCTGAGTACTGGGCTGGAACGAGGGCTCTTCCACCGGTCATCCTCCACCTGGAGAAGACGACTGTAGCATTGTACTGCCTACGATGTTGTTGGACCTATCTGGGTTCATGATAGAGAGGGGAGAGGGCTACGAGAACCGGCTTCAAAAGGTTCTTCTTTATCTACGAGCCACGATCAACCTTCAAGACGCCGAGCTGAAGTGCTCACAAATCGTTCCTACGAAGACACCCAACATATGGGCAGTCTAGAGGAAGAGGTCTGGTGGAAGACACCATTTTCGCAGGTTTGTTACGGGTATGGGGATGGGGATTTCTTCGTTTCCTTCTGCCCATATCAAGTGTTTTTTCGCTTCCGCAACACCCTTCTGAGCGCAATTAGACCTACGCTAAAGGATCAAGGGATGTCATGACCGCGTCGTGTTTTTGAATGAAGAGTTCTGATGAAAATCAAGCTGAGTTCAACGCCGCATACAACTCAGCGACAACCTTAGGCTCCGCTGTTGGAGTTGAGATCTTGAGACACAGTCTGCCATCGTAGAGCCGGGTCGTATGACAACGAGCTTTTCCACGCAACACAGAATACAAGGCCGCGACTGCTTACATTCCAGCTGACGCCGACCGCTGGCACCGGCGTGGCATACTGTACCGCATTGTCCACGACCCGTCATCGCACCGCAGCGTGGCCTTGCAGCAGCAACCGTCAAGGTAACAGTCAAAGCGCTCAGACCCATGCGTCAAGCTGCTAGTGCTCACTGGTTGCTTAAGGCGCCTCGGCTGTTCAAGAAATACGAGAAAAGCCGCCCACGCTTGCAGCCAGTGAATTGCCCAAAAGAGCCGCACTGTAACTTTCGATAAATCCATCCAGTTTCAGAGATGGCATGTGTATCTTGCCAGAATTGCCTTGTCGGATGCGGCCCTGGTGATGCTATCGACTCAATCACAGCTTTCCGTACACATTTCTCAACTGCCATTGGTTACAGCGCGTGCTAGATGCTTATCAGCTGCCCAAGGCGATAAGCGTGACAGGCTGCACAGGGCGCACTTTTCTTGGCCGTCAGTGCCATCTCCTGGAACCTCCTTTTACCGTGCTGGACGTCATGGTAGAAGTTCACCGTTTTACAGAAGTCGTGGTTTCACCATTGGTTCTAATTGTGTTTAGAAGTGGAAGCACTGCTGTTAACATGTTACACTCTAGGAGGATTATTCCGGCCAGGCTCTCGATAGGCTTGAGCGTCAGAGTTAGTCCTGCGGACGAACGATGACAGAGGTAGGTGCAGCTTTGCGGCTCAGTTAGCTGAGAATGGTGGTGATACAGAGTGAGCACAGTAAGTCAGCATCATGATGTGATTGTAAGGGGTATTAATCCGCTACATTATCAAGGATTTCAACTGCAAATCTTTGATCTCGTGCAACTATTTCGAAACTACCGCTGGTCGCTTCCACTCCGCTTCAGCCAAACTTGCCACTTGTCGGTGTCCTCATTCCTGCAGCTTGAAAGAAAACTTCCTGCTTGTCAAACTGTTTAGTCACTCTTCGATTCAAGATCAGCTCAGGGTTATCCCATACCTCAAGTGACAGCCATTCGTATACTTCAGCCGTTTAACTCCGTAACTCGCAAACACTGGGCTTCTGCAGCAAAATTGCGTCGCGGCGGCAAACACTTAGTGCTGGGCAACTCCAAGAGGCAAATGTAGCTCAGCACTGGATAGGGACAGGCGAGAACCTAATTCTGTGTCGGAAACCGTTTCTTTTCGAGAATTTGGTTCTCAAGTCCATCTTTCAGCCCAAATCCTTGGCCCGATCTCGAACGACGGCCTGGAACTCTTGAACTCTGCAGAAATAAGCCGCCTCAAGGGTGCGGATGCTGCTGGCAATTTTCTTCTCGATATCTCCTTTTTCCCTGATGAGCTCGAGGAGCCTTTCAAGCTGTGCTTTGCGGGTTCGAGCACTGCATGAAAGTCAGCGTACCGTTTCATGCTTGGCTCTTTCGAGGTAACGTGATGCTTGGTAAAGATCTTAAGGTATCTAGGGTATTTTGACTTACGCTCTCCTCTCGTGCTCACTAAACAAGTCGTTGATGTCGTTGCGCGCTTGCTTGATACGGTTTTGGTAGCTCTTGGTGATAGCTTCACGCTTAGCACCTAGCGTCCGGCTGTCCTACAAATCTCATCAGTAAGGCCTTTCCTGTGAACAGAGATGCTCTCAAGGCCATATCCAATAGCACAATCCGTAGGTACGTCTCCAGACATCCTTTCCCTAAAGCGAATTGCGGCAGTCATAGCTGGTTTCAAACAACAATAGAGACCCAACTTACACCCTTGATATAGCCCTCAACCATGGCTGCAACTTCTTGAGTGTCTACATCTAGAGTACTTGAACTGGGTCCGTCGGCCTCTTGAGCATCACTCGCCTGCCTGGGCGAGGATTGGGACTGAGACCCTCGACGGGTAGTAGGTATTGAACCTCTGCGGGTCGTTCTCGTAGTCATCGTGGTCTCCTCGATCACTTGACCGCGGGCTGCCATGTTGATGCCGGACTTTTGCTGAGACTGGGGAGTGCGTGGCTGACAGTCGGGTCAATGATGTGTGATCAGTGAAGTGCTGCCTGAGGCCGACATCATCCCCGCGGATCTCATGCCGGCAGAACCGCGGCCAAAATCCCTCCGCCTCCAAAATTTCCCTCCACCTTGACTCCAAATTTCAAACCCGTCTAGCACTGTCACGTTCCCGGCCACATCACACGCACCTGAGCAATGGGCCTCGCAGGCCCCAAAAGCCGCTCCAAAATCTCCGCAGACCCCAACAACACAACCTGGTCCCGCTCAACCTCCCGCTTCGGCCACCGCATCCTCACTTCACAGGGCTGGACGCCGGGGCAAGCGCTGAACCCGCACGCCGGCCACGCGGGGCACTACACTGTCGCCAATACATCGCACATCCGCATCGCGCTCAAGGACGACAATCTCGGGCTGGGCGCTACGAGGGGCGGGCGGGATGCGGAGACTTTTGGGCTGAGTCAGTTGGCAGGACTGCTAGGAAGACTGAACGGTAAGGGGGAGGGAGAGTTGCGGAAGGAGGAGGCGGCGAGGAGGGATGTGCAGCTTGTGGGGTACCAGGAACGGAGGTGGGGGGCGGTGAGATTTGTTAGTGGGGGATTTCTGGTGGGGGAGAAGGCGGAGGAAGAGAAAGAGAGCGAAGATCAGGGTGCGGGTACGGCGGCGCCGGTGGCAAGGGCTGGAGAGCCTGATGCGGCGTCGTTGAAGAAGCGGAAGCGGACGGATGAGGAAGAGCCGGATGAAGAGGAAAAACGTTCATTGAAGAAGAAGAGGAGATCAAGCAGAGATCTCAGGGCGGAAGCCAAGAAACAAGAAAGTCGCGACAAGACCCCGAAAGAGTTACAGAGAAGAAAGCATCGGGATGCGGAGGATGTGGAGTTAACTACGGAACCGGCCACTGCCGCCTCGTCGTCCTCCGCTTCGGCCTCGTCAGACGAGAGAGCAGAACGCCGGAGACGAAAAGCAGAGAAGAAAGCTCGAAAAGCCGCCGAATCTGCCGAATCCGGCGAGTCGGCCACAGCGACAACCACGGCAGACGTTTCAGCTGCAGTCTCCTCTGACGAAGTACCCGACAAGGCGGAGAAGCGGCGGCGGAAAGCCGAAAGGAAGGCCGCTAAGGAGTTGAAGCGCCTAAAGAGAGAAGGCAAACGGCTAAAACGGGAGGAGCGGCGACTAAACAATAAGGAGAAATCACGAACAGACGACGCGACATCCTCAGCAAGCTCCAAAGAATCGTCGCCGGAATCGTCAGCGGGTGTTCAGCAGGCAGAGGCGCAAGCAAAGCCTCCAGCCCGCTTCGCAGGGGGCAGACATGCAGTGCGGCAGCGGTACATCCGCTCCAAGCAGATGGCTTCGATGGACCCGCAGGCCCTGAAGGAGATTTTCATGATTAAAGCGCAGTCATAGCATCACTGGGCGGCATTCACAGGAGCAGCATCCACAGGCGCTGTTAAGTTGTTGTTAGAAATAGATAGATACCGCATAGCGATAGTGCCCCATCGAGGGTTCAGGTACAGCGATTGAACAGCTACTCCAACAACACTGCGTCGACACAGTGCGTACCCTCCGTCACAGCGAATGATACAAATGCTCGAAAACAGCTGCTTATCCAAGCCAGGCCTTAAAGCGCCCCAACCTGCCATCCCGGAGCCCCTCAAACGCCCATGCAATGTAGCCAGCAATTACCGCTCATACCTCGGCAGTCCATGTCCTTCAGCACCACTCGCGCTAAACCCATACTCATCCTCTTCAGTCAGCACAGGAGCCGAAGGCGCAAAGTCCTCCCTCCTACCACCTTCTGCACCACCACCACCACCAGGGTCATCTTCTGGCGGCGTGACATCCGGCGCGCTTCGCTCCATCTCCAGCCGACGCCGCTGCAGTTCTTGTTTGTCTTCCGTAAGATGACTTCCAACGCCGGCAGCGCCGTAGTCATGTGACTCGTAGCTTGGTGCACTGGGGCCTGCGGTATCGGGACCGGTATCATAATCGCCAGGCGAGGGCATGAAACCGCTCGCTGGGGGTGCTGAAGGGCGGCCGAGATCGCCGGCACGGATGTCCGGACGACCTGTTGTTGGATACTGAGAGGGAAGGTATTCGTATTCCTCGGGTATCGTGGGTGCGGAAGGCGCGTAAGAGGTTGTGGCGGTTGAGGATTCGGCTTCATCCTCGTCTAACGGCGGTTGGCTGGGAAGCAGGCGGGCCTCGGCTCGGCGAAGGCGTTCTTTCTCGGAGAGGCCATGCTCCTCAGCTGCGAGGTTAGGCATTGGTTGAGAAGCTAGATAGTCCTGTTGGTATGGTGGCTGCTGATCAGTATAGGCGGAGGTCACGTGAGCAGAGGGATCATATGTATCGTAATGATAGCCGTACTGCGACGGCGTTGGAGTGTGTGAAGGCCACTCCTGCTGCGGGTGAGCTGAATAGGGAGATGGGTCATCATCAGGAATATCGGGCTGTTGAGCGTTGTCTTGTGATGGTTCTCCTTCTAAAACCTCCTCTTGTCTCCGTTTGCCTTTCCGCTCGCTATCTCTCGTCCCGACCAGCACCTCAAAGACGCAGTTCACAACATTCTTGTCGCGGCGAATCGGATCTGTGTCCACGAAAGTCACGCCCATAGCGGTGGACATCCCGCCGCTTGCGTCTTCCGCTCGGCTCATCGTGGGAAGGTTGCCGTATGTTGGAGACCCGCCCCAAGCTCCGGGAGTAGGGAAGAACTTATCCAGCCCCTGCAGTTTCCCTTGCAGGTCAACGACCACCTCGACGAAGTACTTAAAGCTAATCATGCTGCCCGGGACGCATGATATGGTAGGAAAAGCTTCGTCTGGGACGCGGACGGATGCTTTGACCTCAGCAGTGAGCGACCGTGGATCGATGATGAGAGGAACACAAGACTGCGATAAGTCTTTTCGAAAGACGTGGCTAGAGCCAGCGCCTGACAAGGAGAGACCACCTAGACCGGTCTTCGACTTCGGGTAGTAGTCCTCACTCTTGATCCTGGCTCCTTTGCTGTTCGTCACCAGGGGGAGCGCAGGATGCATGTCGACACGTGCTTGCCGGTAAAGTGTGACTACGATTCCATTCATGCTCTTGATTGGCTTCTTGTGTGATATGCTTATTTTCAGACGTATGTTGTCACCCCGCAGAAAGCCCGATTTCTGGAGTTCGATAGTCGCGGTGATGGTATTGTTGTCCGCGGAAGCCCTCCTTGCGGTGACGGATCCACTTCCGGTCCTGGTGGAAGCTGCACCAGCGTCAGGACCCGAGCCGGAGCCGCTGCTGCTGGGATGAGTTTCACTGACTTCGCTTGGCGCCGCACTTCCCGCTCCCGCTGCAGGGCTCTCGCGGCGGCTGGTGCTCTCCGATACCCGACTGCTCTGCGACGTTTCCAGCGCGTCGGGATTCTTGGATTGATTGTCGCTTGTCGCAGCAACCTTGCTTGCCTTGCCTTTCGGCTTTTTGCTGTGAACGACTGGTTCAAGAGAGATGACTCGCGGTGTCGGCTCGTAGAGCGGCCCGATGTCGATATTCTCAATTAGATACACTCGCGCATCGCACGTCGTAGTTGGTGAAAGCGAGGTGGGACGGGTGAGTGTGGATGTGATCATGTACGAAATAGTGCCCCTCTCGAACTGTTCTCATCCAATCATCAGCATGCTGGAAAGTGTCTATTTGGCAGAGTGCAGCGGTATATGGGTGGCCTACGTCAATGCTGCTAGGCAGACCCTTGCTTGGAAACTGCAGCTCGAACGCGAATTCGTATGTTCCTTCGGCCAGCCGACCCTCTCCACAGAGGACTACTTCATCTTCGAACAATGAAGCAAAGCCATTGCCGAAGTAACCTCCCTCCCGCTTCCCCTTGCCGGTCCCTATGGACCTGTTGTGGGATAGATAGCCCTCGCCGGGGGTATTGGGGGTTTTGTAGACCTGCGCATAGCCATGCAGCGACACCACTATGTGCGTGATCCGTACAGGCTTGATCACCTTAACCACCACTTTCCCCTTGACTGTATCTCCGGGCGAATATTGGCGGTGCGGATCGTCTGGTTGTACGTGGAAGTCGGTGATGTTCCGTGCTTTCGTACCGAACGGCGCCTTGAGCCTGGAGATGAGGGAGCGGCCCGAGGGGGGTGGTTGCGGCGCGAGAGGAGGGGAAGTAGAGCCGGAAGACGTCATGGGACCTGTCGGGCATCGTGTGGACATGCGTAGGAGCTGAGCGCGCTCACAGGGCTATATATCAAACACGGTCGTCGGGACGGCCGTGATCAAAGCCACCGGTAACGCGCAACGTTGATGCGCGTGCCTTAGCGGCCCAGGAACCAAGGTGGAGGGTCAGGGACCAACCGTCGAAGCCTGACGGTCCGTTTTCAAAAGGCCTTGAGAGTGTAGACCAAAATTGGTGTTCAGCTGCACTGGACTGCTCAATCTGATAGGCAGTGGAGCGCTGGGTAGCGAGATAGCGGATGGTGCAAGCCTGGAGGCGACAAGGCCGCCAAGATCGTGGACGCGGTAAGCAGGAGGCTGGAACAACGAGCGTCGTAAGAGCCAAGGGCGGTATCTGGAGACATATTAGAGGCACTCCGCGGTGACATTGCTGAAAGTCCATCCCCGCCAAGGGAGATGGATTCTTGGGGTCGAGCGGATGACGGCGGCGGGATGGGGCAGTGCACAGAAATGCGGCTTCGACGGCACCACTGGCACGACGTGTGGCGAAAGAAAGCGGCTCTGGCAGGTTGATGCTGGTAAGTGGTACGGAAAGACGGATGGAAAGCAACGCACCGCAGAAATCAATTTCACGATCGGCGAGTTGCCATGTTGTGCTTGAATGTCCGCGTCTCTTGGCGGTCGGGTTAGGGACCTTGCCGCAGGCCTCGGCGCAACAAGAGTTTGCAAGATTTCAATTGATGTCCTGTGTCTGGTGAACGGCGGGATTCCAAATCTCAGTGGGAAGAGGGACTCGAGACTGCGTGTGTCCGTGGAGTTCTTGAATCTGTCTGACAGGGCTACAGCCTGCAATCGGGTGAGGACGTTGGTGAGCTGATGAGCACGCTACCAACATCAATTGCGCAACGCCGCAGGCACCGCTCTCGGTCAACTCTTCCGGCGAGTGGCTTGAAGCTTGCTTCGACCTCATTTGCGCCATGCTTGTTCTCGTTCATCTTCTGGCTGTCTATCATCATCTTCGTGCGTCCGATGGGCCGTCTTGCTGTCGTGGGCCGGCTGTCTGGCCGTTGTCGAGTGTCTGAGGGTCAAGCATCAAATATCAAGCATTGGCAGGGGCGCAGAGCTTCGACAAAAATAAAATCTCCGGAGCGGCCGCATGATGTGACTATCAAGCTTTTGCCAAGAGCCGGGCGCTGTGAGAGATAGGCGCGAGCAAAGATGATGTTGTAAACCTGCAGGTCGATACAAACAGAGTTGCGGCTATTGGTGCTATACTATCTATCGTGTGTGCACCTTAAGCTCCCAAATATAGAGAGCGCCAGGGCGCTTGGCCTCCGCCGTTACCCAGGCCTGTCCAGTGCCAACCGATATGTCGTCCAGTGTCGTCTCTAAATGCGGATCCGCGTTGTGCCTCATCGATCGTTCCTCCTAAATGTTATTCGCAGCCTAGAGCTGTCTTCCCTACCTTCCGCCGCCTCAGCCCTCAGATGTCTACCCACCTCCGCCTCCAGCTCACGACTCGGACCTGCCCTTTGCACCCGTGCCTTACTGAACAAGCACTGCCACAGGTCCTCATTTTCTACGATCTCTCCTCCGCCTTTTTTCTGAACGAGCAGCTTGGAGAGCGGCGCCTGCTGCATCTCCAGCGAGTTTGCCGCGTCGATCGCGTTCTCCTGAAGTGCCGGAGTGGCCACACCCGAACTGGGTTGGGATTGATGCTCTGGCCTTCGCGCAATATGGGCCAAGCGGCGGGAGACGGAGATATCATAGATAGCTTCTTCGACGGTGTCGCTGGTCAGGTACATAAAGACAGTCGTTTGACGCTGCTGCCCGATACGGTGGACACGGGCAATGGCCTGGAGCTCAATGGCCGGATTGATCAGCGGTTCGCACAGGAAGACGTAGGTAGCGTTGACGAGGTTAAGTCCGGACGAATCTGTTCTGGCGTCCAGCAGAAAACACTCGGCGTGCGGGTCTCTTTTGAAGGTTTCTATACCTCGCTTGTCGGAGATAGACGCGCAGCCGATTTTGAACTCCTTGAAGGCCCTGCCAAGGACTTCTAAGAAATCGGAGAACTGCGAGAAGATGATGGATTTACATCCGGGATCGTGCTGGCGTAGCCAGATGACATGTCTGGCGATTGAATCGATCTTCGTTCCGTATGAACCGGTAAGATCAATCGCTTTGATTTCGTTCAAAGTCGAGCTGCTAATATCGGCGTAAAGCGATATGGATGACGCCGCTGAGGGCGATATGGGACGCCTATCAGGCGATGAAGGCTCATGTTGCTCTTCGTGGGCACGCAGCTCCTTTGGCTTGTACGTAATATCGTGAAAGTCTTCCTTATGGAGTCGCCGTTTGCATATCGGGCAGGTGCGATGCTCATTCCACCACAAGCGTATGCACTCCTTGCAGTACTGGTGGCCGCAGACGGTGAGAACTCCGAGTTCAAACCCGGACTGACAGATGATGCAGATCCGAGCGCTCTCCTCGCTCTGCGATTCATCCCGCAGATGCAGCAAGAAGCGACGTTTAGTTCGAAGCTTTGCGACATTGCCGGCTCTCCACTCCTCGAGCAGGAGCTGGCGATGTACAGCCACGTGATCAAGATGCTCATCCAGCTCCTCCTTGTATGGTGCTACAGTGTCGGAAATATGCTGGAGTTGCCGATAAAACTCAACCCTTTCGTTCATCGCCATGGTGAACATGTTTAGCTCCTTCTCCAGTGCAGCTACAACTTTCGTCTGCTCTGTGACAATATTCTGGATTTCCTTGAGATGACTTTCGATCACAGCGGCCTCCGCGGCTGCTCGGCCACTTCCTGCATCTTTCTGCCATTGCAGGCCACCGTGTATACCGCGGGCCTCTGCTAGAACGCTTCTCAAAGACGCTTCGTCCTTGTGAGGTTTGAGCTTGTCCCGGATTTCCATGATCTTCAGGAACAGTTCTGGCGCGTGGCCGTCACCCTCGCTCGCTTGCTGCTGTCCAAGTTTCATTTCGTGATCAATAAGCGGATTCGGCTGACCAGTGATGGCGCATTGGCGGTCAGCAACTATAGCGCGTAGTGCGGTTACGTAGACGAAGAGTTCGTCTTGTACTTTGGTTGAGTCTTCATATTCGTCACCAGTTGTCTCATGGCTCTGCTCCCGATCAACGAGTGGCGAGAGGAGCAGCTTGACAACCTTACTGCGCCATTCATCAAGGGGCTCCACTTGGGCATTCAAGGTATCTCCAACTTCATCCATTTTCTCAAGGACTTTCCGGTTCTCGATGCCGCCGAGATCTTTCAGACGTTTCACCTCTCTTATCCGCGCAAAGGACTTTGTTTGGGATCTCGAATCGATTTTTCGCATTCTTCGCTCTGTTCTTGCGTTGACCTCTTGCAGCAGCTCCTTCCGGACCACTTTCGCTCTTTCGTAGTACTCTGCCTCGAGCGTCTGCAAACCGTGAAACTCCTCTGACTCCGGATTGGTAAGTTTTTCATTGGAGCTGATCTGGTAGTAGCACGTTGCGGTGAAGAAAAGGCAGATGTGTTGAACTTCCAGCGCGGAGCGGAGCGCCTTCCTAGCCATTGCAACACGCCCAGCTTGATCTACGGTGTGTTCTTCGGCATCGGTGTTCTCATCGGCGGACTCATTGGCTGGCTGCAATCTACTGCTGAGAGCGGCTGATTTGTCCTCTTCAAGTGCTAGCTCTTGCCTGCAATCCTTGACCATGCTGTTCGCAAGGCGTAGTGCGTCTACGTAAATATCAAGCGCCTTTTCGCTGCGCCTTTCGTCATCCTTGGCATTGGCGACAATGTGACCCCGTAGAACTTGTGCCAGTACTTGTTCCCGTTCTTCCGTTCGGAGAACATTCCCGTTCTGCTCGATCATGATTTCCAGCACTTCGGCAACCGTTCGCAGCGGTGCGTTGCCGCGACCTAAAGCCTTGCGATTCCGGCCACCAACCTGAGGATGCAGGCAAGTCTGACGGAGTCGAACCAGCCAGCGTCTCATCTTCTGACTAGTGACTGGGTCTGTTGGGTCCCAATCATTGCTTGCAGGTGATCCGTCGAGCTTCAGCTGTAGATCGTCGCACATTTGCTGAAGAAGATGACTGTAGTTCTGCTCCTCAACCGCCGTGAAGGGAACAGTAATCACTACGCGCTTCTGTGGAGGCAACTGCAGCTCATGCCGTATCTTAGCTTTACTGTGCCGAAGCGCAATCTCACTGAAGATCTCCTTGAACAGGCCTTTGTTGATGCGACTCCATATCCTCTTCGAGCTGCAGTAAGGCTCGTATCGGAGGAATATCAGAAGACCAAGCAGATCTTGGACGTCTTTCCGGAGAGGAGTTCCAGATACGGCCCAGGCATTGCATCTAGGTATCAGCCGGGCAACAGTCGCAGCCTGACTAACTCCGCTTTCGACCATCTGAGCTTCGTCAAGGCATACTCGCCACCAAGAAATCTCGACCAGCGGGCTCTTACGTGGCTCGTATGCTTTCTCGTGCCGCAGCGTGCGCAGTGGATGAGCTTTTGCATAGTGAATCTCCCGGCTTAAGACGCTGTAAGTGGTGAGGACCACATCATATCTTACGAGATTTTCAACGGATAACTCCTTGAGTCGCTTTTGCGAAGCATTGACAGAGGGCAGTCCAGTGTATACGAACACTTTGAGGTGAGGTGCGTGATTATTGATTTCGCTCTTCCACTGTTCGATCAGCGATGGCGGCGTTACTATCAGCGTACCGGGGGAATTGGTCACCCAGGCGTTTGAGTAAATATCAAAACTCTCAAGCTGTGGGGGGCCCGGCGGTCGAGTATGCAGACACATCAGCGCAATCAGCTCGACAGTTTTACCCAGTCCCATCTCTTCTGCCAATATACCACCTCGAAGATCTGGCTGTGCATAGCGCTGGGCACTTTCCGGCGTCAGGACCATGCCATGCAGATGGCTGACATAGCAATTGCGGTCATCGGCATCAGTAACGGGGCTGAAGGAAACAGACGCCAGCTTTTCAAGGAGTGTCTTTTCCCTCAATGGAGTCAAGTGTGCGGCCTCGAAGCGTACACCTTCGCGCCGCAATAACCAGTCCACAGCCCGCTTCTGGAACGGATACATCTTACTCTCCATCAACTCCGTTTGGATCCATGGCGAAACTTCCGCATCGGTCGCCGGGACGTGAACGTTTTCGTAAAAATCCTGCACCGACCATGTTGCCGCATCCTGCGCGTGTCGGTTAGGCAGATACTTTGCCAGGAGCTCAAGGTCAGCCTCAATCTCGGCCCGCTTGGCGGCTGAGGGCGCTACGCTCGACTCTACGATTGAAACTCCGGATGCCCAATATATCACCGCCTCCAGCTCGAATGTCTGCCGGCGCAATCCGGGAGGGTGGATCGTACATTGGGCTGTGACGACAGGCTTACTTCGTGAAGACTTTGCTGTGCGCTTTTGCAACGCAGGAATCCTCTCCAGATGGTGAAGCAGCCGCTGCGCACCTGGAGAGACAAGACGCATGTGGATACTTTCCTCGAACTTCTCGCATACTGCTAGTGACAGCGACAGCTCGTGAGCTGAGTGGCTTTCGACGGCACGCAAGGAGACAGGAACAGCTCCCCTAGCGATCGTGATCCAGGGTGTTGGATCAAGTACGTCTAGGTCTGGCAAGCCCTGGGCGAGTGTTAGAACGCACCCAAACAACGAGTGGTGAAGACAGTACCAGCTGGACCACTATTCGGGCAAGCGGAACCTGATCCAAAACCAGAAATGGGCTGTCTGTAGTAGCGCTGAGTGTCTGCTCTTTACTCAACCGCCGCTTCTTTGGGGGTGGCTCTTGAGCACCGGGTCTGGTCGCCTGAGGGGACGCTTGCGCCATGAAGTCTAAGAACTCTTCTATATCGCTGACAGGAGTGGCAGCGCCTGATCGAGAATATAAAGAGGACTCGATGGCCTGGACCGCGGCATGCTCGCGTACCGACACCATGACTGGCAGCGGTGGTGTTGAATAGCGGCGGCGGGAGTGTGGGTAAGTGGAAAAGAGGCGGCAGTGGGCAGTCCTGAGGATGTGACGATCTCGAAGCTGGGGGCGGATAGCTATCAGCAGGGCCGAAGTCTGGCCGATAAGGCTCTCGTAAGGCTGAGACCCCCGAACATCACGTGCTCCTTAACCTGAGGTTTGCATCTAGCACCTGCAATTCATGCTCAATCTCTTAAACGGACTGCCTCTGCATTCGCTGATCGTAGATCTTGATATCAGCTTCAGGTACACCTGCTATGCGCTTTGTCCTGACGTATGATGTAGTATTGCCATGCACCATTGCTGATAAAGTTTTGACGACAATATAGGTAATGTCATACCCCATTGTGTTGCAGCGCCAATGTCTAGCCCGCCGCAAGGAGAGGTTTACGAAGAGGCCGCGGTTCGGGTAACCGATACCTGCGGCTCGTCTCCCTCAATCTGCTCTCTTACCAGTTCTATTTCCACTGTTCTGAATCTGCTGTCCACCTTCCCTTTAAGCCCATCATCGTTACGATCGAACATCAGCGCCCATAACCCAGGCTCGTCCGTCTCAGTGGCTATGAATCCTTGCCATCCCTCCAGTGTCGTGCACCTGTCACCGGTAGCCGACACTGTCTTAACATCGAAGGGGCCGGTGACGTTGTCGTCGGAATCTGCTACTGCTCTCGTTCCATGCCTGATTCTGAGGCTTACTGGATCCAAGTATACCCAGTTGAGCATGGGTGGATCTTTCGATATCGTTGTAACTAGTCCGTCATACCCCTTCTCAGGATACGGTAAGAAGTATCCGGTGAAAGGATGAAGAGGTGACTCGTCCCATGGTTCCACTTCGACGTACAGAAAGCCGTCGCGCAGAACCACGCGGGCTGTCATGAAGAGCATACGCTCATCAAAAGGCGCACGGGCTGAAGCTCGTACTTTGAGATGGTGCTTGAGCGTGCGCCATGATTCTGATGCGCCGCTGCCATGCTGATCCTGTTGGCGCTGGGCTTGGTCTTGGAGGCTGAGGGTCGATGTCGCGATTAGAGGTACCGTTGCCGCAAGGGCTATAAGTGAGAGCACCATTGTGGAGATGTGACGAGAACGATATTGGAATGAACCCGGTGCGCCAGCGAGAACGAAACCACTGCGCGGGTCTCACACTTTTGCCTGCCCGCTGATCGGGATGTGCGGGGCTTACACAGTACGGCCTCGATTGGCGTGCTCGGAAGCGTGAAACGTCGCTTGTAGAGGCGCGTAGGGCGGCAGCGTGAAGAGAACGATAGAAGAAGATACTCGGTGGACACGACTTGGAAGTCTGATAGCTTAATAGGCATGAGCTTCCATGCCTGTCGATCCCTTCCTGCGCAACTAACGCACTTGCTGGGATCCCTGAAACACCATGAGATAGCTGTGTTCGGGAACTTGGAAGATAGTTGCTTGGACACGCCGAATGACCGACTTATACGTGGATACTGTCCCGGGCGCTGTCAATGCCACAAGAGCCGCGATTCAGGGACATCCGCGTAACAGGTACGCCTTCGATGAAGTCTCTCGACGTCAAAGCAGTTGAGAAGGCAATCAAAATCGACTTGACAAAAAGGCTCGATGTTTGGGCGACCACTTGCGCAACTTCTCGACCAGCCACATCAGACTTAGCCTCCGAAGCGGCCGAGCACGGCGCTGTGGGGGGACGACAGGGGTCTCAAATCTCCAAGGATCCTCAACACTGGTAGGGTTCCGCATGAACAACGCCGGATCTCCCACCATTCGCCCTCTCACGATGAAGAAGAAAATGAGGAGGCTGGGGAAGCGCGCCAGTAAACAAGAAAGGCCGCCAAGCTAATGCGTGTCCGATTCCGGTTCCTGCATAATCAATATGTCTGAAAGTGTGGGAGCCGCCAATCCGCCCACGAGAAACAATCCAGATGCACGCTTTCCGCTGCAGCCGTTACGGACGACCAGGTTCTCCGACCGGCAGTGGAGTTTGCCGTCCTGACTCGCCCAGGATCGGATGCAATATCCTGTACCGAACCCGTATAAGATCACAAGCCCGGCTCCGTGCGAATCGCAACAAGCTCAAAACACGAGGACACTCCGAAGTCAGTAAGAGGCTTTCATTACCGGTCTGTCATCCTCCCGCCAAAGACCTGTGAGGCCGCCTGGAGTTCGCCCAAGAACCAGCCCCCAACCCGAGCTGCCGTCCCAGCTTAACGCCTTTCGTTCGAAGCTTGAACAGTGAGCCTCTCTTGTCGCTTGCACGACTCACTGGTGTGTCTACAGCACTCTAACAACCGTCGTGCAGAATCTCGAGCCAGGAACTGCAGGCTGACCGCGAGTTCTGCCGTCCGAAGTGTTTTGGGACCGTAAACCGCCTCGCTCTCTGTCCCCAGAGAATATAGACGCTCCGATCGGCCATTTTTGTGAACAGAGGCAGCGAATTTTGTGCCCCAAGGCCTAAGACTCTCCCATCTCCAGACTAAGAGTATCTACCGCCGCCAGAATACCGCCACAACCGTTGAGTGAGCTCCACAATGCCTCCAAAAGCAGCGTAGGTGTGCCTGTTTAATGCCATCCTCTCGTGAACTACGCCCTCGTCTACGCACACAGGAGTCACGTGCAAAGACATGCTCCACAGCAACGTCATGAGAAAGTATAAGCTACTAACGCCTAACCCTAGCGAAACCTCAACTCCGGCCCGCGCCGAAGGTGGTCGCAAAGATGCCGACGCCGGCGGCGAACAAGCTGAAGCCGGCGCCATTCAGAGCGCGCCAAAGGGACTCGGTCTCGACAAGCCTGATCAGGGCGTCCCAATGTTCGACGCCGAGGACGTCAAGGGGAGTTTGAAGATCCACATCAAGCTGAATCTGGAGGCCGATATCAGGATCATTGCTAGAGTCAAGGGGGATATCGCTATTGGTATTTTGTAGCAGCTCCAATGTCAATGTGATGGAGGGCTAATGCGCGGAAGGAATTCAATGAGCGAATAGAATCTGAGCTTGTCATCAAGTAGTGTGTATACACGAGACGTATCTATTGTGGATAAATCGAGAGAAATATTGACCTCAAGCGTCGAAACCACAAGACCTTGGACTAAAGGAATAAATAATGCAGAGCAGCAGCTCTTAACGCATGCATACTGGGCGTCCTGCTGCAGTGTCTTCTAATGCTGTTAACACTGCTGATAGCACCGAATAATTGGCGTTACAGGGCGTTGCAACAGACCGCGCAACCCAAACCGATGGACTCGAGCTTGATGAGGCTGACACGTGCTGCAGGCGGACCGGAATGCCGACTGCTACATGTAGAGGCGTCTCAGATGAAGTCTGAGTCGGCATCGCCGCGGTCAGCACGTGCACTGGTCGTCAGAAAGCGGTCGAACAAAGGACGCTCCGGATGGGTGCAGCATTCTACGTGACGTGCCCTATGCAGAATCTTGCAGGAAGCTAAAGAATCACTCGCATGGCCCCGGGCGAGCTCGAGCCGTGTGCACACCCAATCTGGCCGAAGCTGAGCTGCCATCTTACCCGCTGCTGGCCCCTTTAGCTCTCTAGTGACTGGCGTTCCTGGATTGGGGGCTGCATTGCCGAAGAGAGTCATCGCCAGAAGCCTGCTAAAGGCGACAGAGGCATGCAGTGCCGCGGACACGAATAGCCCGAACTGTTGAATCTATTGAATGTCGCAAACGAGAAGAGGCTGAAAAAAACTGGTGTTGCTAAATTTACAACGCCGTTACACTGCGCCTCGATCATCCCGGCGCATGCGCGGCATGTCAGGAACGAAAAAACCCTGGGACCCTAGAAGACCCTGGCATCACGTGATGGCCGGGTTTTCGATCATGAGATGGGAGGAAACGAATCGTGAGATGCTGAGACGAGGCGTTCGTGGGAAGACTGTTGACGGGCTCCTAATTGGAGAATTCCGTGCAAAGATCGTCGAGATAGGAGGCGGTTGCTGGGCCCGCTGTCGCAAGCTGTTACAAGCCCCAGCGCCACGGGGACAGCAGCAGACACAGCGGCGGGCAGGGATTGGCAAAGGGGCAGGACCCACGGCCCACAAGCTGAAAACGTCGTGTGGAGTGTTGACGGTCTTGGCTTTTACGACTGCCAAAATATAAAACCGACGGCTGTTCCGAGCCCAGACAAAGAGCATACCACTGCATCAGACCTTCGTTCTTCGTGCATTCACCGTCTTCCCCTCACACAAGCAACAAGTGCCCCACGACTGTACGACTTTAATACGCTCCACCACTGCTGACGCCACTCGCTGCACTTGCTTCGTTTCCCCCTCTACAACCATGTGGTAAGCCCCTATGGCCCCCAACCAGGCAGTTGGCCATGAAATCATCTCTCTGCAGAAGCTCATATGATGCAGTGGAATTTTCGGATACATCAACTATCTGGTGGAGAAGGACAGGAAGTACATCCTAGATACCCTGGTCAATGGTGAGCCTTGTCGAGATTCTCGGAGTGGGCCCTGGCGGTAAGCTAACAGTCTGAGCAGGCCTCTCTCGACTCGAGTACCGTGGTTACGACTCTGCCGGTCTTGCGGTAGACGGTGACAAGAAGGGCGAAGTCCTGGCGTTCAAGGAGGTTGGCAAGGTCGCTAAGCTGAAGACGCTCATCGAGGAGTCCAAGCCGGACCTGACCAAGGTCTTCGACTCCCACGCCGGCATCGCACACACCCGATGGGCCACCCACGGCAAGCCATCGCGGACAAACTGCCATCCTCACCGGTACGTACAAAGAGAGCACAATCCAAATCACCGCGAGCCGCCTCTGGTAGCGTCCGCCGTCTTTTGCTTGATCGACACAGCTGACCGCGGTGGCGCATTCTAGGTCTGACCCCAACTGGGAGTTTGCCATCGTCCACAACGGCATCATCACAAACTACAAAGAACTCAAGGCGCTGCTGGAGAGCAAGGGTTTCAAGTTCGAGACGGAGACGGACACTGAGGCTATTGCAAAGCTCGCCAAGTACATCTACGATGAGCACCCGGATATCGACTTCGTCACGCTCGCAAAATCCGTCATCAAGGAGCTTCAGGGCGCATACGGTCTGCTCCTGAAGTCGGTGCACTATCCTCACGAGGTCGTTGCCGCTCGCAAGGGCTCGCCTCTGGTCATCGGCGTGCGGACGCAGAAGAAGATGAAGGTCGACTTCGTCGACGTCGAGTACACAGAAGAGGGGACTGCTCTGCCGGCAGAGCGCGCTTCCCAAAACGTGGCACTAAAGAAGACCAACAACCTCCTTGCGCCCCCGGACAAGTCGCTCCTGCACCGCTCGCAGTCCCGCGCTTTCCTGTCGGACGATGGTGTTCCTATGCCGACCGAGTTCTTCCTTTCCTCCGACCCGTCTGCCATCGTCGAGCACACCAAGAAGGTCCTCTACCTCGAAGATGAGGACGTTGCGCACATTCACGAGGGTTCTTTGAATATCCACCGTCTGCGGAAAGACGACGGCGCTTCCAACGTGCGCGCCATCCAGACACTTGAGATCGAGCTTCAGGAGATCATGAAGGGCCGTTTCGACCACTTCATGCAGAAGGAAATCTTCGAGCAGCCCGAGTCGGTCGTGAACGCCATGCGTGGCCGTCTCGACATTGCGAATAAGAAAGTCACGCTCGGTGGTCTGCGTCAATACATCAGCACCATCAGGCGGTGCCGGAGGATCATTTTCATCGCTTGCGGCACCAGCTACCACTCCTGCATGGCTGTGCGCGGGGTGTTTGAGGAGCTCACTGAAATCCCCATTGCCGTGGAGTTGGCGTCAGATTTCCTGGACAGGCAAGCGCCGGTCTTTCGTGACGACACCTGCGTCTTCGTATCTCAGTCCGGCGAGACCGCTGACTCGTTGATGGCGCTCCGCTACTGCCTTGAGCGTGGTGCGTTGACCGTCGGTATCGTCAACGTTGTCGGCTCATCGATCTCGCTCCTGACCCACTGCGGTGTCCACATCAATGCTGGCCCCGAAATCGGTGTCGCCTCGACCAAGGCTTACACTTCGCAATTCGTCTGCATGATCATGTTTGCGCTCTCCCTGAGCGAAGACCGAGCATCCAAGCAACAGAGGCGCGAGGAGATTATGGAAGGTCTAGGCCAGGTGTCTGATCAGTTCAAGGAGGTTCTCAAGTTGGATCAGTCGATCAAGGAGCTTTGCCAGAAGTTCAAGAACCAGAAGAGCATGTTGTTGCTCGGACGTGGCGCCCAGCATGCCACTGCTCTGGAGGGTAAGCATCTCATTGCTCCGGTATTGCGGTGCTCATGCTAATATACCACAGGCGCACTGAAGATCAAGGAAATCTCCTACCTCCACTGCGAAGCCGTCATGTCCGGCGAGCTAAAGCACGGTGTGCTTGCGCTCGTCGACGAGAACCTCCCCATCGTCATGATCCTGACGCGCGATGACATCTTCAAGAAGTCGCTCAACGCTTACCAGCAGGTCGTCGCACGCAAGGGCAAGCCCATCATCATCTGCAACACGAACGACGAGGAGTTCCCAGCCGACAAGACGGAGAAGATCGAGGTCCCCCATACGGTCGACTGTCTTCAGGGCCTGATCAATGTCATTCCCATGCAGCTGATGGCGTACTGGCTTGCCGTTGGCGAGGGCCTGAACGTCGACTTCCCAAGGAATCTGGCTAAGTCGGTCACGGTGGAGTAGGTTAGGATTAGGTCTGGCGTACATGAGATTGCTCTGCTGGGCGTGAGCGATGGGCTGGGAGGGCATCACTGATGTTTGTTTGAACGTGCTACTGTTGGCTGCTGCGGCAAAAGCGGCTGTATTGGTTATGGCGATAGATACAGTAATTGTGCTACGAATGTGAACGTCGTTTTAACTCCAAAAGACTAAAGATATGACTGCATTAAGTCCTTCCGCAACCTTTGACAGCTTCGGGCAGCGCATGTCACGCCGCCGCTCTCCCTCGCCTCGCCCGGATGGCGGGGCAGACATGCAAGGCACCGCTGTCGGACCCCTCATCAAACAACAAACCTTCACCATATCTGCCTACACACTCCATCCCAGCTGTGCTCATCGCTAGACATTTACCACCGTACTGTCCGCTCAATCCGTTCCGGAACACCGCCGTGCAACCTAAAGAGACGATGGCATCCCTTAAAGGTCCTGGCGCAGCAAGAACTTATGACGGTAATGAGGCCCCTCCCCTCCATTCATGCAGCTTGCTCTCCCTTCCCGAACCTCCATACCCTGCCCAGAACGACACTAATAAAAACACAGGCTCCGACCTCCGCATCGGTATCATCCACGCGCGCTGGAACAGCACGCTAATCGCAGCGCTACTGGAGGGCACGAAGAAGTCCCTGAGAGCCGCGGGAGTGAAGGAGGAGAACATCATCGTATCAAGTGTGCCGGGGAGCTGGGAATTACCATTTGGGGTGCAGAGGTAAACTCTTCCTCTCCCATAATAGGCGAACCGCTCTTCGATGAGAGCGAAGCTTGTAGAGAGTGCCGGCCAGCACTGACAGACGACACTCACCAGGATGTACGCCTCCTCGCAAGTGCAATCCGCCCATTCCAGCACCGGCGGCGCCCTCCTAGCCTCCGCGACCGACCTCCTCAGCTCCTCGACCACCGACCTAACTTCGACTCTCACCTCCTCCGCAGCCAAACCATCCTCCACCTCGGCCTCCGCGTCCACGGCCCCCTTCGACGCCCTCATCGCGATAGGCGTCCTCATAAAAGGCGAGACGATGCACTTTGAGTACATCGCGGACGCTGTCTCCCAGGGCCTCATGCGCGTGCAGCTCGACAGCGGCGTGCCGGTCGTGTTTGGGCTGCTGACGGTGCTGACGGAGGAGCAGGGCATGGCCAGGGCGGGCATCGAGGGCAAGGGGCATAACCATGGCGAGGATTGGGGGAGTGCGGCTGTGGAGCTGGGGTTCAAGAGGAGGGGGTGGGGGAGGGGGGAGTGGATTGAGTAGGGGAGGCTAGGTAGATGGTAGGAGGATCAAGATGATGGGAGGATCAAGATTGATCCAAGGTATGCGGATATTGCGATGACTTTTTGGATGCATTGATAGGAGTTGGATCGGCCTGGCGGGCTTGTGGCGGAATGACACGACATGAGGGAGGCTCTCTGCTCTAGTTGGCCAAAAGTGAGGATTTGATATTTCCTATCGACCGTCTAACTAGAAAAAACCAACTGGTCTTACGGAACCCTGCCGTGCCGAACTCGGCATACCGACTCTTGCCTTGTCAGCCGATTATACTTGGGTCATTGATAGCCGACACCGACAGTATGGGGCTATCACGGCCGCTACCCGTTGCCATGTCCCAGTACCGGTGATCTCGAGCCGTTTGTGGCTCGATAGCTCTGCTTCGGTCGCTTAATATTCGCTTTATCCATATCCTGGCCTTGACCACATTCGCATGTTTCTGATACTCAAAGCGATTGTTGATAGCTTGTTCGATGAAAGCCGAGGTGACAATGTTGATGCAGCGGTAGTCCCTGACTGCTTGTGTAGGCGATTAAGCAGCAAGAGCGGCAGCTCCTCTGTAGTCTGGAGCACGTGAGCAGCTAACTGTCAAGGTTAAGCTGCCGCCGTCGATGTTGTTTGTTTTACGCGTAGTATGGTCCATGATGATCGAATCTGCCGCCTAAAATGTCCTGACAGCTTCCTCGCCTTCATACGGATTATCCGCTCTCCCGTTTGGTCCTCTTGGCAGAGATCCCGGCCGAGTCGTGGCGGCGGTCGAGGGGCGGCGCAAGGTTTTCTGAGAAGCTGCTTTGAGTCGCATCGTTGTCCTTCATCTTGATGGATGCGCGCGGATCGTCTGGGCGGAAGCAGGTCTGTCTCATATTGGAGTCTGTTGATGGAAAGGGAGAGGGAGAGGGGAAGAGTCGGCATCTGGTGACGAAAGCAGATTCGCTTGACTCCGACGCGGCAGTGACCCCCTTGGCTTCGACAGGACGACCGCGGAATGCCAACCACCACACATCGCCCGCTTCCCTCTCGTGCATCGCCTGTTGCTGGCCTCTTTGCCTCTGAAACCCCTATATCCAGTTTCCTTTGTGCCTCGTTTCCACCTGCCCGCCGCCCTACGTCTCGCTGCGGCTTTCGTGCGCTGTTCGCGTCGCGAACCGCTTGTACTTTCCCTACCGCAATTTGCTTGTCCGCCGTGCCTTCCCCCGTCTACCTCGCGAGGCCTAGGATTCCCCACCGTCTCCCTTGGGCCTACTGATACAGACGGGCGGAGATGGTGAGCTGGCGGCCGGCGAGCTAGAAGTGGCCCTGGAGCATGTCGCGCGCTTCAGTGGGAGGCTTTGCGGATACTCCTCCTAGAGCCCCGCCGCCGTCGCAGAGCAAGCGCAAAAGGGAAGCAGGAGACCAAGAAGCGAGTCACTCGTTAGTGGCGAGTTCTTCTGTGGTCGAGTCGCTTTCACCAAAACTCAAACATCCGCCGACTAGCCAGAAAGGCTTCGACAACAACAACACGGCTGCCCGGAACAAAGCCGCTGGCAAGATCGCTCCATCTCCGGAAGATGACGAGTTGCACACTGCAGACTCGGGTGATCTGCTGAACGGTGTCGGATCAGCAAGTTCACTGGCAAGCACCGTCTCTTCGGTGTTCAGCAGCAGCAATCCATCAGCGATGTTCTCATATCCCGGCACCACACCTTCACTACATGCTCTGACACCTCTCACAAACAACGACTCCTCTCCTCCCGGCAAAGTACCCAGTCCTCGACCGGCGAAAATCCAGAAAGTTCATACACATGCCGATGTCGCGACGCCGAATGGTGCGCCGCAAATCAATGGCGCCCAGAATGCCTCCGAAGCAATCACGCCAGTCCACACACCCCCTCAAGGACGGAAGCAAGCGCGAAAGGAGCCCGGCGAGGTGTCGGGCGAGAAGACAGTCTACGATCCAGAAATTGATGATAAACTTCCGCAGAAGGATAGGAGGAAACACAAGCCACGGACAAGGGCATTCGTCGAGCAGGTACGCGCGCATAAACCGATGACACACTCCTTCATACACATTCGTTCCGATGCTGTCGATGCGAGAGGCTGACGAAACATATGCAACAGCCCGCCGACACGCCGCCGGTAAAAGATCCTCGACTGGCCATTGGGGGTTATGAGTCCGGAATATACCAGCAAGGAAGAATGAGCAAGGCGAAAGTGCGCGTGGCACCTTATCCGCTCAAGCCCTACTCGTTCGACCCAAGGATCTCAATTGGACCTGGACCAGCAGTGCAGGTCTGCGTCACTGGATTCGATCCATTCGTTCCAGAGGCGCAATTGAGAGCGCTTTTTGGAAGTTATGGAGAGATTGCAGAGGTCAGCAACAAGGTCGACCCTGGCACCGGCACATACCTGGGCATCTGCCTGATCAAGTACCGAGACACGAGGCAGATGCGTGGGGGTGTTACGATGACTGCCGCAGCTTCGGCCAAGAAGGCGGAGAAAGAGGGCAACGGGCAAAAGATCGGCGTCTGCAAGGTGAAAGTGGAGCGCGACCGTGAAGGGCGCAAATGCAAGCGCGCGGTCGAAGCGATCGTGAAGCGCAATAGGGCAGAACAAGAGAAGCACCGACCCGTAGTGACTGCACGGAAGGTGGAAGCTCCTCCCACACCTACGACTGCTGCAACTCCTGCACCTCCTCCTAACGCGCCAAAAGGTCCATCTGGGAAAGGCATGGCTCCTCCGTCTGGCCCGCGATCGAACCTCAAACCGATCCACTCAGCCCAGTCTCGTGTTGAAACCGAACTTATCCTCAAAAAGATTCAACGGAAGCCGTACATATTCTTGGCCCATTGCTACGTTCCTGTTCTCGGCACTACCATACCGCATCTCGAGAAGCGGATGAGGATGTACAAGTGGAAAGAGGTGCGATGCGACAGGACGGGATATTACATCGTGTTCGATGATTCGAAATTTGGCGAAGACGAAGCTGCAAGGTGCTATCATGAGAACAACATGCAGCCCTTGTTCACCTATGTCATGAACATGGAATGCCAGCAATATGGCAACCCGAATTATGAGCGTAGTCCAAGCCCAGAGCGTGTGCTGGCGGAGAAGCGGCAGCAAGAAGAGCGCGAACGGATACAGAAGGAAGAGGAGCTGGATTGGGAAGACGAGAAGAAGCAGCGGGCTGCTAATCTGGATCCTGTGCATGCAGCGTTGGACTTGTTGACCACCGAGCTTGTGGAGAAGATCATGAGCGACATCAAGACCAAGGTTGCAGCGCCAGCGCTGTACGACTATCTCGCTCCCGAGCACCATGTCGCTAAGAGAAGGAAACTGAACATACCTGATCCGTCTGAACGCGAGAACAAACGACCTACTCTACCCTTTGGGAGAGCCGATGATTCTCCGGCAAGCACCCCTGATTCGCGAGCTCACGGCTTTTCTGGATACCAGCGGAAACCTCTCTCCACCTACGAACTCACCATTGCTCGGAAACGAAAGGCCGCTCCTATCGCTCGGTCATCGAACGCTTTTGTTGATGAGCGCCGTAAGAAAGCACCACCTCCCCGACGAACTCACATCCAACCGCTCCATCGCCAGCTGCAGAACTACTACGATGAAGATTCTGAGGATGAGCGCGCCACCTCATTTACGCGTGAGTCTGAAGAGCAAGACAGTAGGCCTTTGTCCCGGTTGAGTTCTGTTGGCTTCGATCACGATGAGGTAGCAGGAACGCCCAGGAAGAAGCGCCGAACGACTGGGCACGAAGCAGGGTGGGGCGCTGAGAGCGACGATGATTCGAATGATGAGACCGCCCGCCGTCTTCTGCCTCATCTCATTAACAAAGAGGCAGAGGATATGGCGGATAGGGAGCTGGAGCAAGTCGTCATCACACTGCCACGGTCGTCAAGCAAGTACAAGCGGGCGCGGACGGAGATAAAGCAACGCAAGAAGCTAAGGGACTTCGACAGGCTGTTCGGCATCAAAGCGGACGAGCCGACCGTCGACGACTATGCTGAGTCCGTACGCCCAACTGTTGACACCACTCCAGATACGGAAGACAAGGCGATTGAGACTGTTGAGACTGCTGATGATCTTCCTGTGGCGGCTACAAAGCCGAAGGCGAAGCCAAAAGCGAAACGCAAGACTAAGAAGCAGATTGAGGAAGAGAAGCGTGCGGCACTTCTGCGGGTAGAGCCCGCTGCTGAGCTTCCTGCTGTCGTGGACGACGTCAGCCTCGATGACGAGCTACGAGCTCTGATCGAAGAGCCATCGGAAGAGAAGGCCGAGCCAAGGTCAGAGGTTGAATGGGGAGTCTCGGCCAACAAGCCAAGAAAGACCGTGGAAGACCATCCTGATCTGGTGCTCGACCTCGACGGCTGGCAGGAGCTCGTCAAGGACGAAGAAGATCTCCGCTTCTTGCGCGAAGCGCTTACGAACGAGCGACCAGCCGCCCTAGGAGACGTCAAACTGTGGGCTTGGAAGCAAAAGCAGATCAAGCTTCTCAACAACGGCGGCATCGAAGGACCATCGCACGTCGAGAGCAAGATCCAAGGCTACTACGTCCCCAATCCCAGCGGCTGCGCCCGCACAGAAGGCGAGAAGAAAATCTCTCAGGTCGAGAAGTCCAAGTACCTGCCCCACCGTCTCAAGGTGCAGAAAGCGCGTGAAGAACGCGAAGCTCGTGCAGGAAACGACGCTGCCCCTGCCACCGAAGCCTCCAAACTCCTCCCTGCGACAGGCAATTCAAGAGCCAACCGCGCCAACAACCGCCGCCTCGTCAACGACATCAACATACAAAAAGGTCTCGCCGCAGGCGCCGAAGGCGACGCCATGCGTTTCAACCAACTCAAGAAGCGCAAGAAGCTCGTCAAGTTCGACCGCTCCGCTATCCACAACTGGGGTCTCTACGCCGAAGAGAATATTGCCGCGAACGACATGATCATCGAGTACGTGGGCGAGCGGGTCCGGCAGCGCGTGGCCGACCTGCGCGAGGAGATGTACGATCGGCAGGGTGTGGGCAGCAGCTACCTCTTCCGCATCGATGAAGACACGGTCGTTGATGCGACCAAGAAGGGCGGCATCGCGCGGTTTATCAATCATAGCTGCATGCCGAATTGCACGGCTAAGATCATCAAGGTGGACGGGACGAAGAGGATCGTCATCTATGCGGACCAGGCTATCGCGAAGCGTAAGTTGTACTCCCTCCACCATTAGTCTTTTTTAGTTCAATCCCTGCTCAATGCATTGACACATGAACACACGATGGCTGACTACATACTGCGCAGACGAGGAACTCACATACGACTACAAGTTTGACCGCGAGATGAACAGCGACGACCGCATCCCCTGTCTCTGCGGCACGGTCGCCTGCAAGGGTTTCCTCAACTGAGCCTTTCCCTCCGTCCTGCCGCTCAATTCTGTTCAAGCCGCGTGCGAATGTTTTAGGGTTTTGCATCCAGTTTCGGCGTCGCATCTGTCCTGCTTCGACCACTTCCTTCTCTTTTCTGCAGCCGCCACTACTGCGGTTAGTGCCGCGGCTTCTTCTCTTTGTAGACTGCAGAAGGCGGGGCGGTCCATTGCATCGCTGGGCGTTTTGGGGCGATGTCGCTGAATGCTAAGAGGTGTTCTCACCATTTACTGGATCCGATCTCCGCTACACGTGTCATGTTCTCCTGGCGGTCGTTGCATCGGGTTGGGGGAATAGGGCTCGGCCTCGCTTCTTGCGGGCTTCCGCGCGTCTGAGTCTGCGTTCGTGGGGTCGGAAGCGCAATGTACACAGAATGCGGAACCGGTGAGAAGTGCATAGCATAAGCATTTTGATTACAGCCTGTTTGCCATAGCGGATGGTGGTGAGGCTGTGTTAAGGAAATTCTCCCTCTCGGCTTTTGTTCTGAATTGCTGCCTGCCTGCCGGTTTGCCTGCTCGGCGCTCCTTTGATCTGCACCTTTATCCTCATCCGTCCTAGCCTGATAACCACACTGGTTCTACACTCTCCCTGTGCCTCCCGGAGGCTCCCAAGCACCCAAGCAGTGCGGTCCGCATCAGTGACCCCAGTCGTACCGCAACCACCACCAGGCCCCTGCTTCACTAAAAGAAACGTCCCTACAGGCCATATGAACAACGCGGTGAGCTTCAGCCCATCCTGGGGTGGAATTGTGAAGACTGTATCAGCGTAGGGAGGCAATAGGTATCTGTAGCTCAGAAAGTCCGTGGACTTGTGCTACGTACGAAACTGTCACTTGGACGCAATTAGTTGCCGCATGCATTTCATTTGTCATTGCTTCTTGCGAGTACATAGTCCAAAGACTTTGCTCCACACAATCGTTGCTAGACAAATCAGTACCCAGTGCCATTCCCACGCACCACATCCGCCGTCATCGCATCCGCATAATAAATCCCACTCCCACTCTGGAACTCGCCCTGAAGACCCGGCAGCGGAGTCTCCTCCCAAATCGCCTGGATCCTCCTCGCCGACGCCAGGAACCGCTGCTGCACCTCCGCGTAGTCATCACCAACGGTAAGCCTAAAGTCGCGCTTCTTGAACACGCCATCCACCATGACATGCTGCACGTCTCCAACATTCGAGTGCAGCACAACCGCAGCAACCGGATCGGCCCAACCCAGCATGTTGGGGGATGAGCCGTCAAAGACGACGATGTCGGCCTTCGCCCCTTCGCGGAGGACGCCAATGTCAGGGCGGCGCAGGGCCAGGCCGCCAGACCGCGTGGCGAGCAGGAAGGCTTGGTTCACTGACATTGGGTTGTTGCGGGGGATCCGCCAGTTCTCCAACACCTGCTGGTAAAGGAGGCGCCGGGTGACTTGGAGCCATAGCCTGGCTTGAGTGATGATGTCTGCGCTGAAGGTAAAGTGGGTGTCGATGCCTAGGGCTGCTTGGTCCTGCGCTAGATGCGAGATGGGGTGAGTGTGACCATAGTGCATTTCGGATTCTGGCGTGATAGAGAGGTATTGATTTGTTGAGCGGAGGAGCTGCACGTCTTCGACTGAGAGATAGCTGCCGTGGGAGAAGACGATCGGGATTGTGGTGTTGAGGATTCCGTAGCTGTTGGCTAGTGTGGGGCCATTTAGATCTGAAATTGTGTTGGCAAGTGAAGCTGAGGTTTGAGAATGGAACAGACGGAACGAGATTGGGAGACACTATTGGGCGGACTCCAGCTGGCGGATTATAGAATCTTAGAAGCTAGACAATGAAATTTAAACTTTGCCAGAAACTTGAATGTGCTACAGCTACCGAAAGGGTTGACCGTGCAGGGATGTGTGTGAATGGATCGTTGCCCACAGAGGCTGGTATGAACAATAAAATGACGATACTTACATCCCCAGGGCCCGCCAAGGGTATGCATGGTGATAAGTGATACGTTCTGTTGTCTAGAGAGATTTGTTAGATCGAGAGCTTTTCGGACGCCGGCAGACTTACATGGCAAGATCGACTACAGTTTGCACCGCAGGCGGAGTATCAAGCGACAGCATGTCATACGCCAGCCCGACTTCTACCGTAGAACTGTTCCTCGAAGGCCCATCCTCCAAAAGGTCCTGGAAGTACGCCAACTGCTCCTCACGACTGTAGCCGTTCGTAAGATTATGAATGGCGTAGCACCACCATACTCTTGCACCGCTCTCGACGGAGGCGTTCAACCCAGCCAATGCTGTATCATTCGACCATGTATGGTGTGCATGATCCAGAATCGATGTTACTCCAGCGTTGAGCGATTCATAGATGCCTGTAAGCTGACCGTAGTAAATATCGTCCGCGCTGTAGACAGTCCCAACCTGGGTAAACTCGCCATAGCGCGAAAAGTACTCTGCCAAACTCGTGTTCGAGGCTATCGTCCGGAATGCAGTTTGCCAAAGGTGGCGATGTGTGTCGACGAAGCCGGGGGACAGAATTTTTCCTTCTGAGGGTATGATCTCAGTGCCTGGAGGGAGGGTAATGTTCCGCGACTGTGGGAATATTGATGTGATTTCGTTTCCAGAAACTAGGATGGAGGTGTTGTAAAGGACTTGCACATTCTGAGTGGCATCATCGAACGATATAACAGTCCCACCTTCGAAAAGTGTATCCGCACATCGAGCAATGGATGGAAGGAGAAGAAGAAGCAGTTGGCAAACAGCTAAACTACTCGATAGAAACGTTAAGGCACCCATTCTAAAGATTCGGCTTCACAGAAGATGACAAGAAATCTCCAACCTCGAAGCATTTGAATCAAAAAGCAAAGCGTCGGATGAAGCTGACAGATGTAAGCTTACTGTGCTACGTGAGCATTACGCACGTCGGAGTTAAGCCAAACATTCCCCAAGCGGTATTGTTTACCGACATCAGAATCGCAGTTTCGGCAGACTCAAGCACGAACCGGACTTGCTAAAAGTCCTGAACGAAGGCTTGTCGTCGGAAGTTTCGATGCCATGACACCGTTGTTTCTCCGCTGAGTTAGCCTGGACAACCACACACGGGCTGGTATCACCGTCTCACATACCTTCACCTACGGATAGAAGTATACACACCGGAACAATTGAGCATCGTGTTTTGGATCCATAATGGGAATGTATGGGCTCCAATTACCGCAGGTAGATTTACGAGCACCCCGCCGAGAATGTTAAGCATGGATTTGCGGTCAAGTGAGATTTACAATTATATAGCGGCTACTCGTACCTTGACACAGTGGATGATTCTGTATAGTGAGGAAGGGCAGATCTCACAGTACTTTGACGATCTCATGTGTTGGAAGCTTTGGGGATTCTCGATATGCGTTCTAGATCCTAGTCATTCAACCTCCAGCTCCACATCACATGAACCATGCATAATGTTCACCACAGTCTAGTCCGAAGCAGTCTGAGACGCCCCTGTGCCGTTGTTGGGTGCTGCATGACAGTGGCAACGAAGGTTGGTACCATCATGTTCTAAGGTTGGGAGAGTTTACAAATCTGCTCAACATATTTATCTGCTTAACTCAACACAGGGCGAGTTGTGCTTGCTTTCTGGTTCACTGAACACCGTCGACAGTAGGTATGTAAGAAGCTGGCTAAATACCCAAAGCATGCCGGGACCAGAGGCAACACAAATCAAGCTGCCCATGTTGTGTTATGTACCGACCCGATCACTTGAACAGCGGGCTTTGATCGTTATACACCCGCAGCGAGGTGATCTCACCCCGATCATTGCGATCAATCCACGCAACAGCTCGAATCGTGACTGCTCTCCCATCCAATGTCGTGTATCGATTGAGCGCTTCGTGTACGAAGTTCTGATCAGTGCCGTAGATGTTTAGCTCGTCGTGCTCCAGGGTACCAAAGCTCTGCCAAAACTGCGCAAGGCCGTTCCGGACATCGTTGCGTCCCCGCATAGTCACGTCGCCGTTGTTGAAGATGACTTCGACATCCTCGGCCATGGATTGGACATAGCCGTCGATATCCTTGGAATCGAGAGTTTGCAGAACCTTGAGTAACCACTCGGTAGCGGTCGGGCTCAGCTGGTTGATGCGGACATTGTCGAGCGTGGTTCCGACTGTTCGCGAACTGTCTCTTGCTTCACGTGGCTTCTCAGTGTTTTCTTTGACGAAGGAGACTGACGACATGGCTCAGGTTGCCGTGAGGTATTTTCCAATAATCAATTGAGTGGGAGAACGGAAAGCGTTGTAGTGCTTGGGACGCGAGCTTAACACAAGGAAGATTTGGCAAGGGCTTAGAACAATCGATGATAATGGAAAAGCTCAACCTCGATTCTGGGTGAAGGTTTTGTATGACATGAGCGAGATCCTGCTCAGGTGGAGTTTGGTGTTCGCGTCACCTGACTTGCTCGGCTCAAACAGTTGAAGCGACTGCATACTGATTGCGCGGCGAAGTGGTCGTTATAGACAATTCATGGGTTAGTTCACCTACCTGTGTAACTTGGTACGGGCCTGCATGAGACTCGGTCGCGCAACGACAGGAGTCCACTGTCGACAATAGAGGGCCGAGTGTTTCCACTCATTCAGCCGCCACGGTTGTGGACGAGACGGATCACCAATGGTTGTGCGGATCATCACCCAAGTGAAGCCTCCATTGTTTGATGTGATCATGCTCAGAAGCTCCTTTGATAGGCCGCAAAATGCTCTGCTCCTAGATACAGAAAGTACCCACGGAATCGTTGTGTACGCCAAGTGCCATCTCAAGTTGAAATGCTGACCTGCCCCGCCCGACATCCACCATTTATCGCACGATACCCTCGAACCTGTTCTTGTACCACTTGACAGTCTCGGCCTGGTTGATGCGGTGGGAGGCACCGATCCTGCTCTTGCACCTCCTGCGCTTGGCAACGCGCTCGCCGGGGCGGGTCCTGTCGTAGTGTCAGTAAATGGCCAGTTCTTCAAGGTTCTCTTGCTCGGATCTTCGGAGCCACTCGGTCGTGTAGTGTTCGGTATACGCACATGCAGCAGTAGAAGTCCATTCCGTAGATACCAATCGCCGGGTCGTACTTGATGCCGAGATCAATGTGTTCGCTGATACCGAAGCCGAAGTTGCCAGTCTCGGAGAAGTTCCGCTTCCTCAACTCGTATTCCTTGACCTTCAAGCCACGCTCGAGAATCTCCTCAGCCTTGGGGCCACGGACGGTGACGTGCACGGCGATCTTCTCGTTACGACGGATACCGAAAGTTCGGACGGTGTAGCGGGCCTTGCCTGTGAGAAGTGGCCCTGTCAGCATCCACTGCCAGCTTATCTCGAAGTCGATTTCGGGGCTCTCGCATACTGTAGACTGGTGTTTGACCGCTCAACTGTTCCAGCACCTTCGCAGCACGGGTGAGTCTGTCACCAGACTCGCCGACGGAGATGTTGAGGACGAGCTTCTGGATGCGCAGCTCCCTCATGGGGTTGCTGCTCTTGTCCTTGGCCGGGGAGGTCTCGCTGACCTGCTGGGTGCTGCTTTGTCCGCGTGCCTGTACTCCGGTCAGTCTTCATGTTTGTGGACAGCGCCGCATCTCTCTTACCATTGCGACTGTTGGTGCTGTTGTGGATTAGTAGTAGTGCGTCGTCAAGTGAGGGTGTGGTTGAAGGTTGATTTCTCGCAAGTGCGGCGGAACGCGCTAGTGCTCGCTAAAAGCCGTAAGGCCGTCCGGCATCAAAGCTTCACCCAGACCTCGACACACCGACATCCATACATAACTTATGCAGAACCAGTGACACTCTGCTGCGAAAAGGCCAGAGCCACTGGAAAGTCTCTGTATCCAATTTTTGAGATCCGAGAAGACGTGTTCGCACGCACCACCGCAAGCATGGCGGCGGCTAATAAACAAGGCAAAATGGTAAGCATACAACCCATTCGAGCTACAAGGCCTTTAGTTGACAGAGACAGCTGACTTCTGTGGAATCAGCAAAATCTAGTAAGGCTCCTATCCGCGACTTCTGCGCAATCGCGCATCGAGAATATGCTCTAACAAGGGACAGCTCAACTACCGCATGCGAGCCACTCTCAGTGATGGCCGGCAGATGGCGGGTCAGATGCTTGCGTTTGACAAGGTCGGCCACTGAACTTTCACTTCGCAATCGTACAGAAGCTGACTTCTGCCCAGCACATGAATCTCGTACTCGCAGACACTGAAGAATTCCGTCGCGTCAGGCGCAGGCCAGCAAAGGGAGCGCAAGCCGCACCCGGCAGCCAAGCCCCCGCCATGGTCGAGTCCGAAGAGAAGCGCACACTCGGCCTTACTATCGTCCGCGGTACCCATATCGTCTCACTTTCCGTCGACGGTCCTCCGCCCGCAGATCCCTCCGCACGGTTAGGCACAAGCGCTCCCGGAGGCGCTGCAGGAGCTCCGCCGACGTTGGCGGCAGGGCCAGGCATAAGTAGGCCGGCGGGTAGAGGGTTGCCAGTAGGGTTGACCGGGCCGGCTGCTGGTGTTGGAGGACCTAGCCCTGGTGATTTCAGAGGGTTCCCGCCACCAGCTGGTTTCCCGGGTGGCGCGCCAGGCTTCCCCGGACGAGGTGGACCCCCAGGAGGACCGCCCGGCTTCCCTCCGCAAGGCTTCCCAGCACCGCCAGGAGGAGGTCCGCCGGGCTTTCAACCACCGCCTGGATTCCAGCCGCCGCCGGGGCAGGGCAGAGGGTTTCCTCCCGGTTTTGGCAGATGATCGAGGGTTGCTAGGAAGGGCAACGTCCTGGATGTTGTGTTGGTCAACGTAAAAATACACCGCGACCCTTACCTAAAAGCGTACGAGCGCTCATCAGACGAAGAAGCGTATCTAAGGTCACTCAGCGATGGCACGGGTGTTGCTCATGAGATGGTCGATGCCAGGGAGATTGAATTGGAGGAGTGCTTATCACCACAATGATGGGAATCTCGGTAGCCAGTGCCCAACAGGATTTCGGCATAGCTCGAACGGGCAAAGCAAACAATGTTAGCGATGCTGTCTCCAACCTGTGCTGTCGTTCAATAGTTTAAAACAAACATATCTGAAAGACCCCAAAAGCGCCTTCTAAGTGTTCTGCACACCGACTATCCCCATCACTACTACATAGAAAGATTCCAAGGATCTGTCCACTTGTCAAACAGCGATGTCCACCACCTGGCACGTGATCATCCCCATCGGCTCCCGCCCGACGACGGCCCGGCCCCAAAACACCAACGCCAAGCATCCGACAGCTACTGACAGCGCTTGAAGCGCGCAACTGCCCTCAATTCCCAACGACACATTCCACAATGGCGGCCGCAATACGAGCGCTCAACGCGAAGATACGGTCGAATCCGTACACCGACTACTTCTGTTCGACGCGTGCGTATACACCCTCCAGCGATGCTTTGAACCTCAACGGCTCGGCTGTGCGGAGAACTGCGAGTCGCGTGGATGTGGGAGGGTTTAAAGACAACGAGGGGACGAGGAATGGACTGGATGGCCTGTAGAGGATCCTGGCTAACTAAGATGTCAATACAGATTTCTGGGGCCCGGCCTCAAACTTCGGCATCCCCATCGCGGCGGTTATGGACACGCAAAAAGACCCTGAGATGTGCGTCTACCCCATCCTCTCCTGAACCGCGGTCACCCTCAGCGTCGCTTCCCCGAGTTCTTCCAGCGGCATGCTTCGACCACCAACCCTGCCCGCTTCACATACCCTAGCTACACTCAGCTCCGCGCCTAACACGAGTCTCAATCAACACCCCCGCTAATCCGTTCATACCTGCAGCATCTCTGGCCGCATGACTCTCGCCCTTTGCGCCTACTCCGCGACCTTTGCGCGCTACGCTCTCGCCGTCACCCCGCAGAACTGGCTGCTCTTCGGATGCCACGTCGTGAACTTCTCGGCGCAAGCGACGCAGGGTTATCGGTATCTCAACTATTGGAAGTACGTGCTCTATCCCTTCTGCATGTTGGTTGGGGGAACAGAGTGGTGTTGAGACGAGGGTGGGGAATCGGGAAAGATGGGAGGAGGTCGTTGAGACGTGAGCCTGATGTGCTGACTGAGTATAGCTTTGGCGGTAGGGAGAAGACGATGGAGGCGAAGGCGAAGGAGGGACTGGGGAGGCTGGAGGATGTGTCGAAGGACACTGTCAAGAAGGTTATGGGGGAGAAGTAGAGTGAGATGGGGCTCGAGGCTTGACGGTGGCCGGTCTTCATGCTGGATTCGTTTCGGAAGATCTTGGAGCACTATAAATAGCCTTACGTAGATGGATTCTTTTTCCTGTCTCACACCCACCGGGTTGTGTTGTGCGAGACAGAATCCACTACGGGTTGTCTTTCCGAGGAGGTCGTGTCGGTCGTGTGAATATATGTCCGTTCCTTCTGGCAGCCCATTCCGATACGAGTGTAGACAATTTCATCTCATTTCATCGGGCTTTGGAGACCACAGTCGAGTCCGCTCAAGGCGAGAAAAGTATTTGGGTCGACAGGGTCATTGAACGGCTCGAAATCACTATCAAAGGTATCTTGCTCTACCCAAAGTCATACTGCCGCCAGACACACAAGCTCCTCTACGCCGCAAACGCCACAAGCTTGAGTACTCAGACGCCCTCAATGGAAGAAAGGACATGCAAGGCCTAGAACAGGTCGTCATCGCCCATGTCTTGATCCTCATCCCCAGCCTCAATGAACACCAGCCTCGTACCTTCCGCAGCAGTTTGCCAAACCTATCACGCCAAGTCAGCAAACGCGGGCACCTCAAAAAGTCACACGCGAAAGGACGGAAACTCACATCAAGCATAGCATACTCATCAACCGCCTCCTCAAACTGATCAGCCGTAAACCCCTTCGCAAGCACCCTCTCCCTCACCCTCCTCAAATCCAACTCTCCTCTGCCCCCATCCCCCACAGCCGCGGCCCCACTCGCCGCCATGCCCCTCACAAGATTGTAGATCTTGCTGCTGGGCGTCTGATCCCCCCGTCCGCGCTCATCCGCATACAGACTCGCCTTACTCACCTCGACCAGGCGCAGCGCCTCGTCCACATCCTCGCTGATGACCTGCTCCGCGAACCGCAGCCGCGCTAGCGCCTGCGACAAGCGTAACACGCCCAGCAGCGTTCGCGGCGAGGTGTGCGTGAAGGCCTTCTTGGTCCCCTCGTCGCGCTTCTGCTGCTGCCGCATCCGCACGTAGGCGCCGACCATGTAGTCTGAGACTTCTTTCGGGACGGTGGGCCGATACGAGCGTGCACGCGCGACCCACTGCCGCACTTCGTGGGGCGAGAACAGGATCCCGCCGTCCTGGGGCTCGGGGTGGCGGTTGTGGATGTGGACATGCGTGACGTGGCGGGCGAGCTCCTCGTCCGCGTCGCGGGAGGGCGTGTCGAGGATTAGGAAGAGGACGTCGAAGCGCGACAGCAGGGCTGCGGGGAGGTTGATGTTCTCGACGGGCGAGACGCGCGGGTTGTACCGCCCGTAGAGAGGGTTGGCGGCCGCGAGGATCGAGGTGCGTGCGTTCAGGGTGGTCGTGATGCCCGCCTTGGAGATCGAGATGGTCTGCTGCTCCATCACTTCGTGGATCGCGGTCCGGTCCCCGTCGTCCATCTTGTCGAACTCGTCGATGCAGCACATGCCGTTGTCGGCGAGGACCAGCGCCCCGCCTTCGAGCACCATCTCGTCGGTTACGGGGTCTCGCATCACAGCTGCGGTGAGGCCGACGCCGGAAGAGCCCCGCCCGGTAGTGTAGACGCCGCGCGGCGCGACTTTGGTGATGTATTTGAGCAGCTGGGATTTGGCGACACCCGGGTCGCCCATTAGGCAGACGTTGATGTCGCCGCGGATGCGCATCCCGTCGCCCATCTCTTTGGTGACGCCGCCGATGAGTTGGAGCAGTAGGGCCTTTTTGACGTCGAGGTGTCCGAAGATCTCGGGGGCTATGGAGCGTGAAAGGTACTCGTACAGCTGGCCGGACCGCTCGAGCTCGTTCATTCGTCGTAGTGTGGGTTGTGCCAAAACAATCTCGTCGTAGGCTTTCTTGTGCTGGTTCACGTACTGAACCTCGAGGTACGTATCCGTGAGCAGGCCGGCACGAATGGCCTTGAAGCCGGTATACGGAGTAGGTAGGAAGATTCCACCAAGATCAACAACATCGCCTGGGTTGATTTGTCGCACCAGCGCACCATGGCAGTGGACCGTCAGCTGCCGCGGGATGTGGCCCACGGGTACTTGGTCGGCCATCTCCTGAATCTTGACCTCCTGAAACGGCAGGAACTTCGAGGCGCGTGTAGAAAGGAAGAGCTGGCCCTTTGCATTGTTCCGTACGCAGTCGGGTGACGGACATTCCACCATTGGCGTAAACTGCTTGGTCGTGACGGGCTGGAAGATCTCGCAGCCGCATCTGTCGCAGGAGTAGGCATTCACCTGCACGGAAGGCTTGACGTCGGATACGCGTGTTGTTATCCCTCGCACGGTGATGAGATGGCCGAGGTGTTCGCCTCGAACTTGCCGCACGGCGAGCGCTTTGGTGTTCCTCTCGCTCTCTGATCCGGAGGGCGTGATGGGCTTGAAGTTGAGGGTGTATCGGCGGGTCAGGGCGGCCGGGAAAATCGAGTCCGTGTCGTCTGGCATGGTATCTTCGTCTTGGGCTTCTCGTATCTTGTCATTTCTTTTCGAGCGCTGGGTCATGATAATATCTAGAACGTCATCCTTGAATCTGTCGGATTGCTGTCAGCCTAGCTTGCAGCTGAGGGGTGTGCGCTTTGACTAACGTTGGCTCTTTCGTGGGCTCCGGCATAACCTTGTCCACTGCTCTAGAGAATATCTCAACGTAATGCGCCGCATTCCGTTCAATCGAGGAAACGAGTCTGAGATCAGACAAATTTTCCGGAAGACTCTTCTCATACTGTGCCGCGTCACGTCAGCCTGATTTTCTCAACCCCGTCCCCGTGTATATGCGCACCGAATCCAGGTCGTCCAGTTCTATCAGGACTTGCGAAGTTGCTCGATCCGCTACATCTTGCAATGATTTCAAGTATTTGACTTTGGGATGTCGGTCCGATCGCCGACTCCTTGCTCCAGCATCGCCGCCGTCAGAGTCGTCCATGAAATCGTACTCGTCGCTGAGGCCATCCTCGTCGATGTTGAGGTCTCCTAACCGATCGGTGGCTTCTGTAGTGGTGGACTTGTAGGATTTGAGGAAGTCTTCGAAAGCAGCTTGAGTGTTGTGTTAGCCATGAAACACAAGGCGATTGGGGGAGCGCATTGCGCATTGTTTACCCTGCTGCTCTTCGTAATTAACCGGCGAGGGATGTGTAAGGAGCGCCATTGCGCCGAGATGCTGTGGGTAGGCGGATAGCAGAAGTAAGAAGCTGGGAGGCGCAATGCGAGTTTTTTATCACGGTTGTGTATGCTGGGGGCTCAAAGGTCAGTGTTGCGACGGTAAGCAAAGTGCAGGTGGTGTTAAAGTGGGTGCAGGAGAGTCGCGCGTCCCTGGGATTCCGTGTTCGCGACGCGCTGGTTGGGCTTGGCGCCAAATCGCCAGTCGCCGACGGTTCAGGCCTCACCGCGAAACCCATGCTTCATCAACCATTATCTACACTACCGCCTATATTAGGCCATAAGAAGTACGGAAGAGCTATCTGATTAAACTGTAGTGCGTCTTCTATTTTCATAAGAATTTTGTTGTTTTATTAGTAGGGGGTGTGGTGATGGTAAAGCGAGGCATGCTATCAGACAAACACGAGTTTCATAGCGAGATTTCCGCGGTGAGGCTTTTATCGCGCACGACGTGGACGATTCGGACGATTTGGACGATTTGGACGTCTAGAGCGCCACACGGGTGACAAGAATGCGCGGACTCCATAACCAGAAAGCAGTAAACCACAACGTAAATAATCAGGCTTTCAACATATTGACTGGGGGCTATTATAACTTTTTATCTTAGTATTTTATATCTAAGAACATGCGCACGCTACAGAGGATTGATTTAACCTAGTTACCGATTTCATTTTGCTGCAGCTTCTGGGTTTGCTGTTGATGGAGTTCGCGCATTTGTGTCAACAGGGTGAGCGCTCAGAGCCCGCTCTGAGCGCCCTGAGCCGCTCTGAGCGTCGAAAGATTTTTCCTAATGGAGTTAGCCGCGCGGATGCGTCTATCTACTTAGTGTTCGCTTAAATTATTCACTTCACAAGAAGAAAAATACTAGTAATGACTGTATTTGATCTATTATAACGGACGAATCCAAAGGAGAAGAAGCAAATACATCATCGCTGCTTTGAAGCTTTTTTTGGTATTGTCTAACCCTTGCATGTATTTCCGCGCCGTCTCGTACTTTCATCAATAAGCCCCTGTTTAGCAATGAAAGAGAAAGGAAAAGACGAATAAGAAACTAAGCCCGCTATCCTACACCCGGCGCTGCTATGTCTTCCGTTCAATGACCACCATCTATCCCTACATTCTTTGATATCTCCTGACTGCTACAGCTCTGGTCGTGCATTTCGGAGTCATGGTGGCAGTGTATGTCATGGACGTCGTCTTAGTCGTCCAGTACGTGGACGTTGTAGACGTGTGTGTCGCCTTGACCGTCTTAGTTGACTTGGCCTTACCTTTGGTGACAGTAGAGGTGGGTCGGCCACCGTTTTTCTTCGTTGACGTGACGGTGACTGTTTTGGTCGCTGGCTGCGCGCGTTTGTCTTTGGCGGCGGCCTTTGCCGTAGAGGTGCACTGCGGTGCCTTTGCAGTCTTTGTAGTCGACATGGTCGACGTTTTCGTGGTGGTGGATGTACACTTCGTGTAAGAGGTGGCGACTGTGTCTGTGACGGTAGTGGTGGCGACGGTGCCGCTGGCTGTTACTGTCACTGTACTGGCCGGGCTGGCGCTTTCAGTGACAACGACAGTAGAAGTTATCGTTACGGTCGAGGCTAAGATGGTGTTAGTCAGCAAGCACTTGGGAAGTGGACCTGGTGCCGAATGGAGAAAGTGATGGAAATAAAGGTCGGAAAAGGTCGCTTAATGGACATACCTGGTGTTGTGGTATAAGCTGCGGTGGATGTCATCATCGTGAGTGTTGTCGGGCTGGCTGTGGTTGACGATGCGGAAACGGGTGCACCGCAGCTGCCTTGAGCACTGATTGTATCCTGGATCAGCGTCACAGCAGCAGTGAGTGCGTAAAGGCCCCCCTGAACTGTAACACCTGCATTGCCAGTGATGGAAGCAGAAGCCAAGATGTTCCCAGCAAAGTTCGTCGTCGTTCCAAGTGTAGCGGAGCTTCCTACCTGCCAGTAGACGTTGCAGGCCTGGGCACCGTTGATCAGAACCACCTGGGAGGCCGAAGCAGTCGTAAGAGTGGATCCGAATTGGAAGACGAACAGGGCGTTGGGATTGCCTTGGCCGTCAAGCGTGAGTACGCCGGTGAGGCCGCCGGAGGAGGCGAAATTGTATACGCCCGCAAACAAGGTCATGCCTCCAAGATCCTGGCCCGTCAGGGAGGTCGTGGGCGTCAAAGCAGCTAACGCGTTGTACGCGCTCGTGGCGTCGTCGCGGGCAGCTTGGGCCGTGGCATCGCCGCCAAATACTGGGCCGGAGATACCGGGTGGGAATCCGGTGATGGAAGTTTCGTCGTTGGGGAAGATGCCGAGCTGGCCGTCAACGATTGTTGCTCCGGTGCTGGTTATGGCGGTCGTCGCGACTATCCCGAAAGGAGCGGCCCTTCCGAGGCTTATTTGCGCATCAGTGAGTGCAGCCAGTGCAAGTCCGCAACAGAATGTGGCTAAAGAGAGCATGTTGTATAGTAGGCAGATGCTTAGAGGTTCGATCTATGTATGAGATTGTAGAATGGTTGCTGGGGGATGTATCGAAACATGATATTGGGAGCTGATGAAGGGCTCTTTATAGACCTGGCATGCTTCACCCAAGCACTGTTCCCTCAAGCACATGCTAGAATGCAGAGAAGAATATCGATCGAGGTCGCAAATCAACAGGGAACCATCGGACCAAAGTTCGATGTTCGCGATGGCAACTATAGTGGGTCCTGTATGAAGGCGACTGTCTAAGAGGTGAGAGTGAGCTGTGTTGTTGGAGCTAGCATTCTGGATTGCCTGCGGACTGTCCAGAAGTGAACGGAATAGGTATAGGGTCTAAGATATCTCCTACATACTCGGAGGCATCCCCATAGTGGGTAAAAGAGGGCGTATGAAAGCATTTATTGAGAGCTAGAGGGATATACCATGTTGAAGCTAGAACCGATGCGTGCTCCGAGACTGTCTGGAGCATCCCTAGATCGGAACTTCATACACATAAAAAAGATTTGCATTAACGCAATGATTTGAAAACCCGTATGTAACGTGACAGTAAAGCTAGCAACGTGAAATGAGCGAGAAGTATGCCCATATTCGTCAGAGCTGAGTGCAACGAACCTTTACAAAGATTGGATACACTAGGTTGAATGAGAGCCTAGTTAGTATAAGGTGTGCATAGAAAGACAAAGTGAGATACGGATGTCCAAGCCGCAACTTGCCACCAGCTGAACAAGCATCATACTCGATAGAAGTAGTTGTTTTCGGTGTTCGAAGTTTGAAATTTTTTCCAGTGCCATCTGCCTTTGAGGTTTGAGAGATACACCCACTGAAGATCTGGTCGTCGACAAACATAGGCAAGATATTTCCAGTAGGGATACACGTCTTTCGACCAAAGGCGCTCAAATCTTGGATGGAAGCCGTTCCACCAGATGCACGATCGTCGCCGGTAGTGTCGGCGTACGGAAAGTGAGAATGTGCATACCCGATCTGGATTCAACGCTACCTGCTGCATGGGTAGAACAGTAGAGAAAAAACGCCAAACCGATCAGGGTCGTGGCAAACGGCTCTCCCAGTGTAGTTCGGATGCTAGAGGCTGTGATGCTATTTGCCGCACACAGCAGTGACAGCACCCCTGCGACTGTAGTCCACAACTGGGACAGACCTGATCCCCCGATAGAATTGAGAGGGTCATAGTGAAGGCCTTAGGCAGTTTCACTGACAGTCGAGTATGAGACGGATGTCGAAAGGGGCGAATTAAAGGACGCATCTACCGATTTTTAGAATTCTTTGATACGTGTTCTAGTGGAATTCCTCAGTGGGATGACGTAGCCACAGCTGCTGCGTACTGTACTCCCTGATACTCTGGCAGCCTCCCTGATTATCCTCACAGGAGGAAAGAGTACACTAATTGAGAAATACGGGAGATTCTTCCTCAGCAGTTTCCTTGCGGAGTTCATGAGGCTGATTGAGGTAGTGTCGCTAGCTGTAGATCGTAGGCCTAGCCTCCCGGTAGATCGAGCGATTGGTTATTTCTCCACCACCACACCCTATTTCCTGAGTGGTTTACGGGGACTTCCGTGATTGATCTGCAGGGAGGGACACTACATCACCTGCAATGCGGAACAAAACAGGTCTAGCTATGAGCGTGGTGGAATGGGCGTGTTCAAGAGCGCGCCCCTTAGGCCCCATCTAACGTACTCTTTTGGATCACCTTCTGCAGTGGGTAAACACATCTATCCAAGCTCTTGTCTCTTACAACTAACTACGCACCACTTCCATAACACGGCACAACCCAGTTGTTCCAAAGCTCCTGTTCCGTCCATTCCATGATGTTTGGCCGTTAGCGTTCGCTAGGACGGTATACTGGCGCCCAGAAGGCTGCGCTCGGCTAACGGCTAACATGGCGCAACCTCTAACCCGGCGTCCGGACCGAGTAAGCTTTCGATCATGGAGATCGGGACGGCTGCCCTGCGTTCCTATTTGTCACTTACCGAGACACACCACGGACCCACCGTTCGGCGATCCCATGTCCAACGCCTATGCCTTTTTGTTAGCGGGTCGCAGTATCCCTCTGAATTGCCCTACATGGCTAGGCGTCGTCAAGTGTTACACTCGAAGCGTGGGGTCTAAGTGCCGCGTCCTCCGCAGCCCAATGAAGGGAGACAAGGTAATGGAGTTGACGGCAGTATCAGGGATTACCACACCTGCATACACAATGCCCTAGCTGATCAGGACATCCAGACGCATGTGTGTAGCGACACTAAGAAGCTTCCCAGCCGGTCGGTGGCGAACAGACGATCCCACGCGTCTGTCACGTTAACATCACTGACGACGTTGCAGGTGAGCACAAATTACAGAGTAAGCCGTCACCCGCGGATTCCGTCCAACTGGAGTTGACGCCAGCCGCCTTCCACCGGTTGAAAAGATATTCGAACCCTCCTGAAAAGGGCCAGTTGTTGAGCTTGACGTCGAGTACCCCATGAGCTCTCTGAAGCTCTCACTAGACAATCTATGGTCGAAACCAACTTTCCGCCATTCCCGCCCCTTCCACGGGCCCAAGTGTCGCCCTCTTTAGTCTATAATAGTCAGCTATGTGCGGGCCAATAAGCCCTGCCTGCTAGCGTTGTACTCTTTGTATGTTTTTGAGGCAAAATAGTACGAGGCTAACAGGGAGAGGCTCTCCGGCCCGTGCATGGCTGACTCTGATACTGTTCTGCTTTGACTTCGGTCGATGCAAATAACAACCGCCCTCCGCCTCGCCCTTCGTGCTCCGCACGTTGTCGACACAGTTGCGGGACTCAGAAGAGTACCTACATCACAAACTCCTAATTACTACCTTTACCACCGACTCTAGAGTGATTACAAGGCTCATGGGCGAAGGAAAACAAGGCTCTCAGCTTTCGGTTAGCTGTCTGAGGCTTCAAACTCAACATCATCTGTAGTGGTTGGTTACATCGCGGTGTTGGTAAATTTCGCAGAGCCCTAAACATCGTGAGAGAAGACCCGTGGCGCTCGTCAGCCTCGTAACAACCCCCTAATCATCGCGCTCACCATTGCCTTCTTCATCATCTGGTTCACGCCAACGGTCGGCCCGACGTGTCGTCACTTCCACTCTTCGGCATCTTCGCCGTATGGCTTCTTAGCTGCGCATGCACTTCCCTCTCTTTTCGGTTCATGACCGGTGTCTACCACTGGTGTCTCACTACCGCGAAGGACACCCTCATCACTCTTCCTGTGCTGGCGATGATGTTCCACTCCAGCAGCGGTCTTTTCAACTCATGCTGGTGCTGGAGCGGGGTATATTCTCGAGGTCTGGCGCGCGCAGTTGTGTTGCTGGACCCAGATCCAGTGCGGAAGCACAACGCCGAGACGATATACCCTGGCCTGGTGACTGCGTGTCTAGTAATGCAGCGGATAGTGTTTGTTGTGATGTTGGGGGTCAGTAGGAGGGGAAGAAGTCTGACGAGGAGGAATGAGAGCACAAAGATGAAGGACTTTTGGACGGTGCATCGGCGGATGCGTGAAAGCGCCGAAGAGCCATGGGAGAGAAGGGGTAGGAGTAACGATATTGAGATGGATACGCCTGGGTTGTCCCCGGTTGATATCTCGGCGATGGCGCCTCTGTTGTGCGTGGGGCCAGGTAAACCCTAAGTGAAATAGGACACTGAGGAGGTATCAATATTAAGCCAAGCATGAATGAAACATCTGGAACGGCCCCTTCAGTGGCCTCCCTCTCCTATTGCCGCTAAACAATAAGGTCGCCGCTTAGTTGGTCCATCACCACTAAGGCCTTAGAACTCTTCGGCATCCCTCCACGACGTGCGGATGGACGAACACATCTGATGTGTGAAACGATGCTGTTACCGTAAATGATGTTAATCTATGATAGACTTAAACGTTGCCATGATGTTGGGCGGGATCATCCAAATGCTCCCGCTTGCGTCATCCTGCCAAGCTCCCTAGCACTCGAGATTTACTCTTCGCATCCAAACTACTTCGTAATTACTCGCCCTCCACGAGCCATTGGTTTGCGCTCGTCGCACCCAAACCTCGAAACATGCTGCTAAATTACCTCTCAGCGTTGCTGTTAGCCATCACGACCTTCAGCCACGCCCAACAGCTCCCTCTCCGCGAACCATCGGAACAAGAAGCTGTTCCAGTGCTCTCCGGCGCCTCTTCCCGCGACCTCCTCAGCCTGCACCGCGAGCTAGTTTCCTTCGAGTCCATTACCGGCAATGAGTATGAAGCAGGTCAAGCACTGGTTGACTACCTCGAGTCCAAGCATTTCACAGTTGAGCGACAGGAAGTGTCCCACAAGCGCTTCAACGTCCTCGCCTATACCGGAAAGAACAAGTATACGAAGACGCTCCTGACAAGCCATATCGACACCGTATAGCTCCCTCCCACCCAGCAGCGAAGCGAGAGCTCTGACAACACCCCAGGTGCCCCCCTTCATACCCTACACCCACCCCCCCCCCACCCACGCCCACCCCGCCCGCATCTCCGGCCGCGGCACCGTCGACGCCAAAGCCTGCGTCGCAGCCCAGATAATCGCAGTCCGCAAGCTACTCTCCGACAAGTCTCTTTCTTTCCCTTCCGATGCGCTCTCGCTCCTCTTCGTCGTCGGCGAAGAGACCGGCGGCGATGGCATGCGCGCCTTCTCAAATACTCTAGCTGGCAGCGGCCACAACTACAGCACCGTTATCTTCGGCGAACCGACAGAAGGGAAACTAGCGAGCGGGCATAAGGGTAACCTGGGGTTCAGGGTCAAGGTGGCGGGCAAGGCGGCGCATTCCGGGTATCCGTGGTTGGGCGTCAGCGCGAACGATGTGCTGATTGAAGCGCTGGCGATCTTGAGAAAGATGGCGGATGGGAGGCGGTTGCCGAGCTCGGAGAAGTACGGCAACACGACTCTTAACATTGGGACGATTGAGGGCGGAGTTGCGGCGAATGTGGTTGCGGAGAAGGCGGAGGCGAACATTGCGGTGAGGGTTGCGGGCGGGACGCCGGCGGATTCAAGGAAGGCGGTTGAGGATGCGTTGGCGGGGGTGAAGAAGGCGGCGGAGGGAAGGGGGGGCAGATTGGAGGTGGTGTGGGGGAGTGAGGGATATGGGCCTGTGGATATCGATTGCGATGTCAAGGGCTTCGAGTGCATCACGGTGAACTACGGTACGGATATACCGAACCTGAAGGGAAGCCATAAAAGGTATCTGTATGGGCCAGGCAGCATCTTAGTTGCGCACGGGCCGAACGAGGGACTAGAGGTGAAGGAGTTGGAAAGGGCAGTCATCGACTACGAGAAGCTCATCAAGGCCTCGTTGGGCATGTAGCGGGGAGATCCGCTCAGCAGATGCGCCCAGCTCTGCAAATTGCGCCGTATATGGTCTGTGCAGCGGAGACAAGAAGGCTTCGAACAGGATTGCTTTTACTGGGTAAGCACGCGCAGTCAACGAGAATCCCGACAACGGAGACTAATATGCCAGTCCAAGGTGGCTCGTTATTGCTCTGCAGTGGACTTTAACTGTGGCTACCATCAAGGCGCGCTTTGTGCAGAAGCCATTGGTTTGTAGAGTGAGGGCAGATGAAGAGGCTGGCACTCTGACCGAGATATAGAGCTTGTAGAAACCTCAGAGATAGCCGCAGCTTATTCACTACGGAATCGATATATTGATAATCTTGATATCCTCCTCAGGTTTCTCCTTGTAGACCCTTGTGTTCTCTATCCTGTGGACAACATCCAAACCTTGGATGGCTCTGCCGAAGATCGTGTGCTTATTGTCAAGCCAAGGCGTCTTCTCGGTCGTGATAAAGAACTGCGAGCCGTTGGTGTTTGGACCGGCGTTTGCCATGCTGACCGTGTACGGCTTGTCGTGCTTCAGCGTTGAGAACTCATCCTCGAACTCTTTCCCCCAGATGCTCTCACCACCGGTACCGTCGCCGAGGGGATCGCCGGTCTACTTCTGTCAGTATTGATACGTTTAGCGGGGTCCACGGACGCGTACCTGGATCATGAACTTTCGAATGACGCGATGAAAGATAATGTTGTTATAGTAGCCGTTCTTGGCGTGCGTGACGAAGTTCTCTACTGCCTTCGGGGCGGCATCCGGGAAGAGCCGAACATGTATGTCGCCATACGTCGTGTGAATAATGGCAGACGAAGCGCTCTCTGCTGGCTTCGCCTCAGCTTGTTGACGGTTGTTGATATTACGCGGCTTCTCGTTCTGAATGTCACGTCCAGATTTACTGATGCTGCGTAGAAGTTAATGTGACTGCCCTGATACAAAAGTATGTTCGGCTTACTCTTGCTCGTTGGTGAACATGTAGAAGCGAACTTTGCCGGAACCTGTGGCCACGAGCATGGCATCTCGGGCTTCAGCCTCCTGGAGCAACGGGTTGTCGCTGGCAGCCATCTCCACGGTCGTCACTCCCTTCTTCTCTGGCTGTCCTTGGTACAACGCAAGATTCAGGGGTCTGAAGGGCTCCTCTCTTCCGTATACCTTGACTACCCGATTGGTGAGCGTATTAACGACTTTGGTCCCAAGAATGGAACCGTAAAGGATGAAATTTCCAGTCTCGTCGAAGATGACGTTGATCCTGCTCCGTAAGGCGGGATGTTCTATCTCGCGCTCAACGGCTATTCTCCGGCCGAACTCAACATCCTCTAGCCTCTGCAGCGCTGTGCCGGCCTGCTGCATGTCGGTGATGGTGCTGAGAGACTCGTCGTACGTCCGGTGCAACTTGCCGGACGCGAAGTCAAAGACCCGCACTTGCCGGTCCGGGAAGGAGAATGTCGCGAACTGGGAACCGGTTGGGGACATGGTGATGGAGGTCGGTACAGATTTTGCCTTCTTGAATTCGAAGAGATTTGTTGAGCTCTTCATCGCGAAGACATTGTCAGGCTTCTCATACGTTCCACTCGGGCGCCAATACTCCAGCATGCCGCCTTCATCCGCCGACACAACGCAGTCATACTCATTGTTGTATGCCATGAGCGTCACTGGCCTCCGATGCAGGCTCTTGAGCGTGTGCAATGGTTCCTGGTTCTCCCCCCGTCCATCGTACACCCGAATTAACGGAGAATCCTCGAAAGACACGGCTAACAGAGGCAGCGAAGCCCCCCGATTATGCACCCAGCATACAGACTTCGGTGTCGCATCCAGCGTGAGTATGGCCAGGAGGTCAAAAGTGATCACATCGAAAATCTTGACGGTCTTGTCAGCGCCTGCTGTTGCGAAACTCCTCCCGTCTGTACTGATGCTAGTGCTCTTGATCTCGCCGTTGTGCGCTCTGAACTCCTTGACAAAGTCTATCGCTCCGAAAGTCTTCTTCCAGAACTTCACAACGCCATCCACAGAGGCTGTAATGAGGAAGTCGGTGTATGGAGTAAAAGTGGTAAAACACAGCTGATCCTTATGCATCAGCGACTTCGAGTATTGGGTAGAAGCCGGTAAGGCTGCGACGTAGAGCTTTTCGTATGGTAGCTTGCGGCGCTTCTTCTTAGGTGCAGTAGAGGGAAGAGCGGGTCCGAAGTCATCGTCTTCGGAAGAGGTGTCTGCTGAAGATTCAATCAGCTCAGGACAAGGCTGGGGTGATGGAGCTTGGAGGCATTGTCTACCGTCGTCCTGCGCATCGCCGGTGCTGTTCGCTGTCATGGTCTCTTCCATCTCGGACCTCGAACGCTTGATTGAATGTGATGTAGCATCGGTTGCCATGATTCGCGTATATAGCCTGCGGCTCGTCCGGATAGTTTTTGAGTCGCGCGGCGACCGTTCCTTTCCTGTGTTGGAGACGGGGAAGCTACTCAGGCAGCGAGAGGCAGAACACTCCAGGTGTTGCTAAGGTATATGTATTCGCGCCTACCGTCCGCGCTTGTCAACCGCGTCGTGAGGCATGAGCCGCAGCCTTGGCGACACGTGCTCGCGTGACGCTACCCGCTTGTGCTTCAACCACCTGGGCATCTTCTCCTTGCCATCCCAGGTCCCAGCTAGAGTTTCTCCCACATCTCAAGATAGCCAGCTTTCCCGCCCCGTGATAACTCAACTGCTTCATCATGTTCCACGATCGAACGGATGTAGTTGTCTCGTCGGTCTTGCCGCCATCATCTCCAGCAATGGACCTCAACTCGAACCAGCTTACGCATCGCCCATCCCGCCAAAGGATGAACACAGACCGCAGAATTTGAATGTCGGGACACATGGGATTCCGCTCGCTTGGCCTTATTCTGCAGCCAAAGACTAGCTGATCGATGGCACTGCCGCTTCTGGTAAAGCATCCAACTAAGGCTTTCCAATTCGGAAGGCCCAGGACTGATCAGGCAAGGAGTGGACATGCTACCGTCAAGATCATCCACGTCTTGCCAAGAACTGTCTGGCCCCAACGACCTAGCTTCTTACACAAGAACGCACCGCTTATGCATCATCATGCGGATTGCCTCCGCTCCGCTCCCGTCCGTAAACGCTGGTCTACGGAGTTTTGCATCCCGATTCAACTTCTTGATCCCCAGAGCTTGCGGTCAGGAATCGCGGAAAACTCTCTCAGGAGTCTGCACTCAAGCCCGGCTGGCGGCGAAGGTAGCTGAACATAACAACAAGGTACACGCGAGCAGCGCTATGCTATTCGATCCTGCACCTGGCCGTTACCACCCACATTCCACGGGTATATCGAACTCGACGGTGTCTTTCAGATTCGGCTATTTGATATAGGGGTCTCGCGTTTTGAGGAGACCCTTCTTCCGCTGAGGTATGTACGCTACATCGTCTTTGAGTGTCAGTGACCCCTCCCTGAGACACGCGCTCCCCGTCCTGCGTCCATATTTACACTAGATTACAATGGCACGCGGATAACAGAAATGGCCGGACTCGCAAATTGCCGAAACTTATCCACGTTCACCACGTTTATAAAGATCTTTATTGTGACCGTTTCACTTCTAGTTATGGCTTCAACGCGCTTATGAGGTTATATGCGTCGCCTTACGCATAACCCCCTGACTTGACTCTACTATCGTATTTCACCATGAAGCCTTCAATCGACAGTCAACGCAGTACCCTACCAGTGCGTGCGTTTTCGAGTCCGGCGACTTTTGTCACTCGGGTGAATGGTCACATCCAATGCTGTGAGGTGTAGAGGCCGAGAGCGATCGATTCGCGTCAAAGTTCGCTTTGCTTGCTGAGTGTCCCGCCGGCTCGGGGGAAAGAGAGCCGGGAACCGACAGATCGGGACAGGGAAACGCGATGCTGGGACCGGGATGTGGAGGCGGGAGCAGCCGACCAGAATCTGGGGTAGTCGATACGTCTGAGGGGTGAAAAGATCTTATTAACCTCGTCGACCTTCTCCGCCGCCATGGATCCTTTCTGCAGCAGTACTCAAGCCTTAGCTGGCGGTGCATTGTTGTTACTTGGTCCATCCATACACCAGAAACTACCATTATGTGGACTTCTGGGCTACTGGCGCTTGCCGCCTTTGCAAAATGGCCCTCACTAGTCGATGCTGGTTCTACCGGGGCGCATGGACGCGACCTTGAGTTTCAGAACCCACCTGTGCAGTATCGAGCCAAATTCCGGTATTGGTACGCAGACCTAGAACCATGGGACTGAAGACGCTCCTCGTGCTCCTGAGCCTGGTGTTCGAGTCCACTGAGTGGAACGGGAAGTTCTACCTTATGCTGACCTTGACTCAGGCTGCCAGATGCCAGCGTACCACTCGACGTTGTTGCTAGTGACATTGCCAATATATCCTCAGTTGGCGCCGGCGGCCTCGAGTTCTTACCCTTCTACCTTTATGGTTTTCGAGACAACTCCGCAGTGCCCTTACCCGACTGGGCGACATATGGATTTGGCACTCCTGCTTTCAACGAGATCTTTAAAGGCGCCTTGCAGGCAGCGCAAGACAACAGAATTCTAATGGACTTTTCAGTAGGGGCAAACCAGGGTCAAGGAGTGCCCTCGATGCCAGAGACGCCAGGCCTTGCTGTCCACTTGGTAAAGCTCCGTCTTCGTGCAGAGTCACGAATTTCCGCTCACTAACGGGGTAGTTGGCCGGCAATGCATCAATTGCTTCCGGTGACACTTTCAACGGTCCGGTACCGCCACCGGAGCCGCTCAGTCCTTTGCTCCTTTCAGGCCTAGGATTTATACATACACTGGAGCAGTTCGGGACGCCTAACCTCACCGCTGTCATTGCGGTAGAGTTTGTTTCATGTGAGAAGGATATTTTGATAGTGGTGAAATTGGCTGATCTAGGTAGCATACATCACCAATGTGACCTTTCCCTTCTTGGGCGACGTTCCAAGGTCCATGGTGCAGCTTAACGGTGATTCCGCCGTTGACCTCACGGATTCCGTCACGGACGGCTCCTTGTATTGGACTGCTCCGTCAGGAAATACCACTTGGAGAATCTTTACCTTTTGGGAGAAATACACCAATCAAAGATCAGTTGATGGCGGAGAGAATGCTACCGATTTCATCGGGAACGGATCTTGGACCGTGGATCATTTCAGTAGGACGGGCGGCAGCCGCACCACAGATTTCCTAGATCAGTACGTTCTCTTTGACGCAGATATTCAGAGTTTACTACGCTCGGTAGGACAGTATGGTATGTCATTTTTCCATTGCCTTGAGCCTGACCTTGCTAAATCGATGCAGCTTGGGAAGATAGCATAGAAATGTTAGCAACCCTTTACTGGACGCCGGGTTTCCTGCAGCGGTTTGAAGAAGCTCGAGGTTACAGCCTGACCAAATACCTCCCATTACTCTATGTCCCGGCCAACAGCTGGGGACCAGGCATACCGGTGTATCCAGAACAATATTCATACGGCAACCTCACTGTCGATGAGACATATAACATTGACTATCGAACCACTCTCAACGAAGGATATCAGGAGTATCTCAGGCAATTCAGCGAATGGTCTCACTCGAAAGGTGTCGAGTACTCACACCAACCCGCTTACAATCTCCCACTCCAGATGGTGAGCGTTGCCCCCTGGGAATATGTAGTCCTATTGGAGTACCGTGGCTGATTGTTGTCTGACTTTTGATAGCTTAGCGACATTCCTCTCGTTGATGCTCCGGAAGGTGAATCGTTAGGATTTCAAGAACTCCTTGACGCGTATCGTCAATTTAGCGGACCAGCACATCTTACTGGCAGGAACGTTATTTCATCGGAGGTCGGCGCAGTCATGATCCCTCCATACTCGCTATCCATTCCCGATCTCTTATTTCGCATAAAGAGGTCATTCGCTGGAGGCTTCACCATGATGGTAATCCATGGTTCGACCTACTCTGGACCCTATGCTGGGACGACATGGCCCGGTTACACAACGTTCTTTTACGCGTTCACTGATATGTGGAACAGTATACAGCCTGCCTGGCAGCACCTGAAAGATTCCATGGACTACATCGGCAGAAATCAGTTTGTCCTTCAGAAAGGAGTCCCTAGGGTTGACCTTGCTCTCTACCTTTATACCGCACCTTGGACCGTCACGAATCGTTATCCATCGACAAATCTACAAGACCTTGGTATGTCGCTCGGTTTTCCTCGTCTCCCCCGAGTTATCTGAGCGCTAACGGAAAGGCCAGGGTACACGTATGACTACCTTGGACCAGATAATCTGCAAGCGCAGGAAGCGATCGTGAACGGAAGCACTCTCGCCCCCGATGGGCCAGCCTACAAAGCCCTAGTGTTCGCTTCGAATCAGACCGTCATCTCCGCGACGGCCGCTGAAAGCGTTCGCAAGCTCGCAGGCGATGGGCTACCAGTCTTCTTCGTGGGATCAGCGCCAGACCAGATCCTGTCTGCTGCTAGCGAGGACCAAGCAGAGGTGCTCGCCATCATCAGAGAGATCCTCTCACGTAGTAACGTCCATCGGGTGGCAAGTATAGAAGATGTTCCAAGTGCATTAGCGGGCGCAGGAATCCTTCCACGGACATCGTTGCGATGCTCAAGCGGACCAGTATACACTGCTTGGAGGTCAGACCTTGCCAATGGATCGGAATACGTTTTTGTCTACAATGATCAAGACGTTGCGGCTTCTTGTGAAGCCAGCTTCACAACGCAAGCGGGAGCTGTACCATTCATTTATGACGCCTGGGCCGGAACACGCCAACCGGCGTTGCAGTATACTCGAAGTGGTTCGTCAATCACTATGCCTCTGCGACTGCAAGCAAATCAGACAATGATCGTTGGTTTTGAGAGTTCGCGGAAAGGCCGTTCATCTGCGCCAAAATGTGCTATATCCAGCTTCAGCGGCGCTGTGGCTTCTCTCGGCTCCTCGCAAGGCGGGCAGATCTACGCAAACATCATTGGTCCCGCAGAGATCATATCCGTGTCGGGCAAGCGCTGGTCCTTCGATGCCTCACCACCCTCACCTACCGATCTAAGCACTTGGGATCTCAGCATCGAAGACTGGCATGCGCCGCCAGACCCTTACGAGGTTGAAACTGCAATCACGATGCACTATTTCAGAAATCAGACCCTTGTGCCCTGGTTCAGCCTGGGGCCCGGTTTCGACGCGGTGAGCGGCGTAGGAAGGTACAATACGACGTTCGCAGTGCCCGCAACAGCCACGGGGATACGTCTCGGCGCCATATTGTCTCTCGGACCCGTCGTGAATACCATGCGCGTATCCATCAACAGCCAGCAACTCCCTCCTATTGATCCGAGCAACCCCGTTGTAGACGTATCCAGCTTCCTTCGGTCCGACTCGACGAACTCTATCATGGTTGAGGTTACAACGACGCTATTCAATCGTATCAAAGCCACCGCAAACTCCACTATGGTCGTTGGTGTATCTGCATCCAGTGTTCAGCCAGGATACGCATCGTCGCCGCCACAAGAGTACGGGTTGTTAGGTCCTGTGTCGATCCAGTGGACGATACAGGAGGATTTGATAGGGGATGACTCATGCTAGTGGGGAAAGAACCCGCGGCTTGCGTAAGGCTTTGGCTGCTTGTAGCGCTTCCTGCGCCTACTGAAGGATACGGCTAAGGTAGGGGAAGACAACAATTAGCACGCAGCTGGCCGCACGGATGACGCCGCTTCGACAAACTTGGTAAAGCCATGTACATAGAAAATGCCAGTGAAGATGAGATGTTGTCAGTCGTTCAACCGAGTGACTTGCTCAACCGCTCCGAATATTGACAAGAAACCCCGCCGCTTTCTTGCTCTAACCGAGCAATATGCCCTCTTTGCATCGGGCCTTTCCAGTTTCACACATCAAATGATCCAAAGACTCTGCAAATGATTCTGTTCAGGTGCTAGAGTCCCCAAGTCTTCAAACAAAAGACTCCGCACCACTTTTAGACCTAAAATTCCAACGAATACTCCAGGCGTCATGCACGGTCACGGAATCACTTTGAATGGCCTCGTGTGGTTCATGCGGAAAAGGGACCCCGTAAACCCTCTACTTTTCCATTAGTGTGATTACTTCGCCGTCGGCGACAAGCTTTGAACATGCCCGCATATATCGCTTATCTACCACCCTCCATGACTGAGCTGAAGACTAGTGAGGAAGTTAGTGCAAGGCTTAGACGTTCGGATACAGGTGCAGAGGAATGCTACGCTTGGCATGCCGTCCCAACTAGAGAGCTAGAAAGTTCTCCGCCACTTGGAGTGAATGACTTGCAACAACAAACAGTTCGATTCAAAGCCCAAAGCAAGAACTTGACTCACCTTAGTAGAGGAGCTCAACCCCGCCGGCTCGAAGATCCATGACTTTGCCAATTCCAGAGGTGAATCGGCTAGCTCAGCAGGTACTACGGAGTACACACAGGGTGTCCATTAGACGGTCCGGTTAGCGCAAGACCGACCGACTGCGTCGCTAGTCCTAGTCTGTCGATCTAAGTCGCTAAGCTTAGTCTGTCGGTCCGAAGCCGCTCGACGGGCTCGTCCGACTAGCCGACTAGTCTTGGTATAACTTAGTGTAGAGCTAGGATGAGTATAGGGCTAGCTTTAGTCACGTGGCGATAAGATAAGCCTAAGCTAGCCGTAGCTAGTACATCTTACCTACTTTTAGCTTAGATTTACCTCTTAGTGATCTACTTCGTCTAGTCTAGTCGGTCGGTCCGCTTAGCCTTATTTAGCTAGTCTGTAGGTCCGCTAGCCTATCTTAGCTAGTCCGTCGGTCCGGAGGCCTTGGACGAGGACCGACCGTCTAATGGACACCCTGACTACACAAAAGTGTGATCTGGAGATGGGATACCGGTCGATGATTGTCATCTCGCCGGAAGTGTGAACCTCAATGCGGCCTCGGACTCTGTACGGCGGGCCTGGAAATCGTCCACAGCCTTCTGGAACCGGCATCGTTTGTTGAAATCCGTCACACGTACCAGTACAACGTCTCCGTTGATTTCATTGCGTTCTATTACCGCTCGCTCGGAGGCCACTCTAGGCTCCCTTGGAAAGCAATACGAGAAGCCGGTGAAATCGGTAGCTGAGAGCTTGATGTGCTTCTATCAACCTTGGGAGGGCTGCCGCTATCCTTGTTGCCATCTGGTATGAAACTGGCCGCCGCCTTTCGGTTGGCACGTGATATTCAATAGAAGCGATCAACGTGACAAGGCAGCTGTAGCGTAACCCAAGATGGCCCAAAGTGCTCTTCTTCAGCTGCAAAGGAAGCAATGGTATGGGTATTCGTGGAGCGCTTGCGATCACGACAGTAGATGGACTGAGAGAATGTAGCCTCATGGCACGGCTGCCATGTCCTGGCGTGCTGCCACTTTTGCTAACCTACCATAGCCGATCATTAGATGTTCTAACAGACGGACAGACAAAGCAAGCGTCGTTTGAAACAATCGTGAATCGCGTAGGTGCCGCTGGAAGACGGCCTCGACTGAGGGAACGGCCTACTGTAGAGGGCAATCCACCACTTGACATTGTGGCCATACCAATGCACGTCCGCTGGTATCAAGAATTATTCTAAGTCGCGTGGTGCAGTCCCGTAGCAGAGTCGTGGCCCTTTCACGAAGCCTCAGAGGATGGTCATTGTTCTTCTGAACTGAAGAATGAATGCCTTGGCGCTCGGGATAGCCGGAAACGGAAGTCGCGAAGTCCGCAGAGCCGACGCGCTTTCGTCGCTCGACCACTTCCTCTACTAATTTTACCGGAAAACACACGCCTGCAATCGTAAACGCGCTTGGAAGCAGAATGCCTAAATACGCAGAGGATCCAGCATGGAGCGATGTCGAGCCCCTACCGCAGAACGATGGCGGACCCAATCCGCTGGCTGCAATAGCCTACACCGAAGAATACAGCGAAGCGATGTCCTACCTACGAGCGGTCATGGCGAGCAATGACATGAGCGAGAGGGTGTTGGATCTTACAGAGGATATCATCAACATGAATCCTGCGCACTATACCGTCTGGTAAGCTGGACTCTCCAACCGAACCATCGAGTACGCAGCCTAACAAAGAACCACGGCAGGCTGTACAGAGCCAAGGTCCTCTTCAATCTGAACTACGACCTCCGCAAAGAGATAGACTGGCTCAACGACACGGCCCTCAAGCATCAGAAGAACTACCAGATCTGGCAACACCGGCAAACCATCATCAACCGGCTAGGCTCGGCAGATGGAGAGACAGCATTCATCGCGAAGATGTTTTCCAAGGACCCGAAGAACTACCACGTCTGGAGCTATCGGCAGTGGCTTGTGCGGAGGTTCGAGCTGTGGGACGAAGGCGAGATAGAAGCTGTGGAAGGCATGATTAAAGAAGACGTGAGGAACAACTCGGCATGGAATCATCGGTGGTTCCTCGTTTTCGGGCGGGATTCGAGCGCGCACAAAGAGCAGGATGTGATTGAACGTGAGCTTGAGTACGATGTTCTCCGGCCTCCTGCCTGCTCACTCACCCGTACTGACAATGGTCTTAGATATGCCAAGAAAGCCATTGTTCTCGCGCCGCAAAACCAAAGCCCATGGAACTACCTCCGTGGCGTCTTGCGCTACGCTGAGCTGCCAGTTTCTCACGTGAGGGATTTCGCCTTGGGATTTGCACCTGCGGACTCGCCCGATGATGTCCGCTCAAGTTATGCCCTGGATCTCCTGGCCGACGTCTACGAGGAACAACATCAGAAAGAAGAGGCCATCAAGGCACTGGACTTGCTCGCCACAAAGTACGATCCAATACGGGCAAGATATTGGGAGTACAAGAAGAACTTGCTAGAACAGCCTACGGCCGCCGCATAATAGGGAAAGCTTGAGGCGTAAGATGTTTGGAAGTCGGTACGCCATTACGCTATCACATAAGATACCCGCATTGTTGGAGTTTTGGAGGGTTACCCATTACACGAGGTGTAGGATTTTGTTCGGAGTTATATCTCCCCTTGCTTTTCAGGAAGTAATGCCTGTATTGACTTTTCTGTAACCATTAAACTCCGTTTAAAACATGCTCATACGGCACTGCAGAAACGTTGCATATACCAGATCCGAGTCTTCGCTAATCCTCAGGTCAAGTGTATCAAGCGCCTAATCCACAACTATGTCGGAGTGCAAACCTATGTCCCTAGGCGGAGATACCATTCGGCGCACTCTGCGCACTTGGTACGCTGTCGTTTTGCGGTAGTTCGCTTTCCACGGCGCCGAATTCCTTCCTCCAAGTCGATAGCATTTCCACTGTGACGTTGCTGCCTCCGCAAAGGACAACCACGACTTTGCTTTCCTTGTTCAGCGCTTGGCCAAGGACCTTCTGTAGCCGGCCTTCATAGCACAGCGCCACGTTGACGCCGCAAGCCATCTCAACCATCAATCCCTCATCATCTGCCAAACGCCAGCATCCCATGGCCGCCTCTTTGTCCTCCAATACGACGCTCTTGACGTTGTTCCGTTTTCCGTACTCGAAGGCCTTTTCCGCCACTCTTGTTGCGCCTAGACTCGTTGCAAGCGAAGATATACCGGGCAACGTGACAAGTTCCCCGGCCTTCAAAGAAGCATGGAGGCTCTCCGCGCCCTTCGTCTCCATCGCCAGGACCGGCATATCCGACCAACCCATCTCGTCGAGACCTTGCATGAGTCCGGAGAACAGGCCACCACCGCCGACGCTGCAGATCAGTGCATCAGGCTTCTCGCCATCCAACTGATAGCCTATCTCGGACACCAGGGTAGCATTGCCATTCCAGATTTCCGGATGGTCGAATGGGGGGATGTACACGCCCCCCTCGTCTTCCATCATTACAACCTCGCGGAGGTAGGCATCTGCTTCTTTCCAGCTGGCGCCGTGCTGGATGACGTCATGGGCGCCGGCAGCTTTGAGCCTCGCAATCATTAGCGGCTTGGTCGAGAGCGGGACAACAACTGTGGCCGGATGCTGCAGCGTGCGCGCAGCGTGCACACATGCGAGGCCTGCGTTTCCACCCGACGAAGAGTAGAAGTGGATCTTGGACGCGTTGGCGGCTTTGGAGAGGTGCGACAGCATGAGGTTGCCGATGCCGCGCGACTTGAAGGAGCCGCTGGGTTGGAGGTTCTCCAGCTTGAGGAAGATTCTACTTCTACGGTTTAGAGACCCTTTGGAGGGAGGAGCTGTGCGGGATAATTGATAGGGCGTTGGCTTACCACCCTGCGGCCTTTGACAGCGCGTATGATTCCACTAGAGGTGTTTCCCTCCAACACCTCTTTTGCTGAACCATTGACGTTCCTATGCTGCCCATTGTGAAGTTGTGATAGTTTGATGTCAGTTTGTGATGGCGATAAGTGAGCGGCGGCTGAACGCGGCTTTAAGTACTTAGAGGGTCCTTTTCTGCCACCGCTGCGCGCCCTTCGACTCGGCAAGACCGGGGTACTGGTTCTACACTTTTGCCGTAAAAGTCTCCGGCACCTGCGGCGTGACACATTATATGGTAATATCATTAGAGGGGTTGGAGAGCTGCATATACAGTTTGGAGCCACCGTGGTCCCGCTGCCTCTTTCAAGGAAGCTTTGTATTGCATCGTGACTTATGTTACGAGAGCGCAACCCCAAAGCGGTAGATGGTAAGCTATGAACTCCGGCTGGGCCCGGAACGCGCATGCCTTTTCAACCATTGATCCCTTCTGATACTCCACAACCACCGTCGACTCCGCATTCACCTCGTGATTCCATCATTGTTCGCGCATGGCGAGCGGTTCAGTCTGAGTCATGGGCGCAGCAGATGCTCAGCAACGTGTCTTTACCACTACGAGGACACTAGTGTGGATTTCCGTCTGCTCACAGTTCAAGACCTCGTTTGCGCCTTTAAATCAGCCGCACGCACAGTTGGGCCCTGGATGACAGGAACGAGGAGTTGTCAGGAATCTTGTTTTCTTCTGTGTATACATATTACCCGTGACTGGGATATTGTAGACAACCCTTCGATGACCGCACCTTTACGACAAATGCTTATTGAACCAATCCATGCCCTGCTTCTCCGCATCATCCATAGCCTTCTTATCCTTCTCACTGCTCCAATCACCCCTAAGCGCAAACCCATGAACCTGATCCTCATACAGCCTGACCTCATGCTCCACATCCGTCTTCTTCCCCATAAGGTCCTGAATCTGCCCGACCTCCTTCTCGCCCAGCAAGCTATCTTTCGTGCCCAGCCCCAAGCTCAAAGGCTTCTTCACCGGATCAAAGTCTCCCGGGATAGCGACGAGCGACGGATGGAACGCCACAGCCGCATCGACGCCCTTGCCTGGCTCATCGGAGCCGTGGGCCGCTAGTATCGCGTACCGTCCGCCCCAGCAGAATCCGATAACGCCGACCTTGTTCGTGCCCGGAATCATGCGCACGGTGTTGATGAAGCCGTCGATGAGCGGCTTGGAGACGGCTTCGCGGTGCTTGATGAGCCAGGGGCCGAGCGTCGCCATCATCTTGGCGCTCGAGGCGGCTTTCTCGGTCATGCTCATCGAGTCGCGCACCGGGAGCGGCGGCTCGACGGTTTGGAGGAACTCGATGGGGAGGGAGTCGGACTGGTGCAGGTCGGGTACGTAGCAGTAGAAGCCGTTGGCGGCGTATTGGTCGGCGAGGAGGCGGATGTTGGGAAATTCCCAGCCGAAGACTGGAGGAAGGTTAGTAGCGTAGAAGGTAATGAAGAAGGTGTTCCTGGGGCTGGTTGGGAGAGTTGAGAGTTTGGGGGAGGTGGGAGGGCATACTGTCGACGAGGAAGATGACGGTTTTGGCCTTGGAGCCGTCCTTGGGCTCCGCGATGTAGGTGTTCAGGCCGGCGATGTCGGTTTCAGTGCCCTGAGGCGTGCCGGACTTGACTTTGCCTGAGAGACAGCAAGAGCTCATTCCCACGCCTTCAGACATTGTGGAAGTTTTCTGCTGTTGCCTCGAGTGTGGTTGAGACGTGATGGACTTTGATGAAGCGACTGAGCTTTAAGCAGTTCCTGAACACTATGAGCGTAAGGGCAGATTCTATCAATCGGACAAGGGGATCTCGGGTGAGCTACGAGTATTTGAAAGAGTTGCACAAGTTGAGATGTGGGGGAGGGGTACTAGTAAATATTGACGTATGTAGGAAGCCGCTTCGAGCTCTTCCCTCAATTGGAACTCCTACCTTGCCTTACATATTTAAATTGATGGCGAAGAAGCTGTCCAACCCTTGATTTGCGGGTTGTCTGCCTCGAATTGGGAGCGTTGAAGCATTCGATTTCTTCACATGAAAGAGCTTGGTGGAGGCAAGCATCCGGCCAGCGGGCGGCCAACAGAGCTCACATCCGACGTCCCTCGGAGATGTGTGTCACGCATCCCGATCTATATCCACCACTCAAGTCTTTGGCATGTGAGATATCAGCCTTAAGATACTCAAGGCTGCTGGACCGAGTCGTGAGTGTCGCAAAAATCGCCTCGGTGAGCCCCGTTGAACGTAAACGGCGTGTGCGGCGGCCCTTTGATGCTCGTACTCCTACCCCATGGACATTCAAACCAGCAGCAGATAGGATACTGGAGCACTGAAGGAAGCTTCGCACGAGAGAAAAGCATGGTTGGGGGAGATGGGATTAAGCGCGCAACGAACATCTCGATCAGCATGGAGGCAGGTCCGCTTTCTCCATCTCTTCTAACACCCACCTCCGTTCCCTCAACTACACCTCTTCCCATTACGTCCATCCCATTCTCTTCCCACTCCAATCTGTCGCTGTGTCTTCCATTGTAGCGTCGTTGCTTGAAATTCCAATCTGACATGCACCCTCCTACCAAGACGCACGCTGTTACCGGTGCTTCGTCTGCTGCCAGTTTCTCTATCTCAGTCTTCATGCTGTCTTTCGAAAGGAGCAGAACAGGAACAGTTCTAACCCTTCGATTGCGGCGAGTCATTGATTCCGTGGGGACCGTGGTGTTGCTGCAAGATCAGTCTCTTCCTTACAATTTGTTTCTGTTCACCACATAGCAAAGTAAAGGGCACCAGCAATATGTCTGAGTGTCGAAGCTAGCCAGCTAGCTATTTGAACGACAAGCAATAACCTGACTGCCAAACCTAAGGCAACGAAAGCGCCTACTAGATACTCTGATCAGCGCTGCATACCCGATTCCATGCATCTTTCCGACATCCATTCTGTCACTAAGGAATCCTTGAATTCCGCATTTTGAAACGCGGCATCCAGCCAGCCGCTTACGCCAAACACCCTTCTCCGCTACGTCCAGCATTACCGGAAACAGCTTTGAGAGATGGAAAAATTGCCTTGGGGAATCATCGCCATCCAAACCATCATCAAGATCAACCCTCTGCATTCTCATCTCCCACAGCCCCCTCACCGCCTCCTCGGCGCAACCCCACCCTCCTCCCCCTCCGTGTTCTCACTCTCCCCGCCCTCCCCCTCCGCATAATCTCCCTCATCCTCCTCCTCAACCGGGGCTGGAGTCCTCCTCTCCTTCTTCCTCCCCGGCCTCCTCCGACGGTTAAAGCTGATATTACTCGCCGAATCATCCGGCGCGAGCTCGCTCCCCTCCCCAATCCCATCATCCGTCTCGCTCTCCCAGCCGCCTCCCCAGCCACCAAACCCGCTCGCCGGCGTGCCCATCCTGACGCCGACATACTCCTCCGCGCCGCCCATGCTCCCGCGACGCGCCTGTGCGGCGGCCGCGAGCCCGCCGGACCGGTCCCGCAGAGCTTTGCGAACGGCTTCGGCTTTGGTGTGCAGGACTTCGAAGGCGTCTTCGAGCGCTTCCATCCCGAGATAGATCTCGCGCTCCACCTCCGCCAGGACCGCGATCTCCGTCTCCTCGTCCAGCTGGACCGGGGCGCCGAAGCCCGGGGTCGGGCCACGGGAGGGCGGAAACGGCGTCGTGCTGTTCCGGTGCTGGTGCAGGAACGGGCTGAACGGCGTCGGGCCGCGGCTCTGTGGGCCGTTCATGCTGAAAGGCGTCGTGGTGCGGGAGGCGGGCGTGGGGCCTCTAGAGGGCCCGCGTGAGAAAGGGGTAGTGGTTGTGAAGCCCTGCGGCAGAACGCCAGAGGGCTCGGCGCCGGACCAGAGGAAGCCGTCGAAGCGGCCGGAGACGAGGATCTCCCATTCGCTGGCGCTGACGGCGGCGAGGGTCGCGAGGACGGCGTGGAGCTCGGGGTTCTTGAGGAGGAAGATGGTGCACTCGGGGTCGCGGGGGCGGGCGCCGAGGTGGTAGAGGCGCTGCAGGGCGATGGCTGTGCGGGCGAGGAGGTCGGAGTTGGGTTGGGTGGGTTGCGGGGTCGGGGCGCGGGAGCCGGGGAGGATGGACAAGCCTTTCATCAAGGCGGTGAAAAGCTGGCGCTGGCGTGGTTCGAGGTGCGTGAGGATTGCAAAGGTGAGCGTCTCATCGTCGACTTCCTGCGGAGGTGTTGCGGCTTCTTCGGGTTGAGCGGCGAGCCAACTCTGCACGGCTTGCTTGGTCTTCTTGCTCTGGCGGAGATAGTGCTCACGGTACTCCTCTGGAACGTCCACGTCAAGCTTCTGCATTGGCGCCTCGCGTCCAGTTCCGGATATGCCCAGGCCAGCCTCCTGCATAGTCAAGGAGAAGGGTGGCCATGGAGGGAGCTCGCGACGGCCGGAAACATATTCCAGCACCTCGCCCCAGCTCACACCAGTCTCTTCACCTTGAATGTCTTGATACTGAGGGTTCGACCGACACATGATGCAGTCACATTTCTCGGACGAGATATTCCGAGCAAAGACATGTTCGAGGCGGTCGAGCAATCGCCGTGCTACCGATCGATAGCCTGTGGCAACTGCCAGCGAGCCGTTCTTCGATATCACACGCGAGTAGTCATCAAGCAGAGTGTTGAACTGAGAGAAGATGCCATGCGCGTGTTGGATCTGAGGACCTTGCATACGCGGAGAAGCGTAGGTTTGATACGTAAGAACCGGAGAATTCTGGCCGACAACTGCGAGCAGGTTTTTTGGAACGAGATGTGGAAGGCCTCCGTTCTGCAGCAAATAGTCGACTCGAGGTACATCAGCTGTGGAGACCTGAGGAGGGGGTGGCGGCGGGGGAGGAGGGGGAGGAGGTGCATCTGTCCTTGTTGACTGCACAGATTGGGGTCTAAATTCATCGTTTGACACAAAGACCTCCACCATTGGCGTTTCCTTGCGGTCCGTTACATGATGCGGGAAGTTAGGTTCTTGAGGGGTTGGTGTGCGCGGTGACGAGTCTACTGCAGACAGCGGAGAGCACTCGCGGTTTAAGGGGTACGAAGGACGCTGTCGTGTCGCTTTCCTCTCCGGAGCGACGGAGGTAGCATCGGAATCAGTGGTGGATTGGGTCCGCTGAGATGTGCCTGAAACAGATCGACCTGGCGGGCGGCCGTTGGGACTTAGAGTTCTGCTGTCGACTACTATGACCTTTGGCTGCGAGTCTGATAGTACTGTGCTGGGTTGTGTAGATTCTGTTTCAACCGAGATAAAGGATCCTTCGTCGGTGACTGTGGTCTGGCGCAAACTTGACCGGGACGTTGACTGCTTCGGTGTGGAGGTCCGCAATCCGTCACTGGGGCTTCTCTGAGTTGCATCGCTCTCTCCCGTGGCAGTCGCTGCCGCTCGTCGCGTGCTCCTGACGCTGCTGGACCTCCCAAAATCCGGGTCCGCAGCAGTCAGAGGCGGGCTCGGTGGAGCAGCTCCACGAGGCGCAGTGTAACTATCGACCTTCTCGCCACTATGCTGGCCCTGCTTGTCGTGACCGAGATCTGTCGGATCTGGTGTATACAGCGAAATGCCCGGCATGACCGGCTCCTCCCTGCTCCCTACAGCTTCCTTGCTGTGTGCCTTCGAGAAGGTCGGATACGGGAGGCTCGTCTTCGAAGCGCCTGGCGAAGCAGTGGAGGCACGGCGCTCCATCTCCGGAACGATGGCCACAGACATTTTGCGGCTCGAGGAGGAGTGTGATTGCGACGACGAAGACTGCGGCGCCCGCGGTCGTTCCCGGGTGCTTGTGTCACGATCCCTCTCTTTGGACGACGAGCGGTGCTTGCGTGTAGAGCGGCGGCGCTCTTTATCTTTGGACTCAGGTCTGTCTCGGTCGCGGTCGCGGTCGCGGTCACGGTCGGAGTCTTTCTTGCGGCGTCTACGTTCAGTAGAGCTGCCCAACATGTTGTGAGGTGGGTATGCCGGACTGCATCCACGGCAGGTCCAGAGGTGTGGTGGAGGGAGGAGGGCGGCTACAGGAAGCAAAGCGCACGAATCAGCAGCTGCCGACGCTGTCCATGGCTGCGGGTATCCTGGGCGAGTTCGAATCCTGCGATGGGTCCACGGGACGGTTCAAAGGTGTGGAGGGGGGATGCTGCCTTCTGCTGTGAGCTGTTCTTCTTGAATGTCGGCCTGTCGCCCTGTCTCGGGAGAGCCAACAGACATGGTGGCTGGTCACCGACTGGTTCACCACCAAGCGAATCAACGTTCATGCCTGAGAACCTCTCCATCATCACCATCGCATGTCTAGAACAGCGGCTATAGACGAGCCATCCTAGGAAACAGTGCATGGTAGCGCTTGTGGCGTAGTCTGAGAGTTGCTGCGAATGGTTGTCTGGATCGGCAGTAGGCCATTACCGACTAACTTGCTTCACTGGCAGAGACATGATTCATGCAAAAAGAGACATCTTGATTCGCAATAGAGTAGTTTGTAGCCATGTTTGGACCGTTCCATGCCAAATCAAGTCCAGCACGAGCTGCACCGATGCATGGCTAGCTATCCTCAGTCGGACATCAAACACTAAGCCGGCATCTATGCAACAACCTCCTCAGTCTCCTCGACAATCTCCTCGACTATCTCCTCCACCTCCTCAGCCTCCTTCTCATCATCCAGCGCCTCGCCTTCGCCCTTCTCCGGCAGCGGTACCGCATCCTCGGCGCCCTCTTCCCGCAGCAACTCGATAACATGCGCGCGCCATGCACGCCATTCCTCGAGCAGCCGGCGGCGAGCCTCGACCACCTGCCTGTTGCCCGCATCTCGCTTGATCTGGTCCTGCTCTTCGAAGACCTTGGAGTACTCGCGCAGGTTCTTCCGGATCTTCTTCTGCTCCTCCTTCGACAGGAGGGTTGGTGGGCGCGGCCGCCATAGCCACTGCTTGAAGCGCTCAATGTGCTCTTCGCGAAGGAGGGTGCCCTTGAAGTCGTACAGGTGGTAGCCGTTTTCCATCTGCGTTTCAAAGTCAGTAGCATGAACGTGAATGGAAATTGGACCATACGACGACTAACCTGATGTCTGAAGAAACTGGCAACGGTTGCTACGTAGCGACCTGTAGGATCCCACTCAATGTCCGTGACACCATAGTGTTCCGCAGTAGCCATGAGCATCAGATTCGCTGTGAGGTCCTTGTCCTTCTCATCCTTCTCACCCTCAAAGTCCAGGTCCCAGAAGTCCAAATCATAGCTCTGCTGCGACTGTAGCGTGGCAACGACTACGAACCGGCCCTTAGGCGACCAGTAGATGGCATTGCTGTTCTTCTTGTCGATAGTGCGGATGTGCTTGAAGTTACCTACGACGTTGCCCTTTGCCTTCTCAGGGCAGAAGAAGGAGACTGCGGTCTTGGGTGGCACAGGGGCTCCTGCGGGGATCTCGCCGGCGGTGATAAGAACGAAGCGGTCTCCCTTGGGCTCCCATGCAAAATTGATGACGGTGTCTTTAAGCGAGTCGACAACTTCTACCGGCACGCCCTTTTCCCGAACACGGAAGATTTCTAGGTTGGTGGCGAGGGACTTTTTCGACTTCGAATGCCGATCAACTTTGACGCACACATAAGCAGCGTCTGATTGCCAGTGGAGCTTTGCATCTGAGACGTTAAACAGGTTCCGCGTCCGGACAATTTCCTTCGAGGGTATGCTCATCAGGCCGACCTTGGCCGGGTTGCTCCCAAGTTCAGGCGTCCAGTAGCAGAAAAGCTGTTCGTAGGCCTTGATGTCAGCTCTGTGGGGTGTTGCCGGTGCCCATTCAAAGTCCATGACCCCCTCAATCTTGATGGAAGTCTTGTCCAGCAGGTTCATCCTTGGCAGCTCATAGACGGAGATGGATTGGCCCTGCGTCATCCGCGCGACGTACTTGTCGTCTGCCGACCACTTGAACGTTGGCCACTGCATCTTCTTCTTTACCGGGTTGCCCTGCTCATCGACACTTGCGTTTGGTACGTCAAGGGTAACGAATGAGCGAAGCGGCTTTCCTGTTGCTAAGTCCCAGATGATGTAGTTCTTTCCGTCTTCTTCCAGCGACAGTCCAGGGGCAGGATGGTTTTCGTCGATTTGGATCGGCCGGTGGGACCAGGTGGTGATGTACTTCTCGTTCGGCGAAAAGTCCACCAGGTTCACTCCTGGATGCCCGAACCTCTTTTGCCTGCTCCATGACTTGCCTCCCCATAGCTGAACACCTTGCGCGTGTAGTGATGTCAGGTATGTTCCCGCCGGCGACCACTGTACGAAAAAGTCTGTCCAGTGATCTCGATCCACCACCGGCTCAGGCGCATCTTCCTTCTCGTTCCAAAACACGCCCACCTTTTCGCCCCGGTACATGACAATCTGGTCACGCGCATCATAATCACCGAGCCATGACCGTAGGTGCTCCTTCTCGTGAAAGTCTTCGATATGTGGCGGTTGATACTCCTCGTCGATCCTGCCTTCGCGGCCATAGCGGTCAATGTCCGTGAGCTTGTTGACGGCGATGGTGTGCCTCTTGTCCAGGGGCGTTCCATGAAGGGCTTTCACAGCGGCGGCGGCTTGTTCTGCGGATCCGAACTCGACGAAGGCGAAGCTGTTGCACGGTAAGCAGTGCGCGTGCTCCGCGGATTTCCTCAACATACCCCTCTGTCATAGCCTGGTCGTTCAGCGGCATGAACACCCCACTCTCGCTGGCTTTTCCCACAGTGTTGAGCTTGCGCAATAGGAACTTGACGAGCTTTTGCCGGCTGTCTTCAGGCACGACGGGGAGGCCATCAATCACCACGAAGGCATCGAGACCCTCTTCCATCCGGACCTCATACTGCTCGTGCAGATCCGAGAAGTCGATTTCCTCGTCATCATAGTCTTCGTCGACCGGCAGGTTATCGTAGCTGGGTGCCATGCTGGGTGTTGTATGCAGACGTTGCCGTTGCGCGGCGGAAATGCTAATGTCAAATTCGTGTGCCGCTATCGCGCGTCACGTGCTGATAGGCTGTGGGTTGAAGATACGACTGAGGTGAATTTTAGAATTTCTCTCTACCACTTTAAGAAGTCAAGTCCGTTTCCATTAGTGTCGTTCTTCTCTAGTCTTGACTCTACTTTTCATCTTCTCTGCAGAAGTGCCGCGCCAACCGTTCGAGTCATCTCATAGTCCTCGTCCCGCGACTCGACATTCGCTCAAACCGTCCGCTCTCTCAGTGGCTCCTCATGAGTCTTCCTAAATCTGCTGGATTATGCCAATCCTAGACTGTTCAGCTACCACGCCAAGCTAGGAGGCCGACAGCCCATCCCGGTAGTACTGTGGTAGCATCCAGTGCGCCCGCAAACGCACAATGAGCCCACCCAACCACTACCGCACCCTCGGCCTCCCCAGCACCACCAACGGCCAGCATCTCACAGTTCAAGATGTTAAGCTCGCCTACCGCCGCGCCCTCCTAATGCACCATCCCGACAAAGCCACCGGCCTACCTACTCCAGCTCCCTCGCCTCGCCAGTCGCCTGCCGCGCAGTCAACCCTGAGACCAACCGTAGACCAGATTACACTAGCATTCAAAGTCCTCTCCGATCCTACTCTCCGCCGCGAACATGACCGCGAACTTTCGTTGTCTCCAAAGAGTGCATCCCAGACGGGCGGGGAAGGGCTTGACGGGGCGGCTGTAGGGCTGGAGACTGTGGACTTGGACGATCTGGAATACGACGACAACGAGCAAATCTGGTATCGGTCTTGTCGCTGCGGACAGGCGCGTGGATTCACAGTCACTGAGACGGAGCTGGAGAAAGAGGAGAAGACTGGCTTGGTGGTGGTGGGATGTAGGGGATGCAGTCTGTCGCTGATGGTGGGGTTTGGGGTAGTCGAGATGGATGAGCAGAAAGAAGAGGGTTGAGCAGAAAGCGACTAGTTTCGAAATATAGCCACATCCGTTCACTGGAGGGGCGAAGAGTTTTGGCCACCAGCAGCTTCTCCCGTTCGCTGTTGTCCGAAGCGATTGCAGTCTCTGGAATATTGGAAATCGCTTTGGTGTGGGCTCTGGTACTGGACTTCTAAAAACCATCCTCGAATGGCAGATAATCCGGATCGTATATGAGCACCGAGGAAGCTGCGGCACCAAAAATGTGCAGTGCTGGATAGCGCCTAGCAATTTGACATATAGCGGCAGCACATGGCCAGCGGTAAAAGTGGAAGCGGATGGTGCGCTTCCACGTAGAGGACTACTCCGGAAAACATCCCTACTCTTAGATTTATTCTGAGTATCCAGGATCTGCAACTCTATACGACCTAATCGGCTCACGAGACACTATCTTTCGAACCGTCCCAGGCCCGAACGGTGATATCGCCCCGAAAGAAAAGGCATGCATGCGGCCAGAATGCTCTAAACCAACCTTCATCGGATGACAGGAACAACCAGTCTCTCCTAATGCATGCACTGGCTTTCACTCTCCACTCCTGCCAGAGGGCGCCTACATCGTCTTCGTGCAAACTCTCAGATATGGGGGGTGTACGGCGAGAAGCGGATTAGAGTTACTCGGGATGCTAATGCGGCTTTCCATCCCTGCAACTTCGCGATCAGTGGAATGACTACGCGTTCATATAGACAAACGGACAAGAGAAAACGCTAGCAAGAAATTTTGAGACTTTACTACAGCAATGGTAATTTCAAGAGCATAGAAAGACTGCAGCGAGGTCAGCGTCCCTCTCACCTACCATTTAATCTTAGAGCGTGTGACACGCAAGATTTCTATCTATCGATACTCTGCCTGCGCTACGCTCTCGTAGAGATACCGGAACGTCTTGATCGCTCCTTAGCCTGCGAAACATGCTCCAAGTTCTCTTCGCCGAAACATTCGTCCGCGTCGTGACCGCAAAAAGCAAGAACTGAGAAAATTTCCCACAGGGCCGCCGCGCCTGCTCTGTTTACCAGCGAAATCATTCTCAAAATCCGGCACGAGTAAAAGCGAGCCAGGAAAAACAGCAACAACAAACGCCTTGCGCCGTCCCAGGATATCTCCCGACCCTTCCTTAAACTCCCCAAGCCCGCATGCGCCTCGCTCCCCAAACACTTCACGCCCCCTCAATACCTGAAACACACAATCCCCGCCCTCTCCGGATCCACCTTCCCCAAGACGCCCTTCGGCGCATTCTCGAGCGCCAGCGCCCCATTGATGATCAAACTGACCGCCCTCCCCAACACATCCGCATAGCACCCCTGCACCTTCGGCTCGACATGCTGCAGACTAACCAGCCCATCCAGCCACTCACACAGCTGCTCATGCTGCCAGTCCGGCCTGTACCCGCCGCTCCCCCACTGCCCGACAAAGCCCTGCTGCCCGTACAGCGGATTGTTCCGCGCTGAATGGCGCATTTGGGAGAGCGTCCAGGGACTCCATGCCGTGATGGGGGCGCGGCTGGTTACGGGCAGCACGAGAGCGGGACAGCCGTCGAAGAGGTGGAAGACTAGGGTGCCGCACCCCGGGCGTCGGGACGTGGACCACATGTTTGCACGGAAAGGGGAGATGGCGGTGAAGAGGATCAGCAGGCGGTTCGTGCCGATGTTGGTCTGCGGGTTCGCGTCGCAGAGGGAGAGGACGTGTGGGGTTTCGGCGAGGAGTTTGTGGGCGAGGGCGTAGTCGGCTGGCATTGGTTAGTGTGGGTGCTCAATTGGGTTGAATTGGGGGAGGGAGCAGGGAGGTAGTCAAAGAGAGGTCGGACTCACCACCGAGAAACGGACCGAAGAACTGCGCAACGGCGAAATCGTTGGCGCGGGGCACGAGCGGCGTGCGGGAGGACGAGAAGAGGTACGGACAGAACCAGCCCTTCTCGCACGCCTTCTGGTCACTGCTGGGGTATATCCCCGCGAAGCGGATATCGGCATCCACGCCCATGAGCTTGTGCTTGATGCCCACCTGCAAGCTCTTGACGTTGAGCGTCTGTATCATCTTCTCTTCCTCCGGCAGCATGTGCTCGATGATGCCCTTGTCGATAGCCTGCTCGACGATCTGGAAGACGCCGTACTTGAGCAGCGTGCTCCCGACCCCGGTCCCGGTTAGGGCCGTGGCGCCGGACGACACGATCTCACTGACGAAGCTGTCTGCGCCGAACATGTCGGTTACGAGACTGTCCGCACCTTCGATCAGGGGTGCGCCGACGAAGGCGAAGGTTGTGAAGAGTACGGCGTCGCGGTATCGAACGTTGGGCATCGTGACTGGGTTGTTGTCACCCCAGGGAGATAGTGCGGTGGGCATTTTGAAGGTTGAGGAGGCGGTTTGGACGGAGGCGCGGGCGAAGCGGCCGACGAGCGTATCGCCGAGGAACCGTTGGACTTTGCCGGTGTGCTTTTCGTCTTGCTTGTGGTTGGGGTTTGCGCCAGGGAACGGGGTCGGCTTGGCGGGATTCTGCATGTTGTTTATCGGCATGGCCATGGGTGGGCTCATGGGTGTTGGTGGCATCATGGAACCCATGCCGTAGGGCTGTTGCTGTTGCTGCTGCTGTTGCTGGAACTGCTGCTGGAACTGCTGCTGGAACTGCTGCTGTGGTGGGAGCATCTGCTGCAACATCTCAAGCTTCTGAGGCGGCATTTGCTGAAGCATCTGCTGGACCTGCTGTTGCTGTTGCGGAGTCATCATCATGGGCTGTTGTTGCTGAGGATAGCCCATCGGCTGCTGAGGCATCGTCGGTGGCAGCTGTTGCTTCTCTTGAGGATAGCCACTGGCAGTTGGCGGCGCTTGGGTATACATTGGTGCGGGAGTTTGCGGCGTGGGTAGGCCTTGAGGAGTCGCAGAATAGGGTGGAGGAGGCATGCTGGGAGCCGGGGTAGGGCATGGCGCCATCCCTGGGTTTTGATACATTTTGCAATCCGTACAGCTCGAAGTACTTGGTGGACGGTGATGCAAGCGGGCGCCTGTCCACGAGGGATTGACAAACGCCGAAATAGCCTAAGGATTCGAGAAAGGACTCAATGCGACGAGAAGCAGCAAGAAAAACAAGACCTGGAGAAGACGAAGACTCTGAGAGCAAGACATGGGGTGAGAGGGGATAGATAGCGGTGCGGGATGGCTTTCAGCCCTGTCTTCAGCCGCACTCTGCACGGTGTCGACTGGCGGCATGGCTCACCTTGTTGGCTTAGCTCTATGCCAGCAAGTGCGCCAACTTGCCCTCTAGTGCTCAAAACGTGCAACGCAAGGCTGCGGAGGTTGGGCAAGCCCTCGTATCCCGATATCTTTGGATCTTGAAGGATGGGGTTCGTCCCAGAAACCAGGGCCAGGTCGAGGATAAGGTAAGAATGCTTGGAGGCGCCAAGACAGCCAGGCTGTGGCTCTCAAATTAAAACCGCCGGGACTTGCGCTGCTGCGGTTCCGCAAGCTTCGAAGGCCATTGACCGTCAAGCTCGGGCACCCGTCTCCAGAGGCATGGTTCTGGTTCGGGTTCAGAGGATGCCGCTGCCGTGAGGTGGACGTCGAGACAATCGCGCGCCATGACACAACCGGCCCGTGGCTGTCACTCGCGAGACGTGCCCATCTGTCTGTGGGTCTTCCTGATCTGGAGTACAGTCGTGTCGAACATGCCTCAATCAGACATCCACAGCAGATTGGCCCCGAACAAACCTGTCGGGTTGTATCGAGAGAAAGAGAAATGAAGGGAGACGCAATAGTGAACTCGGCGCGGATGCGCGCGCGTAGCGTAGTGAGGCGGCTGATTGGCCGAGCGCTCAACACCAGCACCACGTCACAACCTGGGCCTGATATTCGGCCGCTTACCTTGCTGCAAACGGGTACAGTAATCTTTCTGGTGCTTCGGCGTAGACATAGCCTGCTAGGTAGCCGGGCCTCATTCCATCTTCTTTGCTCCTGCGCCTTGAGCTTCGTGAGCTTCCTCTGCTGTGATCCGCGCATAGCCTGACCCCCCTCCCCCCCGTTTCCTCCGACCCTTCCTCCGTATCGCTCCTGCCTGAGCATCGCCAGTTCCAACTTCACTCTGCGGACTGCCCTTTCCGCCTAACGGCCGCACGCGACATCACCATGGACCCGTCCAGGCGACAGGGGCGTCCTGACGAGGAGATGTTCCTCGCGAAGCCCTCCAACGCCGGTCCCGACACTCCCACAGTTGGCCCTTTGAGAATCAACAAGCTGGACTCAGCCTCTCCACCGCCTCGTGGTGGTTCAGCAGGAAGCGGAGCAGAGGGCATTTCACGGCCTCCGCCTCTACCGTCGTTCCCTATGCCAGCCGCGAGCCCCCCACCAACCGCCCCACTACCTTATCCGGATGATCGACTTCGACAGCAAGCAGCCGCTGGGCGCAATGTCTACATACCGCTCTCAGAACGAGAAAGAAATGCAAAGAACTCGACGCCTGAGCTGGAGCGCGTCGAGGGTCGCAGGCGTAGATCAAGCGCAACAAGGCCCGAAGGCTCACCTCGTGCGCGGTTTACCGCCGATGATCCAAACCGACCTACGGTATCAAACTATGGGACAGCACCTGCACGGACAGTCGAAGGAGTTCCGATCACCGCTCGTCTGGGAGAGAGGCGTGGCGACACCCCGAAACCTCGACCGGACTCGCAGGGTTCAGATGTGTCTGACAACGATGAATTGTTCCAGCGAGCGCCGCAACGGCCGGGTGGCTCTATCTCGAACGCTAGCGGCACCGCCGCCGCCGGCGATGTCAACACGAATCCGTATCCGGAATATCACCAGCAATATTGGCCTCCGACCAGTGGAGCTGAGTCTACAGGTCCTGGGCTGAAGATCCCGAATCCCGCCGGCGTCAACCGCCTAAGCTCGACCGCATCCACATCGACGACCAGAGCACAACGGGGTTCGCCTCCGCCGCCCGAGACGCCAATCATAGGGCCCCCTGGTGGTGGTATTGAAGCGCGTTACGCAGCAGCTGGCATCGCAGGACCATCGACCCTAAACACATTTCAAACGCAGAATGCGGCTGCTGCTCAGCGTGCGCAGCCTTATGCGAACCAACAGCCCCGGCCCGGAGCTAGTCCACCCGCGCAGCAGCAACAGAACCAGCAGCAGCCTCCAGCGCGACCATGGACACCTACTGAGCAGCCAGGGAGCAATCCATACGGGCCACCAGCTGTTTACCGCGGACCAGATGAAGTTCATAGCAGTAGCGGTCCTCCGCAAGCTCCGCAAGCTCCTCAGAACCTACCTTTCCAGCCACAAACCACTGGACCACCGCAGACCGCCCCCGCGCATCCACTGGAGCAGGACATGCACCGTATGAACTTGCAAGAAGAAGCTCCTCCTGCTTACCACAGCCTACACCACTCGGCTTCCAAAGCAGGACAGGGAGCAGCAAACGCCCAGGGCCATCCGAATGAGAAGCGGAATGGGAGCGCGAACTCGCAACTTCCCAACACGCTGGCAGGAGCTGCTCTTGTCGCTGACGCAAACCTCCAGCATCACCCGGCGTTTGCGAACGACCAATACCAGCAGCAGCAGCAGCAGCAACCGCCTAACCTTTCGATATCTGTCACGTCACCACAGACTGGGCTGGCGCCAATTCAGACTCAGCCTACGGATTCAATGGGCCCAGGGCCCGGACCAGCATCTCCGCCACCGCTACCAGAGGGCTGGATCGCTCACTTAGACCCCAACTCCGGACACTACTACTATATCCACCTGCCGACACAGTCCACGCAATGGGAGTTCCCGAAAGGTCCGACACCCCTGAACTTGAGCGAACCTCTGTCTCCGACGGGGACCTTTGTCAATCCCTTGACGTCACCAGGCCTGGGCACTTTCAGCGGGAAGCCGCTGGCATCTCCAGGATTTCCGCCACAGCAAGCCACGTATCCCGAGAGTATGGTCGGCATGGCTGGATTGTCGAGTCCTACAGCCGGAGCCTTCACTGGACCTCCACCAGTAGCGGGTGTCGACATGTATAAGATCGCGCCGACAAACGGTGTCTACTTCGGACCCTACCTAAGATACACCAACATGGATCTTGAGAGAGGTCTCTGGCTTGGCTCGATCCTCCTTGTTACGGATGCCCCGCAACCACCAACGATTCACATCCACCAGAGCGTAGACCTGTCGCCGAACCCACGACAACTGAAGGCAAACCCCATATTCAGCCATCAGCGGTGGTTGTTCTATAGATATGACGTCGATTTGAGGATGGAAGATGACCACGAGGCCAAGTGGACTTATGCAATCACTTCTCATCTCGGCTGCACACGCTATGAGTTTCTCGTTGCCGGAAGACACCAAACAAACTGGCGCTTCATTACCCACTCCGGCAACGACTTCGCCCTCAACGTCAACGCTAATGACCGTCAAAAGCTCGGTGGTGTCGGCTTCATGTGGAAAGACGTCCTCCAGAAGCACATCGAAGTTGGAGGCTTTCACTGCCAGCTCGGCCTCGGTGACCAGATCTACGCGGACCGGCTGTGGAAAGAGATACCGCTGCTGAAGCAATGGACAGCCATGAGTGGCAAGGAGAACCGCAAGAACGCGCCGTGGACGGCCAAGCACGAAGAAGACGTATCTCATGCTTACTTCCATTACTATACTAGCCATTTTGACCAGCCGCTGTTGCGAGAAGCGTTTGCGCAGATACCGCACGTTTTGACACTGGATGATCATGATATGTAAGTCTTAATTTGAAGCGGGTTACAACTAGTAAAGAATGGTCAGCTGACGCACAAGCAGCTTCGACGGCTATGGTTCCTACCCGGAATACATGCAATTCTCGAACATGTTCAAAAACATCGGCCGCATAGGCATAGAGATGTATTTGCTCTTCCAGCACCACACCACGCTCGAAATCCTGCGCAACGTCAGCAATGACACCGACCTCTTTACCATCACGGGCACCGGCTGGCACTTCCTCAAATACCTTGGCCCTTCTGTGGTCGTTGTTGGGCCAGACTGCCGGTCTGAGCGGAACGCGCACCAGGTTATGGCGGGTCCGACATACCAGGGCCTCTTCCCGAAGATCGCAATGCTGCCGCCCAGCGTTCAGCACTGCCTCTGGCTCATCCCGGTGCCAGTCGTGTATCCGCGGCTGGAGAGCATGGAACATTTCGCGAACACGATCACAACGGGCAAGAAGGCGGTAACAGGGACATTTAACATGCTGGGCAAGGTGACAAGCAGCGTTGCGGGCGTGGTTGGCGCGAAAGAGGTTGTTGGAGGGGGGTTCAGCTCTGTCAAGAAAGCGGTCGGCAAGTCGGGCCTTATGAGCGGGATATTGAGTCCGTTTGGCGAGATCGACGTGCTGGATGAGTTGAGGGACCAGTGGACACACGAGAGCAAGGTGGGCTTCTTCCGTTGCGTATCCCTATTAATTGCATGGCGATGAACTGACGATGGCAATAGGACCTCGAGCGCACCTATCTCATCCGTACACTGCAGGGAATAGCACACAATAAGTCTCTCCGCATGACCTTCATCTCCGGTGGTAAGCTAGCATTCCTCATTTCCCTTCCCCATAACCCCTCCGCATAGCCCGCCAGGCCTCTGACCTCTTCACAGACGTCAATCTCTGCGGCGCCGGCCTCGTCCACGACCCCTCCCGCCCCTCCGACCACAAAACAATGTACCAGATCATCTCCTCCTCAATCGTCAACGTGCCGCCCCCTTCGTACGTCCTGCGGCTGCTGCACAACAACAGGCCGCTCTATATCCCCGCCAACGGCCACAGGAGCAACCACCAAGTCTCGGATACAAAGGAAGATATGATGGAGATCTTCGCTGTGGATGTGGATGGGCGACCGCGGGAGTGGAAACGGTTGATGGGGCGACGGAACTATGGGGTTGGGTGTGTTTTCGATCCGGAGATGTGAGTGTGATTCCTCCCCTTCTTCCGCATCGTCAGCCGCCGCAAGCCCTGCTCGAGTGCGACCGAAGCTAACCACTCCCTCTTCTCCCGCATAGAGTAATGGGCACCTTCGGCCAAGCAAACCCGGGCCACGGCAGCGGCCGCCTGAGCATCAGCATCGAGTTCATGGTCCAGAACGAGGGCGTCTATGGCCAGCCGGTCAAGTATGGGCCGGTTGTTGTGCCTAGTCTGGAGTATGGGCGGTGATGTGGCAAGTAGAGCTGCATTCGTAGCATTGGCGGGGGAAAGAGTGAGAGGAGTGATGGAGTCTGGGGAGGGATGAGGGGTGGGACGTGAGGGATAAGGATGCGAATACGAAGTTAGCATGAGGTTGTTCTTAGCGTGGGGCATTGCGAGTATGAGCATCTTGGTTAGGGTTTTTTGAGATGCAGTGGGAGGATGAAGGAATGATGAGCATCGATAGAGGACCCTAGCATGGCATAGGACATAAGATATGCATACACATCCCTGGGCATCGGTTGGTCCCCTGAAGCTTCTTAGAGTACCACTGTGCATCGGAAGTACATCGCAAGCCTTGCATGTGTGTCGATCAGGCCTCTCGACCCTCTGATTTGCCTATGCGATGTACGAGATTGCCAGCATCATCTCTCCAGCCTGGGACCCACAACCATCTGCCCCACGTATTGGAGACACCGCTCTCCACTCCCTCCTACAACAACGCCCTCCACGGCCCTTCCCTCGGCCGCTCAAGCCCCAGATGGTCGACCACCTGCGCGAGGTGATCAAACCCCCAGAAGGCCTCTTTCTCGCCGGCGGGGTTCGTCGCTATCCCAGCACGTAGTCAGTCTTCACTCCGTCCAAGGGGCCGCTGAGCACGGAGCAACGCACCAACGATCCACGGCAGCCCAAACGCGCCCTCCCTAAGCGCCTCTTCCGTGTTCTCGCTCAGCAGGTTCCGGGCTTCCTGGCTGCCGACCTCGTTCATCACCTCTTGGGCCTGCGATTGACCTAGCACTGACGCGAGCGCGGCGGCTAGGATAGCCGGGTCTTGGATCGGTTTGCCGCGGACCCAGAAGGTGTCGTAGCAGGCGGCAATGGCAGAGCGGAGGGCGGTGGGGTTGTGGGCGGCTATTAGGGAGAGGGCGCGCTGGGGCTGGGGGTGGGTTAGAGTGTGGTTCTTTGCGGTTGGGAGGGTATGGTGGGCGGGAGAGGTGGGGCTAAGGAGCGAGAGAGTGCGGGATGGAGGAGGACGGGCAGAGAAGGGGAAGTGCGGATGAAACTGGCGGCATGGAAGGGACGGGAAAACGGTATAGACATGGGAAGGGAACTGGGGCGGGAAGGAGTGGAGGAACGGGCACTTACAGTAATGGTATTAACCGGAAACCCTTCAGGCACTCCCTCCATGATCGGGATGTTGAACTTCTTAGCCCAGCGGTCGCGTTCGCGGCCAACCCATTCAGCCTTGTCTGGTTGCACCTTGTGTTAGCTTGATGTGGGATACCATGGGCGTTAAAACGGTGTGGTAAAAGGGTCTGCACAAGCGTAGATTGAGAAGTGATGAATAGCCATGGTGAGGGCGATAGCTAAAGGAAGAGGGTCAATGGTACTTACTTTTGATCCGGAGCGGTGGCGTGTTGCCGCATGCCTTCATCACGCCGCCGAGGAAGATAGGGATGTACGTTATCTCGCACTGGGCGAAGACTGGAAAGTTCTGGATAAAGCGTTAACAGGATGCGAGCAGTATCGCTAGAAGCTTAGGGATCCGAGTATCTGCGGCATCCGGCCAAACACAGCCCCTAGGTTTACGGCAGGAAAGAAGTCCATCCATATAGCTGATCGTTTTCGAACGGCCAGCTGCCTAGAAAAAGAACCATAACGAAAATGGATGCAATGATCGAGTGAATGAAACAGGCAGGACAAACGCTAGACCAACCAATGGTGCGAGAAGACGAACATGTTTGGTGTTGGAAGAGTGAGCAGATCTATTGACGTTTGGGGGTGTGTAAACTCGGTCAATACGTACATTCAAAGCGTAGAACGCCAGATACGCAAAAGGGCTGACGATATCGACATAGAAGGTGATCTTCGGGTTGGGCATGATGTTTTCCTGCTACTCTAACAATTGGTCTCTATAATCTCCTAGAATCCAGGGCGCGGGAGGATACTGTTGTATATGCGATTATTCTGCCGAGGTCCGTATTCTTCACTAGTCCGCATGTGGGGCCCCAGACCGAGATCTTCCATTCATCAGCGACAACAACCACGTCCGTAACGGATGAATTGGTGACTCTGAGCCGGTCACGAGATTATCATGTCGGAGCAACGTCGAATCGTACTCGTATTGCTTGTACATCAGCGCCCTTTTGAACGCTCATCTATGCTAGCTGCGGAAACTCATGCTAATGCTAATGCTAAGATGCAAAGAGCGCAACGCCTGTTCCATGCACCAACAACCGAAATTGTCTTTGGCATCCCATCACAAGATCTCATGATGCCGTTATGCGTGATTGGCGGTAGAGTATACTTGTACTTCAATATTCGCATGTGCCAAAGTAATGAAAGCAATACTGATAGGCAACCAGCTAAGCATCGCCATATGAGCGGCGCTGGAGACCTTCGACTACGTATTTGGGGCGGTAAGACTCGGAAGCAATACGCGTGTCAGCGACGGACCCCAGAATCCTGGCCTATCAAGGCATTGAGAGAAGGATCAATGGGTACTTCGGCGGTTCGACTATTCTGCAAAGTTGATGGCCGGGGTTCTGGTAGAGCTGTAGAGCGCGAAGAAACGTGGCCGCTCGAGGTTGTTCCAGCTACTTGGCTGGCCCTTCTATGAGGTAATCTCCGTGGAGCACCTAAGTCCGTCATTCACGGAACGGAGGCATAAAGACGCTCCTCGCAGCCACCTCCTCCCTCTCAGCCACCCATCGCTGCCTACCTTCCCTCGAGAACGGAGGCAATAGGTAGGGAGGAATGGTTGTGCTAGATGTTGATGCTTGAATGGCAGCTGGACGCTGAAGGGGCGATGGACGGGCCTGAGCCGATAGTGTTCGACTAGAAGACAGAGGTTGCACGCGGCCGTGCGATGGCTGCGATTGAATATCGATAGACGGTACTTGGGCGTGGACGTTCGAGGGCTGAGCAGTACCGTCCCTTACATTTGTTTGAGAAGACTGTTGGTGAAGAGCGCGCTGTGAAACTCGTTGCCGTAACGTTGCCAGGGATGACTGTTCCCCCAGTTGCTGTCTCAACTGTCGAGCCCCAACGTTGAGCGGCGTATTTAGTGAGAAAGAATTTCGCGATTCCTGGATTTGACGAGCCACAGAGTTGATATCTGATAATGAAGGCATATGGTTTCGCATCCTATAGTTTTCAGACTGGCGTCGAACAAGCAGCTCGCTAATGCGTCGGTCATAATCCTGCTGCCTTGACCACCACGACTGACGGCGCTGATGAGATTGAGCAGAAGTATAGTTTGCGCCGTCCGTGTCTGCGTCACTGGTGTCATCTAGAGAAGATTCGACAGTATTGGACGGTGTTGAATGATTTGTAGGTACAATATTGCCACGCAATCGCACTGCTGATGAACGACTGCTTGACGAAGCGCCGCCCAAATCACTGCTGTCCTCCACGTCCATTCCCGAGTCGTTGTCGTCGACCTCATCATCGTCGTAGCTGACCGTAGGCGTATTTGAGAGGGCGGGTCTCCTCCGTCGCAAGCCACCAGATCCGTCGAGGGAATGTGCATCACCCGCTCGAGAAGGTGGTTGAATGGGGACGAAACGTCTACCTGTACGAGACGTTAGAGAACCAGCAGTTCGAGATCGTTCATTGGAGATCGCGGTCGGCTCCCACCCAACGGTCGTGCTTCCCCCATCGCTGTCATCATTATCTTCCTCCATTCCATCCTGCTCTCTGTGGCCAAGCGGCGACCACCCTGCTTGATATAGTAATTCGGCATCTTCTTCGTCAAGGTCGTGCTCCGAGGATGCAACATCGGTGGAAACAGAAGGGGCAATACTAGGTCGCTGATTCGGTCGCTGGCCGCGTTGAGACAATATCTGATATCGTCGCCGACCGCTTGGTAGTGGTTCTTCGTCTTCGTCCGCTCGTTCGTCATCGTCGTCGGAGCCATCGGACGACGTATCCGAGTCTACGACGCGTCGCGGCCTGCGCTGCTGCCGTTGCGGACCTTGCGACTGCTGGACGCCTGAAGGCGTTGGAGCATTGCTGTGAGATTCCACGTCGCTGTCCTCGTCATTGATGAAATCGTTCATGGATGAATCTTCAACATCGTCGTCATCCTCTTCCTCTTCCTCTTGTTCAAGAGTGCCAATCTCCGAGTCCTCGTGCATGTCAGAAACAAGACTGGCGGGGTATGGCCGTCGCCTACTGCCCGCCGCGTCATGCGGGCCCCGGCGCCGATACTGGGCAGGGCGAGAAGGCGGTCGTGTATCGATATCCCCATCCTCTTCCTCTTCTTCAGAAGTGCCAACCTCCGAGTCCTCGTCAATCCCAGAAATAAAACTGGCGGTGTATGACCGTCGCCTACTGCCCGCCGCACTATGCGCGGCCCGGCGCCGAGGACCGGTACCAAAGCCAGCAGGCGGTCGTGCAGTTCCACCATTCTGCAGCCATCTCCTGACGGCGAAAGAGTGTTCATCATCTGCCATTTCGTCGTGCCAGGCGTCATATGCACCGTCGGCGTAAACTTCAAGGCCCAGATCGATATCGCCATCGTCCATCTCGAGTTCTGCGTCTAGGTCTTCGCTGGACAATCCGTGCTCAGATGTTTCATCCATGTCGCTAAACCCGCCGAAACTTTCGCCGAATGTCAGGCTACCACTTTCCCCAAACTGCAGCTCACATCGTATGCATGCTCCACCTTCCAGCTCGTACATGCAAAATGGGCAGCGGTCTACGCCATCCCCCTCGTCCCGGATGGCGCGAGGGGTCTCAGGGCGGTGTTTGAAGCACCCTCTGAATAAACCTCCGGTTTTGCTGTCGGCGTTGGTCTTGTCGTGTTGAACTATTTCTGACTCTTCCTTTTGCCACTGCACGTGCTGTTCAAGAGTTTCTCCGAGAGGTAAGAGCTCGGCTCTGTTGATGAAGACTAGGGTCATTTCCCGGATCTGCAACGAAGTTAGCAAAGGTCTGACGTATGAGCTGGAGGTTGAACACACAAGATACGCGGGGGCTGGTGCTTGTTTGACTACGGCTCGGCAATCCGGACATGTCTTCTTGGTTCTGTTGCTGACGAACCACTGGCACAAGCACTAGCGTTGCGGTAAGCAAGGTTCGCTCGTGGATAAAGGGGAGAGCCCTACGCTATAGCAGTATGTGTGGCCACATGAGATGATGTAAGGCTCGTACAGCAGCCTGTCGCAAATTTTGCAGGTAACCAGGGTTCGGAGAGCATCGAAGTCAGACTGGACAGCCTTTAGAAGCTACTATGACAGTCAGTCATTTGTTGGAACACAAGACGTAGAGAATGGAGGTTGCCGCTACGCACATCTCCGCTTGCATCTTCCTTAGGCGAGTCTTCTACTCTCCTCGTAGCCTTGGGCTTAGAGCTGTTTTTGCTTGAGGAGCGGCCGGTGTTCTTCTCAGTAGCCTTACGTGGGTGGCGTGGAGAACGTCTCGAAGCACCGCCCACAGTCGAGGAGGCGAGACCTGCTGGGAACTGCGCTGGTGGCATATTGTTAGGTTGCCTGGCGGTAGATAGTATAGAACTCGAAGGAGAAGCAGCGCGTTCGTGGGTGTGCTTTTGGCGCACGTTTCGCGAGGATGGAGCTGGCGAAGGCGAGGGTCGTGAGTCCATGGCGAGATTTTACGGACGAGAAAGCAGCAGATGAGTGAAGAGGGTTTTGAAGAACTGTCGCTTGCCGGGGCGAGCGAACCCGCAGTCGTTGGTCACTTTCCTTGAACCACAGGCGTGAAGCAGCCCGGCTGAATATACCAGATAATCCCGGCGTGCAGCAGCCAAGCGCTTACTAAGCACAATCCAGGGACCTCGCTCAGCCTCAACCGCCCTTTTCGCCTCCAGAGCTCCAACTCTGCACCCACCTGCACTCCTCAACTTCCAGGACCCCCATAGCCGCCTTGGTGCCCCAACTGGCGGACCAGCATCTAGATCTTCTGCGTCCCTCGAGAGCATTATGGCAACATTCCACCGACCGCAGCAGTAGCTCACTGCTTGAAGCGCACCATGGGCTATAGACCCCCTCATCCGAATCACCACAATCCCAAAGCTCTCACGGGACAGGACTCTGTAAACTCCTCGTTAGAGTAACTGCGGGAGTGTGGATCTACAGACACCCTGACGCACGACACCGGGCGGCCTGTCATCTGTCATCTCGTGTCTTCCACAATGTTTCAGGAACTACACACCTCCTCAGCTCACGAGGTATACGAACGTGGAAGACTCCGACCTTCCAGAAGCTTGACGAGAGTTGTAAGATTATTTTTTTGCCGTTCGGCTCACCGCTCCGAAATCTTCTATGTCTTATCCATCAAGTATTTATGTCTCAGCACGCAGCTTTAGCATGAGCGTTCGAATCGGATGTATAAAACCTATCTATTATCGCTTCACCTCCTGAGGACAATGTGGTGTATGATTCTGTCTTTGTTTGCGTAAAAGCCCAGCGCAACTCATCATCGTTCATATCCTCCCGCGCTTACGTGAGGGTACGCTCGGTCATCCCAATAGTCCAACGCGACAAACGAACGCAACTCCAACCCCAAAGCGCCAAAGCCATCTCAACCAGCATACGGTCTAAAAAGATGTCGTACAACAACCAGAAAACCCGCCATCCTTGTCATCATTCGTTCCGGGCCCTCTTGACTGAACGGCCTGTCTGAAGCTCTTCCCCAACCTTGACCTCGGGGACCACAATCTCGTCTATGTAACCGACCGCGACCTTCTCCTCTTCTAACATCTCGTTGTTCATGTGTTTGAGGAAAGCCTCCTGCTCCGCAAGGAATTTCTTGAAGTCCTTCGTATCCAGCTTCTTGCCGGCTTGCCGCCGTTCTCGCAGGTGTTTCAGCTTCGCTCGAAGGCGCTCCTCCAGGATTTCCATACGATACTCGCCAAACTCGTAATACAGCTCCGAGAGATCAGAGATCGGCCTCACTGAGGTCAACACAGTGTCATCCGCAATGTGCGCCGAACGAGGACGGAACGATGTCACCCTACGAATGATTAGCCCATGGCCTGGAAACGCTTGACGTTTCTTACATTGTGATGCGCTCCTGTGCCCCCAGAGCCCGCAACGCTTGGTGTGTAATGTAACGCCCCTGTCTCGGTTAGTCTCTCTAACTGTGTAAATGCTTGCGATCTTACCTGGAGAACAACTGCACAGCCCTGGATGCTCTGGTCAGAGTACAGTCACTCCGCCATTGAACGATACTCTACTCACCATCTGCGGTCCCCGGACTTTGAGAATGTCACCATAGCCTGTCTGGAGTGCGGTCTCTCCACCAACCATATTCGTGCAGTCGCTCAGCATCAGCACACACACGAAAGGATAGCTGTCGGTGTGCCAGCCAACGACAGGCCTGTCGTCCTCCCAAGGGCATCCTGCAATGCCTTCGTCGTCCGCAAAAAGACGCTTTTGCCTTGCAATCGCAGCAAGCTCACTCTTGGATTGCTCTTCTGTTTTGACAGAGATATTTATATGGCCAATCTCAAAGTTCATGACAGGTACAAGGTCTACACCGGCAATCTTTGAGACAATAGCCAGTGTATCTGGGTGGGTCCAAGCGTCGTGAATGAATGGTGCGTATCTGTAAGAGAGTTGGTTAGGTCTAAGTGGTTCTAAGCTGTAGAGGCTTACAGAGACTAGTGGTACCTGTACAAGAACGCACTTACCTGCTCGAATACCCTCGCAACTGGCAGGCTGCGATGTTGCTGCGGTAGTTGCACTGCTCCATGACCTCCGGCTTGAGGATCTCTGCTCGCATCTGTTGTATCGCCTCCGACGAGAACATCTGGAAAGGCTCAGAGACTGCGACTGGGGAGACACCTACGGTTTCCGAGAAACCGAGGTCCTTCATCTTGATGATCTGCGAGGGCGGAGTGAATGCAAGGTGCTTCGCTGGATCGAATGCCGAAGTCATGTTGCCTTGGCTCGGCATTACGTTCTCGACTATAGGCCTGAATATTGGCCGAGGCATGGCTGGCACCGTCTGGACCGCTGCTGTCGCCCTGGAGGAAAAGAACTTCGTCAACCTCATCCTGAGAGCTTCTCACAAAATGTGACAGAGCAGCAGAAGAAAAGTGGGGAACATTGCTGCACGAGCTTGCAGTTTGATGAGGCGAGTGGTGAAAGACAAAGAGCATGCTTGCGCAATACCAAGGCGTACACCTGGCGCCTTCCCAAGGCGTAGTCTAGACCCACAGTCGACAGCAAACATAAAGGGCAAGAGCATGGTTGATGTGATTACATAGAAACGTACATTGCCCTTTCCGATATTTTAAAGGTGAGTTTATAGGTCCGAGACGCACAAAGCTAATCGAGCGCTTGTAACAGATTCCTCTGGTTGCAATGTCGAAGACTGGAAGACGAAGCGATCTTATATGCTTCGACCATCCCCCTGCTCCACTTCTCTTTGCTGTTTCCGGGGTACCGCATCGTGCGATTACGAATGAACGGCGCGAGCGATTCGATGGATCCGCCTCGGTCCCTCGAGCGCCACTACAAAAGCTAGTGTCGCCACTCATTACCCCGTCTACTTCCGCTTTCAGACGATACGGACGTCGCGACTGGCCGACTAAGTTGTCGTTTCGGTTGTTGTGGAGTAGCTCCGCAACACGCATGCCGTCCAGACATCAGCACCTACCGCTGCATGTAGGCCTTATCTTATCGCACGGAGGTCTGACCCCTCCGAATACTGCCATTGGACACTTTCACTTCATATTTGTAGGCCGTAACCTGTCTAGGTTCTACGATACCGGGAACTTTCAAATCCTATTGGGATATCAAGCTGCATGTCCACGAATTCCATATTGAATGCAAACCACTGCTTTTCCAGGACGACATCGACACAGCTTGGCGCAACAGCTCATCATACACCTGCAGCTATTAGTTCAAGCCTCAGATCGCAGTTGAACCCATTGCGTCGGAGCGCAACGGCCTGTCGGACTCTCCACCGGGCGGCTCGCGTCGGTCATGGCGTCGTAAAACAACCACCGGTACCCGCGGTCATACGGTCATACACACAGGACTCGCAATTGGATGAAGACCTTCGCGATGGCCCTCAAACTCTAAGATTTAGTAAACCAGATGTCGAAGCCAGTGTTTGACCTTTACCTGATGGCATTACCACTAACGGAGCATGCTGATGCCCTGACGTTGAAGATCGTGATAGTCTGGGATATAGGGAATTGTTGACCTATTTGGGAGCTTTGCATCGTCACGACTTGCGTGCCGCATCAACGGTCATCACCAAATGAACTTTGTGTCCTGGCTTATCGAATCCTCCCAGTTTCTCTTATCACATCTTGCATTTGAGACTCAACATACTCCTCGCAAGCGTCGTGTCTGACCTGCGCGTCCAGTGACGAGCAGCTCGATAACATTGTTTCTTAACATCCTTCTGCATCCATGGTTGAGACAAAAGAAGTTGCCTGTGTAGTCATCCTATGTAAACGCCTTTATCTGCTTCTCAACAAGTACGGTTCTGGCTTCAGGTCCAGCCATTCACTTGATCCCCGAAACGCCAACACAGACGCAACAGTAACACACACTGTGGCGCTGCTGCTGTCTACAGCTTGGAAGACTGGCAGTGATGCGGTGTAATTACCCACAGCTGCGTTACTCAAGTACCCGTATCAGTATCAACCGTTTGACGTCGTTGATAGGAAAGTACGCGGAGAGATATCGGCAGGTGCCAGAAAACAAGCGCTGCGGAACGGCTAGCAATCGATACGCCTCCCCGGTAAAACGCCGAAGCCGCCGCCGGCTGCATGACGGGATCTGCAGCCAACCTCGAAGCTCTCCTCCGCAACACAGCACCTCACCATGTCCAAAGAAGAAGCCACCGAATCGCCTTGGACCGAGAAGGCCGCAAGCCAATTCGATGGGTAAGCTTCCCGCTGTCTCTCCCCTCCGCCCCACCGCTTGCGCCCCCTCCGCGCCGTCGACTGACGCCGCCAAAGCAAGCAGTACAGCCAGTACTTCGACCCATGCCAGGAGGCTGCGGCGCGCAGCATGAGATGTCTGCACCGCAACGGCGGCGATCGCGATATGTGCTCAGATTACTTCCAGTGAGCTCACCCTACACGCCGTGTCACGCTTCGGGACCACCGACACGGTATCGGAGTTGGTGGCGCTGCCGCTGCGAGATGACGCGGGATGGTGGAGCGATGTGCGGGTGGGCTGATATTGGGACAAACAGGGCGTACCGGGATTGCAAGAAGCAGTGGGTAGGTTTGCCACCCTTGGGGTGTTGCAGCGGAGCTTAATCCCGGAACGAGGACACGATGGTTGACGTGGGATTATAGCTGGAGGACCGGAGGGAGGCGAAGCGGAAAGAGGGAAAGTCATGGTTCTCATAAAGGACGCCACTGGCATGGCCGGATGAGAAGCATGTGGGGTGGCACTGTGGCGTTAACAAGGCATTCTTGATGTTCTGGGGAAGATGTTCGATACTGGAGGACAAGCCCTAGCAAAAGTGAGGCGGTCTGTCAGACGTTCGGACAGCTTTAGAGTCCAATGGGCTGTGAGGGTAGATTGGTTTGAGAGTGAGTGCTAGAGCACATAACCATCTCAAGTGTGCCGAGTCCCAATCTATGTCGATTGCATTGACCACTTTTCCGATCATAGAGTTGTGGTTCATCTCCTTCAGACACAATGTTGGTCGCAATACACGGAGAACACCCCGTTCAAATCTCTCTAGCACTGCAGTTCGCCTTTGTGATGTCAATCGCGACATTACCCTTTCTGCGTCCGGTGGACTATTTGGTCTCCTCATAGCTAACTGTTCTTCAGCTTCTCCGTCTTCCTAGCCTCTCAGTTTCCTCTAGTTTCTTCAGTGCGGGGCCGAGTTCCAGGCCTTGAGTACTTTCGAGTTCTTCAAATCTCGCTAAGGCAGGTTAGAAGCCGGTGCCTGAGTACGTAAACACGGGCGAGGTATCATCAAGCGTTCCGTCCAGAGCAATTGAATGCGTCAAGCCAGAAAGGTACAGTGTCGCTGGACTCACATTGGAGGGGGATTGGCGGGGAAGCTGTTGAGAGATCACGAGCCTAGGATAGCCAGGTGATGATTCTGGAGTTGAAAGGCTCAGCAGTGGCCTGAGAACATGCAGATGGCAGCCATCTTACCTTGGGCGAAGTGCTGAGTATCGCGGAAGGAGCTCAGGGCACATCTCTCTGGAATGACTCTACATATGGAGCCGCTGGCGGACAAAAGGCTGGACTTGCGAGCAGCGCCAGCTTCGAGGGAGCTGCCACTTTGGAGGGCACGGCCAGCTTCCGGTGGGAACATTACATAGCCTTCATTAAGTTCGCAGATCATGATGGACACCTTGCTGGTGACAAGTCTCTCATCTAGGCCACACGCGATGAAGTCAGCTTTCGTGGCGTGAAAGGTTCGAGTTCGTGCAGCGGCCCGGATGCAGTGGACTGGTTTAATGGATCTGGCACCGGGACGGAGCATAACTGGACGCTTCCAGGCGAAAGTGTGTTGAACTTCTCAAGCGCGGTTCGGTTTGATTGAGACGGGCGTCATTGTTAGTTCTAGGCTGTGAAGACACCTTAGAGCATACCTAAAACATGAATGCTCTTTCTGCCGTTGATTGGCTGAAGGTCGCCAAGCCCTTAAGCCGGTTTTAGCTACATCATTTCAAAACACCGCTGATATGTAGAACTTTCGGATCCAGTGATGTCTCGATATCAAACCGCTCTTCTGTTGATGTCCTCTTGAGCATGGATAAAGTTGACGAGCTTAACGCCACCTACGGTAGCAACTACCGCGCAGCATTGAAGGAGTGCGAAAAGAGGATCCAGAAAAAGCCAAAAGATCCATCGTTCGTTGTAAGCTCACCGTTCCCTTGAGCAGCAAAGCCATACTCATATAGTGTGAAGGTATGGAAAGCATCGATACTTTTGCAGACACTTCGAGTGTCCGAATGTGAAACGCTGTTGCGTAAAATTTGCAGCTGGCAGCCTCCAATTACGGATCTCAATATTCTCGACCGCGTTTACGTGCTGGAAAACTGCTGTTCTGAAGCGCATTGTGTCACCGCAGGTCCGGATGTTGGCGGGCTTTTTGATAGCGCCGCCGCTGCTGGGGGAAGGCAATTCGGTAGAGCTGTTTATGATATACTTTTCGTGAGAGGTGCTTCGCATGGAAGATGGGGAGACGCGCAGCGGGTTAGTGGCACTGCTCTTGTTGATTCCGTCACACTCCTTTCGCACCGATCGCTCCACGGCTACATTTTTACTGCAAATCTACTATATCCGTCTACATCTCGACCGGTGCCATGGTAGCTATAGGAGACTAGCCCTGTCAATTCTGCAGTGCAGCCTTTCCGCCTTTCAACGATGGTAGTCCCTTCCTACCTAGGTAAGCGTTAACACGATCCACAGGCCATGCTCAAGCTCCGAAGACTGTATCCCGACGACTCCAAGTGGTTGTACGCATACATTGCAGCTACCCAGCTAGCTGCGGAAAAGGACCTCGATCAGCCCACGTCCGGACTTAACAGAACATTAGCCTACAAGGCGCTCGAGCAAGCCGTCGCAAAAGGCTCTACCGGCTCGGTAAGCCCTGAGCTACCAGGTCCGAGGTGTATCGACTGAGTGCCTGTAGGGATCTCCGGGGACGCTATCCACGCTGCGAGAGCTGAGCCTTCTGGTTGAGATTTACCGCAGGCAGGGCCGTCAAGAGCAGCTCCTAGCTGTGCTTGAGGACGCGAACGTCGGTGTTGGATCTTCTCTTGTCAAATACCGATGGGAATTCGTCAGCGTCAAACTGCGGACCCTCAGAGAACAGAAGCTGTGGGAGAGGCTATGGAATTACTGCTCGCACATCATAACCGAAGCTCTTCAGGCCAATCCAAATTCTGACCATGCGCATTATGAGTTCTTTGCGGCGGATTGGCTGGTATGGGAGTGCCTACTTGAAGCTACTTCGGGCTTGAAAGATGAAGACGTAACGTAAGCCATGCCGCCCCGCTAGCAAGTTGCTCAAAAGAAGCGCTTCAAGTATCCCACCGATTATGCTGCGGCCCCATCAGACTTTACCTGGCATCTCTCAACCCGTAATCCCGCTTCGGGTTTGGGGCTTCGTCTAGCCGCTGAGCTAGGCTTACAAAGAGAGTCCATGTGGTGGCAACCCCAGTCTCCCGACACGGAAAATACCCAATCCCTTGCGTAACTGACATCTCTGTAGGATCTCCCAGCGTACAGAATCCCTCATCAAGCAATATTACGATTCCAGCGCCTCTCGCATACGCCTCGCCCTATTAGCAATGGCAACTGAGGCTTCGGCTAGCGCCGATAATTCGCAGCTTCTCGGAGCTTGCAAAGCTTACCTACGGTTATACGGTCATTTAAGCTCTTGTTTCGACGACCTTCGCGTTCTCCTTGAGACCTTGAGTCGTGCTGGCCGAGTAGAATTCCGGGACTTTGCCACTCAAGTAGCGCGTGATGCAGGCCAGTCCACAGAAAACGAGTCCGAATTCAAGAAATGGTCCGCGATGGAGCTCAACGTCCTGAAGATCGACTATCTCTTGAGCATATCTACGGCGCAGAACCCCGAGAAGGACCGGCTGGAAGCGTTTGCATCCAACTGTGTGAGACTGTCAAATGTATGTGCAGTATCTAACGCCGAAGGAGCTGTTCACGCAAGTTTGTTAGCTGTGATGGCTCTAGTTCGCCTACATCATTCTTCCTCTGAGGCATCAGGCATCTTTTCGGAACGATATTTACTTCAAGCTGTGCTACTTCTTCAGCGGCAGTCTAAACAGCATCAAGATACCTACGCCTCCTTGCTCTTTGTTCGCCTACTGGTTTACCTCGGACTTAACTCAATGGCCTATACTAACTATTCAAGCCTCGCGATCAAGGAGTTTCTCCACGACACCCTTGGACATGTTCTGTTTACACGGATCGCATCTCAGCATCCTTTCACAGCGCACAAATTGAACAACTGGGACCCTGACGAAAGCCTTCTACAAGTTGTTCATTTCTACACAAACTCCCAGGCTAAGCTAGTCAGATTTTTCAGCGAGGGTCTTGACAACAAAGAATACGAGAAACTGCTGGAACTGGATGACCTACGGAACCGTTTTATCATGAGCTTCCAAAAACGCTCAACCGACATAGAAAGACAACGCATTGGGCGACTCAGAGGCGAGCCTGTCATTGAAGATAGCTTAGGAACCTTGAGTAAGTATTGCCTTATACGCATTGGATTGTTCCCAAGCCTGCCGAGCCACTTTAGTGCGGCCATGACGTATGGATCCTTGCAATGGCTGCACGAGTAGTCTTTGGCTGGATAGTTGTTGGCGTCGAACAACATCTCAGCGAAGACTTGTCTTCCCGAAGCCGCGAAGGCAGCCTTTTCACGATGATCCTTCTACTCTGAGACCTTTTGCTCTCGGAAGTCAGATTGGGGGTGCCTGCTTCCTGTAGATTCCAGCTAATGCGCTATTTGTATTAACAGATGGACTTGAGCAAGATCTGGTTGAGGGCAAACTGGTCGACCTCAAAGACAACCGAGATTTCAGCTCATTCCCCAACTTCGAATGCTCTACAGGTCCTCGCTTCGAGCACTACATCCAGAATGGGCCTAAGCCTGGCAACTTTTGGCTCGCTTCCTGCCTTTTCGCCGAAGATGTTCATTCAATCATAAACCGGGCACTGCCACGGTGCCGGCCTCAGCCCTCCATCATCTCTAACGCTACCGAGAGCCAAAAGTCTGAGCTTACAACTGCAGAGTGGGAGGCCAGTTTGGGTTGGGCGTTGCTTGCACCCATAGGTATGAATACGCTTAGCGAAGAACTTGCTCCACAAGGCACAGTCAAGGAGGTGAGTGCGCCCAGTCCTTCTCCGCCTTTTCATCTCGAAGGGCTTCTATTATCTCGCCCACCTTGATCTTAACAGTATCACATCCCGATGTGCTGCACTCCGTTGTTTGTACGCTTGTTTGATACTGACCTGTTTAATCAGATAGCGGAGAATCTCAACTCCGATTTGCAGAGACTTGAAACATGGCTCAACAAGCTCCGAGAAGCCTACGTATCCGGCCAGTACTCAACTTCTCATGGCTTGTTGCCCGTCTGCCATGAGCTGCAACCCATGTTCCTCCACTTGGATGTACTACTTGCCTGTTGGAAGCTCTGTGATTCGCTGCTTCAATGCGCAAAGCAGAAGTCGCACAAGCTGAAAGGCAAGATCCCGAAAGAGGCAATCCAGCGGATCATGGGAATCGTTCAGGACACACATGCTCGGATACGAAAGCTGGCAGCGGACTGGAAGAACAGGCTATCGGAAGGAGGCTTGGGGGTTATGGCGGACCAGATGTTGGAGGGCAAGGTAGGAGAAGCCATCGAACAACTCCTTGGGGCAGATGCGACGGTTGTCGTAGAGGGGTGTGCCGGCTTGATCCAGGATGCGGCGCAGGATACGCTGGACGGTGTGCTACAAGTCAAGCTGGCAAAGAGACAGGGATAGATGCATCACTGATTCCACCGGTTAAGAAACGTTGGCACGCTGAACGCATTTCGTCTGAACCGATAGAACAGAGAGCCAAACCACTATTCAAACAACGTCACGTCCTATAACCAGAGCTAGCCCCTCTACTTGGAGCGAGTTCGCGCTCGTTTAATATTACTCAAAGATTGGCGTCCGCAGCGCTGTCTAAGTCTTGAAACATCCTCAGATCGATTGTACATGTCCACGTACTTCGCTAGAGGTTTTCCGTATGTGAATTCGCCACAAAGACGCTACGCGTCATATGAGACGAAGATGAACTGGCCCGCGACCGCCCCAAACACTAACAACAGCAGCGGAGTATACTTGTTGGTGAACTTGTATAGCGCTGCCAACGCCAGAAGATACAAAACTGCGGCGGGTCCGCTTTGCGAAATCCGATTATAGGCCTCGCTGGCTATCTCGTCTGTCTTTCCGGCGGCGCCTTCAACGCTGGACTTGAGGAATTGTGCTGCTATGATGGCTATGACGCCGACGACGGCACCGCATAGGCCGTCAAAGAAAGCGGAGAGAAACTCGAAGAAGGTTAATGACCGTACTACCCATGGTTTGGCGGAGAAGCCAGCACGGACGTACCTTGTTGCGGACCAACTTCTCAAGCAGGCTATGGCCGGCAATGGTAAACACGAAACAAGGGAAGAACATCCCTAACGTAATGATAACTGCGCCTGCAAATGCCGTTCCCAATCCTCCTTCCCGAAGTCCACCTTGGAAGCCCACAAAGGTTGCAAAGATTACCAGCGGTGCAGGCAGGATGTTCCCGATTGCGATACAGTCAATGAACACGCTCTGAGGTAACCAGCCGCCTTTCAGGACTGCCTCAACTTGGACAAACGGTATAGCCGTGTATGCTCCGCCGAACGAGAGGCTTCCGGCTACAAGACCAAGGACGAAGAGGTTGATGAGGGAAGGCGTCTTTGCTATTCCGAGAGCGAGGGAGACGGGAGATGGGACGCCCCGGAAGATAACGTAAAGCGCGTAGGCGACATATTGAAGCACGAAGAGGATCCCAGCGGGAATCCACCAGCGTCGAGAGATGAAGACGTATATCACGCCGTAAAGCCCGAGCGAAATGAAACTACGGGACGTTAATACATCAAGACACACAATAGCCTTATAGTGTGGTGCACTTACATGTTAATGCGGAGTGCACTGTTGATTGCTGTACAAACAGCTGCGATAATGAGGAAAGGATCCACTTTGCGAGTCTTCGGTTTCATCACCGAGTGATCGGCTATCTTGTGTGTTGCTCGTAGGATCTGTAGTTTGATCAATCACTGAATCCATGAAGTCTTATGTACAGCGAACGCCTACCATTGCGCCCACGATCGGTTGCAGAGCCCTGAAAGACGCGTTGACATACACGTTGTCAAGCCCAGCCAGGGAGTAGACATAGCTTGCTATGAGCATCAAGATGAAGCCAGGGAGTATGAAGGCGAGGCCAGCAACAATGCCGCCTAATCTCCCTGCGGAAAGACACCCAAAGAACATGCAAAGCTCCGCTGCTTCAGGGCCGGGAAGGATCTGGTAGACGGAGAAGACACGCTGGAATCGTGCTAGAGTAATCCATTTTTCTTGAACAACGAGTTGCTCTTTGATCATGGCAATCTGCGCAACAGGGCCTCCCCAGGCGAAAAGGCCGAAGTTGTAGAAGAAGAACCAGAAGAGTTTAGGGATCGAGAGCCGAGGGACGTTAGAGTTGTCCTCCAGGTCCGCATCGTTACGAGAGGGCTCTGATATTGCGGTGGCTTCCTGTTTGGTCGTTGATTCCTGTGACTCGATATCCGGACTGGGAGTCGTAGAGGTTACCACTGGCTCATGGGCATTGTGCTTCGATATGGAATCCGCTTGATTGTTAACCGTAGCCATCGGGATAACTGATACAGCGTCGAAGTTCTCGGAGCCGTCTCTTCAGATCCTGACCAGGTTGGATCGTCATTTTGCACATCTGAAAGATGCGGCTTCTTAACCACAACTTTGGTGCAGTGTCTTGAGGCGGGTTGAAGGACGATGGGACGGACAGGCGACAGATGATTGGCCATTCATGCGGACATGGATCGACTAGTCGAGCACGTCAAGGCGGCTGGACCGCCATCGGCCGGGATAGCCACCTCATGGCACAAGGTTCATTTGGCTAAGTTACGATGATATCGATATTGTTGCCGGCATGTTTCGTGACTTAACAATGCAGCAGCGAGGCCTTCTGTCATGAAGGCTGGTCCTGTCACTCCCAGCAAATTAGTACCAAGGTCAGAAGGATGCGCTCTGCGCAAGCGAAATCGGTATGCCTCATACGAATCCATATATACAAGTCCTCACGAAACCGTCAAGTCCGCTCAGTCGCTGACTATATCTACTTCTGTAGGACCCCGAACGGGCCACCCGGTTGAGGGAAAACAAACGCAAGCATAGGTCAAGACAGAAGGAGTATGTCGCTGATCTGGAACGGAAGTTGGATGAGTACCGGCTGCAAGGCATTCAAGCGACCAAAGAGGTCCAGCTATCGGCGCGAAGAGTGGCACAAGAGAACGTTGGCTTGAGGCTTCTGCTTCGCCAGCAGGGCGTAGACGACGTTACTGTGGACGCTTGGGTACAGAAGGCATTAGGCAACCATGGCAGTACTTCGGTTTGCGCGGAGCCAGAATGGGGAGAGGCGAGTCTGGTTACACCTTCGATGTCGACACATATCTCTCCACTCACAAATCCCTCGGATGCAACAAGGATTGACACGGATCCGTCGTCATGTCAAGGATCTCCCGCACCACTTACTGTGAAAGGGCCCGATGCGACGGGAAGGGAACTATTGGATCCGTCTCCGGCATCAACCAGATGCGACGCGAGCAACGGTAACCAGCGGAACCCAGCGGAAGAAGCTTCCGTCGATCAGGCACCTTCTGCTATACCGTATGCTCCATGTAAACTCCTTACACAACTCAAGGCCAATCCAGGCGCGGATATTACCCAGCTGCCGGTGGAAGTTGCCAGAGGCGAAGAGGCTCAGGATGAGTCCGATGGAGTAGAATGTAATCGGGCATACGAAATGCTTATGCGATTTGCAACGACAGAGGAGAAGCTTGACACTGTTGCTCATGCGCTTGAGAAAGGATGTGTAAAAAACGGTGGCGGTAAAGGTGGATGTAGAGTGCGAAATGAGGCGATCATGAAAGCATTGGATAGCGTCATCAGCTAGTTGTTCATTATAAGCGCTCTGGTAACTGCCGTAGGCGGATTCTCTAGCATCTATGTAGTACGAAAAGACCTGGCAGTATACAGCTATTTGTAGGCCAAAGGTCGGAGAGACTTAAGGAGCAGACCAACCGCGGCTATACCTTGTGGAAGTAGCAGACTTCTCCCGACTTCTATCACCGGAATCTGGTAGCCTCCGGCCACCACGCGTTGCTCACACATCCCGCCGGCTGTAAGATAGCCTGACGATTCCTAAATCGACCTGGCGTTACGGCTGATACAGCATATGTCAGTAGCGCCGCACATACAATTCCCAAAGACGGTGGGCTGCTGGTAGCTGTTGGCCGCTTCGCAAGTGTCGTGGAAGACGAAAACAACTCGAGCGTGTTGTCCTTCCTTTCCAGGACAGACATGTTGAAAGTACAGCTGGATATTGACGCACTCCTGCAAGTCTCTGTACGGCGATCCCTGGTGGTCCAGTCGAGAACAATGCTCGAGCTACTGGCGCGTAGAGTCATCCTTGGAATGTCGGCGCGTCTTTTCACAAAGAACTAGCACTCGTCGTCTCTCCAAAGCTCTTGCAACATTGCGACACCTGTCTTCTTTGAGACCCAGCTTAAGATTAAAGAATCCATCGAACCAATGCTACGTCTGCATTACGGTGCTTCCCCATTGGCATGATTAACACCATTAGTTCCAGCAACTTCATTGTTTCCGTCATCCTGTAGTGGTTTCCGGAAAATGGCTTGCATCCAGCACCGGTACATCTTGAGCTTGCGTTGGCGGTTCACCAACATCCGCCTGTCGACGCCAAAGTCGACGATCTCGAAAGCTGGCCGCTCAAAACCCCCATCCGGGTCTCTGGAACATTCGTCCGCAATCGCTTCTTTGGTCTGCTGGATCAAGTCTGTGCTACTGAGCTTGAGGTCTTTGACCTTGTCTGTGATTTCGGTGGTGTTGTCAGTGCTGTTTGCGCCATCATCACTACCCTTCACGGCCCTTTGATCAAGACCTCCTAGCTCCTTCCCTCCCCAAATCCTTTCCAGCTCTTCCCTTTCAAAGAAGTACACTCTCGTTCCGTCCCCCCGCACATAGAAGTTCTCGCCCATGTACCGGCCTTTCTTGAACCTGACCTGCGCCAGATCACCCTTTCCATAATCCCTAAAGAGCATCGTTCCTCCGGGCTTCAGGACCTTCCAGATGTTGCGCACCGCCTGTTCCCATTGCTCGGGCGCCAAAGCCGAGAAGATGAATATCATCATCACGATGTCAACGCTTTCCTCTTGCAGTCCCGGCGGCAGACTCTCGGGTCCTGTGGCCGCTACATCCCAGACATCCGCTCGGATGTATCGCTCATCGTACGCCTCGTTCTCCCTAATTAGCCCAACCGCCTTCTTCGAGAAGTCGCAAGCGTGGATCTTGAGCCGCTCATTCTTATTCAGCTTGAGGATCGGAAACGCCGTATTCCCCGCCCCCGCACCGACCTCAAGCAACACCGTCTCCGGCCCTCCCTCCCTCGTCACCTCCGCCAGCACCGGGAACTCCTGCTGCAGCCACTTGCGATTCTTGAAGAAATTCGCCGTGTTCTGCGCGTAGAACAGATCCCACCACTTCTCGGGCTTCTCATTGAACCGCTTCTTGTCCCAGTCGCTCACGGGCGACTGCCGCTGCTTCTCGAACTGCTCTTCCGAAAAGGACGCGTAGGCGGAGTCGACCTCGACGTGGTCCCAGGCGTTGAACTCAAAGATGTTGTCGCCTTCTTCAAGGTACCGCGAGCCGAATTGGAAGGGGTCGCTGCGCTTGAGGTTGTTGCTTGGGTCGTGGGAGCGGGAGGAGGAAGTGCGGAGGGGGGAGAGGACGGCGCTGGCGGTCTCGGTGGATTGGACTGTTGAGTTTGTGGCGGATAGGGTTTCGGCGATGGTGACGAAGCCGTGCAGGTGGGACATGCCTTTCGAAAGCTGGGCTTTGGGGGTCTTGGCGGGGGTGGCAGAGGGCGGCGTGGGTGGTTGGTCCATGGCGGTAGAGGTTGGAAGAGAAGTGGGCAGAGACGGCATGTTGGCAGTCTCGTCGGTTGGAAGGTCGGCGTTCATGGTGTACTGTATTGAGGCTGCAACAAAATACTGTAATTTGATATCCGGAAAATATCTTGGTGTTGGAAAATGCGCCGGCTACATATCGATAGCATCTCTTGACGATCTGCTAGATCGCCGAGGTTGTTCCTGCTGGCCTGGCTAAAATGATGATGACATTGCATTGCATATCTAGAAACCCGTCGGCTGAAATATTTAGAGTGTCGTTCTGCTGAAGCGTCAGTTTCCAGTTTCTCTCAATTGCTAGGTCTACACTTGTTTACTCTCGTTTCAATTCCCCAGCAAGCTCCTGTATTTACGATGAAGGCCGCCCGCCTCCCTCCTCCCCTCCGAGCTCAATTGCTGCAAGCTCCCCGAAGCTGTCCTCCTCCTCACTCCCTGCTCCACCAGCAAAGACGCACCTTCTTCCCTAATCCTCTCAGCAGCACAACACCCACGCAGAACCTTACTGCCTCCCGCACACTACCCTACCCGGCCTCCGCGATCTACTCTATAATAGCCGACGTCCCCAAATACTCCACCTTCCTGCCCTACTGCCAAGAAAGCAGTATAACACGCTGGTCGTCCCCCGACTCGTCCGGCAAAAGATGGCCCTCCGAAGCCAAACTCGTCGTCGGCTGGTCCAACATCACCGAGACATTCCACAGCCGCATCTACTGCGTCCCGGAGCGCATCGTCGAAGCCGTAGGCGGTAACACTGCCACATCGCTAAAGGGGGACGAGATCGCCCACCACGACATCTCCGACCCGTCTCCCAACACCGCGCGCGAATCTGAGAACAGCCCCTTACTCACGCACCTTCTGACTCGCTGGACCATCTCCCCATTCCCCTACAAACCGGCGCCGACGCAGGATGGCGCGCAGCCTAGACCGCAGGATAAGACGAACGCGTCGGCGAAGGAGCAGACGCAGGTTAGCCTGAGCATAGAATATCAGTTTGCGAGTCCGGTGTACAGTGCCATGAGCGCGGCTGTGGCGCCAAAGGTCGCGGGGCACTTGATCGAGGCATTCGAGAAGAGAGTGAGAGCGCTGCTGGGTGAGACGGATATGGGCGGGCCGGGTATGGGCGGGACGCAGGATGTTCCGGGCACAAGAGAGGGCGTGGTTAGGGATGGGCAGGAGCCGTGAGAGTGTATTTTGGGGTGAGATGGGGTGGCTGGCGTAAGGCCGGGAGTGCTACCGGAGTACAACGGAGCCAGTGAGGCCTCGAGGGTACTTTCTAGACACTTTGCATGGTTTGTTGCTGGTGAAATGTTGTGGAAATGCTGCGTCGTCAATCATCGCATGGGCAAAGCGTCGGCGCTGGGAGTAGAACATAGACTTCAAGGCTGTATGTCTGACTGTATGTCTAATTGACCAAGCCCCGTCATCTTCCTGTAGCCACTATGCTTTGTGTCATGTCATCGTGTATTCGTCATATTGCAACCGCTCATACCGCGAATCCGCCAGCTATTCCCATACGTCAGCAGGTTCGCTCCACTTTCACAAACAGGTCATACTCACAGTCGAACTGTCTCGGCTCTCCCGCGGCTTCAAACGTCCCATTTCCTAGCCTCCTCAACGCCTGCGCCGAGCTTAGCGCGGATGCAATCCACGTAACATTGTGGCCCCTCTCGCGCATAAACGCCGTCGTGCCATTGTCATACGTATACTCGAACGCGACGATATTCGGCATCAGCTGATCATGTAATCTCGGTCTCGCCAGCGCCTCCGGCGCTGACAGCCCCAGATCAAGCACATTGTGCAGATTCAGTATGGTCGAGGTGATGATGCGCGAGCCACCCGCGGCTCCGACGACGAAGTAGAGCGTCCCGTTCGCATGCTCGACGATGGTGGGCGTGATGGAAGAGAGCGGCCGCTTGCCGGGGCGGACGTAGTTGGCTGGAGACGGAACATACCCAAAGGCGTTGGAGACGCCGGGGATGGAGAAGTCGTTCATCTCGTTGTTCATGATGACGCCGGTTTCGGGGACCATGAGTTTGGATCCAAAGAGCAGGTTCACGGTTGTGGTGAGCGAGATCGCTAGGCCGGTGTAGTCGGCTGCGACGACGTGGGACGTGCCGGGCGTTTCGAGGCTCTCGAAGCCATCAGGATTGTATTCGGTTACGTTGAGGGTGCGGTTGTCGTCGATCTTATTACGGATTTCCGCTGTGATGTTCTCGGAAAGCATCAGCTGTTCATACCGCGACAAGCCTGGAACGAAGGAAGGGTCTCCCAGCTCTGCCCGTTGGCCGTATGCAAAGCGGATGGCCTCGTCTAATCTGTGAGTTGTGAGGTTTACCGCCGCTGGGTCATCAAATTCCGTGTAGCCCTCTACGATCTTTAGCGCGCTGAGTGCAACGCTGCCGCTGCTGGGCGCACTGCAACTTGTGAGCTTGTAGCCTCGGTAGGTGATCTCCGATGGTCGGCGGATCGCTAAGGTATAGTTCCGCAAGTCTTCCATAGTCATAGTTCCGTTCTCAGCCTGCAGCGCGGCGATGGTGGTCTCAGCAATGGCCCCAGTATAAAAAGCGTCCGGACCCTCAAGAGCGATAATCTCCAGCGTATCGGCATACCGCTTCCTTGTGATTGTGTCATTGAGGCCCACAAGGGTGCCATTAGGGGCAAAGTCGAGCGCCCAAGTCGGGTTGTCCACTAGGAAGTTGCCCGGCCCAGCAGTGGCGCTATCCATGTAGTTGACGAGATCTTGGGTGACTGGAAAGCCATACCGTGCTGTCTTTATGGCTGGAGCTATGACGTCCGCCCACGGCAACTGGCCGTAGTTCTCATGCAGATGTGCAAGACCTCGTAGTTCCCCTGGAACGCCACTAGATAGCCATGTTAGCATACCATCCACCACTAAACATAACGTGTGTACTGGGGACTACACACCTTGCTAGACCCCCGAAGATCGACGCGTTCACTCCATAGTTCGTGGAGTTGTACATATCCTGGAACGCCGCAGCCGGTGCAGTCTCCCGGAAATCAATGAATTCATAGGTTCCGTTCGAACCACGCACCAGCATGAACCCGCCGCCTCCTAGGCCGGAGTGATACATTCCCACGACTCCCACGCAGAAGACTGTGCCCACCATCGCGTCCGCGGCATTGCCGCCAGCCTTCAGGAGGTCAACACCGACACGGCTGCATAATGCGGTTTCTGAGGCGACAGCACCGAGTGTGGGGTCTCTAGGTTTACCGTAAGGAGCGGGAGCGGCGATGGTGAGCTGGGTCGTGAGGAGAGCTGTGAATAGCGTCGCGAGAGAAGGCATCTTGAGCTTGGAGTGTATCTTAGGAGCCTGTATATGAATATCAGTAACCTGAGCAAGCAACATGAAGAACGGGTAAACACGAGACTACCTGACCTATTCCTCGAACCGCCTGTTCCAGCAGCTGGCTGAAGGTGATGCGATCGTACGTAGCGCAGTCAGATACGGCACGGGGTGGTTGAGAGGGAGATGTGGCTGGGGATGTCTCACTCGACGCTCAAGACGGCTGTGGACCGGAAGTTGCGAACGGCAAGACATGGCGGGCGAGATTGTTACTGGATATCAAGGCCCTGATGGATCGGCACGCTGGTCAAGCTTCTGGATAGAGGAGCTTTGTCCGGCAAGGCGGGAGCTTATCGAAACGCCTATCAACGATCTGCAAGGGACAGCGGTTGAGAATGATGAACTCAAACGGCTGATGCTGAGTACCTCTGCCTCGGATAGAGTGTATATATGTCCGCTTCTACGCAGTCTAAGGAAGATCTAGTCATCCCCTAGACTCTGTTCGCTCGTGACGTTCCTCAGCAATAGAGACGCATGAAGATGTGGGGAAGGCTGGACATGCGCGGTTTGCAGATCCGAGAAGCCTCCTGCGTCACGCAACGGAGGGGCTCCCAACCTTCTCAATCCGGAGCTTGGAACTAACATGTCGAGAGCTGGGTTTCTTACGTTGATAGCTGACAGAAGCAGGCGTCAAAATGATACTACAGACTGCTAGACTCAAGAAGCATAAGATTACCCCGTCCAGTCGGATTGTTAATCCGTGATAGCCACTCTATATCGGTGTGGTATTTCGTATGAGATGCAGTGCAAGGTGTTCGCCAAGTGTTCGCCCCGCTCCGCCCCGCCCCACCCCCTGTAGGAGTTCCATCTCACCTCAGCGAACGCCGATAAGGACGACTTGACGCTCCTCTCTCACGTACGAGCAGAATGGCTCCAGTGGCGTGTGCCTGCATCTGCTAAAGTCATAGTATTCGCGTCGAGCAGTCGTTAGGAACACAGGCCAACGAACCAGTGCAACCGGCAGCAACTACTGAGGCGGGCATCGGAGCCCTCCGACAGCACCTCTTTACCGACGCCGTTGCGCTGTTGCTGCTTCGAAAGATCTTCCGGATGGGATATATCCGACGCCAGAGATATATGCTGAATGATCCCGGCTGAGATAGCTTCGTTTGAGCCCATCGATACCGTTCAAAGACACGACTTCTGGCTTGTATCCCGTCAGGATGGATACGATGGACCTCGACTACAATACTCGCATAGAGCAGTTGCGAGAACGAGAATATCCGCAGCTAGAAGGTAACTTGGTATTCAGCTATGCTCCACTGATTATGTCTGCTTACATTTCCTTTCTGTCAGACACCGTATACCTTGACCATGCGGGCACTACTCCGTATGCAAAGTCTCTGATTGAGCGCTTCTCTGCGGACATGATATCAAACCTTTACGGCAACCCGCACTCCGCGTCTTCAGCGTCACAACTCTCAACTAGACGAACCGAGGATGTGCGGTTGCGGCTGTTAGGCCTCTTCAACGCTGACCCTGACGACTTTGATATTGTGTTCGCGGCGAACGCTACTGCCGGCATCAAACTTGTCATGGAGGCTTTTCGAGACCACGGAGGCGGGTTCTGGTATGGATATCACAGGGACAGCCATACCAGCCTCGTTGGAGTGCGAGAAGCAGCTGCAAGGCACAGATGCTTCACGTCGGACGCAGAAGTTGAAGGCTGGCTTAGTGGCTCCATCATAGATGAAGGCAGTTCAGGCCTCGGCCTTTTCGCCTATCCTGCGCAGTCTAATATGAACGGCCGTCGTTTGCCGCTGGACTGGGCAGGCCGACTTCGATGCTCAGCACCGAAAACAGATCAGGCTGTGTATACATTGCTGGATGCCGCAGCCTATGTCTCGTCTTCGCCGTTAGACCTGAGCAATGCAGCATTAGCGCCAGACTTCACCGTGATGAGCTTATACAAGATCTTCGGTTTTCCCGACCTCGGGGTTCTGATCGTAAGGAAGGGATCGGGACACGTCTTGAAGACACGCAAGTATTTTGGCGGCGGCACTGTTGACATGGTGCTTTGTATGAAAGAGCAATGGCATGCGAAGAAATCAGAATCGCTGCATGACCAGCTGGAAGATGGCACTCTACCGATACACAGCATCATTGCGCTGGACTCGGCGATGAACGTGCACCAAGAAATTTTTGGAGCGCTTGAGCGGATATCGCGACATACAGCCTTTCTGGCCAGGAATCTCTATCATGGCCTGCGGGACTTGCGTCACTGGAACAACGTGGCCGTATGCGAAATCTACAAGGATGCAGAGTCTGAATACGGCGACACACGATCTCAAGGTCCAGTCGTAGCATTCAATATTCGCAATAGCCAGAAAGCATGGGTGAGTAATACAGAAGTCGAAAAGCTGGCGGCAATCAAGAACATTCAGCTTCGGACAGGCGGCTTGTGCAACCCTGGCGGAATAGCGTCCTCCCTCGGGCTGGCTCCATGGGAGATGAAAGAGAACTTCTCGGCAGGCCAGCGCTGCGGCAATGAGAATGATATCCTGGGCGGCAAGCCGACTGGCATGATTCGCGTCAGTCTCGGAGCAATGAGCTCCGTTCGTGACATTGACGCCTTCTTGGACTTCATGAACGAGTTCTTCGTGGATAACGTGGCTCCAGTACCCGCTGCTCCGCTCCTAGGTACGGAGGCCTCAGCGCAATCCCAGTATCACGTTGAAAGTCTTACAGTGTATCCAATCAAGAGCTGTGCTGGCTGGAAGGTGCCGCCGGACATGCCTTGGGAAGTGCGTAAGGAGGGCCTTGCCTGGGACAGAGAGTGGTGCCTTGTCCACCAAGGCACAGGAACTGCTCTCAGCCAAAAGCGCTATCCGAGAATGGCTCTAATTCGACCGATCATAGACCTGGAGACAGGGTTACTCCGCGTTAGATATGTTGGCGGCGGCACGACACGTGGAGGCAGCCCAGAGGTTGCTGTGCCTCTGTCTGCCGATCCAAACTACTTCGCTGGTCCTGACGGCTTCCGGACTTCGCCAGCCAACGTATGCGGTGACAAGGTGACGGCTCGGGTTTACAAGATGCAAGAAATTATAACATTCTTCACTGAAGCCCTCGGTATACCTTGCCAACTTGCTCGCTTCCCAGCAGTTGGCAGTCATGGAGTATCATCAAGGCACGCAAAAGCCCACCTTCAGCAACATCAATTGCGTACTGCTCCACAAATACCCGGCGCCTTTCCAGCCGCACCGCCCGGAGAGCAAGGCACTATACAAAGGCCAATCCTTCTATCAAATGAGAGCCCTATTCTTACCATCTCACGATCAAGCCTTAACCGCCTGAACGAGCAGATTAAGGCGAATGGTGGTAAAGCGGCACAAGCAGAGGTCTTTAGGGCTAACATAGTTGTCGCCGAAGCCTTGCAGGCCCAACCGGGTACAGAGCAGCCCTACGCAGAGGATCATTGGCGCTACATGCAGATTGGACGGCAGCTCTTCCAGATGTTGGGCTCTTGCCGCCGCTGTCAGATGGTCTGCGTAGATCAGAACACGGCGGTCAAAAATGAGGAACCGTTTGTCACGTTAGCTAAGACAAGGAGGTTTGACGGGAAGGTGTGGTTTGGACAGCATGGCTGCCATGTGCAGATGCAGGATCGATCTTCGCCGCATACACAAAATCCCACGATCAAAGTTGGGGACTCTGTGAGAGCATTTGGCGAAGACGACGATTTGCCTCACGGCCTCGTATCATGAACGATGTCGAGGCGTCTTATTAGATTATGCTGGTTGGGAACCATTCAAGACGCAATCTGATTGACCTAGGCCGTTCGCTTAGGCGCTATAGAAACCGTTCGGCTGTCCAGTCGCAGAAGAGGCGCTCACTAATTAAAGTTCTCCCGACAGCAAGGGACAGGCGCAGCGGCAAGATCACTTGCAGCTCGGGAACTGCTTGGTCCATCAGGCCGCACACGGTCGTACAACGGCTGTTGAATGTTGGGTGTGTAAGCGCCGCCGTCCCGTCTTCGGAGCCAAGACGATGTTGATCAGTCTGCTCCATTGAACCTTGGCCGGAATATGGCTTCGGCCACGGGCTTTCCTCACAGCGAGGCACCGCCGGTCTTATGAGGCGCGCGCCCATATCGGCGAACCATAGATTGTCCAGCAAGCCCTACAACGGCCAGCTTTCTGATGGGAAAGTTGATTCTGTGGGCTGTCCGAAGGCTCTGCTGTAGAAGCGCGCGGTCGTGCCAAAGTGCAAGGCGCGTATGCAATTCGACTTTGTTAACATAAATCCTTCTGCTTTGCCGTGATAGACGGATCCGTTAAGCGTTTGTCTGTTCCGTCTACGGAGCTCCACCGCAGCTTGTCCACACTCATTCCTGCCGTCCAGCAGCTTGTCACGCTCTCTACAAGCGGTATACCCACCTCGACTGACACAAGCTACGCTGTGATCTGTCTGGCCAGTCGCATCTCAATCGAGACGCCATCGCCAGCATCTGGTGCCCCCAGATCCCTACCGACAGCTACCTCTCCCTCCAGCAGCGTCCAAGATCCTTACAGCGTCGTTGTGGTTTGGCTGTTGCCGTCTCGGGAGCTGCCAGCGAATCAGCGTCCGGGTCGCATCTCTGCAGAGGGACGTCCCGTATCACACCGGTCACGTTTCAGGTCCCATCAACCAGTCGTCAACGGGCGGCGGCGCGAAACCTGGTCCACGGCTTGTCTGCCTGTCAGCCAACCAGACAGCGGCTGCTAGCCAGTTCGAGGGGCCGCTCGCCCGCACCAGGCTAGCCCGGCGGCTCTGTTGCATCACCAGCGCTTTGTTTTGCGCATTGGCCTCGACGAAAGTCGGTGTTGCGCCTGCAGCTGTGTGCCCTCTACGCGCCCATCCCAAAATAGCCTCACTGAACTGCCTCTGACTGAGTCGTGGCATCGCAGGAGCCTCAGCTAGGCCGGCACTGCTAAGGTAAGCTAAATAATAACACCCCTTCTGTCACCTGCTCTGTCCGACCCTGCTGTCCTCACCTCGCGGCTCACCACCTCTCGCAGGGCCATCGTCTCATTGATTGCATCCCCGGGTCATTCGTTTGACGCCTCGGTCGCTCTTTTGTCCAAGCAGTCATGGCAACTACCGCTACCTCGAAGCCTGCGCTGTCTGCGCTGAAGACGCCCATGACGGCCACCTACCCGTCCGAGGTCTGCAGTCCAATCTCGAGTACTCCGACCTGGATCAAGAGGGAAGACAGCCTCAAGACCCCAATCACCCCTCCATCTGCCTACCTCGACTTCCTCAAGGCCCTGTCGCCCGCCCTCATGAGTCCCCTACCCACCGGAGCCAGCACTCGCTTTACTTTCGGCGAGAAGAACGAGAAGAACGACAAGTGCGACCACTCCGACAAGTCATCAAGCGCAACACCGGTACCGGCACCACCGTCCGATAAATCCAGCCCAGCACCTTCGCAGCCGCCGTTGTCGCGGACCAACAGCAACTGCTCCTGCAAGACCGGCGCTGAGACCTCTAATAAGCCGACCAACATGCAAATCTCCATCCCACCACCCTCGGCCTTTGTGCGTCCACTCTCCGCACGAGCGCCGCGCCAACGTCTGCACATCCCGCAGAGTCCCTACTCGCCTGCTGGAGTTGGGTCTCCCATGAGCGCGCGATCGGTGCACTCCCCATACAGCGCGACGATCTCGCCGCGCGAGTGGGACCTTGAGGGCAAGAAAGGCGGCACCCGTGCGGTGAGCATCAGGCAGGTCGTTACGAGGACGGTGACGTACTCGCGGACGCCGGTGGAGCCGACCGCGCCGCTGGATCCTGCGCCGAAGGGAAAGAGGAGGAAGATTGAGGAGTAGAGGGGGCTCTCGTAGCAGAGCACCCTCTACCGCTTTTTCGTAATGGCTTTGCGTCAAACATCTATACGATATCGGGACTTCATTCCTTCGCCTCACATACGCTACTTACCTTGTTGGCTGCCGAGCTTTCATCGGTATTCTATTCGTCCTCCATCCAAAACCTTTACCTCGCGCTCGACTCTCTCGACTCGAAGAGTTCCTTGCGACATCGATACCTCGCATATCTTCATCTCTGCCTCCGCCAAAAGCATCGCTCCATTACTGTGCGATGGATACGATAATTACCAGAAAAAGTCCTGGTGACTACATCTACCACGCTCGCTTCCAACACCAACCCTCAGCCAGCCTTGCAGCCAGTCCTGCAGGCTTGACAGCAATCTAGAGGTGGAGCTTATGATCGTCACGCATTTTTACGAGTTTCTGGCGTATTGCTCTACTGGGATCCGGTCCGGTCGGGGCACCTGTGGGGGGGCCTTCTGGAACGTTTGGGTTTGTTTGGGTAGCTTGAGAGGCTCGGAGGAACACTGGCTACGCCTTCTGCGCTGGCACAGCTACCGGAGTTGGTGTTCTTGGAGTCTGTGATCGGACCGCTCGGTCGTGGGAACGCCTGGGGAGTTTTCATCGGTGTTCTGGTGTTTTAGCGCCATGAATGGGGCAGCTAATCTTTGGCAGCGGCTTTGGAATACACACCAGAGTCAATTTGCCACTTTCAACGCTACTGCCTGTGACAATGTCATGCTTGATTGTCGCCCATTTTCACCGCGTGCTTCTTCCCTTGCACATGCCTTTTCCTATTCAAAAGCCCAAATCCAATGAATCCCACCCTTACTAGCGGCAGCTCAGTTCCCTCACTCGACAAGTCTAAACCCGCTCTCCGGAACGCGTTTCCCCCCCTCGCGTTTTCACCATCCCGCACGGCGCTAGCGGTCGCCAATCATTGGCCGTTTTTAGGGACGCGTTAAGCGCCGGCAGGAGGCCTGCCTCATGCCGTGCGAGTCGAGAGACTTGAGAAAAAACAACGTGAGCAAGAGAGAAAGGAAGTATACCAACCTGAGGGTACAGGGAACTTTCTTCGCACCCGAGTAGGGCGAGATGAATTTATCAGGTCTGTTTCCGTGGCGAAGGCCAATATCAATCCGTGATTGCGGTTGTGCTTCATTCCTGTATCTAGATTATATCCGCTGCCAGCTCTATTCTGTAGACGCTTGAATATCACACTCGATGCTCGTCTGTTCTGGCGGTGACTGGGCAAATCAGTAGACCTCGAGCCGTTCGAGTGACCTGACGCTCTCCGGCCAGGAGGTCTCATGAAAATGGGTCCGCTGCGCTCGATGTAATAATCTCTTTCGCTGACAAGCTGAGCGGAGCGGCATCAGGGAGCGCTGATCTAGCCCGCCCAGCGAGCCCGCAGTTTAGTGTGGATGAGAAGCTGGACGCGTCCAGGAAATCCGAGGACTCGAAATTGTGGGCTGAATCACCGAGGGAAGTCTCGATGTCGAGGCATCTGGAAGGTCGGACACTCCGGGACTCTCATGACTGATCGAGGACGGTGTACAGGCTGCGCTTGTCCTGCCTTCAAAATCTGGAAAACTGTAAATGCGAGATGTGACCGCGGAAGAGGAATGTGAAGCAACGCCCCGGGAAAGATCTACAGTGGATGTAGGGTTGGATTCGCTCAGCTATGGGAGCTGAATGCTGAAAGAGTCAATTACTGCAACGCAGGGAGCACTCTCGCCCCTTGCCGTTTCTACAGTAAGCTCGTGTGGAGGAGCGCTGATGAGTCGCACTCATCTGAGCGTGTGAGGTAGTTGGCAGCGGCATAGGATGGGGGAGGATCTTGCTCCGACGCGCTTGCTTCCGTGTCTTGACTGCCAGATAGACGGTGTGGTGGCGGATGAAGGTGGGAAGGGTTCTCGGTTTGGCCGCAAGCTGGCTTGCTGAGCGATCTGAGCTGAGTGAGGAAGGCGCAGCCCAGACGGGTTCTTGCTAAAAGACAGCGGTATGCTAGAACAGTACTCAGTAGAAGAAAGGAGTTGGAAAGCGCTTGTGGGGGGTAGGGGAAGCAAGGGCGTGACGCCCGCTGCAGAGTTGAATTTCTACCTAAGTTCGTGACTGTCTGTGGTGCCCTGTCAGCAAAACAACAACGCATTTCGCAAGTAGCGAGGTGCCCATTCATCCGACCATCCGACCATTAATCCAACCATCCAAGCCGTTACTTTCTAGAGAGAAGAAGCACACATCCTCCGCCATGACATCGACCCACCAACCCATCATAACCGACAATTCCTGCTCCGAGTTCTTCCATGACCGTCGTTCTTCGAGATTCGTAACAAAAAGCCGTCGCAAGCTATCGATCTTTCCGCAGCCCCACCCGCTTACACGCGATCGCGGCCTGGATAGAGATGAGGGCCAATCAGCATGCCCTCTGTTGCAATAGTCTTTTTGTCCGCATCGTAGGCAGGATCATGAAAGAAGCCACAGTACATTCCTCGGGAACATCCACCTGGAGTAGTGTAGTAGGCGCATGGAGCCTTTCGATTGCCGGACTTCTTGCGTGACTGGTTCGTGCCGCCATACTGAGAACCGGCAGATTGACCACCAGTCGAGAGGCCACTGACGGATTGAGCAGCAATGGCTTGAGGAGCAGCGGATGGTACAGATGCGAACGAAGCGACAAATGACGGGGCAGCAAGAGACGGAGCAACAAGAGAAGGAGCAGCAAAAGACGGAGCAGTAAGAGACGGAGCATCGATAGAAGGAGTGTCAATAGACATGACACTACCGTGCTGAGTTAAAATTGAGTCAGCATCACTCATGTCGACATCTGAACAAGTACCAACCGAGTTATTGTCCAGAGGCGCAAAGCGAACTGACTCCATTTCGTCCCAATCACGAACGACGGAATCGGCAGTGGCTGCTTGGATATCGACAGACTGAATGTGTTTGGTCTCAGAGTCCTGCGGCGGATCATGAACAAACGGGCACTCGCCATGTGGGCGAGGGCAACCACCCTCGCGGTCTTGGTAGAAGCAGCGTATAGCTTCACCGCCAGAAGCGGGTTCGTAGAGCGGGCGTCGAGCCGCTGGAGGGTGGCGGCTTGGGATGCCACCACGAGATGAAGCACCGCCACGGCTCAATGACTTGCCACGAACCGCAGAATCACCACGAGTTATGGAGTTGCCATAGGACCCCTGAGCCGGAGAACGGCCACGCGCCGTAGTTCCAGCGCGGCCGGGGCCAGCAAGGGCGAGAAGACCACCATGAGGCACCGACCCGCCATGACCGGCTGGACGGGAGCGCTTCTTTCTACCAGCTTGGGCCTTGGTCATGTTCTGGAGATCCTCGAGGGCTTGCCCGGCGGCTTCGGGATTGAATAAGGCTGGTTTGACTATAGTCGGAGGCGGAATAGTGGCATCTTCCTCTAGACCTTCAGCGAGAATATTGCCAGCCTGAGAGGCGGTGGATGAGCTCGGTCGAAGATGTTCTGGACTGGCGGGTTCGCCTGCATTGTGCGCCTGATGATGTTCAACGTAGAGAGGTTTGGTTGCCAACTTCTCCTCACGAGAAGTGGTGTCATGAATGCTAACGTCGGAGGTTGAGGTTGTGGAGTCCCTCGATCGGGGGGCTTCCATAGCAGCCGCTTCAGCTGGCCGATGCAAGAGAGCTTGAGAGCTGTAATGGGCCATCGCGGGGGTCGCGATGTTACTACCCGGCTGTCCAGATCCGAATACGTGTGTCGAGCCGGGAGAGGGGTTACCTCCAAATCCAAAAGGTGAAGCCTGAGGGGTGACGGCAGTAGGTCTCTTGATCTTGTGGGGGAAGCTGACAACCCGAGGGCTTACGCGAACCGAGCTCGTGCCTTCGTGAGTATCTTCGGTCGCAGTCTGGGATAGTCCTGTTGTGGCAAGACCTGGCAAAGGACACGACACCCTCAGTTGCGCGAGCCTGGTGGAGAGATCTGCCATTGGATCGTGCAGTGTGTGCAGCGAGGAGGTGCCCAACGGCGTATCCAATGCCGCTGCTAGGCCCATGGATGTGCTTGTGTCGCCATGATACCCACCTGTCGAAGCTCGACGAGCCTTGGTCGGGGTAGGTGGCGTTGCCTCTCGCTTCGTGCCAACCGCTGCCTTGGTGATCTTTAGCGGTTCAGGCGTCAGTGCAGCAATAGCAGCGGCGTCAAGCTCTTCTGTTGGGGTGGTTTTCGGATACTGGAACGAAGTAGGAACGGCCTGTGGCACTGGCACACCGCCAACAGACTTCAGCGTCATCGGCGGCTTCGAAGCTCCCTTCGTACGTTTGCGGATGGGTGAGCTTGCCCTGCCGACGGGCCGATCTTGCGACACCGATTCCGGAGCCTGCGATTGTCTCGCAAAGCGATTGTTAGATTCGCGGCCTGTGAGTTGCTCACTACGCCAAGGGATCGTCTTGCCAGGACCTCCAGACCTGTCGTAGCCCTCGTTGGGGCGCGGCTGAGGCGTCGTATGACGGAAGGTGTTGGGCGGCGGACCACCACCAGAACGGGCGTCCTGAGAGGTATAGATCGGTCCTCCCTCACTGGAAGGGATGCGAGGACGTGTCTCAGCTGGGATGCGTGGGCCTCCCATGGCTTAATCCTAGTTGTCGGTGAGGAGTCAGCAAGAAACCGCTACTAGTGAGACGCGAAGGCGACATACTTCAGTGATCGAAAGTAAGAGTGGTTGAGCTAGAGAGTATTGGAGCGTGCCTGTGTGCACGTTAAGTGTCTTAGTGCCGCGTGCAAGGCCCTGGTGTTGAGGTTATGGTCGACGGTTGTCGTTGGCGACGATCCTTGTTGTCAGTGAGCGGAAGATCGGACGCGAAGAAAGAGGAACACAAGACTTACAGCGATGATGCACTTGCGTCAGCGACCCTTCGAGGTGAGGCAGTGACCTTGACTGATAGAGCTAGGGCACCGTGAGCTTGTTGTTGAGGATGTGCTGTTTGATAGTGGTGGCTGTGAGCAAGAGGTTGGAAAAGATCTATGTCGAAAGAAGGAGGTGAAGACTCACAACGAGGTATCGCCAGTGCTTAATGCACTGCAGAGCGTGTTGCTACGCTTGATCAGGATGACCGTCCTAGCCCGCAGGCCTTGTAGAAAGCTTGCAGTGGTTTGACGATGGATGATTGACGTGGTTGGTTGAAAGGTTGTGTTGTGGGTGAAGAAGATGTGGGAGGTCGAAAAGGAGAGGGCTAGGCTCCGGGCGAAAATAAGTACCCGGGACCACGAGATGACAGGCCACGAATACTGAAACTGCTTCAGGAGAGCCGAAGGTCACTTGCACGGCGAAACAGGAATACTCCTGCAAAGCCCTCTTTTCTCAATGTTTTTATCTCGCGGGAGCAAGGCAAGCTCCACTGAAGCCCCCTAAACGCCATACGAAGCAAAAAGTCCCGATAGCCATCCCCCGACGCTGCGTCAACGGCATGCAGACTCCGCCTTCAGGGACGGGAAGCATGTCCGCAGCTACGAACATATCAGTCAGCTGAGGCAACTCTATCCCTGCCTAAGTGCGGTTCATGAGATGACCGCCGAACACGTCCTTCGAGCAGCACGTAGCTAGAAAGTTCAGACTGAAGTACAGTAGGACTGAGAATGCGTCTGATCCGGCCTGCCACGCAGCACCACCACCAATCTTGACGCCGGAGCAGCACACCACTAAGAATCGGGAAACAGAACACAGCAGAAACAAGACTGCCAGTTGACAGGCACGCTTCGTGCAGTAACCGCCATTGCGCCAACAAAGCAGCCTGCAACTACAAAAGGCTAGACTGGATAGTGGGAGCTCCATCAAGCAGGCGGAGCAGCGACAAGAAGAATTGGGCGAGAGGATTGGTCGACTCGGGCGCGCCGCATAAGTGGATGGTCGGCGGAACTTTGGATAGCTTGTTGCAGAGAAGGGCGACAAGAAACGTGAATCCCCTTAAGACTTCGAGAAGTCTGCATGGTTAGCAGCACACTATTATTGGAGAGGTGATTGCAGAGCCGCAGAAGCTTCGTGCGGAAGCATGAAAGAGCAGTTGAGACAATGGACGAAAGAGGTTTCTGTAGAGCAAGCTTTTGGAGCAGGCGAACGGTAAGTATCCGCCAAAGCGGCCCGCTGCATAAAAGGGGTGCCAGCAAACAAGGCGCTCGAAAGATTCGTCTGCCTCAAAGTCAGCGATACCAAGGCAATGTATCCGTTAGCTGAACTCGTGGTTGTATTTGAGTCTTGGATAGATACCATTTCTTCTCCCGTACAACCCCCCTAGAGAGACTGACGCTCATCATGAAATTCCCACTATCATTAGCGCTGGTGAACGTTGCTTGTTCCATGTCTCCAATTTGCTTGTGTTGTAACTCATAGATGATGCTTCAGACGAATGATACAAGGACAGCACAGAACTTAACCCCTGAGAAACGGATAGAGCATCGAGCGGACGTTCATAATAAAAGCCCCATTATCCAGCCCCTGTCGTAATTCTGATGTTGAACTGAAGCAAGCGCGGATTGTTCCGCTCTGTTTCACTAGCCCCTTCTTGTCGTGCTCCGCGGACTCCGCTTCTGAGGCCGGATTAAGTAGAGGTATGGAAATGGAGTTGACTGTAGACATAGAGACGAAGATAGCAACATCGATACAGGACCTGAACCCCAACCCAATCTAAGGCCACCGTTCTGCTCTATCTCATCAACACCTTGTCGTGCCCTGCAAAATTCACCTCTGAGGCGTGACCCAGTAAGAGATGTAAAGGACGTCGGGCAGTTGACACTGAGACAAAAGAGGCCATTCCAACGCGGACTTTGCCGCTTAAAGTCCACGCAATGACCTGATGCAAATTAAAGCAAGCGCCAGGAGTTTCCACTCTGGGTCATCAGCTCGCTCTTTCCGAGGCCCCTCGATTCCCTATCTTGGGCATGATGCAAAGTAGATATGAACATGAAACTGAGGAGTAAACACAAATGTCAAAACTGACCATCACAATGCCCCCCAGGTATCAGCCCTACTGCTTCTTCTTTCCCCCTCTCCTCTTCTCCTCCGCAATCCGATCCATCTCCGCAATCTCCGCCTCCTCCTTCTTCTGCGCATACCACTCGCCCGCCTGCAGCACCAAAACTCCCACCAACACCAACGCCAAAATCGTATTACTCGCCGCAAGGACCCTCAAGCTATCCTCCCTGCCCACAATATCCATACTATCCACATCCACCGCCCCTCCCTGCCCAACCTCACCCACCAGCCCCTGATCCGGCCCATACGCCCCCGCAGTAACAAGCCTCAGCCCCTTGACGATGTTCGCGATATAGACCGTGATGCCGCACATGTACAGCACCAAGCTGGCGCCATCAAACAGCATGTTCGCCTCGGAGGGCTTGTACAGCTTCATGACGAAGCCGAGCAAGCCGGTGCCGATGACGATGTGCAGGATGCGCGCGATGAGCGGGGGTGAGGCGTGCAGGAACTTGAGGTGGTTTTCGAGCAGCTGGAAGTAGGGTTCCCGGTCCGGGGGTGTGGACCAGAGCACATTGTAGTCGTAGGGGAAGGAGGCGAAGAGGATGCCGAGGAAGAAACAGGTTGCTTTGAGGGGGTAAGGTTAGTGGAGCGCATTGGGGGGAGGATTGGTGGGGGTGGAGAGCTTACGGCCGACGACGAGGAAGGTCCCGAAAGGACTGCTTCGTGCGGTGGGTTTGGGCATCGTGAGTGTGCGTTGGGGGTGTGTTTGCGACGAAGAGAAGATGGTAATGCGCTCAGGGAGCGGCGCGGCCGCGATATCGCTTTTGAAGCCTGATGCCTTCGTATGCGGGGAGCGAGCTTGAGAGTAAGTTTATCTGGCGGTTCGATAAATCGCTTCGTCTGTATTGAAGGTCGTCAATTGTAACTCGCTGAGTGAATTACTACTCTTGAAATTTGATGTATCAAGTTAGGTTCGAGGAGCGCTGAAATGTTATTATCTTTCTCTGACATGTGGAGACTCGCTGCGATATCGTTACAACATGCGAGTAGCTCCCCAATGCGGTTTAGTTCCGTGGGTTTCTGGCGATGACGACTTGTAAAAACCAGGAAATATAGAGATGTATACGAGTAAAAGCAGACTATCAAGGGTTGAACTACGGTTGTATATATCGAGAACAGCTAGATGTAATGCACTGCTTGTTCTGTATATACCTGTCTGGTTCTTTCGAAGCTATTGTACTGCAGAAGCGGGAGGTTTACAGTATTAGCTATTACTACCAGCGCTTGAAGCGTGTGATGTAGACCTCCGAGTATCCCATCAGTTCCTACTGATACATCCTATTTACACCATGAAATAGGAGGCCCTTTGTCCAAGAAGTCCACCAAGGCGACATGCGCGAAACGGCTTTTGCTTGTCCTCGTTCATTAGCACCTCTTCCCATCCGCTCCTATCTCAATCCCTTCGCATGAAACAAGATTTTCACCTATCTCCCTCACCTACCCTCCCACGGTCTCCAAAACCTCCACCCTTCCCTAACACCCCCCTCACCTTCGCCACCCTCCGTGACTCCTGTCCCCACACCGACCAGCGCCTCAATCCCCGCATTCCCCTCCGCCCTCAAAAACTTCTCCTGATCAATCTCTTCACCGCCCTCCTCGCCCGACGCATTCTGTAGCACAGCGGGCCACAGCACGCCCACGCCATCGCCCGCAAGCGTCGTTTCGAACTTCTCGAACCCTTCCGCTTCGAGCTTCTTTTCTAGGTCGCGTAGAAGCTCCGCTTTACTGGATGGAGCGCCATCTATGGAACCGTTCGCTTCGTTGGCGGTTATCTCCGGTTTAAGGATGGTAATGGCGCACCCGCCACCCCCAGCACCCGTAAGTTTCGTCCACCCGATGCCCGCATGATCAATCAGCGCGCGTATGCGCTCTAGCTTCGGATGGGACACGCCTAGTGACACCAGCAAGCCGTGATTGATTGTTATCAGCTCCCCCAAATACCTTAGATTTTCCGGGTCGTCCGGATCGAAGCCCTCCTCGCTGATGAGGCTGTGCGCACTCTCCGTAACGCGGTCAATGGCGTCGAGCAGGAGGTTTGTTGTCTCAGGATGTGTTTCCTTCAGCCGCGCAACCTTTGCGACCTCAACGCTTGTGCTTCGGCTCTGGCGCGTGTTGATGAGCAGGAGCGGCAGCTCCGGGAAGTCATGGAGCGGGCGCACGCTTGGCGGCTTTTTGTAGTCGGTTCGCTTAAACAGCACGGCTTTGCCGCCGGAAGAAACGGTGTTGTCTACGCCAGAGGGGTTGCCGTGGATGCAGAGCTCGCCAACGAATGCCCATCGGTTTATGCGCTCGATCTGCAGTTCGCATTCCTGCGAGGGCTGGTCGGGGTGCGGGCCGCTGAGGGCGCGGATCTGGAGGAGCAGAGCGGCGGAGAGGCATACAGCTATGGAGGCGCTGGAGCCGAGGCCCGCGCCGATGGGGATGGTGGAGCGGAGGGTGTAGACGCACGCGGCAGATTTCTGGGAGCCGAGGGAGAGGAAGAGGTAGAGGAAGGCTGTCGCGGAGGCTTGGTGTATCTTGCGTACGTGTTCGGGCGCCTTGGCTGATATGGTGGAGACGTGAGGTTCGAGAGCAGCAAGGAGGTCGGGATCGAGGGATGTGACGAGGTCGTAGTAGTACTTCTTCTTTGAGGGCTGCGAGAATGCGGACCAGGGGAGTGCGTCAATGTTCCAGGTGTGGTCGAGACTGATATCGGGGAAGCGCAGGGATACTGTGCGCCGAGATTTAGAGAGGAAGGTCACGAGGAGGTAGGAGCGGAGGGAGATGGCTGCGGCGATGGCGGCCTGTGGATGCTCAGCGGGTACTCGTCACAGTTCAATGGTCGTCATGTACCTTGCCGTGGACGACTGCATGCTCGCCGTACACAATGACCTTGCCTGGCGCGGACACCATGAACGCGGGCATCAAAGGGGTTGATATCTTTCTCGCATGACCCGGCCGTTGACTCGAACCATTGCTTGATGTTTCTCCTGTCACAGAGCCATCGAGACTAGTTGTATCTAAGTCATCTGAAGGGGAATCCATTGAAGGTGACGCGGCGCTCTTGTGACCGTTGACTGCCATCCTATTCTGCAAAACACCATGCCCAACGGAGCCGTTGGTCTCCGGTATGGAAGTATGCGCAGGCTTCAGGCCTGTTGCTTGATGCTCAGGATGCCGTGGGACTTCTCTGGTGATTGCTGAAGGGTGAAGAGGCCCACTTCACGGAACAGAGCTGGCGGCGCAAAAGCCTACCATCCCGTCTGAAGATTGATCCCTGATGACGGTTGGAACGCATTGATCGACAGACTGTCCCTGCCAAGCTTCGTCCCAAGATCCACCATTCTGGGGAGCTAGCGTAAACGGTTTCTTTAAACGGGGTTCGTAGAAGCGACACTCCCACTATCCAGTCTGCATAGTAAGACACTGGACTAGGTGTATCTCTTGTAATTCGGGTGACGAGAACTTCTTCCTGGGGCACATGCATGGACGGAGGTAACAGCTCAGGGGTCACCTCCGGTCCGTCCCTCATGCTCGTGTGCTCGTGACGATAAGGCGTAACTCGGGCGGGCAGATTCCGCCTAGGCGAGGAGTAACAGCTCAGTGATCTCCATCCGTAATGGCATTCTCGCAGTCCTGGGAGCAATGATTGGAGACGAACTATTCAATGATCCTCGATCTTCCAGCAAATGTGGAAAGAGACCACTGTGCGCCGATCTCCATGAACGAAAGCAGGCTGAGGAGAGATCACACCAAACCCTACGCCAGCCTTGCACGACGCATGATACAGCATCAATAAAATACATGATAACAGAGCCACAGGATGCCCCGTTCGCGTGCAGCGACGAATCTTAGTCAGCGCTGCTGGTTCCGGCGCTAGCGTACAGATACCACGACTTGACTTGTATGTAGATGCGATCTGTCCCCCCACATCGCGGCACCATCAAGCCAGAATGATACAGTCTTTTCTACAGGTACCGTCCATAAAATTAAACACCGTCCGTGTACTGACAACTACAGCGTCTTGCACGCTTCCTGGATCGGCCGCTTTTCCCATGGAAGAAGCTCGTGATTGGCTTCTCGCTCGGTCAATTCGTCCTTGAGAACTGGCTTCTCTGGCGTCAGTATGGAGTCTACCAGCGCACAATCCGCCCGAAAGCCCTTGACGATGTTGTCGAGCAGGACGTCTTCGACAAGAGCCAGGTATATCACTATGCTCGCTCATCCACTCCACAGCCTTGCTGACCCCCGCTTCTTCAGGCATACGGCCGCGCCAAAGCCCGCTACAGCTTCGTATCGTCCTTGTTCAACCAGGCGAAATCCATCGCCATAATCTACTTCGACGTCTATCCCAAGATATGGGCGCTTACCGGTCTCCTGCTGTCCCGCTACTTCCCAACCCGCATCAGCGGCGAGATTACCCACTCGCTCGTCTTCATCTTCGCCTTCGGTCTGATTGACCTTTTCGCCGGCATACCGTTCAGCTACTACCACCACTTCGTTCTCGAGGAGCAGTATGGCTTCAACAAGATGACAATCAAGACCTGGGTGACCGACATGCTGAAAGGGCAAGCGCTGGCTATCGGATTTGGCATACCGATTGGTAGCGCTTTCCTGAAGATCATCATGAGCACCGGCGAGCAGTTCTTCTACTATTTGTGGGTGTTCATGCTCGTCGTACAGGTGTCGATGATTACCATCTACCCGATTGTCATCGTACCGCTGTTTAACAAGCTCTCTCCGCTGGAACCGGGATCACTCAAGGAAGCCGTCGAGGCGCTGGCACGAAGACTCGAGTTCCCGCTCAGCGAGCTGCAAGTCATCGACGGTAGCAAGCGCAGCGCGCACAGCAATGCCTACTTTACTGGCTTGCCGTGGAAGAAGAAGATTGTCATCTACGATACGCTCCTGGAGAAGTCATCAGACAAGGAAGTCGAAGCAGTACTTGCACACGAGTTGGGACACTGGAAAATGGGCCACACGACAAAGCTGCTCGGAATCAGCCAGTTCCATCTGTTCTATATCTTCGCGCTCTTCTCGGTCTTCATCAAAAATCAGTCACTATACCGCTCTTTTGGATTTCACCATGAGCAGCCTGTCCTCATTGGCTTCCTTCTCTTCAATGAGGTATTGGGCCCGACAGACAGCGTCGTCAAGCTCCTCATGAACATTCTTACTAGGAGCATGGAGTATGAAGCCGGTACGTCCCTGCAACTCTCTCCTTTCGGCTTGCCTTTCTATGCGATCTAGACACCAGACTGACACCACTCCACAGATGCGTTCGCTAAAAAGCTTGGCTACACGGCCGAGCTGGCGAGTGCCTTGACTAAGCTTCAAATCCAGAATCTGTCCAGCATGGACGCCGACTGGATGTACTCATCGTATCATTACTCGCATCCGATTCTGACGGAGCGACTGAAAGCCATTGGATGGAAGGGCGGAAAGGTCGAGCCCAAGAAGGAGGACAGCGAAAAGCCCATCAGAGCATCGGATAGAGAATTGTAGCCACCAGACAGCTTGGATGTAGCGCCGTAGATGTCGTAGAATAGCAAAAGATCCCCCGTCACATGCCTTTGTCGAGCCGTCCAAGGGTCGTTCAGACCTCGTACGCGTCGGTGGTCGCTCCACGTGACTCCGTGCTCCCTCGGTCTCAGAAAAGTCTCACGCCTTGTCTTTCGCTCTCTTGGCAGCCCGCTCTGGCTTCTCAGCTTTCGCCCTCTCCTTCTTCGCCCTCTTCCTCGCCTCCTTATCCACCTTGCCCACCTTCTCTCCCGCAGCCTCCCCGTCGGCCCCATGCGGCGCCGTCACCCGGACACTTGGATCCCCATCGTTCGCAACAAAGTTGTTGCAATCCCCAATCTCCCCTTGCTCAATGCCATCCCGCTCCGTCTCGCGCCTATACTCCTCAGGGTCCTGCCATGCCTCCACGCCATCCGCTGCGTCATCTGCACCCGCGACCACATTCCCGTCAGCTGTGGTCGCGCCATCGCGCCCAGCGCCCTTCCGCTTGCGCCCCCTCCCCTCCGTCTCAGCAATGAGCCCATTAAGTACAGTGTCATCGCCCTCCTTCTCGGGGTCTGGCGCTAATCGCTCTCCTCTGAGGCCTGCTTCTACGCGCCGTAGATTGTGCAGTGTCAGTCCGCCGGTTGAGCCGGATGCGGCGGAGTAGGTGGGCCCGGAGGTCGTGAGGAGGGCGTCGGGGTGTAGGTGCGGGGAGGTCTCGGTCTCTTTGAGGTAGGCGGAGATGAGGGTGAGTGCGGAGGAGGGGGAGAGGGGGACGGAGGTGTGGGAAACGTGTGGGGGGAGGGCTAGAGGGGCCATTGCGGTGGGTTACGACTGCGGGCTCGAGGTGCTGGAAGTTCGAGAGTTATCGGTGATGGAGGATGGCTTGGTAAATGAATGGCTGGGTGAATCTTCAGGCGGATTTCGAGGTGATTGGAGTTTTCGTTCCGCCTTAGGGACTTTCAAGGTATTCAGACCGGATTTCGTAGTGTCTGTTGCTGGTATTGGAGCTTGATATCGAGTCCAAGAAAGTTCGTGGATGCGGATATAAAATTTTGAGCACGGGCCATCCGGAGGTTTCGAGGTCACCGAACTCAACTTCGACTGCATCTGTCAAGGGACTCCATCAATCGCGCAATCAACCTCGTCAGCAGCTTCGGTCCGATCTTGACCTCTCGGCGGTAGACCATAGGAGCGGAATCCTCCACGATGCAGTGCCTCCGCTGCCTGCGGAGCTTCGCACGACTATCACCGCAAACACCAACTGCCCTCCTCCGCGCAGCGCCGAAGCTTCAAGTGTCTCCAGCACGACAGTGAGTCCATCACCCCAAAAACCCTTCCATGCAACTTATGAGCATCAGCATTAACACCTCCTTAGAACCCGCAACCTCTCCCTCCTCTCGCCCCGCCGGCCCATCCTCTCAAACCAGCCCGCCCTAGCACCCTCGCCCTCCCCCTCGCCAGCAACCTCCGCCCTCCAACCATCACCAGTATCCTCGTCATCAGGGTTGCTCGACATTCTCCCCCGCATCTCCACACACCCCGCCCTCGCGAGCCAACAAGTCCGGTGCGGGCCCCGCGATACCTACAACCCGAGCCACCTGGTGCGGAAGCGGCGCCATGGCTTCTTAGCGCGGGTGCGAACGCGGACAGGACGAAATATTTTGAAGAGGAGGAGGGCGAAGGGGCGGAAGAGTTTGACACATTGATTGGGCCTCGGGTTCAAGCGAGATTTAGGGAGGGAGAGGGAGCGTGTAGAGGTAAGGGGAAGAGGGAGAGCAGATGGTAGAGGATAGGGTCAGGCCGGATCAGGATTCGGTGTGTAGGATGTAGCATCTAAGGGATGTCCTTGTGTATGGGGTCTTGGAAGCTGTGGACAGCTCGGCGGCTTCTAATAGACTCCCTGGTGTATTACGGCAGTTGGCTGTAGAACAAAGCATCTCTCTAGCAGAAACTGACTCATGGCATCGTCCGTCATTTCTTACTGCTTGTTTCCGTTCTCCGGGCCCTCTGCTGTCCTCCAAACTCCGCATAAATGGGTCATCGAGACTGCAATGAGTCTCCCAAACTCTCAGAGACCGGCTTAGCAGAACGCATGTCATAGATTCGTTGTCCGGCAAGGAAGAGTTAGCAAGGACACAGTTAGGCACAAGATACCATGGCCTCCGTCAAGCAGAACAAGTAAATCCGTACATGGTATGTGGACAAGTGAGCGCGTGCCGCTGACGAGCAGAATAGTTGCCGGACCAGTACGAAAACCTATTGCGGTCCCACTCTCTGCGAGATGGCGTTGGTCTGTCCGTGGATGTGATGTTTTCTCGTGTGGCAAGATCATCACAAGGGGCAAAGGGGATCGAGGGTTTTCGGAGTCGACTTTGCACGTGCTACGTTATCAACGGAAGCAAAGGCCGGGACAGAGATTCTCTCCCCGTATCACAACTCAAGAGAGTGCTCAAGCCGAGCCAAGCCCGGCAGCTGGTAAAGAGTATGTAGCGGACGGAATGGGTTGAGGAACTAATCATCACGTAAGAATGGTCGTTTCGTTGCGAGTCCGTGTGGTACGCCTCAATGAAACCCGCCATCCCTGACTTCCACAAACTCAAATACGGTACACTGAACTAGCTTTGCCAGAAAGCCCGGTCGCGCATATTGGAAGTGGTATTCCTAGCCGCCGCGGAGAATGCCTAGCGGAAGAACTGATGCAGTTGCCATGAGCTTCGTAAGTCGGGTATAGCATGTAGTGATATGCGACATACTGGAGGCACCCTGTGCACTAACGGCTGTATGTTTCAACCCGAATCTTCATATCGTGTATCATGTCGCGATCTAGTAAGAACTACTGTCTAGATCACAAGAGCAAGACGCGATTGCCACATACCTCAGTTGTTGGTGAGGAAGTCCCAGAAGGGATTTACATAACCGGCGAGCCATACATGTCCCACTCCGATACGGAAGCACCGCGTTGGGACGACGTTGAAGCAGAAATAAGTGTACGCCCAGTACCCGGCAGCGTCGTAAGTGTAGTCGAGGGCCTCGTTGACGTGTAGGTGTTGCCTTTGTGTGGAGAATATTACTTGCAGAGTGAAGATAGAAAGAAATGGTCCCTAGTGTGCCTGTAGCGCCATAACGAATAGACTTCGCCGTAATGTCTTGGTGCGTAGTGTTTTACCGAATTGAGGGGAAGGATCGGTGGTAGAAGAGATGACTTATACGGAAGGAGCTATGGTGATGGTAGCAGGAGCATCTTCGTGTACAGCCTGTTTAACACCCCCTGAGAACATCGGCTTCCTCCTCTCTCCAGCCAGTAGTGCATATCCGTAATCTTGAATGTAGGGGTTGGCACGGCCAGCCAGCTTCAGTCTTCGAAAGTTGACACCACCTTGACCCAAAAATTGTTTCCGAGATATCCATCTAATAAGAGTCATTTGCAGCTCACTGGTCTTGAAGAGAGGCCACATACTGTAAGGATTCGTCACAAAGTCCCATAGATTAACGGAACATACAGACCAGAACCAAGAGTGAACGTGTATCCTGATTCTCCATGTCGGGCTTGAGTATATGTGGAAGACACTCTCTGTACGCCATGCGAACGAGGTCATGGTGTAGTTGTAAGCTTCATTTGGGTATGAGTAGTGAACTCGCTTGGAACTAATGTCCTGTAATTGCATGAAGAAGGGAACAGGGGGGTCGGGTGGTGGTCGTGGCTTTAAGAGTGCGGCTTGCCGTAATCTTCCATAGAGGTAGGTAATATATCTGGAGATGTAGCTCATAGCCGGCAAGTTGCGTGGCCTGGAAGAACTCTCGTTGAATTGAGATCGCCCTGGAGAGTCCATAGTAAGTGGGTGTTTAGTGCATACCAGTGAAAAAGATACGCAGGAACACCAGCGGCGCGTTGTGGTTTAAAAGCGCCCTACAGTTGGTGGTTGAATGCAGCACGTGGTGCAAGGCCGAAGATGCGTAACACATAGGTACCAGCGGATACATCGCATTACGACCCGTTACATGACAACGATAAAACTAGAGTCAGAGTGACGAAAAAAGGTGCGCCAAGTGGTGTATTAACTAAAAGCTATGAGTCGTACCTACCTGAATTCAGTCACCGCTCAGCCATGCAAGTGCAGAATAACCAGCGCGAGGCGCGCCCAGAGGTCGGCATGTGGCCTTTAAAGATCATTCACTATCCCTCTTCCATGACCGGTTCACGGCCTTCGAGCCTCTGCAGCTGTGCCACGTGATCGGTACCTTTGATAGAGGATAGACAGACGGCTCTACTCTTTGGCTCTAATCGTTGGCTCTAATCTTTGGCTCTAATCTTTCGCCCTCAGACTCAAGTGATAGATGGAAATTGCAACCTTCGCGAGATGACAGCTCAGGACTGCCCACACGGTCCGCGCTGAAAACTTCGTCTGTCACAATGCCTCCTGGAATCATGACATCTCAGGCAAGGTGCTCAGCTGTATAGCCCCGTGAGATGCGCACGTAACCATTCACGATACGCTTACCGGACTGTAGTGAAGCCCAGAACACGCGGGTGAAATCTTCAGTGACATAAGTATATCGTAGAATCTATCGGCTTCCGCGCCTATGACTTGGTGTCAAGAGTCTTCGTAAAACGATTTCGTGGCTTGATGTGACCTCTAGCAAAGGCACATCGATGACTACAGAAGCTCCGCTAGCAAACTTCATTCCTCGGGCTTCTCAGTACGGCTGCGGAGAGTGCGGATGACATGCTGACGCAAGAACTCTTCGATGTAGTTGAAGTAGCCTGGCTCGGCTACAGTGTCGTTGTGGGTCCCGTTAGGGAATTCCTTGAATATTTTGACATCGGACCGACAGATGTCGTAGAGCTGGCGCATTTGGGTTGCCCTATGATGAGATCAGCTTTGTAGACGGCTGCGGGCTTTTGGTATAGATACTTACGGGACGATCTCATCCTTCGACCCACTGAGGAAGAGGATCGGTATACTGGGGGTGACTTGTGGTAGCATCTCCTCGCTTGGCCAATACTGATGGCATAGAGGCGCTAGATATTTTGCTGGAGGGAAAGCACTGTCACAATGTGAGCCAGTGCCCGGACATCCTCGACCACCTCCGATGTAAACGAACCTTGGAATGAGCTTTCTTATGCTGAGAAAAGTGTTCTCTAATACGATAGCTGCAATATCGCCCTCATTCCGGTTGCGAGCTGCGAGTCCAATACTGACAGCACCTCCCAAGCTCTGTCCGTAAAACACGATTTTCGTGTCCTTGAGCTCGGCTCGTTGCCGGACATAGTCCAGCCCCGTTTGCGCGTCCACCATCAACCCCTTCTCATTGGGCGTCCCTGTCGACATCCCGTACCCCCGGTATTGGAGCATGAGAACGTTGCAGCCCAGGTCGTCATGCAAAACCTTAGCGATTGGCAGCCGGTGTCCGATGTTGCCCGCATTGCCGTGGAACATAAGGATGGTGATGTTCCGCGCATGCCGCTTGTTTTCCGGTCTGATGAAGAAGGCGCTCAGGGACTCGCCGTCCGGGGTCGGTATCATGAGCTCCTCGAAGTCGCTTATGCCGAACTGGGGCGGGCGCGGGACATCGGTACGGGCGCCTGGAGGGAGGCTGCGGGGGTATATAATCTCGCTGGTGGCTGTCAGCAGGAGCTGGAGCGGGCGATATAGGCGACATACTTCTGCTTGAAATACAACAGTCCACTGAGCAGTGCTGTGACGCCAGACGATACAAGAACGGGAACCCGCAGGTAGGATAAGTAAGATGCCATGTTTGGGACGGCAGGTTCTGGTCAATTGCGGAAAATTTGGCGCATAGGACAGAGTCGAGTGATTTGTTAGTCCTTGCGTACAATCATGGGCAAGCCATCGTAGAGATATCGTTCGAGTACGGTGCGAGTCGCAACCGTTGAAGTCCACTCGATGCAGACTCGCGCATGCTTCGCGGCGCGGCATCGAAGGAATGGAGCTTGGACGCCAAGCACGGGAAGTCCCGTGGAGCTTCTCTGATGTCGAACGCGCGCCTTCACGTTTGCCTGAGCATCTCCAGCTTCTACACCATCCAAAGGCTCTTTCAACCCGTCTCCAAGCATCGCAATACCTCCGTCTCACTGCCAGATACTCCGACTGCGTCTCACCTTAGATTCCATCATCTCCCTCTTCAAAATGCAGCAAACCGGAATGTTAGGGGAAGGTCAGCTTGACGGAGCTCGACATCTGGAGTCGCATAGCTCACTCAGATACAGATGGCATACACATCGACATGGATCACCTCAAGAAGGGTGAAGTCAAGTAAGGATGGTCGTCTATGCTGCGGAATTTCTACTAACATTTAACCGGTAGCCTAGGAACGTCGATGTATGTACACAAGTCCTGCAACCGCCGTCTACATATTTCGACATGTGCGATTTGGGAGGCTCTTGGTTACAAGACTGACGGACAAAAGCATGGCCATCAACTTCAAGGACGGCGTGATATTAGGAGCAGACAGCCGAACAACAACGGGAGCATACATCGCAAATCGAGTCACGGACAAGCTTACGCAAGTACACGACACAATATGGTGTTGCCGGTCAGGATCAGCAGCAGATACACAGGCTGTGGCGGACATCGTTCACTATCACCTCGGCATGTACGGCATCACAAACGACGAAGCACCCACCACACAGACGGCGGCAGCCATCTTCCAGGAGCTCTGCTACGACAACAAGGATCAGTTGAGGTAGGCGTTTGTGGCCATCCTGTGTTTCAATTGCTGATGTCGTTTCAGTGCGGGCATGATTATCGCTGGATACGATCACAGACACGGCGGCCAGGTGTACTCCATTCCCCTCGGCGGTTCCCTGCACAAGCAAGCATACGCGATCGGTGGCTCAGGCTCGACGTACATCTACGGCTACTGCGACGCGAACTGGAAAGAGGGCATGACGGAGGAAGAGGGAGTCAACTTCGTCAAGGGCGCGTTACGGGAGGCCATCAGATGGGACGGGAGCTCTGGCGGTGTCATCAGGATGGTCGTACTTACGGCGAAAGGCGCTGTCAGGCATCTCTACCTTCCACATGTTGATTACAAGGGTAGGCGTTCGAGTGCTTAATGAACGGGAGCCTCGCTGACGAAACTTGAAGGTCCTGGGGTAGACAGCGTCAAGATATAGCTGTTGACTGCGGAAATCGATCATTGGCGTTACTCCGGGGCGACGGACACGTAATGCTCTTCCAGTAGAGCGAAAGACAGGGCATTGTGACTGGTGTAGGTCCTTTCTGCCAGTGATCGAGCACCTGGGTGGGTTTCTTCCAGGTGCTAGAACGGGAATGTCACAACAGCATCAGGTCGCTTCGCAAACCGTCTGTAGACTCGTAGAGGAATGGTGAATAGTCCCTCATTCGGCTCCAAGTCTGAGATGTTCCGGCTCGGCGTCCATCAATTGCTCTCTTCGTCTACTGGTGGACCATGACGTGGCACTCACAGTAGAGTTTGCTCCGTCTCAACGCTGTTTGAAAGCCCTGCCACGCCCAGAAACCGAGCTTGCCCCTGATATCAGGCAGCATATTATAAATTGGAACTCGGGGGTTGAGCAAAGTAGACCCAGTGCTCAGAAGTATCTCGTGTGTTAGTTATCCAGCTTATCAGCAAGGCCGGATCGGCAGGGTCTTGGGTGACGGTTGGTGCGGCGCGTTCCCGGGCATCTCTTGGGCAAGACCGCCCACCAAGGCCGCGCATCGAAGCCACAAGAGAGCCACGCTCCTTCGCACAATATCAACCTCCACCACCCATAGCCCCTATCGCCGCCTGTCGTCCAATTCACTTTGTTGCACGACATCGAAAAAGTAACCTACGAGTCCTGCCTCAGGTACTCCCTTGCGGCGACCAACTCGCTGCCCCGTGCACGGCACCCTGGACCTTCTCCTTCGCTGTCGACGCAGCTCCGCAACAGCTGCTCCACCTCCTCCACCTCCTCCACCTCTTCCTCAAGAGGTTTCTACGCCGCACACGGCTTCGAACACTTCGTTTGCCTGGTTGTCGCTGCGGCGCCTGTGAGTTAGGACTGTTGTCAACTGCGCATCTCGCCGGCCGTTCTTCGACCATCGTGAGTGAGCCTTGCCTTGATATAGCTACCTACAGCGTCCCACGGACACCCGGACATGCGCCCCGTCCAAGCTCGCTCCTGCCCTTTCACAATCGCCCGCAAAACCCGTTGGTAGGAACTGCTAACGTTGAGGTGCCAAAGCTCGCACCAGTTTGCCTCAGCTTTCGCGACAGCACATCGTTATGGGATCGATTGTAATCACCGCGCCGCCACTTCATTACCAAGCTTCGTCGAACCGGACTATACCAACCGCACCATCGTCCTCGTCCGCCTCGCACGAGCGCGCTCCAATTCCTATGTCTGACGCCGTGCTGCAAGGCACAACCGCAGCAACCTCCGGAACGCGGCCGACGCCCCACGCTCGGCACAGCGCGCAGCACCCACCAAAAAGTCCCCATCCCGAACCGCAGTCGACCCCACAAAATCCTACGCAAGATGCGTCGGCTGGATCTGGTCATGTAAGGCCACAGGCTACCGCCTCCAACGATTCATCCGCAAGGGCCTCCCCGCAGCTTGTTCGCTCGCCTGCAGACTCCACAAGCAGCTCCCCGCCCCGCATAAGAGTGCAGAGCCTCTCACACATCCAAAGCTTTGCGCTCGACGGCACAAGTCCTTTTTCACAGAGCCGATCGTCATCCCGGCGCTCATGCCGAGATCCAAGCGACATTGGACCGCAGTATGAAATCAGCGCAATGCCGGTCGCCGACATCATCGAGATGGTTGCAGGCCTGTTGACGAAGATCACGACCACTAATGACCGCCAACACGAGCATCTACACCGCCATATACCGCCACCCGATGGCACGAACAACCTAGATCCGCAGACCAGCAGCGTGCTGGCGTTCCACGGGAAGAACATCCCGAACATCTCCATCCTAAGCTACCTAAGCCGCATACATAAATACTGCCCTACCACCTACGAGGTCTTCCTCAGTCTCCTGGTATACTTCGATCGCATGACAGAGCGCGTCAACGCCGGCCCTATGCAGAGCCTTCGCCAAGCAAACCAACAGTCCGTAGAACGAGCGACGCCGGGACCCAGAGACAGCAGCCGCATGGACTCGGTTTCTTCATCTCTGCCGGCCAGCCAGCGTTCTCCAATGGAGTCGCGAAGACAAGTCCAAGCGGCGGCCCCCCCGTCCTCAGGCTCCCTGGGCAGAGCCGCAGATTCACCACGGCAGGATCACCCGCCTTCGTCACCGGAGCGGCCCCTGGATGCTGATCCTTACAGCCTGTCACACTTCTTCGTGGTCGATAGCTTCAACATTCATCGGCTAGTGATTGCGGGCGTGACCTGCGCCAGCAAGTTCTTCTCGGATGTGTTTTACACCAATTCGAGATATGCCAAGGTGAGTGCTAAGCACCCCTCACATAATTCTCCGATTCGTACACTAGCTAACTCCGGTATAGGTCGGCGGACTCCCGCTCGCCGAGTTGAATCAACTAGAGCTGCAATTTCTGCTGCTGAACGACTTCCGTCTTGCTGTTCCACTAGAAGAGATGGAAGCGTACGGGACGATGCTAGTCGAGTTCTATGCAAGGGAAGTCGTAGCACAGCAGAACGCGACCCAAGCACACCGTTGAGAGAGGCATAGCGGATCTTCTATGGCTCGGCGACTTCGACGTTTGAGCGTCCTCAATTGGGACTGTAGGGGTGACCACAATAATGGCAAGAGACGGAAGCCGTGGACAGATGTTGAGTCAAGCGCAGAACGCCGGTCCAAGTGGACAGACGTCAGGAGGATGAGAAAGCGGCGGCGGCTCTCAGCATTGGCGAAATCTGGCGCAACGAACCCTAGGAACGACTTTCTTTTTTCCCACGCCTCTCCTTATAATAGAGCACACCCCTTGGCTTTGAGAACGGCGACATGACTAGATCTCCTTTCTCCTCCCTTTCCTCTCCAATCTTGATCGATCACCCTCCCAGTTTGCATCCTCAGTAGTCGTGAATTGGCCGGATATACCCAGTCTGCTTTTCCTTCTTTCTTCACGGCCGCCTTCTAGTCCTCTCGTTGCTCGCTTGGTTTGGCGTCCGCATTGGCATGGGGTTTCGTGCTCACTCTTGTCTTTGATGATAGGGATGAGGACGGCGGAGGGGTGAAGGATCTTTTTGAGCGCAGGTTCTTGATGGTGTCATGACACGAGCGTAAGGTAGAAGGGGTAGAGAGGCGTTGGCGCGTTTCGCTTCAATCCAACCCAAGGCTTTAACATTGGTAACCTCCTGTGTCTGTCAGTGGTGATGGTGACTTTGATGCTGAAAGTTCTTCCTGGCCCCAGTTGCTTTTCCACATGGGAGACTTCTGTGGGTGTCTTCCGAGAGCCCCACCTACCCCTAGCGTTCCCTTTTGGGCCTCGGGATCGCTGTTCCACAACCATCGCTTCCAAAGATGCAGCCCGGCCTGTTGCTGTAGATGGGATAACTACCATGCATCACTTTACTAGCATCAGCTCCAGCCAAGCTCCCCGCCACACCGCATAGAACGATACAGCGGTCTGCTGGCCCACCGATGTCTGTTCTACTTCTTCCAATAAGATCTCTGCTGGCTCGTTACTCCGATTACAGACAAGGAAGAGCGCAACGAAGGACCATCGTGACCGTGGAATTCTAAAGCGGTAGCGCGATCTTCTTACCTACGCAGTGACGGCCTGATATCTTGATGCCAGTGATGATGTCCTCTTTCCCCCTAAGACTAAGAACGCACTGTTGCCTTCGCAGCACGACGGCAATGCCTGAAGGAAGCGGCTAGGATGATACCGTCATCCATTTTGAGCGACATTCCGGCTCATCATGATCCGGAGTTTGTTTTGGCTCTTTGTTCGAGGAACCAGGCCGTTTCTCCGTAATGTTGGACCCATTAGTACAAATACCTGCTTTCCGACTGGTACCGGGCACGTCGTCGAGGTTCCAGGAAGCTACCTTCGATCATCCATCTTGAATGCCTGTTCCCGCCTCTGCCCCCTTTCTGGCTCGAGAGCATGCTTGGAGTCAATCTTTCCTAGGTCGTATCTATCTACGCCGTATTTCGCAATTGCCAGGCTACCATGACTAAGAGGGTTCTGTAGGGTACTAGATCAGGCCAGCATGTATAAGTTGTGGATGGGTCATAGCAGGCACATGAATCACTGCACAAGAAAGCCACAAGATGTCCACTCGAGAGACAGGTTGTCTACCGCAACTGCCTGAATTATGTAACAACTGAAGCTTCCCCATCCGACCTGCGTGCAGCCGTGATGGAGTTTCGGCAGGACGCAATCCTCCTCTCCCATATCGCTCTCCCTTCCTCCTCAAGTGCAGAAAACCAAGTAGGGTAAGCATTGAGGGAGGAAGTCCCTCGCCAACCGAATGCATAAAGTCCGCCCGTTTTTGCAGTACGTATTCCTCCCGCGCTACAGGAAAGTCCGCGCAAGAAAATGCAAGTAAAAACAAGAAAAGCAGCCAGATGTAGTGCCCCCCACAGTAAGAGGCGGCAGCATAAGCCACACAAGAGGCTGCCAGCTGCAAGAAAGTAATTATGGCGGAAAGTAAGGCAAAGACCAATAAGTCCCGCTTCCGCAAAAAGTTCGCCGTCCCAGAATATGCAACCCAGTTTTACTCTCCCTTCCAATGCAAGCGCCCTCGAGAACAAGAGAAAGGGGTTGCGTGCGTGTCGCAGACAGACATCCAGATCCGCACGCGGCTGTACAGTCTCTCTCTCGTTCGAAGGCGGTAGTGGGGAATCGCGATCAAAATCCAATCAGGTAGAGTCCAAGGGAGCGTCGTACGGCGTGCGTGCGTGCGTGTGTGACAAACAGTGGGCAGCCGTGATACTAGCGATTAACATTAATTTTTCGAAAACATGTTCCCGCCGCCCCTGGGGTTCTTGGGTCCGCGCTTCTTCTTGAAGTCGCCCCAGCCCTCTTCGTCTTCTTCGGGCGCAGCGTTTGCAGCGACGCCGCGGCTGTACGGATTCCTCTCAGTAGCTTTCAGCTTATCGTTCATGTCGTAGGTGGGTTGAACTACGGTGGCGGATGAGGCGACGGTGGATGCGGCGTCTTGGCCTAGATGGACGGGGCGGTAGCGGGGGGACATGCCGATGTTGCTGCGTTCCGAGGGGGCGATTGATGGTGCGTAGCCGTTGCCAGCGCCCATGTTGAGGCCTTGCATTGATGGCGCGTATCCGCTGGCTCCAACGCCGGCCCAATGCGATGGTGGCTGCAGCATGCTCATCCCGTATTGCTGGGGGGTGGTGATTGGGTTGGCAGCTCCATCCCTCGTCCTCTGCACTATCATCTCTAACTGCATTGTCTCCAGCTGTTTCGAGGTGAACCTGCCGGAGCGACTGGCGCGAGCGTAGTACTCCTCCTGCCAAGCGTACATTTCGAGCGGATCGGAGCCAGGAGGGGGCGCTGGGCCCAAGGATTCCAGCGAAAATTTCTGCTGCCTGCCGCGGTCACGGTACTTGTCGGTGTAGCGATTAGGCGGATGAATGACACCGCTGATGCTATTGTAGGACGGATTGATGGCCGTGGCGCTGGACAAAGGCTGAACGTTCTGCATCCTCATCATCTCCAGCTGTAGCTGCATTGCCTGAATCCGGGCGTTCTCGTCTTGAACAGGCGGCATCATTCCCATGCCCGCACCCATGCCCATGTTCGGATAACCCATTGCGCCTCCCATTGGCTGTGCTGCCCCCATCATTGGGCCTTGGAACTGCATCTGGGAATGCATCTGCTGTGGCATTGCACTGAATTGTGGCTGCATGTATGGCATTTGATGGGAGTATAGAGGCATCTGCTGGGTGATAGGCCTTGGCTCAGGCATGATTGGACCATAATGGCCCTGGACATTGGGACTTCCGCGCCGCATGGCCCGTTGGCGCTCCTCAGTGGCGATAACCCCGACCAGGCCACCAGGGGGAGGTAGTTGCGGCATGGAGTTGTTGACCCCGCCACCGTAAACGGAGCCAGCGCTTCTGTTGAAAGCCAGTGGCTCGCGGTTTGGCGCATTAACAATGCCGGCACCAAAATAGGGGAGATCGACTGGAAACTTTCGGGCGAAGACGGGCAGATTGCCTCGAGGAGCTCCGGCGACGGAACCAGCAACGGATCCAGGACGGGCAGGAGATTGGCTCATCTGGCTAACCACACGGAGGTTGCTGTGTGAGTTTGACGCGTGGAGTTTGGTAGGCGGGCGATTCTTGTTGGGAAAGCCGTGCTCCTTTAAGATGCCCAGTGGTATCTCATCATCCTCGTCATCACTCGAGGGTCCACTTCGATCTGGCGTTACACCAAGTCCAGCGAGAAGATTGTTCGCACTATGGAACCTTCCGTCAGAGGAAGGCCGGAACTGTGTCGATGAATGATCTGCAGTTTTCTCTCCTGTGGTCTTCTTCATCTGCTGGCGGAAGACTGCCAAATCCGCTTCCTGCTTACGCCGTTGCTTCGCCTGTTCCCTGTTGCGCTCCGTTTCGTCCACGTCATCGTAGTAATCAGATTCTTCAGAATCGCTCTCGCTTGCATTGTCCTTGCTACGCGAAAGTTCCTTTTGCTTGCGTTCGCGCTGGAACTGAGCATCGGTCATACGTCTGGGCGTCTCATCCTTCGTCTCGGAGAATTTGAACGCGGCGTTGACGTCTGCGATTGTTGACTGGCTGAATAAAGGCTCATCTTCTCCATGAGGTTCAGCCTTCGTAGCGCGCGGAGTCGTATCGTTAGAGTGCACCTGGTCGCTGTCGAACAGTGGTGTCGGAGTTACTCTACGACCGGTCGGCAAGTTGAGTGGTAGTTCGTTTGTGCGCACACTCGATCCAGCTGATGACAGAGAAGGCGTTTTCATTGAGTTGCTGGAAGATGAGGTGGCGGATAGTGCATTGGGCTGCAAGCCACTATTCTCCCTGGCAATCTTACTAGAAGCGTCGATATGACCCTCGGAATGCAGCGACTTGCGCTTGATGGCCGAATCCCTCACCGCTTTCGTGTCGGCATCCTCAGAAACGCGGGAACTGTAGTTTGATGTCTTGGCGAGGTTTTGTGCAGGGATGGTGTAGCCACCAACTCTTGCGGCTGCGGAGAAGACAACCCCAGGATTCGCCGAAGCAGCCTCAGATGCCAACTTTTGGGCATGGATAGGGACGGAAGGTGGCTTGGTCGGAAATGCCGCCTCTTGGGGCCCATATGCACACATACCCTTGTGATGGTGATCGCGGCTATCCCAGGAACATGCCGAATTATCACTCTTGTTAGTGGGGGGTAAAGGCAATATCGCACCGCTAGACTTTGGGGCATAGTGTCCGGCATAAGCGGCGGCAGGTAGAGAGAGCATTGGGGCGGAGTCCTGAACAGAATGTTAGCATAGAAGTAACTTGCGGATGATGAGACCGTACAGATCGGATTGCGGTCGGAGCGAGGAAATGCGATGACTCCGTCTCTTCCATGATAGCACTTCCTCTTCGGCCCGCGCCCTCGAAAAGATCTCCGAACCCACTTCCAAAATCAGTTGATCCCAAGCCAAGATCTCCATCGATCTTTGGCGCCATCGCAGTGCTGGCGTAGCTACTTGTGGTCATTGCTCTGTCCCTTGATGCGAGGCTGCCAGTCGAAGGCTCTTGAGAGATCTCTCCTTTGTCTACCTCGGAGGCCACAGATGTTGAGACTTTGTGACCTTTGGCACCAGGTTTGAAAGTACGAGCTGCACCGAGAAAAGAGAATGAGCGCCAATCTGAAGTAGGCGTGGGAATGCTCTTTCGCTTGGAAAACTCCTCGTTCTCGGCATCGGTGGACGAAGGCAAGGTCGACGAAGAACTGAATCGCGCGGATGATGAAGTATCATAGACTCTCGATATTGCAGAATTGGCAGCGCTACTGCCTTCGCTGCCCCTGCTTAGAGCGTTAGTGAAAAGTAGCGCAAGATCTTGACCTGGATTGTACCTGAGGCTGGTTCCAGAGTCTTCTTCGGACGGTGGCTGCTGGAATGGTTGCTTTGGGGAGCTAAGAGGCCGTCCAAGACTCATCCTCTTGGTATTCGCAGCCGTCTCTGCTGCAGCCTGCACCTCGTCTCGAGGTATAACTCGGAAAGACGGTGGTGCCTCTTGCTTCTCCAATGCATTGCCCGACGACTTCCGGCGAAACTTGCCTGGGAGCTTGACCGGCATGAAGATCGACTGATGTCGGTAATAGATCTACCGTCCAAGAAGCTGTATGGTCGCCTAAGTGCGGCTGCGACTTAGATCTAGAGCCGGTAAACAGCTACCATCAATCTCTAACGATCCAAGTGTGAGGGACGGAGTGAGGATGGATGAGGATGACGGCGGTAGCGAACTGTGAGTGGATGCGTTCAGATATGTTCAGGGTAGTGTAGCGATGGTGGAGATCCAAATGAGAGAGTGGAACGGATCGGTGGAATAAGAGGCGATCTGCAGCAAGGTTTTGTCAGGTCAGTGTCGATACGAGGAGCGCGAAGCCGAAGCTCAAAGGCTCCTGGTGCTGTGAGAGAGCAGGAGCGGACGTTGTGGTGTTGTGGTGCGGCGTGGCTGGAGGCGTCGGTGACTGCGTATTGAGGAGGTTGACGAGGTGCGGCGGAGCGGTGTCTGTAAAGCGCGATGCGTGCAATTGCAAAGGAAAGCAATTCTCAGGCCCGCAGAAAGGTCTCGACGGGCAGCGTTTGTGGTTTGCTCCGGCTGCGGTGAGGTTGTTGGTGGTGCTGCGGATGCGAATTGAGATGGCTCGCTCGGAGGTTTGGTTCGCCAGCCATGCAAACCGTAAAAGCGTCAACCAGCGTTACAGCCACTCACCTAAGATGCACCAAGCCTCCCAACGGCGGACTCGTAGGCTGCAGAACGAGGGACAGGCACCGGCCAAAGCAATGGGAATGGAAATGGAAATGGATGCACTGGTAAGAACAGCGAGAACAGCAATGGGATGTCTAAGATGGATGTCGTCGGTCAGGAGCGTCAACCGAACCCGTTGAAGACAATTGAGCCACTAGTTCTGCGCTCGAGCCAGACACTCTCAGAGGGGAAAGCAGCCAGGACGGGGCGCCGACGGTTCCTCTCCGGGGCTAGCACAGAGGCGAGCAGTGTCTACAGGGGCAGCAAAGTCCGTTCTGGCACCGTTATGCGTTATGGGCACTGTTCGCAGCTGCCACGAATAGGACGGCGCCGCTGGCGATCACGGTGGGCAAGATCGCGCTCAGCAACAAAACCTTGGAAGTGGAAGAGAAGTGCTGATTGCGTGTGCGCCGCAGATCCGTAGTCGGACGCCTGCAGCGCACCTCGGCCGCAAGAGCCAGTCGCGCCTGCAGCAAGCATCAACCCGGCCAGGGATCCTTCAGCCACCCGCCCTGAAGAGGCATCCACTCCCCCAAAATAGCGTGCCAGTGAGGCAAGAACGCACTCGAAGGGCCGCCTCTTTACTAGGTATATGGATGGGAGTCTTTACCCCGGTGCTGCAGTCGCTCGTGTCCCACAAGCGGCGCGCCGACACATGCTGAAACGTGCCGAGTTGCTCGCCATTGTGAGGCTCCCGACACAGCGGCGTTGGGTCTCGTTGTGCAGCACAAGATGTGGAGGTGCCTGAGGATCAGCCACGGAAAATTGCAGCCGAAAACATCTCCTACCCCGGCGTTCCGGGGTTGAGGCACAATCGCATGCCGCCAGGATGGCAAGCATCAGCCAGTTGCACTAGCTACGCGCAAGCTCTCCCTAGCCTGAGCTTGTGCCCAGGTCGTCTTTTCGCTCATACAGCCTGCAATTTACTGTCTCCTGAGCGCCGGCTACCAAACGAGAGCTCCGCCGACACCAGAGAGGAATAACGGCAGCGCGACATGAGCTCCCCACGGTTGGACTCGAGGGCGCAGAGCGGCTTCTCAAAGAGTAGTCTCTACGACCAGCATCGGCCTTCGTACCCTGCCAATGCTGTCGATATGCTACTCGATGCCGTAAGAGTGGCTGGTATACCCGGCGCCAGCATCGTCGATTTGGGTGCCGGCACCGGTAAATTTACTGAGCTTTTGGCAAAAAGAGACGAGCGATATGACATCCTGGCTGTCGAGCCGCACGAACAGATGAGAAAAGAGTTGGAGAGAAAGGCTTTAGATAATGTAACAGTCAAGGATGGACTTTCCACGAGTATACCAGTAGCAGATGAGACCGTTGACGCGGTGATCGCTGCCCAGGTACGTGTGTAATTTCTATATTATTACTCCCGATTTCTACTCTTTATGACAACTCTCGTACTACTCTGTGTTTCCAGCCTCCTCTCCGGGGTTCCGATCGAGGGCTTCGCTCGGGGCCACAGAGAAAAGCTTACTCTGACTTCGTACATCTGCGTCCTTACCTTGAAAACAACACACAATGCGTTTATGCTGTCCTCTATTATATAGCCTGTATCGACGCTACAGCCTCCCTTGCGAGAAGTCTAAATCATCCCGACACCTAGTTGTACGACGTCGTATTGACCAATCTCTACTGTCTTTCATGTATACCCTTGCTCTTCCTCGTTCATACTCTCTCTGTTGTCTATGCGCCGACCCGACCAAATGCTTGCTGCGCAGCTTGCCTGCCGTTGCATAAGCCGTTGACTCAACATCAACCGGTCCAGGGCTGATACTAAGCGCCCGCATTTCATAGGCGTTCCACTGGATTGCGAACGGCGATTCTTTGAAAGAGATCCATCGTGTCTTGGTGGTTGACGGTGCCTTGGGCATGATCTGGAACGTTGAAGATTGTCAGTGCCACCGATACCTGTCCCTGCTCGCCGCCGCGCTTCGAAGCGACTGTGTCTCAAGACTGTCTTGAGCTGGCGAACAGCGATGCGACCATTGTCCTAATACCTTCTGCAGATAACCAGACGAAGTCCGCCGCCCCGTCCACCGCCTGGGAGGGCAAATTGAAGGATCTCATTTGGTCGCTGGACGACAACCAGCCGCGATTTCGGCATGAGAAATGGCGCGCCGTCTTCGACGAGCAGCTGAGGTCCACGCCGCTGACTATCACCGCATTCGCGAACCCGTTGTTTTCGCTGCCACTGGGTGAGCACGAGGAGAAATGGACGGTGTGGCTGTCTAAGGAGGCGGTGTGGGATCGGTTCAACACGCTAAGCCAGATTGCCGTGCTGGAGGGTGAGGAACGAGAGGTGAGTGTCGAGTTTTCTTTGACGAGTTCTCGAGTTGTCCGCTCGCAGTTGTCCGGGTCTTCGGGGTCACTGCCATCGGCAAAGCTTCAAACAAAGACTCTCATTGTGACTGGCGAGTGTTTGAGACAATGGTGGCTTTGTTGATTGCGAGCTGCACGCTCCACAAATGAAGGGCTGACTTGTGATGTTTTTGCAGAGAGTCCGACAGATCTTCGATGACGCTGTAAATAGCGACGACGTCGAAACTAACGAAAAGGGCGAGATCGCACTTCACGGAGTCACGGTTACAGCATGGACTAGCAAGATACCATAGGCAGCAGATGTAAAGCAGCCAACCACCGGCGCCAATTCAAGGGTATACGCGTAGCTCAAAACATGATGGTGTCTCTCCTCCGTCCTTAACATCTCAACACCACATAAGCCTGTTCATGAGCGAAAGAAAAGTCCCCCTCAACGCCTCCAAATGCCTTCCGCTTCAGTTTCATGGTAGATCCTCTCTCTCAAGCTGATCTCAAAGCCCTCTAGTGCCTGAAAGCGCGATCTCCACAACAGCCGTAAAGGCACGTCCCCGACCTGTTCATCGCCGCCGCGGCCGCCTCCATCTCCTCCAGCTTGAGCTGCTGGGCGTGCTCGAAGTCGTCCACCTTCCGCTTCACCTCGTCCACCGCCCACTGCCAGATCTCTGGTTGCCTATCACTCTCGAATTTGATGATCTTGTCGTACTGGCCACGAAGGTATTTGTCCCACTTCGCGGTCAGCATCTTGTTCCAGGCGGCTGTCCACCAGTGAGCTGAGGTAAGACACATGCTGGGATGAGAACTAACCTTCGGGCATGATGAAGCGTAGAGCCCTCTCCATGCGGGTGACGTCGGGCAGCGCGGTAGAGAATTGCTGCTTGTATGGCCGCTTCTGATGCTCGCGGACGATGAGATGGACGGCTGGATCGACGTAGAAGTATTGCTCTGTGAGCACGGTGGTGATGCTTGATGATGGTGAGGTTGAGGAAGACATGGTGTTGTGATGTCGTCAGATTTCTTTAGGAAAATCGATTGTGGTTGGTGTTGATTGAGGGAGGTTTCTGAGGGGAGAAGAGATAGGTAGGCTCGGTCAGGCACGTAGTGAAGTGCAATTCATGACCCCCGATATCAGTCACAAGCTGCACTTCGAGATCTACTTTCACTCATGCGCCGCATCTCCGGCCCTCAATGCCAGCATCCAGCCCCTCTCGGTGTACATTCACAGCATCAAGTTCTGTGTGCGGAGCCTTTCTCCTGACCTTTCTCCTATTGAGGCTGTATTGCGGAAGATCAGATTCTATCACACCCAGAACTAGAGCTCACCATGCATAAGCAGCGCATTCTGTATGAGACCCCGAGGCTCTCTAGACGCCAGATTTGTGGCTCCGGGACAAGGAATCCCAAGGCCCTGACAATGTAGTCATTGTACAACACTATTTCCCGAGACATGCCCAGCGAAATGCTGAGACCGAATTCCCTCAGTATACGCCACCCCATACTTCCTATATGAGTGCTATGGAGTCCCCCGGAGCTGGATCTACTCCTCCGGTAAACTGCCGGCAATACCCTCGAGTCTGTTGGATACCACAGCAGCAACACTAGGATCCTTCGTCATGCTTATGCAGGAGCTTTGAGTCCGGATGCGCGTCCTCCCTCGACCGCTTCGATATCTCGGTCACTAGAGTTTGCGGCTACGATTCTCGCTCGGTTCGACATGTGCCACTGTAACATGAGCCTTTATGGCAGTGACGTGCTCACACGGCTGCTCCACCCCAATGTTATGAAATGTGTTGTATCACTCCTTCGGAGTCTCGTTCACGTCCTCATAGAACAATCGCTTCCCTATACGCTCGCAAACTTCAGAAATTGGAGACCCTGCCCGCTGTTCATAACATCCAATCGATAGTATGTGCAGCTGCTCGACCACGCGTTTACCAATACACCAGAAGCATAGGCAGCCTAGATTTGAGAGCTCATATGGCGTTGGTCAAGCCAACGGTGCATCTCCTATATAGCAAGAGAATAGCAAAATAGTAAGCCACAGCAGCTTGAATCAGCGCGGAAGCATCCGGCTAGAACAACAACATGCCACAACTCCTCGCCTCGAAATCACCGACTCCCGGTCGTGTCTGTCTCGGTGATACGCCATACAACCCTACTGCTCAAGCTATCCCGTTCCACAATATTCTCTCAGACGTCTGATCAACCCCAGCTGTAGCGCTCGGCAAGCGCGAATGCGTAAATTGATTGTCCTCGGCCGTCGAAGCAGTCTCCACAACCCTCTCGCCCTCCGAATCGTCACTCTCAATCTCAACTGGCCTCGCCTTCGAGCCACACCTCGCCAGCTCGGCCTCGGCCTCGTTCTCTTCGTCCCCAGGCCTCTTCCCATCTATCTCCATCTCTTCATCCTCGCTTTCCTCCGCCTCCGCCTCCCTCGCCTCCCGGTCAATAGCCGTCATCCTGACGACAAACTCCCTCTGCAGTTCCGCAAGCCACTCCGCCAGCACCGCTCCCTCCAATGCGCCGTTCTTTGCCTGCACAAGATGCTCCTTCAGACTGAGCACCAGCTTCCTCCTCCTCTCATTCATCACCGCCCGACTCGTCTTCCGCCTCCTCCTAACCTTCTTCTCCAACTTCCTCGCGACCTCCGTCGCCGTCTCGATGACCTCCGCCGGCAACGGCACGACGCGCGCGAGCGCAAGACCGTAGTGCTCCTCTGCGACCGCGCCCTCGGCGATTTTATACAGCATGGTCATCGACTCCGCATCCACCATCTCGACGGCAAGATGCAGGTTTATGACGCCGCTGCGCTCGGCCATGATAGTCGCCAAGTCACGGAAATGCGTCACGAACCAGATGAGCGCTCTGCTATCCACCAGCGCCTCGGCTATCGCAAGCGCAATCGCCAGTCCGTCGCGCGTGCTGGTGCCGCGGCCGAGCTCGTCGACAATAGCCAGACTCCGGCGGTCGATGTTGCGAAGGATGAACGCGGTCTCGCGCATCTCAGCCGCGAAAGTCGAAACGTTGGCCTCGATGCTATCGTCCATGGAGACGCGCGCGAAGAGCTGGTGCAGGATCGGAAACGCGGCGTACTGCGCCGGCACGAAAGAGCCAATTTGAGCCATGACGACCATGAGGGCGATGGAGCGGATGTAGGTGCTCTTGCCGCTCATGTTGCAGCCCGTAATGATCTGGAAGCGGGTTTGTTGGCTCGCGTAGACATCGTTGGGGATGAACTTCGCAGACTGCACTTTCTCGCGGATAGGGTGGCGGCCGGATTTGATAGCGAGGGTATCGGTGAGTTGGGGGCGGACGTAGTCTTGGCTTGTTACTAGTTGCGCGAAGGAGGTCACCATGTCGAGCATGGCGATGCCTTCGCAGATCTTGAAGAGGATGGACATTTGGCTGCGGATCTCTTCGATGAGCTCCTGGACGGCTTTGTCGCTCATGAGGAGGACTTCATTGTGGGAGTCGGAGATCTTCTGATTTCGCTTCATTAGGTCTAGGGTCTGGCATTCGACCCAGTTCTTCTTGCGGAATAGATTAGTGAACTCGGGGGGCACAGGGCGCTCCTCGAGATCAGCGGCCGCGATACGGATGTAGAACTGGCGGACGTTGTCGAACTTGAGATCCAGCGGCAGGTCATAGCGCTCTGCGCAGGCAGTCAGCATGCCCTAGTTTCTCCCTCACAGATTTTTGAGTCGCACCGCTGAGTTCAGTGACATGCTGATAAGCATCTTCCGTAGCTTCTTTGTACGTCTGCCGAGCGACATCGAGCAGACCGTTGATACCAGACTCGACTGGGGTTAGCCATCAATCAACGCTCGGCGAACTACGATGCACTCCTACCTTGACGGCATACGTCCGTTGGTTTCTTAAATCCAGGGGCTGACTTGCAAAGGTTGTATCCTCATTGATGACGCCATCGATCAGCTCTTGGACGGGCTCTACGTTTTCCGATGAACAGAGCTGCAAATGTCAGACTACTAAGCAAAGCTAAAGAGAGTTGCCAACCTCGCGAATGTTGGTCAGCATGGCACTCCTTGCTCCGGTCAGGGCTTCATATATCGGCTTCACAGAGTTGACGAATCGCTTCAACATGATTACCTGATTGATCGACTGTTCCGTATGCTGCACCGAAGGTTTCGTTGGCACCACGATGAGCTGAAATCACGGTCAGTTTTGTCAGTGCTTGCCTCCTATAAGCGCTTACAGAAGTCAGTATCCTGTCGACGTCAAGAAACGCTTTTAACGCTGCAGACGATGTCAGCATATATATAACGAGGCTCAGCATAGAACAAGCCTTGTCGGATGGCGAAAAACATCTCCTCCTTCGTAGTAAGTTCTTCTAATGCGTCATAGCGAATGTTGAGCGTCTCGGGATCGGTGAGCGGCTGAAGGATGTTGCTCCGCAGCAGCCGAGACCCCATAGGCGTCAAGGTCTCATTGAGCAGGCCGAACAGACAATCTTTTGACTTTGGATTTTGCAAGTTTTGGATAAGCTCGAGCGACCGTATGGTCGAGACATCAATCATCATCGAGCCTTCGGATGGCTCGTATTTGATTCTGAGGGAGTGAAAAGGAAACGTCTTGGAGAGCCCAAGCTCGATGTACTTGAGCACCTAATGAACGAACCTATGAGATTGAACAGCAGTGTGTGCTGATTTAACTTACCGCCGCAATGCAGCAGACAGCAAAGTAGTTTCCGCCAATGGAAATCTTGATGGCCTCAACATCCTCAGCGAAGGCCAATTGCTGGATGTAGTCCAGACCGGTGGTCTCCGCCCAGTAGCGACGGTCGAGCAGCGTGATCTTACTGCCCAGGTCCTCCAGATTCTCCTCGATGATGGCGAAGAGCTTGGACTTCGGGTTGGTAGCAGTCGCAACAATCAGTATCTCGGAAGGTCCATAGACTCTCAGCTTATGAATGGTTCGGACGTAAGTCTGGCTGTCACATATCTGGCACAAGACGGCTTCGCCGGTGTCCAGGTTCACGAAGGCAAGGCCCACAGTGGGCGAGATGCCGCGGGACTCGCTCACGGCGCAGATGACTTGCTGGGCTTCGACGCGGGCGATGGTCGAGGCACCAGTCCTTGGTCTAGCAGTACCGGGTCTTGCAGCACTCCGCCCGCCAGTCCGTCCTTGGGAGGTAGTAGTAGTATAGCCCTGGTATGAGTAAGAGTACGATGGATAGGATGTAGTTGCGGTGGTTGAGGAAGTGGACGGCCGCCTTCTGGAGGCCATCTTTATTAGTGCTTTTGGTTAGTTGGTGATCTCAAGTAACAGCTCAATCGACGTCTCACACTGCTCAGCCCAGATGTAGCCTGGTACGTTGAGTTGAGGATGGTTAGGGGAGATGTGAGGTTCCCTTCCACGGTCAGGTGATGTGTATCTAACGTCCATTGGCGGTGAACGTCACTTGCAGGGATCTGACTCGTACCGGCAGAAAAAGTTACGGCTCTGCGATAGAGATCAATGAGCGGCATACAACTAGAGTACAACAACTCCAGGAGAGAACCATAGAAGAACATATCGTCTGCTGCACCTGTAACCTCGCACTTGAGCTACCTGGACCCAACCCTCTCGACTACCGATTATGGCCACACTCGTCCCACCTCCAAGCAAGCGCCAAAAGACCGCCGCCGCAGCCCTCGCGCGCGAGCAACAAGAGCCAGAAATAATACCCGAAGGCACCGTCCGAATACGGTTCCAAGATCAAAGCACGGGCGAAGTCACCGGCGCGCCCGTAGCAATCCCCCTCGCGCACGCCAGCATCAGGAACATCGAGCTCCTCCTCAACAGCCTGCAAGGCCATGGCGAAGCGCATGAGCGAATCCCGTACCGATTCTTCTTCCAAGATGGCACACAGGCGCTTGGCGACTCGACAGACATATACACATCCCTCATCAAGCCGGGCTTGACGACTGTGGAAGAGATTATAGAGCTCCAGTACTCGCCTCAGGCTATTTTCCGCGTACGCGCCGTGAGCAGATGCTCGGCTTCCATATCTGGGCACGGAGAAGCTATACTAGCGACCTCATTTTCCCCTGCGTCTTCGTCTAGGCTAGCGACAGGGAGCGGTGACAAGACCGCGCGGATATGGGATACAGACACCGGCACTCCGCTTCACACTCTAAAAGGGCACACCTCCTTCGTTCTTGTGGTAGCCTACAGCCCGGATGACACAATACTGGCCACGGGAGCGCACGACAACTGCGTTCGCCTCTGGGAACCTCAAACCGGAGAGGCGTTGGGCGGGCCGCTGAAGGGACACAGCAAGTGGATAACTTCGCTAGCGTGGGAGCCGTATCACCTCGAGGAGCAAGGACGGCCACGCGTAGCGTCATCATCAAAAGACGCAACAGTCCGGATATGGGATGTTGTCAGTAGGAGAGCGGATATAGTGCTGTCAGGTCACAAGGGCAGCGTAAGCTGCGTAAAGTGGGGCGGCACGGGTCTCATATACACAGGTAAGAAGTTCAGCTATCCAGCCCCTTTTCCGCTGCGGACGGCCGCTAACACTAATTCCAGCATCTCACGACAAAACTGTCAAGGTCTGGGACGCCGCATCCGGAACCCTAAAACACACCCTCACCGCGCAGTAAGCCCCCTCTTTCCCCCTCCCCGCACCTCGCTAACTCCCCTCTCCAGCGCCCACTGGGTCAACTATCTCGCCCTCTCAACCGACTTCCCCCTCCGCACCGCCTTCTTCGACCACACCTCCACCGTGCCGACCACGCGCGAAGAAAAGCTCGCGAAAGCAAAGGAGCGCTTCAGCGCCGCCGCGACCGTGGGCGGCAAGATAGTCGAGCGGCTCGTTACCGCTAGCGACGATTTCACCATGTATTTGTGGGAGCCGAGCAGTGGGACCAAGCCTGTTGCGAGGTTGGTGGGGCATCAGAAGCAGGCATGTATTCATCTCTCTCCCTCACACCACGGGCCGCTGGCCAGCCTTCATACACATGAACATGGAGACTCATGAAGTAACCGCTTCTAGGTCAACCACGTGACCTTTTCCCCCTCCGGCGCCTACATCGCCTCGGCGGGCTTCGACAACCACGTGAAGCTGTGGTCGGCGCGCGACGGCAAGTTCCTGCTCACGCTGCGCGGGCACGTCGCACCCGTGTACATGACGTGCTTCAGTCCAGATAGCAGGTTGCTGGTAAGCTGCAGCAAGGACACCACGCTCAAGGCGTGGGATGTGCGCACGGGCAAGATCGCTAAGGATCTGCCGGGGCATCAGGATGAGGTGTATGCGGTGGACTGGAGCTGTGATGGCCAGAGGGTGGCGAGTGGGGGCAGGGACAAGGCTGTTAGGATTTGGAGGCATTGAGGTGGGAAGGAGACAAGCTGTGATATATGAGACCGAGGATACGTCGTGATACCATAGAGGACTACAAACGGTATTCAAGCTCTTAGAGAGTATGTTGTTCCCCCGACTACTTGTGCGCAGCTGTGGGAATCCTGTATGCGCTCTTGCGTGCACAGAATAGAAATCCATGTGCCTGCGCCCCCTATGCCGACGCCTGTAATGCTTCGCCAAACGTGAACGTATATCATCCCGTCCCAGAGAGCCGAACGCCAATTTCCCGCATTGTTTCTAGACAGCTCCTCGACCGTTACTTTTGTCGTTACGCTTCAACGCAGGAGAAAGCCATAGGACACGCTCGCCACCCAACGCCGGATGATTTGGATTTCGTCAATCAATCCCCCGCCAACCCAACCCTGCATCCACGTTTCTCCACGCCCCGTCTAGCACCGCCTTCTCCCCCATCATCACAGCAAGAAGTCTGCACCCCGCAGCTGAGACGCCACAAACGACCGCGTCCGTCTGCGCCAGCACGCCTAGATCGAGGAGGTAAGCACGTCCCACCAATTCCCTTAGTCGCATCACTTGCTCAGGCACTTTCTCTTCGGTCGCCTTGCCGGCGGAAGTGGTGGGTGTGGCGAGGAAGCTGCGACCTCGGCCCAAGTTCCAGAAGACGGCGCTGTAGAAGCCGCGGTCCCAGCCGTCTTGCTCGTCCACGAAGCCCTGCTTGTTATTCTGGGGTTTGGGGCTGTGGTGCGCGAGCGTCGCTTTGCTGGCGAGCACGATGCGGTCCTGGGCGCGGGTCGTGATGTGCGCCATCTCAGGGGCGGCGTAGACGTCTGGGTCGTCGGATGCGAGGACGATGCGGCTGGATGTCGTGGCAAGGTGGTGGGCTAGGGGATCCGGGCTAGCGCTGCTGGATGTCGAGGCTTCCGCTGGAGCAGCGGAAGATAACATTGAGATGTTGGAGGTGTGCCGGTTGCGAGAGGCAAGGACCTCGTGCGCGGCATCGAGGTACCGGTCTAGTGGGAGATAGTCCCTCTGGTACTGGTACTCGAAGGGGTGGCAGTCTCCGCGGCGGACGTGCAGGCCGATGCTGATGCCGCCGTTTTCTTTTGCAGCGCTAAAGAGGCTCACGGCGCGCTCGTCCACGTAGCGGGAGTCGTCAGGGGTGAGGCGGAAGAGGGCCTCGTAGCCTGTGCGTGCGAGTGCGAAGAGGCGACGTTGGTGCCGGGGATCTAGTTTCCGAGGATCTGCGAGTTCAGTGGTCGGAGCGTGGCCGAAGACGTGTGGGAGCGTGGAGGCGGAGACGAGAAGGTGCCGAGCTGTGTGGGGGCAGGGGAGAGTGTGATAGGATGGTGGTGGGAGGCACGGAGCTGGCGGCGGGGGGACGAAGTAGTTTGAGAAACTACCGTATGCCCTACTCCATGTTAGGAATACCATGATTGAGGATAGTTACTGGATCGAACATAGGCCTAAGGGATACAGCATACCATCTCTTGTCGTCGATGAAGAACGCCCGACCTTCCTTCTGAGCCAAACCGTACGCCATCCACAGCCCCATCAATGTCTTCCCCAGTCCAGCTTCCGTCGACTCCAGCATGTACGTCAAGCTCCGCTCGCAGACCATCATGGGAGCCTTTCCAGTCTCTTCACTTTTCCCATTAGGCAATGTGTGCACCTCCAACGTCAGCTGGGGGAACCGCTCGGGCAAAAGCCCCTCCGCCTCCGCCTCCTCCACATCGACAAAAAAGGGATCCTTCGCAGTAGGATACAAGCGCTCATGCGTCTTTCTATATCCTCCTCTCTTTCCTCCAGCCAAACGCTCGCTAATCTCCGCACTCTGCGCGCAAAGCTCGGCGTACTGCGCCGCCTGCAGGAGGGAAGACCTTTGAGGGATCCATACGGTCCATTTACTCTTCCCGCGCTTATCAGTGACTATAAGCGCACACGGCTCATCTGGTAGAGAGCTTCCCCCAACAAGCTCGTACCGCTGCCCGGCGCCCTGTGGGAAGAGGACCTGCGCATGAGAGGAGTGATGTGAGGATGCTGAACTGTGCGTGCCTATCCATGCCAGGAGAATAAGGCCGCAGAGGCCGAGAAGCAGGCGCCGGTAGAGTCGGAGGCGGAAGAAGAGCGCAGCGGGCCGCTTGCCGTGGCGGGGGAGGAAAGATGGCAGACTAGGCGATGGTGGTGGGGAAGAGAGGAAGCTCATGTGCGGTGTCCGTGGGGTGAGGAGGCCATTGGGTTCTCCGCAAGAAGGAGCGGAGCTGGAGCCGGAAGAGGATATGGAGAGATTATTGGCGTTCTTGCGAGCGTGCATCACTCCATTTTCAATATCGGAATGGCTGACATGTTTGGGGCGTTTCGGGAACTGGCAGTAGATTGAAAGATTGCCTCGAGGCCGAGGCTGTGATGGAACTGAAAATAGAGTTCAAGTCCAGAAGTGGCGAGCTACAACATGGCCGGCAGGCGGAGAAGAAAGACGTCAGCAGGTGTGGGAGAAGACATGCGAAAGCTGCAGGCCAATGTAACAATGTGGTTGGCTACTGATCGCCGCAACGATCAGGTCAACATGCAGGTTTCAGATGGCCAGAGCTGCATGGTAAGCGGACTTGTGCGTCCCCCACATAAGAGCTCACAGAGGGAGAGTTGAGGAGCCGGTGTCCGTCAAGGCCCGGCATGATGAAGGCCGGCCCTCGAAGGCGGAGAAGCGGCATCGCATGGATGGAGCATGGGTTAGAGAGAGAAGCTGACAATCGAAGTGCATACATAGAGCCGCATGATTGCCGTCGAGGAGTGCGTCACTGCCAAAACGCATGTCGCTGCCAGCAGGCTGTGATACGCGGCGCCGTGGGGATTCTGAAACACCCGGCCTGGTGGAGAAGAGGGAAGTCCGGTCGATCAGCCGTGCAGCCAAGATCGTGGCGTTGCCGTTTTCCGCTCATGGGTCCTTGGTCCGCTGGAACGGCCCTCGAGTTTGGAGCCTCAATGGTCCAAACACTAACTATATCCGCGTTGCGGCTTCTGTCCAAAACCCCCGTTTCTTTCCCGAGTGTGTCTGATAAGAACTCCCCTCACTCTGACACTCTAGGAGTATTGAGTAGCGCAAGCCGAATTATGGCCTTGCCAATTAGACGCCTCAGTCCCGTCATGTCAATGTAGCGGTCAATCGTGAGAGCGCAAACGGCGGTGCGAACGGATAGAAATAAATCTAGAACCCAGAACCAAGGGTATCAAGAGATCCATAAGGATGTCCATCAGGCAATCCCCCCTTACTCCGGTTGCAATGCTGTTAAGGCAATCCCCTTCCACACCCACGACACACGCCATAGTATCCACATCTACACGGCCCCTTCACCCCTTCCCACTAACTCATCACCTACCCTCACTCCCCGTCCTCAGACTCGTCCGCCTCGAGCTCTTCCTTGTGAGCAAAACGCCGTTATCCGACATCATGCTATCAATCATCCTCGTCATGACATCGACATCGCCACCCGCACTCTCCTTCTCCGGCAGCAGCAGCGGCAACGGCCCGCTCATCGTTTTTTTCTGCGTCTCGCTCGCACCGCTACTCTGACTCCGATGTGCCGAGATCCTGCGCCGCTCCGGCAACGCCGGCGCCTCCTTGCTGGGGCTCGCGATGTCGCGCTGCCTCGCTGCGGTCCTGAGTGCCGTGACCATGCGATCCTTGTCATCGAGCCTTGCGCGCAGTTCCGCGATCTCGGCGTCTTTCTCCTTCAGCAGCGCCTCTGCGCCGCCTTCTTCGTGCAGCTGCGGCTTGTGGAACGCCATTGTGACGCGTGAGTTGCTCGAGCGACGCGCTTGGCGCAGCCGCAATTCGAGTGTGGAGATATACCGGTTTCGGTCTGCGAGGTCGGCTTGAAGGGCGCGGATCTGGGCCGCTTGAGTCGCGGTGCCGTCGCCGTATTCGCCGATGGAGTCTTCTTCCTCGGAGCCCGGTTCGGCGCCCAGGGTGTTTGAAAAAGGTCGTGAGGGAGGGGAGTCGCCTGAGCTGGACGAGGATTTGCGGTTCAGATTCGGCACTTCGAGCGTCGCGCGGCTCGCGGTCGAGGAGCGCTGGGAGACGATGTGCGAGTCGTTGTTGCTGGCTAGCGACTCTCGAGGCTGGTAGCCGAAGGAGCGGTTGGCGTTGACGCCTAGGGATTTTGAGCTTAGGATCAGTCGGTTCAGGTGCTCGATGCGCTCCTTGAGCGCTGTCCGGGCGAGCTGCATCTCGAGCATCTGCTCTTCGTGCCGCTGCTCGGCTTCGAGCTCTCGGGCCCGCTCCTCTTCCTCGTCCCGGGCATTGGTTTGCTCACGGGTTTGGTTTTCTAGCTGTTTGCGCAGCTCTTGGATCTCCATGCGATAGCGGTCCAGGAGCGCCCGGCTGCCAGCATCGGCGCCGTTGGGCAGCGCTTCCTCGGCTTTCTTGGCGTGGCTGACGATGTTGTTCTTTGCTCGGGATGCGAACTTGAGCGTGTTCAAAGTCTCGCCGGTATGAGAGTTGGCAGAGGCGACGCTTCCCACAGACCCGAGCTGGACTGTGCAGAGAATGCTGACAAGTGAGTTTCCTGAAAGCGCTGGCTGCAGCAGGCGGGTTAGTTTGCTGTCTCGGTAAGGCAAGTGCTTTTCCTTGTCCGCTGTATTTCCGGACGACTCCTTCTCCTTGTCGCCAGACAGCCGCGCGATGACCGTACCCAAGGTTAGCAAGCTCTTGTTGATATGCCCGCCCTCGGTCCGCCTTTCCTTGTTCTCGGCAGCTCTTTCCGAACCCGCAAGATCGATCAGGCTCAGCGTGGATACGCGCACACCGCCGGGCGCGAGTGCTGCGCGCTTGCTCTCATGCAGTGTGCCGCTTCCAGGAACGCGGTCACGACTTTCAACCACGATCTGCACGACAGCGTGACTCCGTGAGCTACGAGCATTATACTGAGTGCTGCTCACACGTCGCGCATTATCGCCGCGCGCGATGACTCGCAGTAACTGTGTCGGGCTCTGTACGATCTCTTCTTTCAGCGGAGTTGCGTATACGCCTCGTTTGCTGTCCTCTCGCAGCTTGACTTCTTCCTGTGTCTGCCCAGCCATTGGCGGACCTGCCAGGAGGTCGTGGATCTTCTCGTTGTAGATCTCCAGGTAGCTTACCCGCAGGAGGAACTCGCGGTGCGGGCTTTCCCGAATGAAGGAGAATATGTCGGTGATTGCCAGGGGGATGACACCGGGTGACGTTGCTGTTCCCTGCATCGAGAATGTCTTCCCGGTACCTGTCATTCCGTATGCAAAGACTGTACCGTGGTAGCCTTCCATCACGCGTCGCACTAGCCGTTTGGCAGCCGAGTCGTAGACCTTGGCGTTGTTGTCGTGAGCCGTAAAAACGTTGTCTGGGAACAGTCAGTATTGCTTCCCTAGAAGAGAACGCACATAGAAGCGCACCGTAAATGTACTCGCCCCCCTCTCGCCCTCTGTATGATACCAATGATTTGCGCCCATCGACCATCCACTCCACTTCTGTCTTACCCCCCTCGTTGCCTCCGGCGTCCGGTCGCACTCTTACACTAACAATGACATTTCCGTTGCCATCTTTTTGCGCCGATTGCCTGTCGGTTGCCGGTATGCCACCAGAAACCGCATCTGCTATGAAGATCTCTTCGCCGATGTCCTCAAATGTAGTTGCTGATGCATACGATCCGTGCGCAGAGGAATTTCGACTGCGAGGCGAGGGCGGGTTCAAAAGCCCATTGTTGGCCTCCAGCGGCCAATCCGGTAATCTCGATGAAGGTAATGGTGACCTCAGTGGTATTCCGGGTCCAGCAACCTTTGTCCTGTTGCTGCTCGACCTGCGGCCAGTGCTATCCCGCGTGGTCGAGCCGATCGAACTCCTCGAGCTCCTCGCGCTCCTCTGGCCTTCTGGTGCATCTTCTGGTGTCGCGCTTAGTGATAGAGGGCTCGTGGTGTGCCCTGATGTGCGTCCCATGCCCTTGGGAGGTTGTGGAAAAGACCCAATGCTTATGGTTTTCCGTAATGTCTTCCCCGGCGTCGGCGCTGCTGGCGTATTGTTGTCTGTGAAGATTGTAGGGACGGTGGGTGTCGAGCTGGAGGGTATTCTGGCCTTCGGCCGCGTAGGCAAAACAGATGACGATACCGCACGTCCTGGAGTTGCTGACGAGAGCAACGACGCTATTGAGCCTCGTCTCGACTCCGAGGCCGGTGAACTGATCGAGCCTTTTCGTGATTTTAATACTGGGAGGGAAGGTAGTGGGGTGTTTGGCGGAGCGAAGGAGGGTCGTGAGGGTCTTGGTAGGGTCGTCGCCATTGTACTGCCCGGGGCCTCCCGGTGCTAATTGTGCTGCTTCCTGGTGAGAGTACGCTGCGAACTGTTGTTCGTTTGTCGCTAGGGGCCAATGTGCAGGCTGTGCATGTGTGCAGCCCTCAGGTCGTACAACAACGGGAAGGCGCGAGGAGGTTTTCAGTACAACATCGGTTCGTGAAATCAAGAAGTCATTACAATGAATGTCTGATCGAGAGTGTCAGCGCAGGGCAGTAGTAGAGTAAGGTAACAGGTCTCAATAGTAGCGAACAACGCAGTGGTTTTTTGCATACGGCTCGCTGGAGTTGATGCGCACCTACTCCTCTGGCTACCGCCAGGCTCGACACAGTCACAGAGCTTTCAATGGTCAGTTTCAAGCAATGCTCGTCCCGTGCGGAAGGGTGCAGATGCACGAGGGGAGCTGGGGGGGCTCGCGAGTAGCGTCAAACTCCGTCCCGAAAGGAGTGAGCGCACGGTCCGTTGAAGTCAATGAATCATGCGCGTGTCGTCTTCAGCGCGGCAGCCGCAGCAGAAGATTGATCCGAGTCAACAAAAGTACGAAGATGCTGAAGGCGCAAGAGGAGAAAGAACGACTGCGACTATGAAATAAGAAGGCAGCTTTGGGCTCATGAGGCACGGAGGACAGACATACTCCGCCGCAGGGGTAGAGGTGAAGACACCAACCTTACCCATCCAGCCAGCACTAACAGTTTGTCCCTGAGGATCCTGGACGGAAAGGAGCTCACTATGCCCCAAGCAGACGGAAGCCCTACGAGACGAGACGTGACGGTGGCTGGGCGAAGATGAAATAACATTAATGCCCGTTGCACGACCGCGGGCTTCTCAGCACCCGGAGTTTGCTGTTGGTCGTCTGTTGGTCGGAGCTCCCTCTGCCAGTGCTAGCAGCAACGGCGCAATCAAAACCAGGAAACATCGCATGATGCGCTATCGAACGCTCAGGAGGTGGAACGGTTATTGTGTCATGGCAGAACGTAGCAACTCAAAAGACATGTGCCGCGCCGCGGCATCTTCATAAGCCTATTCGATCACGGGTAATGCCACGCTTTCGACAGACGTTCACCGCTGTAAACTCGGAGATATCCAATGTGCAATGTTGGCGAAGGATGTCTCGCGCCAGTAGCTTCACGGAGATTTCTTCCTCTTGGCATGGCATGCTTCTCGTTTGCGTATGGTTAGAGTGCGCCATTCGTATGGCGCCACACCGTTGCGACCTGAATCACTGGGAGAAAGCAAGAGCCAACGGACTGGATAAGACTTGGCAACCACAACACATCTCACGAACACAAGGGCAACATTGCACGAGAGGGAGCACAAACGCTTCTGAAGAGACGGAAGTGTGAATAATCTCCATCAACTTTTGAACTAGTCTACGCTCTCAACTCCATGGTATCGCTACCTACTCAACGCTTGGATTCTTTGACGAAAGCCGCCCATTCGTACGCGTAACACAATCAGTGCACGCCATTGCTGTGGCCGTTGGTGCCATTGCTGTGTCCGTTGAGGCCGTTGGCGTGCTCGGTAGCACCGTTGGTCACCGGGTTCTGGAGTCCATCGACACCCTCGGGGCCCGAAGCGTGCTTGGTCGCCGCCTTGACGGCATCGCCATTCTGGACTGGCTTGCCATTGACCTTCGTGTCATCGTTGATGACAGTGCCGTTCGAAACATGGCCGTTCGCGCCGTTGGTCTTGGCCTCGACGGGCTTGTTGTTCATGGTGTACCCGGTGTCGCTGGAGTCAACGAAAGCCTCAAGGCCTTCGCCGTTGCGCGGGTATCCCTTGCAGATCTCCTTGTGCTTCCGGAGGGCAGCGTTCATCTCCTCGGCGGAGACGTCATTCAAAAAGACGCAGGAGCCGATGGGGTTGGGAACAGCAGCGCGGAGCAGGCCGTCACGGGTCTTGAGAATGGCCTTGGTTGCCTTGTCGAGGATCTCCTCGTTGAAGTCACGGTGATCCATTGACAGACCGGCACGTGAGAAGAGGTTCAAGAGCCTCTTGTGCTCCTCATCACTGAGGAGGCCGCGCATGTTGGCAAGAGTGGCGGAGTATGCCATATCAATCGAGATGGCATGGCCGTGTCGTAGTGGTACCTCAGGCACCAGCTCGTGGAGAGGAGACCACCTGTCACATTGTCAGCTACAGCTCCAGGAATTTGCGGATATGGCAGAGGACTCAGTACGTATGGCCATAAGCGATGACTCGGTCCAGACCGATCTCGTGCAGGTTGGGGGTTTCCAGCTTCAGCATTTCGTGAATGCCGGCGCGGTTGATCTCGTCTGCGGCGTTGGTGACCTCCTCGGGCGCACCGTCCTTGCGACCGAAACCAGTCTCGATGAGCTGCTCGCAGTACTTGTCCAACAGGTTGAATGTAGGAAGATGAGCGCAGGTCGAGATCTTGATTAACTCTGCGAAGCCGTTGCGGACCTGCCCCTTAGGAAGAGTTCGGAGGAAGGTGAAATCCAAGAACGTGTGCATCGGGGCATGGTAGGCACCGAGCCTGTTCTTGTAGTTGCCGTAGTTGACGGCCACCTTAATCGAGACGGAGGCATCGATCAGTCCGATGACAGTCGTTGGGACTCGGATGAAGTTGGTGTTTCGACGATAGGCCGCGCAAGCGAAGCTATGATCTCCGGTTAGTCCAGTCCACCCCGATTGACAATTCTGCTTAGGAGATAATGGGCCAGAGTGCCTTGAAGTTAATCTTGGCGGTGGACCGGTAGTGGTTTTTACCCGGCAACATCAGTGACCAGCCCACCACCAACGACCAGGACAGGCTCCTGCAGTGCATGTCAGTGTTGATTTCTCGTCATCGTTCAATGCCAGTCTTACCTTTCGGATGATACCGAACTCGGTCATGGAGTCAACAATGCTCAGCAGCGTGTCCATGGTTTTGGCCTTTTCTCCGATCATGGTCTTGTGAATCTTCAGGTCCATCTTGTAGTGGTCAAAGTACTTCTCGATCTGCTCGCCGTAGATGTTGTAGATGTTCAGGTCCATGACGGCCAAGCAGCGTCCCCATCGCGTGTAGCAGTCGGCAAGGTTGCTGTTCTTCGTGTCGAAAACGCCGTCAAGGAAGGTGAAGTCATATTCGATCTTCTCGTAGCCCTCGACGTGGAAGCCGGTCTTGGTCTCTTGGACGGTAGCCTTGAGGTCTGACATGTTGTAGGAAGAGAAGCAGAAATCTATGTACTGTTAAAGTACAGAATTGGAAGGTATTCGAGAGCTGAGAAGGTTGACTTGTCTGAGAAACGGATCTCGGCCGGGGACTTGGCTTATGTTAAGAGAAGGGCAGGAGCGACGCCCACACGTGGCTCGGAGACCTGGAACGCCCACCGATGAGAAGTACACATTGCAAAAAAGGGAAGTGCCGAGCAGATTAAAGCGCTCAACGTCAACAATCATATCGAATCCCGTTCCGGTTACTCTGAGTTTGCCCCATAGTCACACTAGCCTCCATACCAGACAAGGTTTCGCAGAGGAGACCCCAGTGCTCTCAGCAGCGAACCTTCTTCGAGCGTAGCATGATATGAAACGGTGCCATGGTGTGATCATGACGGCTGAGCGAGCTCGGCAGGCCGTGCGGTTGCCCTGGGAGCTGACCTTGGAAGCCCTGGTCCGCTCGGGGGGGAGTAAGAAAAATTTCCTGCAATGTCGTCAAGCGGCTACGGTGCACCCCACGGATCTAGGCCGTCCAGGGAAAACATGCGAATATCTCAGATCTTAGCGGGCGCCAAAACTCGGGTAGATTGAGTTATGACGATCGCGGTGCACGGAAACGTCCTCGACACCACCGCGCAGCGTTGTTTCAACGGCATGAGGAAGTGAACCTGATGGCAGCCATTGATGTCCCCGAAAGACTGGTCGTCGGCCACAGTTGGTACTAGAGCAATGCAAGGCACACAAATCACAACAAATGAAAGCGAGCACACAAAACCCATCAGAATGGAAATGCCGTTTTGCTTTTCGATCTGGAGGGGCAGGGGCTGAAAACCTTAATCCAGCCTAGCGAGGGGCTTGGAGGGGCTTGGAGTGTCAGCGTCAAGGATGCCCACCACTGCATGCACGCGGGCGCACTACACCACTACCAGCAACTGAGTTTCAACGGTGATGCTCTCGGTGCGTGGATATCGCTCCATTACTTCATAGCCTCCCGTAACGCGTCCACCTTCGCGACCGTGGTTCTCCCACTCTAAGCTCGAGTTGCGGCCCGCTCGAGAACCTCAACTTCCAACTGCCCCGCCCCGCGTCGTCATTCGATTACCCCTCAACCCGCAGACGACCCCGGTCCGACGCCAAAAACGCGTCTCACCGACAATCGGTCTCTCCGTTGAGAATATTGTTTCCCGCGATCAGCGCTGTTTCCTGAGTTTGCATGTGCCACAGCAGCCAAGCGAGAAGAGCTCTCCCGGCACGAGACGTGTCCATTGCATTCGAGGCGACGTTGGACTGCTGCTGCAGACGGAGCCATTGCCTCTTCTTGAAGCACCCACGCGTTCTAGCCACCCCGAACGACTATCCATTGTAACTCAGAGACACCGAAATCAAGATGCCCGACTTTGACCAGAAGAAGGCGTACTCGGAGCAAGAGGACGTCTTTTTTGACGATGGACGGGAAATTGAGCTGCTGCACTTTGTCCACAGCAGACCGAACATCGAGGAGATCCGCGGCTCGCCGTCGCGCGTCCTCGAGGCAATCGACGAGTATGGGCGGACGAAGAGGTATCTCATGAACGTCGGCGAAGACAAGGGCAAGATCGTATCAGACCTCATCGCAGAAGTCAGGCCAGAGACCATGGTACGTTCACAGATTCCGGCAGTCCTTCTTCGACTGACGTTGACCTCGAGCACAGGTTGAGCTAGGAGGCTACATCGGCTACTCGTGCATTCTCTTCGGCGACGCCGTCCGCAAGGCCGGCGGCAAGCGTTTCTTCAGTCTGGAGCGAAACCCAGAGTTCGCGGCAGTAATCATGTCGCTCGTCGACCTGGCCGGTCTCAGCGATGTTGTTAAGGTCATTGTGGGCCCCAGCGATGTCTCCATCAAGAGGCTGTACAGCAATGGCATGCTTAAGCACATTGATCTGATGTTCTTGGACCACTACAAGCCCGCTTATACCACCGACCTGAAGCTGTGCGAGCATCTTGGACTCATCACCCCCGGTTCGGTGCTGGCAGCCGACAATGTGATCAAGCCCGGCAATCCGCCCTACCTGGAGTACGTCAGGAGCAGCGTCAAAGAGAAGCGGGCGGCTATGGAGGCTGCGGCGAACGCTGATGGGGACGGTGTGGATGCGCGGTTCGCGGACAAGACTTCGAAACAGTATGCTAAGCGCGAGGGCGAGGCTAAGCTTGACACGACTGTCCGAGGCAACCCGAACCTGGTCTACGAGAGCAAGCTTGTTAACAGCTACGAGCCCACTGGTGTCCCGGTAAGTTCGGAGCCCCTTCTTTCAAGATATCAACTGACTTGTGCTTCCAGGACGGCGTTGAGATAACTAGGTGCGTGGGCGAGGAGAAGTAGATGCCTACAAGAGGACGAGTTCTGTTGAGACCTGTCCGGCGACATGGGTTAGGTCTGAGAAACATTAGAGCTGAGCTTTGCGGCTTGGAGAGAGCTTGATACTCCGGCTTGGGACGGGCCAATGATGAACGAAACAAGGCTTTCAGGCATAAGGGCTGAGGAAAGTACCTTATAGACTTCAGTATACTTCCCATAGTTATAGTGTTACATGTAGGGAGCAATTGCAAATTGCGAGCGATTGTAGAGTAGCATGGCCATAAACTACGGAGGGGAGCTGATGTGACATTCGCCTCCTCTCTTTGGCATGCATCTGTGTACAACTGCACCAATCACTCCACCAACCACCACAATTGCTATCAGTAATACTCTTTCGGACAGTGTAGATTCATAGCCTCGATGATAAATCACAATAATGGAATCGGCTGTCGTTCCAACAGCGCACCTCTATGACGTCGTTTATGGGATTCCTTCCAAAATTTCGATCCGCCAATTCCCCTCCAGTATTTCTTCCTCTATCCCCCATCCTCCAACTTGCCAGCAATTTCTGAAATTTCCTCAAGTCCTCACTTGCTTTGTGAAACATCTTTCTGAGTGCAATTGGGCATAATCTCTTCCAAGATGCTCACCCGCACCTCACCCATCTCTCACCACTACCTCCAAAACCTCGCCCTAATCCTCCTCTCCCTCTTCTTCTTACCGCTCGACACCTTCATCCTCGCCATCAGCTATGCCCTGCGTCGTCTTCTCCCCACCACTGCCGTCCCACAGCCCCAAACCCTTCCCCCAACCCGCCGCAAAACTATCCTCGTCACCGGCGTCGGCATGACCAAAGGCCTAACCCTCGCCCGCCTCTTCCACCTTGCCGGCCACCGCGTCATCGGCGCCGACTTCGAGCCCGGCAACCCACCCGCCCTCGTCTGCAGCCGCGTCAGCACGGCGCTGGCACGCTTCTACCGGCTCACGCCCCCAGGGGCGCAGGAAGATTCGGGACCCTACATCAGCAGCCTGGTGGATGTTATACAGCGGGAGAGAGTGAGCCTATGGGTCAGCTGCTCGGGCGTCGCGAGCGCAATCTCCGATGCCGAAGCCAAGGAAGTCGTCGAGAAGCGGACGGCGTGTCGCGCGATCCAGTTCGACGTGCGCCAGACGGAGACGCTGCATGAGAAGGACCGGTTCATTGGCAGGTGCAGGGACTTGGGGCTCCTTGTGCCGGAGACGATCACGGTGACGAGTGCGGAGGAGATCGAAAAGGTGTTGAGGGAGAGGGCTGGGCAGGGCAGGGAGTTTATCATGAAGAGCATCGCGCTCGATGATGCGAGTAGGGCCGATATGACACTGCTCCCGCGCCCGACCGAGGCGGAGACCAGGAAGCATGTCCAGGGGATCAGGATATCGGCCTCCAGACCCTGGATCCTGCAGGAGTTCATCAGGGGCCCCGAGTTCTGCACGCATGCGCTGGTCGTCAAGGGGGAAGTCAAGGCCTTCGTGGCATGTCCTTCTGCGGAGCTGCTCATGCATTACAAGGCCATACCTGCGGATTCGCCGCTCAGTAGGGCTATGTTGGCTTTCACGAGGCGGTTCGCAGACGCGGGTGGTAGAAGCTTCACGGGACACCTGAGTTTCGACTTCCTGGTCAAGGAAGAGGATCTGGGCAAGAAACGACCGCAAGAGATCCGACTCTATCCCATCGAGTGCAACCCAAGGGCGCATACAGCTGTTGCGCTCTTTTCTCACGAGGTCAAGATGGTGGATGGATACCTCAGCCTACTCGGTAAGAGTAGAGAGGAAACGAACGGATACCAACATACCAACGGCGTGAACGAGGAGGACGGCCCTGTCACTCCTAAGAGGCCTTACCGCTACTACTGGGTTGGGCACGATGTTGTCACCCTCGTACTTCTGCCGCTCTCACAGCTTCTACGAGGCAAAGGAGGCCGGGGTGAATTTACCGAGGGCTTCCAGGTTTTCCTGGGTCACCTACTGTCGTGGAAAGACGGAACGTATGAGATCTGGGATCCGCTACCATGGTGGTGGCTCTACCATGTGTACTGGCCGACGCAGTTCTTGAACAGCATTCTGACGGGCAGGAAGTGGAGTAGAATGAACGTAAGCACGACGAAGATGTTTGGAGTAGAGTGAGATTAGACAAGTGCAACACAGAGTAGACCATAGAAGCACCGTATCCGCATATTTGCTGTTCCCTCATCTCCGCTCATCTGTAGAAGTATGCACACTCAGCTATCTAGACGCCGACGCATGCCGTACATGATTCTTGAATGCTCAAATCCCTATTCTGCCATAACGACATCTTTGCTCGAGCCAAATGAGCTAGCGCCATTCGTAAGCCTGTGGTCCCCAGACACTTCATCCATCTCCCTCAGTGTAAACTCGAGGAGGTAGCTCTCATCAACCAGCTCCTCGACCCTTCGATAGTGCCGTTCAGTATACGCCCTCAACGCGTCCAACACCTCTCTCAAACTCCCCCTCCCCTCTCTCCTCCCATCAACCTTCAACCCCGCCAGCCTGCTCGCCGGATACTTCCTCACAAGCGTCCACAGCACCCTCTGCGCCACACCCGCCGTCCTCGCATTCGTGTTCCAGTCCCTAACCCTCAACAGCAGCCTGAAGATCTGCTCATCCGCCAAGCTCCCCAACACCTCATCGACGTCCCTGTTTCCCGACAGACTCCCCTCCTCCTGCTCCTCGGCCTCCACAACCCCTTTGAAGAGACTGAGCAACCGCGCCGGCTGGTCCAGCTGCAGCGCCAGCGTAATCGCCTCCCGCCAGCTTCCTGCGACGATGTAGTTCGCGAGCCGCTGGTCCTGCTCGACGCGCTCCGTCTCCGCTACAGCGGCCGCCACGGCCGTCGCCTGCGTCGTATCGGCCCAGAACGTGATGACGCCGTCGCCCCCGCCCGAGACGAGGGTGTTCGACCCCGGATGCACGGCGAGCGCCCACACGCGGTCAGAGTGGTTGTCCAGCGTCGCCGCCACCTCCCCGCTCGTCGCGTCCCACACCTTAACCAGCCCGTCCCCGCCGGCTGATGCGACCTGCGCGCCGCGCTTGTCGCGGCTGTCCGTTTTCTCCGCGTGCAGCCATACGGCTTTGAGGACGCTATTGGTGTGGCCTTCCAGCGTCAGGAGGCAGGCGTAGTCGGCCAGGCTCCAGATCTTGACGGTCTTGTCGCCGGAGCCCGTGAGGATGAGGCCGCGGCTTCCGCTGCTGCCGATGGCGGGCGTGTCCTTGGGCGCGAAGCGGACGGTCCAGACGCCGCGGCGGTGGCCACGCAACACGCCTTGTGTTTCGCCTTCCTCCGTTGACCAGATCTTTACGGTGCGGTCTTGCGAGGCGGAGGCGAAGAGGGTGGAGCTGGGAGACACGTCGAGGGCGTTGATGTCTTTGTCATGTGCTTTGCGGGTGTAGGTAGCGCGGGTGGTCTTCTTGACGCTGGAGATGTCCCAGCGCTTGATGGTTTTGTCCTGGGAGCCTGTGATGACGAAGCTCGGGGGGTGGTCTAGGGGGTTGGTGTGTGCGGCGGAACCTGCTGGGGGTGCCAATCGGGGGAGCGCTATGGCACCTAAGGACTCGGCGTGGCCGGTAAAGGTTGCGTAGCAGGTAAATGAGTTGTGGTCGGGGTCTATCCGCCACAGTCGTGCGGTGTTGTCCTTCGCACCCGTAGCCAGCCAATGACCCGACCAGTCAACGTCCATACAGATGATAATGTCCTCATGGCCCTTAAGTACAGCGACGTCTGCACCAAAGTAATCGCCTCCAACATCGTCGTCAGAGGTGGATGAATCTTCAGTAGCTAACGAGATGATCCGGATGTCTTCTAAGTTCGTAGCCAATGCTAGTAGAGATGAGTCTCTTCCTACATAAGCCACATCAATGACCTCGTCGTGAGTGCCCGATATCCTTCGCAGAATTGGTAGAAGATCCGTAAGCCCTTCTGGGTCGAGGTCCACAAGTGGCGCAAGTGAGTGAAGCATGAGAGTTTGGTCGGCGTGTATTGAGAGGAGGTACTTTAAGCCTGGTTGGTGTATTATATCACTGATGCCCTCGGTCTCGGCGCCAGCTTCTTGTTCTCGGGTCACTTCCCTCCCAGTGGCGGTAGACCATATCCGCACCCGGCCATTCTCGCCGCCAGTGTAGATGAACCTCCCATCTTGTACAAATCCGGTACTCTCGACGCCCTCCAGCACCGGGATTGTGCTGCGTATTTTCCACGTCCGCGAGTCCCACACCATGACAGTCTTGTCCCTGCTACCCGACACTAGCGCATTCTCTTGCGGCAAGAAGTCCAAACTCCGCACAACAGAGACGTGGGAGTCGAGAATCGCGGCGGACTTCCGCTTGTGTAGATCCCATATACGAATCTTGCCATCCTCTCCACCAGATGCTAACCGGAAGCCGAGCGTAGCCTCTTCTTCCGCGGCGTCCGTCTCGGATGTTCCATTGCGCTGGTCCTGCTTCCGCTTGTTCTTCCGACGACTTTTGGCGGCATCCTCAACTCCGGAAGCAGCAGCTTCTACCTCGAAGAAGTGCAACGATGCGATGACTCCGCTATGTCCGTGAAAAGTATGCGTGACAAAACCACCTCTTATGTCCCATACTTTGACAACGCCATCGGCACCCCCAGTAGCGAGTAATGTACCTGTGCGATCAACGCTGGACACTACGACGGGCGAGGTGTGAGGGCGGAGAGTTCGGAGCAGTTCGGCGTCTATGACTGCGTCGGGCGAGGCGGAGGGCTTCAGCGAGTATATCCGCATAGATAGTGACCTCGAACATAGTATGACATGGGACCCGGAGGGCGTCACTAGCCAACATTAGCTGGTACCATGTGTATAAGGCTTCCGGCGCATACGGGATAGTGCGGTAATGGTTTCTCCATCCTACACTGCGCGTCAACATGTCAGATACGCAGCACAAGCGCCTACTGAACGGCCGAACTTACGCCTTCTATCCGCGCCAGATGCGCGGCTGTACTGAGCTCGGTCAAGAGCACATCTTCGTTGAGGCAGGTTGCCAGTATGCGGCCATTCTGGCTGAGGGCGACGCCGCCGCCGGTATATATAGGCCGGATGGTTCTGCTGGGCTCGAATGTCGTCTTGATCGTAGTCCTGTGTGCCATTATCACGGCGCAGATACGTGTGCTGATTCAGTTGCTCGGCGTCGCAAAGGTGGTTGGTCATTGTAAACTTTTCTTTGAGCACCGTTTGCGCAGATTCCCGCCGCCGGCGGACCCCTGCTCCGCCGAACCTCCAGGAGCTGCCTTGGAGATTAATCTCCCTACTGTAGGTGCTCGAACCTCCCTTCGACATGTAATGTCCCCACGAGGAAAGAGGGTTGCAGTGTCCGAGCAGCAGCATAGGATGCCTTCCGGGCGCGCTGCGGTCATGCTACGATTAGCAGTTTTTTCCGTTTCTCACGTCAAGTAACAAGGCCTGGGTGAAGACATCAGTGCCTTCCAGACGTAACCCAGCATCACGAAGCCTGTCAGCTCTTACTCAGTGAAAAGACACCAGTTCCTTTTACTCTTTTACTGCTGTGACTCAGACCTCGGAATCTATTGAGAGTTTTATCAGCATTCGGCCCGGTATCCGTGATCTTGCTGAAGAAAGCTCATCATGGGGCGGCAGGCATACATGGCTCGTTTGGCTTTTGTAAGTGATTGAATGGTTCGGCACTATCTTTTAATCCGTGTCGAATCTAGCAAGCTGTGTTTGAACTCAGATGCTCATCTGGGTTCTACTTAATAGTTACTTTGTGCACGAGCTGACAAGCACACCAGGGCCGTTCAGCATTCGAGCCTCCGGAAGCAGAAACCCAGTCAGCAAATCACGATGCGCCATCTGCCCAAGACACGGAAGGAAGCTCTCAGACGCTCGATCCTGGCGATGCTGCTTCAGGCGACGTCCAGCAGTACGATGACCGTGGGCACCCGATCAACCCGCGGTCTCGAGAGCTGGCGCGGCAGCTGAGAAGAGCCAAGAACGATGTGCTCGCTGCCGCTGGCGTTGTGGTGAGGAAGATCCCTGTGTACCGTGATGGGACGGCAGGCGAGGCCGGGAGCAGGCGAGTAAGTCAGGACGACTACGACGCGGAAAGTAAAGCTCTTATGTTCGCTTCCTGGATGGCGATTGTGCTCAGGGTATCGGGTACCTGGTGGATCAGCTCCCTGAGAGATCGATTTTTGGTCAGTTCTACTAACAACAAAGATCAACTGAATGTATGTCTTGCTCATGTGCTTTGGCCAGACTTTCGGCGTACCAGCCGATCTTCCATTCACCGACATTCTGCGCAGAAGCTACTATCATATGGGGTTCTACCACTTCTTCTTCGGTGGCCTCCCGGCCCAGCTGCTTTCGCTAGTCATCAGCCCTTGGGGTCTGTGGCCTCAATATGTCATAATGCTACTCGACCAGCTCGTTATCACCTCCACACTTTCACGGAGAGCAGTAAGGGCATACTTGAAGAGCGTGCCGTGGATTGAGCGAACGTAAGTTACGCCATGCGTACTGTATCTTATTCCAGGGTGATGTAGTCACGTCGTTTAATTGCTAAGATGTGTAGAATCGTTTTCTCTTTAGAGCTCCTCTCGACGCCATTGATTGTGTACGCGACCTACCAGCGCCTTGGGCTATTGCCATCAAAGCCTCTTTTTCCACCATTGCGGGGACTTATCCCATTCACTCAGGCATCGCCAATCCAAGCTCCCCCCTTTCCCTCGCGGATGAGCGCGGCTGTATTGTACACGTGGGCAGCTTCGATACTCGAATCTCCCCTGGTGCTGTCTCTGATATGGCGGCATGCCAGCAACGTTGTCCAGAATGCCATCCGCGAGCCTTTCGTAGCGTATATCTGCAAGCCGGATAGACCAGACGAACATACTATCAAGGAGACTACGGAGCGCAGGAACTCTTATCGGAGCATGCTGACGAAGCCGCCTTCTTTTTGGCGGAGCTTCGTCCGAGGAACCTTGTCCTTTGTGGGCTGGACTGCGTATGAGCCAGTGTCCCCAGCATTCCTCACGCAGTCACTAGACTCTCCCCACGATGACGCAGTCACTTCACCACAGCCTGAGAGACAAGCAACGGCACTGGTAGCTCTAGCTTCGCCTAGAGAACCCCAGGAACTCCTAATTACTGATAGCCGTGGGGAAGGAACTGCAGTAGCGCAAGAACGGGACTCCTTGGGTGAAAGGGAGCACGAAGACCATCCGCGCACCACCCAAGACGTCCTCGCGGCACCCGTATCAGGAACATCGCCTCCTCCAACCGACTCCCAGGTATCGCGGCGCCCTCGGAAACGGCACCGCGTGACGCCGTTCTCAGAGGAGCCAGCCATGATGCTCGACACGGTGTTAAGCGGCTGCATCACAGAATTGATTTTGCTTCCGCTTAGGGCCATTATACTGGGCAAGATGGTCAGGAGCTTCGCAAGTAATCCGGGGCTAGCACGGCAAGGGATTTGTGCTCCGTTTGCGCCGTGGAGTGGCGGGATAGGTCCGGTAGTGGGCCTCAGAGCGCTCGGGTCTGCCGCTAGCAAGGTTGCTTTGTGCTATGCGATCGAGTTGCTTATAGGGCTTGGAGTTTGGGGATGTGAGTGGGCGCTTGTCACATCTGTTGGTAGGAGGTATTTCAATTGGGGCAAGCTTTAGAGAGGGAGGAATTGTGGGGGAGCGAGCAGCTCATTTGTTTAACTATATGCAGAGGGGGCTCTGCAAATGCACAGCCCGCTTTCCGTTACTGCAGCATCTTGTACCCTCTTACTGCAATTGACTGGGCCAGCATGTTGCGGATGAGGTACGCTTGCTGTCCGAAAAACGTAATACATGCACTGCGCTCGCTCCGTGGGACTGCGACATATACCTAGTACGCCTGCGCCTTGATTTCATCTCTGGACTTGCAATGCTTCTACCTTGAAATCCCTTTCCGTTACCTACAGGCGTTATGCTACACCCTACACGGAGATCTAATGTAGCACTACCCAAGCTCTACAACTTCTCAAAGACGCACTAGAAGGGACTCTAGACCAACTACCTGTAACATAAGGGAGTGTCCGGTGAAGTCAAATTCTGCGATCTCTCAAGTGGATTCTTGCAATACTGTAAGGTTCGCAGAGATTCCGGAAACAGCCCGAGAATTTCTAGTGTGAAGTGCGGGCTCACGATCAACTTTATGTCATGAACTAAAATATCCCCCAGCAGGAAAGGTTCAAATTACGCGTTCCTCTATCTCAGTGAAATCGCACCAAATGAACCTGCAGTTACTCAGACATTGCTAACAATCCGAGCGGCATCAACACCAGAGATCTATCGCTACAACATCAGACTTTGCCACCTCTATGCATACAGGATATATCCATTATTCATACCTTCCGCTGACTCTCTCTCCTGCTTCACTTTTCCACGCACCTTCACCTGCAGCTCGCTCTCTCAATCGTCCATAGGCCTATCCTCCAACTGCACGCCCACAGGCCTATGTTCCTCCACAACGCCCTCCCCATCCCTCAAACTCCCCTGACTGTCCCTCTTATTAATCAGACTCTGCCTCGCCAGCCCGCCAGCCTGATGCTTCCTCGGAAACCTTCCCGTCGTCGCCGCGCTCCTGCCAAGCGAGTTCTTCTTCTCGATCGAGGAGACGTACGCCTGGACGGGGCTTTCATGCGCGATTTCTGCGGTGGGCGTGCCGTTTGCCGTGTGCAGTGGAGAGGTTGTGAGTGGCGCTGGCGTCGGCGCTGGTGACGCAGATGGCAGTGGCGCCGTGCTGATATCCCTGCCACCAACAGGCGCGCTCTCGACCACAGCGCCAGGCACCTCAAGGCTATGTCTCGTGACGGGCGCAATCCTGCGTTCCGTCGGGCTTGTGTTGACCGGAAACCTCGTCTCCGCCCCTCCCGCCGAGCGCTCCCTCATATGCGCCCGTTGGGTGGGCTGTGGACTGCTCGCGCGGCTCCTACTCGCGATCGCGCGCGCCCTCTCCTCCATGTTCGCGCGCCGGTTGCTCTCATCTGTACTAATCGCCCTGGCCCTGCTATTGCTAGCCGCAGACGCAGCAGTCGCGGCAGAGGCACTCGACGCCGAATGCGCAAGGCTCGACGCGCGCTTCAGCTCCCCGAAGATGGCCTCCTTGTGCGCGAACAGGTCGCGCACGAGGCGGTAGGCGTAGCGCTCGTTCATGGTGAGGGAGCTCTCCTGTTTGGGCCGCAGGATGCAGGGCGCGAGGGCCTGGGCGAGGGCGGAGATGTAGGCTTCGTCGGCGCTGGTGAGCTCGATCAGGCGCACAAAATGCGTGATGAGCGCGTCGAGCGTTGCGATGTTGGCGAGGCGTAGCTGGCCGAGTGTGTTTTGGATCACGGAGATGCGCGCGTCGGAGGAGACGTCGGTTGCGGTGGTGCTGTAGATTGTTTTTACGATTTCGTAGACGTGGGAGGATACGAGGGAGTCTGATACCCGTCAGTCAGGCGGGTAAACCCTGACAGTGTAACGGGGAAACTTACCGGGAAGCTCCAGAAGGTACAATTTCAGAACGCTGGCTACAATGGGTATCTCATACTTCTCAAGGACTTCGTGCGGGATGGATTTGCCCGTGTTGATGGCTGCTCGTAGATGGTGAGTGGCGGCTAGGGGTACATCCACCAGCCAAATGCCGCGGCGAGCTTCATCGCCTTCAAGGTCCGGGTAATCTGGCTAGAAGTCAGCCAAGGCTACAGGACGACAAGTTGAAGAAACTCACGATGATCAAGGAAAGTCAAAACGGTAGAAACAATGAGCGGCACACGCTTCCGGTCCGAGCGCGCTCTAGCTTCGAGATCTACGCCGAATGTCTGCTCTGCTGTCATGTCAGCGCCTATCTTGTTGGATATAAGTATCGCATCATACCATCCACATTATTGTAGTAGTTCTCATATGTCTGCACTTTCGGGACGAATCCTCCAGTGCGGTAGTTCTCCAGCAAGTATCGGAGGTCTCCAAGTGGCTGCACGGTCTCCTGGAAGAGCATCATGTTGTCAACCGTACTCTGGAGGCTCGGAATAACGTTGCTGATGGCGCCTGAGAAGTCAAGGATCACCGACTTGATGGCCTTGAGCCGATCGAGTTCACACCGCTCCATGAATTTCAGATGATCTATTATTGACTCCTCTAGCCGGCATCGGAGATCATCGAGCTTCCTGACTGCGGCTTTGTACCGCTCATCCGCTTCGCGAGCTTCTCGTCGGAGCCTCTCAGCCGGCGTTTCGTTGGGATAAGGGTTGTTCAAGGGGTTCCAGCCAGCTAGATAATCACCGACAGCGCCTACTGGCGAATCCACGGTCGCGCTGTCTGTTGACAGAACCGAGGCGGTGCGGTCTAGAGCCTTCTTCTTCTCCGGTACACCGGTGATCTGAAAGACTTTGGGTCTCCATTGGTAGTTCATCTTCGAGCTGTTGGCGAAGGTGCTGCCGACATTGCCTACGAGTCGTAAAAAGCCCTTGTCTGTCAAGTCTTGCCCTATCCTCTCAGCGTAGCTCACGCTGCTGGCGCTCAGGTGTTTCTGTATGTATTCCGTGATGTGCGCTCCCGTGGAAACATTCTGGTATGTTCCGATGATCGGGATTTTGAGTTCTCCGATTTTAATGTTCTCGAGCATGTGCGTCAGGGTCTTTTTGAGCTGCTGAGGGCTGAATGTCTCGTCGCCCAAGTCAATCGGCTCCTCCTCTTCCTCGTGATCAGGTTCAACCACTTTAACGACCGGGGGCTTCGGCTTCGGGCTTTGCGCAGCTTCGCTTTGCGGGTCCTGAAACGCTAACTTTTCTTCTTCCTCAAGGTCCTCGACTTGCCGACACTTGTTGTAGTACTGGCTGCGGGACTTCCGTACCGCATCTGCCTGTCTGTCATGCAGCTTGACGCTAGCTTGTAAGGCGTCTTGTGAACTTTGGACTCGCGCAGCGTGCGCGTCGCACCAGCGGCTGAAGGGCGTGACGACCAGCTCGCGGATGTTCGAGGCGATCTTGCGGTGGTTCTTGGACGCCTCCTCCATCTCTCTCCGTACGCCATCGTACGCCTGGTAACTCTAGTCAGCATGCGACGCAGCTTCTCATCGGCTTTCCGCTACCAGGCTCAGCGCACCTTCTTCGTGCTGGCACCCTCGTCCTTGGAGAAGCCGCCTGCGATTCGATCCGTCGCAGGCCCGATGTCGCCCAACCGCTGTCCGTAGAGGTCTTCGGCGTCGGCGCGCATACGCGCTATCGTGAGGACCTGCTGGTTTTCCTGAACGCCTTGCTGGAGCTTGCCGAAAAGCACACCGAGCCCTGATAGACTGTGAGTTTCTGGAAGCATATGGTATATCGAATGCGCCGCGTACCTCCAGCGTAGTCGCTAGACCAGAACGAGGTGGCGAAGCCTGCCATGATGAAGTGTTTGCGCAAACGTGTTTAGAGGGAATCAAAAGGAGGGGACTCGGCGGGAGTGGCTAGACGTCGCCAGCCTGGATAAGGGGTGGGTGATGTAGACGGTCCCTGGACGGTGATGTCTTTAGGGAGCTTAGAGTATTATACGTGGTCGTGAGATGGTGCGCGATGGGTTTTGACAGTCGCCGGTAGTCCCTGAGAAGGCCAACGTAACGCTTGAAGATGTACGATGGGAGTCGGTGGTACAATGGAGCTGAAGCCGCTGAAGCCGCTGAACCACAAGTTCCTGGGGCGTTTCTTGTGGAGATTTTGCCGCTGCCCACCGCTTTTCGTCAAGCTTCCCGGAGTTTTCTGGCCGCATCCCGCTGCCAATCGGCGCGCTTGCGAATTGACAACGGCTAAGGGTCCAGTTGCATGGAAGGCGTCATCAACGGGACTTTCAAAACTGTTAAGTCCCCATTGTTTGGGTACCTACTGTAAGCTCCCGGCTCCATGACCTGTAAACCACGACTAAACCAACTGGACGGGGCACTATCTGTATACCACTCGCCCGTCCCCCCGGCTGCGTGTCGGCTTCATTCTCCGCCATGTCCTCCGAAAGCCCCAGTCTAAACAAGCCGAAACACCTCAAATACTGGACGCGATGCCTCAAGACCTACCTCCCGCACGCGTACATTGCGAACGACTCGATGCGCATGACCCTCGCCTTCTTCATCGTCTCCGCTCTTGATCTCCTCGACTGTCTAAAAAGCCACACCACCGAGGCTGAGCGCAAAGATTATGTGGATTGGATATATCACTGCCAGCACCCCCATGGCGGCTTTCGCGGCTTTCCAGCTACGGATTTTGGAGAGTTGCGGAATGAGACGAACGCGCCATGGGACCCTGCGAATCTCCCTGCTACCTACTTTGCGCTGGCGACGCTGATCATACTGGGAGATGACCTGCAGCGCGTAAGGAGGAGGGCCTGCCTGAAATGGCTGGCCGAGATGCAGAGGCCGGATGGGAGCTTCGGGGAGACGTTGGGTGAGAATGGTGTGATCGAGGGCGGTATGGACACGCGATTCGGGTACTGCGCAGGAGGCGTGCGGTACATACTCCGAGGGCTCGTTGACGGCCCGGTCGAGGGAGTAAAAGACATCGAAGTGGACAAGCTGGTGTGGTGCATTAGAGGGTCTGAAGTGCGTTGAGGGTCCTCTGGCCAGCCACATCTGCCAGCGAGATCACCATCTAATATTCGACAGACGTACGATGGAGGGATTTCGGAAGCGCCGTTCCACGAAGCACATGGTATGCACGTGCACTGCACCCGATACATTGGTTGGCATTCCTCCTGGCTCACTGTTCTGTAGCCGGCTTCACATACTGCGCCATCGGCTGCCTCTCCTTCCTCGACCGACTGCCTCACGGCGCGAAAGCAAAACGACAAGATGCGCCCGAGAACAACATCCCCATAACCGGCCTCTCAAATCTCGACATCACAATCCGATGGCTGGTCTCACGGCAAACCATGACGCTGGACGAAGAGGATGCCGTAGACACGCGAATGGACGAGACTGACACCGCTGCGACCTGCCACGACGCGCACTCGTTCGTCAAAATGGGCAGCTTCATATCAACAGCAGGCGAGCTATCCTACAAGGACCGGCCGTCGACGCCGACACAGCTCCAGTGGGCAGGCTTCAATGGGCGGTGCAACAAGATTGCAGATACGTGCTATGCGTTTTGGGCCGGAGGTTCTTTAGGGGTGAGTCAGCTGCATTTATTTAACCAGCTCTCGATCTGGGCCGAAACAAATCTCCTGACATCGATCGTCCACCCCTCCCCCCGCAACCCCCCCCC